CGTGGCTTCCGATTGGCTCTTGCCATCGGAGAAGCCAAGCGGAAGCTGCTTGTCTCCCAGCTGGACATTTGGCTTCCGAAAATTGTTCGAAAAGCGAAACACTTACTTCCAGGCTTTTGTAGTTTGGGAGCTGAAATATTTGACTACGGAGGCGTTTGACTTCCCAGGTACCACTGTACTGTGATCCATATTCTTATTTACTTCTGATTACATTCCATTTTACAAAATTATAACTTAGTCAACAGCTGCACTCAATGGTTTCTATTTAATTTATTTTATTATTTAACCTTTCATAAAACATCAAGTGAGGAACAATAATTCTTTTCTTTTCAATCTGTGCATGTCTAATTGAATAAATCCAGTTGTTAACTTCATTGGCTTTATTTTTCTGCCGCTGATGAATGAATAAATGAATCTTTATTTGCATCAGCCACCAGCCATAAACAATAAAACAAACAGTATGATATACAAAGAATAAAGATAAAAAGTCAATTATCTAAGTGCACTTTGAGGCTTTGAATCAATAGTCAAATAGCAGATCTTATTTGAATTGCCCTGGCTAAAAAGCTTGCAACCTTTGCTGTCACCTGCTCATCTTGGTCTGCTGAGAGAAAGGACACTGTGACAGCAGCTGGGTGACCCGGAATGGACAATAAAATAGGGGTGATAATCTCACTCATCAAATCTTTATAAAGAGTTCAAACAGGAAGGACATGTGCCACTGATTCGGTACTGCCATCTCCACAGGGACATAGCTGTTTTTCATGTGGAATTTGTCGGAATTGTCCCTCAAGTACAACCGAAGGCAGTATATTCGGACTTGCGAGAGTAAATGTGCGTCTATATTTCCCAATGTTGTCGTTCCAGCGTGGTTCAGGGCGGACCTGAAGTCAACAAGATTAAGTCCCGCCCTCCTCAACTCAGCTCCCCCTCCATCCCACTTCCAGATAAACAACAAGCCTTTGGGAACCACATTCCCTTCCAGTGCTTTTCACGTGCCCTTGAGAAATTCCTCTTGCCTCCATGGTAGCATTTTACTGTTTAGCCCAGGCATGGCCAAACTTGGCCCTCCAGATGTTTTGGGACTACAATCTTCATCATCCCACTGGTCCTGTTAGCTAGGTCCTCTCCTTTCAGTTGGTTGGACGAATCAACTTTCAAACATTCACCATTTTCTTGCTTTGACTGGGAAGGGAAGGGTTTCTCTCTCCAAGCATTTGGGAACCACATTCCCTTCCAGTGCTTTTCACGTGCCCTTGAGAAATTCCTCTTGCCTCCATGGTAGCATTTTCCTGTTTAGCCAATGTCCTTCCTCTTAAAAATTGGTTGTCAACACCTCCACACCCTTTTTCTGGTGGGGTGGGGAATAATCTAGTTTCCCAACGACATCCGTCAAAACAAGGTTCTCCCCACCTTCACTCCTTTCAAACCACACACAGCTTTAAATCTTCTTTTAAATGTCAAAGTACACAGTACATCGAACCATCCACACTTGCAACTCTATAATCCACACTTGTAACTCTATAAACCTTGTGTTTGGAGAGGCTTGCCAAATCATAAACTTAGGGACTTCATACCAATTAAAATCCTATTATAAGGAGAACATCTGCTTTTGATGGCAGTCCGAGGGGGTTGCATCATGGCAAATGTGGTGACCCAACACCTCCATATGCCCCCAAGCTGATCTGCACGGGAGCGAGCTGTTGAGGCGACTGCGGGTCAGCCTGCTCCCTTGTACGCCAGATTTCCGGGAATGCTTAAACCCTTTCGTTCCCTACCCCCTCATTTGTGCCTCCCTCCAATGTTGAGAGAGCTGCTGCCATAGTGCAAGACCAGAACTGGAAACTCGAGGTCAAAGAATAATACAAATGTAGGGTTGGAAGGGACCACAAGAATCATCTAGTCCAGGGGTAAAGGGACCCCTGACCATTAGGTCCTGTCACGGACGACTCTGGGGTTGCGGCGCTCATCTCGCTTTACTGCCCAAGGGAGCCAGCGTACAGCTTCCAGGTCATGTGGCTAGCATGATTAAGCATGATTAAGCCACTTCTGGCAAACCAGAGCAGCGCATGGAAACGCCGTTTACCTTCCCACCAGAGCGGTACCTATCTATCTACTTGCACTTTGATGTGCTTTTGAACTGCTAGGTTGGCAGGAGCTGGGACCGAGCAACGGGAGGTCACACCGTCGCAGGGATTCGAACCACCGACCTCCTGATCGGAAAGCCCTAGGTTCTGTGGATTAGACCACAGCGCCACCCGTGTCCCAGTCCAGGGGTAGTCAACCTTTTTATACTTACCGCCCACTAATGCCTCTTTCTTGATGGTAAAATTTCCTTACCGCCCACCAGGACTTGATGGAAGGAGGATTCAGAACCCTCTACCGCCCAGTTAAGAATCCTGAAATGCCCACTAGTGTGCGGTAGGGACCAGGTGGACAATCCCTGATCTAGACCAACCCCCTGCAATGCAGGAAAAACCACCCGACCTCTGCTGAAAAACCTAAAAAAAGGAAGGAGAGTTCACCACCTTCCAAGGTAGCTCATCTCACTTGCAGTCAGAAATTTCTTCCTAAAGCTTAGGATTAGATGTATTTTTACTCCTTGCATAAAATACAGATGCAGGAAGAGTCAGAAAGCCAGGAAGTAATTGTAATCTCTGTATTTACGTGGATTTAAGTGAAAGAAGCTCTCCACACCACTGATTTCACCAGGCAGCTAGCCCAGTGAGCAGTTGACAGCCCCCCGTGACAGCAGGTGTATGATTTCTCCCATGTGAATTCTTGTATGAATTCCATGAAGTTTCACAACAGCGGAGCTCCAATTATTATTATTTTTTTAAAAAAAATTATTATATTTTCCATGCTTATTACATAACTGGAGAAAAATATTAGAAAAAGGCAATACCGATAAAGAGTACAAATTAAGAAGGGAGAAGGAAAAGAAAACTTACACTATCTATTGTTATTATTAAGATAAAGAATATGACATAAATTTGAGATTGCAATTTCATGTTACAGTAAAAAAAAGTCTCATTATCATTAAACCCAACCTCCCATTTATTCCTTTGTTCTTTTTGCATAACTTTACTGCCATACCAAAATACTATTTTTTATATTATTTTTACACAGTTTAGTAATATTTATATAAGCAATTAATAAAGACTGCTGAGATCACTCAAAAGTAGCTATAGCTTTTAACATGGTATAGTTTTGTTTAAGATATATTCTGAAGGCCTCCCGTTTTGATACAAATTCAGCTCTCGGTTTATTTTTTCCTGATAAGCTATCTAATTCAGTATATTCAGTCAATTTTTGAATCCACTCCTGTCTGGAAGGAATTATGTCGCTTTTCCACCTTGATGGCTATAAGGACTCTCGCTGCCACTGTTGCATACAAAAAAAAATACCTTTAATATTTTTTTGAATATCTGAGTCAGTGATCCCCAACAAATACAGTGGTGCCTCGCAAGACGAAATTAATTCGTTCCGTGAATTTTTTCGTCTAGCGAATTTTTCGTCTTGCGAAGCACGAAATCCCATAGGAATGCATTGAAAATCAATTAATGCGTTCCTATGGTCAAAAAAAGTCCAAACAAAGCCAAATTTGGTACAACAAGAGTTTATTAAGTGCTCTTTAAAGTCAGACATACTGTAAAGAGCATTTCAAAATTCAAACCCAGAATTTTTTTTTAAAAAACAGCAGAGTGGCCCAATGGTCACAGAAAATCATAAAAATGCAGAAAAAAACACACAAGCTTCCTGATTCTTGCAAACCCCTCCTCAACTGTTCCCCCAGCCACCCAGCACACAGAAATTCAAATCCAGAATTTTTTTTAAAAAAAACAGCAGAGTGGCCCAATGGTCACAGAAAATCATAAAAATGCAGAAAAAAACACACAAGCTTCCAGATTCTTGCAAACCCCTCCCCAACTGTTCCCCCAGCCACCCAGCACACAGAAATTCAAATCCAGAATTATTTTTTAAAAACAGCAGAGTGGCCCAATGGTCACAGAAAATCATAAAAATGCAGAAAAAAACACACAAGCTTCCAGATTCTTGCAAACCCCTCCCAAACACCAAGTCCTTGAATTCCAAACACCCCAACCCAAAATCCAACCCCCCCAAAAAAAAGTTTTAAAAGCTTAACTTACCAAATGGCTGCAAAATAAGTTTTGGAAAAGCTTCAAAAATCACCAAAGTCTTTAAAAACCTCAAAAAAGGCTACTATGTACACTGCATTCTATGAGTTGCTCCTCGAAGTCAAGTCGCAACTGTATTAACGGTGTTAAGAAAAAGGAAACAAACTTGCAAGACATTTTCGTCTTGCGAAGCAAGCCCATAGGGAAATTCGTCTTGCGAAGCAGCTCAAAAAACGGAAAACCCTTTCGTCTAGCGAGTTTTCCGTCTTGTGAGGCATTCGTCTTGCGGGGCACCACTGTATGCCTCTGGCTTTTTTATTACAGTGGTACCTCGGGTTACAGACGCTGCAGGTTACAGACTCCGCTAACCCAGAAATAGTACCTTGGGTTAAGAACTTTGCTTCAGGATGAGAACAGAAATCGCACAGTAGCAGCGGGAGGCCCCATTAGCTAAAGTGGTACCTCGGGATAAGAACAGTTTCAGGTTAAGAACGGACCTCCAGAACAAATTAAGTTCTTAACCCGAGGTAACACTGTAAAGGAAAGTCTTAACATTTTTTCTAATTCTGAATGGATTTCCTCCCAAAATTTCTTTATTTTGCTACATTGCCACCATATATGATACAGTGAGCCTGTTTGATCTCCACATCTCCAACAGTTACTTTTGGCTCCTTTGTACATATTTGGCTAATAGCTGGAATTATTGTATGAATTCCATGAAGTTTAGCAACAGCGGTGCTCTAATTAAAATGCTTTCCGCATTACAAGCATCTCAATATTTCTTTCCTCTTGATTCGCTTATGCAAAATGAGTTGTGAAATCTGACCAAATCTTTTCCCACACTCCAAGCATATATATGGTTTATCCCATGTGAGTTCTTTTATGAGAAGTAAGCTTAGATCCATGTGCAAATCTCTTTCCACACTCCAAACATTTATATGGTTTCTCCCCTGTGTGAATTCTTTGATGATATGTAAGGCTTGTGCTGTGACTGAAATTCTTTCCACACTCAAAACAGGTATATGGTTTCACCCCTGTGTGAATTCTTTGATGCGATGTAAGGCTTGTGCTGTGACTGAAGTTCTTTCCACACTCAAAACAGGTATATGGTTTCACCCCTGTGTGAATTCTTTGATGAGATTCAAGGCTTGAGCTTTGAGTGAAGCTCTTTCCACACTCAAAACATGCATACGGTTTTTCACCTCTGTGAATTTTTTGATGAGATTCAAGGCTTGAGCTTTGAGTGAAGCTCCTTCCACACTCAAAGCACTTATAGGGCTTCTCTCCTGTATGGATTCTGCGATGGCAAACAAGGTATGTGCAGTTACTAAAGCTCTTTCCACATGTCACACATTTATATGGTTTTTCCCCTGTATGGATTCGCTCATGCACAGTAAGGTGTGAACTCTGACTGAAGCTCTTCCCACACTCAAAGCATTTATACGGCTTCTCACCAGTGTGAGTTCTCTTGTGTGAACTAAGGTGTGAACTCTGGCTGAAGCTCTTTCCACATTCCAAGCATTTATATGGTTTGTCCCCTGTGTGGGTTCTCTTATGTGAAGTAAGGCTAGCACTGTGAGCAAAGCTCCTTCCGCACTCTGTACATTTATAAGATTTCTCTCCTGTGTGAATTCTTTGGTGCGATATAAGACTTGAGCCGTGAGCGAAGCTCATTCCGCACTCCAAACATTTATACGGCTTCTCCCCTGTGTGGATTTTTTGATGCAATGCAAGGCTTGAGCTGTGACGGAAGGTCTTTCCACAGTACAAACAGGTATACGGTTTCTCCCCTGTGTGAAGTTTTTGATGTTCTGTAAGGTTTCTCCTGCAACTGAAGCTCTTTCCACACTCAAAGCACCTATGTGATTTTTTCCTGCTCTGGACTTCCTGATGTATTTTAAGGTTTGAGTGGCGCTTGAAACTCTTTCCACATTCTAGGCATTGGTATGATTCCTGTCCTGCGTGAATTCTTTCATGTGATTTTAGGCCTGAGCTGTCACTGAAGCTCTTTCCACACACCAAGCATTTACACAGTGTCTCCTCTGAGTGGATTCTGCAGTGTGGGCTGAGGCTCGATTTACCTTTGAACGTTTTGCCACACAAAGGGCTATCATTTGTTCTCTTCGCTTCATGCTTATTTCTTTCTGATGAGCCCCGAGAACCATTATTGCCCTGGTCATCACCTGCTAAGATTAAGGGAAAATAGCAAACATTAAAAACTTCCCAATACAGGGCTGCCTTCGGATGTCTTCTAAAAGCTACGTAGTTCTTTATCTCCTTGACATCTGAAGGGAGGGTGTTCCACAGGGCTGGTTCCACTACTTCACTTCTTACTGTGACGAAACCAGCAGAAGACCCTCAGAGTTGGACCTCATTGTCCGGGCAGAACAATGGAGGTGGAGATGCTCCTTCAGGTCTACAGGGCCGAGGCCGTTTAGAGCTTTAAAGGTCAGCACCAACACTTTGAATTGTGCTTGGAAACATACTCTGAGCCAATGTAGATCCTTTAAGACCAGTGTTATATGCTCCTGGCAACTGCTCCCAGTCACCAGTTGAGCTGCTGCTTTCTGGATTAATTGTAGTTTCCGAGTCACCTTCAAAGGCAGCCCCACCTAGAGCGCATTGTAGCAATCCAAGCGGGAGATAACCATAGCATGTACCACAGTCTGTGTGCAGGTAGGGACTTAGCCTGTGATGGAGCTGGTAGACAACAGCCCCAAAACTCTGACTATGCCCATGTCACCATTAAAAAACATTCATGTCCTTTCTTTCTACCTTTTATCTCTGCTAGCCCGGAGCTCTGGCCCTGCAGCCTTCCTCGTTTTCTTGCCAGGTGGGCTTCCTCATTTCCCCATGTCCCCATCTCCATTCCCTGGAACTCACCAGATCTCTCTGAGGGTCCTGGGAGAGAACAGTCAGAGGTGGTGGGAGACAGCCTGACCAGGTCAACTGTCCATCTTCCTCCTTCCATCCTTGCTAGGTCTGCAGGAGAATAATAATAATCATCATAATACTTTTTGTATCCTGCCTTCTCCGGCCGAGGCCAGGCCCAGAGTGGCTAGCATCATAAAAACAACACAATATGCATAAAAACAGACATCAATTATATAAAATACATCTTAAAATTAATTCAGACAAGTTAAAATCTAAGCAGTTGGCAATTATCAGGTTGGAATTGAGAGAGGTTAATACTTGCCAGGACCAACTGTTTCCACTGTTCATACAAGGTCATGTGAGCAGGTTGGGGGCTTCCTTCGGGCTTGTTTTATACAAAGGAAAGTAAGTCAAACTGCATCCTGCCCAAAGGCCTGGCGGAACAGCTCCGTCTTGCAGGCCCTGCGGAAAGATGTCAAATCCCGCAGGGCCCTGGTCTCTTGTGGGAGAGCGGTCCACCAGGCCGGGGCCATGGCTGAAAAGGCCCTGGCTCTAGTCAAGGCCAGTCTAATTTCCCTGGGGCCCAGGATCTTCAAGGTGGTGGTGTTAGCGGAAAGAGGGTGAAAGAGGATCAGCCTCTTTCATCCTTCCTGAGGAGCTCAGAAGCCTAAACAAGCTGCAGGTTCCTTGGGAGGGAGGGAGGAGTAAAAGGAGCCTCAGAGAAGCTGCAGGGATTCCTCTGCCCTAGATATTCTCCAGCCCCTGCAGAAGCCCAAATGGGGCATATATTACAAATTTATATCCCCCAATCTGGTGGGCTTCTCACAGCCACCCAGTGCAGCTAAGAGCATATATAAAAACAGAACAAAACATCAAACATAAAAAACAGAAATATCCTATACAGGCAACAAACAAATCAATAATAAGAATAGCAACAATAATAACAACATGTTTACAGCTATACCCAAATTAAAATAACCACCGACCCCAACTAAACAATTAACCAACACCAACCCGACAAAAACAAAACAGAGGAACCAAAATCAGAACTGTTTAAAGCATTTTAGCCAGTTGCCCCAACCCAAGAGGTGTTATAGCAATGTCCCAGTGGCCTCCCAGGAGCCTCTTTTGGCTGTTCAAGGTGAGCCTGGGCTCCACCCCCTTGGCCAGGTGGAATGGGCCTTGCACCCAGGCCTCATGGCGACTCAAACAGCAACATCAGCTGGTGCATAAAAATTCTGCACTCTTTTGAAAAAGACATTCCTCTAATAAGACTTATAAGAGCAATTACAGGGATTTTTGCAAGATCTGCAACTAGTGAAGATCCCAAAGTGCTGCATCATAATCTGCTGAAAGAGACAAGGTTTCATAAGGTTTCATCAGCTGACCTGCACTGACAGAAAGTCTCAGGTGCCAAGGAACAATCAGCGGTGCACTTTCGGGATCCTGATACATATCCTTTGCAGTCACATCCTGGCCCCTGCACGCCCCACCACTGATATGTAGGGCAGCAGAACACAGTTTGAGGAAAATGGCTTCGTGAGCTAGAGAGGGACTGCTGCCATGACCCACAGGTTTCTCACTGCTGACCTGGCAGCTTGGCTGCTGCAAACTGGGGGGAAATCTGTCTCCATACTGAGATGAAGCCCATTCAGTCCCTCATCTGGCAATTGCTGCAGCTATACCAGTGAGTGTCGGAAGATTCAGGACCCAACACAACATTATACTCTGAAAAAGAATTTTCTTCACACCACCATTCACGGGCATAGCCAAGAAGGGGTGGGGGGCAGCCCCCCAGATCAGGTAAAACATTAGAAATACTTAACTAACTGGCCAATCATGGCAGTGCTGCCCCCCTAACAAAAAGCCTGCCCCCCCACCAAAAATCTTGCGCCCATGCCACCACTGAAAAACATTTCTTTTTCTGTCTACATTTTATCTCTGCCAAGCCAGAGCTCTGGCCCTGCAGCCTTCCTCGTTTTCTTGCCAGGTGGGCTTCCTCAATCCCAACATTTCCCCAGGTCCCCATCTCCATTCCCTGGAACTCACCAGATCTCTCTGAGGGTCCTGGGAGAGAACAGTCAGAGCTGGTGGGAGACAGCCTGACCAGGTCAACTGTCCATCTTCCCCCTTCCATCCTTGCTAGGTCTGCAGGAGAATAATAATAATAATAATAATAATTTTTGTATCCTGCCTTCTCCGGCCGAGGCCAGGCCCAGAGTGGCTAGCATCATAAAAACAACACAATATGCATAAAAACAGACATCAATTAATTAAAATACATCTTAAAATTAATTCAGATAAGTTAAAATCTAAGCAGTTGGCAATTATCAGGTTGGAATTGAGAGTGGTTAATACTTGCCAGGACCAACTGTTTCCACTGTTCATACAAGGTCATGTGAGCAGGTTGGGGGCTTCCTTCGGGGTTGTTTTATACAAAGGAAAGTAAGGCAAACTGCATCCTGCCCAAATGCCTGGCGGAACAGCTCCGTCTTGCAGGCCCTGCGGAAAGATGTCAAATCCCGCAGGGCCCTGGTCTCTTGTGGGAGAGCGGTCCACCAGGCCGGGGCCACGGCTGAAAAGGCCCTGGCTCTAGTCAAGGCCAGTCTAATTTCCCTGGGGCCCGGGATCTTCAAGGGGTTGTTATTAGCAGAAAGAGGGTGAAAGAGGATCAGCCTCTTTCATCCTTCCTGAGGAGCTCAGAAGCCTAAACAAGCTGCAGGTTCCTTGGGAGGGAGGAGTAAAAGGAGCCTCAGAGAAGCTGCAGGGATTCCTCTGCCCTAGATATTCTCCAGCCCCTGCAGAGGCCCAAATGGGGCATATATTACAAATTTATATCCCCCAATCTAGTTGGCTTCTCACAGCCACCCTGTGCAGCTAACAGCATATAGGAAAACAGAACAAAACATCAAACATAAAAAACAGAATATCCTATACAGGCAACAAACAAACCAACAACAATAACAATAGCAGTAATAAACGGTTTACAGTTATACCCAAATTAAAATAACCACTAACCCCAAATAAACATTTAACCAACACCAACTCAACGAAAACAAAACAGAGGAACCAAAACGAGAACTGTTTTTAACATTATAAAACATTTTTGTCATTTGCCCCCAACCCAAGAGATGTTCCAGCAATGTCCCAGTGGCTTCCCAGGAGCCTCTTTTGGCTGTTCAAGGTGAGTCTGGGCTCCGCCCCCTAGGCCAGGTGGAAATGGGCCTTGCAGCAGGGAGCAGGTCTTCTTTCCAGCCTTCAGGGCATGGTAGGCATGGTAGTGACCTGAAAGTAGATCGTAAGGAGGCTGTGGAAGCCTCATTATGCGTGGAGCTCCCAGTCACAGTTTCCATGGTAAAAGTGGGGTGTCTTCCTCCTGACCCCCACCAGAGAAGAAAGGAGTCACGCGTGAAAATGAATCTTCTACACATCACCATTAAATCATTCCTTTCCTTTGGTTTTACCTTTTATCTCTGCCAGTCCAGAGCTCTGGCCCTGCAGCCTTCCTCGTTTTCTTGCCAGGGGAGCTTCTTCACCCCCACATCTCCCAAGGTCCCCATCTCCATTCCCTGCAACTCACCAGATCTCTTTGAGGGTCCTGGGAGGGAAAGCTTGGAGGCCGTTGGGAGGAATGCAGGAGACAACCTGACCAGGTCTACCGTCCACCTTCCTCCTTCCATCCTCACTGGGTTCGCAGGATCAGCTTCTTCCATCCTTCCTGAGGAGCTCAGAAGCTGCAGGTTCCTGGGAGGGAGACAGAAACATAGGCAGCCTCAGAGGCCCTGCAGGCATTTTTCCGCCCAAGATATTTTCCTGGTGAATGATAAGGCAGCCTAGGTGTGGAGCTCCCATGATAAAAGAGGAGTGTCCCCGCTCCTGAACCCCACCATGCGAGGAAAGTGGAGTCATGCCTGAAAGAGGATCTTCTTCCCACCAACATTCAAAACATTCCTTTCCTTTCCTGGCTTCCTTTCCTCTTTGCCAGCCTGGAGCTGTGACAGGGCTGCCCCCCCCCTCAGCCCCACTTTAAGGGAAGGGGCTGTAGCTCAAGGGCGGAGCATCTCCTCAGCAGGCAGAAAGCCCCCGATCCAAGACCCCCCCCCCTTGGTCTAATCCTGCCCTCTCTACCCAGCATTGACCCCTCTTTCTCCAAAACATCCATGCCTCCGTCCTCCTCTCCCCAGAGCCATCCTGCCCCCTTTCCTTTGGGGGGGGGTTTCCTACCCCACCCTACAACTCCCTCCCCCGCCTCGCCTTCTTGCCTTGCTCTCCTCCTGGGGCGCCCCTGCAGCCCTCGAGGTCCTTTGCTCTCCCCACAGCTCTTTCGGGGCTCAAATGTGGGGTGCAACCCCATGCATGCTCCTCCCCCTCAGGGCTTCTCTCCTGCTCTGACACGGGAGCCCCCTCCCCGCGCAAAAATAAATCCCCCTCTTTTCCTACCTTGCAAAAGGCAGTCATCCGCTCTGCCGAATCTCCTCCCTCGCAGCTGTTCAAATGTAACAAACGTAGGAGGAAGTGACGGTTCCCCTCTTCCCCAGGAAGTCCTCTCTAGCAATACAATCGCTGCCTTTAACCCTTGAACAGCCAGTGTTCCGCCCCCGCCCCCCGCAAAAAAAACCTGTAATGCGCTGGGGTCATTGCAGATTCTGCTTCATGGGACCCCATAAAGTAGGGTTACTACCTTTGTTCTGGCAAAATACAGGGCAGTTGGGGGTGATTCCTCCCACCCCCCAAACTGTTGCTGAAATTATTTCAAAGCAATCCATTACAATCTTTTGCAGCCTAATAGGATGCCCCCTCTGAAATTTCTCTATTTTTGTCTCATCGTTCCAACAATTTCCTCCATCACTTCTCCAACAATTTCATTTTCCAGAAGGTGGAAGGAGCAACAAGGGGATCATCTATCTTGGGCCTGATCCTGACCTACTTTTCTTAAAAAAAAATTATAGTATAATGTACCGGTTAGCACTGAAATCTGGAGAAATTATTCAGAATGCATACAAAATATTCCTATATTTTCTATATCACTAATAATAATAATAATAATAATAATAATAATTTATTTACATGCCGCCTATCTTGACTGTGTTCCTCCAGCCACTCTAGGTGGCTTCCAATCCACTCTTTTTGTGGGGGGATGACAAATTGAGCACTTGTTCAGCCCAGGGCTATTTTTCCAGAAAAAGAGGCACCAGAACTCTCCATGAACCCTCCCTCGTTCTCTTATAATGGCAATGGCACGTACCTGAGAGGAGCCGTGACTGAGTTCCCGCATGTTCTAGCTGGGAAAAAAAGCCCTGGTTCAGGCATATGTGTTGGGCCACTGGGATCCTGAGACAGCCCCATAGTTGTCAAGAAGGCCATGAAGTCCCAACACAAGCATCTGAAGAAGTGTGCATCCACACGAAAGCTCATACCAGTAACAAACTTAGTCGGCCTCTAAGGTGCTACTGGAAGGAATTTGTTTGTTGGTTTCGACTATGGCAGACCAACACGGCTACCTACCTGTAACTAGGCCTATTTGAGGCAGCCTCAGCATGGATGCCACACCAAACACCATCGTGAGAGGGTTCTCCAAAATGACCACATCCCTCAGCTCAGTGAGGGAAGATGAAGTGCAGCATGGTGCTGTAATAAACGAAAATCTGCCCTTATTCCCTTATGAGGGACACAAGAGCCCTTATAGAGTCCTTTTGTAGGTTCTCCATCGGTCGGAGAAAAGAACAGAGGCCAACCAGAGAATATTGAGAAGCAAAGCAGCTAGTAAGCCTGATCTTTCTTGAACTGTTGCAACAGGGTGCCCCCTTCACACGCAGGAGGACCCAGAACCAAGGTGTGTCCGCCCTTATATAGACATTTTAAATTGCCCGCCTTGGAGTCCAAGACCACCCCCAGAAACATCATACCTACATCACAGAAGGGGTGTAGCTCAAGACCACCACCCCAGATACATCATACCTACATCACAGAAAGGGCGGTCAACAGCAGAAATCTGAGTGTTTTGTTTACCTCCTGTCTGGCAAGTTACCTGTTAATGCTTACTTGACTGGATACCCTGGAGAGCCTGGCCAGTCTTTTGTAATGATAAATACTTAGTTCCTGAGCCAGTTCACAGGCTCACACTATTCATACACAGACATACCCTTAAGAGAGGATTTGTGAAGGAAAAGACAATGGGGAGGCTTTTCCATTTTCCTTTGACTTTGCAGAGAAAACATTTGGTCAGTTTGGGAGTAAAAAATTGCTCCAGGGCTGTTTTCCTGTGCTGCTTCAGACATGTGGTTTATATATTTATGTACGTGTTTGCTTGGTACATTTATGAACATTTATTATATATATAAGACCTTAATTTTTTTTTATTTCAGTGCCCTCAACCCAATCTCTGCTCTCTCTGGTCAAAACACCACAAACAATCCCTCAGACCAAGAGGCAGTGCGGATTGTCCTGGTAAGGCAGATGGAATAGTTAGATGGAATATTGTGGCAGACAGCAAGAGAGAATCCAAATTGCTTCCTCGGCGGAGATACTCAATTTCCCCCTTTGCGCAGCCATCAAGGGGCTTCCTTAAAGCACCAGCCATCTGACCGGTGTTGAAATCATTTGACTGAACGGAGAAGTATTAAATGTTCAAAATAAACAGCAGCGGTCCCAATCCACCCCTGCAAAGCTTTTCTTTCCAAGTGCTCTTTCTGTGTAGGCTGAGCTGCTTATCCTTCTGTCCGAGCTCTAGAGGGAGCAGCTATTTTCCTTGAGACCCCCCCAGTCCTTCCTTCAAGTAACCTCCTCCCCCCTGTCCCCAAATACGCACAGGCACACAATGATTGCTTATTGTAGAAATTCCTTTATTTCTTTAGCTATTAGTGTCTACTGTATTTCAAAATCAAAATTTTAACACACACACACACACACACACACTTTTAAGTAACTTTTCTTCACTTTGGGATGAACACCAAATCCAGTTCTCAAAATGGAGCCATGCATTGCTTCAATTCTTCCCTGGCCTAAAAACCAGAGGCACCCGATGGTATGACCAGAAGTGGGTTAAAATTTCCAAAATGAAAACACTTATTGAACTGGATTCCCCCCCCCCTTCCTTCCTGTGATAATCCATTATATATATTTTAACACATTGCCTAGACAGCTGCCAATTGAGTTAATCTAAATTAGCTGGCACTAATTGTGCCTGTAATGAACTCCAGGCATGCAGGCCTCTGACTCCTACCAAAGTTTATCCTGAAGATTTGTGTGCTTCAAAGAACCCTGGCTAAAATGGAAGGGGCGGTTCTAAGAGTTTATTTACAGATCCCTCCGTTGAGCAAAGAAACAACCAAAATTTCGAGAAGCCCTTAAACATCTTAAGGTTTTAAAAGATCAGACCGGTTAAATCTGCAAAACGGGGAACTCTATGGATTCTGTGATCCCCTTAATAATACAGGAATAAGTCCTACTCCTTTGTCATCCATGTGCAAGGTGCAAGGAGAATGTGGGACACCGCTGGAACAAAGAAAGGGAATGCACAATCACTAAAAACATTTCTAAACTACCCGGCTATTACAAAACAAATCAATTAATCCTGGCCCTCTTTACTTAATGAGCTAGTTCACTGGAAACGACCAAGGGTCTTTGTGAAGGAGCCATCATGTCTCCAGGAGCACCAGCCAAAAGCCTGCTGGAGTTGACAAGCAGCTCGTGAACATGGCCTGTCCATGTTCTTTTTCCAGATTAGATACTTTCATACAGAGTATGAAAATATTAGTCCTTCCTTTCGTCTGTATTCAAAGCTGTTCCTTACAGTCAACATCCTCCAGTTCTTTTGTGACTTGCTCAGCTTCTTGAATTCCTCTTTTGAGAAAAGAACAGAAGGACGACTCACAGGATTTGAAATGTTGTCACAATGGCCTGCAGGAGCTTTTGAGATGCACTACAGACACCCAAGAAAGAAACAGGTCTTGAGCTTTGCTGCTGGCTAGAACAGACACACCCTCTTATATTTTCAGAGAAAAATATGAATACTTTTAACTTGGTGTGAGTTTGTTGTGGCTTCTTGCTTCTATGAATTCTTTGAATGATTATAAACCAAATTTTCCACTATATTGCAAGCATCTTTATGGTTTCTTTCCCACGTGGGTTTTGTGATGAGAACGAAGGGCTGAGCTGCAAGTAAAGGTCTTTCCACATTCAAAACAAGAATACGGCTTTTCCCCTCTGTGAATTCGCAGATGTGTGCTAAGGCTTGAACTCTGGCCAAAGCTCTTTCCACATTCAAAACATGCATATGGTCTTTCTCCTCTGTGAATTTTTTTATGTATATGAAGGCTTATACCCTGGCTGAAGCTCTTTCCACACTCAAAGCACTCGTATGGCTTCTCCCCTGTATGGATCCTCCGATGGCAAATAAGTTCTGTGCTAGTACAGAAACCCTTTCCACACGTCACACACTTATATGGTTTTTCACCTGTATGGTATCGCACATGCACTTTAAGGTGTGAACTCTGACTGAAGCTCTTTCCACACTCCGAGCATTTATATGGCTTCTCACCGGTATGAGTTCTCCGATGTGAACTGAGATGTGCACTCTGACGGAAACTCTTTCCACATTCCAAGCATTTATATGGTTTCTCTCCTGTGTGGGTTCTCTTGTGTAAAGTAAGGCTAATTAGATGGGCAAAGTTTCTTCCGCACTCCAAACAGCTATATGATTTTTCTCCGGTGTGGATTTTTTGATGTGATGTCAGGCTTGAAGCATAAGCGAAGCTCATTCCGCACTCCAGACATTTATACGGCTTCTCCCCTGTGTGGATTTTTTGATGAGTTAGAAGACCTTGGCTATTACGGAAGCTCTTTCCACAGTCAAAACAGATATACGGTTTCTCCCCTGTGTGAATTTTTTTATGATATACAAGGCCTGAGTTGTTACTGAAGGCCTTTCCACACTCTAGACAGGCATATGATTTCTTCCCAGTGTGAATGTTTTGATGTTTTTTAAGGTGTGAGCGGCAACGGAAGCCTTTTCCACACTCCAAGTAGTTATAGGGTTTCCCCAGCTTGTGACTTTCATAATGTCTACTGCAGCAGCTGCTACGATGAAAGCCCTTTCCACACTCCGAGCATATAAATGGTTTTTCTCCTGTGTGGATTCGCTCGTGTTCAGTAAGTCGTGAACGCTCAAGGAAGCTCTTTCCACACTCCAAGCATTTGTGTGCTTTCTCCTCCGTGTGGATTCTGCAATGTGAGTTGAGGGCAGATTTGCTTCTGAACGCTTTGCCACACGATGGGCACTGATTTGTTTTCTCTCCCTGGCGGTGTTTCTCCTGGACTGGGATTTGACTGTCATCAGGCTGCGCAAGAATGCCTTTATCACGCTTGGTTACTTCTGATGGGACCTGGGAACAACGACTGTCCTGTCCACCACCTGCTGAAACTAAGGGAAGATCCAAATTAAGAGAATAATCCCCATTACAATCCCAGCAAGACTTGCAAGCCCCTCGTGGCTGGTTGCTGCAAAATGCAAACTGAGAAGGAGTCTTTTCAGTCCATCATCTGCCAAAGGAGGACAAAGCAAAGCAAAGCTTTTTAATAATGGCAAACTCTCCGCAGTGGCATTTTTCTCTCTCTTCCTAATAAATGCATTATAATATCAACCCCAGAGTCGGTCACGACTAGACCTAATGGTTCCCTTCACTTTACTTTTTAATATTAATTCCAGAATGGCCATTAATTCTGAGATGATCGTGGGCATTTGATGTGCTTCGTCTAGTGTGGGGTGGGACTGATTCAACATCCCAGCTAAGCTCCTACAAAGAAAGCTTGCAGGAGAGATGCTGTGGGCTGTGGAAACGGACACAGATTCTCACCCCAATGGGTCAAACCAATCCTGGATGAATCATAAAATTGTAGAGTTGGAAGGGACCACAATAATCATCTAGTCGAACCCCCTGCAATGCTGCAATCTATTGTCCAAGGTGGGGCTACCAACTAGGCTGTGCGAGCCTCCCCATGTGTGGAGCTCCCACTCGCAGTTTCCATGGTAAAAGTGGGTGTCTTCCTCCTGATCCCCACCAGAGAAAAAAGAAGGACTCATGCCTGAAAATGAATCTTCTACACATCACCATTAAATCATTCCTTTCCTTTCTTCTTACCTTTTATCTCTGCTAGCCTGGAGCTTTGGCCCTGCAGCCTTCCTCGTTTTATTGCCAAAGGAGCTTCCTCACTCCCAACATCTCCCCAGGTCCCCATCTCCATTCCCTGCCACTCACCAGATCTCTCTGAGTGTCCTGGAGGGGAACGGTCAGAGGTTGTGGGAGACAGCCTGACCAGGTCAACCGTCCATCTTCCCCCTTCCATCCTCGCTAGGATTGCGGGATCAGCCTCTTTTATCCTTGCTGAGGAGCTCAGAAGGCATTTTCCTAGGACGGAAAAATAAGCAAAAGGAGCCTCAGAGGACCTGCAGGGATTCTCCTGCCCCTGAAGAAGCCCAAATGGGGCATGCCCTCTGCAACAGTCCCCAACAGAATCTTCTTTGCACCCCCATTAAAAAACATTCCTCTCCTTTCTTTCCACTGTTTGTCTCTGTTCTTAACCTGCAGCCTCCCTTGTTTTCTTGCCAGAGGAGCTTCCTCACTCCCAACATCTCCCCATGTCCCCCTCTCCATTCCCTGCAACTCACCAGATCTCTCAGAGGGTCCTGGGAGGGAAAACTTGGAGGTCGTTGGGAGGAATGCAGGAGGCAGCCTGACCAGGTCAACTGTCCATCTTCCCCCTTCCATCCTCGCTAGGTTTGTAGGATCAGCCTCTTTCACCCTTCCTGAGGCGCTCAGAAGCTGCAGGTTCCTGGGACGGAGGGAGGAAGAAGCAAAGGCAGCCTCAGAGGCCCTGCAGGCATTTTCCCGCCCAAGATATTTTCTTGGTGAATGATAAGCCTGCCTAGGTGTGGAGCTCCCATTTGCCGTTTCCATAATACAAGAGGAGCGCCTCCCTCCTGAACCCCACCATGCGAGGACAGTGGAGTCAAGCCTGAAAGAAGATCTTCCCACCACCTTTAAAAACATCCCTTTCCTTTTCCCTCTGCCATCCTGGAGCTGTAACACGGCTGCCTCCCTTCCATTCCTCCTCCTCTCTTTCCGCTCACTGGCAGCGGGGGTTCAGGGTTTCAGCCAGAGGACATTCCCCCAGCCCTCAGTCCGTAGAACATCCAACTCTTAATCTCAGGATCATGGGGTTTGAGCCCCATTTGGGCCAAACTTTCCTGCATTGCAGGGGGTTGAGCTAGATGACCCTCAAGGTCCCTTCCAACTAGGCAATTCTATCATGCTTCTTGCAGACCCCAGGAGGTGAGCCAGAGACTTTCTGCACGCAGAGCAGAGGCTCTACCACCAGTCCTTTTCTTACGCGTGCAAGCAGGGACCAAATCCTGGGTGGTCTCCTGCCCTCCCCACCCAGCAAAGACCTCCCCGTTCCTTTCCCAACCAGCACCTCCCCCCTCCTCCAAGATCCCCTTTCTGGAACTGCCCCTTTCCTAACCTTGGGGCGGGGGAGAGCAGTATTTCCTGCGCGCAGCACAACCGCCTCCCTCGCAGCTTTTCAAACGTGGGTGGAGGGGACACGCGCTGTCTCTCTCGCGCGCGCGGGCGCTTCTGCCCCTCCCCGGAAGTCCCCTCTAACTGCGCCTGGGTGGGGACCTGGGGGATTTCCAAAATGCAAACGTGTCTTACTTGCTTGCTCTCTGGCTTTTGAAGAAAAGAAAACGTCATAGAGATATTTATGGGAAGTGAAGAGAAGGAGCCTGGGGCGCGTAGGGGACGGAAAGGTGCAATAAAATGGGAGTGGGAGATGCGCGGCGGGAGAAGGAGGATTTGCATTTGGGGGAGGGGCGGTTGACGTCAAGGAGGGAAGAGCCCGCCCCCCCCATCCACAGTCCGAGCGTTGCTGAAGCTCTTTCCACAGTCCCAACTTTTATATGGCTTTTCACCAATACGAGTTTTCGGATGTGAGCGGAGATGTGCACTCTGACGGAAACTCTTTCCACATTCCAAGCATCTTGCTAATTCCATGGGCAAAGTTCCTTCCACACTCCAAACATCTATATGATTTCTCTCCTGTGTGGATTATTTGATGCGATGTAAGTTTTGAGCCATAGATGGCTCCTTTGCACAGACCCTTGGCCGTTTCTAGTGCGCTAGGATTCATGGCATTTGTTTAGAAATGTTTTTAGTCATTGTGCATTGCCTTCCTTTGTCCCAACGGCGTCCCACATTCTCCTTGCAACTTGTAGATGGATGACAAAAGAGTAGGACTTATTCCTGCGTCATAAAGGAGATCACGGAATCCATGCAATTCCCTGCTTTTAGTTGCTTCTTTGCACAACAGAGGGATCCCTAAATAAACTCTTAGATTAGAATCTCCCCTTCTATTTCAGCCGGGTCCCCTCCCCTTCCTCTTTGCAGTCTTAGAGGGGACTTCCGAGGGAGGGGCAGAAACGAGAAAGAGCGCGCGTCCCCTTCTCCATTTGAAGAACTGGGAAGAATGCGATTGTGCTGCGCGCAGGAGATGCTGTTTCCGCCCGCCCAAGGTTAGGAAAAGAGGGGAAGGAAAGGGACGGTTCCAGAAAGGGGGTCTTGGAGGGGGTGGGGGGAGATGCATGGGACCATCCCCAAAAAATTCTGCTCAAAGAAAGTTGCAGTGGGCGCAAAGGATGGTCGTGCAGCGGCTCCCCAGGAAACGAGGCTAGGCTGGAGAAACGGATTGGGGAGGGAAGGCGCGGGAGGATGCGCAGCCGACGGAAGACGAAGCAAGATGGCTCTGGGAGGAAGGAGGAAGGCAGGTGCTGGTTGGGAAAGGGGGGGGTCTGTGCTGGGTGGGGAGGGCAGGAGACCACCCAGGATTTGGTCCCTGCTAGCACGCATAAGAAAAGGACTGGTGGTGGAGCCTCTGCTCTGCGTGCAGAAAGTCTCTGGCTCACCTCCTGGGGTCTCCAGGTAGCATCATAGAATTGCCTGGTTGGAAGGGACCTTGAGGGTCATCTAGTTCAACCCCCTGCAATGCAGGAAAGTTTGCCCCAACGTGGGGCTCAAACCCCATGACCCTGAGATTAAGAGTAGGATGCTCTACGGACTGAGAGCTGGGGGAATGTCCTCTGGCTGAAACCCTGAACCCCCGCTGCCAGTGAGCAGAAAGAGAGGAGGAGGAATGGAAGGGAGGCAGCCCTGTTACAGCTCCAGGATGGCAGAGGGAAAAGGAAAGGGATATTTTTAAAGGTGGTGGGAAGAAGATCCTCTTTCAGGCATGACTCCACTTTCTTTACATGGTGGGGTTCAGGAGGGGGGGCGCTCTTGTATTATGGAAGCTGCAAGTGGGAGCTCCACACCTAGGCAGGCTTATCATTCGCCAAGAAAATATCTTGGGCGGGAAAATGGCTGCAGGGCCTCTGAGGCTGCCTTTGCTTCTTCCTCCCTCCCAGGAACCTGCATCTCTCCCCGCCACCTCCCAGTGTTCCCTCCCAGGACCCTCAGAAGGATGCTGGGAGTGAGGAAGCCCCCCTGGCAAGAAAATGAGGAAGGCTGCAGAGCCAGATTAAAGATAGACAGGAAAGGAAATGTTTTTAATGGTGATGTGAAGAAGATCCTCTTTCAGGCATGACTCCAGGTTTCTTCTCTGGTGGGTCTCAGGAGAAAGACACCCCACTTTTACCACGGAAACTGTGAGTGGGAGCTCCACACATGGGGAGGCTCCCACAGCCTCGTTGGTAGCCCCACTTTGGGCAAAAGATTCCTGCATTGCAGGGGGTTGGACTAGATGGCCCTCATGGTCCCTTCCAGCTCTATGATTTTATAATTCAACCAGGATTGGCTTGACCCATTGCTAGATTTCTTTCTTTGTAGGAGCTTAGATGGGATGTTAAATCAGTCCCACCCCCCACTAGACGGAGCACGTCAAAGGCCCACAATCACATCGGAATTAATGGGCATTCTAGAATTAGTATTATAATCTGTTTATTAGCAACAGGGAGAGAGAAAGATGCCACCGGGGAGAGTTTGACGTAATTAGAAACCCTTCCTTTGCTTTGTCCCCCTAAAGATGTTGGAGATTAGAACTAAAGAGCAATGCCTATGTTAGGAACTTGGCCCGGGGTGGCCTTCAGCTCTGATCCATTTCTGACCTGCAGATGTATAAAGGCAGCTCGCTGTGACTTGCCCTGCTCTCAGGCTTGGTTTGCAAAAGAGCCACGAACCCATGACTGTTCCAGCTGCCACCAAAAGGCTTTGTTGGGTGAGGGAAACTTCACTGGTCAGTATGGGCCAGTGCTGTCTGTCTGATAACGGTAAAGAGCTCTTGCTCCTCAAGCATACTAATAAGAGTGTAATAAACGTTAAACAGCAGCTCAAAGGGGAACACCTTGATGGGGGCCTGGAGGCTGCCTGGCAGTTGCCGCCATTGGGGGATGAGGGACTGAAAAGACTCCTTCTCAGCAAGGCACACAGTTGCATTTTGCAGCAACCAGCCGTGAGGGGCTTCCAAGTATTGCTGGGATTGTAATGGGGATTGCGCTCTTAATTGGGCTCTTAGTTTTAGCAATGGTTTTAGAGTGAACTGAGATATGCACTCTGACAGAAACTCTTTCCACAGTCAAAACAGGTACAGAATTAAGAACTTAATTCGTTCTGGAGGTCCGTTCTTAACCTGAAACTGTTCTTAACCTGAAGCACCACTTTAGCTAATGGGGCCTCCTGCTGCTGCTTCGCCGCCGGAGCACAATTACTGTTCTCATCCTGAAGCAAAGTTCTTAACCTGAAGTACTATTTCTGGGTTAGCGGAGTCTGTAACCTGAAGCGTCTGTAACCCAAGGTACCACTGTATATGGTTTCTCCCCTGTGTGAATTTTTTGATGATATATAAGGCCTGAGCTGTTAGTGAAGGCCTTTCTACACTCTAGACAGGCATATGGATTCTTCCCTGTGTGAATGTTTTGATGTACAGTGATACCTCGGGTTGCATATGCTTCAGGTTACATACGCTTCAGGTTACAGACTCCGCTAACCCAGAAATAGTACCTCGGGTTAAGAACTTTGCTTCAGGATGAGAACAGAAATCGTGCTCTGGTGGCGCAGTGGCAGCGGGAGGCCCCATTAGCTAAAGTGGTACCTCAGGTTAAGAACAGTTTCAGGTTAAGAACGGACCTCCAGAACGAATTAAGTTCTTAACCTGAGGTACCACTGTACTTTAAGATTTGAGCAGTGACAGAAGCCTTTTCCACGCTCCGAGCATTTGTATGGTTACCCTGGCTTGTGAGTTCCACAATGTTTACTGCGGGAGCTGCTACTATTTAAGCTCTTTCCACACTCCGAGCATCTAAACGTTTTTTCTCCCGTGGGGATTCCCTCGTGTACAGTAAGTTCTGAACGCTCAAGGAAGCTCATTCCACACTCCAAGCACTTGTGTGCTTTCTCCTCTGTGTGGATTCTGCGATGTGGGTTGAGGGTAGATTTGCTTCTGAACACTGGTTTTTTCCCCTGATAGTGTTTCTCCTGGCTGGGATTTGATGGCCGTCATCAGACTGCGTAAGAATGCCTTCATCACACCTGGTTACTTCTGATGAGACCCGGGAACAATGACTGTCCTGTCCACCACCTGCTGAAACTAAGAGAAGGTTCTAATTAAGAGTGTAATCCCTATTACGGTGGTACCTTGGTTCTCAAACGACTTAGTTGTCGAACAACTTGGAACCCCAACTCTGCAAACCTGGAAGTAAGGGTTCTGGTTTGTGAACTTTTTTTCCGGAAGCCAAGCGTGCTCCATTTTGAGTGTTACACTTCCGATTTGAGTGCCACGCTTCCATTCTGAGTGCTAAGCACCCACACAACACAGACATGATATTTGGCGCTTTTGTTTTTGCTGTTTATTTTGCATTTTTGTTTTTGCGGCTTTTTCGGCTGATTTGTTTTTGTGACGGTGTGGAACCCAATTCAGCTCTTGATTGATTGGCTGTGGGACTGCTGACATGGATAAAAGCATCAAAGGCAAGAGAACCATGATAACTCTAGAGGTAAAGAAGAAAATTATTTCCAAGCATGAAAGCGGGGTCCGTGTAAGTGATCTGGCAACGCAGTTTGCTATGCCCAGAACTACAATTAGTACCATCTTTAAAAATAAGGATGCCATTAAGGGAGCCAGTGTTGCAAAGGGTGTTAAAACACTCACCAGGAAACGGACACAGATGATTGAAGAAATGGAAAAATTGCTTTTAATATGGATAACTGAAAAACAGCTGTCCGGTGACAGCATTTCTCCAAGCATAATTTGTGAAAAAGCTTTAAGCTTGCATGCCGACCTCATCAAAAACACCCCTGGAGGAAGTGCTGAGGGTGAGATTTTCAAGGCAAGCAGAGGGTGGTTTGAAAAGTTTAAGACAAGAAGCAGCATCCACAGTGCGGTGAGACATTGTGAAGCCGCCAGTGCCAACAAATTAGACGCCGACCGGTTTGTTTTGAAATTTAAAGATTATGTCGAGTCGCAGGGCTTCGTTCCCCAGCAAGTTTTCAGCTGTGACGAGACAGGTCTCTTTTGGAAGAGAATGCCAAAGAGGACCTACATAACAAAGGAGGAGAAAGCATTGCCAGGGCACAAGCCCATGAAAGACAGGTTGACCCTTTTATTTTGTGCATAGCGGAGATTTTAAGCTGAAGCCTTTGCTAGTCTACCATTCTGAGAACCCCAGGGCGTTAAAGAAAAACAACGTCATAAAAAGCAAATTGCATGTAATGTGGAGGGCGAACAGCAGAGCTTGGCTAACCAGGCGATTTTTTATTGAGTGGGTTCAGGAAGTGTTTGGTCCAAGCGTGAAAAAATACCTCCAGGACAAAAATCTTCCACTGAGGTGCCTGGTTGTTATGGATAATGCTCCAGGTCACCCTCCAGGATTGGAGGACGAGTTGATGGAAGAGTTCAGTTTTGTCAATGTAAAGTTTTTGCCCCCCAACACAACGCCTTTCATCCAGCCCATGGACCAGCAGGTGATATCTAATTTTAAGAAGCTTTACACCAAAGCACTGTTCCAAAGGTGCTTTGAGGTGACCTCAGACACAGAGCTAACCCTCAGAGAGTTCTGGAAGAACCGTTTCAATATCTTCCATTGCTTACATCTCATAGACAAAGCATGGGGCGATGTGACTCAGAGAACACTGAAGTCAGCATGGAAGGAATTGTGGCCAGCAGCTGTTCCTGAAGATGTACCGTATTTTTTGCACCATAACACTCACTTTTTTCCTCCTAGAAAGTAAGGGGAAATGTCTGTGCGTGTTATGGAGGGAATGCCTACGGATGGCGGAGGGATCTGCTGCAGTCGTGAGCAGAGGATCCATGGTTCCCCTTCCTTCCCTACTCCGTGGCTCACTTTGAAACAGCAAAGCGGGAGAAGAGCCGCTGAGTGGGGAGGAGAGAGGGACAGAGAGCCTGCTTCTTTAAAGGAGCAAAGCGGGAGAGGAGAGGAGCTGCTTACACGAGTGTAAGCGGCTCCTGTCCGGTTGGCTCCTTTAAAGCAAGCAGGCTCTCTGTCCCTCTCTCCTCCCCACTCAGCTCGCTACATAGCAGCAAAGTTTTTCAGCTCGCTAAGCTGGGGATGAGTGGGGAGGAGGAAGAAAAGCAGAGCCTGCTTGCTTTAAAGGAGCAAAGCGGGAGAGGAGAGGAGCCTTCTCCCTTTATATTAGCAGCATCCTTCTCCACACACCCCACGCCTGCTCCTTTTCCCTTGAGTGCTTTTCCTCCCCTCCCCACTTAAAATGTGGTTACAAAGCACGGATCCACATGGATCCTCAGGATTTTTGCATTGGGCTACTCCAAACTCACTGTCAGATCACATGTCTGTGGCCACAGCATGAACCACAAAAATCATACATCCACTGTTTCGTTTAGAATATTTTTTTATTTGTTTTCCTCCTCTAAAAATTACATGCGTGTTATGGTCAGGTGCGTGTTATAGAGTGAAAAATACGGCATTTCAGGATGTTGAAGGAGATGCGCCTGTTGTTGAGGATATTGTGTCTCTGGGAAAGTCCATGGGCTTGCAGGTGAGTAGTGATGATGTGGAGGAGTTAGTGGAGGAGCACAAGACTGAGCTCACCACAGAAGAACTTCAAGACATTCTGACGGAGCAGCAACAGGCGGCAACTGAAGAATTGTCTTCAGAGGAGGAGGAGAGGAGAGAAAGTGTTTTTACTGCACCGATCCAAGAAATGTGTGCAAAATGGGCTGAAGTGCAAACTTTTGTTGAGAAATACTACCCTGATAAAGCTGCTGTAAGTCATGCCACTAAGACTTTCAACGATAATGTCATCTCTCATTTTGGACAAATATTAAAACATCGGAAAAAGCAAATGCCAGCTGAAAAATTTTTAGTGAAGAAAAGATTCAGTGAGTCTGAACCAGGTGTCAGTGATGTAAAAAAATCAAGGGAAAGAATGGCAAGGGATCAGCCACCTACAGTGATTCTGGAAGAGGACCACAGAACACCTGAACGACAGTCACCTACTGTGATTATTGAATGGGATTCCCCCATCCAAGCCATGACTGTCATCATTGCAGGTAAGAAAAAAATTACATTTTTGTTTTTATCATCCCCAGTGCTGCTTTTACATTGTGTTTATTTATTGCTTTCATTGTGTGCCATTTTATGGATCTGTGATTTCATTAGATAGTAAAATTTACATTAAATTGCTGTTTTAGGGGTTTATTTTAAAGGTCTGGAACGGATTAATCCATTTTGCATTACTTTCTATGGGAAACCGCGCCTCGATTTTTGAACGTTTCAGAACTCAAACAGTCTTCCGGAAACAGATTACTTTCAGAAACCGAGAAACCACTGTACTTTAGTTCCTGAATTTCTTAGGCATATTGATAGTGTGCTCAGCTTAACAGATACTTGCCAGACTGTATTTGCCGGAAGGTGTAAGCCCCTACAGTCCAAAGACAACTGGAAAGTTTTCCCCATTGCCTTCCTCCTTGCAGAGAAATATTTGAGGTCAATTTGGGAGAGTCAAAATGGCTTCAGGATTGCTCTCCTGTGCTCTTACAGTCTTGTGATTTATATACTTACGCATGCATTTGCCGTGTACATTTATGAACATTTATTCTATATTTGAGATCTCAGAATTCTTATAAACACCTTGTAATATACCCAAGAATGACCACACCCTTGTCCAGTTGTCAGACCACAGTGACCTACTTGGCAGATTGGCAGGTCAGTGCCCATCAAACACTAATCACAAGACTTGCAGGTACAAAACAAGGGAAGAACGTGCACCAGATTTTCCTTAACAGCCATTAAAGGAACCTCAACAGTTCCATGGTCCCAGCGGCCGCTCCCAGTCACCAGTCTAGCTGCCACATTCTGGATTAGTTGTAGTTTCCGAGTCACCTCCAAAGGCAGCCCCACGTAGAGCGCATTGCAGTAGTCCACAATTCACTGTATATGTAAGTTTGGTATCGTTTCAAAAGAAGATAAAATTTTATTTTATGGTTTAGTATTGTTCATATTGTGAATTATGTATTGTGCTGAAGGTCTTGATCCAGCCCTTGCTTTCTGAAGGAGCCACATAATGGCACAGGATGATGGTTAAAATAAGGAGGGAGGAGAAGACTTGCAGGGAGGGAAGAGGCTGGTATATTTACCAGGTTTTCATTTATTTAAATACTGTATTGGCCTGAATATTAGCCACCCCCGCAAATAAGCTGCACCTTTAAAATTCAAGGGTGGTGGTGGAAATAAGCTGTCCCTTAAAAGTGGGTTACAGGCTGAAAATCGCTGCGGTGTAACTCCAATCCAATTTAAGCCTTTGATCTTGCAAGCCCACAAGAGTTACCGTACAATCGCTAAAATCGCAAGTCGCTATTCACTTGCTACAATTCCGCAGGCACTCAAGCTTGTAAATCGGCAAGGAAACATTTCTTTGTTCCGTTTTTACCGTAGGTCTATTCCAGCAGCGATATTGTAAAAGCCCGTTTTTGTAAGGTCGCGAATTTAGGCCGCACTTTCAACTTCTCGTACTCCGAAAGCTTCAGGTGCCTCGTAATATTTAACCCATGAAACTACCCGCAATGCCTATTGTTATGTACTGAAGTTCTCACCCTGGGCCAGCAGGGGGATACTGTAGATAGTTATGCAAATGAAGGATCGAAAGTGACGTTCAGTGATTGAATAGTTTTAGAAAGTTGCTACAGTAACATTGTACTGGAGCTCTATATAAGCAGGCTGACTGAGCCCTTCAGTTCAGTTCTGTTCTGGGCTGTGAATAAACAAGAGCTGTTTGAAGAATCGCTGTGTCATCTGATATGTTCATCCACAACTTAACACCTATGTACCGCTGTCGGCGGTTGTATGCTTCTGGAAACTAGTTACCTGAAACCATAGGATGGGAAAATGGCCTTGCACTCAGTTGCTGCTTGTCGGCGTCCAATTGGGGAATCTGGCCAGTTGCTGTGAGAATGGTACGCTGGACATGATAAGCCATTGGCCTTGTCTTATTTTTTTCCCTACTGAAATTTGGGAGAAGGGTGAAATTCTTTCCATCTCTGCCTCTCCCACAGATTCTGGATCTGCCCCACCATTGCAGCAGCTGCAGGAGTTTCAGAAGGGTCCTAGTTTGTGCTGCTTTGTCTCCCCCTCCAGCAGTGCAGTGGCCTCGGAGGCACCATCTGGACTGTGTTTTCTTTTGAGTGCCGTGGAAATAGCGGCTGGGCAGCCACTTCAGGTAAGAAAGGACTAAGAGAATTAGGGAGATACATGAGAGAACGGGGGGTGCACCCTGGATGCTTCCCTCTGTCTTTGAGTTCTGAATATCCTTTTTCTCTCTCCTGACCTAGTTACAGGGCTGATAATTTGCTGAAAGCCCATAGGCCATTATCACTTCCCCTTTATGGTAAACTCTCTTCAGCTGGCTTGTAGCTTGCTTGCTCTCTTTGTTGAACCAGCTGGGAGATCCCGTTGATCTTCTTGAGCCACTGTTCTTGATCTCAGTTGTCAGGCAGTCTTGCAGCCTGTCAGTCAAGATCTTCAAGAAATACATCATCATCATCGATTTTTTATTTGTATACCGTCTTTCTATCTTAGAATACTCAAGGTGGTTTACAAGCGGAAGAAACAAAAAATATACATCTTCTAACAATCTAATGCAATCCAAAAATGTGATGATAAAACAAAACTTTAAAATAAGCAACCTACATCAAATAAAGTAACATTCAACAATTATTAAAGGTAAAGGAACCCCTGACCATTAGGTCCAGTTGTGGCCGACTCTGGGGTTGCGGCACTCATCTCACTTTATTGGCTGAGGGAGCCGGCGTACAGCTTCCGGGTCATGTGGCCAGCATGACTAAGCTGCTTCTGGCGAACCAGAGCAGCGCATGGAAACAGCGTTTACCTTCCCGCCGGAGCGGTACCTATTTATCTACTTGCACTTTGACGTGCTTTCAAACTGCTAGGTTGGCAGGAGCAGGGACCGAGCAACGGGAGCTCACCCCGTCGCGGGGATTCGAACCACCGACCTTCTGATCGGCAAGTCCCAGGCTCTGTGGTGTAACCCAGAGCACCACCCGCGTCCCACCAACAATTATTAGAGTAGTACAAAATAATAATATCAACATGTAAAAGTTAACGAGAAATCCACTCAACAGTTACAATAAAAAATTTCTAAACTATAATCAGTAAAACAACGGCAAGCCACAGTACATAAAATAATACAATACAAATTGAGAAGCAGAGACTAGAGGGTGGGGCAAGACAGGTGGAAGGAGACCTTGCCTGTTGGAGTCTCTCCCCTCACAGTTCTTCCTTCAGGAACAGCTCCCTTATGAGGACTCCTAGGGTCGGAGGGTGGGGCATAGACTCAGCAACAGAGGTAGCTGAGATAATAGCAGTATAAATAGCCCTTGTGCCATCTGCTATGAAGGTGGTGAGTCAGTGCTAGACTGAGTGCTGGCGTCCACTTGATTCCATTGCCTGCAGTCACTCCTAAGTTTGCATTAGAGATACGTTGAGGTTTTGGGGAAGAATTGTTAAATACTGGGCCTACTAGTACCGTTGTTAGAGGTAAATGATCGCTTTCAGTATTATGGCCCACCTCAAACTACATGACAAACTTATATGCAAATCGTGAGAGCTTGGAGGATGGAGTAGGACACAAAAAGGAGCCATCAGATCCTTTTGGAACGTCTCCCCATCCTTTCCCCCCCTTTTAGCCACCCTGAACAATTGCGAAGCCACAGCTCACATCGTCTGCTTGCTCACCCTTAACTCTAAATCAGGGGTCCGCAAACTTTTCTAGCCATGGGCCGGTCCACTGTCCCTCAGACCTTGTGGTGGGCCGGACTATATTTTGAAAAAAGAAATTGAATGAATTCCTATGCCCCACAAACAACCCAGAGATGCATTTTAAATAAAAGCACACATTCTACTCATGCAAAAACACCAGGCAGGCCCCACAAATAACCCAGAGATGCATTTTAAATGAAAGGACACGTTCTTCTCATGTAAAAACACACTGATTCCCAAACTGTCCGCAGGGCCAGATCTGGCCCCCAGGCCTTAGTTTGCCTACCCACGCTCTAAATCATTCCTGAACGATTTTTAAAGCACGGGAGCCAGCACCAATCCACGAAAGAATATAATTGGTCTTCTATATCCTTAGTAACTGTATTCAGTAATATTCTCTCGCAATGTTCCCAGTATATTGGTTAAGCTCACTAGCCTGTAATTTTAGGTTATAAGCCAATAAAAACTGCCCTCACCCCACTGGAAGAATGATACACAGTACCGTAACTTTTCCTTCTTCTTCCAGGATCTGATCAGCTTTGAGGAGGTGGCTGTGTTTTTCACAGAGGAGGAATGGGCTCTGCTGGATCCTGGCCAAAGAGCTCTGCACAAGGAAGTCATGGAGGAGAATTATGAGATGCTGGCCTCTCTCAGTATGGACACCTTGTTTCCTTGACAGATAGGCACTGAAAGGATGGGACTACTTTATGTCCCGTTGATCCCTACACTGTTGCTCTTATAAATGGTTGTGCTCCTTACTCCTTAACTTAAAGAAAACAAAAGAGATTATTGTGGACTTTAGGAAATATAAATTGAATATTCAGCCACTTATTATTGAGGGGAAGTGCGTGGAACAGGTCTCGGTGTTTCGATTTCTGGGAATGGAGTTGAGAGAGGACCTAGCCTGGGGAGAAAACAGCAAAGACCTGATGAAGAGAGCACAGCAGAGGTTATATTTTCTGAGAATCCTCCGGAAAAACCATCTCTCAAAGGACCTGTTGATGGCATTTTACCATTGTTCTGTGGAGAGCGTACTAACGTATGGTCTGTGTGTGTGGTTTGGGAGCTGCACGGTCAGGGAAAAAGCAATTCTGTCCAGGGTTGTAAAGACTGCAGAGAGAATAATTGGGTGCACTCTTCCCACCTTGGATCAAATCTGTGCTGCCAGGTGCCATAAGAAAGCTGCAGAGATAGCGCAGGATAGTGCGCACCCCAGAAATGATCTTTTTCAGCTTCTGCCTTCTGGAAGAAGGTACAGGATTATAAAGACTAGAACTAGCTGCCTGAGAAACAGTTTCTACCCAAATGCAATTCTGGTTTTAAACGCAGTATAAGGAGTCTCTATAGGAGTACATTGTATTTTAAAATGGGGTTTCAGAGTTTTTAGGGGGCTTTGAATGACTTATGTAGATTTTTCCAATTTCATTGTTCTGTATGGGACAATGACAATAAAGATATCGTATCTTATCGCTCTGGATGTTTGGGGAGTCTAGCTCAGTGGGAGAACAGCTGCTCTACATGCAAAAGGTTCAGTTGCTAGTGGGAAAGGCCTTTCTCTGTCTCATATGCTGGACATCCAGCTCCTAATCTGAGTAGCTGTGGCTGGTCTGGAGGTACAAAACATCACCCCTGAGAGATGAGTTTCCTCTGGACTTGAGGGCTTTTTGATGCAAACTATTGAAATACACCCATTCCAGCCATCATCCGCTACTGTCCCTGGACCAAAATACTAGCCTTGCTGTTGCCACTGCTCCCAAGGGCCAGGCAAGGATTTGCACTCCACCGCTGCCGCTGCCTTTGGGGAAAACCCAGAGATCAGCGTTAGACCACCATCTTTGCATGTAGAAATTCCTAGGTTCAGTCCTGTCCTTGTGATCACCAAAGTCCCGATCGGAAACCCTGCAGAGGGATATGAAGGCACATCTGTCGAGTGGGACATTGGCCTGCATAGAATTCATATTGTCCTCCTGGAGGGCAGCCTATTCAGAAGGTAAACCCAGCTTCAGGTGTGCATAAATAAAAGTGGGGAATGTAGACATGCAATAATAATATACCCATACAAATGGTCAAACAAGCTCAAAATCCTTTGTTTTCTGCTGGAAATTCAAAAATGTTTTCTTTTTCTCAACCCCCACCTCAGATGATGGGCAGAATACAGTGGTGCCTCGCAAGACGAAATTAATCCGTTCCGCGAGAGTCTTCATCTAGCAGTTTTTTCGTCTTGCGAAGCAACCCTATTAGCGGCTTAACGGATTAGCGCTATTAGCGGTTTAGCGGCTATTAAAGGCTTAAAGGCTTAGCGGATTAGCTGCTAAAAGGCTATTAAAGGCTATTAAAGGCTTAGCAGATTAGATAAAGGGGGGGGGGAGCGGAAAAAAAATCTCAAGACTCGCAAGACATTTTCGTCTTGCGAAGCAAGCCCATAGGGAAATTCGTCCTGCGAAGCAACTCAAAAACGGAAAACCCTTTCGTCTAGCGGGTTTTCCGTCTTGCGAGGCATTCGTCTTGCGGGGCACCACTGTAATGGGAATTCTATGCTGTCGTCAGAAACCCCTGCGGCGGAATGGTTGCAAATCAAAGAAAACGTATAAAACATGGAAAAGAGAAATCCTCACTTTCTCAGCGTGCTAATGTCCTTTAACCCCAAATCCTGCAAGAAGATGACCAAGGAAACAGCCAGAGAATGTGTCTCACGTGTGGGAAAATATTTAGACGTGAATTACACCTAAACAGGCATTACAAGAACACACACAGGGGAGAAACCACTTAAGTGCATGGACTGTTGAAAGAGCTTCTGATGCCCAATGCAGATTACAGAACACAGACAGGGGAGAAACCAATTGAAACATTAGCGAGACTGATATAAACACGTGCAGTAAGAAATAATTAAGGGGAAGATAATTAGTATCTGAGCTGGATATGCAGAAATAAAAATATTTTGTTTTGCTTTTTGAAATACTTGTAAAAGGTGAAAATGAAAATTGTTTTTTTAAAATATATATATATGTTATGTTGGATATTTTGTTACACTGGAGATATACAATTTTTTAAAATAAAACTTTGAACTCGAATAATACACTGCCTACTTTTTACGTCCTTTAAGAACGAATTTCTTTAGCGGCGTGGATGGGTGCATGGAACACTTTTCTGTCTGCAAAAGAACATGGCTGGGGGTGCTGAACTGAGTCTTTGACCCGTGCGAAAGCAAGCCTAGTTTCACCCCTGTGTTTGTCTGGCGGTCCCCACCCCACCTTATATATTGTGCACCCCATTCTTCCCAGCTTTTTTCCTTCTGGAATCTACTTGTTTGATGCGTTACTGTCTTTTAATATTTCGTTGGAAGCCACCCAGAGTGGCTGGGGAAGCCCAGCCAGCTGGGCAGGATATAAATAAATTATTATTATTATTATTATTATTATTATTATTATTATTCCTATTTGTCTGGTATTGCAGCAGAGGGCAGTATGGCCTGTCTTTTTAAAATCAGGCGGCAGGTAATTGAGGCTGGGTGGGTGGTCTCCCAGGCGCCCTCCCTCCTCCTCAGCTGTGATTGACATTGCCAATCTAAGCTTGGATTCCTCTTCCTCTTGCTGTTAAAGTTCTTTAGTTGTGTCTGTGAAGTGGATATTGTACAGGTACGGATTTATTATGATTATTATGGAAGTCGAAGAAATTGACGCAATATAAATAATGGAAGTTAGGGAATTCTGGGATAATATCTATAATGAATTCAAGAAATTATTCAGACTCACTTTAAAAAAACAAACGCAGAGATCTTTCTTTTAGGCATTTTACCATTAGAAATTAAAAAAGACACAAGACCACTGTTCATGTATGCCACCACAGCAGCAAGAATCCTTGTGGCGAGGAAGCGGGAAAACGAAACAATACTAACAATCACAGATTGGCAGATACTCCTGTTAGAATATTTACAACTAGCAAAACTGACGGGAAGAGTTAGAGGAGTATTGAACCAGAAAATGTTTGGAGAATGGAGAATATTTAAGGATCATATAAGATCATATTGTACCAACCACACCATATTAGCAGAACTTGAGTGATACTTGTAAACACAACAAATACCGTTTGTGGAGTAGACGGAAACAATATTAAAGAATATAAAACTGCGGAAAAAATGACGATAGTATAAACAGTACAATGAGAATGACTGGAAGACTCGTTTTGTCAGAAGTCTTTTTTATTTAAGTGTTTAAGTATTAATTAGGAAGATTTAGTTGTTTTTTTAGTTAGGGACGTGGGTGGCGCTGTGGGTAAAACCTCAGTGCCTAGGACTTGCCGATCGTATGGTCGGCGGTTTGAATCCCCGCGGCGGGGTGAGCTCCCGTCTTTCGGTCCCAGCTCCTGCCCACCTAGCAGTTCGAAAGCACCCCTAAGTGCAAGTAGATAAATAGGTACCGCTTTATAGCGGGAAGGTAAACGGCGTTTCCATGTGCTGCGCTGGTGCTGGCTCGCCAGAGCAGCTCGTCCACGCTGGCCACGTGACCCGGAAGTGTCTTCGGACGGCGCCGGCTCACGGCCTCTAGAGCGAGATGAGCACGCAACCCTAGAGTCGGACACGGCTGGCCCGTACGGGCAGGGGTGCCTTTACCTTTACCTAGTTGTTTTTTATCAACGTAAATCTGCTTTTTCTTCTTCTTTTTTTGTATTTTCTTCTTTTTTCTTAATTGGTTTTTTTAAAATTTCCTTTTTGTAGTATGAGATTGTAAATTCTTTGTAAATTCTTTGTATATGTGTGTAAATTAAATTAATAAAGATTTTAAAAATAATAATAATGGAAGTACAAATACAAAAAAAGGCAGCACAGTATATCTGGAAGAGATTTAAATCAGGTTAGGACCATGAGAAAAGCCAATCTTCTAGTGATGGGAGTCCTGTGTACAGTGGTACCTCAGGTTAAGTACTTAATTCGTTCCGGAGGTCTGTTCTTAACCTGAAACTGTTCTTAACCTGAAGCACCACTTTAGCTACTGGGGCCTCCTGCTGCTGCCGTGCCGCCGGAGCACGATTTCTGTTCTCATCTGGAAGCAAAGTTCTTAACCTGAAGCACTATTTCTGGGTTAGTGGAGTCTGTAACCTGAAGCGTATGTAACCTGAAGCGTACGTAACCTGAGGTACCACTGTATCTGTATTTGTTGTATGCATGATAAAAATCACACCAAACCATGCATGACCCTCAGAGCCCATTGGCATGTGGTATTTTTTTCCAGTTAACGCTAAACTTCAGACCAAATTAAAAGTTGCCAGTCCCATAAGCTTTTCCATTTCGGGGCAAATGAAATTCTGGCTGTCAAAAGCATCCACATTAAAAGTTCCTGGAAGCTGAACCCTTTTAAGCTGATCGTGCCATAGATTTCGTAAACAAATCTGTGGTAAAGCTGGGATGGGATACAGTGCTACCTTGGTTTGCAACCGTTGTTTTGGATTACAACCATGTCAAACCTAGAAGTGTGTGTCCCCTTTTTTGGATTACAACCCTTTTTTTAAAATTACATCTCTTTTTTTTCCTTTTCTTTTTTGGAGGCCCCATTGGTGAAAGCATGCCTTGGGTTACAACCTGTTTTGGTTTACAACCAGACCTCCGGAACGGATTATGGTTGTAAACCAAGGTACCACTATATTTGAGTATTTCTGGCAACTTCTTCACAAACCATTTCCCACAATTTAAATACCTCTGGGCAGTCCCCACCATAAACTTTCACTACATTCTGCTGCATTTCCAGAAGTGAAAACATTATTATTATTATTATTATTATTATTATTATTATTACCTTGATGGGACTCAAGGCAGTTTACAGATAATAACAAGAATCACTAAAAACATAGGAAAAAACAATATTATTAAAAACAATAACACTGGTAGTGTGTGTACATCTAGCACATCCACTAAAACCAAACAAATAATTGCAATAAAAACAGTATGGCGGCAGCCCTTTCATTAAAACAGCACTTCCCAAAAGCCTGCTGGATAGTCTTCGCCTGCCTGCAGAAGGACAAGGAGGAGGGAGCCAGTCTAACTTCTCCAGGAAGGGAGTTCCAAAGTCTGGGAGCAACCACGGAGAAGGCCCTATCCAAGGAGCCTGTCAGGCTGGTGGGGCCAAGAGAAGACCTTGAAGACCTCAGAACCTGGGCAGTTGCAAATGGGGGAACACAGTAATTCAGATAGCTTGGACATGAGTCATATATAGTTCACAACCAGCACTTGTGCCCAAAACAGACTGGTACTCCTGGTGGAGCTGTTGTAACAAGGGAGTTGTATGTTTCCCAGGCTATAACCAGCCCCAGCTGAAAATCTTATAAATCTCTGACAGTCACAAAATTTGCACTCTTGATGGTTTCCTGCAACATGCAGTCAGTAGCAAGGGCTACATACCTTTATGACCACTACTCCATAGGAATGGTTGTTATACAATTCCATTCACCATATAGATGGGTTTATGAAGCATTTCTGTATCCTTCTGCTGTGCTGAAGAAGAATTCCACATAACAGTGGGTATATCCGAAATCACTGTTCACTACATTTGTTTGCGGACCACTTCAGCAGCGTTGGACGTCATAAAACAAAGCTTTACTGCTTGTTTTCACCAGATAAGAATCTGTCCCATTGCTTCTTTCAGAAACTTGCATAGTCTACAAAGACTTCCAGAGACTTATAAGACTTTCATTTGGTTCTGTTTTCAAGAGAATCCATCAAGAGTGCATATTTTGTGACTTTCAGAGATGTATAAGATTTCTGTTTATTTGGTTTTGCAGAGAGTGCATTTCATATATTTCATACTGTTCAATGTTCTGTATAGATTATATAAAGGGTTTATATTGACATCGCATTGTTGTACTTGGTCATCGTGTTGCCTTGGATATTACGATAATTGTTTGCAACACAGGGGTTTAACTGTTTGGTTACCAGCTGAAAATCTGGCTGCTGGATGTTAACTAAAGCGTATGTCACTGTAGCCAAACCACACTTCGTACCTTTCCATAACTTCGCCACTGTGTGTTTTAGTGTTTAGGAAGTCTTCCAATGTCCACACCCCATGCAGTTTTACAGGTTTTCGCCTGTGTGGGTTTTCTGATGTCCCGAAAGGTTTGCTTTGTCACCGAAGCTTTTCCCACACCATGTTTTCTCTCCCGTATGTATTCTTTGATGTCTAGCAAGCCGACTGTTTGCACTGAAGCTCTTTCCACACACCGTGCATTTAAATGGTTTCTCACCTGTGTGCGTTCTCTGATGTAAAGTAAGAGCACTGCTGTCAATAAAGCACTTTCCACACTCCATACATTTATACGGCTTCTTTCCCGTATGTGTTTTTTGATGTCTGCTAAGGTTACTACTCAGACTGAAGCTTTTCCCGCACACCGTGCATTTAAAGGGTCTCTCCCCTGTGTGGGTCCTTTGATGTAAAGTAAGGCCACTGCTGTCGTTGAAGCACTTCCCACAGCTGACACATTTGTACGGCTTCTCCCCTGTGTGCGTTCTCTGATGTGTCGTCAGGCTACTGCTCTGACTAAAGCTTTTCCCACACTCCACACATTTAAACGGCTTCTCCTCTGTGTGCGTTCTCTGATGTGAAGTAAAGCTACTACGAGCGCTGAAGCTTTTCCCACACTCGATGCATGTATATGGTTTCTCCCCCGTGTGGATTCTCTGATGTAATGTAAGGCTGCTGCTGCTACGGAAGCACTTTCCACACTCAGTACACTGACATGGCTTTTCCCCTGTGTGTGTTCTTTGATGTAACGTCAGGTTACCACTCTGACTGAAGCTCTTTCCGCACTCTTTGCATTTAAATGGCTTTTCCCCTCTGTGGATTCTCTGATGTTTAGTAAGGCTACTGACCTCAATGAAGCTCTTTCCACACTCGGCGCATTTAAATGGCTTCTCCTCTGTGTGTGTTCTTTGATGTAAAAGGAGGCTACTCCTCACACAAAAGCTCTTTCCACAATTCATGCAAGCGTATGGTTTCTCCTCCGCATGGGTGGCTTGATGTCGAGTGAGGCTACTGCTGTCACTGAAGCACTTCCCGCACTCCATACATTTATACGGCTTCTCACCTGTATGTGTGTTTTTATGTCTAGTAAGGTTGCTTCTCAGATTGAAGCTCTTCCCACACTCGGTGCATGTATATGGTTTCTCTCCTGTGTGGATTCTGCAATGTATATTTAAGTTCGATTGATGTCTAAATGCTTTTCCACACACCAGGCATGTTTTACTGCTGTTCCTTTTGTGATCTTCCTGTTGGATCAGGGGTTCCTGGACAACAGCACTCTGGGAAGCAGGGAACTCCTTCCTCCTATCCTCTGAGTGGTTTCTCTCATCCCTTTTTGGTCCTCTTTGATTTCCAAGCATCTTTTTTCCTGATTCATGCTCGGCTTTTTCCATTGACACCAAATATTTTTCCATATATTTCTCACTGCTCAATCCGTCATTCCCTGGGGGATGAGGGAAAAAAATATATGTATGAACTTCAAGGTAGAAACATGGGATATTATCACAGGTTGACCCCAATTTGCTCCTTCTCTGGTTTTAGCATTCCCAAGAAATGTGGGAGCATTGTACTGCTAGCTAAGGATTCCCTGCACCACCTAACAGTGGACCTCCAGGATCTCAGCCATTATTCTGACTTTGGGTATCTGAAGAAGTGTGCATGCACACAAAAGCTCACACCAATAACAAACTTAGTTGGTCTTTAAGGTGCTACTGGAAGGAATTTTTTTTGTTTCGACTACGGCAGACCAACACGGCTACCTACCTGTAACTAGAACTATGGAAGGCACCACACTTAGCCGCATGAAATGGAAGTCCATCAACCATCACCAAGAAACTTGCACAGGTACAGACTGACACCTTCTTTCTGACTAAATGCAAGAACCTGTACATTATACCTAAGGGTCTTAGAATTAAGAACCCTCTACAATCCACTTATCTTACTGAATATGCAAGGAAACTATGCCACATGTCTCCAACAAGCTGCTCAAACATCTGATCGGGTATCTGAAGAAGTGTGCATGCACACGAAAGCTCATACCAATAACAAACTTAGTTGGTCTCTAAGGTGCTACTGGAAGGAATTTTTGGGGGGAAAACAAGTGGAGCATCAGTTACCTACTGGATATTCAGAAGAAGATGCTGTTTTGGCGTTTGGGGCACCTGCCTTTTCCTTGTCCTGCTGTGGAAAGGGCAGGCCTTCTGGCCTTGGGGCAGAGATGGGACCTTTTCAAACACTTAAAAAGCCCTCAAGAACATTTGGAGGCTTCCTCATGCCCGGTCAAACTGATTCTTCATCAAACCTCCGCATGGACTCATTCAACTAGCAGGTGGATCTCCCATGATCTCAGGGCTTTCCCACCAGCTGCTAGCTGATCCCTTTTCCCCCATGGAGATGCCAGAGGTTGAACATAGGATCCTCTGTGTGCAGCCAGGTTCCTTTTCTAGACATATGTGGGGCTACCACTGAAGGTGACCTGGAAACTACAACTAATCCAGAATGCGGCAGCTAGACTGGTGACTGGGAGCAGCCGCCGAGACCATATAACACCGGTCCTGAAAGACCTACATTGGCTCCCAGTACATTTCTGAGCACAATTCAAAGTTAGGTGCTGACTTTAAAGCCCTAAATGGCTTCAGCTTTGTATACCTGAAGAAGTGTCTCCACCCCCATCATCCAAATGGGACACTGACATCCAACTCCAAGGGCCTTCTGGCAGTTCCATCACTGTGAGAAGTGAAGCTACAGGGAACCAGGCAGAGGGCCCTTTTGGTAGTGGCGTCCGCCCTGTTGAATGCCCTCCCATCAGATGTCACGGAAATAAACAACTGTCTGACTTTTAGAAGACATCTGAAGGCAGCCCTGTTTAGGTAAGTTTTAAATATTTGATGCTTTATTGTGTTTTTAATATTCTGTTGGGAGCCGCCCAAAGTAGCTGGGGAAACCCAGCCAGATGGGCGGGGTATAAATATTAAATGGGGAATATGCCCCAAATGTCTTTCAATCAAAGAACGGGGGAAGGGCGGGGGGAATGTGTCCTTACCTAGAGTGGACTGTGTCTCATAATTCGCCTCCATGACCTTTGGTCTGGATCCAGCAGGGCCCAATACCTCTTCAGTGAAATGCACAGCCACCTCTTTGAATGTTTATCCAGACCCTGGAGAAAGAGAATATACAGAATTTTTCTTCTCCCTCTCTCATGAGCATCCCATGAAGCTGAACGTTGGAAGATTTAGGAGAAAGAAAGGAAGCACTTCTTCATGAATCACATCGTCAAACTATGGAACTTGCTCCCCCCAGGAGGCAAACATGGCCAGGAACTCCCTTTTTGATTTAAGAGTCCGATGAAACTGAATATTATTGGGGAGGGTGTCATGTAAACGCTCTATGAGTTTGCATGGGCATAGCCAGGATTTATTTCAGGGGGAACAAGCTTTATGTTGTTGTTGTTGTTTAGTTGTTTAGTTGTTTAGTCATGTCCGACTCTTCGTGACCCCATGGACCAGGGCACGCCAGGCACTCCTGTCTTCCACTGCCTCCCGCAGTTTGGTCAAACTCATGTTTGTAGCTTCGAGAACACTGTCCAACCAAGCCTTATGTTAGGGGGGCAGAACTGAGTTCTCTGTGATGCAATTGGTCAGTTAGTTAAGCATTTTTATTTATTTACTTGATTTAGGGGGAGCAGTTGCAGCCCCCTGGCTAAGCTATGTGAGCTCTCTAAAAAAAGCACAGGCCAGCATGTCAATCCTTACATCTCACTTTAAGAAGACATCTGAAGGCAGCTCTGCTTAGGCAAGTTTTTAATGTTTGATGTTTTATTGCTTTTCCAGTAATATTCTGTTGGGAGCCACCCAGAGTGGCTGGGGAAACCCAGCCACATGGGTGGGGTATAAATAAATTGTTGTTGTTGTGCAGGGTATAAATAAGTTGTTGTTGTTCCCCTCACCCCACTCCCAAATGCTGCTTCCTCTTCACCAATGCACCCCCATCATTCTGCCCGGACACTGAGGTCCAGCTCTGAGGGCCTTCTGGCGGTTCCCTCACTGCGAGAAGTGAAGCTACAGGGAACCAAGCAGAGGGCCTTCTCGGTAGTTGCACCCGCCCTGTGGAACGCCCTCCCATCAGATGTCAAAAAGAACTACCACACTTTTAGAAGACATCTGAAGACAGCCCTCTTTAGGGAAGCTTTTAATGTTTCACAGACCACTGTATTGTTTTTATTTATTTATTTAGACCACTGTATTTTAATGCTTTGTTGGAAGCTGCCCAGAGTGGCTGGGGAAACCCAGCCAGATGGGTGGGTATAAATAATAAATTCTATTCTATTCTATCTGGTCCCCCTACCCAAGCTGAATATGCCCCTGGGGATATTGAGGGGCTTCCAAGAGGATTTTGCCCTGCAATTTCTGCAGCAGTTTCTCCCACACCTTGCAGCCGAATTGCACAGATCAGACCCAACACCCTGAGGCATGGGCGTAGCCAGGATTTATGTTGAGGGGTGGGGAGCAGGACACCCACCCACCTGTCATAATCCTCAGCCTGACTCTTGCCTAGCAGATTCAGAATGAAAAGTCTCCACCAGCGTTGTTTCAAATTGCTTCCTTTTGACCCCAAGTGCTCCAAAACCTATCTACAATTTTTGTGGCTTTAAAGAAGAACGGGAACTTTTTACAAATTATTTTAAAAGACAACTGGACTCCTTGGCAGGTTTTGAATAAACATGCACAGATTTATTGAGGGTTAATATAGTAGACAGATAATATAAGGCTGTATACAATTTTACAGTACGCAGAGAATAATATGAGTTGAGAAATCAGAGAGAGGAGCTGAGGGAAGTGGGGGGGGGAGGGAGGGTTTGTTGGGGAGGTGGGAGGGGAAAAGGGGGGGAAATAATGAAGATGATTTGTTTTGAGAATTTGTTATGTTAAACTGTTAATATTTTTTTTTTAAAAAAAAAACCACCTATCTACAATTTCTACTTTTAGTTAAGTATTTTTATTTATTTACTCGATTTAGGGGGGCGGGGTGCAGCTGCAACCCCTCCTGGCTATGCCCATGGAGTGGGGGGCTCTTTCCTCCTTCCCCCTAACCCCACGCCACCCCCATGCATTGCACCTCTTTGTCCTCTGCGCGCTCCAGCCTCCCTCTCTCCAAGACTCGTCCTCTCCCATTGAGTACGGTGGGTCTTCCAACAGCCCCACTCCCCACTCCCCTTGCCACGGCAGCTTCCTGCCTCTCTAGGAAACCAGAGCTCGGCTCAGCTATCCAGTGGGAGGACTGAGAGACAGGAGCTACCTGCACCCACTTTCCTCTTGCTAATCCCTTGACGTTGTGCTGGAGGCTGCAGAAAGCAACGCGGGTGGGGGACAAATCTGGCCAGGCTTTCCCATCCTGCGCTGAGATTCTTGAACAGCAGGGGGCTGGACTAGATGGCCTTTGGTGTCCCTTCCAACTCTGCAATTCTATGATCATGCAACGTTTCTAGCTCTCTTCCTCCTCGGTGTTGCAGGAATTTATGTATAGATTGGGGGGGGGGTCCCCCTCCAGCAGATATCATGCACATGCAGCCCACTACCAAAATCAGCACAATCGCTTTTGTGACTTTTGTGATTTGTCACCACAAAACACTTCGTCGCAGTTTCTTCCTATCTATTCAAAGGGGCTTTGCTGCACGATACCAAATGTAAGAATTCACTGATAAATGTATCTATGTACTGGCTCACTGGGGAAACTTCAGAAATTCATATAGACATGTGAGCTCAGCTACTCAGCAGCTCCTCTGCCTGAGGGATAATTCCTGGCATCCTGATACCTGAGTGCCAGACAGGTAGACATTCCAGAAATAACAAACACAGGGGGCGATTAAATTGGCTGGGAAACAGGGAAATGTAAATATCTCTTTTGTTACACTTGATGGGTGTTTGGTGGAGGGCAAGGAGAACCATGGGGCAGGGTCCAGGATGCTCAGATTACTGCCACCAGACCTCCCCTTTCATGATGTAACCATGATGTATGAGTGATGTAGTTTTGGGGAAGGGATGTAACATAGAGATTAGCAGCTAATACAGTGGTACCTCAGGTTAAGTACTTAATTTGTTCCGGAGGTCCGTTCTTAACCTAAAACTGTTCTTAACCTGAAGCACCACTTTAGCTAATGGGGCCTCCTGCTGCCGCCAAACCGCTGGAGCCCGATTTCTGTTCTTATCCTGAAGCAAAGTTCTTAACCTCAAGCACTATTTTTGGGTTAGCGGAGTCTGTAACCTGAAGCGTATGTAACCTGAAGCGTATGTAACCAGAGGTGCCACTGTAAAAGTTTGGAGGCTCTTTTGTTGGGGGCTTCTATCTTGTTCCACCTTGTGGCAGGTGGGAGTCTTCAATAAAGACCAAGCCTACTGGCTGCTGTTTTGCTCTGGTATTCCTGGCTGGTGTCCTTGTTTTTTGTCCAAGGGAGCCCTCAGATTTCTCCGTTAACATCGGGAGATTGGGGAGCCTGCAAAAGGACTCCCCAGCTGCAGCGCTTAAAAACAGCACAGGGGAGCAAAACGCAGGTGCCTCCGCCTCCTCCCCAAGGCTGCTTCTTAATAATAATAATAATAATAATAATAATAATAATAATTTATAATTTATACCCTGCCCAACTGGCTGGGTTTCTCCAACCACTCTGGGCGGCTTCCAACAGAATATTAAAATACAATAACCTATTAAACATTAAAAGCGTCCCTAAACAGGGCTGCCTTCAGATGCTTCTCCTGCATGATTGCGCCCTTTCCCTCCCAAGCTGAATAACACCCCCCACCCAGGGGAGACTGAGCTGATCTCTGTGCCGGGGACAGGGACCCAAAGAAGATCTTGCAATGCAAACGCTGCGCCACTTTGAAGATCCCCTATGATCCTTTGCACAGGGGCATTTCCAGCTCGCTCTCTCCCATTTGGGGAACGTGCCCCCCCCTCCGCACCCTTAACTCTCCCTCCCCATAAGCTCCCTGCGCTAAAATACAACACCGGGATGTGTGGGGGCTGGAGGAATCCTCAGCGAGCCTTCATGGAGGAACCGAGCGCCAGATGGACGCGAGAGGAGATGTATTTTTCTTCTTCTCCACATTAAATGGGGGGAAGTTGCAACCAGCGGTAGGCAAAGGGGAGGGGGGGCACTCGGTCCTCCACTGGGCGACTGACCCGGCCGGGCTCTGCTTCCCGGAGAAGCAGGAAATTGCCATTCAAAGGCGGCGGCGTTGCAGAAGCGCCCTGGGGAAACGCGCGCGCGGAGGAGAGGCTGCAAAGCGCCCAGGTGCGACTTTTGTGGGGCAGTGAAAGGCAAGACGGGGGAGGGAACCCAAGGAGGGTTTGTTTGAGGGGTAATGAAGGAGAAACACCTACCCCCCCCCGCCGACGCCTCCCACGCGGAGCACTTTTCCCCGGGAAATGCACGGGGTGGGGTCGTGGATGATCCGCGCTGTGCACTTGCGTCGTGCGGCCCAGGGTGCTGCAGGATCGCCAATGCAAGGACCCCCCCTTTTAAAAGCAACCCCCCCCCAGCTCGGAAAAGAAAGGCGCAGCCTTCTGATGGGAGGGGGGAACATGCAGCCCGGACAGGAGAAACTCGCTATGGGGAAAACAGCCTTGCTGGGGGGGCGGGCGGGGTGTTAGAATTGCTGGTGAGGGTGGGGGAGTTGCACGAGACTTTTCCGCCCCCGGAGCTTTGAATGTCCGAGGTCATCAGAAAGCCTGATGGGTTTAAATGGGGGGGGGGGGGCGCCGCGCTGAGGTCTTGGCTTCCAGGGTGGTTTCAAAGAGCAATGCAATGGGCTTACTTTGAATCCCTGGATATTTTGTTCTCAGGAAAAGACTCGGCCTGTTGTGTTTCCTGGAAAGACATTCTCAAAGCAGACTTGATGTCTTCGCCGGAAAGAGAAGAACCAATTCTCCCGGCCTCTGGGGAAGGAGAGAGATTGGCAGGTACAGATTTTTGAACCGTCAAGGGAAAAGGCTATACAGAAAAGGGAAGAGCACAAAGTAACAAACTTGGGTAGCGTTAATCTTGAGCCACTCCCTCCCTTTGAGGAAAACCCAGAGATCAGTGTTAGAACACAGTCTTTGGATGTAGAAATTCTAAGGTTCAGTCCTGTCTTTGTGCAGTGCAGTGGTTTTCAACCAGTGTGCCCTGCCACCCTGGGGTGCCTTGGGCAACATCCACCTTATTCTTTTTCCTTCCTTCCTTCCTTCCTTCCTTCCTTCCTTCCTTCCTTCCCTCCCTCCCAAAGGCTTGCACAGCTGTTTGTGGCAGCAGCCCTGGCTACAAGCTTCCCAGGTGAATGGTCCCTCTGGGGCTGGCCAGGGGGTGCTTCCCAGGCCCCTGTGGGGCAGTGTGAGGAGGCAGTGCAAGGAAGTGGGGCAGCTCAGAGACCTGGCCAGGCAACAGCAGCTGCCCAGAGGTCTCCCAAGGAGAAGGGAGAGCAGAGGAGGGTGTTCAAAAAAGGGTGAGGGGCTGCCAGCTCTGCAGGCAAGGGGTGGCATAACTGGGCTCCTGAGCCCCACAGGGGTGCTGCAGAAAGATTGCATTTGGTTGGGAGAATTCTGGGCCCAAAAAAGGTTGAAAACCTCTGCTGCAGAAGGATCTGAAGGCAAGGGAACAGACTGCTGATGTAAAGTGGGACATTGACCAGGATAGAATTCATATTGTCCTCCTGGAGGGCAGCATATTCGGATGGTAAACCCAGCTTTTGGTGTCTGCAAATAACATTAAATAATGCACCCATATACACAAAGTTTGAAATCCTTTGTTTTCTGCTGGAAATTCAAAAAAAATTTCTTTTTCTCAAAATTCACCCCAGATGATGGGCGGTACAATGGGAATTCTAGGGAGACATCTATGCTATCATCAGAAACTCCTGCAGCTGAAGAAGGAAAAGAGATGGTTGCAGATGAAAGTGAACTTAAAAAGCACGGAGAAGAGAAATCCTCACCTATGGAGGTTAATGCCCATGAACCCCAAAGCCTGCAGGAAGATGGACAAGGAAACAGCCAGAAAATATGTCCGGTGTGTGGGAAGATATTTAGATATGAATCAAACTTTAAAAGGCATTGCAGAAGCCACACAGGGGAGAAGCCATTTAAGTGCACTGAGTGTGGAAAGAGCTTGAGCTCAAGTTGGAGCCTTCTTACACATCTAAGAACCCACACAGGGGTGAAACCGTTTAAATGTGTGGACTGTGGGAAGAGTTTCAGCGAGAGCAGTACCCTCCTTACACATACGAGAACACACACTGGGGAGAAACCATTTAACTGCACGGAATGTGGGAAAACCTTCAGTAGGAACACTCACCTTACTTCCCATCAGAGAACTCACACGGGGGAGAAACCTTTTAAATGCATGGAGTGTGGTAAGAGCTATACTGTTAGTAGTGGCCTTACTCAACATCAAAGAACCCACACAGGAGAAAAACCATTTAAATGTACAGAGTGCGGAAAGGGTTTCAAGCAGCCCAGCCACCTTACTATACATTACAGAACACACAGCGGGGAGAAGCCATTGAAATGCATGGATTGCGGGAAGAGATTCAGCCAGCTCATTAACCTGACTTCACATCAGAGATTACACACAGGGGATAAACCCTTTCAGTGCATGGAATGTGGGAAGAGCTTCACTGATAGTAGCGGCCTTGCTCAACATCAGAGAACTCACACAGGGGAGAAGCCCTTTAAATGTACCAAGTGCGGGAAAAGCTTCCAACGTCCCAGTCGCCTTACTCTACATTACAGAACCCACACCGGGGAGAAGCCATTTAAATGCCTGGAATGTGGGAAAAGCTTCAGCCAGCCCGGTCACCTTACTCTACATCAGACAACACACACACGGGAGAAACCATTTGAGTGTACGAAATGTGGGAAGCGCTTCAGGAAGAATGGAAGCCTTGCTTTGCATCACCAGACGCACACAGGAGGAACCATTTAGTTGCATGGAATGTGCGAAAAACTACTGTAAGCTCACCCAGCTTACCTTACATTACATTAGAGAACACACTGGGCAGAAACCATTTGGAAACGGGGAATGTGGGAGAAAGTTTATTTACAGGAATAGACTATGCCTACAATAACACACACTGGAGAGGAACCTTTTAAATGCCTCAGTGCGGAAAGAACTTTTGTGACAGCATCAGTCCATTCCTTAAGGCCTTTTTTTTGCCCCTGGCAACATTCAACGTCCCCCCGCCCATCCCTCTTGCTGCCTTCCCAAAGCCAGGTAAACAAGGCGCTGGGCTGTGGGAAGGAGGCATGAAGGCTCTGAGAGGGTCCTAAAGTCTTCCCACCTGTCAGGGTGCTGTCAGCAGCTCTTGGCCCAGGAAAGTATAAAGACAAGGAAAAGTTTCTTACAGTCCTTTCCCCTCCTCCCCCCCAAGCTTACAGAGAGAGGCCATAGAACCCAGCCTCCTGGATAATGGCGTTGTCCCGAGTGAATCTCCACCCCCAGTCTCTCCCACTTCCTTACTCGTCATCATCATCACCTCCTCTACGGGTGCTGCTAAGTGCCCTCTGTCTTTGAGCTCCTTGCTCTCCTACTTTTAAGGCTTGCCGGGTTCTGGGAGATGGTGGGTCTGGAATGCTTTCTAGTAGCAACTGATCAGCCTGCTGCTGCTCTCCTCTCCCATCATTTCCCAACTTTCCCCCTCATCTGCCTCTAAGCCGTTGTAACCTCAAACCCGTTGTAAATCTGTACAATGGTACCTCAGGTTACATACGCTTCAGGTTACACACTCCGCTAACCCAGAAATAGTGCTTCAGGTTAAGAACTTTGCTTCAGGATAAGAACAGAAATCGGGCTCTGGCAGCGTGGCGGCAGCAGGAGGCCCCATTAGCTAAAGTGGTGCTTCAGGTTAAGAACAGTTTCAGGTTAAGAACAGACCTCCGGAACAAATTAAGTACTTAACCCGAGGTACTGTACCACTGTACTGTCTTCCTCCTCCCTGAAAGGGTCAGGATGGGGCCTCCACCACTCCTCCTCAGCCCAGCCCCTCACACCATCTCCTTCCCAAACTCTAGTAATCATTTCCCCAGCTTAGGTAAGAAGAGGAGGAGGAGAAGAAGAGTTTGGACTTGATATCCCACCTTTCACTACCCTTTAAGGAGTCTCAAAGCGGCTAACAATCTCCTTTTCCCTTCCTCCCCCACAACAAACACTCTGTGAGGTAAGTGAGGCTGAGAGACTTCAGAGAAGTGTGACTAGCCCAAGGTCACCCAGCAGCTGCATGTGGAGGAGCAGAGACGCGAACCCGGTTCACCAGATTACGAGTCCACCACTCTTAACCACTACACCACACCCTGCCAGAGCCTCTCACCTCCTTCCCAAATCCCAACACTTCACTTCCCCAGCTTTCGGAAGGCTGTGCAAGTGGGAGGGGCATCAAATTTTGGACTCCCCTGCAATGTGACAAGGCAATGGGGGGTGCCTGTGGGTTGTGTAGAAGTACTTTTGCAGGAGACTGAGAAAGAGGTGGAAACTAGGCCGTTTTGGGGGTTCCCTTTATGCAAAGTTTGCTTCAGGATGCTTGACCTACAAAGGAGATAGAAACCCTAGATCAGAACTTTCCAAACTAAAGGGGTTTGCTTGCAAAACTGAATCACTGTGTTGCGAACTGATGCATGTCCAAAAAGTGTGTCGCCAACGTGAAAAGTTAGGAAAGCTCTGCCCTAGATCTTGGACGTAGACTTTCTTTGGATAAATAACAGTATTTGGAAGGAGTTTATACAAAATGTAGTTGCCTATTAATATTTACATATGTATTAGGATAGTAATATCAAATTTATAAAAGAATGTGTGGGTTAGGGCGCTTTTTGTATATTGTATATTTGGGGGGGGGGTCCCTACCCATTTTTGTGCCTTTTTCTCTTCTCTTTTTCTTTGCATCACTTTATTCCGAAACCTTTTCAATAAAATATTAATAAAAGAAAGAAAAGAGAATGATCACAATTTCTCTACATATGTACAAGTGCTTGTGTGAAAGAAATTACACTCACGGATCTCTGCATCTAAACCCAGCAATAAGGACTCTTTATGTTTGCAGTCTCAGGAGCAGAAACCACCGCCATCTGCAAGAGTATGCTTAGGGTTCCCACAAAATTCTTAGTTTGAGTAGCCTACACAACTACACAGGGTTCCTCGCTTGCAGCGACTTCAAAGGTTTAGTCTCTGGCATGCACTGCTATGTGCAATTGCTATTATTATTATTAATACCCCACCCATCTGGCTGGGCTTCCCCAGCCACTCTAGGTAGCTTACAGCATATATTAACTACTTTGCTATGCCTCTGGTGTCTCCCAGCAGGCCTATAGTGGAGCTCCTCCTCTAGCTCTGCTACAGTGATTGAGCCACTTCATCTAAGTCAGACTTCCTCAACCTCAGCCCTCCAGATGTTTTTTGGCCTACAACTCCCATGAACCCTACCTAGCAGGACCTGTGGTCAGGGATGATGGGAACTGTAGTCTCAAAACATCTGGAGGGCCGAGGTTGCGGAATCCTGGTCTAAGTGAAGCCTGTGATTTGCTCCCAAGGTCCCAGGGTCCAGCTCCACTGATGGTTGGGACAACCAGTTACATGTTTAATCAAGCATTTAAAACTGAACCAGCACTGTGGCTCACCTGGTCATATAACAGCACTTTGGAGCGTGCTAATGTGTCAGCTAGACTTGTGACTGAGGAGCAGCCGCCGAGACCATGTAACACTGGTCCTGAAAGACGTACATTGGCTCCCAGTAAGTTTCCGAGCACAAATCAAAGTGTTGGTGCTGACCTTTAAGGCCCTAAACGGCCTCGGCCCAGTATACCACCCCCATCGTTCTGCCTGGACACTGAAGGTCAGCACCAACACTTTGATTTGTGCTCGGAAACGTACTGGGAGCCAATGTAGGTCTTTCAGGACTGGTGTTCTATGGTCTTGGCGGCCGCTCCCAGTCACCAGTCTAGCTGCCGCATTCTGGATTAGTTGTAGTTTCCAGGTCACCTTCAAAGGTAGCCCCACGTAGATCGCATTGCAGTAGTCCAAGCAGGACTGTAATGGCAGGATCCCAAGGAGAGCTGGATTCAGGCACCAGACCCGTGGGCAGACCAACTCTACGTTACAAAGATGTCTGCAAGCGCCGCATGCAGACCTGCAACACCAATCCCTCCATGTGAGAATCCCTTTCAGACAACCGCAGTGCCTGGGGACAGTCAGGTTGTGCATCCATTGCAGCGACCACAGGAGGAATGACTTAGGAGAAGTGCAGAGAGAAGAGACGCCATGGTTCATCTGCAACAGCGCAAATGAACACGTTTATCTGCCCAAGCCGCAATGGAATAGATCTCTCCCCTATCGATCTCTGCAGCCACTGTAGGTTTTCTAACCTTCCAACAGCCGATTTCACCCCCAAAGGTGCACACCTCCCAAAACAGATGGATGCCAACTAAATACCATACCCACAATTAATGTACATAAGCTCCCAGTGGCTCTAATGTTCCTGGACACCTTTATGGCATCTGACAGGGTGGAATGGGGAATCCTCAAGGCTTTCTTGGCACAATCAGGCCTTGGAAAACACTTTTTGCGTCTTAACCAAATGTGTTCCACTTTGCGGACAGCCATTTGCACAAATGGTATGGAGTATCTAATAATCAAAGTACTATAATCAAAGCCAATATGGAGTGTCAGATTAGGACCTCCTGGAACACCGGCTGTGTTCTGTACAGCATCCTTAAAAACAGTATTCTTTTTCTGTGGTATCTGAAATCTGCTTTATTTAAAACACGTCAACAAAAGACCAATGAACGCATTTCAGTTTATGAAAGACGTAAGTTTAACCCACAAAGTATCAAGGAAAATCAAAGGTGCATTATACATAGAAACTATTAGGATGCCAAGATTATGTGGGGAAATGAAACTATATCCAAGTAATAGGTAAAAAGGCTGTTATACAGACGTGCTACATCAAGCAACTTAAAAGAAAAAAAAGTCTTATCCACTGCTAAATCCTACATTGGCCCTTCTAAATTTCCTCGGCCCTTTAGGTAAAGCTTCCTACATTTCCATCTGCCCTGACTTCAAAGTATTAGAGGGGAACAGGCTTCTGGGGTCTTACACGCAGGATAGCAGGAAGCAGTCTGGTGTCCAGGAATTAAGATCATGGATTGCCTCCCATTTTTCTTATTTACATTCTCAAAAAAACTGACGTGGTCCCAAACTTTGCCTCTTCACCTCTGCCATCCTTCCCATCACTTCCTGAAAGTTAGTTTCTACTCTCTCCAATACTTACTTACTTTACCTTCCCTCCCTCCCTCCCTCCCTCCTTCCTTCCTGCAACAATTCACATCTTGCAAAGGACAGGTATATCCCCATCCCAACTAAATCTTCATTTCCTGCCCCAGAAGTTCTGCTAGGTTTTATTGTATGCTTTGCCAAGTTTTGCTGGCTACAGGGAAATGTCAGCTTCCTTGAGACTTCCTGCTGAAGTGCCTGAGAAAGCTTTCATCCCTGTGCTTGTTCTTCATTTACAAACTCATCACTCCCAAACCCTAGTTAAACCTTCCTCTCCCCAATGTTTTCATAGAATCATAGCAGCTTAGCCCCCTGCAATGCTGGAATTTTGGATAAAGCACCAGACAGATGGTTATCCAGCCTCTGCTTAAAAACCTCCACAACCTCCTGAGGGAGACTGCTCCACTGTTGAAGAGCTTACTGTCAGAAAGTTTTTCCATATGTTTAGTCGGAATCTCCTTTCTTGTAACTGGAAGCCATTGGTTAGAGTCCTACCTTCCAGAGCAGGAGAAAACAAGCTTGCTCCATCTCCCATGTGACAGCCCTTCAGATATTTGAAGATGGCTATCATGCCTCCTCTCAGTCTCCTCTTTTCCAGGCTAACCATACCTAGCTCCTTCAACCATTCCTCACAAGGCTCAGCTTCCAGATCCTTGACCATCCCTTCTAAAATAAGCTGAAGACCCTACAATGTCTGCTCACTTCATTACTATGGGACCACCTCTCCTGGTATGCCCTGCGGAGGACCTTAAGGTCCATGAATAACCATAGTTTAGAGGTCCCGGGCCCTAAGGAAGTCAGACTATCCTCCACCAGGGCCAGGGCCTTTTCAGTGATGGCTCTGACTTGGTGGAATGCTCTGTCCCATGAGACTAGGGCTTTTCAGGATTTAACCTCCTTCTGTTGGGCCTGTAAGACAGAGCTATTCCGCCTGGCTTTCAATTTGAACTTAGCCTGATCTTTTATTTCCCTTCCCTCCCCCTCCCCTTTTATGAAGATAACCCGCTCCAAGACCCCACAGCTAATTCTCCCCTGGCCTCCTCGCTGGCCCAAGTAGGACCAATTCAGCCAGCTAGCCCTGGAGATTATCTAATTGATTTTTGAATTTTATTGTTATTCATGTTTTTATACTGTATTTTATGCTGCTTTTATAATTAAGTGTTTTAAATTTGTTTAGCTGCCCTGAGCCCGGTTTTTGAACTGGGAAGGGCAGGGTATAAATATCCTAGGGTCCAAATTCCCGGCCTGCTGGCTCCAGAGAAGCGAAGATGCTATTACCTCTCTAGTGCAGAAGAAAGATTAAAGTCAGTCCTGTTGAGTTCTCTCCAGGGAACGGGGAGGGGCCACCACCTTTTCCTTAAGTTGCAGGATGACTGGGGCTGACCCTGATAAGAGCTTGTCAAGCAGTTCTTTTGCAATCAATTGTGATCACGGTTCGCTATTCCACTACACCTATAATTGACATAGGAACGCTAGTAACAAAATGGTCAAACATTCTATTTTCTACAGTTCATAATACTTTTGCATGTATTACATTGCAGTTCATTTCTCTCAAATGTTACTGTTTACAGAACCGCTAGTCCAGCATCTAATTGATTGTAGGAAATGAAAGCGTGCTCCTTAATCAATGTGCTTAGATTTTCAGGTGTCGAATGACCTCTTTCTAACTTCCCTTCATTCTTACTGTCTTCCTGGGGTAGCTTCTTCCATGTGAAACAAGAGTGCTCTGCCACTGATGCTCTTTTGAGGTTCAATTAATTTGTTGGGATTCCTGCTGGGTGCATTCTTTCGTGGAAGGTAACTCCTGTCCCTGAAGCTCTTTCCCCATTTCATACACTTATAGGTTTCCTTCTCTTTGTGGGTCCTTTGAGGAAGAGAAAGAGGAGTACTTTCTACAGTAAGGCCTGTACCCTCAAGAAAACTCCACACTGGGCATTCTTTGATGTAAAGGAAGGACATTGCTAACACTAAACTCTTTCTTCACTCTACATTCAAATGTGTTTACTGGTGAAAATCAGACGCTGGACTAAATAGACTATGGGCCTGATCCACCAAGACACTTCTTTATGTGCTCATTATCCTCTGTGTGTCTTCTTCGATTTAAAGGAAGGCAACTGTTCACACTAAACCTTTCACATTCTCTGCATGTAAAAGCTTTCCCCCCAGAAAGCTGTGTCCCGTGATGCAAAGTAAGCTGAGCTTACAGAAGCTTTTCCCCACATCCAACACATCTAAATGGTTCCTTCTGTGTGTTTTTTGTGGTGTAAAGTAAGGCTTTTCTTCTTTGCGAAGCTCCTCCCACATTCTGCACATTTAAACGGTTTCTCCCCAGTGTGTGTTCTGCTATGAGAAATGAGGTTGCTGCTGTTACAAAACCTCTTCCCACACTCCCTGCACTCAAAGGGTTTCTCCCCTGTGTGGGTCCTGCGATGTGAAGCAAGGTTAATGAGCTGCCTGAAGCGCTTCCCACAGTCCAGGCATTTAAATGGCTTCTCCCCAGTGTGGATTCTATAATGTAGAGTAAGGCGGCTGGGCTGTTGGAAGCTCTTTCCGCACTCCGTGCATTTAAACGGTTTCTCCCCTGTGTGGGTTCTCTGATGTTGAGCGAGGCCACTACTATCAGTGAAGCTCTTCCCGCATTCCATGCATTTAAACGGTTTCTCCCCGGTGTGTATTCTCTGATGGGAAGTAAGGTTAACCAGCTGGCTGAAGTTCTTCCCGCATTCCATGCATTTGAATGGCTTCTCCCCGGTGTGCGTTCTGTAATGTATAGTAAGGTGGTTGGGCTGCTTGAAACCCTTTCCACACTCTGTACATTTAAATGGTTTCTCCCCTGTGTGGGTTCTCTGATGTTGAGTAAGGCCGCTGCTGTCGCCAAAGCACTTCCCACACTCCATGCATTTAAATAGCTTCTCCTCTGTGTGGATAATGCTATGTGAAGTCAGATTAATGAGCTGATTGAAGGTCCGTCCACACTCAAAGCACTTAAATGGCTTCTCCCTTGTGTGTGTTCTCTGATGCAAAGTAAGTTGTGTGTTCCTACTGAAGGTTTTCCCACATTCCATGCATTTAAATGGTTTCTCCCCAGTGTGTGTTCTCGTATGTGTAAGGAGGGTACTGCTCTCACGGAAACTCTTTCCACACTCCATGCATTTAAACGGTTTCAGCCCAGTGTGGCTTCTTAGATGTTTAAGAAGGCTGCAGCTGGAGCTCAAGCTCTTTCCACACTCAGTGCACTTAAATGGCTTCTCCCCCGTGTGGCTTCTGCAATGCCTATTTAACTTTGACTCGTATCGGAATATCTTCCCACACACAGGGCATATTTTCTGGCTGTTTCCTTGTCCATCTTCCTGCAGGATTTGGGGTTCATGGGCATTAACCTCCAGAGACGATGAGGATTTCTCTTCTCCGTGCTTCTGAAGTTCACTTTCATCTGCAACCATCTCTTTTCCTTCTTCAGCTGCAGGAGTTCCTGACGATAGCATAGAATTCCCATTATTCTGCCCATCATCTGGGGTGGGGGTTGAGAAAAAGAAAACTTTTTTGAATTTCCAGCAGAAAACAAAGGATTTCAAACTTTGTGTATATGGGTGCATTATTTAATGTTATTTGCAGACACCAAAAGCTGGGTTTACCTTCTGAATATGCTGCCCTCCAGGACAATATAAACTCCAGCCAGGCCAATATCCCACTTGACCTCAGCAGGCACAGATATGTCTGTTCCCTTGCCTTCAGACCCCTCTGCAGCAGAGGTTTTCAACCTTTTTTTGGGCCCATGGCTCCCTCAACCAACTGCAATCATTCTGCAGCACCCCTGTGGGGCTCAGGAGCCCAGTTATGTCACCCGTTGCCTACAGAGCTGACAGCCTCTCACCCTTTTTTGAACACCCTCCCTTGTGGAGTGTTCCCTCAGCCTCCTCTCCTCTCCTTGGGAGTCCTCTGGGCAGCTGCTGTTGCCCGGCCAGGTCTCTGAGCCCCACGTCCTTGCACTGCCTCCTCACACTGCCCCACAGGGGCCTGGGAAGCACCGTCTGGCCAGCCCCAGAGGACCAGTCACCTGTGGAGCTTGTAGCCAGGGCTGCCGCCACAAACAGCTGTGCAAGCCTTTGGGACGCAGAGACGCAAGAGGGCACCCGAGGAGGCTGGGAAGGAAAGAGGAACAGGGGCCAATGTTACCTGGGGAGCCCCTGAGCATCCTTCAAGGCACCCCAGGGTGCCACAGCACACTGATTGAAAACCACTGCTCTGCAGGCTTTCAGACTGGGACTCTGTTGATTGCAAGGACAGGACTGAACCTTCGGATTTCTACATCCAAAGACTGTGTTCCTGTTGAATGGTTTCTTTAAATTTTAGGTTTCATTATTGTTTCACAAGATGTGTACAGTGGTACCTCGGGTTACATACCCTTCAGGTTACATACGCTTCAGATTACAGACTCCGCTAACCCAGAAATAGTACCTCGGGTTAAGAACTTTGCTTCAGGATGAGAACAGAAATTGTGCTCCGGCAGCACGGCGGCAGCAGGAGGCCCCATTAGCTAAAGTGGTGCTTCAGGTTAAGAACAGTTTCAGGTTAAGAATGGACCTCCGGAAAGAATTAAGTACTTAACCCGAGGTACCACTGTATATCTTTAAGGGCAGGAGCAAATAACATGACCTAGTTTTACAGCTGTGAAGCAGTATAGCAGGTGCTGTTAGGTTATGTTAATTAAGCTCTTGGGTACAGTATATTAAGAGCAGCATGAAGCTCTCTCAGTACGCTGGTGGATGGGTTACACTTATTGATATAATGCAATTTAGTGTAAAATGAGTTTTTGTTTTTGTTATTAAACCAAGCAAAAGTTATTTGGTGTGGTCTCCCCAGCACACCTTCTGCAGCCAAACTAATCTGCGAAAAAGCTAACAGTTCTAACACTGATCTCTGGGTTCTCCACCACCACCACCACGCAGAGCTGTCAACTTTTCTTGCGAGGAATCCTATTCGGAATAAGGGAATTTCCCTTTAAAAAAGGGAAACGGTGACAGCTATGCCAGTGAGGCAGGGTTGGCCCAAGGTCAATGCAACCCGGGTTTGCAGGTTTGTGTTATTCCCACGATAACCTTTCCCATTATGGGTTTTAAAAAATCTGTACCTGCCATTCTCTCTCCTTCCTCAGAGACTTGGCAAAGTGGTTCTTTTCCTTCCAACGAAGACATCCAAGTCCACTGGGAGAATTTCTTTCCGAGGCTAGATCTTTCTGGGAACAAAATATCCAGGGATCTTCTTAATCTGTATATGAAGAGGGATTGAGAAATGGGAGGCACAGGTAGAATAAAAATCGTGCTCCCCCCCCCTCAAAAAAAGAACCTCATCTGGATTAAGTGATGCAAATTATGAACCGGAACATGTGTGAATTTGAAAAGAGAATCTTCCTTTTCCAACGGAAGACAACAATGTTGTTGTTGTTCTTCCAGAGCCTTGACAGTGATTCTGAGTCCAGGACTTGTAGCTAGGTTCCAGCTGCTCCCAGCACTGCTCATAAACTGAACTAGGAAGCTGCATTAGGGGTTATGGACTAAAGGTAAAGGGGACCCCTGACCATTAGGTCCAGTCCTGACCGACTCTGGGGTTGCGGTGCTCATCTCGCTTTATTGGCCAAGAGAGCCAGCGTACAGCTTCTGGGGCATGTGGCCAGCATGACTAAGCCGCTTCTGGCGAACCAGAGCAGCGCACGGAAATGCTGTTTACCTTCCCGCTGGAGCGGTACCTGCTTATCTACTTACACTTTGATGTGCTTTCGAACTGCTAGGTTGGCAGGAACAGGGACTGAGCAACGGGAGCTCACCCCGTCATGGGGATTTGAACCACCGACCTTCTGATCGGCAAGTCCTAGGCTCTGTGGTTTAACCCACAGCGCCACCCGCGTCCCTTCTGGACTAAAAGGCAGCTCCAATGATAAAATTCTCTCTCTGCACATCATTCCCACGGATGAGAAGATGCAGACTGATACTCACTGGCTGGAGAGACAGGAGAGGTTCCTTAGCTGGGCCTTGGGAGTACCTACCATCACCTGGTCCTGATTTTTCTTTTTGAGTTTTATTTATTTATTAACGTTCTTATGTTACATCAGTAAACATTATCATATTACATCACGAGGCTTATTATAATATAATTTTCAGCATGTATACATAATTTATAGAGTGGTACCTCGGGTTAAGAACTTAATTCGTTCCGGAGGTCCGTTCTTAACCTGAAATTGTTCTTAATCTGAAGCACCACTTTAACTAATGGGGTCTCCTGCTGCCGCCGTACGATTTCTGTTCTCATCCTGAAGCAAAGTTCTTAACCCGAAGTAATATTTCTGGGTTAGCGGAGTCTGTAACCTCAAGCATCTGTAACCTGAAGCGTATGTAACCCGAGGTACCACTGTATACAAAGTTTATTTTAAAAGTAGCCCATAGATCAAGACCATAAGGGGAGGGCAACATAAGGGTCAGACTGAGTCCAAACCAAAGGCCGGGTGGAACAGCTCTGTCTTGCAGGCCCTGTGGAAAGATGTCAAGTCCCGCAGGGCCCTAGTCTCTTGTGACAGAGCGTTCCACCAAGTTGGGGCCAGTACTGAAAAGGCCCTGGCCCTAGTTTAGACCAATCTAACCACCTTGCAACCTGGGACCTCCAAAATGCTGTCATTTGTGGACCTTAAGGTCCTCCGCGGGGCATACCAGGAGTGCTGAAAAGAAGATAAAGTCCCTACCAGAGAAGATTGGCAGATCAAATTGATGGATTAGGCCAAAATGGCTAAAATGACCGGAAGACTCAGAAATCAGGAAGGCCAAAATGTTAACAAGGAATGGGGGAAATTTATAACTTATCTTAAAAACCATTGTAAACAGTTAAAATCCGTTAGTAGGATTGGAAAAACACTTGTAGTTTCATGGTGAATTTTGGACACAATGGAGAGGTAAAATATTTGGATTATTATAAAATATGCAGGAGGAAAGGACTAACAATAGGACCCACAAAGGGGAGGAGGGAAGCCCAGGAGATTCTTTGGAATCTTGTTTCTGTGTTGTATATCTGATTGTAAAATTTTAATCTGAAAAAAACAAATAAATAAATTTATATATAGTGGTACCTCGGGTTACATACGCTTCAGGTTACATAAGCTTCAGGTTGCAGACTCTGTTAACCCAGAAATAGTACCTCGGGTTAAGAACCTTGCTTCAGGATGAGAACAGAAATCATGCGGCAGCAGCAAGAGGCCCCATTAGCTAAAGTGGTACCTCAGGTTAAGAACAGTTTCAGGTTAAGAACGGACCTCCAGAACGAATTAAGTACTTAACCCGAGGTACCACTGCATATATATATATATATATATAAATGAAATTACAGGCTAATGAGCTTAACCAATATGCTGGGGAAGACAGGAGTGCCTGGCGTGCTCTGGTCCATGGGGTCACGAAGAGTCGGACACGACTAAACGACTAAACAACAACAATATACTGGGAACATTGCGAGAAAGAATTGCTGAAGACAGCAAGGATTTAGAGGAGCATATCTGTTCTTTTGAGGAATAAATATTCGGAATCTGTGCTTTTAAAACGGATCAAGAATGACTTAGAGTTCAGGGTGAGCAATGAGAACACATGAGCTGGGGCTACACAATTGTTCAGGGTGGCTAAAACAGAAAGGGATGGAGAGAAGTTTGAAAAGGATCTGTCGGAAATAACCCTTCATCATTTTGCGTATTTTTAAGCTGAAACCGTGGTCAACCCAGCAGGCTTTTTTTGTGTCTCCTGCTCCATCCTCCCAGCTCCAAGGGGAGGTGATAACAGCCTTCCACCAAATCACTACTAGGCCCTATAACTAGGTCAGCGAAGACCAAAAAAAGAAGCATATTCAGCACTCAAGACTGAAGGAGGAACCAAGACCGCCTGCTCTGCCGACCCCAATCCTCCTTCCCTTACCTGAGCTCGCTGCTTGGAAATACTGACTTCTTCAAGTTGGTGCATTAAAAAATATATAGTATATATAGTGGTAGTGTTGTACTGTATTATTTATGCAAATTGATTTTCTCTGGAGTTAAAGATCTCATTGGGACGAGCTGAGCTCGTATTTTGCACAATTTGCATACGGTGTCTGTTTGATAATGTGTGGTTTGCTATGCCTAAGAAAGGATATTTGGTTTATGTTAATCCACCCCAGCGAGGCTGCTTCCCCCATAGCGGGTTCCTCCCTCTGTCTGGGCTGCATGTTCCCCCTTCCCCCGTTTTTTTCAGAGCTGGGGTGGGGAGAGAGGTTTTAAAAGGGGGTCTTGCATTGGCGATCCTGCAGCACTTTGGGCCGCACGACGCGAGCGCACAGCACGGGTCACCCACGACCCCGCCCCGTGCATTTCCCGGGGGAAAGTGCTCCGCGTGGGAGGCGCGTTTCCCCTTCATTCCCCCTCGAGCAAATCCTCGTTGGGTTCCCTCCCCCGTCTTTCCTCTCCCTACCCCACAAAAGCCTCACCTCGTCGCCTCCTCGCCTCCGCCGGAGCGTTTCCCTCCGCGGAAGAAGGAGCAGGGCGCTTCTGCAACGCCCCCAGCGCCGCCGCCTTTGGATTGCAGCTTCCTGCTTCCCTGGGAAACAGAGCCCGGCCGGGTCAGTCGTCCAGCGGAGGACCGAGTCCCCCCCCTCCCTCTCTCTCTCTGCAACCCTTGCGCGCCCCCCCCCTTTGCCTACTGCTGCAATGCAACTTCCGCACTCCATGCGCTTTCGTAGAATCATAGAACTCTCGAGCTGGAAGGGACCCCAGGGTCATCTAGTCCAACCCGCTGCTATGCAGTAATGCGCCGCTGCCCCCATACAAGGGATCGAACCTGCAACCTTGGCCTTATCAGCGCCATGCTCTTCAACTGAGCCATCCGGGCTCCCCTTTCCCCCACCTTCTTGCGCGCCTGAACTTGTCCGCCTTTTGCATTCTAACACTTGCAAGCTCCATCATCCGGCGGTTCCATGACGCCAGCTGCGCTTCCTAGAGAAAAAAGAAGTTGCAATCCAAAGGGGGAGCCTGGGGGGGTCCTGGGGGGGTCCAAATTCCGGCAGGAGAAATGGGCCAGCTGTGGAGGAGGCGGGCAGAAGACGGAGAGGTGCAAAACGGGGGGCTGTGGGGGGGGAGGGAACTTTTGCTTTGGTGGGAGAGTCGCGGGACAAGCCAGGGAAGACCCCCCCCCCAGCTCCTTCCTTTGAATCCACAGAAATGGGACCTCATCCGGGGGGGCCCAGTTGCACAGTGCGGCCCCAGATGTTGCAGAGTTAGCAAAGGGGACCTTAGTTGGGGTGGAACAGACTTGGCACATGAGGGAGAGAGTTTGCCATGCTGCTTTTATGTCCCAGAGCTGGAGGGAAAACACGTCTGGGTTTCCTAGAACTCCCCCCCCCCAAAAAAAGGGCCTGTTCTGCTCAGAGGGGATTGAAACTAAGGAGCCCCTTTCTTCTGAGTTTTAATCAGGTTTGGATGGCGCCGGAAGCAACCTAGGTTCAGACGACTCCTTCAAAGGGATGCTCAGCCGCGAGAAATGGAGAAGAGGGAGTATTGGGGGGCGGGGGCAGGGGGAGAGAATCAGACCTTGTTTCCAACCCTGAGCTCATTAGAGAATAAGCCTATGGGAACATGCATTGATAGAATAAAAATAAAGGACAATCATCTTAAGACCGGCGTTTGGCTGCTGAAAGTCACTCCTCCTGCCAGCACTCAGTTCACCAGTTACAATGATGTTTTTACATGCTTTGGAAAGTGCCCTCTGGGTATCCAAAGACCCACAAAGAGGAGGAACCCTGCGATTGTATGAAATGTGAAAAGATAAGAAAATAAATTAAACATTTTTATGTGACTTCCCAAAGTTGGTGGGCGTTGCTATTCAAATGGTCTGTGTGTGCCGCTTCTTGCGATTGGTTATGTGGGGCTTGCCTAGCCCCTCCCCATTTTTTATTCAAGTTGGCACCCGTCATGGGGTACTTGGCACGAAGTAGGCAGGAGGAGGGCTTGTCCAATGTAAGCGTGGGGAAGAAAGGAAACTCAGTCCCAGGGCAGGAGGAATGTTCAAGGGCGAGGGTGATTTTGTGTGTTTGTGTAAGATAGTGGTTGTGTGTGCATGTTTGTGGCAAGGTTAGATTACTACCTTGTGGCAAGGTAGATCACATTCACCCGGTGCTATACCAGCTGCACTGGCTCCCGGTGGAGTACAGGATCAGGTTTAAGGTGCTGGTTTTAACCTTCAAAGCCCTATACGACCTAGGACCCTCGTACCTACGGGACCGCCTCTCCTGGTATGTCCCACGGAGGACCTTACGGTCTTCAAACAAAAACATCTTGGAGGTCCCGGGCCACAGGGAGGTTAGGCTGGCCTCAACCAGAGCCAGGGCTTTTTCGGCTGTGGCCCCGATCTGGTGGAACGCTCTGTCACAAGAGACTAGGGCCCTGTGGAACTTGACATCTTTCCGCAGGGCCTGCAGAACAGAGCTGTTCCACCAGGCCTTTGGCCAAGGCGCAGCCTGACTCCCTCCCTCGGCAATCTTCGCGGAGCTCTAGCCCAATGGTTGCCAGTAATTTGACTCTGAATTGATTTTAGAATTAATTGATTTTAGAATGTATTTCAATTAATTGATTGTGACTTTATGTAAACTGTGTTATTTTTACTGTTGTTAGCCACTCTTGAGCCCGGCTTCGGCTGGGGAGGGCGGGATATAAATAAAATATTATTACTATTACTACTACTATTATTATTATTATTACCTAGGGAAGCAACTGAAAAGAGAAACCCCAGAAATATACTCTCTTAGAAAGAAGCCCTATAGATCAGGGGCTCCCAAACTGTTTCAGGCCACCACTTGGCAGCCATAAACACCCACCGTGTCCAATATCCTGTAAAAAGCAGTAATCGGAATACCCTGCAACATTTCATCAATGAAAATAGGGACGCCCTATTCCATAATAATAATAGTAATAATTTTATTATTTATACCCTTCCCATCTGACTGGGCTGCCCCAGTCACCCTGGGTGGCTTCCAGCATACAGTGGTACCTCGGGTTAAGAACTGAATTTGTTCTGGAGGTCCGTTCTTAACCTGAAACTGTTCTTAACCTGAAGGACCACTTTAGCTAATGGGGCCTCCTGCTGCTGCCGCGCCGCCAGAGCACGGTTTCTGTTCTCATCCTGAAGCAAAGTTCTTAACCTGAAGCACTATTTCTGGGTTAGCGGAGTCTGTAACCTGAAGCGTATGTAACCTGAAGCGTACGTAACCTGAGGTACCGCTGTAGATAAAAATATAATAAAACATGAAACACAAAAAAACTTCTCTGTACACGGCTGCCTTTAGATGTCTTTTAAAGTTGTGGAGTTACTTCTCTCCTTGGCTTGGGGGGGTCTCATAACTTCATACATTATTATTATTATTATCATCATTATCATTATTACCCCTCCCCATCCCGCCATGTTTCCCTAGCCGCTAGGGAACCCGAACCCTATGGAAATAGGGATGTCAAGGCTGCAGGTTCAATCCCCGCACGGGACAGCTGCATGATCCTGCGTCTTTCCGCAGGGCCTGCAAGACAGAGCTGTTCCGCCTGGCCTTTGGTTTGGACTCAGTCGGACCCTTATGTCTTCCCTCCCCTTACGGTTTTGATTTATGGGCTACTTCTAAAATGAGGCTGATTTTTAAATTGCATTTTAACCTGTGTTTTAAATTGCCCCCCCCATTATCTTTCTATTGTAATTTTACTGGTGTTAGCTGCCCTGAGCCTGGCTCTGACTGGGGAGGGCAGGGTATAAATTATTATTATTATTATTATTATCATCATCATCATTGCAGGGGGTTGGACTAGATGACCCTCGGGTCCCTTCCGACTCTACAATTCTCTGATTCTATAAGGTCAAGAAACTGGGGCAACTTCTGTAAATCCAGGACCGTCCCTGGAAAATAGGGACGCTTTGCATGACCCGCTTAGAAAGATAAATTCAAAACAACAAGTGAATTGCACACTTCTGCAAAATCCAATCAAAACGATTTAGTTTAACTCAGCAAAAACGGTGACCCAACTTTTCCAAGCCTGGCAAGTCATTACTAAGCAGGGGTGGGAAATCGTAAGGCTTGCACGAGGGGAGGTGTTCCTGCTACTCAGTTCTCTTCCTGGGTGAAGGAACTGAGAGGCAGGAAGTTGCACATAGAAAGGAGGGGGGCGAGACAGTATGGGGGGAGAGAGAGGCACCCCGCTCACAGCCTGAGAGGAGAAACGGGCTTGGTTGAGGAGGAGGCTGCAGAGGAGGAAAAAGGTGCAATAATTGGGGGTGATGGAGGAAATGTTGCTTTTTTTGCAGAGGAGGGGATGCAGCTTAGGCAGGGGGAAAGGATGCTTTCCTAGCGAGCAAGGATGCAAATTGTGTGGGGATTGGGCCCCACTGGCTGTTACGGAAATCCCGGGGGGGGGGGGCACATCTTTAAAGTTGTTAAATGTTACAAATATTATGCATAAATGTATCCTTTCGACTTGACAGCTGAGGGAAGTTACCTCGCTTTAACCATCATATAAAATAAACTCCTTTGCCAGTTCCTTCCATTCCAACACTATTTTGCCCTTGGAAAAATGACTATTTCCTCTGCCACCTCCCCAAGCACACCTCCTACCCCAGGAAGTGCCCAGAGGTGACAATTGCTGAGCTGATTGTTGTCCAAGGAAAGCCTAATCCCATCACCAGAATTGCCAAGGGGTCCAGACATGCAAAGGAAGTTCTATTGTACTTTGGATGGTGGGACCTTTGCGCATCTTATACCTGGGTCTTGCCCTGACATGTCTGCTTATGCTAATCTTGTACCAAGGACTTGTCTGGACATGTTTGCCAATGTTGAACTAGTGTAACCCCTGTCTAGGTAAAGGTAAAGGGACTCCTGACCATTAGGTCCAGTCACAGACGACTCTGGGGTTGCGGCGCTCATCTCGCTTTATTGGCCAAGGGAGCCAGCGTACAGCTTCCGGGTCATGTGGCCAGAATGACTAGCTGCTTCTGGCGAAACCAGAGCAGCGCATGGAAACGCCGTTTACCTTCCGGCCGGAGCGGTACCTATTTATCTACTTACACTTTGATGTGCTTTTGAACTGCTAGGTTGGCAGGAGCAGGGACCGAGCAACGGGAGCTCACCCCGTCGCAGGGATTTGAACTGTCGGCCTTCTGATCGGCAACTCCTAGGCTCTGGGGTTTAACCCACAGCGCCACCCACATCCCTAACCCCTGTCTACCCTGTCTAGAGCCACTGTGGTGTAGTGGTTAAGAGCAGTAGACTCGTAATCTGGGGAACCGGGTTCGTGTCTCCGCTCCTCCACATGCAGCTGCTGGGTGACCTTGGGCCAGTCACACTTCTTTGAAGTCTCTCAGCCCCACTCACCTCACAGAGTGTTTGTTGTGGGGGAGGAAGGGAAAGGAGAATGTTAGCCGCTTTGAGACTCCTTTGGGTAGTGATAAAGCGGGATATCAAATCCAAACTCTTCTTCCCGTTTTGTGACATGACAGCGATTTAGCAATGCCGTATCAATGATGCTGTATTCTGGGATACGGTGGGAAAGTTTTAAAAGTCTTTGTCACCCCATCCTCAGGGTTCAAAATTATTCTTTGAACCTGTTGCGCAATAAACTTTGCTCTATAGCTATTTGGTGGCTGGACTCCTTCCTTTATTCTGCAGGGACCCGCAGGCTCTGCCCGACCAGCTGGGTGACTGAGCAGCCTCACACCTAGATTTTTCCTTAACAAGGGCGAAACACCTTTTGGATTTCGTAGCATTGCAGAGTTGGAAGGGGACCCCAAAGGTCATCTGTTCCAACCCACTGCAGTGCAGGAATTTCAGCTAAAGAATCTCAGTTAAAGCACCCTGGACTTTCTCCCTGCTGAAAGGTGGAGGATGGGGGCCCAGGGAGAGACTCTCAAATGCGGAGAAAAGCCTTTGTGTCCTCCTCCCTCCCTCTTTGAAACTGCAGCTAGATTGAGCTTGCTGAAACCTTTCCCTGCTGGCTTCATTATTTCCATTCTGCTTCCTTTCTCTCCTTTCCTAGTAGTAGTAATAATAATAATAATAATAATAATAATAATAATAATAATTTATTATTTATACCCCGCCCATCTGGCTGGGCTTCCCCAGCCACTCTGGGCGGCTTGCAACAAAATATTAAAATACAATAATGCATCAAACATTAAAGGCTTTCCTAAATGTGTGGAAGAGATAGGAGAAAACCGTCGCCTGAATGTTTCACTTTTTCTCATACTTCCTACAGTGGACTGGGAGCCCCTTCAGAGATTTTGGCAAATCCTGGTGCAGATCAGGCCTTCCCATTTGGACTACTGCAATGCGCTCCACGTGGGGCTACCTTTGAAGGTGACTCAGAAACTACAACTAATCCAGAATGCGGCAGCTAGACTGGTGACTGGGAGCGGCCGCCAGGACAATATAACACTGGTCTTAAAGGATGTATATTGGCTCCCAGTAAGTTTCTGAGCACAATTTACAAAGCTTTAAAGCCCTAAACAGCCTCGGCCCAGTATACCTGAAGGAGCATCTCCACCCCCGTCATTCAACCCCAGACACTGAGGTCCTGCTCTGAGGGTCTTTTGCTGGTGCCCTCACTGCGAGAAGAGAAGTTACAGGGAACCAGGCACGGGGCCTTCTCGGTGGTGGCACCCTCCCTGTGGAACGCCCTCCCACCAGATGTCAAGGAGATAAAGAACTATAAAACTTTTAGAAGACATCTGAAGGCAGCCTTGTATCAGGAAGTTTTTAATGTTTGATGCTTTATTATGTTTTATATATTCTGTAAGCCACCCAGAATGGCTGGGGAAAAACAGTCAGATGGGCAGGGTATGAAGAATATTAGTAGTAGTAGTAGTAGTAGTAGTAGTAGCAACATCATCGTGAATCCACTGGATGACATTGCCTCAGGAGAGTGATGAACGTTGCCTCAGGAGAGTGAGGAAAATTATCAGGGATGATTCACACCCTGGCCGGCACTCTCTTTATCTCCTGCCCTCAGACAGAAGATATAGAAGCATGACTAGTCGCACCAACAGGGTAAAGAACAGCTTCTATCCATGGGCTGTTAGGCTGCTGAATGAAAAGAGAACAACAGGGCAACTGACTTTCGGGTTTGGTGGGTGTGCGTCAGTAAACGAGGGGAATTAAGACTAAGAGAACTGAGTGGGGGGTGCTCGTGTAATCTCACTGTATACAAGTTGTACAAGTGACAATAAAGTATTCCATTTCATTTTTCATTTCATCATAATCATCATTATTAGGAGCCAAAAGGATTCCCCCACAGCCTCCCACAGGTGCAAAGTTGTCTTCAGCAGCTTTATAGTTTTTAAAGCAATGAAACCCAAATTTATATAAAAGATGACCTCCTCCCCTTGGTCCATCTCTCCCCCAGGTACTGAATAGCTTCTCCCTCTTTTGAAGTGCATCTGTGCATTGTGGCAACTGCTGTGAGAGTCCCAGAGGTGGCCCAGTTTATGTCTCTCCCTCCATCCAGCACAATGGCTTCAGCGGCACCACCCGAACCCTCTTTTCTTTGGGGAGGAGTAGAAACAGCTTCGAAGCAGCCATCTCAGGTAAGGGAAAGATAATTGGGGATACACAAAGCAGACAGTGCGGATGCTTCCCCCTGTCTTGAACTGTGAAATATTTCATTATTTACTTATTAAATGTGTGTACTTCCTGTCATCCGACGATCACGGGGCAGCTCACAACATAAAAATACCGTATTTTTCGCTCTATAAGATGCACCAGACCACAAGACGCACCTAGTTTTTGGAGGAGGAAAACAAGAGAAAATATATTCTGAAACTCAGCAGCCAGAACAGCAAGAGGGATCACTGCGCAGCGAAAGCAGCAATCCCTCTTGCTGTTCTGGCTTCTGTGACAGCTGCGAAGCCTGCATTCGCTCCATAAGACACACACACATTTCCCCTTACTTTTTAGGAGGGAAAAAGTGAGTCTTATAGAGCAAAAAATATGGTACAAAACGAGAACACAATGTCTCAGTAACTGTTAGTGAGTTGGTTCGTCAAAACCTGTTTGAAAGGCGCAGAGATGGCAGCGGTGACTCCCTCGCCGGGCTATGTGGCTTTGGTGGCTCGGCTAGCTGAGCTGAAGAAAAAGGTAAAGGTACCCCTGCCCGTACGGGCCAGTCTTGACAGACTCTAGGGTTGTGCGCCCATCTCACTTAAGAGGCCGGGAGCCAGCGCTGTCTGCAGACACTTCCGGCTCACGTGGCCAGCGTGACAAGCTGCATCTGGCGAGCCAGCGCAGCACACGGAACGCCGTTTACCTTCCCGCTGGTAAGCGGTCCCTATTTATCTACTTGCACCCGTGGGTGCTTTTGAACTGCTAGGTTGGCAGGCGCTGGGACCGAACGATGGGAGCGCACCCCGTCGCGGGGATTCGAACCGCCGACCATGCGATCGGCAAGTCCTAGGCGCTGAGGTTTTACCCACAGCGCCACCCGCGTTCCAGCTGAGCTGAAGAAGTGTGGGGCAAACAGCCCCGGGTGAGGCCTTACCGGCCCCTGGTGCTGGCCAGCCAGGTCTCCATCACAGAGATGTCGTTAATGATGGCCTCTTGGAAGTAGAATGTGTTCAGTGATGTAACTTGCGCCCAAGAGACCCAGACATTCTTCAACTGCGCTGCAAAGGCGGAAGCAGAATGCAAGGTAAAGCTTCGACAAGAATCTCTGGGCCAGTCGGGGAAACTTGGTTCAAAACAAATCAATCAATTACTGAAAAGGTTTCCAAATATCACACACAATTATTAAAGAGAATTGCTTCCCCCAGTATCTGTGGACACTCGGACTGGATTTTGAAGAAACTCACTGCTTGTTGGTCTTTCAAATGGATGGGAAATGCTTTACTGCATTTCATACTGATTTTTTGGAATAAAACTTCCGTTGAGATAAGATGAAGAAGACCTAAAGTTTCCTTGGATACGAAGAGAAGCTACAGCAGTTATTTGGCCAGAAGAACTTTTGCTTGAAACGTTCTTCAATTAGCATCAATTTTGAGTCTTCAGTGAAATAAAATCTTTTGTGAAATCCTAAAAAAAACCAAAAAACCTGTTTGAAAGTTACATACGCTTCAGGTTACACACTCCGCTAACCCAGAAATAGTGCTTCAGGTTAAGAACTTTGCTTCAGGATAAGAACAGAAATCGGACTCCCGCGGCGCGGCGGCAGCAGGAGGCCCCATTAGCCAAAGTGGTGCTTCAGGTTAAGAACAGTTTCAGGTTAAGAGCGGACCTCCGGAACGAATTACCGTATTTTTCGCACCGGACAATAGGACGCACTTTGTTTCAGAGGGGGGAGAACAAGAAAAAAAAATTTCCCCCCTCTCTGCCCAGCGCCCCTTCAGTGAAGCAGCAGGAGGCGCTGCACAGAGAGGGGGAGAACTTTCCCCCTCTTGTTTTCCCGCTCTAAAACAAGGTGCCGTTTAAGGTGCGTTCAGGCGGCTACCTTGGAAGCCTGGAGAGCGAGAGGGGTCGGTGTGATCTGACCCCTCTCGCTCTCCAGGCTTCAGGTTCCTTCGACCTGCTCTTTGGGGCTGGCGGGGAAGCCCACCACCAGCCCCAAAGAGCAGGTCAGGGAGCAGCGGAAGGCGCAGCGGAGAGGCTCCTGCCATAGCCGCGTGTCACCTCTCCAGCCGGGAGAGGGTCGCAGGGCTATGGCTTCTTTAGCCCGCCGCACTCTCCCGGCTGGGGAGGTGACGTGCAGCTATGGCAGGAGCCTCAATAGCCGCGCGTCACCTCTCCAGTCGGGAGAGGGTCGCGGGGGGCTGCTTTAGCCCCGCGCGCGCACTCTCCCGGCTGGAGAGGTGACACGGGGCTGTAGAGGTTCCTGCCATAGCCGCGCATCACCTCTCCAGCCGGGAGAGGGTCGCGGGGCTATGGCATCTTCGCTCCATAGGACGCACACACATTTCCCCTTCATTTTTGAAGGGGAAAAAGTGTGTCCTATAGAGCGAAAAATACGGTAAATACTTAACCCGAGGTGCCACTGTAACTGCTTGTTAAGACAAGGCTGAACTTTGCACAAGCATGCTGGATCTGCTACAGAAAGGGCTGTTCTTCTGTAAACTTGATATCTCTTTATCTTTAACAATGTTTCCCAGCAGCTTCCCCAGAATATTGGTTAAGCTAACTGGCCTGTAATTTCCAGGATCCCCACTCCACACCCACACCCACAAGATATTGAAGAAACCATATTTTATTCTTTTTCTCCAGGGTTTGTCGAGCTTCCAGGCCCTCTTGGCCTTTGAGGAGGTGGCTGTGTTTTTCACAGAGGAGGAGTGGGCTCTGCTGGATCCTGGCCAAAGAGCTCTGCACAGGGAAGTCATGGAGGAGAATTACGAGATGGTGGCCTCTCTAGGTAAACACCATGTGTTTTATTTCCATGACTGCTAGTGCTAGAAGGTTTGAAATCATTATTTGGGCACAGTTGGGAGGCTGTTATGAGATGGGTCCTGGACCATGTGCTCTGGATGTTTGTTGATTTATAAGCAGAAGATGCTAGAGCAGGGGTCAGCAAACTTTTTTTAGCAGGGGGCCGGTCCACTCTCCCTCAGACCTTGTGGGGGGCCGGACAATATTTTGGAAAAGAAAAGAAAAAGAACGGATTCCTATGTCCCACAAATAACCCAGAGATGCATTTTAAATAAAAGGACACATTCTACTCATGTAAAATCATGCTGATTCCTGGACCGCCCGTGGGCCGGATTTAGAAGGCGATTGGGATGGATCTGGCCCCTGGGTCTTAGTTTGCCTACCCATGTGCTAGAGGGGTAAAGGATCAGGGAGCAACTGATAGGAAAGACATTTCTCTGCCCAATATCCTGGAGATCTGCTCCTAGTTTGAGTGGTCAGTGCTGGGCCTCAAAAGACAAAGAGTCTGACATGCAGCTTCCTGTAGCCTTAGAGGGTTTTTGGATCATTGGATGCCAACACTTAAAATGTCTACACTTAACGTCTTATTTCGGCGCCTTTCAACGCCAACAAATTTAAGATCAAGATGAGGAAGAGTTTGGATTTGATATCCTGCTTTATCACTAGCCGAAGGAGTCTCAAAGCGGCTAACATTCTCCTTTTCCTTCCTCCCCCACAACAAACACTCTGTGAGGTGAGTGGGGCTGAGAGACTTCAGAGAAGTGTGACTGGCCCAAGATCACCCAGCAGCTGCATGTGGAGGAGCGGAAACGCGAACCCGGTTCCCCAGATTATGAGACTACCGCTCTTAACAACTACACCACACTGGCTCTCACTACATCACCCCTAAATATATTGTCATATGTTACAGGGCATACTAATTTGGAAAACCCTGTCAAATCCTTTTTACGAGTTGTATTTTTGAGGTTTGGAAAAGGTGAGATAAAAAAACTCCTTCCCAGTTTATCCTTTGCATAACCAGTGCAAAAACATCTTTCAATCAACCTGCCCCACTCCTTTTAATATATGAATCATAACTGAATCATAAACTGGAAATTAAAATGAGGCTGCAATCCCACAATGCTCATTTCAATGTAGTCTCTGAATAAATAAAATAGACAAGGGGGGGACATGTTTACAATGGGAGCATTAACGTGCAATGTATCATTATTTCAGCTTCAGAGCTGTGATATTAGAGATATCTTTCCCCCCCTGCTGCCACCATGAATCAATTGCAAATCCATTCTCACAACACTGAAAAGTGTAATTTTGGGGGGATATACCACTGAATCACTTTTGGGTGAGAAGGAATGGCTCCAAGGGTGATTTTAAAAAAATATTGTGTGATAAAATGAAGGAAAGCATTGGGGTTTGTTAAGTTCTCCAGTATCATTTCCAAAAATAGGTCACACTGAGCTTCAGATCCAGTGATCACATTTCCACAAGTGCCAGACTGATCCTGCTGTGACCATACAGCCCTGTCCTATCTGTGGCGCAGCAATTATAATATCAAAATTATCCCTCTTTTTTTGGCTCAATTTGGATTGGCTGAATATTTTGCGTTCCAGAGTAACTAGTCTCTTCTGTCTCCTTTGCAGAATTGGACCTCCGTTCCTGTCGGGAAGAAGGAGAAGGCCCGTTCATTCATGATCCCAAAGAAGTGGTGATATCAATAGGTATCTTAGATGTCTTATGGGGCATTTTGGAGGAAGGATTTTTCCATTCCTGTGTAATATCATCCAGGGCAGATAGACCCAGTGGGACTTAGAGGGGGATCAGACAAATTCATGGACGAGAAAGCTCCCAAAGGCTACTCGTTATGATGGCCATGAGCTTGCTACCTCTGGAATCAGGACAACAGCACGAGAAGACTGTTAGCTTCCTGCTCTGTGGGGATGCTATACTACAGTAGTGGCCAAGCTTGGCCCTCCAGCTGTTTTGGGACTACAGTTCCCATCATCTCTGGCCACTGGTCCTGTTAACTAGGGATGATGGGAGTTGTAGTCCAAAAACAGCTGCAGGGCCAAGTTTGGCCACCAATGCTCTACTAGATAGGCTTTTGGCTTGATCCTGTGGGAATCTTCTTGTAAAGATGTCTTCCAGCTTACGGTTTCCCTTCCACATGTTGAGATATTCCCCATATTTAGAAATATGGCTTGGCTTCCACCATGCCTGTTCACAAATACCAGGTTGGTCCTGCTAGATCTACAAGCCCTGCCCTATGCATTGGCAGAAGATCTAAGAACACGCCTTTCTCTGCCATTTTTTAATCCCTTGAAATTCACACATGAAATTCTCTGCCTTCCCCCCACCAGATGATTGGCAGAACGATGGGAATTACAGGGACTCATCTGTGGTGTCTTCAGAAACAATTATGCGTGAAGCAGGGAAAAAGAAGTTTGAAACACGAAAGGAACACGAAACACATGAAGGAAAAAAGTCAAAGAATGAGAGGAAGAAATCTTTGATTTTTCAGGGTATCGACGTCCAAGAACTCCTGATACTACAAGAAGATCCAAAAGATAAAAACAAGAAAACATGTCCAGACTGTGGGAAAACATTTAGATATGAATCGTATTTGAATAGGCATCACAGAATCCATACAGGAGAGAAACCATTTAAATGCACCGAGTGTGGGAAGACCTTTATACGGCATTCTCACCTTATTCGTCATCAGAGAACACATACAGGTGAGAAGCCATTTCCATGCAAAGAGTGCGGGAAGAGCTTCAGTTTCAGTAGTAGCCTTACGGAACATCAAAGAACCCACACAGGGGAAACGCCATTTAAATGCAAGGAATGTGGGAAGCGTTTCAGGCACAACAGTAGTCTTACCATACATCGAAGAACCCATACTGGTGAAAAGCCATTTCAGTGCATGGAATGTGGAAAGTGCTTCACCGACCGTAGTAGCCTTACTTCACATGAAAGAACCCACACAGGAGAGAAACCGTTCCAGTGCAGGGAGTGTGGAAAGAGCTTCAGACAGCACAACCACCTTATTAATCATCAGAGAATCCACACTGGGGAGAAACCATTTAAATGCAAGGAGTGTGGAAAGAGTTTCATTCAGAATATTCACCTTACTTTGCACCAAATAACTCACAGGGGAGAAACCTTTTAATTGCATGGAGCAGTGGTTTTCAACCAGTGTGGCGTGGCACCCTGGGGTGCCTTGAATGAAGGTCAGGGGTGCTATGGGCAACACCTGCCTCTGTCCCTCTTTCCTTCCCTCTGTCCTCTCATGCCCTCTCACGTTTACCTCCCCAAGGCTCGCATGGCTGTTCGTTACAGCAGCCATGGGTACAAGCTCTGCAGGTGAATGGTGCCTCTGGGGCTGGCTAGGGGGTGCTAGGTGCCAGGAGCTGAGGTGGCCTCGGGGTAAGCAAGCAAGCAGGAGACAGAGCCCAGTCCACCAGCCCTTGCTGTTGGGAATGAACAGACAAGTCCAAGGCCCGTGTGGGGGCAGTGTGATTTATCTTAACAGCCATGATGAAACAGAAACATTTTCCTCCAGCACCATCTCACTCCGGAGCAGCCTGCTGAAATGGGTTTAATTCTGCCCAGTTTGTTGGGTATGGTTTCCCCCCCCCCCCATAAATTGGGGAAAATCCTTTGCCAATACAGTCATACCTCGTGTTACTTTTGCTTCATGATACGTTTTTTCAGGTTGCGTCCTGCAAAGGGTTACTTCTGGGTTTTGTTGCTCGCGCATGAGCAGACGTGCAAAATGACGTCACGTGCATGAACAGAAGCGGCGAATCGCAATCCACACATGCGCAGACATGCCGCTGCGGGTTGCGTTCTGCTCATGTTGCGAACAGGCCTCCGGAACGGCTCCCGTTCGCAACCAGAGGTACCACTGTATAAAAGATTCCATATTTTGCGCTCTCCTCTTTGACTCTCATTAAGAGGTTCTTTAATTCCTCCTCACTTTCTGCCATCAAAGTTGTGTCATCTGCATATCTGAGGCTGTTGATATTTCTTCCGGCAATCTTAATACCGGCTTGGGATTCATTCAGTCCAGCCTTTCGCATGATGTATTCTGCATATAAGTTGAATAAGCAGGGGGACAATATACAGCCTTGTCGTACTCCTTTCCCAATTTTGAACCAATCAGTTGTTCCATACCCAGTTCTAACTGTATCTTCTTGTCCCACATAGAGATTTCTCAGGAGACAGATAAGGTGGTCAGGCACTCCCATTTCTTTAAGAACCGCCCATACTTTGCTGTGATCCAAGCAGTCAAAGGCTTTTGCGTAGTCTTAGGCATAGATAGTCACAAAAACCAGAAGTTGCCTGTTCCTGCTTTGTTAATGAATAATAATAATTATAATTATAATAATTTATTATTTATACCCCGCTCATCTAACTGGGTTTCCCCAGCCACTCTGGGCGGCTTCCAACAAAACACTAAAATACAATAACCTATTAAACATTAAAAGCTTCCCTAAACAAGGCTGCCTTCAGATGTCTTCTAAAAGTTTGGTAGTTATTTTTCTCTTTGACATCTGGTGGGAGGGTGTTCCACAGGGCGAGTGCCACTACCGAGAAGGCCCTCTGCCTGGTTCCCTGTAACTTGGCTTCTCGCACAGAGAATGAAAGGTTATGAGTCACAGTTAGTGCCACCAACAGACTCGAAGCTAATGAGAAACAAATAAAAAATACAGTGGTACCTCGGGTTAAATACTTAATGCGTTCCGGAGGTCTGTTCTTAACATGAAACTGTTCTTAACCTGAAGCACCACTTTAGCTAATGGGGTCAGAGCACGATTTCTGTTCTCATCGTGAAGCAAAGTTCTTAACCCGAGGTACTATTTCTGGGTTAGCGGAGTCTGTAACCTGAAGCGTCTATAACCTGAAGCGTCTGTAACCCGAGGTACCACTGTGACGTAAAGATGAGAAACAGAGATGGTGAAAGAGGATAATGGCAACACAGTTCATCACCTCTGATATTTAGGATGGAGGAAGTTCATGAAATTCTAATTTGGGTTCAGATAGGCTCAAAAATATGCCATGGACATTTCCTAACATTTTGGAGAATACTTAGGCTTATTTCTGAGCCCATTCTTAGTAAATGCAAGGGCTCAGCCTGGTTCAGGGTCACATGAGTGGTGCCAGGTGATACTCCACATTGCTGCCGTGGCGAACTGTGACATCATCTGCAGAGTGTTTATGAGGGAGCAATGAACCTGGTCAGTATCTGTCATGTGAGTTGCAGGCTGTTCTAACTCAGGTTATATACTTGACCAGAAAGACAGGGAATGAGGATCCCCACAGCTCAGGATTCTTCCCCAGGATATCCAGCATTAAAGCCAAAGGGAAGATACAGAGGAGTGAAGAACAGGTAGGGGAATCTGTTCCTGATCTTCCTGAGCGCACATCTGTCTGAGAGACCCAACATCCAACCTTCCTCTTGGACCTAATGCATTTGCTAGACAGCAGCTAGGACCAGTCAACGTTTCCCTTTTTTTAAAGAGAAATTCCCTTATTCTGAATAGGATTCCTCGCAAGAAAAGGGAAAAGTTGACAGCTATGGTCCTAGCAGAGTGAGACTTTTGGGCAGGTTGTCCACAGCTCATTCAGTTGAACGAGTAGGAGGGTCCCTAAACACAGTAGGAATGGCATGCCACATTTTGAAGTAAATACACTCAGTGAAGTAATACCCAACTCTCAAACTCCCTTTTAGGGATTCCTCTGAGTCCCAGAAGATTCGCTTATTTCAGAGTCCAACGGGTAGGACCCTAAGTCCCGACAGGTGGGGAGAGGGACCCTCCTTTTTACAGGATTCCTGTTGTCTATGTTTTTAAATGGTCTACTTTGCCAAGACTCATCACGTGGCTTCCTACCCAGAATCCCTTTGCTCTCTGTGGGTCTACTCCATTCTTCCTATTCCTCCTTTACCTTTGGTTCCTTACTTGCCACAGATGTACCGAGCTGCCCCCAACATTGCATGGCAGTTCAGAGACCACGGGCGGCGGCAGCGTCTACCCAGATGAACCCCATAGGTGCCCCCCCGAAAGAATTAATTGTGGACCTGAATTTTTAAAATGAATACAAACAATACATTCAGAACAAAATGCCAAGTTAATTGCAAATCAGGTGATAACGGATGAATGCAAGATACAAAAAGGAACCAGACAAGGATGCCCGCTATCTCCGCTGCTGTTTATTCTGGTCCTGGAAGTACTTGCAGGATCAGTGGGACTGTCTGAAAAAGAAAGAGCATTTTTGGCAGTACATTCATTTTTATCACTGCTGTTTTCCCTAGTAGGGAAAGGTTCATTCTGCTCCATATTTCTAAGTTCCTTTTTATCTCAGACCACACTGGATTTACGTGACCTTGGAGCCAAAGAAGTAAGTGACTATACAACCTTTAATAGACATCTAAAAGCAGCTCTGTATACGGATATAATAATGATAATGATAATAATAATAATAAATAATGGTTTTTAATGTTTTTATATATATCTTGCAAACTGCCCGGAGTGGCTGGGGAATCCCAGTCAGATTGGCAGGGTATATGCCCGTATAATCCTGCCCGGATCTTGCAACCCAGCTGATAGGCTTTTTCAGTGCCCGTCAATAAATACAACTGGACTAGTAAGCAGACACAACAGGGACTTCTCAGTGGTGGCTCCACAATTCCTGTACAGATAATGGCTGACCCTGCGTCTCACATATGTAAACAGCTTTGTCAATTTTTTAATTTTTCTTTAATTTCAGGCTCAATTTTTTAATGATAAAAGCATAAATGAATGAACTAAGCAGTAGACATTCTGTTAAACTTTGCTTTTCTGTAGATTTTTGTATAAAACATTTAAGAGGGAAATGATTGTTTTTAAACCACATCCATTAAAGAGTTGCAAGTATGTGTCTGAACATGCATGTCCAGCACTCACGTGTATTCATACACACACTGGATATTTTGCTAGAGTTATGAAGTGCATCGGTTTATGAATATGTGTTTGCCCACAAGAAGTAAAAGTAAAGAAGCAAAGGCTCTGTGGTCCAAAGCCTCTTGGAACTCAGCTATACAGCTGCAAATACAATGTTTTATGTGCATTATACAAATGTGACACTAGATGGCGATGGTGAGCTAATGGCAAATTCCATATTTTTAGAAAACTTTTTTTTAAAAAGAATTTTCACGGCGCCTTTTATATATGTGTAGATTCAGCCTTGGGTTTGCTGATCGCAAGGTTGGCGGTTTGAATCTGCATTTGTGCCAGCTCCTGCCAACCTAGCAGTTTGAAAGCATACCAGTGCAAGCAGATAAATAGGTATTGCTATGGCGGGAAGGTAAATGGCATTTCCGTGTGCTCTGGCACTCGTCACAGTGTCCTGTTGTGCCAGAAGCAGTTTAGTCCTGGCTGCCACATGACCAGGAAAGCTGTCTGCAGACAATTGCCGGCTCCCTCTGGTCTGAAAAGCGAGATAAGTGCCGCATCCCATAGTCTAATTTGGCTGGACTTACTCATCCAGGGGTCCTTTACCTTTCCCTTTCTCCACAAGAAGTTATTACACAAAAGCAATAAAGAAAGCTTGGTCTTTTATACGAAACGAAAATGACAGAATACAGTGGTACCTCGGTTTAAGAACAGTCCTGTTTATGAACGATTCGGGTTACGAACTCCGCAAAACCGGAAATGGTGTCCCCGTTTGCGAACTTTTACCTCGGTCTAAGAACGGAATCTGAACGACGGAAAGGCACCGGTGGCCAGAGGCCTCATTAGGGAAAGTGCACCTCAGTTTAAGAACGGTTCCGGTTTAAGAACGGATTAAGTTCATAAACCGAGGTACTACTGTACAGCAGTGCTGCTCTACACATCAAATTTACGGTTTAAGCTAGCAGAAAATGCAGCAGTGGCCTTTGGCCTTTCAAATTTCAGCAGTACCCTGCAGGGTGGATCAGAGGGGCGTAGCCTTGGGCACATGATTCTGAGGGGGCGCGAACCAGATGCCCCACACAGGGATTCCCTTCCTGCCCTTTGGGGGTATCTATGGGCCCCAGAGCCTGGCCTGGCTTTCCGCTTGACACATAGCCCCCTCACTGAATGGCAGCCCAGCCAGTGAGGGGAGGGGTGTGCCTGCCAAGGGTTGGGTTGGCCAGCTGGGGTGCTCCCCAGCGCAGGTGGGTGGGCAGGTGCCGCAACACAGCTCCGTGAACCCTCTGTGCTCTGCATGTGGCCAGCAGTGAGAGCTGTGATGTCGCAGTAAGTTTTGTTCATCCTCAGTGTCCTACCGCTCTCCCACATGGTGTGTGAGTATGCCTGGGCAACCCGGGTGCCAGCAAAGGACACAATGCCACTGGCGCCGCGTGCAACACTAAAATTCGGCACCACCACGACTCTGTTGGAAATCAAGCCTTCTTCAGGAGAAGGTGGCAACTCTCCCAGACTCCCGGCTTGGTCTCCGGTGACCTCCCTGTCTGCAATTCCCGCAGGATCCAGGCTAGGTCTCAATAGGCGACACCTCCCAGCGTGGGAGAGGCACACCCCCTCCTTCCTGCTCCCTGGCAGGGAAAGGAGATAGACAGAAACGTCTATTTTACATGCTTTTATTTTGACTTTTCAGCACTACAGAAAACATGTCCGTTTACTTCAAACTCCTTCCAGCAAGTGACAAATACTTCCTGTACAAACGCAAGAGGAAGGTCTCAAATTACACTCTGAGCAAATTCCGGTGCATCGCCCTGTGAACTGACTGTCCCACTGTTTCCCACAGTCAGTCCCATCATTCCCATCATGTGTTGTTTTCAAGCTACCAGTTTGCAGCTGCGTTGCTTCTATATCGTAACAGACTCCACTTCCGCTCTAAGTCATTGTTGCAGTGCCCTCTCAGCTGGACGAAGCAGTCGTGCTCCCCTAAGTCCGCCTCCAGCCCATCCGACAACACACATAGAGCCAACTCCTATCGGCTGAGGTCCCTTTGGCCATGGGCGTAGCGGGGAGGGGGGCAGTTTGCAGCTGTACCCCCTAAATCAGGCATCCCCAAACTCGGCCCTCTAGCTGTTTTGGGACTACAATTCCCATCATCCCTGACCACTGGTCCTGTTAGCTAGGGATGATGGGAGTTGTAGTTCCAAAACAGCTGGAGGGCCGAGTTTGGGGGTGCCTGCCCTAATTCAAATAAATAAAAAAAATAAAAATACCTAACTGGGTGTAGTCAACTGCGAGGGGGGGCAGGATCCACAAATATCAGTGGAAAGCATTGAAAGCACGCAATTATCTGAGGTTCTGCCCCCCCCCCCCACTCCCAGTAGAAGCCAGCCCTTACGCAATGTCTTATCTACGGGGTATTTTTTATCCATGATTTCTGAAGAAAAACATTTGATTACTTTTTAAAAAAACAAACCTTTGGCTCCCCCCCCTCCAAATCCTGGCTTATGCCCATGCTAACTGACCAATTGCGTTGCAGATAAGTTTGTTCTGCCGCCCCACAACATAAAACCTGCCCCCCCAATAAATCCTGGCTACTCCCATGCCTTCATTCTCATACCCATAAAATATTTGAGGAGGCTGCTCCCCGTCCGCCCCCCCGAGAGAGAGAGAGAGAGAGAGAGAGAGAGAGAGAGAGAAGAAAAATTCAAGTGCATGATAGCTTCCTCTCCGGTGACGCGGAGGCACCGGCGGCCAGCAGGTGGCGCTGCGCGCAATCCAGCTTGGGGCCATCTCTACGCGGCCACTTCCCCTCCCTCTCTATGGTCGCCACTTCCTGTTTGGCGTACGGAGGCGGCGGCGAAGGGAGCGGAAGGGCCGGTACCTGCTCCGAGGTGGGCGGCGGGGCTTCCTCATCCCCTTTGCCCGAGGGGGAGGGGAGGGGCCCTCCCGGCCTAATTGGGGTGGGGGTGTCTTTGCATCTCTGCTCAGCAGAGAGAGATTCCCAAAATTTCTCTTCCTCAGTAAATTGAAACATAAATTATAAACTGAATTTCCCCTCAAACGGCCCTGGAGGCTTGAGCTGAGATTCCTGGGTTGGGGGGGAAGGGTGAGTTGGGGGTTGGACTAGATGACCCTCAGGGGTCCCACCCAACTCTGATTCTACTCTTCTGTCTTGAAGGGAGGCAGAAGAGGGAGAAGGCGGTGCTCGAGAGCCAAGGCAGCAACCGGATGATGCAGCCTTCTAATGCGGCGACCTTAAAAATAAAATTAAATTAAAAGGTGAATTTGCAAAACTGACAGATTTAATAAGGCATAAATCAAAAATTATAATTCAGAAACAATGGGAATGCTTAAATGAATATTTATACAAGCAGGGCTCAAATAGGAAAGTTTGGTTGTGCCTAGACTAACCTTGAGAAGAATATAGAGAACGGATTATGAAAGAACCTAAGGAAGGGAAATGATTGAAGAACAGATGTAAAGGCGAGCAAGATAACGAAGAGGCGTGCGGTGAATGCGGTGGAAGTCTTTTATAATATTTTAACTAAGATTTCTATATTGTAATGTTTGAAGCATGAATTTGGTAATATTGGTTGTGAAAAGTATTTTCTTTTTTAGTTTGCATTTTGGAAAACATGTATTTAAATGTGTTTACAGGGTTATGTATTGTTTTTTGTTTTGTTTTCTTGCAAAATTCAATAAAAATTAATATTAAAAAAAATAAAAAGGTGAATTTGGGTTGCCAGGCTGGTGCTCTCCCATTTACAGGGGTTTGCTGGCCCCTGGCCTTTCCTCAGAGACTCCCAGGGGCCGAATGCCTACCCTGGCGGGAAGCCTGCAAAGAGGACCCGAGTGCTACAGCACTCTCCCCAATTTCTTTAAAAAGTAGCTTTTAATTAAATATTTTATTGGCTTGCAAAAGTACGTGCATTGTCTCTTTTCTGTTCAGGTTGTGCTTTCTACAGATCAGTTGGCATTTGTTGTTTGATTCCCAGGGGAAGGTGCTCTCTTGGACCTTCTGAGCTGGCTAGTAGCCGTATTTGTGACCAAATCTGTATTCAGTAGACATCATCGCCCTCATTTCTGACACCTGCCTCCTTTGTGGCCATTCAGGGAAAGCAGGGTCTATTTAAGCATCTTCTGTTGCTTAAGTTGCCCGTTTTCTGCCCAGACGTCTTAGCTGCTTGCTCTGCTTCAGTCTCCTCAGCCTCTTCTGCCTTGGACGGCTGGATTTTTCTTCCTCTGGCCAGTTCAAGGATGAGATGTTGTCTGGAAGATTCGCTCTGGGATTTCCCCTAGGAATGTTCCTTTAGTGGGTCTTGTTTGGCCGAGGAGTCTATCAAGTTCTAGTGGGGCTGAGTTGCTTTCCTGCGGGCTTTGATGTGACTGACTTGGGTGGCTGCTTTTGTAGTTGTGTGGCAGTTTCTCACCATGGGCAAAGGAGCCTACTTTTGACTTGCAATTTCTTCTCTTTCCCCAGGATTTTGGAATCAACAGAACAGCTGTAGGGAGATTGCAAATGCATCTTTGGGAAGTCCAGAAGCATCGTTTATTTACAATATGTACAAAGAGAATTTTATGCCATCCAGGATACGACATTTGGTGGGTGTGCATGAGGACTTATTTTTTAATTTGATGCACTATATGTGATGAAAAGGACCCAGCTACAAGGCCTGAAATCATTCAGAGGTTGGAGGAGAGACTCTCCGGTAAGCAGAAAGAAAAGGCAGGAGTGTGGATGAAATTGGTGGGGGACAGAGATCTAGGGCATAAACGTTAATATAATAATAATAATATTTTTTTATTTATACCCTGCCTCCGCCCTTCCCGGTTCAGAAAACCGGGCTCAGGGCGGCTAACAACAAATTTAAAATACTTAATTGATGCAACAAAAAACAGCATAAAATTCAGTATAAAACGTGAATAACAATAAATTCAGAATTCAAAATCAATTTAAGGGGGAAATCCATCCAATAAGCATTAGATGATCACCAGGGCTAGCTGGCTAAATTAGTCCTATTTGGCCCAGCGAGGAGACTAGGGGAGAATTAGCTGTGGGATCCCAGAGCGGGTAATCTTCATAAAAAGGGGAGGGGGAGGGAAGGAAGGGGAATAAAAGATCAGGCTAATTTCAAATTGAAAGTCAGGTGGAATAGCTCTGTCTTACAGGCCCTGCAGAAGGAAGTTAAATCCTGCAGGGCCCTGGTCTCATGGGACAGAGCATTCCACCAGGTCGGAGCCATCACTGAGAAGGCCCTGGCAGGTCAGCAATACTGAAGCAAACTCGGCATAAAGGAGAACACTTTATGTGACAAAGACAATTGCAATGGGTTTATTCAGAGCAGTTGAGGCTCCCCAAATGTATTCTATAATATTTTAATCCATGAAACCCACATTCGTATAAAGGTTTTAATTCTTCCTATCCCTTTTCTGTCCTCTGCAGGCATTGGAATCGCCCAACTTGAGATCTTTCTCTCTGCTTTAAAGTGTGTTGTGGCATCATTGTGAGAGGCCCAAGGTTGGCTTGGTTTATGCCTCCTCCTTCACACCCTGAAGGCAGCGCAATGGCCTCAGAGGCGTCTTGGTTGTCTCTTCTTTGGGCCGGAATGAAAAGAGCTACTGGGCAGCCACCTCAGGTAAGGGAAGGAGAATTGGGGAGAGCCATCACGGTGGCCTGGGTGGCTCCCACTCTGTTGAGTGGGGAGGGCTGTTGTGTCATCCACACCCTTGCTCTGAGATGTTCTGGCATTCCCTTGTACCACCTCCCCACCCCCACCCCCTTAACAAGATGTACAGCTCAGAGTTGGGTTTTGGTGGGAATTTCTATAACCTTTCTTCCATTCCTCCTGCCACCGCATATCCTATCTGAATACTCCATTCCCAGCATAATGAAATATTATGCATGTGGTGGAATACAATTAATTTACTGAATACAAATGAATAACAATGGTTGCATGATTATGAGCGCTTTGCTTCAGACTGTGTTGTTGTTGTTTGAAGTTTTTATTTGTACTTTTCCAGTTTATACATTTCATTAGTTTCACAATCAATTTAACATTTCAAAGTTTGACTTCCTTCTCCTTCTTTCTGCAGTTCCTTAAATTAATTTTGTAAATATCTTCTGCATATCCAAATTCATTTAATTTGCTCATTTACTTACCTACTTTACATATATACTCTTATGAAACTGCAGGTTATTGCAGTAATCCTGCCAATGTGTTTTATCTGTTTGCATTTTATCTGTAAATATTCAGTAAGCCATTTCTGTTCTTTTATAAAAAGTTTGTTATCTTGATTTCTTATTCTTCCGGTATGTTTCGTCATTTCTGCATATTCCATAAGTTTTTGTATCCATCCTTCCTTTGCTGGGACTTCTACTTCTTTCCACTTTGGGGCAAGTAGCTACTACAGCTTTGTTTCAGACTTTTGTTATCTTAATGCAGATGCAACTACTAAAATGCTGAAGCTATACTGATAAATTAGCTCTGCTTCACATCCACCAGCAAGTCGTTCAACACCATCTCCCAAACTCCACTCTCAACAACTCTCTGCTTGACTCTGAACTGAACTGCAGACAGTCTCACCATCAGTGCTCAAACTCCTTTTCAAACTCATATCCAATTGCCAGTCACTACCAATATTCCCAACTCACTCACTCCCCCTAACTGTTTAGCGAAGTTTTTAATGTTAGTTGTTTTATTGTTTTTTTAATATTCTGTTGGGAGTGGCTTGGAAGGCCCGGCCAGATGGGGGGTATAAGTAATAAATTATTATTATTATTATTATACCACCTCCCTAACATTTTGTTTGATTCCTCTAATGTACTGGAAGCCTTCCAGAGTGCCTGCTGAAATCCAGCCCAACAGATGTGACATAAACAATAAAATAATAATAATTATTATTAATGTACTTCCCTCTGTATTTACCTTAATGAGTATTAATGCCAGTGCATAAAATATTATGTACAAAAACCCAGAACCTCACAAGGGACTCTGAATTAATACTCCTTTTTCTCTCTATGTTTGCACTGCAAAATCTCACAAGCCACCTAGTAGTCAGTAAATGGAACCACACATAGAGCAACGTTAACTGTTTCCTCTTTTCAAACTGGGATAATAGTGCAGTTTTGGTCATTTGTGTTTCATTTTTATTCCAGGCATTCTTGGCGTTTGAGGAGGTGGCTGTGTTTTTCACGGAGGAGGAGTGGGCTCTGCTGGATCCCGACCAAAGAGCTCTGCACAGGGATGTCATGGTGGAGAATTATGAGATGGTGGCCTCTCTAGGTAAGGGCACTTCCTTCATGGATAGATGTTGAAGGTATGAATTCATTGTGCTCCTCCAGGCATTCTCCTTGGTTTATCCTCATAACCCATGTTCATTTTTGTCTCCACAAAAGTTTCCCACCTCTAATGCTTTGGCTGCAATTGATTTCCTCCTAAAATATTGTAGCATTCCGTACAATTGTTCTGGTGTTATATTTGTTTCTGAAGCCCTGCCAGTATTTCTATACTGCCATATTGTATAACGGGTTGCCATCCTTTTGGGCCAGTGGGTACATTTGTGAGAGAATGCTGTGGGAAACTATACAGTAAGTGTAGGCTCACTATACAGTGAATTCTTAATACAGTCGTACCTTGGAAGTCGAATGGAATCCGTTCCGGAAGACCGTTCGATTTCCAAAATGTTTGGAAACCAAAGCGCAGCTTCTGATTGGCTGCAGGAAGCTCCCATTGGACGTTTGGCTTCCAAAAATAGTGTGCAAACCGGAACACTCACTTCTGGGTTTGCGGCATTTGGGAGCCAAAATGTTCGAAAACCAAGGTACAGGTGACTCCCCATTTATGCAGGTGGGGGTCCTCCTGGTATTTCTGCTGCCATCGGTATTGTGGGAAGAAGACTTTTTTTGTGGCAGTTGTGGAACGCTCTCCCCACAAGTCATGCCTCTATCATCTTTAGTGTAGAGTTTTCACCCTTTGTCTTTTGTAGAACCCTCCTCCCTCTATGACCTGATATGGTTCTGTTCCATTTGGAATGGTTGAGCTTGGTTTAGAATTGTAGCTGCCTACCTGTTTTTGTGCATGTTATATTGTTGTAACTGAGTCTGGAACGTTATGATGAAGCGCAGGCCAGGAACCAGTAGATAAAGCGCCTTTTAAGTTGCTTGACTTGGAACAGATGTGGTCAAAAAGTAACTGGTATTTTTTGTTCCCTTGAAAGAATCAGACCTCCGCTCCTGCTGGGGAGAATATCCATTTATCCAGGATCTCAAAGAAGGAGAGACATCAACAGGTAGCTCTGCCTAGATGTGTTGTGGGGCCCTTTTTGATCTGGGAATTGAAGGATTTCCCCATTTTGGAGTAATATCCCAGGCAAATTGACCCAACAAGCTGTGAGACCTCTTCCTGGACATCTTTCAAGGGGGATTTGACAGATTCATTGAGGATAAGACTGTCAGTGGCTACTACCTATGTCAGCTAGGCGCTACTTCTTGAAATGGGGAAAGCCATATGGCCCTCAAAACTCTTCCCAGGTCCCATCACCTCTCAAGGAACCCCAGTGTCTCTACAGGCCATCGTGAAAATGTCACTTGCCATTTTTCATCAATATGGTGCACAGGACCCTTTGAAAGTGCACCGATGGCAAGCATTTTCTGCTAGCTTAAAATAAATATCACAAACATAGGGAATAATATGCCTATGGGAAATGTGATTGACCTGGAAGAAAGTGACAGAAGTAGAAACTGGCACTAAAGTACCAGTGTAAAGTTGGCACCTTTGTTACAGTTGAGTTTCTGAATGGGGAATTGAAAGGAAAATGGTGGAAACAGAGACTTCTTTGCCTGGTGACAGAAAGTGGGATCCGAACCCTAAAAGAAATTTGTTGTGATTGCCTTAGACCAGGGATGTCCAACTCCCAAGAGACTGCAATCTACTCACAGAATAGATAGATAGATAATTTATTACGGTTGGAGACCAGCTTATAAAACATACTTGGGGGTACAATCCTAGAAGGAAAACAAACATTTAAAACAATGTACAACAATAAATTTAAAATTTATAAATGCGATAAGCGTATAGACACTTAAAACTTTAAGATAAGCTACCGCAGAGATGACCCAGAGTCACCCATGGAAGCGAGTTTGGGGATTTTCTTAACGAGCTAGTTTGAGTCGGGGGATGGTCTGCACCTACAGATCTGTACACAGAATCTGCCGACCATCTGGGTCCTCTTATGATCTTTGCCTAACAGGAAAAGGTCAAATTTTTGCTTTTCCGGGAGGTCAGCGAACCTCACCAGCAGGGGATCAATGGTCTCACTACGTGCCTCTTCATAAAAGGGACATCTAAAGAACAAGTGCTCTGGGCTTCCTATATCCCCCAAAGAACAGGTGCAAAGTCTCTGAGCATATGGGACTTTTTAAAAGGATCCTTCCAGGACCAGCGAGGGCAGAGCCAAGCTTCTGGCGAGTGTGAAAGCCCTTCTTGCATTTTTGGATACGAGAAAGAAGAGACATGCTGCCAGTGCGGCTATATCTCTCTTGATTTCTCCAATTTTATAGTTGGGGCACCTTGAGCAGTCCTGTTGTCTCTTGGTGTCTATGATTCTTTACTCACAGAATAAAAAACTAGCAGTGATCTACCCCTTTTTTTTTTTATGGAGGGGATTTGAAAATGTTGAACTTGGGGAAAGGGGGAAATTCACTCACCAAAAGATCGCCAAGGAAACAGTCAGCCTCATAGTGAAAACGCCGTATTGTGTTATAACAATCATGTGCGAATGGAGGGCGGGGCCAGATGCTCTTTTGACACCACAAATGAAAGGGAGCCCACGATCTACCAAAACCTCCCAGGGCTCAACAAGTAGATTGCGATCGACCTGTTGGACATCCCTGCCTTAGACTAACACATTCAGAAGGCAACCTCAGTTTCAGCTTTGGATAGTCAAAGGAGGGGTTGTCCATGTGTGAAGATGCTAAAACTGGAGAAGCAGCTACTTGGGTTTTATTATGGTGGTGATGATTTTATTATTTGTACCCCGCCCATCTGACTGGGTTGCCCCAGCCACTCTGTGCAGCTTCCAATGTATATAAAAACGAAACATTGCACATTAAAAAGCCATTGATTCCAAAGGAAGTCCTTTGTTTCTGCCTTGAAATTCAAATGCTGTTTTCTTTTGTCTATCTCCACACAAACAGATTATGGGCAGAACAACTGGAATTATACAGAGCTCTCTGAGGTGCCGTTGGAAAGAGCGAAGAGCGAATCACAGAAAGAGATGTTTTTAGGTTTTAGAGAACTCAAAAAGGATGAAGGAAACCTGTCAGAGAACGAAGAAAAGAAATGCTCTACTTCTCTGGTCGTTGATGCCCATGAACCCCCAATCTCACGGGAGGATCACAACGAAAACAGCAGGAAATTACGTCCACTATGTGGAAAGATATTTCGATATGAATCACAATTAAATCTACATTACAAAATCCACACAGGGGTGAACATATTTAAACCAACAGAGTGTGAAAAGACTGTGCCCTGCAGCTTACCAAAATATCAAAATACCCACACAGGAGACAAAGCATTTAAATGCATGGAGTGCGGAAAGAGCTTCAGTCAGAGAGGTAACCTTATTCGTCATCAAATGACACATTCAGGGGAGAAACCATTTGAATGCAGAGAATGTGGGAAGAGCTTCAGTCAGAGCAGTCACCTTACTGCACATCACAGAACACACACCGGGGAGAAGCCATTTAAATGCATGGAGTGCGGGAAGAGCTTCCGATTGAGCAGTCTCCTTACTTTACATCACAGAACACACACAGGGGAGAAACCGTTTAAATGCATGGAGTGTGGGAAGAGCTTTGCTGTGAGATCGTGCCTCACGTTACATGAAAGAGCCCACACAGGGCAGAAATCATTTAAATGCATGGAGTGTGGGAAGAGCTTCAGTCAGAGCAGTAACCTTATTCGTCATCAGATAACACATTCCGGAGAGAAACCGTTTAACTGCATGGTGTGTGGAAAGAAATTCAGTCAGAGCAGTCACCTTAGTGCACATCACAGAACCCACACAGGGGAGAAACCTTTTCAGTGCGTAGTGTGTGGAAAGAATTTCCGTTGGAGCAGTCTCCTGACTTTACATCAGAGAGCTCACACAGGGGAGAAACCATTTAAATGTACCGGGTGTGGAAAGGGCTTCACTGTGAGATCTTGCCTCACTTTACATGAAAGGACCCACACAGGACAGAAATCATTTAAATGTCTGGAGTGTGGAAAGAGCTTCAGTCAGAGTGGTCACCTTATTCGGCATCAGATAACACATTCCAGAGAAAAACCATTTAAATGTGTGGAGTGTGGCAGTACCTTTACTCGGCATTCTCAACTTATTCGTCATCAAAGAACACACACAGGAGAGAAACCATTTCAGTGTGTGGAGTGTGGAAAGAGTTTCTGTTTCAGCAGTCACCTTACTCAACATCTGAGAACCCACTCAGGGGAGAAACCGTTCCAATGTGCAGAGTGTGGAAAGAGCTTCAGTTTTAGCAGTCACCTTACTCGACATCATCGAACCCACACCGGAGAGAAGCCATTTCAATGCATGGAGTGTGGAAAGAGCTTCAGTGAGAGTATTAACCTTACTGTACATCTGAGAACCCACACAGGGGAGAAACCGCTGAAATGCATGGAGTGTGGAAAGAGTTTTAGTCACAGCAATAGCCTTGCTACACATAAGAGAATCCACACTGGCGAGAAGCCATTTCGATGCATGGAGTGTGGAAAGAGCTTTAGCCACCTTGCTGGCCTTCATGCACATAAGATAACACACACCGGGGAGAAACCATTTCAGTGCATGGAGTGTGGGAAGAGGTTCAGCTCCAGCAGCCACCTTACTCGACATCTTCGAACGCACTCGGGGGAGAAACCGTTTCCCTGCATGGAGTGTGGAAAGAGCTTCAGTCAGAGCAGTCAGCTTAGTACACATCAGAGAACACACACAGGAGAGAAACCCTTTAAATGCACGGAGTGCGGAAAGCGCTTCAGTGCAAAGAGTATCCTTACTAAGCATCAGAGAAGCCACACAGGGGAGAAACCATTCAAATGCATGGAGTGTGGAAAGAATTTCAGCCGGAGCAGCAACCTTACGAGACATTATAGGACACACACCAGAGTGATGGCAGGGAGGCATTTAAAATAGCTTCAGCTGATATATCAAGGGATATATGCCACTGGAGAATAGTTGTTTAACACTTCTGGGTTATGGGAAAGTTTTGCCAGACATCTACGGGGCATCACTGCCCTCCTCCAGCCACCCTTTCGGTGATGGGAGAATTGCAAGCGTGTGGAGGGTGATCATACATGTAGTGGCTGACACACGTGGTACAAACACACCAACAGCTCCAACATACGGATGGAATGCTTAACACGGAGACAATAAGCGCCACTCAGTCATCTTAACATGAACAGGGATGCTGGAGGTGATTATTTTTAAAGGACTGTTCCTCATGATTTCATTTGATTTATCACATTGCTTAAGGCAAGCGTGAGGAGTGTGTGGTTCACCAGATATTACCAGACGATTAACCATTGGCCGTAAGGATTGAGGCTGATGGGAATTTTGACATTCAGAAACCGTAGGTTTCCTGCCAGTGACTTAACAGATCCTTGAAAGTGGATGCATAGAGTTAGGAGCTGTGGCCTAATTTGGTGGTTGGCAGCAGAGCTTGGGTAAAGACTGGGCAAGACCGCCTGGGCTGCGATTGAGGGATGGCGAGGGGCAGGGGACCCGGCAGCCTTCAGTGATGAACTTCATCTCCTTCCTAGCATCCCATCATTATGGTAGCCTCTGGCATCCTGCAACACCAAGCATGACAGTGTTAAGAATATTGTTAAGTATATTGTATGGGGAAAGGTATGAGATTTTGAAGAGAGCAAAAAAAGCCCCTTTTTTCATCTTGACGCTCTTCATGATTTTACACTGGGTTGGGATCCTAGACTGATCCCTGACTGAGCTCAGACTTCACACACACAGTGTTTTATCTTAGATTATCATGGATGTGATTTCTCCTAACCTGTAGGAGCTTGTTCCCTAGAACGTGATACTGTTAGGACAGCTGGAAAAGCAGGAAGCTTTAACTAAGGAGCTTTTTGAGTTTACGTGCACCAAGGTAGGTTTAAGGCATGGTTAAGTCTATAGTTATTTTTAATCTTGCATGCTAAAATTCTTGTGTGCAATATTGTTTACTCATAGAGTTGTAGTCTAACTTTTTTATGTACAGTGCACTTTTGATTTACTGTTGATATTCTTGATGGACTATGTTTGCTCCTTTCATAAACAAATGCATTCTCTGGTCTTCTGATGATGTGCTTAAGGGAGGGAGCCAGCGTTTGTCCACAGACAGCTTTCTGGGTCATGTGGCCAGCCAAAACTAAACCACTTCTGGCGCAACGGAACACCGTGACGGAAACCAGAGCACACGGAAACGCCGTTTACCTTCCCGTCACAGCGGTACCTATTTATCTACTTGCACTGGCGTGCTTTTGAACTGCTAGGTTGGCAGGAGCTGGGACAGAGCAACGGGAGCTGACTCCATCGCAGGGATTTGAACCATCAACCTTCTGATCAGCAAGCCCAAGAGGCTCAGTGGTTTCAACCACAGCATCACCCGAGGTAAACAGTCCTTGGCCAGACATATCAATGGTGTGACTCACTGGAAGGCAACTTCCAGTGTGCGGAATTTCTAGGGATAACAAATCCATTTTGCCAGATTGTCAGTTACCTTCCATTGTACATTGTGTGTATCTGAAGAAGTGTGCATGCACACAGAAGCTCATACCAATAACAAGCCTAGTTGGTCTCTAAGGTGCTACTGGAAGGAATTTTATTTTTTATTTTGTTCCTCTATTGTACACATGGTGGTCTTATGCTGAGAGGTCAGTCTAACAGGGTCATCCATATCCTACACCAGGAAGGGGTTTCTACATACTGAGGGTGGGGGAAATGATTCCCCAAGTTGTCCAACAGTTCAAATACATCCTCAAGCACTGTATAAAGCCCTGCATGGCAGAGGGACCAGATTGATCAAAGGATCACCTGCATCCACATATTCTCGCCTGCAACTTGCAATCCAGCTCCCAGGACTGTTTCAGGGTCTGTCAATAATGCAATTGTTCAGATGAGGCTGGCCCTGCCTTTCACATATATAAATCTCTTTCAAAAGTGTTTAATCCGTTTTTTTTCTTCAAAAAACTTTTTGAGCCTATGAATGGGAGCAGGTAGCTCACACAAGGCTTTGCTTCATAGCAACTATTACAGCTTAGATTAAAAAAACTAAGCAGAAGACCTCCCATATAGCAAGGGTTCAGAATGATATATAACATGGCAAAAGCATAAATGAGATAAGCTGTAGAGACATTCGGTTAAATTTGCCGATTCTGTAGATTTTCCTGTAAGGAGCTTAAGGGGAAAAAATGATTCTTTTTTTAAGCACACCAGTTCTGAAGAAACAGAAATAAATTTAACTTGTTCCAAAGCCAGCTCAACCAGTGACCCTTTCAAAGAGGGCACGCTATTCGGGGAGGAACTGAAAGACCCGCTGGTAGAGACCAGAGACAAAAAGATGGTCCCACATAAAAGGATTGAGTCAGAAGGGGCTCTTGTTCCTCCTTTCATCCCTGCAAGGATCCTTCCACAACACAGATTCAAAGGGCTATAAGCTTTCCTGGGAATGAGGCAAGGGATCTCAAACAGAAACAAGTGTAGCCAGAACTCCATCTTCAAGCATCCTCCTCTTCTTTGGTGATCACTCGTAGCTGAGTCAGATTGTCTTTCATGAACACAGTTTTAGGAGTGAGTCTGTAAGTGACTGTGGAGGCCAGTTCTGGATCCACACATCCTTCCACAGTGGGGACATAGGTTTCCGGGCAGGAGTTCTGATCTCAATGAGGGTTTGCCAAACGTGCCTTCCTCTTAGCATGTCTTCAAAGCCCATGACAACTTTGGTAAAGGCTGTTCTCCAACTGGGGTGCTCGCAGGCAAGTGTTTCCCCGTTGTCAGTGTTTATACTACATTTTTTTAGATTTGCCTTGAGAGAGTCTTTAAACCTCTTTTGTTGACCGCTTTCCATTTTTAAGTTCGGAATAGAGTAGTTGCTTTGGAAGACAATAACCAGGCATCCGCACAACATGACCAGTTCTTCAAGCAGCCTCAGGGTAGTAACTACAAGGGAGGCAAGAGGCAGCCAACAGCAACAGGCCAGAACCACAGAGTGGATCTGGCTGCTACCTTATTCTCTTTATGGTTCCAAATGTTGGGGAAATGGAGGGTTATCTGAGGTCCTAAGATCGTCAATTCGTACTTGAACCAAGTGGATTCCTTGAAGACTATCCCAGAGGGTCTCAGGCCTGTAACTTTGCCTCCTTGGATCTGACCGAGGCGTCCCTCCACATCCTAGTTCACCCATCCTAGTTCAGCCCATCACATATTTCTGTGTTTTGCATACCAGGGCAGGCCTTTCCTGTACAAATGCCTCCCCTAGAATCATAGAATCATAGAGTTGGAAGAGACCACAAGGGCCATCGAGTCCAACCCCCTGCCAAGCAGGAAACACCATCAGAGCACTCCTGACATATGGTTGTCAAGCCTCTGCTTAAAGACCTCCAAAGAAGGAGACTCCACCACACTCCTTGGCAGCAAATTCCACTGTCAAACAGCTCTTACTGTCAGGAAGTTCTTCCTAATGTTTAGGTGGAATCTTCTTTCTTGTAGTTTGGATCCATTGCTCCGTGTCCGCTTCTCTGGAGCAGCAGAAAACAACCTGTGGATTGGCTCTAAACCCCCTGTGGATTGGCTCTAAACCCCAGGACATTCTCAAATGTGCTAGTAGCTGTGGTGGCCCATCTAAGGAAGAAGACCATTCACCTATTCCCCCCCCCCCCCAATACCTGGACAATATCATGATCCACTCAGACTCTCCAATAGGTCAAGAGCAATGTAGCAGAGACCCTAGACTATCTGCAGAGTCGCATTTTCATGGTGAGCATGGAAACAAGCCGGCTGGCCCTAGCACAGATCATAGTGCACCTGGGAGTGGTGATAGACACCAAGCAAGGCATGGTGAGTGTTAACTCAGTGAGCATAGAAAGATTTGGAGGGCAGTCTGGAGGCGGGCAAAATTTGTCCCCATCTTCAGAGGGGTGGGGAGAAGACCCAGGTAACGCCTGAGCTTGACATCAATACCCAGAAAAGTCCTAGAACAGATAATTCAGCAGTCTGTCAGTGAGCACTTAGAATAGGATGCTGTGTTTTCCAGTCAGCTTTGCCATGTCAGTGTAGTCTATCAACTTGGCTTGCCATTCTTCTCTGGTAGGGACTTTATCATCTTTCCAACTCTGGGCCAATAACATCCGCATGGCTGTTGTTCCATACATAAAAAGTCTTTTCTGCTCCTTCAGAATATTGGTACCTGGAAAACTCAGAAACCAAGAGGATAAAAACTTTATAAAAGAGTGGGGGGAAATTACCAGTTATCTAGGAGACCACTGTAAGAAGATAGAAACGAGCAGTATTTTGACACACTTTTAGTGTAAAAAATATTATGGATAATATGGTTTGATATAATAACTGGAACACAGACTAATATTTAGCTGTAGATGTTTCAAAACAAGACTCCGTGGACGGGATGGGGGGGAAGTCATGAGATTCTGTATTGTTAATAAAATGTCTTTTTTAAAAAAAGAATATTACTAACATTCAGCATGAATTTCTCAAAAGAAAGCCATGCCTGGTGAATCTCATTTCTTTCTTTTTTATACAGTTACAAGCTTAGTAGATCAGGGGAATGCTGTGGACATAGTGTGTCTTGATTTCAGTAAGGCTTTTGACAGAGACCCCCATGATATTCTTGCAAGGAAGTTGGTAAAATATGGGTTGGACAAGGTACTGGTAACTGTTAGGTGGATTTGTAGCTAATTGACTAACCGAACCCAAAATGTGCTCATCAATGGTTCCTCATCATCCTGGGGGAAAAAATGATAGGTGGGGCGCCACAGGGTTCTGTCCTTGGCCCTTTTTCTGTTCAATGTCTTCATAAAGGACTTGAATGAAATAATGGAGGGAATGCTCATCAGATTTCCGATGACACCAAAGTGGGAGCGGTAAATGACCTTAACTGATGGGAGAACTGGGCCCAAACTAACAAAATGAATTTCAGTAGGGACTAATGTATGGTTCTACATTTAGGCAGAAATAACCAGCTTCATAAATATGAGCCAGGGGACACCTCACTTTCCAGGAGTACAAGGGGAAAGGATTTAGGAGTATTACTAGAGCACAAGCTTAACATGAGTCAACAGTGTGATGCAGGAGCAAAAAAATCTAATGCTATTCTAGGCTGCATCAACAGAAGTCTACTGTTCTGATCAAGGTAAGTGATAGTACGCTCTCTTGTGCCTTGCTCAGACCACACCTGGAGTACTGTGTCCAGCTCTGGGCACCACAATTTAAGGAGGATGTCGACAAGCTCAAATACCTTGGAGAGTAGGACGCAAAGCAATGGGTTCAAATTACAAGGAAGGAGATTCTGACAGCATTAGTAAGAACTTTCTGGCAGTAAGAACTGTTTGACAGTGGAACAGACTACCTCATAAGGCGGTAGACTCTTCACTAGAGGTTTTTAAACAGAGATTGTATGGCAACCTGCCAGGGATTATTTAGCTGAGATTCCTGCATTTCAGGGGGTTGGACTATATGAACTTTGGGGGACCGTCCAACTCTACAATTCTTATGATCAGGGAGTTATTGCAAACCTGTTTTTCTCTGTCTCTGTCCCTTGAGTCACCCAGATTGTCCAGGAGATTTCAGAGGAGGTGGACCTCCTTAACCTCAATAATTATATCAAAATAATGGTGATTTGTTTACGTGCTCCAGGGATTCCCCCCAAAATGGCCTTTGAGACCAATAGCATAAACATCAGAATCACAGGCAGGGATGAGGTTACTTCTTGTAACAAGCCTGAAAGAAGTGGGAGGCTACTTATGGTTATCCTTGCGTTTGAAGCAGCTGCTGTACTGAAATCACTGCAGTCAGGAGGCAACTTTTGCAGGCAGAGCCAAGATGATCTTGCTGCTGCTGCTGCTCCTGCTGCTGCTAATGCCCAGCGGAGCAAATGGGATGCTGAAAGCCAAATGTCCAGTGGAGGTCTTCAGGCAAAAGGATGCACTGAATTATTACAGGCCAGGAGACCACCTCATTAGTGGCATCATCGCTCCGAAAATTGCTAAATTTGAACCATATGTCCTTTCCTGGCCACCCACAACTAAGATTGGGAGGTAAGTGACCTGCCCATCTCCTTCCTTTGTCCCTCTGTTGGGAGTGAGATTTAGAACTTGAGAAGAGCCCGCTGGATCAGGCCAGTGGTCTCTCCAGTCCAGCATCTCCATCTCACAGTGGCCATGCTGGCAGGATTGGTGCACAAGAGCACACTCCCCTACTGTGGTCTCCAGCAACAATAGTGAGGAAGCCAAAAGCCAGAGGAGAGCTGAGAGTTTTGGGGCTGCAATGTGACCTAGGAGCAAGCAGAGAAAGAGAGCCATGTTGGATCTCTGCTTGAATCCGAGGCCGTGGCGTTGGGGTGTTAATGCTGTGAAGCCCTCCATCGTAGGCTCAGGTTCTGTATTTGTGTAAATAAACCCTATATCCTAAAGACACCACTGTCTCCGCAGTATTTCATTCCCCAAAGGAAAGACGAACCCTGGGTAACCCCTAAAATCTCACATAGCTGGGAGATTGGGGCGGCGTGCAACACTGGTCTCAGAAGTGGGATCTGTGTTTCCTAGAGGGGAGCCAGTGAGTGAGGTGTGCCAGAGTTGAAATGGAGGGAGAAAGAGCAACACGTCTTGTGCAGCTTGAGAAAATTGGAGCCGTGGCTAAGCCAGCAGCTTGACAGAGCAGACCCGCTGCTGGTGGAGTGGGTGAGAAGTCTCAGTGGGGAGGAAAGCGCGACTCCCTGCAAGATAAGGGCCCTGCTGGATGAGATGAGCTACAGGGGGTTTGACGTGAGCCAGGAGCCCAGCTGCAAGGCACCTAGATGACAGGGGTGGCCAGAGAAATCCAGAGTGTGGCTGGGCAGCTGAGGGGCTTGGACAGCAAAGAGAGGGCAGACAGACAGGTGCAGAGGAGCTTCTACTGTGGAAAAAGGGGTGCAGGAGGAAAGTGCCTCAGCGGAGGGCAAACAGCAGGACGGAGAAAAGCTGCTGCTGCTGCTGCTGCTGCTGCTGCTGCTAGATCTCTTCATGTGGGTGGGGTCAGGGGAACAGCTGGCTCCTGCTGAATTGGGTGAGAGGAAACCCTTCAATGATTTTTCCCCTTGGGTGCTCCAAGATGACCTTGTGGGGTGAGGACCAGTCCCTGTACTGGGTGCAGGTCTTAAGCAAGCCCCAGCAGCCAGGGTCTTCCAGGTTCCCATAAGTTTGGGGTCCAAGAGCCATTGGGGAGATTATCTACCTTTGTTTGAAGCATCAAAGAGACATTGGGAGCAAGCCGAGAGTGGAATTTCTGGCTAGTAACGTGGGTGGACTGGGCCAGCTGATCTTGAAGATGGTCCCCCCAGATAAAGACTTGTGGAAGTACATTGATTTGGAGTTTGGGGAAGAGGGTGAAGTGGACTGGCTCTGGGGCAGTAAGAGGGGGAAAGGTGAAGGCAACCACCAGTGTGCCAGAGAGACTCACTGGGACTGCAATGTGATTTTGACGCCTCTGTTCCACAACCACATGGCAGGCCAACGGGATATTGAAGGGCTCCCAAAAGTCTGAACCTATGATTTTAGCCCCGAAATCATTGTTGATCTACTTGAACTGAGAACCCTGTGACATGCCAAGACAAAGAGCCATGCAGGCAACAAACTGCATGGTGTTGGGGTTTGTGCTTTTGTTCACTTACTTTCTGCAGGGATCCTTCCTGCAAGTTTTGGCCATGGTGTATGAAATGCTGTTGATTTGTGCTTTTTGCATGTTTTTGTAGGAATGGGTTGATGGTTTTTAGGAACTGTTCAGATAACTGTGTGTGTGTGTGTGTGTTTGAAAGCTGCTCTGTGCTGCAGGAGCACAAGAATGAGCAAGGTCTTTGGTTAACGCAGCTCAGGTACCGAGGTTTGCATCCTGGCTGAAACATGTCAGAAGCTCATCATATTTGGGCTGCCCATTGTGAGTGACTGCGTAAGCTGGTCTAGAACGCAGAACTGTGGCTAGGGATTGTTCGCCAATGAGAAAGAGCCTGAAGAGATGGAATTGCTTGAAGCTGTTACCATACTAAAAGGTAAAGGGACCCGTGACCATTAGGTCCAGTCGTTGCCGACTCTGGGGTTGCGGCGCTCATTTCGCTTTATTGGCCGAGGGAGCTGGCGTACAGCTTCTGGGTCATGTGGCCAGCATGACTAAGCCGCTTCTGGCGAACCAGAGCAGCACACGGAAACGCCGTTTACCTTCCTGCCAGACCTATTTATCTACTTGCACTTCGACGTGCTTTCGAACTGCTAGGTTGGCAGCAGCAGGGACCGAGCAACGGGAGCTCACCCTGTCGCGGGGATTTGAACCGCCGACCTTCTGATCGGCAAGTCCTAGGCTCTGTGGTTTAACCCACAGCGCCACCTGCGTCCCGTTACCATACTAGGTTGGGTTAAAAGTCTAATTGTGTTCTACTTCCCTGACTTATCCTTCTAGAGGGAAGCTGCATTTTGCTGTTTGATTGCACATATGGGGTCAGGTTTCTGGTTCTGGGGTGGGGTAGTGTTATGAGCTTGTGGGTGCCAGATCCCTGTAATTCTTAGATTTAGCAAGTGTTAGAATTCAGTCAAGGCTCCTCTAATCCTTGGAATCAGCAAGTGTTCAAATCGAATCAAAGCTTTTAATATTTGAAGTGTAAGGAGGACAAACGAAGGGCTCTGTGGGAGACAGTAAACGGGTGGGGTCTCTCCCTCAACTCACCCATCCCCAACTCACAGATAGTGAGAAGGACAAAAGTCAGAGGGAAGCTGAGAGTTTTGAGAAAGGGAGATACCACAGTTGATGCTATGTGGTAGGACTCAAACTAACGGCTTCAAGTTACAATAAAGGAGATTCTGAATCTCCTTTATTGCGTGCTTGTGAGCTTATCTTTGGGGCACCTGCACTGCTGGCACAGAATTCGCCTTGTGCTCTTAGAAATAAGGGGAAGGAGAATGGCGCCTGAGACCACTCTTTGCTTGCAGCTGGAAATTGTGGCAGATCCTGTCGTTTTTGTTTGCCACCCAGGAGATCAACCAGGACCCTGAGCTCTTACCCAACGTCAGCCTGGGCTACAACATCTACGAGACCTATTTCAACAAGAGAATGACCACCGACGCCACGCTTGACCTGCTGGCTGGTGGAGAAAGCCATATTCCGAACTACAATTGCAGAGGGCAGAATAACCTGCTGGCAGTTGTTGAAGCGGCTTATTCTGAAATCTCCAAACTGATTTCAACCATGCTGAGCATCTACAAAATCCCACAGGTAGATTTGAGATGGGAGGCCAGCTGAATAAAATTCTTATTTGTGGTCGCTTCTGGCAAAAAAGGCGGGGGGGGGGGGAATCCATAAAAAGACCAATGGACGGCAGTAGCCTTTAAAGCAATTTGGATCTGATTTGAAAAAGACCTCTTCCTTTTTCTCCCTTTTGTTATGTTAAATTCTATATAACCTGGTTGGCCACATGTACCAGTGCTGTGCTATGCTATCTATAAACCATTTTCTAACTGAAATGGATCCAAATGGTCGTTTATTCCAAATTTGTTCCCAGGGTTATTCCTCTAATTCTTCTCCAAAACCGATTAGTGTAGAGGTCTCTGTGTTCATATAATCCCACTCTTTCCCACCTAGCAAATGAGTCTGATTTAGGTGCTGTGCGAAAGGAAGAACGAGAGAATGTGGATCCAAGCTGAGATAGAGATGAGAGTTGAACCAGTGATCCACATAGCCAAGGCTCCTTTTATGTTTTCCTGAAAATAAAACACAAATCCTTTTCTTACTAGGTCAGTGCTGGCTTCGCCACTCATGTCCTTAGCGACAAAACCCAGTTCCCTTTCGTCTACACAATGGCCCCAAATGAGGAAACTCAGTACTGGGGCATTGTCAAGTTGCTCCTGCATTTTGGATGGACGTGGGTTGGCCTCTTCGCTCCAGACAACGACAATGGAGAGACTTTTATGAACGCCGTCAGGCCGCTGATGACCAGTAGTGGGATTTGTGTGGCCTTCTCGGAAAGAGTCCTTGACGTGACCCTATCCGAAATGTTGTCACAGAGTGAACCACCTGCCATGTGGAGACGAGCCAACGTATTTGTTTACTATGGGGATGCCGAACACCAGTTTGGTCCCATCCTCATGATACAGCGCATTCTTGGAAAGGTGTACGCAGGGGCGAAAACCTGGATCACAACAGATATCCAGGGCATCAGTTCAATATTGTTTTCTGATACCCAGGACTTCCTGCTCACCCATGGCGCTTTGTCCTTTGTAATGAAGACCAAACAAAAGGGGACGCACAAGCACTATCAACCAGACTTATTTGCTTCTCTGCGGTTTTGGCAGAAAGCGTTCAACTGTTCGTGTTCAACGGATGAGTTGCCTGTGAGAGGCTGGACAAGATGCACGGAGAAGGGGGAACTGGAGACTCTGCTCAAAAATGATCCCGATGAAACCATGTCTCGTGAGAGCTACAGCATTTATTACAGCGTCCAAGCCTTGGCTCAGGCCTTAGACACCGCATATTCATTCAGATCCAAGTGGTCAGTGGTTGGTGGAGGAGACAAGTGGAGCCTTCAAAGGCTACAACCATGGCAGGTATTTCCATTCTCCTTTTGCTACAAATTGCAATCCATTGTCCAGTCCTGGAGTCCTGATCCAGAATTATAGTTGTGCTTAGCCTCCTCCTCCTCCTCCTCCTCTTCCTCCTCCTCCATAAAGATGTGTAATCATATTGCCATGAATTTGTAGGTGCTAGACCCACCTAAATTCCTGAGTTTAGTAGGTGTTATAATGTTTGGAATCCCTGCGAAGGGGTGAGCTCCCGTTGCTCGGTCCCTGCTCCTGCCAACCTAGCATTTTGAAAGCACGTCAAAGTGCAGTTAGATAAATAGGTGTTGGGATACTGGCGGGTGTTGGGATACTGCCAGGGAGACAAAGTCCATCATGGCCCCCAAGCCGGCTGCCAGACGATCCATCGATCTCCCGTAGTCACGCAGTATCAGCAATTAGTGACATGAGTTTCTAGAAATAACTTGCCACATTCCAGAGCTCATGCACACTCTATCAGCAGATAATGCACAGCCAAAAGTTGCACTCAGGAGAGCATTATTTACAAGTTTATTCAGCGTTGATCAGAACACAGAAAAACATGACTGCCTGCTTTAGTGTCTACGACACACAGAGAGAAAACGAAAGCAACAGAAAACATAAACTTCCTGTGAACAGGAAATATGCAGACTCTGACTCACAAAGCCTGCTCCCTTTTAAGGTGGAACGGAAATATCCTAACATCGGGAAGGTAAACGGCATTTCCGTGCACTGCTCTGGTTCACCAGAAGCAGCTTAGTCATGCTGGCCACATGACTTGGAAGCTGCCTGAGGACAAACACCAGCTCCCTCGGCCTATAGAGTGAGATGAGCGCCGCAACCCCAGAGTCGTCAGGGGTACCGTTTATAATGTATGGAAGTGAGAGCTGGACCATAAAGAAGGCTGATCACCAGAGAAGCTTTTGAATTATGGTGCTGGAGGAGATTCTTGAGAGTCCCATGGACTGCAAGAAGATCAAACCCATCCATTCTGAAGGAAATCAGCCCTGAGTGCTCACTGGAAGGACAGATCCTGAAGCTGAGGCTCCAATACTTTGGCCACCTCATGAAAAGAGAAGACTCCCTGGAAAAGACTCTGGTGTTGGGAAAGATTGAGGGCACAAGGAGAAGGGGACGACAGAGGACGAGATGGTTGGACAGTGTTCTCGAAGCTACCAGCATGAGTTTGACCAAACTGCAGGAGGCAGTGGAAGACAGGAGTGCGCTCTGGTACATGGGGTCATGAAGAGTCGGACACGACTAAACGACTAAACAACAAATAATTTTTCTTTGGCTCATTGCTCCGCACGCGTCAATCCTCCCTTTGGGTGTAATTTGCTCAAACACACACTACACACAGGCACTATTAGGAAGTTTGCACACAATCCCACCGTTATCATATGGAGTTGTCGCGCTTTCTGAATGCTGGCGCTTTCTCTGCCGTTGCAGTTCCACACTTTGTTGAAAAAAACCCAGCCTTCAAATTCTTCCATGGGAGAGTTTTATTTTGATGAGAACGGGGAGATTCTGGCCAACTTCAACATTGTGAACTGGGTCCTGTTCCCCAATCAAACTCGCGCCAGAGTGAAAATTGGGAGCGTCGAGGGGCAGGCATCCTCCAATGTCAAGTTTACCATCAACCCAGAAGCCATTGTGTGGCCGTTGCAGTTTAACAAGGTATTTATTTTTTTTTAAAAAAAAGATTTTCAGTTTTATACATTTCAATAATTTTACAATTGTCTTAACATTTCGAAACTCGACTTCCTTTCCTCTCTTTTTGCTATTCCTTAAATCTATTTTTTAATATTTTCTGGATATTCCAAATTAACTTAATTTGCTCATTTATTCATCTACTGTAAATATAAACTCGTATAAAACTGCAGGTTATTACAATAATCCCGCCTATGTTCTTATCTGTTTACTGTTTATTAAATAAGCCATTTCCATTCTTTTATTAAAAGTTTGTTATCTTGTTTTTCCCCCCGGCAAGTTTCGCCATTTCTGCATATTCCGTAAGTTTTTGTATCCATTCTTCTTTTGCTGGGATGACTTCGTCTTTCCATTTTTGGGCAAGTAACATTCTTGCTGTTGTAGTAAATTTCTATATAGTTTGGGAAGTTCTGTCCCTATAATTCCCTAAAGGAAAGCTTCTGGGTTGTTTTTTTAACAAACATTATTTCAAACATCTTTTTCAATTCATTCTGTATCATTTCCCAGTAAGCTTTAATCTTACTTCAAGACTACCACATATGATAAAAAGAACCTTCTTTCTCTTTACATTTCCAACCCTTGTTTGATTTTGATTTATACATTTTTGCCAATTTACTCGGTGTTAGATACCATCATTATAACATTTTTTAATATACCACATTTTTTGCTCTATAAGACTCACTTTTTCCCTCCTAAAAAGTAAGGGGAAATGTGTGTGTGTCTTAAGGAGCAAATGCAGGCTTCGCAGCTATCACAGAAGCCAGAACAGCAAGAGGGATTGCTGCTTTCACTGCGCAGCGATCCCTGTTGCTGTTCTGGCTTCTGAGATTCAGAATATTTTTTTTCTTGTTTTCCTCCTCCAAAAACTAGGTGCATCTTGTGGTCTGGTGCGTCTTATAGAGCGAAAAATACGGTAATTTCCCTTTAAACCATAGCATGCTGTAAATTTTATATCCATATTCCACAATCGTTTCCATGCTTCCATGGGAGTCTAACAAGCTAGAAGCTTTCCTAAGAACCTGCCTTATGCTGAGTCAAGTCCCTCAAACACAGTATTATCTATTCTATACTCAGCAGAATTCCAGGCAGTGCATGCTGCCAGCCCTACCAGGAGCTTCCTGCAGGGATTGAACCCGTGACCTTCTGCATGCAAGGCACCTGCTCTTCCACTGAGCTACAGGAAATGCTTTGCATCGTTCCCTTGGTGTGACTTGGTTAAGTTCTGATAATTCCCTGTCTCTGAGTTTTGGGCCCCTACTAACCCTAACCTTTGGTGGGTGAGCTCCCCACTTCCTCTTTAGTGATTTTGACACTGCTCATTTCCTTGCCCTCTCCATTTATACCACACAGCCACCACAAACCACAATATATAGGTGGGACATGGGTAGCGCTGTGGTCTAAATCACAGAGCCTCTTGGGCTTCCCAGTTGGAAGGTCGGCGGTTCGAATCCCTGCGACGGAGTGAGCTCCCGTTGCTCTGTCCCAGCTCCTGCCAACCTAGCAGTTCAAAAGCATGCCGGTGCAAGTAGATAAATAGGTACCACTGCGATGGGAAGGTAAATGGCATTTCCGTACGCTCTACGGCTTCCGTCCCATTGCGCCAGAAGCAGTTTAGTCATGCTGGCCACAAGACCCAGAAAGCTGTCTGTGGACAAACGGCGACTCCCTCGCCTTGAAGTGAGATGAGCACTGCAACCCATCGTCGCCTTTGACTGGACTTAACCGTCCAGGGGTCCTTTACCTTTTACCTTAGGGGTGTTTTTTGTTCAGGACCTTCTGCTGATACGTTTAATTTCTGCTGATAATCTGTGCATTTCTAGGTTGATTTTTCACAGTTACTGTTTGTTATTACTGTTATTCTAGAACTTAAATTTTGCTTATTTTTGCTATCATGTCTGGTTTCTTTCTTCTTTTTTTAAAAAAATGATATTTATTAAAGTTTCAAAGAATACAAAAACAAAAAATAAAAATACAAGAAAATACAAAATACAGAAAAAAGAATAAAATTTTTAAAATATAACAAAAAAAAGAAAAATAAAGAAAAACATACAAGATAAAAACAGTTAAAAACACGTTAACTTTCCATAGCATATCTTCCTTACCCTTATTTCCCCGGACCTCCTCATACCTCCCTTTTTGTATTCCAGTTCAGTTTGTTAGTTCTGCAAATCCTTACCATTAAGCTTTTACCCATTTGTAAACCTTTTTCGTATCTCTTAAAGCATTACAGCTGGAAACCACTTAGTTTCTATCCAACATCCTTCTAAGATTCATTAATTTTACAATATTTCTGTAAATAGTCTTTAAATTTCTTCCAGTCTTCTTTCACCGACTCTTCTCGGATTCTGCCAGTCATTTCTGCCAATTCCATGTAGTCAATCACCTTCATCTGCCATTCTTCCAGAGTGGGTAGATCTTGTGTCTTCCAATACTTTGCAATGAGTATTCTTGCTGCTGTTGTAGCATACATAAAAAAAGTTCTGTCCTTCTTTGGCACCAATTGGCCGACAATGCCCAGGAGAAAGGCCTCTGGTTTCTTCAAGAAGGTATATTTAAATACCTTTTTCAGTTCATTATATATCATTTCCCAGAAAGCCTTAATCTTTGGGCACGTCCACCAAAGGTGAAAGAATGTACCTTCAGTTTCTTTACATTTCCAGCATTTATTATCGGGCAAATGATAGATTTTTGCAAGCTTGACTGGGGTCATGTACCACCTGTATATCATTTTCATAATATTCTCTCTTAAGGCATTACATGCCGTGAACTTCATACCTGTGGTCCATAACTGTTCCCAGTCAGCAAACATAATATTATGTCCAACATCTTGTGCCCATTTAATCATAGCAGATTTCACCGTTTCATCCTGAGTATTCCATTTCAACAGCAAGTTATACATTCTTGACAGATTCTTAGTTTTGGGTTCTAACAGTTCTGTTTCTAATTTTGACTTTTCCACCTGGAAGCCAATTTTCTTATCCAAATTATATGCCTCCATTATCTGATAGTAATGAAGCCAATCTCTCACTTTGTTTTTTAGTTTTTTTGAAACTCTGCAATCTCAACTTGTCTCCTTCTTGTTCCAAAATTTCCCAATATGTCGGCCATTTGGCCTCCATATTGAGCCTTTTCAGAGCTTTTGCTTCCATTGGTGACAGCCACCTTGGGGTTTTATTTTCCAGTAAATCTTTATATCTTATCCAGACATTAAACAATGCTTTCCTGACAATATGATTTTTGAATGCTTTGTGTGCTTTGACCTTATCATACCATAAATATGCATGCCATCCAAATACATTGTTAAAACCTTCTAAGTCCAAAATGTCTGTGTTTTCAAGAAGTAGCCATTCTTTCAACCAGCAAAAAGCTGCTGATTCATAGTAAAGTTTAAAGTCTGGCAGGGCAAATCCACCCCTTTCCTTTGCATCAGTTAATATCTTAAATTTTATTCTGGGCTTCTTGCCCTGCCAGACAAATCTAGAAATATCTCTCTGCCACTTCTGCCACTGGTTTCTTTCAGTCTTGCACTCTGCCTTTGGTATTATACACAAACACAGAGTTGCGCCCAACATCGGGGGGGGGGAGGGCACGGCTGGGTGTGATGTCATGCACATTGCCTATGATGACTGTTGCATTGGGAGACGCCTCCCATGCCCTCCAGCATTTATCTGATGAGAATCGGGACATCCCATTTCATAATGATAATTTTACTATACCCCACACATCTGACTGGGTTGCCCCAGCCACTCTGAGCAGCTTCCAACATATATAAAAACATAATAAAACATTAAACAATTAAAAAAACAAAACCTTCCCTATGCAGGATTACCTTCAGATGACTCGGGGGTCTGAGAACTCCATACCCACTAACATTTGTCCAATGAAAATAGGGACGTCCTAAGGAAAAGCAGGACATCCCGGGATCAAATTTGAAGCCGGGACAGCTTCTCTACATCAGGGACATCCCTGGAAAATAGGGGCCTTTGGAGAGTCTGGCATCTTTCTGATGTGACATTTGTATGCGTGGCTGCGCTTGTCAGCCCGGGGCGACTTCCTGCCTGGCCATGCCACGTCAGGGCAACATGTCGCCAAGCCTCCTCTGCTCCTTCAAGATTGGAGGTGCTGAGTCCCACCCCAGAAGACATTGGGGAGGGCCCTGTAGAGGCCTCAGCCCCATAGAGTTAGCACACCTGATATTATGTATAGTTAAAGGTAAAGGGTAAAGGAACCCCTGACCATTAGGTCCATTCGTGGCCGACTCTGGGGTTGCGGCGCTCATCTCGCTTTATTGGTCAAGGGAGCCGGCGTACAGCTTCCGGGTCATGTGGCCAGCATGATTAAGCTGCTTCTGGCAAACCAGAGCAGCAAACGGAAATACGGTTTACCTTCCTGCCGGAGCGATACCTATTTATCTACTTGCACTACTTGTCAGCTTTCGAACTGTTAGGTTGGCAGGAGCAGGGACTGAGCAACGGGAGCTCACCCCATCGCGGGGATTCGAACCAGCGACCTTCTGATTGGCAAGTCCTAGGCTCTGTGGTTTAACCCACAGCACCACCTGCATTCCCATTATGTATATTATGTATAGTTAGGATATTTAATATTCCAGCCGAATATTAAAAACAATACAGTGATACCTCGGGTTACAGACGCTTCAGATTACAGACACCGCTAACCCAGAAATAGTACCTCAGGTTAAGAACTTTGCTTCAGGATGAGAACAGAAATCGCGTGGCGGCAGCGGAAGGCCCCATTAGCTAAAGTGGTACCTCAAGTTAAGAACAGTTTCAGGTTAAGAACGGACCTCCGGAACGAATTAAGTACTTAACCCGAGGTACCACTGTACAGCGTCAGACATTAAAAACTTCCCTAAACAGGGCTGCCTTCAGTTGTATTTTAAAAGTAAAATAGTTGTTTATTCCCTTGACATCTGGTGGGAGGGCGTTCCACAGGGCGGGTGCCACTACTGAGAAGGCCCTCTGCCTGGTTCCCTGTAACCTCACTTCTCGCAGTGAGGGAAGCATCAGAAGGCCCTCGGTGCTGGACCTCAGTGTCTGGGCTGAATGATCGGGGTGGAGATGCTCCTTCAGGTATACACATTTTTAAACCACTTTAACAAATCCTATGGACACAAATACTCCTTAGGCTTCCCGCTTAACGCTCCTTTTCTCTCTCTCTTTAGACTGTGCCCATTTCCAGGTGCACTGAAAGCTGCTACCCTGGGTTTGCCAAGGAGATCCAGGAAGGGGAGCCGGTCTGCTGTTACACTTGTGTTCAATGTACAGAGGGGACCATCTCCACTCAGGAAGGTGGGTGAACTCTTAAGAAGAAGAGTCTGTGTGGTGTAGAGGTTAGAATGCTGGATTCAAACCTGGGACACAAGGGTTCAGATCCTCACCAAAAATAAGGCTCACTGGGTGACCGTGGGCTATTCACTGCCTCTCTTCCTAACCTACCTTACATACAGGGTTGTTGTGGGGATTAAATGAGGAGGGGAAGAACCCATGTAATGCCTCCATCAGCTGCTGGAAAAAAAGGTGGGACACAAATGTAAGTTTGCACTCCTTTCTCAGCGATTTCTACGCTGGCTCAGTCACATCCACAGCATGGAAGCTGGCTGAATCCAGAAAGATGTGCTCTGCGGGAAGCTGGCTCAACTCTGTGTTACAAAGATGACACAAAGGCTGGCGACATCAACACTGCCCTGTGGGTTTCATGGCCACTTGTCCCATCACCTCCTGGCAAATAGAAGGGGAAGAAATGGAGGCAGTGAGAGATTTTACTTTCTTGGGCTCCATGATCACTGCAGATGGTGACAGCAGCCACAAAATTAAAAGACGCCTGCTTCTTGGGAGAAAAGCAATGACAAACCTAGACAGCATCTTAAAAAGCAGAGACACCACCTTGCTGACAAAGGTCCATATAGTTAAAGCTATGGTTTTTGCAGTAGTGATGTATGGAAGTGAGAGCTGGACCATAAAGAAGGCTGATCACCAGAGAATTGATGCTTTTGAATTATGGTGCTGGAGGAGATTCTTGAAAACCTATCCATTCTTAAGGAAATCAGCCCTGAGTGCTCACTGGAAGGACAGATCCTGAAGCTGAGGCTCCAATACTTTGGTCACCTCATGAGAAGAGAAGACTCCCTGGAAAAAAACCCCTGGTGTTGGGAAAGATGAAGGGCACAAGGAGAAGGGGACGACAGAGGACAAGATGGTGGGACAGTGTTCTCGAAGCTACCAGCATGAGTCTGACCAAACTGCGGGAGGCAGTGGAAGCCAGGAGTGCGCTCTGGTACATGGGGTCATGAAGAGTCGGACACGACTAAACGACTAAACAACAAATAATTTTTCTTTGGCTCATTGCTCCGCACGCGTCAATCCTCCCTTTGGACATCAACACTGCCCTGTGGGTATCTATTTTAGATTACCATAGTGCCTGGAAACAGTTGTGTCGTGTATCCATTGCAATGACCAGAGGAGGAATGACCGCCCGAGCGAAGAAACCCCACGGTGCATCTGCACGACCACAACCTCACACCTTCCTCTGCCCCAGCTGCAACAAAAGATGTCTCTCCCCTATCAGTCTCTACAGCCACAGGAGGCGCGGCAGCCTTCCAACGGTTGGACTTCACCTCCAAAGGCGCCCTCTCCCCCAGTGTCTTGTGAAAAAGATGGAGGCCAACAAATAAAGAAATAATAATAAAGAGCATGGGTAGGCAAATTAAGGCCCGGAGGCCGGATCTGGCCCAATTGCCTTCTAAAACCGGCCCACGGACTGTCCGCAAATCAGCATGTTTTTACATGAGTAGAATGTGCCCTTTTATTTGAAATGCATCTGTGGGTTATGTGTGGGACATAGGAATTCATTCATCCCCCAAAAAATATAGTCTGGCCCCCCACAAGGTCTAAGGGACAGTGGATCAGCCCCTGATCAAGAGGCTGGCTGCTGGATCGGCTAAAAGTCCATCTCGTTCAGCATCCTGTCTTTTCAGTGGTCAGCCAGACGCTCCTTTTGGAAATCTCCAAGCACCACCAGTTGTCAGGGGAATAAGGCAAATACGTACGTTCCTACCAGTATATTCATAATCAAAGGCTCTCTTCCGGATAAATCACAATAAAAAAAAATATATATATAATAAGTTACAGTTTAAAAACTTCCTACACGCAAAAAAAAAATTTTTGGGTGGGGGGACCATTCTTCTGGGTCAGCACCAAATCAGCACCCTCGTTTTCACGATAGTTTTATTGACTCTCCTGAATGTTGATGATATTTCTCTGCATCTTCTTCTCATTGGAGTTTTTTTTACCTTTATTCTGTTTTCTATGTTGCCCTGACGGTTTTATTGATAGGCAAGTTTTTAAAAAATATGTATTTAAATAAATTAAATTTTCATTCTGGCATTTACTGCAAAGAAGGTGGTTTTTTTTAACTTGAAGCTTCTGTAAATTTTTTTTTTTACTCCCTATCATTAACTCGGTTTATTTTGATTTGAAATAAATGACCTTGGGGAAGCAATCTTTGGGGTACCTTGCAGAGAGCAGAGGGAGGGCTTTGCATATTCTGCCCACAATCCACCCTTTTTGTGGCTTATATCATGCTCTTTCTTCGAATGTTCCTGCTTTCAAAGGCATGTGCTAACCCTCACGATACAAGAGACTCCTCTGTAATATGCCACGATTCTGTAACGGATGTGTGTAGGTTCCTGGGCAGAAAATCAGATAATGCAAAGTTCAGGGTACAGAATTTCAGAGGGATGTAATTGTGCCTAAGTCTCTGTAGGATGTAAGAAGAAGAGTTTGGATTTGATATCCCGCTTTATCACTACCCTAAGGAGTCTCAAAGCGGCTAACATTCTCCTTTCCCTTCCGCCCCCACAACAAACACTCTGTGAGGTGAGTGGGGCTGAGAGACTTCAAAGAAGTGTGACTAGCTCAAGGTCACCCAGCAGCTGCATGTGGAGGAGCGGAGACGCGAACCCGGTTCACCAGATTATGAGTCTACCGCTCTTAACCACTGGCTTAACCACTGGCTCTCTGCATGTAAGCTTCTGCATGCAAAGCACGACCTCTTCAGATGAACTTTTTCCTCTCTCCATCCCTACTATACATCCTTGCCTTTAGCCTCTCCCATATTTTCCCTAATATATTGGAATATGGACAGTTATAGGTGTGAATGATACTAACACCATTCTCCTTCTCAGATGCAAACCATTGCACCAGATGCCCAGAAGATCAGCATCCAAACGAGGCCAGAGACAAATGTGTCCCCAAGATTATTACCTTCCTCGCTTATGAAGAACCCTTGGGAATCCTCCTGGCTTCATTTGCCATCTTCTTGTCTTTAACCACATGCTTTGTGTTAGGACTTTTCATAAGATTCCTGAAAACTCCAATAGTCAAAGCCAACAACCGGGATCTCTCCTACATCCTCCTCCTCTCTCTCCTGTTCTCCTTTTTGTGCTCCTTCCTGTTCATCGGCCGGCCAGGGAAAGTGACCTGCCTTCTCCAACGAACATCATTCAGCATCATCTTCTCAGTCGCAGTCTCTTCCGTCTTGGCAAAAACCATCACTGTGGTGCTGGCCTTCCTGGCCACAAAGCCAGGGAACAGGGTGAGCAGATGGCTAGGGAGGAATCTGGCCAACTCTATTGTTCTTTCCTGCTCCAGTGTCCAAGTTCTCCTCTGCACTGCCTGGTTGTTGATCTCCCCACCATTCCCAGACTTTAACATGCATGTCGATCCTGGAGAAATCATCCTGCAATGCAACGAAGGGTCTGTGGCCATGTTTTATGCTGCCCTTGGCTACATGGGCTTCCTGGCTGCCATCTGCTTCACAGTGGCTTTCCTGGCCAAGAAGCTGCCTGGGGCATTCAATGAGGCCAAGTTGATCACCTTCAGCATGCTGGTTTTCTGCAGTGTTTGGGTGTCCTTTGTGCCCACCTACCTGAGCACCAAGGGGAAATATATGGTAGCTGTGCAGGTCTTCTCCATGTTGGCCTCCAGTGCTGGGCTTCTGGGCTGCATCTTCATCCCCAAGTGCTACATTATTGTGCTGAGGCCTGATCTGAATACAAAGGAACACCTCTCAACAAAAACTAAAGATGGCACTGTGGGAAATGCAGTCTCATATAACTAGCATGAGTAGCTCTAGTTAATGCATGAAGGGGTTAAGACCATAGAGTAAGTTGTTGTTCCTAGACTTGACCAGGTCACAGCTCCTCACTTCTGGTGACGGGCAGTTAGGAAAGTTCTTCTGTTCGCCTTCTTTCTGCTGTTCGTCCTCTTTCACCATGTGAACTCACAACCAAGAAGCATGTATGAGCTTCTCCCTCCAAGCTCATTCCGTGTGTTCAGAAATATTTTTTACCAGGTTCTGTAACTAAGACTTTCCACCTGTGTTTTCCTTGCTGCTGCATGAAAAAGCACGTGAATCTGATCTTTGAAGTTTGTAAGTAATTTTTCAACAAAACTTACCAAACTGTGTGCTACAGGGGTAGAAAGGGGAAGTTGATGTAAGCGACTCACTGGGATATTTAAAAGGTCTAACAGCCTTTATTCTCACACTACACTTTGCTTCATGTTTTGTTTTTTAAAACCTCTGCTGAGGCTCTCTCTTCCTGGAGAGTATTCTGCTCCGCATTTGGATCTAGGAATCCAGCAACATTTAAAAAATTACTCTTAAAGAACCCTGTGTGTGATCTGTGTGCTTCTGTGCATGACATCCATTTCACTGACCCCCAAGTCAGCAAAGGGCACAAAATTTGACTCTAGGAAAGAGAATAATTAACAATCATGCAACATGGATTGGTTGCTTCTGAAAAACATGCTTGTCCAAAGTTGCCTTCTTGTGAATCAGGCCATTGGCATGTCTGGCCCAGGACGGTCCATTCTGGCAAGCAGTGACTCCCCAAATGTCCTGCCTCTTTTCCCCAAAACCCCTCTGCTTCCTGGAGAAGCCAGACTTGCTATCTGACCGCTAGCAAAACCTGGTTCTCATTCCCCTCCTGCCTCACTACCAGATGTAAGCGTGGTCCTCAATTTGCCCCAGAGGAGCAAGAAAGTTGCAGCTAGATATGACCGGAGGCTGAAGCCTATTTTGATCATTTATTTAAAATGCAGGAGCTGAAGACAGTGAACTCATTTTAATTTATTGAAGAGGAAGGCATAATCCACAGAGAATTTGAAAGGAAAATAAAAATCACTTTATACATAAATAACATTGGGATTTATTGATTTGTATGGGAAAATAAATTGTGAAGCTATATGAAAATATCTGGCAAGGACCCAATTACATAAAAAGATTAAAAGTAAGTACAATACTTTCCCATTGCTAAATCCTTGATTGGCTTCCACAAACCCTTTAGTTAAAGCTTCCTACATTTCCGGCTGTCCTAACTTCCAGGTATTCTATTTCCTGCATTTGTTTATTGAAGCTTTCAAAGAACTCTTTAAGGTTACTGAGAGGGGACTTACTGTTGCAGAACCATACTGGTTCTGCTTCACCAAGACTTGTTCTTCCACACATTAGGGAATTCGGTCATTAACAATGTTTTCTACCAGTTTTCATGAAACACATGTTAATCTAACAAGCCTGTAACACTTGTTCTCGCTATCCCTCCTTTCCCTGATCACATTGCCTCCTGCCCAAAGATCTCTCTCCTTCTTCAAGTGGCACCCTAAAACCCACTCTAACATCACCCCTCAAATTGCCTTGTGTGAGTTATTTGAAATTCAGTAGGTAGTCCACTGTAACTGAAGCTCTTCCCAAACTCCGTGCATTAATTGAGCTTTTCTATTAAGCTGCAATTAAATGTGAAGTTACCACTTCACATTAAAGCTCTTTCCACATTGCATACATTTAAACCTCTCTGGTGTTTGTGCCCCTCTAGGGTTGCCATATTTCAAACTGTGAAAATCTGAACAGAAAAGTTGTTGAGATTTTTTTGGGCAACATTGTTGAGCTTTCCTTTTTGGCCAAAGTTTTTGGCAAAATCGCACCAAAAAAAAGGGCGTTGTTGAGCTTTTATGGAGGCTATATCCAGAACGGCCTCTCTCACATATGGGTTCTTCGATGTACAGTAAGGTTACTGTGAGACCGAAAGCGCTTTCCACACTCCTTGCATTTAAGTGGTTTCTCCCCCGTGTGTATTCTTTCATGCACAATACGAGTCCTGTTCTCACTGAAGCTCTTTCCACACTCCTTACATTTAAATGGTTTCTCTCCTGTATGTGTTCTTTGATGTAAGGAAAGACTATTGCTATCACTGAAACTCTTTCCACATTCCATGCATTTGAATGGTTTCTCCCCTGTGTGTGTTCTCTGGTGTCTACTAAGGCTACAGCTCTCACTGAAGCTCTTTCCGCACTCGGTGCATGTATATGGCTTCTCCCCTGTGTGTGTTCTTTGATGCAAAGAAAGCCTATTGCTAACACTGAAGCTCTTTCCACATTCCATGCATTTGAATGGTTTTTCTCCTGTGTGTGTTCTCTGATGTGTATTAAGGCTACTGCTCTGACTGAAGCTCTTTCCGCACTCCTTGCATTTAAAGGGCTTCTCCCCTGTGTGGGTTCTTCGATGCAAAGTAAGGCTATAGCTCCTACTGAAGCTCTTTCCACACTTCATGCATTTAAATGCCTTTGCCCCTGTGTGGGTTCTGCTACATGTTTTTAATGTTGATTTATAGCTATTTCCCCCTGCGTTGTTTCCTTTGGGATCTTTTTGTAGGATCAGGAATTTACAGACATCAATACCCTGAGAACCTGCAGATTTCTTCTTCCCATTCTTTGATTGTTTTCCTTCGTCCCTTTTTTGTCCTCTTAGCTTCCCAAACATTTCTCTTCCTGCTTCACGCACAGATGTTTCCAACGACACCACAGGTGGCACTCTATAATTCCCAGTGTTCTGCTCATCATCTGGTAGAGGGGAGGGAGAAGAAAATCATGAACTCAATGTATATTAAGTGAAGTTCAGGGGCACTTTGGATGCCTAGTGAGCTATTTTAATTTAGGGTATACCTTACCACATTGAAGGGAAATGTTGAACGTGGAAGCCATCCCTCCTCTTTTTAACAAAAGCCCATCTGGATCAGACCAAGTGCAGGATCCCCACAGTAGCCTACCCTGCTAGCAGAACATAAAAGCAGGAGGCGACTTCTTCTGCTCCCTTGATTCCAGAGCTTAGCACATAGTCATCATAACTAATAGCCATTAAGATCTTACATGATTTTGTCCAATTTCTTTTATAAACTCCTGAAGATGCCAACCAGAACTACAGTGGTACCTTGGTTCTCAAACGCCTTGGAACCCAAACACTGCAAACCCGGAAGTGTGTGTCCTGGTTTGCGAACTTTTTTCAGAAGCTGAACGTGCTCCGTTTTGAGTGTTACGCTGACGATTTGAGTGTTATGCTTCCGATTTGAGTGTTACGTTGAGGTCTGTCTGTCTTTGCTATTTATTTTGCGTTTTTGCGGTTCTTTTTTGTTTTGTTTTTGTGACTGTGTGGAACCCAGTTCAGCTACTGATTGATTGATTGATTGATTGAGTGTGTGACTGCAGTACATTGTTTATTGCTTTCATTTTATGGATCAATGGTCTCGTTAGATAGCAAAATTCATGTTAAATTGCTGTTTTATTTTTTTTATAATATTTTTTATTCTTTTTAGCATACAAAATTTTTTAAGACATACCACACAAATTATTATACATATGTCCTTGTTTGGACTTCCTTCAGCATCTCTGATAGCCTTCCATCTTGATTATTTCTCTTGCAATTCTTAACTTAATATTGCCTTTACCTTTTCTAACAAATCATTTCTCCCTTTCCATTTTTACAATATTTCTTAAATTACTCCTCACAGAACCTCTTGTAGTCCTACAAACATAATCTGATCATCACAAATACTTTTCAGATACTCAGTAAATTTAGTCCAGTGTTCGGTAAACCTCTGGTCCTGCCGGTCTCGGATTCTTCCTGTTAGTTTGTCTAATTCTGCGTAGTCCATCAATTTCATCCTCCATTCCTCTAATGTTGGTAGTTAAATTGCTGTTTTGGGGGTTGTTTTTAAAAGTCTGGAACGGATTAATCCATTTTGCATTACTTTCTATGGGAAAGCACGCCTTGGTTTTGGAACGCTTTAGTTTTGGAACAGAATTCCGGAACGGATTAAGTTTGAGAACTACGGTACCACTGTACTTGCATTCAGATCTTACATGAATTTGTCCATTCTCTTTTATAAACCCTTGAAGATGTCAACCAGGAGAACTTGCATCCTGATGGGTCAAATCCCACCCACCCCTTGCTCCAGATGATTTTACACAGGAATGGACAAACTCTTACTACTCCCAGACCAAAAGGAGCTCCACAACACAGCTAAGCATTTACCTGCTGCACTTTCTGCTTCTTTGGGATTTTCTGAACAGTAATTCAGGGCTGATTCTTTGAAGGAAACAGACAAGCCTGGCTACTTTTGACCACAAAATATTCAGCCACTTCAGACTGAGTCATTTTTATGACCTCAAGGATAATGAGTAGAGTTGTTCTGATTTTGTAACTTCTCCACCAGAGAAAAAGGAGACAGCTGTGTGATCCCAAGGAGGTTCAGCCTTGTACTTGTAAATATGAGCCCACTCACTGGATATGGAGCTTGGCTTGAACCATCTCCTGGGGGTTATACTGCAGAACTTACAGTGGGGGGGGGAAGTATTTGCTAAATTTGCCCGTTTGCTCTCTGACGAAGAACCGACCAGTCCATAATTTTAATGGTAGGTTTATTGTAGCTGTGAGAGACAAAATAACAACAGGAAAACCCCCAGAAACCCAGAAGACAAAAGTCAGAGACTGATGTGCATTATAATGAGTGAAATAAGTATTTGATCCCTTTGCAAAAGATGACTTAGTACTTGGTGGCAAAACCCTTGTTAGCAATTACAGAGGTCAGACGTTTCTTGTAGGTGGCCACCAGGTTTGTACACATCTCAGGAGGTATTTTGTTCCACTCCTCTTTGCAGATCCTCTCCAAGTCAATAAGATAATTATATTATAATTATATTATAATTCTATACAGTGGTACCTCGGGTTAAGAACTTAATTCGTTCCAGAGGTCCGTTCTTAACCTGAAACTGTTCTTAACCTGAAGCACCACTTCAGCTAATGGGGCCTCCCACTGCCGCCGCACGATTTCTGTTCTCATCCTGAAGCAAAGTTCTTAACCCAAGGTACTAATTCTGGGTTAGCGGAGTTTGTAACCTGAAGCGTCTGTAACCTGTAGCGTCTGTAACCTGAGGTACCACTGTATAGCTTAACTCACTGCATTTTTACTTCAATCCTGCTAATTATAAATGTATACAATCAGTTTTCATATATTCAATAAAACATTTCCATTCCAAATCAGTCTCTTTGAACCCAACGCTATACATGATTTCACATATATGTGTGGTATCAGGGAATATAAACCCCACAGAAGTGGGGAGTCACCTGCACTAAATTCATACCTTTGACATTTACCAGTCAAACAAATACCAGTATGTCCTTACCAAGAGAGGCAACGGTCTCATAATTTTCCTCCATGACTTCCCTGTGCAGGGCTCTTTGGCTGGGATCCAGCAGGGCCCACTGTGAAAAACACAGCCACCTCCTCAAAGGTCAAGAGAACCTGGACGGTCAACAGATCCTGGAAGAAGAAGAAAACAATTTATCCAAAATGTGTGATTCTCCCGATTTGAAAGCGGAATAGCAGGGTAGTCATATGTGTGGTTTCATTTCTTAGGTGATTTTGACATCTTACAAGGCCAAATGCAAAACAAGTAATCACCTAACAGAGAGGGAGGTATGCAGACTGATTCTCCGCCTCTTTCTTGAGGCAGATGCCTGGCAGCTGTTTCTACTCCACCCAAGAGAAGAGAAGACCCAGGTATTGCCTCTGAGGCCATTGCGCCAGCTTCGGAACAAGGAAATGTAATCTCAGCTACATCTGGGGTTCTCACAATGAACTTGAAAGCAGGGGTAGCTCTCAAGCGGGGTCACTGCACTGCCTGCAGAGGAGAGAAAGGGCATGGGAAGAATTCGTTCAGCTTGGGGTTCCAGGAGTTTAAATATCAAAACCTGCCTCAATTTTTGGGGTAACTGCTTTAAATAAATAGATGGCATGTGACTTCAGGGTGGTTGGCCTCCCTTAACATCTACGACCTAAATCTCTTTCATACCCCTCCCCTGTTTATTCTAGGCTAGACATGTCCAACTCCCAAGAGACTAAATAAAATAAAATAAAATAAAATAAATTTTAAAATTCCTTCCAGTAGCACCTTAGAGACCAACTAAGTTAGTTACAGTGGTACCTCAGGTTACATACGTTTCAGGTTACGTACGCTTCAAGTTACAGACTCTGCTAACCCAGAAATAGTGCTTTAGGTTAAGAACTTTGCTTCAGGATGAGAACAGAAATCATGCTCTGGCGGCACGGCGGCAGCAGGATGCCCCATTAGCTAAAGTGGTGCTTCAGATTAAGAACAGTTTCAGGTTAAGTATGGACCTCCGGAAAGAATTAAGTACTTAACCCTAGGTACCACTGTATTATGGGACGCGGGTGGCACTGTGGGTTAAACCACAGAGCCTAGGACTTGCCAATCAGAAGGTTGGTGGTTCAAATCCCCGCGACGGGGTGAGCTCCCGTTGCTCGGTCCCTGCTCCTGCCAACTTAGCAGTTCAAAAGCACGTCAAAGTGTAAGTAGATAAATAGGTACTGCTTCTGCGGGAAGGTAAACGGCGTTTCTGTGCGCTGCTCTGGTTCGGCAGAAGCAGCTTAGACATGGTGGCCACATGACCCAGAAGCTGTATACCAGCTCCCTCGGCCAATAAAGCGAGATGAGCGTCGCAACCCCAGAGTTGGTCACGACTGGACCTAATGATCAGGGGTCCCTTTACCTTTAAGTTAGTTATTGGTGTGAGCTTTTGTGTGCATGCACACTTCTTCAGATAATACCAGAGACTGTGATTGACCAGAGTTGTTGGGCTTTTTTTAGGGAGCCAGAGTTGTTGAACTTTATTTTATTTTATGCTTAGAGATTGCTAAGGGTCCTAAGATTGACCAGGGACGGCCCGCGATCAAACAGTAGTTCTAGACTGTCCTGCATTCTTGGGAAGGTCCTTCCTTCTTCGCCAACGCAGCAAAGTCCAACCATCTCAATTGCCCTTCCATCTCATCTCCACTTCCTGCTTCCACAAAGCCTTTCCTTCTCCTCCAGCTTGTCAACAATTTAAGGCTTTGTAAGTGAACCCTTTTTGTCAAGTCTAGGACATAACTTTAAAAAATAGAGATCAGGAAATTACCAAGAAGGCCCAAAAAGTTTTGAAAGACTATTTCGAGATAAACATGAATAATTCGGTGGAAAAAAGAATCGTCTGGGACGCAAGCAAAGCTGTCATGAGGGGATTCTTGATACAACAGAATGTAGTAAGGAAAAAAACACAAAATGAGAAAAAAGACAAGATCTTGGATAAAATAAAAGAATTAGAGAAGAAATTAAGAGTGAATCCAAAGTCACAGCCAACTCTGAGAGAAATTAAATTGTATCAAACACAATATTCTAAATTGATAAATCAGGAAATTGAATGGAAGATTAAATTAATGAAACAAAAAACGTTTGAGTCGGCAAATAAATGTGGAAAACTGCTATCTTGGCAGTTGAAGAGAAGACAAAGATTAAATACGGTTACAAATTTAGAGGTCGATGGAAGAAACATTCAGAATCCAGTGGACATTAGAAAGTGTTTCAGAGATATTTCAAAAACTATATACCCAAGGGCCGCAAGACGAAGTCGAGATTAAACAATTTTTGCCAAAAATGGATTATCTAAACTGTCACAAGAAAATAGGACAACCCTGAACTCTAAAATAACACGACAGGAGATTGAACAAGCTATTCAGAACATGCAACTTGGCAAATCTCCAGGGCCAGACGGGCTGACCTCCAAGTATTATAAGACACTAAAAGACTATTTGATACAACCCTTGATGGAGGTTAGCAATGAAATTATGGAGGGGAAGAGGGCACCGGATTCGTGGAAGGAAGCGTTTATCACATTGATACCAAAGTCAGAAGCTGAAAAGACACAACTGAAGAACTACCGTCCCATCTCCCTTTTAAATGTGGATTACAAAATATTTGCAGATATTTTGGCAAGTAGATTCAAAAAAAGTTTTAAATGAAGTAATTCATAAGGACCAGGCCGGTTTTCTCCCAGGTAGACATCTGTTTGCTAACACAAGGAACATTATTGATATCTTGGAACTTCTCCAAACTGACATAAATACAAAAGCAGTTTTAATTTTTATAGATGCGGAGAAGGCCTTTGATAATATTTCTTGGAAATTTATGATGGGAAACTTAAAAGAGATGGGAGTGGGACGGGGTTTTGAGAATGGGATTGAGGCGATATATTCAGAACAGAAAGCTAAACTGATAGTTAATAATGTGGTTACAGAAGAGTTCAAAATTGAAAAAGGGACACGACAAGGCTGCCCTATCTCCCCTTGTTATTTATTTCGGTTCTGGAAGTGCTATTGAACATGATTAGAGGGGACCAGTTGGTGGAAGGAATTCAGGTTGGTCAGAAACAATATAAACTAAAAGCTTTTGCAGATGACCTGGTTTTGACCTTGCAGAAGCCAGAGCCTAGTACGAAAAGAGTATTACAATTGATTAATGACTTTGGTCGGGTGGCGGGATTTAAATTAAATAAACAGAAAACCAAGGTTTTGGGAAAAAATTTGACTGAGACAGAGTCAGAACGGTTTCAGAATGAGACGGAACTTAATGTGGTTAAAAAGTAAAATACCTAGGGGTAAACATAACAGCAAAAATCTAAGTCTATTTAAGGATAACTATGAAAAATGTTGGACAGAAATTAAGAGAGACTTAGACAGTTGGTCAAAATTGAAACTTTCTTTGTTAGGCCGAATTGCTGCGATTAAGATGAATGTATTGCCAAGAATGTTGTTTTTATTTCAAACACTTCAGGTTTTGGACAAAATGGAGTGCTTTCAGAAGTGGCAGAGAGACATTTCGAGTTTGTCTGGCAGGGCAAAAAGCCCAGAATTAAGTTTAAGATACTAACTGATGCAAAACAAAGAGGGGCTTTGCCCAGCCGGACTCAAAGTTGCATTACGCCCCCGCACCGCTCTGCTGGCTAAAAGATTGGCTACTTCTTGAAGACACTGATGTGTTGGATTTGGAAGGGTTTAACAATGTTTTTGGATGGCATGCATATTTATGGTATGACAAAGTTAAAGCAAATAAGGCCTTTAAGAACCATATTGTTAGAAAATCACTGTTTAATGTCTGGACAAAATATAAAGACTTGCTGGAAAATAAAACACCAAGGTGGCTTTCACCTTTGGAAGCTAAGGCCCGAAAAGACCCAATATGGAGGCCAAATGGCCAAAATATTGGGAAATACTAGAAAAGATGGAGACAATTGGAAATTGCAGAGTTTGGAGAAAATGAAAGACAAAGTGCGAGATTGGTTACATTATGCTCAGATTAAAGAAGTTTTTAAAAATGATAAGAAACTAGGGTTCCAGGTGGAGAAATCGAAATTAGAAACAGAATTGTTAGAACCAAAGACTAAGATACTTTCAAGGATGTATAACTTGCTGTTGGAATGGAATACACAAGATGAAATGGTTAAATCGGCTATGATAAGGTGGGCACAGGATATTGGGCATAATATTATGTTTGAGGACTGGGAAAGGCTGTGGAGTAATGGATTGAAATTTACTGCATGTAATGCTTTGAAAGAAAATGTAATGAAAATGATTTATAGATGGTATATGACCCCAGTCAAACTCGCAAAAATTTACCACCTGTCTGATAACAAGTGCTGGAAATGTAAAGAGTGTGAAGGAACGTTCTTTCACCTCTGGTGGACCTGCCCTAAAGTGAAGGCGTTCTGGGAAATGATTTATAATGAATTGAAAAAGGTATTTAAATATACTTTCACTAAGAAACCAGAGGCTTTCCTTTTGGGTATTGTCAGCCAAGGGGTGGCAAAGAAGGACCAAACATTTTTATGTATGCAACAACAGCAGCAAGGATACTACTCGCAAAACATTGGAAAACTCAAGATCTACCCACACTGGAAGAATGGCAGATGCAACTGATAGACTATATGCAACTGGCTGAAATGACTGGCAGAATCCGTGACCTGGGAGAAGAGAGAATCGAGGAGGATTGGAAGAAATTTAAGAACTACCTACAAAAACATTGTGATTTGATTGAATGCTGAATAAGATGCTTGACTAAATAACTGAGCACCACTTAACTTAGAAGTTTTTAAGAAAATAAGAAAAACTGTGAAAGTTTAACTCTTTATGAGAACTATAAGATCATGAAATATCGAAGAGATATAAGAATTTAAATAAGATGATAAATTGCTGACAAAATGTTATAATGATGAAGGTGGGAGCGGGAGATGTGAGGAAGTCCAAAGAAAATGTGAAATTATGTTAAGACGAATGTTATATTGTTTATTACATTTATTCCTATTGTAAAATCCAATAAATTGCTTTAAAAAATAAAAAATAAAAAATATGGGAGGCAATCTATTGTCCAGTTGCGCTAGTAGAACCCAGCACAAGCGCAAGGGGGCTTCTCTCACCTTCTCCCCACATTGTCCTTGTGCTCTGCCCAAATCCGCTCTGGGGGATCTGGAAAACAGTGTACCAGAGGCAGGGGAGGAGAGACTGCCCCTTCCCAGTGTTCGAAATTAACCAGGTGCCCGGCACACTTTGCACCTGGCTTTCAACCACTTGCGACCAAGTGGAGAGTGCCATCCTGGCACCAAGGATGGCGCAAAGTGAAGATACTTTGGTGCCAGGTTGGCGCCTGACGTCTCCATCTGGGAATCAATGGATCTGGACTGTTTTCACACACAAACACCCCATCTTGTAGAATTCTATCAGTTAGATTGCTCGCAACTAGGGCCAGGGCCTTTTCAGTACTGGCCCCGACTTGGTGGAACGCTCTGTCACTAGAGACTAGGGCCCTGCGGGACTTGACATCTGTCTGCAGGGCCTGCAAGACGGAGCTGTTCCGCCTGGTCTTTGGTTTGGACTCAGTCTGACCTTTATGTTTCCCTCCCCTTTGATCTACTTTTTAAATGAGGCTGCATTGTACAGTGGTACCTCGGGTTACATATGCTTCAGGTTACATACGCTTCCGGTTACAGATGCTTCAGGTTACAGACTCCGCTAACCCAGAAATAGTACCTCAGGTTAAGAACTTTGCTTCAGGACGAGAACAGAAATTGTGCAGTGGCAGCACGAGGCCCCATTAGCTAAAGTGGTGCTTCAGGTTAAGAACAGTTTCAGGTTAAGAACAGACCTCCGGAACGAATTAAGTTCTTAACCCGAGGTACCACTGTATTTTAAATTGGGTTTTTTCCCCTATTATGATTTTACTGTAATTTTACTGGTGTTAGCCGCCCTGAGCCCGGCTCTGGCCGGGGAGGGCAGGGTATAAATAAAATAATAATAATAATAATAATAATAATAATATCTTATCTGCAGAACCAAAATGAATTTCTGGAGCCAAATTGCTTTTTCTGTGCAGCCTGAGCATCAACAGGAGCCATTAAGGAAAAGAGGTTGGAATAGTCCAATATATATGCGGATCCAGCATCCTATTTTGGACCAGGAGGTGGGGGACTTTCCCCTATCAATCCTCCCCCCGCCCCAGCAAATCTTTCTCCCTAGGCTTTGCACACCCACCCCGCCCTGTAGTCACCTCTTTGACCTCTGCCCGGTCCAGCCTCCTCCTCTCCTCGCCTATTGCCTATCTCTTCCGGGGGACATGGAGCGAATGCCACCCTCCCTGACTTTGACGACAGCTTCCTGCCTCTCTAGGAACCCGGGCTCGGTTCCTTTGCCCCCCCCCCCTCACCCCGGAGGACTGAGTGGCAGGAGCTGAGCCGCCACCCTCTGCAAGCCTGAAGGTTTCTCCTCCTCCTCCTCCTCCTTTTGCAAGCTTTTCCTCCGCTTGGCCCTCAGCTCCAGGGAAGGGGCTGCGGGATTTGTGGGGCCGGGGTCTCCCGGATTCCCGTCCTCTTTATTCCCTTTTGCAAGGGGGGACACCCCTCTCTCTCCCCCAGCCGCTGCGCGGAGGGCAGGCCGAGCTTTGGCAGACGCGGGACTCCCCTGCGAAGAAAGGTTTGCATTGCTTGGGACTTTGCAGTTCAGAGGAAAGGTGAGTGAAGAGGCGACTGGGTGGAAGTTTGCAGAATCACGCGTCGTGGCGCGGGGAAAGCGGGTGCAAGGCGCAGCACAGTTTCCCAGCCCTCCTTTTCATAACACCAGAGAGATCTGCGTGTCAAGCAGGAGACTCTTAATCTCAGGGTCGTGGGTGCGAGCCCCGTGTCGGGCCAAAGATTCCTGCGTTGCAGGGGGTTGGACTAGATGACCCGTAAGGTCCCTTCCAATTCCATGGTTCGCGGACCTCCAACGAAGCTGGATGCTGGGAGATAATAATAACAATAATAATAATAATTTATTTATACCCCACCCATCTGGCTGGGCTTCCCCAGCCACTCTGGGCGGCTTCCGACAAAATATTAAAATACAGTACAGTGGTACCTCGGGTTACAACGCTTCAGGTTACAGACTGCTAACCCAGAAATAGTGCTTCAGGTTAAGAACTTTGCTTCAGGATGAGAACAGAAATCATGCTCTGGCGGCGTTGCGGCAGCGGGAGGCCCCATTAGCTAAAGTGGTGCTTCAGGTTAAGAACAGTTTCAGGTTAAGAACGGACCTCCAGAACGAATTGAGTACTTAACCCGAGGTACCACTGTACAGTCATACCTCTTATTATGTTTGCTTCAGGTTAAATCTTTTCAGGTTGCATCCTGTGGTGATCCGGAAGTACCGGAAAGTGTTACTTCCGGGTTTTGCCGCTTGCGCATGCGCAGATGCTCAAAATGATGTCATGTGCAGAAGCGGCGAATCGCGACCCGCGCACGTGCAAACGCAGGTTGCGTTCTGCTCACGTTGTGAACGGGGCTCCGGAACGGATCCTGTTCGCAACCAGAGGTACCAGTGTAATGCATCAAATATTAAAAGCTTCCCTAAACAGGGCTGCCTTCAGATGTCTTCTAAAAGTCTGGTTGTTGTTGTTCTCTTTGACATCTGGTGGGAGGGCGTTCCACAGGGCAGGCACCAGAGAAGGCCCTCTGCCTGGTTCCCTGTAACTTGGCTTCTCGCAGTGAGGGAACCACCAGAAGGCCCTCGGCGCTGGACCTCAGTGTCCGGGCAGAATGATGGGCGTGGAGACGCTCCTTCAGGTATACAGGAGCAAGGCCGTTCAGGGCTTTAAAGGTCAGCACCAACACTTTGAATTGTGCTCGGAAACGTACTGGGAGCCAGATGGAGGACAGATAAAACTATAAAGGACTGTTTCATGCAGTGCGTGGTTTGGAACTCGCTTCGGCAGGAGGTGAAAATGGTGGGCTTTTAAAGAGGATTGGAGAGATACGTGGAGGAGAGGCCTAGCAATGGCTGCCAACCTTGTTGATACTCATGCTTCCCTATTTCAGATGCTGGAAACAAAAGGAGAAGAGATAGCATGTCCTGCTCATGGGATTCCCTTTGGGGAATCCGGTTGACAGCTGTGACACAGGATGCTAGACAAAATGGGCCATTGGATTGATCTACAAGGCTCTTCTTAGGACCCCTTGCCAGAGCTCCTCTTTCCCCAGGGAAAGGGGTTTGCATGGGGGACCCCCAGAACAGGAAAAGCTGGAAATGCCAGACTGATCAGGTATGGCCAAATTTGTGGGAGGGGCCCCAGCTTCCAGAGGCCCCAAAGAGAAGCTCAGAACGATGTTCCCACTTCCACGCGTCTCTAGCGTTTGGGATTTGAACTTTGGTTGCATTTCTAAAATACGATGGGGTGTGGGGAGCGGGATTATTGGTTTGTTCCTGTATTTTGTGGTTTATGCTGTGTATTTTCACGCTGCGAACTGCCCCAAGATCTGCGGATGAAGGGGCAAAATTATGCAAATTTAAATATAAATAAATAACCGCATCGTTCCCAAAAGTAGACCCCTTAGTTCTTCTCTCTGTTTTCACTCGCCCAAAAACTCCTCCGTAAAGAAAGGTCTTATCAACTTCCTCTTGGTTGGAGCCAGGTCAATAGCGGGAGGCTGGAAAAGGTTTTTTTTTGGGGGGGGCGGCTTTAATTGCTAATTGATACTGTCATACCTCGAGTTACAGCCGCTTCAGGTTGTGTATTTTCGGGTTATGCACCTGCCGAAACCCAGAAGTACCGGAATGGGTTTCTTATGGGTTTTGGTGGTCACACATGCGCAGAAGAGCTAAATCATTCTTTGCTCATGCGCAAAAGTGGATCCCAACCTGCATGTGCGCAGACGCGCCACTGTGGGTTGTGAACGCTGTGAGTTGCGAACATGCATCCCTCACGGATCACATTTGCAACCTGAGCATCCACTATATTAGCATGTTCTGCTTCTCATTGTCATGCAAAAAATAAAATACAGTGGTACCTTGGGTTACAGACGCTTCAAGTTACAGACTCCGCTAACCCGGAAATAGTACCTCAGGTTAAGAACTTTGCTTCAGGATGAGAACAGAAATCGTGCAGCGGCGGTGCAGCGGGAGCAGGAGGCCCCATTAGCTAAAGTGGTGCTTCAGGTTAAGCACAGTTTCAGGCTAAGAACGGACCTCTAGAATGAATTAAGTTCTTAACCCGAGGTACCACTGTAATGCACAGTATGTGGAAAGCAGGGGGGCCACATCACATCTGCTCAGTTCGCAGCCTCCCAACTACCCACGCTGGATTTGGGGAGGATCCATATTACAGTATATAGTTGCTTTATTTATTGTTTATTTGACTTCAACGGACATAGGGAGCTGCCTTATAACTTTGGTCCATCTAGCTCAGTATTTTTACACTTCTTCTGCTTTTTTTGGACTACAACTCCCATCATCCCTAGCTAGCAGGACCAGTGGTCAGGGATGATGGGAATTGTAGTCCAAAAACAGCCAGAGACCCAAGTTTGGGAAACGCTGGTTACGCTAAGAACTCATCTCCAGACTTGCCTTCCCCCTGGGGAAACCTAATCTTTACTGCTGAATCGGATCCGATGTCAATCATGATGGATATTTGTTGTTCCGATTTACCACTAAAGAGCAGGTTTTCCTGGGGAAAGTGGAAGGGCAAGTGCAAAGCCACTTGGACCGATGCCTAGGAATCGTGGGACAAACTGAAAACCATTTGGGGGGGGTATTTTAATAATAATAATAATAATAATAATAATAATATAATTTTTATTTATACCCAGCCTCCCCAGCTAAGACTGGGCTCAGGGCGGTTAACAAGCAATAATAAAAACAAGTTGAATGAATACAACTTAAAAACAAGATTAAAATACAACATTAAAACGTTAAAATGCAGCCTCATTTTAGGCAGGGGGGTCTTTCTCAGCCCTTCTTGGGGAGGCAGTTGAGAATTCAACCCGACGCTGTGCCACTGAGCTACGGATCCTTTCTTTCCAACCATATACTTTAACAAGGACACAGGAGAGATCTGGGAAGGCTTGTTTTTGATGTCCTTTCCTGCAATTTGCAAAATCGAATTACTACTACTACTACTAATTTATCATTTATACCCCGCCCATCTGGTTGAGTTTCCCCAGCCACTCTGGGCGGCTTCCAATCGAGTGTTAGAAACAATACAGCATTAAATATTAAAAACTTCCCTAAATAGGGCTGCCTTCAGATGTCTTTTAAAGACAAGATAGCTACTTATTTCCTTCACATCTGAAGGGAGGGCGTTCCACAGGGCGGGTGCCACTACCGAGAAGGCCCTCTGTCTGGTTCCCTGTAACCGCCAGAAGACCCTGGGCGCTGCACCTCAGTGTCCGGGCAGAACAATGGGGGTGGAGACGCTCCTTCAGATATACAGGACTGAGTTCGTTTAGGGTTTTAAAGGTCAGCACCAACACTTTGAATTGTGCTCGGAAACGTACTGGGAGCCAATGCAGATCTCTCAGGACCGGTGTTATGTGGTCCTGGCGGCCGCCCCCAGCCACAAGTCTAGCTGCTGCATTCTGGATCAGTTGTAGTTTCCGGGTTACCTTTAAAGGTAGCCCCACGTAGAGCACATTACAGTAGTCCAAGCAGGAGATAAACAGAGCATGCACCACTGGCGAGACAGTCTGCGGGCAGGTCGGGTCCTAGCCTGCGTACCAGAGGGAGCTGGTAGACAGCCGCCCTGGACACAGAATTAAGCTGTACCTCCATGGACAGCTGTGAGTCCAAAATGACTCCCAGGCTGCGCACCTGGTCCTTCAGGGGCACAGTTACCCCATTCAGGACCAGGGAATCCCCCACACCCGCCTGCCCCCTGTCCCCCCAAAACAGTGCTTCTGTCTTGTCAGGATTCAACCTCAATCTGTTAGCTGCCATCCATCCTCCAACTGCCTCCAGGCACTCACACAGGACCTTCACTGGTTCTGATTTAAAAGAGAGGCAGAGCTGGGTATCATCCGCATACTGATGAACACCCAGCCCAATCCCCCTGATGATCTCTCTCAGCGGCTTCATAGAGATATATTTTTTTAAAGAACAGAAACAACAGCAGCACAGATAAGGGTGCCTGCTGGATAGCTCAGCTGGTTAGCGCCTGGTGCAGACAACACCAGGGTCGTGGGTTTGAACCCCATATGAGAAAGCTGCATCCTTTTGCATTGCAGGGGGTTGGACCACATGATCCTCAGGGAACCCTTCCAGTTCTGTGATTCTATGCGTTTAACAATGGGGTGCGGAGAAAGAAACCTTTGGGCACCCCCTTCCCTTGCAAGAACTGGCGGGGGAGGGAAGGGGAGGGGGAGGGAGGCGCCTTCTGCCACTCAGTCCTCCAAACGGTAAAAACGAGTCGCACTGTGCTTCCTAGAGAGGCAGGAAGTTGGGATTTTTTTTTTCAAATTATTTTTTATATATATAAAAAAAAGGAGGAGGAGGACAGGCAGCCTGGAAGGGGGAAGAGGGCACCCCCATTTCCCTTGCATATTCTGGGAAGAGAAACAGTCCTGGAGAGTCGGGAGGACAAAGAGGTGCAAAATCTGGGGGGGGGGCAGGTTATCTTGCTGCGGGTGGGGATCTGCTTTCGGGTGCGGGGGCGTCGAGGAGAGGAAGAGATCCGCCCTGCCCGCTTCCTCCTCCCCGGGAACCCGCAGGCAGCCAGGCAGGCCGGATCCGCGGCGTCGACCCCTTTGCAAAAGCGCATCTGGCCGGGTTGCAAAAGCGCCTTTGCAAGCTTGCAGGTCGAAACAAGGGAACGTGCAGCCGGGGCTGTTTTATTTTATTTGGGGGGGGGGGCGGGGAAGCTCTTGGTGCAGAGGAAGCAGCTTTGCGGTGGGTGGGGTTGTGCACAGTGCGTGCGTGTGTGTGTTGCTGTGCTGGTTTTGCCAGCTGCGGAGAAGCAGACGCCTATGGGCTCCTAGGGAGAGGAAGGAGGTTGCTAAAAAGGCGGGGGAGGTTCGGATAGGATAGGCAGCGGGGGGGGGGGAGGCGGCGGCGCCAGATTCCTCAAAGGGTAAGGAAAAGGGCAGGTGTGGGGGGGCAAAGACTTTTGCTTTCAGGAGGCCCCTTAGGGGTGGGGGAGACTCGCTTCCTGAAACCCGGGGCTGCTGCAGCTGTTGACAGCCCTGGGCAAAATGGACCCACGGTCTATAAAGCAGTTTCCTGTTTTCCTAGGAAACAGCCTTTCAGGAGGTGGGCAGGTTTGCAGGTTGCGGGGAAGGGCAGGGCTGATTTTGTTTGCACCCCAAAGAGAGGAGGAGAGGGTGGGGGGAGTCCTTCCGGGTTCCTCCCCCTCCCCCCCCAGCTGAAAAAGTGCCTGGTCCGTTTCCCTCTGCCCGGATTTGAAACTAGCTCTTCCCAGCGGAGGCTGGAGGAAGTAGATAAATAACATTGGGAAGGACTTTCTGACAGCAAGAACTGCTCCAGCCATAGCTGTCGACTTTCAGATTTGAAAATAAGGGATCAGCAGCCTCACCTGTCCCGGGGACAGTCTACGGGATATCTAACAATCCGGGATAGCAGCGGGAAACGGCGCTGGAATAAGGGAATTTCCCGCAAAAAAAGGGAAGGTTGACAGCTATGGCTCCAGCATTTCTCCATACCCTCCTCCAACATCAAACCTCCCTCCAGAGGTTGTGGACTCGGCCACACTGGAGGTTTTTAAACAGAGGTTGGATAGCTGTCTGCCTGGGATTATTTAGCTGGGATACTTGCATCGCAGGGGGCTGGGCCATAGCTGTCAACGTTTCTCTTTTTTTAAGGGAAATTCCCCTATTCCGAATAGGATTCCTCACAAGAAAAGGGAAAAGTTGACAGCTATGGGTTGGGCTAGAGCATGGGTAGGCAAACTAAGGCCTGGGGGCCGGATCCTGCCCAATCAACTTCTAAATCCGGTCCACGCACGGTCTGGGAATCAGCGTGTTTTTACATGAGTAGAATGTGTGCTTTTATTTAAAATGCATCTCTGGGTTATTTGTGGGGCACAGGATATCATTCATTCCCCCCGCCCCCCATATAGTCCGGCCCCCGACAAGGTCTGAGGGACAGTGGACCGGCCCCCTGCTGAAAAAGTTTGCTGACCCCTGGGCTAGACGGCCCTTGGTTTCCCTTGCAACTGTGCGATTCAGTGATCTATGAAATGCCTCCTCCGCAGTTGGATTTGGTGGAGGGAAGGGGCGTTTTTTCTAGGTGTCAACTGTGATAGTTGTTTGGGGTGGGGGATCAAAGCCGCAGGGTGGACCACGGCTTATTCTTGCAGGATTGGCCCAGCAGAGGGGGGCTGAGTTTCTTTCTCTGCTGATGCTGCCAGCCTCTCCTTTGGGCATAGCCATGTTTGCAGGAGGGCCTCTTAAATGTGTGTGTCCCTGCTTTGGGAATAGATCTCTCGGTGATCTGGGCCCATTTATGGACGCGTGAAGGAAAAGGTACCGGTGGAGGGAGAGGGTCAGACCACAGGCCTGGGTGAAACAATTCCATTTTATTTTTTTAAACAGAATTGATGTGTAAAAGCCTCTAAGCAGTTTTCATGAATTATCCACTTGAACCAGGATGGAACCAGACGGTTGGCACTTAAAATAAAAAGGTGGTTTTCAAACAGGTGGTAAAGGGGGGGGGGGGAGAGTCAAGAGGAGCTGTGGTGGGTCTGGTTCTGAACAAATCTTTCTCCTGGGATCAATAAAGTAAAATAGGTTAAAAATGAAATTCAGGTGTCAGAGAACTAGTTTCACACCAGGAGTAGGATCTAGGAAACATTGACTTAGCTGACATAATGAGAAATGAGGGTTTACATGACTTCATAGATATGGATTTTATTCTTTGAACTGCCCTGAGACCTCCCAGGTATAGGGTGGTATATAAATTCAATTAATAATACAGTCAAACCTCATGTTACGTTTGCTTCAGGTTGCGTCCTGCAGCAACCCGGAAGTACCGGAAAGGGTTACTTCCGGGTTTTACCACTCGCGCATGCACAGATGCGCAAAATGATGTCATGCGCAGAAGCGGTGAATTGTGACCCGCGCACGCACAGACGTGGGTTGTGATCTGCTCATGTTGCGAACGGGCCACCGGAACGGATCCCGTTCGCAACCGGAGGTACCACTGTAATAATAATAATAATAATAATAATAATCACAAAGCCTAAAAGCTTGGCAGTATAGAGGCTGGATCTAAAAGAGTTTTGAACCTATAAATGACATGTCTTAAGCACAAGAAGATGTCTTCTCTTTTGAGTCCCACCTTCAGAGTTTTGAAATATCTAACCTGTAAGTTTCCAGGATCCCTGGAACAGGATCTGCCCAGTGGCCCCTCTAGTCCGGCATCCTCTTCTCACAGTGGCCAATCAGAGGCCTGTGGGAAACCTGCAAGTAGGACGCCTTCCTATGAGCATTCTCTTTCCCCTCCTGCAGCTCCCAGCAAATGCTATTCAGAACATTACTGCCTTCCATGAAGGGGGCAGACCATAGCCATCTACTTTATCTACTTTAACCTCCATGAATTGATCTAATCCTCTTTTAAAGATGTCCAAGTTGGTACCCATCTCTGCCTCCTGGGGGAGTATCTTCCATACTTTTAAATGTGCGCTGTGAGAAGGCTGTTTGCTGATTTATTTATTTATTTGGTTTTTCAGATTAAAATTTTAAAGTCACACATCCAACATAGAAACAAGATTCCAAAGAATCTCCTGGGCTTCCTTCCTCCCCTTTGTGGGTCCTTTTGTTAGTCCTTTCCTCCTGCATATTTTTTTTTAACAATCCAAATCTTTTACCCCTCCATTGTGTCCAAAATTCACCATTAAAGCAAGTGTTATTCCAATCTTGGTAATGGTTTTAACTGTTTACAATGGTTTTTAAGATAGATTATAAATTTTCCCCATTCCTTGTTAACATTTTGGTCTTCCTGATTTCTGATTCTTCCGGTCTTTTTAGCCATTTCGGCATAATCCATCAATTTGATCTGCCATTCTTCTCTGGTAGGGAATTTATCTTCCTTCCATCTTTGGGCCAATAACAACTGCCCAGCTGTGGTTGCATACATAAATAGTCTTTTCTGCTCCCGTGGGATTTTGGCACCTAAAAGAAAGGCTTTGGGGTTTTTAAAGAAAAGGTTATTTTAAACATTTTTTCAACTCAATATATATCATTTCCCAAAATTATTTTATTACAGTCATACCTCATGTTACGTCCGCTTCATGTTACATTCTTTCAGGTTATGTCCCGCGGCGACCTGGAAGTACCGGAAAGGGTTACTTCTGGGTTTTGCCGCTCGCGCATGCGCAGAAGCGCAAAATGATGTCATGCGCAGAAGTGGCGAATCGCAACCTGCGTGTGCGCAGACGCGCTGCTGCGGGTTGCACTCTTTTCATGTTGCGAACGGGCCTCCGGAACGGATCCCGTTCGCAACCAGAGGTATCACTGTACTTTACACTTCCACCACACATGATAAAATGTGCCTTCTTTTTCCTACGTACATTTTCTCCTCCTCTTCCTCCAGGGTCTGGCGACCTTCAGGGAGGTGGCTGTGTGCTTCACGGTGGGGGAATGGGCTATGATGGATCCCAGCCAAAGAGCTCTGCAGCGGGAAGTTATGGAGAGGAATTATGAGACGGTGGCCTCTCTAGGTAAGGGCACCGTTTTCCCTCTTGACCCATTGATGGCGAAGGTACGAATTTACTATTGTTCCATTCGTCCCCGTGCTCTCTTTTCGGTTATCATCTCAGCTTGCAGAATCTGAGTGACCCCTCTAAACTGGTGGTGCTATTGATTCATGCCCGATGGGTCCTAGATAACATAACAATACTCTGTGATTTAATCCTAGTGTGATTTTGTTGGCATCCGTCTGTCTTGAGACAGTCCGTGCCTGACCGGTGCTGCTGGGACCATGCAGGCCTCTTCAATTCAGGTGGTGAAGAATTATAACCCTTCGTAACCTTCAGAAGGCTCGATCTGGAATGGCTGAGTGCGAACCAAACTAACTAGTCTTGTCTGTTTCCTTGGTAGAACCAAACTTCACTTCTTGTTGGGGAGAAGGAGAATATCCATTTATCCAGGAACCCAAAAACAGGGAGACATCAGCAGGTAGATACTTAGCTGTGTAATAATCATCCAGGAGAGATTGTCCCATCAGGATGCGTGTTCTCCAAGTGGATTTCTTTAAAAGGGGTTTAAGAACAAAGTTCTCAATGGCGGCTACCGTTCATTTATTAAATTTCAATCCCATCCTTTTCCCCAGGGTGCCATGATGGCTATATGCTGTCTTTGGAACCAAGGGAGCAAAAGTTACAGAGGGGTGATGAGGAAGCTGGGCTATAGGCCTTTGGTCTAATCCAGCAGGGCTCTTTGGATAAAGGAGAAGGAATAGTCTCCAGGCTGAAGTTTCCCCTCCACCTGCTGAGATATTCCCAAAATTAAACTAGCTAGATTGGCTTCCACAGTGCCACGGATGTATAGGGAGCACCTGTTAGAAGTGTGGGGTGGACCAACAAGCCTGTCTGTTTATTTTAAAGAAATTTCCAAGCCGCACTTCATCTCCTGGCTGCAAGGACGAGATCCACTCGGACGGGGCTCTAATGAAGGGGAAAGGTCTGCAGGTACGGATTTTGAAAACAGGAGATATCTTGGGAACAAAACCGTGGTTCCATATCTGTGGCTAAGTTCAAAGGTTGCCAGTGAAATGCAAAGCCAGCTGTTAGTTAACCAGTGAGGAATTCCCCATATACAGTGGTACCTCGGGTTACACACGCTTCAGGTTACAAATGTTTCAGGTTACAGACTCCGCTAACCCAGAAATATTACCTCGAGTTAAGAACTTTGCTTCAGGATGAGAACAGAAATCACGCAGCAGCGGCGCAGCAGCAGCATCAGGAGGCCCCATTAGCTAAAGTGGTGCTTCAGGTTAAGAACAGTTTTAGGTTAAGAACGGACCTCCAGAACGAATTAAGTTCTTAACCTGAGGTACCACTGTAGTTTAGAGCAGGCATAGGCAAACCCGGCCCTCCAGATGTTTTGGGACTACAGTTCCCATCATCCTTGACCACTGGTCCTGTTAGCTAGGGATCATGGGAGTTGTAGTCCCAAAACATCTGGTGGCCGAGTTTGCCTATGCCTGGTTTAGAGCAACATTGTAAATCTGCAGTGTTTGTCTTTGACCATCCTTGCCCTGGGGGCAAGGCCCTATCTCAATGGTAAAGCATGAAGATTTGCATGATGTTCCTAGGATTCATCCCTATAATCTTCAGGTAGAGCTGGGAAGGGTGTTTGTCTGAAACCCTTCAGAGCAGCTGCCAGTCAGGGTAGACAGTACAGTCATACCTCATGTTGCGTTCCGCTCTGGTTACGGACTTTCAGCTTACGAATTCAGCACACCTGGAAGTGTTTACTTCCGGGTTCACCGCCCATGCATGCAGAGAAGTGATCTGTGCGCTTTGCGCACGCGCAGAAGACGTGCACTAGTTGCGGACTTTGCGGGGTGCAAACGGCACCCCGAAACGGATTAAGTCCACAACTAGAGGTACCACTGTACTGAGTTCCCTGGACCATGCAAATCAGCTTCTCCGTTCCTTTATTTGTATCCGGCCAGCTGTTTTGACCGCAGCCGAAATTTATAGGAACCACGGAGCAGTGAGCTGTGCCCGCTATGGCCCCTTCCACAGCCTTGCTGCAATTCATATTTCCCCTCAAATCCTCTTCTTATTGTATTTCTGTCACTAGACGCCCTAGTGCCATTGTGGCTAGGAGGGCCTTTTGCCAGATCCATCCGGTTTGCCGACTGCAGCCAGTCTTGGACAGGGGTAGTCTGACCACTGTGGTGTGTGCTTAGATAGCCTCAAGGCTGGATTACTGCAATGTGCCCTATATGGGGCTTGCTTTGAGACTGGTTTAGAAGATTTTAACATGTGGTTTAGAAGTTTTAACATGTGGCACCATGGTTAAAACATCCGCAGTGGCTGCCCATCTGCTGCTGAGCCAGGCTCAAGGTCCTTGTATTATTTTACAAAACCCAAAACAACTTAAGTCCCGGTTACCTCAGGGACCACTTGAACCCTTGTATCTCACCTTGATCGCTGAGATCATCAACAGAAGTGTCATTAGTCATTCCTCAAATTAGCGAGGGTCACATGACAACAAAAAGAATCCGAGCCTTTATTGTGAAATACTCTGCCAATAGAGATTCAGCAGGTGCCTTCTGTTTCAGCTTTTAAATGCCTGCTGAAAACTTTTCTATTCCACCAGGCCTAGGCAAGTGATTAAGAATACATCTTCGCAAAATGATTAATTGATGTCTGTTTTTAATTTATTTATTTCTTTTTAATTGCCCGATTTTATGTACAATTGTAGGGACATGGGTAGCACTGTGGGTTAAACCACAGAGCCTAGGGCTTGCCGATCAGAAGGTCAGTGGTTCGAATCCCTGCGACGGGGTGAGCTTCCATTGCTCGGTCGCTGCTCCTGCCAACGTAGCAGTTCGAAAGCACGTCAAAGTGCAAGTAGATAAATAGGTACCGCTCCAGCGGGAAGGTAAATGGCATTTCCGTGCGCTGCTCTGGTTCACTTAGTCATGCTGGCCACATGACCTGGAAGCTGTATGCCGGCTCCCTCAGCCAATAAAGCAGATGAGCGCTGCAACCCCAGAGTCGGTCACGACTGGACCTAACGGTCAGGGGTCCCTTTACCTTTACCTATGTACAATTGTAAACCACTCTGATGTTTTATATGAATATCAAGTGATCCAATTTTTTTAACCCCGTGTCATCCAGTTTCCTTAATATTTTGTACACTTGTTGAATGATCAAAACTAAGTTTAAATCTGAAATTTTAATTTTTTTATCTCATCCCATTTTTGAGTTATGAGGGTTTGAAATTTGGCTTTGCCGGACTACACAAAATCCAGAGTATCAGTATACCACTCCTGCAGTGCGGAAGGGGTCGAGGGCAGGCAGATGAGTGACATCAAGTGATCTTCGGATCAGAAAGGAATTGAAGTGGTTGTCTGAGACTGTAGCATGTAAGGAAAGCAGCCTTGATTTCAGCAGGGGAAAAGAAGAGAAAGAGGGAAAATTGCAGAGATGCCAAAAAATCTTAAGCAACATCTAATTGGACTTGATGAATGATGAGATGCTTTGCTTTTCAAATGTGTTTCCCTTCCCCTTCCCACCCCCAGCAGACGCCGGGCAGGCCAATGAAATTTACAGGGAACAACAGATGGCAGCAACTATCAAGTGCGAAGCAGAAAAAGAGATGTGTGGGGAAACTGAGGGGCCAAAAACGCCGGAAAGAAACCTGTCAAAGCACGGGATGAAGAAACCCTCTACTTCTCAGGGTTTGCATCAAAGAACGCACAGTGGGGAGAAATCCTTTAAATGCATGCAGTGTGGAAAGGGGTTTAGAGTGAGCAGCAGCCTTGCTTTGCACGAAAGGACACACACCGGCAAGAAGCCCTTTAAATGCATGGAATGCGGGAAGACCTTCAGTCAAAGCGGCAACCTTACTGCTCATCGGAGAACTCACACAGGGGAGAAGCCGTTCAAGTGCATGGAGTGCGGGATGTGCTTTAGCCAGTGCGGTAACCTTGCCTCTCATCAAAGAACTCACACAGGGGAGAAACCGTTCAAATGCCTGGAGTGTGGGAAGAACTTCAGGCGGAGTCATCACCTTACCAAACATCGAAGAACCCACACGGGGGAGAAGCCGTTCAAGTGTATGGAGTGTGGGAAGAGCTTCAGCGTGCGCAGCAGCCTTACAGTACATCAAAGAACCCACACGGGAGAGAAACCATTTAAATGCATGGAGAGCGAAAAAGCTTCAGCCAGAGTGGTGGCCTTACTGGCCATCTAAGAATCCACACAGGGGAGAAAGCATTTAATTACGCTTATTCTTCTTATTCTTCTTAGTATTATTATTACTGCTGCCACTGTTGATTTATTAATCGCTTTCTAAACCACCGTCTCAAGGCAATTTACACATAAGATAATGGCAAACAGTTAAAACCACCAAAAAAACCCAAATACATTTAAAACAAGACTAAAACCTTTACCAACTGGACAGTCGTGGCAAGGACCCCATTTATCCAGCTGGCAAAACTCTATTGGAGCAAAAATGTCTTCAGCTGTTTCCAGAAAGTGCAGACTGTGGGTGCCTGTCATATCTCAACGGGAATGCTATTCCACAGGACGGAGGCAGCCACACTAAAAGCCCATCTCTGAGTTATTGCAGAGCAGGCTTCTGAGATTTTTGGGACTCGACAGGAGAAACTCCTGCAGACCACAGCAATATCTGCTGGGTGTGTAAGGGATAAGGCGGTCTCTTGAGTAACCTGGTCCCGAATTGTATAGGGTCTTATATGTTAGTACCAACACCTTGAAGTTGGCTGCATCCTCTGAACCAACCCCAAGAATAGCTTCAGCTGCACCACCGCCCTTAATGTACATCAAAGAACTCACAAAGGGGTGGAACCATTTTAAATGTATTTAGTGTGGGGAAAAGCTTCAGTCTGAGTTGTACTGTAAGTGACTGCCTTTACAGTACACCAAAGAAGGCACACAGGGGAGAAGCCATTTTAAGTGCACGGAGTGTGGAAAAAGTCTTGGAGTTGCAACCTTCCTTCCCATGAAAGAATCCACATCTGGATTTCACGTCGGGATTAAAATTGCCTAGAATATGAAAAGAGCTTCACATCAAAGAGCCTGCAAAGGACAAATGATGTAAATGCCTGGAGCGTGGCAAAAGCTCCTCTTGGACGTAACGGGGTTTCTTCTACAAGGTTGGGGGAGGGGCTTTGTTTCATTTGTTTATTTGTTAGATTTCTTACCCACCTTTTACCATAAGCTCCCAGGCAGGGTTACAGAAAATAACAACAAAACAATAATTACAACAATAAAACAGACCAATATAAAAGTTTTCAACTATCAAACATGAAAAGTGTAAAAAACACACACGTTATATATAAAACAATTAAAACTAATTCCATGTTTTAAGAAGAAACAGACCTTTGGAGGAAAGCAATGCTTTTAAATGGTTTTCATCGCTGTTTTTAATCGGGTCACTTACTGAATTGCTTTTAAATATCCATATAGTGTGCTTTTTGTTGTATCTGTTTCAATTTCCGCTGTGAGACGCCTTGGGTCCTGCACTGGGAGAAAGGCGAGATGTAAATAAAAAAATAAATATATATTAAAAAGAGTTTTAACAGTTGCAATACAGGGGCGGGCTGGGAATAAAAATCTCCAATTTAAAAGGTTTGTTTACGATGGAAAGTGTTTGGTAGATGCTGGGAAGACTGTAACAGAGACAGTAGTACCTGTCTAATAGGTAACGGAAGGGCCACCACACAAAAGGTCCTTGTGTATCTGTGGCAGCTTCCTGCATGATTGAGAACCTTGCAGATTGCTTCCCCCACCCCATTCCATTAGCTGGTCCTGAAATTTCTCTCTAGTCACCATCCTCTGTTGCAAACACTGCAGCATTCAAGACAAATTTTGTGGCAAAGAAGCAGTGGGACTTACAAAATTGCTGCTCAGTTGAAGGTTTTTGCCACACTCCCCCATAAGGACTTGTTGGATTGCACGTCGAGACATTAAAGGAAGACACGACACAAAGAGAAGGGAAAGCCAGGAGGGAAAACAATGACAGACTCGGATGACAAGAACTGTGTGTGGCCTAACAATGGACCTGTAGGCAGACGGGTAAAAATTAAAATGGGAGAAGTATGACAGCAGAGATACATACACACAGATAATCCCCTTTGCAGGTAAGACTAATAGTTCTGTCTCAGAAGAAGAAACTTTATTTGCATCAGCCACTAGCCATAGCAATAAGATAAAATGTACTGAAGATAGAGGTAAAAGCTTAACTATAGAAAATATATTTTGGGGGTTTACATCAATAATCAAATAATAGATCTTATTCTAATTGCTCCTGCTAAAATCCTTGCAGTTTTTGCTGTCACCTGATCATCTTGATCCAAAAGAAAGGACACTAGCAGTGGTTGAGCGACCCTGCATAGACGATAATAAAAGGGTACTAACCTCACTCCTCAAATCTTTATAAAGTGGAAGCCAGAAGCACTTTATAGGAATGAAGTATCGAGCCACTGACTCAATACTTCCATCTCCACAGGTACATAACTGTTTTTCCAGCAGAATTTTTTGCAGTCGACCCTCAAGTACAGCTGAAGGCCGTATGTTTATTCTTGCGAAAGTAAAAGCACGTCTGTATTTTGGAACTGTTAAATTTTGCAAATAGGGTGCCAGAGTGTCATAATGACTATCTCATGTGCAGATTAATCTGCTATCATGATGGGACTCGCCCAAGCTGGCCATATATGATGGACAAACGTTTTAAACCCAAGACTTCTACTCTCTGTAGGACGCATCGGGTTGTGTGTAACAAAGGTACTAGGAGAAGCCAAGTAGCTGCTCTCAAGATTTCAGTAAATCCTGTTTGCCAGAGGTTGTGGAACAGCAATCCTTTCAAACTCTGGGAAGATGGTCATTTCAATTTACACATGTTTCACCCACAACAAAGTTCTGGCACATACCACTTTTAGAAAACGAGGTGGTGAAGCAACTGCTGCAAAACATTTTCCTTAAAAGTTTGCTATCACAGGTAATCTTTTCTTGCATTGTTGCAGTTTATTTAACTTGTCCTTCACCCTAAGGTTCCTGGGCAGACAACATCGATTAAAACACCACATTGATACAGTGGTACCTTGGTTCTCGAACGGCTTAGTTGATCGGCTCCCGAATGCCGAAAACCCAAAAGTGTTCCAGTGTTTGAACGTTTTTCAGAAGCCAAACGTCCGACGCAGTTTCTGCTTGAGTGCAGGAAGGTCCTGCAGCCAATCGGAAACTGCGCCTTGCTTTTCAAACGGTTTCGGGAGTCGAACGGACTTCCGGAACGGATTAAGTTTGAGAACCAAGGTTACACTGTACAGTCATACCTGGGGATGAATATGCTTCAGGTTGAGCGTTTTCGGGTTGCGCTCTGCGGCGACCCAGAAATATGGAATGCGTTGCTTCTGGGTTTCACCGCTCTCGCATGTGCAGACGCTCAAAATGACGTCACGCATGCCCGGAAATGGCAAAACGCAACATGCGCAGATACGCTGTCACGTGTTATGTGTGCTTCAGGATGCGAACGGGGCTCCGGAATGGATCCCGTTCGCATCCAGAGGTACCACTGTACTAAGATACAATATTAAGGTACAGGTAAAGGACCCCTAACAGTTAAGTCCAGTCGCGGACAACTCGGGGGTACATTATTAAAAACAGTTTGAAACAACTTAAAATGACAGAAATAAGGCGAGTCCTAAAAAATATGCAGCGTACCAAGGGAACTCTTGCCAGAAAGTGATATTTCTGTGGGTAAAACACACAAAGAAGTAATGGAAAGGTCCTAATTGGCGCCAGGGAATGCACTTGCTGCCCACAGAACACTGAGTGGTTTAGGGTAATTGGGAGGGAAATGGAATGGAGCATACTGGAAAGGGGCATGGCTGTCGAACCAGGAACAGGAGCACTCTATACTGCAACCTTTTTGCTGGAGGCTCCACTTGTGCAATCAAGTACATACAAACAAAAACTCAGTCTGCTCATCACTTTGTATGGTGAGTGGTAATTCCAGGTGCCACTCACATTTGAATCTTGAAGTCTTTGCTGATAGTGTTGCCAGTGGTTTGCTAGGTGCTCCAGAATATGATAAAACAATTCAGGCTTGCACAAATCCAAAATCATGCATTAAAAGAAAAAAACCCATCACGCTTCATTTAACATGAGTTACGAAGCACCCCTCTTAAACACAGCTTTTGCTATCAGAATGGTAGCCTGCACTGAAGAAAGGAAGTTCCATTTTGGTCCGGAAAGGTAAGGAAAAGGTCCAATTTGCAACAACACTTGCTAAGCCCATTGACTGCTGACTCCTTCACTGATGCTAACTTCCCTTCTGGATTTCTTCCCAGATCAGTTGCTTAGAGCGTGGTGTTGATAACTGCAAGGTTGTGGGTTTGATCCCTATACGGGCCACATGCATATTCCTGCATTGCAGGGGGCTGGACTAGATGACCCTCAGGGTCCCTTCCAACTCTACAATTCTACGATCACTTGTAAATTTGAAGCAAAACAAAAGAATATCACATGCTTTCTGGAAGTGTTAATCCAAGAGATTCTCCTGAAAGGTCACTCCTTCCATAATACCAAATCCAGACATTTCAGTGACCTAAGCCTCATATTTGAAGAGCCCTAAAATATGGGTTGATTTCATGTCCCCCCCAAAAACAAAACACTGGACACAGGAATTCAAATGTACGTTTAGAGGCTCTTTCTGAGATCTACTGTCCTGAGATCTACAGATGAAGGGTGGTATACAAATTTAATAATAATTTCTCAGAGATTTAACAGCATAATAGCACAAGAGCAGTGGATTAGGCCAATGGCCCATCTTGTCTAGCATCCTGTTCTCACAGTGGCCAACCAGATACCTGAGGGGTGGAGAGTCCAGAGCCAGATATATCAATGGCCTCATTCACTATAAAAATACAAGACTACCATTTCCAGAGGGAATAGCTGCATTTCCACTGAACTTTCGCTCACAAATCTGTGCATGTTTTCCTATTTTATTGTAGGAATTTACAGCCCAGGGAGCGGGGAATTGGTTATGTTCTGCATTTTTAACATAAACAACAAAATCATACTGAAGATTTTTTCAAAAAATATTTTTTAAAATTACTTTTCCAATATACCCCCAATAGCAGCCAAATTCCATGCCAGAGCGAGAGCCGGGTACCAGGAGGAACTGCGAGTGAAGCCCGTTACCCCCGTCCCTGGAAGGAATTTGCAATGATGATTTGCCCTCTGTCATCCTTGTTTTTCGTTCACTGACGATCCCCCGCTGTCATGGGGGCAGTCTCCATTAAGGCAGGTGGGACCAGAAGCCCCGTACCGTACATTTTCGAACCCCAGAAACTCTGTTTATATGTCCATTTTTCTAGGAGAGATTCCCATACTTTCATGTTCAAGTGGCAAATGAACCCCACCCCCAAAGCAGCCACAAAAGCATACAGACCCACCACACTCCACACACCCACCTTTTCCATAGCTGCCCCCCCCAACTCCCTCTCTGCCAGCCTAATCCAGAGCGAGTCCTGTCAAACTGGACATGGACCCTAGAGTGCAAATAGCAGACATGGCCTGGAGACATTGAAATAGTTGGTGCGTGGGGGGGTGGGGGCAGGCCATTTCTACACAATCTCCTTGTGTTACGATCACTGGAGACGTTCTTTCAAGATCTTGAAAGGCATTCTTTTCAAGATTTTGTATTATGGACAGTGTTGGTATTTCACTCTAAAATACACAGCTGTTGTCTGTTCAGTTCAGTTCAGTTCCTTTAGGCCAGGCCCAGCTCAGTGTAGGGAGAACCGAACCCTTCCCTCAGGATTTTCCCTCCAAAAATTCTCCTCAGAGCACGGAGGACGGGCCTTAGGGGCCCTGCTTCCTGATTGGCTCTCTCCTCTCAGCACTCTATTCCATTGGCTCTCTCCAGTGCCCATCTGATTAGACCAGCGTTCCCTGCTTCTTCATCACTAATAAGAGGGTTGCTGAGCCAGGAGATTATTATAAAGCTAACCTGTAAATGGATTTTCAGAGGAGGGAGAAAGGAGAGCAGGGCAGCATTTGACAGTGAACATAGGCAGAGTGTTGTGGTTCTTGGAAATGTTCAATGCTAGTATTTCCCAGTAAAATGTACAGAACATTGCTTTCAGTACTAGTGAGGTCCTAAATTTGCCTCACAGGGTTGTGACCAGAGGCTAAAATCAATTTGTAATATTTACCGTATATGGGTTCTCTTATTATTCACATAGCATGTCCATGGCTACAGCCACAAAAGGGAAATTCAAAACCACATGTTACTACTACACTACTAAATTTATTACCTGCCTTGCGCCAGCAGGTGCAAAGGAGGGGCACAACAAGTTAAAATTCAGCATTAAAAATTAAGTTATATTACAGTCACGGGAATAGGATGGGTGCTGAAAATACACATCTCAAGTGTCAAAAGACCAGGGGGAAAAGGTGCGTCTTCAGCATTCGCCCAAAACTGTACAAGGAAGGTACAAGATAAATATCTGGGGAAGGAATATCACAGCTTAGGGAACCACTGTAAGAAGCATTAGGAGGGTAATATTCATAAGAACGTAAGAATGGCCAGTCTACCTGACTAACCTAGATTCATTAAATCCAGTGGGTCTACTCATAGTAGGGCTTGATTACATTAGAACATAATCTGCAAAACAAACGACACGAAACCATCTGGTAAAGCCACCATTACATGCAAAAGTTTTATAGCATGCAAATTTAACAGCTGATAAATGCATACATCCCCCCAGCTAAACTCCAAAGAGTCTTCTTATTTAAAGCTTCATGTATACCCAGTTGTGTGTGGCATTTTAATTTAACAGAAGTACATAACTACCAACCCAGAGAGGAATTCTAGGGAGCAGCCTCCTGTGGTCTTAGATGCAGGTGTTTGGGATCTACGATCCAAACAGGAAATTAGCCATGAAATCGAAAAGCAATGTTTTCTAATCTCTGTGTGTGTCCCAGAGAAGCGATTAAGTTACAGGGAAAAATGAAAAAATAAACCTGAAGTGAAGATGAATCTAGTGGGGAATTTTCTCTGCTCACCAGCATTTCCAAAAAGTATTCCGAAGCATACAGTAGGAGAAAATAGCCATTGAAAGACTTGTCCTCCATTAATTTATCTAACCCTCTTTTAAAATCATCTGAGTCGGTGGCCATCAGAACATCTTGTGAGAGTGAATTCTATCATCCAGCTATGTAGTGTGTGAAGGTTTTCCTTTCCCTGTCCAGAATCTTCGAACATTTAGCTTCACTTAAGGTTCCTGAATTCAAGTATTATGAGAAAAACCTCTCTCCTTCCACTTTCTCCATGCAGCGTATATTACACAGTTCTATCATGCCCCCCCTTCTCTAAACTAAAACAGCCCCGAATGTTGGGAGGGGCCAGAGAAGAAAAGGATCGCAAGAAAGAAGTGTGGACAAAATAACTTGAGAACAGATAGGGCAATATTCAGAAACCAGCAGGAGAACATCTCAGCTTCTCCATTGCTGACCTAAAAGTAGCCGTTCTTCAACCAAGGGATATCACCAGGAGATGTGATGTGAAACCACTGAATTACAACCAGGCTGGCCTTACCATTAGGCAGTCAGGTGACCACCTCAGGCATGAGATGCCATGTGACAGCAATAGCTACCTCTTTCTTCCAAGCGTAGTGCAGGATGAGGTCACCTCAAACACCATTGTATTTGCCTTCTCCACATGGACTTTCAACTCAGGCAGCAGAATGTCTTGGGCTGGCTAGGATGATAACTTATCAAGGAGGCCATGACCCACCAATTGTAGCTTGAATTATGAGAATTGTTTTCTACTCCACTACGGGCATTAAATTAACATAGCAATGCACTATTGTCATTTATGGCTGTCTTGAATGGTCAAGTTACCGTATTGCATACATTTAAGGTTTACGTATCATAATCATCATCCCACCCTTACTCCCAAAGTAGCCCAGGATGGAAAACACACAAACAATAAAACAATTAAAATACCTTAAAACAATTTTCCATACATAGAGTGTGTAGTTTTTGACATACATTGTACTTTTTGCGGTATATATTAGCAAGCCTCACTATTAATTAGATTAATATAGGGTTGCCATACATCTTTCCGCACCCCATGTGTGATTTTTTTTTCATGTGCAGAAAGACTTCTGTTGTTCCTGAAACACTTTACACACACAATTAAATTATATTGTCTCTACCTGTGTGGATTCTTTGATGTGAAGTAAGGTTACTGCTCTGACTGAAGCTCTTTCCACATTTCATACATTTATAGGGTTTCTCCCCTGTGTGGGTTCTCAGATGAACAGTAAGGCTACTACGTACTCCAAAGCTCTTTCCACACTTTATAAATTTATGTGGCTTCACCCCTTTGTGGGTTCTTTGATGTTTAGTAAGTGTTCCATTTTCACTGAAGCTCTTTCCACACTCGGTACATTTAAATGCTTTCTCACCTGTGTGTGCTCTTTGATGCAAAATAAGGCTACTGCTCACAGTGAAACTCTTTCCACATTCCATGCATTTATAGGGTTTCTCCCCTGTGTGTGTCCTTCGATGACTAGTTAGATGACACGACACACTGAAGCTTTTTCCACATTCCATGCATTTAAATGGCTTCTCCCCTGTGTGTGTTCTTTGATGTAAAGTAAGGCTTGTGCTCACTCTAAAGCTCTTTTCACAAACCATGCATTTAAATGGTTTCTCTGCTGTGTGTGTTCTTTGATGTTTAGCAAGCTGATCTCTTACACTGAAGCTCTTTCCGCACTCAATGCATTTAAATGGTTTCTCCCCAGTGTGGGTTCTCTGATGATTGTTAAGGTGATTCCTTACACTGAAGCTCTGTCCACATTCAGTACATTTAAATGGTTTCTCCCCAGTGTGGGTTCTCTGATGTATAGTAAGACTCCCATTAAAGCACATTCCACACTCCCTGCATTGAAATGGTTTCTCTCCAGTATGGGTTCTTTGATGTTTAATAAGATTGCAGATGACACTAAAGCTGTTTCCACATTCCATGCATTTAAATGGTTTCTCCCCCGTGTGGATTCTTTGATGCGCAGTAAGGCTACAGCTCACACTGAAGCTCTTCCTGCACTCCATGCATTTAAAGGGCTTCTCCCCGGTGTGTGTCCTTAGATGTTTAGTAAGGCTACCACTCTCATTAAAGCTCTTTCCACACTCTCTGCATTTATATGGTTTCTCCCCTATGCGGATCTTTGAATGCCTATTTAGGTCTGATACATCTCCAATTATTTCCCCACACACTGGGGGCACTTTCCTGATACTTCTTTTGTGGTCTTTCAGTGGCATGAATTGTTTATGGATGTCACCACTCTGAGAAGTAGAATGTGTTTTCCTCCAGTTCTTTGACAGGTCTCCTTCATGCCTTTTGGCTCCTCTTTCATTTTCTGCTTCCTGCTTGCCTGTTGATTATGACACCATCCATGGTTCCCTATAATTCTCAAGGTGTTGCCCATCATCTGTTGGGGCAAAGGGTTGGGGCAAAGGGTTGGGGAGGGAGAAAAAAGAAAATCTCACTTGTATTTCAGGGCAGTAACAGTATCTTTTTGCTGTTTCTTGGGCTTGAGCATCCCAGTTATTTCCCCCCATTTTGACAGATGCGACACAACTGTGGTGTCAAGTTTCAACAAGACTGTACCCTTTGGGTGGAATTCAACATTGCACAATTCCAGTTGTTCTGCCTACACAACCATATAAGCTTCCCAGACGTAAAAGTTATCAAAATATAGATAAAAATCAGTAAAGTGGTACCTCAGGTTAAGTACTTAATTCGTTCCGGAGGTCCGTACTTAACCTGAAACAGTTCTTAACCTGAAGCACCATTTTAGCTAATGGGGCCTCCTGCTGCAGCTGCGCCACAGGAGCACGATTTCTGTTCTCATCCTGAAGCAAAGTTCTTAACCTGAAGCACTATTTCTGGGTTAGCGGAGTCTGTAACCTGAAGCGTACGTAATCTGAAGCGTATGTAACCCGAGGTACCACTGTACAGTCGTACCTCGGTTTCTGAACGTAATCCATTCCGGAAGACCGTTCCAAGTTCAGAAACATTTGGAAACTGAAAAGTCAAGACAGAAGTCGTGTGGCATTTCGAAAACCGAAATGCTTGTTGATGGAGATGTTTGAAAACCAAGGTAAAGGTAAAGGGACCCCTGACCATTAGGTCCAGTCGTGACCGACTCTGGGGTTGCGGCGCTCATCTCGCTTTACTGGCCGAGGGAGCCAGCGTACAGCTTCCGGGTCATGTGGCCAGCATGACTAAACCACTTCTGGCGAACCAGAGCAGCGCACGGAAACGCCGTTTACCTTCCTGCTGAGCAGTCGCAGGGATTCGAACCGCCGACCTTCTGATCGGCAAGCTATTTCCCTCCCGGAACTGCAATTCCCAGAGTGGTTTATCAGTCAACCCTTCTATTTTGTAGCTCTTCTGATGGCAATATCTAATGACGAAAGGGGAAGAAAGTGCCCTCACCTAGAGAGGCCACCGTCTCATAATTCTCCCCCATGACTTCCTTGTGCAGAGCTCTTTGGCCAGGATCCAGCAGAGACCACTCCTCCTCTGTGAAAAACACAGCCACCTCCTCAAAGGTCACCAAACCCTGGAAGGAGAAAGAGGAGGAGGAGGAGGAGAGATAACTTCTCCTTTTTTAAAAAAAAATAATCTTTATTAATTTAAATTACACACTTACACAAAGAATTCACAAAGAATTTACAAAAAGAAAATTAAAGAAAAACAATTAAGAAAAAAGAAAAGAAGAAAATATAGAAAGTAGAAAGAAGAAAAAGCAAATTTACATACATAAGAAAAAACCTTAATCTTCCTAATTAATACTTAATTAAACACGTAAATAAAAAAGACTTCTGTCAAAACAAGTCTTCCAGTCATTCTCATTGTACTGTTTATACTGTCGTCATTTTCCCCGCACAGTTTTATATTCTTTAATATTGTTCCCGTCTACTCCACAAATGGTATTTGTTGTGTTTACAAGTATCACTCAAGTTCTGCTAATATGGCGTGATTGGTCCAATATGATCTTCTATAATCCTTAAATAGCCTCCATTCTTCAACATACACCATCTTCCCAGTTTGAAAAGAAAATGGATGTGTGCATTCATTCATTCAATTGCATCTGAGAACCATAAAAGGCTTCATGCGACAGAATAATTATTATTACAGGTCAACCTGACATAGAATCATAGAAGTGCAGTTGAAAGGGCCCCAATCCTCCTCCCCACTGCCCACAGAGGGAGGCACTGAGGCTGCCCCTCCCTCTCTCTCCAGTTCTCCTTCCCTTACCTGAGGTGACCTCCCAGAGGATCCAGACCGTGCCATGGCAGAGGAGGAAGAGGAGGAGTAAACCAGACCACCTCAGGGGCTCTCACAACTGCTGCCACCAAGATGCACTTCAAAGCAGGGACTAACTGCAGCGGGATCATTCCAGTGCCTGCAAGCGAGCCAGGAGTATGGTTTAGGAGTGTGTGTGAGAGGATTTTTCTTCCTGCTGCAGTCAAACCTTGGTTCCCAAACGCCTCCCTTTTGGAACGATTCGGCTCCCAAACGCCGAAAACCCAGAAGTAATGGTGCTGGTTTTCGAACGATTTTCGGGAGCCGAACATGCTACGCGGCTTCCATTTTTAGTTTCCCTGTTGTATTGAGGCTTCTGCTTTCGGTTTTCAAACACAGTGCCGAATTTAACATATACTGTATTTTTTGCTCTTTAAGACTCACTTTTTCCCTCCTAAAAAGTAAGGGGAAATGTGTGTGCATCTTATGGAGCGAATGCAGGCTGCGCAGCTATCCCAGAAGCCAGAACAGCAAGAGGGATTGCTGCTTTCACTGCGCAGCGATCCCTCTTGCTGTTCTGGCTTCTGAGATTCAGAATATTTTTTTTCTTGTTTTCCTCCTCCAAAAACTAGGTGCGTCTTGTGGTCTGGTGCGTCTTATAGAGCGAAAAATATGGTAAGCTAAGCAAGCTATTATAGCTTAGGGCCCCACTCTCTTGGTGCCCCCCCCCCAAATTTAAAGGAAATAAAAACTGGGTGTACATTTCCAATATTAATATACTTCTCAATTGTATTTCAGTTCAAAAATCACTTTGATAAAATACATGTTTTGTTATGTGCAAATGGCTTTAGATACCTATTAGGTCCATAAGGCTATATTTTTTCCTAAATTGTTGAAGTTTAAAACAAGGGGTCGTCTTATACATGGATAGCGCATAGTGCATTTTCTTAATTTTGAGTCCCAAATTACCATATAGCACATACTCAACACAAAAAACAGTGATAATTTGTTGTTGACAAAGGAAAGCTGGACATATAAAGGGCCCCATCACTTTCAGTAGCTTAGGGCCTCATCAAACCTAAATCCGGCCCTGGTTTCGGAAGTCAAACAGTCTTCCGGAATGGGTTACGTTCGACAAACGAGATTTGACTGTATTTTTTTTTGTATCTTTGTTTTTTTGGTTCTTATTATGATTCATATGGAAATTTTTCAATCTGGCGGTGCATTTGTGTTTTATTTACTGCTCACAACTACTTTTCCTGTTTGCAATTACGCAAATCTTTTCATCATAGAATCGTAGGGCTGGAAGGGGTCCCAACCCCCGCTAGGGTCATCTAGTCCACCCCCCCCCCCCCGCAATGCAGGAATCTCAACTAAAGCGTCCATGACAGATGGGCCATCCAACCTCTGCTCTGAGCATGGTTTCAACTGGAACAGCAGCATTCGAATAAAATGAGTATGGTGAAAAGATGCTGTCAGGGATTGGACCTGCAGAGCGAATTATCTACCACTGAGCCCTTTCCCGAAATAATTTATAATAGAAGAAGAAGAAGAGTTTGGATTTGATATCCCGCCTTTCACTCCCTTTAAGGAGTCTCAAAGCAGCTAACAATCTCCTTTCCCTTCCTCCCCCACAACAAACACTCTGTGAGGTGAGTGGGGCTGAGAGACTTCAGAGAAGTGTGACTGGCCCAAGATCACCCAGCAGCTGCATGTGGAGGAGCGGAGACGCGAACCCGGTTCCCCAGATTGCGAGTCTATCGCTCTTAACCACTACACCACAAAGACCCTGAGTTATTGGCACAAGATTGGCACAGTTGACCTAAGCCAGCCTTCTGAAACTTGCTGCCAGCCAAACATCCCAGACTACAACTCCCATAACCCTTGGTCATTGCGCAAAGTGGCTGGAGCTGGATGGGAGTTGTAGTCCAACTGCACCTGGGTCGCCGGAGGCTGTTCCTGGCTGAGCAGCTGGCATAAAGCGGTTGGCTTTATTGATTGATTTGGAATTTGTTAGGTTGCAATGGATTGCTTTGAAGTCAGTTCAGCACCAGGGGGAAGAGAAAATCTCCCCCCAGATAAACAGTGGGCGGGGTGTGCATGTGCGCTTTGATCTTCCCCTCCAGCAACCCCCCTTCCCCCCCTGGGGAGGCTGTTTCCACCTGCAGGGAGAGGGGGCTTCAGAGGGCATTTTGCAAGGGAGATGGTGCAGCGGTTCGGGACGCATCCTGCGGCTGCGTTGCATGGGTCAGCGCGCGCGCACACGCACATGGATTAGGAGAAAGCCGAGAGGGGAAGCTGAAGTTCCCTCCTCCATTATCCTTCAAGATCTCTCTCCCCCCGCCCCTTGCAAAAAAGCAAATTCTTAATTCTGTGCATTGCACCTCTTTGTCTCTGCACGCTCCGATCTCCTCCTCTGCAATTCGGTGTCTCCTCTTGGAATATGCAGAGAACCCCCTACCCACCCCCAATTCTCCCCCCTCCTTCGTATTGTAGCTTCCTGCCTCTCTGGGAAACCAGAGCTCGATTCTTTTACTGGAGGGCTGAATGACATCAGCTGGGTGTTCGCCACCCCCCACCCCCCACTTTTCTTTTTCCCTCTTTACCCACCCACCACCCATTTGCTTGAGGTCTGGCTTCAGCAGAGGTCCCCAAAGGGAGCTGCAGCAGCCCTTGTGGGTGTGCCAAGATCATAGTGTTGGGGACCCTGAGGGTCATCCAGCCCAACCCCCTGCAATGCAAGAATCTGCAGCTGCCCCTTACGGGGATCGAACCTGCAACCTCGGTGTTATCAGCAGTAAAATAAAAAAATTAAGGTCTTGGATATATAATAAATGTTCATAAATGTACCAAGCAAACAGGTACATAAATCTAAAAACCACATATCTGAAGCCGCACAGGAAAACAGCCCTGGAACCATTTTGGCTCCCAAACTGACCAAATGATTTCTCTGCAGAGTCAAAAGAAAATGGAAGCGCCTCCCCATTGTCTTTTCCTTCACAAATCCTGTCTTAAGGGTATGTCTGTGTATGAACAGGGTGAGCCTGTGACCTGGCTCAGGAACTAAGTATTTATCATTACAAAAGACTGGCCAGGCTCCCCAGGATATCCAATCAAGTAAGCATTAATAAGTAACCTGCCAGACAGGAGGTAAACAACGCACTCAGATTTCTGTTGTAGACTGCCCTTTCTGTGATGTAGGTATGATGTTTCTGGGGGTGGTCTTGACTCCAGGGCAGGCAATTTAAAATGTCTATATAAGGGCGGGCACACCTTTGTTCTGGGTCCTCCTCCTCCTCCTGCAGGGGGCACCCTGTTGCAACAGTTCAAGAAAGATCAGGCTTACTAGCTGCTTTGCTTATCAGTATTCTCTGGTTGGCCTCTGTTCTTTTCTCCGACCGATGGAGAACCTGCAAAGGACTCTATAAGGGCTCTTGTGTCGCCCATAAAGAAGTAAGGGCAGATTTTTGTTTATTACAGCAGCTAACCAGCTGAGCTATGAAGAGGCATAACCTTTTCATTAAATTTTCAGATTTTACAAATCTTTTCTTACCGCATAAAGATGTTATATTACTTATATTTCACCAGTTATATACATTCATTCTAACTTATTAAACTGCCAATTCTCATCTGTTGCTATACTTCAAATCCTGCGTATTTAAGAACAAAATGAGGAAAGTGGAACGTTGCAGTTAAAGCCTCTTGTCAAGGACATAGCAGACATTTCTACATTTGGGTGTCCTTCAGATATAATGTCCTGCTTGGCGTTTGTGTGTGCTGTGTGTTTTGTATGTGAAAGATCAGAGCCAGCTCCAATGAAATGCCATATGACTAAAAGAGCAGAGGGCTGTTCTTTTATGTAGAGCCCAAGTTAGTTGCGGTTCTTCTTATGAAACATGAAATTTATTACGGTCAGAGACCAGCTTGAGAAACACAAATGGACCTACAATCCCAATAGCAAAACAAACATTTTAAACAATATACAACAATGGATTTTAAGTTTAAAAGTGCAATAGGCATATAAACACATAAAAACTTTGATAGACAACCTTAAGAGAAATGACCTAGAGTCGCTCATGGATCCGAGTTTGAGAATTTTCTTAACAAACTAGATTGAATCGGGGGGGTGGTCTGCGCCTACAGATCTGTGCGCAGAATCTGTGCGACAATCCGGGTTGTCTTGTGGTCTTTGCCTAACAGGAGAAGATCGAATTTTTGCTTTACCTGGAGGTCAGCAAGCCTCACCAGCAGGGGGTCAATGGTTTCTCACCTCATCGTAAAAGGGACATCTAAAAAATTTGTGTTCAGGGCTTCCTATATCCAATGGACAGGCGCAAATTCTCTGGTTGTATGGGACTTTATTAAGGTTCTTCTTAATAAAAGTTAGCACTTCAGTGGAAAGGCTGAAGAAAATGAATATGTGAGAACCATTGTTGGCATCGTCTGTCTCGAAAAACAATGAAGTGTGCCTTGGGGGGGTGTGAAGTCAAGTTAGCACCTCCTGGGGCACAAGCCTAGGCGGTGCGTGTGGAGGTCCTGGACTGCTCAAACAACAAGATCTTCCTCTTAGCCTTGCTGTTGTGGTCCAAAGGAAAGCAGAGCAATACGCTAGAACACACCGCGGAATCTCATTCTGCGACCCCATTGCTGCATCAGCCCCGCAACTGGCAGCATGGCTTAGATACTGAAGAACAGTCTCTTGTTGAGGAATGGGCTTGGCCCGATTGTGTTCTGCAGCTGATGTTATGAATCCCTGAGATGGATCAGAAGCGCGACAAATATTTGCAGCTAAAAGGTACAAATGTTTATGTCTTGAGCTGCCTATTTTTACCATTGGCGTTGCCTTTATCTATAGCAGTTCCACCTCCCTCCTTGGTTCCTCAGAAGGAACTGAAATAAATCTACATTGTCAATGGTTACAAGTATAGTTTAAGTGAAACGGATAATGTTTGGCTGGTGGCCTGGCTGGCTCCTGACTTAGCCTTTGGCTGGGCTGAGCTGATGGAATGAATGCCCTAGGAACGTACCCACAAAATTGTCAAGAACAAACAGGGCCCAAGATGCCCAAATCTGTATGGAAAGATCTACAGTGGTACCTTGGTTCTCAGACGCCTTGGAACCCATACACTGCAAACCCAGAAGTAAGTGTTCCGGTTTGCAAACCATTTTTTGGAAGCCAAATGTGCTCCGTTTTGAGTGCCACACTTCCGTTTTGAGTGTTATGCTGAGGTCTGTCTGTCTTTGCTATTTATTTTGCGCTTTTGCGGCTTTTTGTTTTGTTTTTGTGACTGTGTGGAACCCAGTTCAGCTATTGACTGATTGATTGTGTGACTGAAGTACAGTGGTACCTCGGGTTAAGAACTTAATTCGTTCTGGAGGTCCCTTCTTAACCTGAAACTGTTCTTAACCTGAGGTACCACTTTAGCTAATGGGGCCTCCCGCTGCTGCCACGTGATTTCTGTTCTCATCCTGAAGCAAAGTTCTTAACCCGAGGTACTACTTCTGGGTTAGCAGATTCTGTAACCTGAAGCGTCTGTAACCTGAAGCATCTGTAACCCGAGGTACCACTGTACATTGTTTATTGCTTTCATTTTATGGATCAATGGTCTCGTTAGATAGTAAAATTCATGTTAAATTGCTGTTATAGGGGTTGTTTTTAAAAGGTCTGGAACGGATTAATCCATTTTGCATTACTTTCTATGGGAAAGCACACCTTGGTTTTGGAACGCTTTGGTTTTGGAACGGACTTCCGGAACGGATCAAGTTTGAGAACCAAGGTACCACTGTATATGAAATACTTCGTCAGAATACCAATGAACGCAGTGGCCAAGTTTGCCGACAGTACTGAATCGTTCAGGGCCTCTTCAATAGGAGTGAGTGGCAGTAAAATGGCAAATGCAATTCAATGTGAAAAAAAAGAAAAACAAAGTTTTGGGTATAGTGGTGGGGTGGGGATATTAATTTCACATATAAGCTCATGGGGTCAGAACTGATGATAACTGACCAGGAAGATGATCGTGATGAAGATGGTGACCCAGTGTATGGCAGATGTGAAAAAGGCAAATTCCATGCTAGTGAACAAAAGAAAAAGCTCACCCTCAGCCTTTCATCCCCACCCCAACATTCTCAAGTGTAAAAAACACAGTTAAGAGAATAAAGAAAACCTCAAAATATACATTCTACCGGGATATGGATTTTTCATTTCCCCCTACCAAACTCACAAGCCCCAGACTGTGAGTTCTACACATTAGCTGTGTGCCAGGCTTACCACGTACGGGCTTGAAAAGTAACTTGTACAGTCAAGTGACCTATGAAGCTAAGAAAACTAAGAAAAAGTACTCAAATATTCATTGTAAATGGCACATCCGTATTTTTTTTTTAAAAAGTTGATATTCACAATTATATGTAGAAAACGGAAGCTGAGCACTAGAGAACAATTACTGACATAACTACAACAGCAACAAAGAACGGAGAGAAGGAAAACAAGTCTGCTGAGGAGTAGAAAGTGACAGAATTTTTAAAAAGTTGAGTTCGACTGGCGTCCTTCCATTCGGTGGAGCTAGCCGCTCCACATTGCCAGAAGGGTGACTGGAGATCTGGGAGAGCCGGTCTTGTTATTAACAAAACTAATGAACAGAAGCAATTTATCTCGTTTCGCTTTACCTTCAACAACTCTTCTGTGCTGGGTCAAATGTTCACATAAAGCTGTGCCCCAAATTTTACTGCACCCACCCACCCTTTGTGGGCAAAGAGACCCGTTTCTGGTGCCATCGCTGGCAGCTGGTAACATTGCTAACAGGTCTTTGTGCTGGACTCTGGGATCGCTACCTGTTCCGACTGAGAACAGGGCTAGAATTGCATTATACAATCGTGCCTTGGTTTTCAAACAGCTTCGTTCCTGAACGTTTTGGCTCCCGAATGCTGCAAACCCGACAGTGAGTGTTCCAGTTTGCAAACTATTTTTGGAAGCTGAATGTCTGACGGGGCTTCTGCGGCTTCCAATTGGCTGCAGGAGCTTCCTGCAGCCAATCAGAAACCGCACTTTAGTTTTCAAACATTTTGGAAGTTGAACGGACTTCCAGAACGAATTCTGTTCGACTTCCAAGGTACAGCTGTAATGACAATGGTGCCCACCTGAGAGGTGCTGGAACTGAGTTTTCCCAGCAGGGAAAAAAAGCCCTGGGGCAACCCCACCCCAAATGAAACACCAATCCTCTTTCACCACACCCCCCTCCAGCACAACGGCGAGTCCCCCTTGGCAGCATAAGGAAATTCAGCTGGTATCCGGTGCCATCTCCGTGGGCACGAGCGAGATCCTCAAACCACGCCTTTGTTCTGCTTTAGAAGCACCAGGTGCTCAAACATGTCATCCGCCAGAGAATGTCTTTTCACGGTCATTACGTTCCCCCCTGCGCCAAAGAGGCGCTCAGCAGCAGCGCTGGAAGGCAGGCCCGTGTTGTATGCAAGGAAACTTTTCAAAATCTGCGGGAAGGCATGCAGCGAAGACAGCTCGCTGTTGGGGAACTTTAGGTACCTCGAGACCTCCTCTTCGGCAGAGTCCGATGCGGACTTCTTGCTTCGGGACTGTATCCCGAAAAACTCGTCGTCGCAGTCGACGGCGCACTCCCTCTCCGAAGAGCTCTTGACCTGCTCGGTGACCACTCTCTGGATCTCGGCTCTCAGCAAAGCTTCCATGGTACTTTTGCCGATCTCAGTGTTGCACAGATCCAACCAGTCCACCTTGAACCGCGGGTGCAAGCAGGCAGCCACCAACAGCTTCCTCTCCTTCCAAATCGGCTCAAACCTTTTCCTTATCCCTTCCCGCACAATCTTCACCAGAGGACGGCAGTAGGTGCAATTTGCAGGCTTCTTCTCCAGCACCTCCAACTTATGGTCCAGAGCGTAGAGAGTCGGGAGCAGGTAACCCATAAACATGCCGTTTTCCTTTTGAAGGATATCGAGGGCCTGGGCCACAGGAGCGAGGATCTCGCAATATTCTTGGACCACCTGGGCCTCGGGAGCTGTGATCCTCTGCAAGGAGCAGAAGTCCAGGATGGAATCCATCTTCTGTGGTGCAGTGGACAGTAGATCCCTTAGCTGCTTCAGAGCATCGTAGGTGGTACTCCACCTGGTCTTACTGGGGACCCTGAGCAAGACACCGCACTGGTCTTTGATGTACTCTGCGGTAATCGCCGATTGCTTTTGTTTGGACCACAGCTTAGAACACTTCCCCAGCAAGGAGCAAAAGTGTTTCTTGAAACCGCCCAGAGGAGAATTCTTAGAGTTGAGGACTCTCTCGATGTCTTGGGTGGCCACCAAGTTCAGCGTGTAGCTTGCGCACCTTTGGTGTGGGGGCAAGCACATTTCTTCTTCAGCGGCCCTGTATTCACCCGTGTCCAGAATGTTACAGACATCCACAAACTCCACTTCCTGCTGGTCGTTGTCCCCTTCGTCTGCTTGGTCCATGACATCCACCGCCTCCTTGTCTGTGTAGAAAGCTCTGAAGGCTTTGACCAGGTTACAGCCGTTGTCCGTGGTGGTGCATACCACTTTGTGGTGGATTTTGTACTCCACGTGGATGTTGTGCAGAGTCGTGGCGAGGTCGTAGGCGTGGTGTCCTTTCAGGCGTCGGCAGGCCAGGGCGCAACACTCCCGGGTTAGGCTCTCCGGGTTGATCCAATGGGCCGTAACCCCGAGGTAGGTCTTCCTTCCATGCGTCCAGCAGTCCGCAGTGGTAGCCACGTGCTGTACCCGTGTCATTTTCATGGCCGCCTCCTCCCGCATGTGGTAGGCCTTCTTTTCCAGCCTCTCTTTCAGAGTCTTGGAGGACATGATGGACAGCTCCTTGCTGAGGCCCAGGCGAGCAAACTCGATGAACGACGGCTTGTCCACCAGCTGCAGGGGCACCGTCTCCTCCACAATGAAATCCAGCAGTTTCTTATCCAGCAGTTTCTGGCTGACAGGCTCCCTGCTGGACCCCCATCTCTCCAGGGTGGCCGGCATTTTGGGAGGTCTCAAGCCGCTCGCGTCTTCCGCCTCGGAGAAGTCGTGCTTCTTTGTATTCTTCCGTTTCGCAGCCTCGAGGACTCTGAGCTGCTCTGGGTGCTGCTTCTGGAAAAGAAAAGAGTGTTACTTCATTTTTATAATTTTTTTTTATTTGATTAAAAAAATATATAAACGTACAACAAACAGCAATTCAAAATCTGAATATCGAGATTGCTCTGAATCGCCTGACTCCCCCCCATCCCTTCCATGGGTCCTAATGATAATATTTACAACTGCATATCAATATTTATCCAATTTTTTTCCTTCAAAATTATCTATGCTTTCCGTTACTTTACAAGTGTGGTTAAAATCCTGTCAATGTTTTGACCTGCTTGCAGTGGTCTTGTAAATAAATTATGAACTTTTCCCTTTTTTAAAAAAAAGTTCTTGTCCTCTTGATTTCTGAACTTCCCAGTTAATTTTGCCATTTCGGCATAGTCCATCACCTTGATTTGCCATTCTTCTCTGGTCGGGGTTGTTTCTTTCTTCCATCTCTGAGCTAGTAGCATCTGTGTGGCTGTTGTTGCATACATAAACAATCTTTTAAGGCTTTTAAGGCTTTTTAAGGCTCAGCCTCGGGTGTCTCCAATGGGCACCTACCTGCAGATGCCGTTTCAAGTTGGACGTGGAGGTTGTGGCGGCGCTCACCGTTTTCACTTTCGGCAAGCAGAACTTGCACTGCACCGTCACGTTTTTGCCCTTCTGCGACACAAAACAAAAGGCGCACTCAAAGCCGAGCCACGGCAGCGGTTTGGCGGAGGTCGACGGTCTCGCCAGCAGCGCGTCTTGGGCAGTGCCCTCTTCCCCGACAACCTTGCAGTCGATATTCTGGCCTTTCTGGGTCTCTGTAAGTGGAGCAAGAATAATCTCTATTGAGACAAACCTTCTTCTTCCTCTACCTTTCCCTGACCGGAGAAAGTGATCAAGGGATTCTGTTGGGATTCCCAGTATCGATGACTGTTGATATTTGTGTCCTGGTATTGGCTGAGCAACTTCACCCCACTGAAGCCATAGTAACACCACCCGGACCTCAGTAAACACAAGACAGACAGGGACTCTTGCTGGGAGGTGGTTCAATCAAGTTATGGGGTGTATGCAGCCTTTGCCACCGCCAATATTCGGATTTACTCTAACAAGCCCAGATATTGTACCACAGTTTTTGTTAACATCATAACCTTTCCCAAGATGTCTCTTAAAATCGGTACCTGCCACCATATGTGGTGGAACTGCGAAGTTATCTGTGAATTTTGGAATAACATTGATAGTGAATTTAAAAAAACTATTCAAACTCACATTTCTAAAAAGACCAGAAATTTTTCTATTAGGTATATTACCAATGAAAATAAAAAAAATATATAAGACCATTGTTTATGTACGCAATTATGGTAGCCAGAATAATAGTGGCAAGAAATTGGAAGAATGAAATCTTACCAACGATTACAGAGTAGCAAATTCTTACGATAGAATACCTGCAACTAGCAAAATTGACTGAAAAAAATAGAGGAGTGTCAAACCAGGAGGTATATAGGGGATGGAAAATATTTAAAGAATACTTTAAAACGTACTGTACAAACAATAAGATACTTGCAGAAATAGAGTGATACTGGTAACTAAGAATTACATAAAATATAATAGTGGAATATATATATATATATATATATATATATACACACACACACACACACACACACACACACACAAAAATCCAAAATAATATGAATCTGTGCAAGGAATACAGATAATATAAGTAGTATAATGAGAATTATTGGAAGTTATATATTTTAATCTGTCATGTAAGTGTAATATATTGTATTTGTTTATGTTTGTTTCTTTATCTTTTCTTAGTTCATCGTTTCTATTCATTTGTATCATTTTCTGTTTTATATGTTATGTAACTCGTGTATATTTGTCTATATGAAAATTAATAAAGATTTTCTAAAAATAAAATAAAATTGGTACCTGCCCATCTCGTCACTTCCTCCGAGCCCCACCTAATCGGGTCCTCTTCTTTCAGCCAAGACATCAAGTCCGGTTTGGGGATTTCTTTCAAAGAAACAAACAGGCTAGTTGCTCCCGAGGACAAAATATATTCCATGTTCACCCATTGCTATAGCCTCCTCCCAAAGGAAGCCCAAAGGAAAATGCATTGGTCTCCAGCTGAATGATAGGATCCAGCAGGAGTTACCTGGCTAATAATAATAATAATAATAATTTGTATACCACCCTTCATCTGAAGATCTCAGGGCGGTTCACAGCATAAAAATACAAGGTGAAAAAATAAAAAACAAAACAAAACAATACCCCCCCCACACACAAACAAATTTAAAAGGATACAGGATATTAAACAGCCAAATGCCTTGTTAAAGGGGAACGTTTACAGGGCTCTTTGCCTCTCAGCGACAGAGGCAGTGGTGTGGGGGGAGAGGAGATAAAATTTGGCAGGTGAGAGGAGCAGTTTGGGAACCCACAGCCTAAAGTTACAGGAAAGCTGGTGTTTGGTACATTTGACCACGTGGTCTCCCATCAGAAGAGATTTTCTTTGTGAGGAGAGTCCTTTGGATCACACCAAAAGCCTGTCTCGTCCAGCATCCCCCAGGAAGCCCAAAAGACATAAGGCAACAGCCCTCAAGCGCTGTCCTCTTGCAATCACTGAGAGCTTTCTCTTTCATGAATCCATCTGTTCTGCTTTTGCAACATCCCTACAAAGGCCAACTGGATCTATATGGGAATCCCACAAGGAGGAAGTAAAGGCAATGGCCCCTTTCAGCTGCTGGTGCTCATGATTAGTCATCACGATTAGTAGCGAGAGCTTTACCTTCCATCAATTTGCTTAACCCTGCCCTTCTGCCCACCGGAAGAACTCATAGCCTGAGAGGTTAACCCAGCGGTTCCCAAAGCGGGCGATACTACTGCCCCTGGTGGTGGTGCAGCGGTAGGGTTACCTGGGGAGGCGCAAAGAGGCGGGCGGAGGGGTGAGATGAGGCGGACAATGGAAGTGTAAATGCCTATCAGGCTTCGAAAAGTCGGTACTCGTCAATCTTGTTGAATTAGTTAAGCTAAATACCGTACAGTGGTACCTCTGGTTGCAAACGGGATCCATTCCGGAGGCCCATTCACAACATGAAAAGAACGCAACTTGCAGCGGCACGTCTGCGCTGGCGTGGGTTGCGATTCGTTGCTTCTGCGCATGCGCGTGACATCATTTTTGCGCGCCTGCGCATGCGAAAGTAGCAAAACCCTTTCGGGTACTTCCGGTCGCAACCTGAAAGAACGTAACTTGAAGCGGACGTAACATGAGGTATGACTGTAGTTTTCATTGGATTTTGAATAAATGTGAAGGAAGCCAATAACACAATAAAATTCAAAACCATGCATTGCAAGCTGCTATTCTGAATAATGCTTTTCATAGGGTAGGCGGCACTGGGGACGAGTTTGATGTAACCCAAGGGAGCAAGAGCCCGCCAAACGTTTGGGAACCACTGGGTTAATCTGTCAGAAATGATAACACACTGGAAATGGCAATTTATTCTATTCCCAAAAGCTGAGCACCTACCTGCTGATGTCTCTTCTTCTTTCGGATCCTGGGGAAACGGGTCCTCTCCTTCTTCCCAGCAGGAGCTAACATCTGATTCTTTCGAGGAGACAAAACCAGATGCTTCTGATCACAAAATAGTAATAGTAATAGTAAGTTATTATTTGTACCCCACCCATCTGGCAGGGTTTCCCCAGCCACTCTGGCGAACCAGAGCAGCGCACAGAAATGCCGTTTACCTTCCCGCCAGAGCGGTACCTATTTATCTACTTGCACTTTGATGTGCTTTCAAACTGCTAGGTTGGCAGAAGCTGGGACTGAACAACGGGAGCTCACCCCGTCACGGGGATTTGAACCGCCAACCTTCTGATCGGCAAGTCCTAGGCTCTGTGGTTTAACCCACAGCGCCACACGCGTCCCTACATTCCAGTTTACGATTCAGTATATATATATATATATATATATATATATATATATATAGTGGGGGGGAGAGAACCTTGATTTTGGGGGAGAGGGAAATCCATACCGTGGACGTGTCTGGAGGCGGGGGAGGGATGGGAGCATCCTTACCCAGAGAAGTCACTGTCTCATAATTCTCCTCCATGACTTCCTTGTGCAGAGCTCTTTGGCCTGGATCCAGCAGAGCCCATTCCTCCTGGGTGAATTGCACAGCCACCTCCTCAAACGTCACCAAGTCCTGGAAGAGAGCGAATAACGCCAAGATTGCAGGTTGGACCCTCGTTTGGGAACAATCACATATATTCCTGCATTGCAGAGGGTCAGACTAGATCACCCTTGGGGGTCCCTTCCAACTCTACCACTCCACTAATAATAATAATAATAATAATAATAATAATAATTTATTTGTACCCCACCCATCTGGCTGGGTTTCCCTAGCCACTCTGGGCGGCTTCCAACAAAGATTAAAAATACATTAAAATGTATTTCAATGTGGTGTCGTGGTTAAAGTATCAGACTAGGACCGAGAGACCTGGGTTCGAATCCCTGTCCAGCCATGATGAAGCTCAGTGGGTGAACCAGGGCTCAGCCTTAGCCTACTTCTCAGGGTTGTTGTGCAGGGGAATTAAACGAGGACCACGTAGACTCCCTGGAGGATCTAAATGCAACAACCTTAGATATGCAGATGACACAACCTTGATGGCAGAAAGTGAGGAGGAATTAAATAACCTTTTAATGAGGGTGAAAGAGGAGAGCGCAAAATATGGTCTGAAGCTCAACATCAAAAAAACGAAGATCATGGCCACTGGGCCCATCACCTCCTGGCAAATAGAAGGGGAAGAAATGGAGGCAGTGAGAGATTTTACTTTCTTGGGCTTCATGATCACTGCAGATGGTGACAGCAGTCACGAAATTAAAAGACGCCTGCTTCTTGGGAGAAAAGCAATGACAAAGCTGAATAAAAGCTATGGTTTTCCCAGTAGTGATATATGGAAGTGAGAGCTGGACCATAAAGAAGGCTGATCGCCGAAGAATTGATGCTTTTGAATTATGGTGCTGGAGGAGACTCTTGAGAGTCCCATGGACTGCAAGAAGATCAAACCTCTCCATTCTTAAGGAAATCAGCCCTGAGTGCTCACTGGAAGGACAGATCATGAAGCTGAGGCTCCAAGACTTTGGCCACCTCATGAGAAGAGAAGACTCCCTGGAAAAGACCCTGATGTTGGGAAAGATGGAGGGCACAAGGAGAAGGGGACGACAGAGGACGAGATGGTTGGACAGTGTTCTCGAAGCTACAAACATGAGTTTGACCAAACTGCGGGAGGCAGTGGAAGACAAGCGTGCCCTGGTCCAGGGGGTCACGAAGAGTCGGACACGACTAAACGACTAAACAGCAGCAACAACTGCAACAAATCTTTGAATTAATTAAAGCAATCCCTGGGATTTCCCACCATGCCTAGCAGACAGGAAAAGGAGATTCCCCGATTTCTCTCTTCCCACGCGCCCCACGCCCCCCCCCAAACTCTGGTGCGTGTAAAGCTGCAATCCTTCACCCCCATCAACCGCTTTGCACCCGGAGCCGCGCCTCCCCAGAACATCCCCGCTGGCCTGCCTTGCAGGAGCGTCGTGCAATGCAAAGAAGGCAAGATCTGGCATGCTCTCCCCGACCTTTCTTGCATTGCACCCTGAACTCTTCTCTCTCCGCTGGCCCAGCTCCTCTTCGGGAGGAAAACTCGCGAGGAGGCCACCTCCCTGAGTGCCTTCACAATGGACCATAGGGACAGGGAAGGACGCCGCGCCGCCTTCACTTCCGGCTCCCATTCAAACGAGCAGGAGCAGCAGCTGTTTCCTTTGCGCTGGCCGCCTGCGAATGGGAACCCGAAGTGTCTCAGCGATGCCCGTGGGTGGCATTGAGAAAGGCGCTCTGATTATTGGGGAGGGAGGGAGATCTCTTGGCTAAGGTTGCAAGGGAGGCAGAGGAAGACAATAGAAGTGCCCTTTTTGTGTGAATTCAGCAGAAAACCCTGCTAGGTCAGGCCAAAGGGGACGCATCTGCTGTATCTGAAAAGACTTGCACATGGCAAATAGTCTTCCTTGGTGGTATGAGATGTTTTTGGTGCAAAGGTGGGGGGCTGGGAATAATAATAAATAAGAATAAATTTTTATTTATACCCCGCACTTCCCGGTTCAGAAAACCGGGCTCGGGGCAGCTAACGACAAATTTAAATCACTTAATTGTTGCAACAAAAAACAGCATAAAATACAGTATAAAACGTGAACAAGTTCAGAATTCAAAGATCGATTTAGGGGGGAAATCCATCCAATAAACATTAGATCACCAAGGCTAGCTGGCTAAATTAGTCCCATTTGGGCCAGCGAGGAGACCAGGGGAGAATTAGCTGTGGGATCCCAGAGCAAGTAATCTTCATAAAAAGGGGAGGGGGAGGGAAGGAAGGGGAATAAAAGATCAGGCTAAGTTCAAGTTGAAAGCCAGGCAGAATAGCTCTGTCTTACAGGCCCTGCGGAAGGAAGTTAAATCCTGCAGGGCCCTGGTCTCATGGGACAGAGCATTCCACCAGGTCGGAGCCATCACTGAGAAGGCCCTGGCCCTGGTGGAGGATAATCTGACTTCCTTAGGGCCTGGGACCTCTAAACTATGATTATTCATGGACCTTAAGGTCCTCTGCGGGGCATACCAGGAGGTGACTCGTTCCCCCTGAAATGGACTGGACTGGATTGGATTAAGTTGTTAGACAGCAGACAATATTCATTTATTGGGAGATGCAAGCTCATTCTGGACATCGTCTAGAATCATAATAAATTGCCCACATTCAAAGTCAAGTGTTGCCCTCGCCTCACCGAAACTGAAGGCTACCCTGCTGCCCCTACCCACTTTCCAAACTCATTTTTAGGTTAGTCTTGGAGAACTCAAACAACCCACCCAGTGATCAGGTTCTTGGTGGTGGAAGGGCAGGTAAAGCTGGTCTCATAAGACAGGCACTGGAGGGAGGCAATAGTATGCCTTGAAAGACCCACATTGGCTCCCAGTACATTTCCAAGCACAATTCAAAGCGTTGGGGCTGACGTTTAAAGCCCTAAACGGCCTCGGTGAAGTATACCTGAAGGAGCGTCTCCACCTCCATCATTCAGCCCGGACACTGAGGTCCAACGCTGAGGGCCTTCTGGCGGTTCCCTCGCTGCGAGACGCCAAGTTACGGGGAACCAGGCAGAGGCCCTTCTTGGTAGTGGCATCCGCCCTGTGGAACGCCCTCCCACCAGCTGTCAAAGAGAAAAACAACTACCAGACTTTTAGAATACATCTGTAGGCAGCCCTCTTTAGGGAAGCTTTTAATGTTTAATGGGTTATTGTATTTTAATATTCTCTTGGAAGCCACCCAGAGTGGCTGGGGAAACCCAGCCAGATGGGCAGGGTATAAATAATAAATTATTATTATTATGGAACACCAACCAGGAAGCAGAAACCCTAACGCCAGTCTTTTGTACTCTGAGAAGTTTTGGAAAGGAAATCTAGAGGATTCCTCCATTCCCAACAGCTGAGAGGGTGACCATCTCTTCTGCGCAGATTCTGTTCCTTGCAGATGCCAGCCCTGTGACATGGACCTCTCAAGACTAGAAACCTTCGGAGGCTTGTAGAGGGCTGTTGGCTCTCTAAAATCTTTTTCTTGTTGGGCTTCTGTAGCGCTGGTGTTACAGTGTTGCATTAATATTGCTATTATACCCTGCCCATCTGGCTTGATTTCCCCGCCACCCTGTGCGACTTGCAGCATAAAACTGATGCCAGCTTCTTCCTCTTGGAGGTACGCCCAAAACCCTTTCCTCAAAGCTTATGCATCTACCCTGCTTTCCACCCTCTCTGTCCATATGCTTTCATTGCTACTTCCAACAAAAGCGTATTCCAGAGTGCAAAGTGGCAGAAGCTTATATATTATAGAACTTCCTAGGGTTTTTTTAAGAACAAAGAGAACAGGAAAGGCAAGATGTAAAGGCTATTGGGGGGGGAGAGGATTGCAGAGGGGCTCGCCCCACAAACGCAGTTTAGAGGAGCGGGGGGTTGGGGTAAGTAATTTGAAAGTGATCCTGGTATGAGAGTGGATGACACCCAGCATCAAAATAAAAAAATCCTTTCTGAAATGCAAAAGGTTTGGAGGATTAAAAATAATCAACGTGAGTAATAAGAATGATTAAAACACTTCAGTATCTACGTGTTTGGATAGGCATGCTGAAACAAGTATGTTTTAAGAAGGCACTGACAAAAGAGTACAGTGGTACCTCGGGTTAAGAACTTAATTCGTTCTGGAGGTCCGTTCTTAACCTGAAACTGTTCTTAACCTGAGGTACCACTTCAGCTAATGGGGCCTCCCGCTGCCGCACAATTTCTGTTCTCATCCTGAAGCAACGTTCTTAACTCAAGGTACTATTTCTGGGTTAGCGGAATCTGTAACCGGAAGCGTCTGTAACCCGAGGTACCACTGTACAGGGAATGTGCTTGCCTGATGTCAATAGCAGAGAGCCAGTGTGGTGTAGTGGTTAAGAGTGGTAGTCTCGTAATCTGGTGAACCGGGTTCGCTTCCCCGCTCCTCCACATGCAGCTGCTGGGTGACCTTGGGCCAGTCACACTTCTTTGAAGTCTCTCAGCCCCACTCACCTCACAGAGTGTTTGTTGTGGGGGAGGAAGGGAAAGGAGAATGTTAGCCGCTTTGAGACTCCTTAAAGGGAGTGAAAGGCGGGATATCAAATCCAAACTCTTCTTCTTCTTCTTCTAGCAGGGAATAATTCTAGTGGATCAGGCCCTTGAGATCTCTGGCCCAGATCTATATACAGTTATGCCTTGGAAGTTGAAAGGAGTCCGTTCCAGAAGCCCGTTCGACTTCCAAAACGTCTGGAAACCAAAGCACAGCTTCCGATTGGCTCCTGCAACTCCTTCCGAGCCAATCAGAAGCCATGGAAGCCCCATCGGACATTTGGCTTCCAAAAATAGTGCACAAACTGGAACAGTCACTTCCAGCTTTTCAGCATTCGGGAGTCAAGACTTTCAAGAACTAAGCTGTTTGGAAACCAAGGTATGACTGTATTTGGAGAGGCAGTTTACTCCTCCAAGCTTTTCAGGTTTCCCCCAGAACTGCTGCCTTTCTATAAGCTTCTCAAACTGCCTGGCGAAGCCAGTTCAGCTCTGATATTGTTGCTAAAACACAACTCTCACTCCTCTCTTGCCTTGCTCCTGGTACCCAATGAAAGTGAAGGCCGTATCTAATATACAACCGGAGAGTGAAATCCGTTTGAAATATGTTATTTAAAATAAATCGGCAGAAGTCCAGCGAACGCATTGCGCTTTTGGATTAGAAAAACCCACAAACAAAAATACAGAAAACACACTCTAAGATAAAAACTCTCGGGATGCGATGATTACACAGTGAAATAAAGTGAAGCAATTCATTTATTTATTTATGAACAAAATCTCTATACCATTGAAAGGTTAGCTTTTCATGGAGTCCCCATTAAATATCTTAGGGTCATGCAGATGAGAGAATCTACTAGATTTTGTGTACTTGGGACTTTTCAAAAGCGTTTCAAAACCTCCTTAGCAAGCTTAGATCAGGAATTGCTTAAGAGTATAAAAGCCATGAAACTGGATCAGGCCAAAGGCCTAGCTGGAGGGTATTGAAGGAAACTTTCATAGAATTGTAGATTTGAAAGGGAACCCAAGGGTCATCTAATCCAACCCCCCAGCAATGCAGGAATCTCAACTAAAGCATCTGCGACAGATGGCCACCCAACTTTGCTATTTGCTGATCAGAAGGTCGGCAGTTCGAATCCCTGCGACGGGGTGAGCTCCCGTTGCTCGGTCCCTGCTCCTGCCAAACTAGCAGTTCGAAAGCACATCAAAGTGCAAGTAGATAAATAGGGAAAGTAAACGGTGTTTCTGTGCGCTGCTCTGGTTCGCCAGAAGCGTCTTAGTCATGCTGGCCACATGACCCGGAAGCTGTACGCCGGCTCCCTCGGACAATAAAACGAGATGAGCGCCACAACCCCAGAGTCGTCCGCAACTGGACCTAATGGTTAGGGGTTCCTTTACCTTATCTCTGTGCTTCTTTGCCATCTACAAACCCCTCATGCCAAAACACCCTAGTAAGATCTCACTTGCTTTCCTATGCCCAAAGCTTCCACGTTAGACTGCATATCCTTACAAGATATCGTATGATGCATGTTTCCTTTAATTATCACATTTTTTTCACATGCAGTTCCTCCTGTATTTATCAGACGTCTTCCTCCCAGCTGCGACTCACATTAAAAACCTTTCCACATTTAATTTCTCTGCTGCTGTGTTCTTTGAAACGTATTGCTCATTAAAGCTCTTTCCACACTCCACGCACTTAAACTGTTTCTCCGGTGTGTGGATTCTTTGATGTACATTAAGGCTACTATTGCGCCTGAAGCTCCTTCCACACTCCTTGCACGTAAATGGCTTCTCCCGTATGTATTCTTTGATGTGCGGTAAGACGACTACTCACGCTAAAGCTCTTTCCGCACACCATGCACTGAAATGGCTTCTCCCCTGTGTGTGTTCTTTCATGTGGAGCAAGGCTGCTGCTGTCGCTGAAGCACTTTCCACACTTCTTGCATTTAAATGGCTTCTCCCCTGTGTGGGTTCTCTGATGTACAGTAAGGTGACTATTCACTCTGAAGCTCTTTCCACACACCACACACTGAAAAGGCTTCTCGCCTGTGTGGGTGCGTTGATGTGGAGTAAGGCTGCTGCTGTCACTGAAACTCTTTCCGCACTCCTTGCACTTGAATGGTTTCTCTCCTGTGTGGGTTCTCTGATGTACGGTAAGGTGACTACTCACACTAAAGCTCTTTCCACACACCGTGCATTTAAATGGCTTCTCCCCTGTGTGGGATCTTTCATGCGGAGTAAGACTGCTGCTGTCACTGAAGCACTTTCCACACTCCTTGCATTTATATGGCTTCTCTCCCGTGTGAGTTCTCTGATGTTTACGAAGGTTACTGAGCAAACGGAAGCTTTTTCCACACTCTGTGCATTTATGTGGTTTCCCCCCTGTGTGGATTCTGTAATGTCTACTGAAATCCGATTTATCTCTAAGTATTTTTCCACATACTGGACATGCCTTCCTGCTTTGATCTTCTTGTAGCATCAGGGGTTCTTGGTCATCAAAACTCTGCATAGTCAATGATTTCTTCCTCCCATTCTCTGACTGGTTTTGTTCATGGTTTGGGGAGTCCCTTTGATTGTCAAACATCCCTTTTCCTGCTTCAGCTGCAGGTGTTTCTGGTGCTTCTCTATAGTTCCCGTTGCTTTGGCCATCATCTGAGGGAGAGGTGAGAAAGAAAATCATGGGTGAATTTCAAGGGGAAATCAAAGGTTCTCATCACAGATTGAACCCATTTACCCATTTACTACTTTTTTAACAGATTACAGAAAATAAGATAAGCAGCAGAAGAAAAAAAGACTGACAATGGTAACCATGGAAGGCTGGAGGGAAGTCAAGGGATTCAGAGAATCCTAATTGAAGAGGTGAATGATGTGTTTGAATTTAAATTTCTTATGTAAAGCTTAATAAAAATATATTTAAAGGAATAGAAGTGCAGCAAGTGGGGGAACTGAACAAACTGGGAACAACTCACTGTTCTGTGGTTCCTATGCATTTGGAAGGTCTGATATAAGAACCCAAGAAGATGCCTTAGACAAGAATCAGAGCACTGGGGTCTACACTCACTTCCTGGTTGCAGATGGGGTCTCTGGAGAAGGTGGGGATTAAACGTAGGACTTTCTGAACGCAAAGATTGTGCTCTGACACCGAGTTCTGGGCAGGGGTGGGCCAAGACTAGAACTCCACAGGTATGCAGTGTTGTCTTGTTCCCATTTTTCGCAGAGACATTTTAAGAGCAGATACCTGCCAATTTCTTCCCTTCTTCGAGAGCAACGGCCAACTGATTCTTCTCCTTCTGGGCAAGGGATCAAGTCCCGTTTGGGGATTTCTTCCAATGAAACAGGCAGGGTAGTTACTTCCGAGGAGAAACCACTCAGCACTCCAAGTCCACCCAACTGCTCTCCGGACAGCTGCTCAAAGCCAAGAGCAGGGAAATGCAGGATCTTAGGTCTCCTGCCAGCACACTGGATGGGAAATGTGGATCTGGTATGAGCCACCTGGCACCTGTGAACAGGTACAGTGGAAGACAAGCCACTTAAAAAAAACCCCCATAAACCTGGGGCATATCAGAGCATGTAGAAGGCAAACCTCAACCTGGATGCCAAAGAACAGCCCCAATGGATCCACCCTACAGCCTATCCAGTCTAGCATTCTCACAAGGGCCAACGAGATGCACATGTGAAGCCCAGAAGTAGAACAGGAAGCTAACTGTCCCCTCCTGCTGTTGTTCTCCTGATTCTGGAGGTAGCACACAGCCTTGAGAAGCCTTCTCTTCCATGAATTTCTCTGATTTCCTTTAAGCTCTGATGGGTCTATGAAATCACATAGGAACGGAAAAACGCCCTTCCAAAACACCTGTTGATGCCTCCTCTTTGGGATCCAGGATAAATGGATCTTCTTTTTCTTCCCCAAAAGGAACTGAAGTCCCATTCTTTCAAGGAAACAAACAAGACTAGCTTTAAAAAAAAATCAGATTCCAAACTGAGCCAACTCTATGACACATCTAAGGCTAAGAAGGGGGATGGTTCTAACTTTCTAACTCCTACAACACATGAATACCACGTGGGGCCTGAATCAGCAGGATCAGCAGCGAACATGCACTCACTGGATATGAAGCTGAGCTTGAATTCCTGTTCAAACTTATCAAAACCAGTTTTTATTTTTATGTTAGGGTGCCATTTTATTACACAAATTAAAAACTGGCATCAGCTGTTGGGGATCGCATGGTGGAACTTGGCAAAGCCAGTTCTTCTAATTTGGGCTTGGCACCAAAATGGTCAAAGGCCTGGAAACGATGCCTTATGAGGAACGGCTAAGGGAGCTGGGCATGTTTAGCCTGGAGAAGAGGAGGTTAAGGGGAGATATGATAGCCATGTTCAAATATATAAAAGGATGTCACATAGAGGAGGGAGAAAGGTTGTTTTCTGCTGCTCCAGAGAAGCGGACACGGAGCAATGGATCCAAACTACAAGAAAGAAGATTCCACCTAAACATTAGGAAGAACTTCCTGACAGTAAGAGCTGTTCGACAGTGGAATTTGCTGCCAAGGAGTGTGGTGGAGTCTCCTTCTTTGGAGGTCTTTAAGCAGAGGCTTGACAACCATATGTCAGGAGTGCTCTGATGGTGTTTCCTGCTTGGCAGGGGGTTGGACTCGATGGCCCTTGTGGTCTCTTCCAACTCTATGATTCTATGATTCTATGATTCTATGACTGTTCCTCCTCCTTTTCCTCCTCCAAAAAAGAGCCAGAGGTATATCCTGACATTAAGACTAATAGGAACATAAAAAGAGTGACCAAAACTGTGCACAGTATTTCAAGTGTGGTTGCAGTAAAGACTGGTAAGAACGTAACAACAGCTTACGCCTTACGTCTGCGTAGAACATATTATCAGCCTGCTGGATCAGGCCAATGTCCCGTCTAGTCCAGCATCCTGTTCTCACAGTGGCCAATGCCTGTGGGAAACTTGCAAGCAGGACATGAGCGCATTTTCTAGCTTGTTAGTTCCTACTAGCCTTTCCTTTAAACTGAAAGGTCCCACATGCTGCACCTTTTCTCATAAGGGAGTTACTTTACCCCCTTGAGGATTTTGGTTGCCCTTCTCTGGAGGAAATACGTTTTATAGACATTAAGCTTCAAGGCACCGAAATATATCCAGCTCGAGTGTTGTGAGAACGCATTTGCAATTATTTGGTGGCCGTAATAATAATAATCATAATAATTTATTACTTATACCCCTCCCATTTGGCCGGGCCTCCCCAACCACTCTGAGCGGTTCCCAACACAATATTAAAAACAAGATAAAACAGCAAACATTAAAAACTTCCCTAAACAGGGCTGCCTTCTAGCACAAAGAAAAGTATCGAGGGAGGTGCAGAACAAAAGGGGCAAATTCGATGGGTTACGATAATCTTTATTGTCATTGTCCCATACAGAACAACGAAATTGAAAAATCTACAGAAGACATTCAAAACCCAACAAGCCTGCTATCCCAGCTATCCCAACCTGGTTAGCCCCCTAAAAACTCTGATACCCCATTTTTAAACACAATATACTCCCATATAGACTCCTTACAATGTGTTTAAATCCAAAATTGCATTTGGGTAGAAACTGTTTCTCAGGTGGCTAGTCATCATCATCATCATCATTATTTTTATTCGACCGTCAGTCAGAAAGAAAGTACATTTTGTCAACACACAGTTAAAAACATCCAGGAAGATTTTAAAACTTAGCCAACACTAAAATGGGCTAAACAGATAGCCCCATATCAATACAGTCAATTATAGTCTCGCGACGCTTAAAAGCTAGTCCTAGTCTTTATAACCCTGTACCTTCTTCCAGAAGGCAGAAGCTGAAAGAGATCATTTCTGGGGTGCGCACTATCCTGCACTATCTCTGCAGCTTTCTTATGGCACCTGGAAGCAAAGATTTGATCTATGTGAGTTGGTGGGGGAATAGCAGAAAGAACAAAAACATGCTGAACAAACAATTGAGGGGGAAAGCATCCTTACCTAGAGAGGCCAACGTCTTACAATTCTCCTCCATGACTTCCCTGCGCAGAGATCTTCAGCTGGGATCCTGCAGGTGCCACCTGCCCTCCGTAAAATCCACAGCCGCTTCCGTAAAGGTCAAGAGAGCCTAGAATAAGAAGGAAACACAAGCCGTAGGCACAAAGAGTCACTAAAGTAAATGGATGGGTAAGAACATTGGAGGAATTTGGTAAACATGAGAGGGACAGGGAGGGAGGGAGTTTGGAATCTCTCAATTTTTCTCCCAAAGGTGTCTCTCCTCCACACACCCTTCAACATTTCTCCAATGAAAATAGGGATGTCCCATTCCATAATGATAATTTTACTATTTACACCCCACACATCTTACTGGGTTGCCCCAGTCACCCTGGGCAGCTTCCAACATATATAAAATGATAATAAAACATTTTAAAAAAAACCTTCCCTTTACAGAATTGCCTTCAGATGGCTCAGAGGTTGGATGACTCCATCCCCTCCAACATTTCTCTGATGAAAACAGGAACGTCCTAAGGAAATGAGGGACATTCCGGGATCAAATCCGAAACCGGGATGGGCTTCTCTAAATCAGAGGAAGTCCCTGGAAAATAGGGACCCTTGGAGGGTCTCCCTCTGGCTCTAGGGCACAAAAGCAGCACAACCCCCCACCCCCTCCCCACTCATACCCATAAGTCTGTTTTGCCTGCACCAAAGCGGCTTCCCCCGCCCTCTCCCTGCAAATCCCCCGCTGCAAGGGGGAGAGAAGTGGCTTGATCCCTTCGGAGGGGGGAGGGCAGCTTCCCAGAGGTTCTTGCTTCCCCAGCCCCCCCCATTTAATTTCCATTTTACACTTGAAACAATAATAACATTTCAAATAAAAGAAACACACAACCAGCAGTGGCTCCTCTTCCCTGGCGGTGCATTTTATTACTGCCTTTCCCACTATATTTCTCCCTGTATTCCTCATCTTCATATCTCAATTGTTTCATTTATTCTGTCACTGCTCACTTCTAAATTGGTTTACATCAGGGGTGCCCAAACTTTTTTCCAAAGAGAGCCAGATTTGATAAAGTAAACATACCTGAGGGCCAACCAAAGTTGTTGAGCTTTTTTTTAGGATTGAAGTTGCTGAGCTTTTTTAATAATAATAATAATAATAATAATAATAATAATATGTTTTTATTTGTAACCCGCCCGCCCCGGCCAAGACCTGGCTCAGGGCGGCTAACACTAAATATAAATACAGTAAAAGCATTTTTTAAAAAGTTGATTAAAATATAAGTTAGAATACAGTTTTAAATAAACATATACTGCCACGGGGGCCGGATTAAATCGACCGGCGGGCCGGATTAGGCGCCCAAAACGGACTTTGGACATGCCTGGTTTACAATGCGCCTCTAAATATCCCACAAAAAACATGAGAGGTTTTTTCCCCCCTTCTTCTTCTTTTTGATCCTGATCTCTTGTTCTGTTTGTCAGTCTTGCCATTTCCACATATTCTATTAACTTTGTCTGCTATTTACGCCCCCCTTCGCCTCCCCAGGCAAACCCTCCTCCTGCGGCCCCTCCCCAACCTCGCACACCCCCGACCCCCCAAAATAGGGCACCTCTTAGATTTCACCCCATTCGCCGCCCATAAGCCGCACCTCTTCCGCAACCACCACCTTCGCTGGACCATTTCTCCTGCCGGAAGAAGGAAGGAGCCCCTCTAGCCCCCACCCGGCTGTTGGATAGCAGCTTCCGGCCTCTCTAGGAACCAGAACTCGGTTCCTTAACCTCCGGAGGACGGCGCGGCGGGACACGCCCCACCCCTACCCCCACCCCCGCGCGCCTTTTCAGGCCTAGACTGTGCCTATTGCACCCCGTGAAACGAAAAGGACTGAAAATCCTCAATTATCTGAGTTTCTGTTGATTTTCTTAAAAAAAGCTCAAAGCTGCCTCTCCCCCCACCAAAAAAAAAATCCTGGTTACGCCCATGGCCTCCCCCATCTTTGGCCCTGCTGCTCTGCTAGGGCTGCTTTGAGGAATGGGGTGGGTGGTGGGGGTCACATCTGGCCAGAGATTTCATAGAATCATAGAATTTTAAGAGTTGGAAGGGAACCCTGAGGGTCATCTAGTCCAACCCCCTGCAATGCAGGATTCTCGGCTAAAGCATCTCTGACAGATGGCCATCCAACCTCTGCTTAAAAACCTCTGAGGAAAGAAAGTCCACACAGATCTGTCTCTACCCAGTGGTGCAAAGTGGTGCGCCGCGCCAGGGCGCCATGGTCTCGAGGGCGCCAGCCTGAGTGCCCGGGGAGGAGAGTTGGAGTCCGGCCGGGAGAGTCCGCAGCGCTCGGACAGGCTCTTCTGCTGTGGGCTCTGCCGAGCGAGGAAGAATGAGATAGAACGGGGAAGGAAGCGCTCGTGGAAAGAATCCCGTGCTCGGCGTCAGGTGCCTTCAGGGTGCAGGCCGCGGCTTATCCCCGAGCTGCGAGCTGCTCTCCTCGTTCTCCTCTTTGGCTCGTCATTCATCTGCCCCTTCCTCCTCGCCAAGGGCCAACGAGGCTCCCCTCCCCTTTCCCCACTCCCTTCCTTCCGTTGGTCCATCAGTTGGGGGTGCGCGTGCGTGCCAGTGGCACAGGCCCAAGCCTCGTCCCCCTCACACTTCCCTCATGGTCTCTGAGCATGACGGGTCCCGGCCTCCCTCCTCATTCCCCGGCCAGCGTGAGCGAGCATGAGGAGCGGCCTCTTCCTCCGCGCACGCACAGGTGGCGAGCGCCAAGTGGAAGCATGAAGGAGAAGCACTTGAGGCTGCTGAGGGAGATGAGTAGCTTCCCACCAAACCGCAAGTGCTTCGGCTGCGAGCCCACAATCTCCCAAGGGAGTCCGTCTCACTGTTGAACAGCTCTTACTGTTAGAAAGTTCTTCCTGATGTTTAGTTGGAATCTCCTTCCTTGTAAACTGAAGCCATTGGTTCGAGTCCTACCTTCCAGAGGAGAAAGCAAGCTTGTTCCCTCTTTGATGTGACAGCCCTTTAGACATTTGAAGATGGCTATCATATCTCCTATGAGATCAAACCTATCCATTCTGAAGGAAATCAGCCCTGAGTGCTCACTGGAAGGACAGATCGTGAAGCTGAGGCTCCAATACTTTGGCCACCTCATGAGAAGAGAAGACTCCCTGGAAAAGACCCTGATGTTGGGAAAGATTGAGGGCGCAAGGAGAAGGGGACGACAGAGGATGAGATGGCTGGACAGTGTTCTCGAAGCTACCAGCATGAGTTTGACCAAGCTCCGGGAGGCAGTGGAAAATAGGAGTGCCTGGCGTGCTCTGGTCCAGGGGGTCACGAAGAGTCGGACATGACTAAACAATAACAACATCAACAACAACAACATGGCTGAGTCACAAGGGCTGAAAAGAGTTTGTGTATGAATTCGACAGTGTTTAGTTTATTTTTTGGTCACTCTTTTGTTATCACTGTTAAGATTGTTTTACAGGTTATGAATGCTGTTGCTCGGTCCTTGCTCCTGCCAACCTAGCTGTTCGAAAGCACATAAAAGTGCAAGTAGATAAATAGGTACCGCTCTGGCAGGAAGGTAAACGGCGTTTTCGTGCGCTGCTCTGGTTCGCCAGAAGCGGCTTAGTCATGCTGGCCACATGACCCGGAAGCTGTACGCCGGCTCCCTCGGCCAGTAAAGTGAGATGAGTGCCGCAACCTCAGAGTCATCCGCAACTGGACCTAACAGTCAGGGGTCCCTTTACCTTTAGGTAAAGGTAAAGGGACCCCTGAGGGAGCCAGCATACAGCTTCCGGGTCATGCTGCCAGCATGACTAAGCCACTTCTGGCGAACCAGAGCAGCGCACGGAAATGCTGTTTACCTTCCCCTCGGAGCGGTACCTACGGTATTTATCTACTTGGCAGGAGCAGGGACCGAACAACGGGAGCTCACCCCGTCGCGGGGATTCGAACCACCGACCTTCTGATCGGCAAGTCCTAGGCTCTGTGGTTTAACCCACAGCGCCACCCGCGTCCCATGAATTCCAGAGGTAGCAATAACTTTTCTCAAAGCTCCTTTTGAAATCAGAACCGGCATGGCACACGTCTAGCAATTTGTGTCGAGGAGAAGCAGGGAAAAGCTCTCACGGACCCTGAGCTGTTCAAAGCTTTATAAAATGTATCAGGATGTACTTATATTGCACTTGGAAGTCATTAGTGTTAGATAGAAACATCTCCCAAGTATATAAGCTAGTTGCCAAATGGCACCTTAAACATAGACAACGGTCGCCACAACGAATGCCTAGCTGCCATTTTTTTACAAGATTACAAAACAAAAAATGAATTGTGTATATCATCAACGTTAAAATGCATTTAACAATTCAGTTGCACATTTTACCAATTACAGTCATCTCTTTCTTTCTTAATGAATGAAACACAATTCACACCAGGGACACATTTTTAATACCACATTTTTAATAGCAATTGCGAATTGGACACCACAAACATAAATGGGGCTCAGCCTCGGCAACAGTAGCCAACCATAAGCAATTTGCATAAGTAATATTTATAAATACCAGCATGTATGTGTATATGTACAGATATAAAATAAAATATTGTGCTAGATTTGCACGTGGCACTGCTTTATTTGACAACAGTATTTTATTTATTACTTGTGCAGAGCCGTAGTATCACTGTTAGATTTTGATTTTCTTATGGGCAAATGCATTCTTCCATTCTGACAGTGTGTAAATTATTCTGTTACGACAGTGAAGTTTTATTCCAGTACAGTGGTACCTCGGGTTAAGTACTTAATTTGTTCTGGAGGTCTGTTCTTAACCTGAAACTGTTCTTAACCTGAAGCACCACATTAGCTAATGGGGCCTCCTGCTGCTGCCGCGCCGCCGGAGCACGATTTCTGCTCTCATCCTGAAGCAAAGTTCTTAACCTGAAGCACTATTTCTGGGTTAGCGGAGTCTGTAACCTGAAGCGTATGTAACCTGAGATACCACTGTACTTGGTTGACATTCCCTGTTTAGGGAAGTTTTTAATGTTTGATGTTTTATCATGCTTTTAATATTCTGTTGGGAGATGCCCAGAGTGGCTGGGGAAACCCAGCCACATGGGCGGGGTATAAATAATAAATTATTATTATTATTATCATCACTGAGGCTCCTAGCATGTCTGGGCTTCAGCCGGAGAGAAAGATGGAAAAGTGAATAGCAGCCATGAGCTCCATCCTTCCCCTTTCCCCATGAAGCTGAAGCAGGCTCAATTACAGGGAGAGGAAGAGTTGGGAAATCTGAAGGGGCAGCATGGCTCTCCCCAGTGAAGCAGAAGATAGGATCCCCTGTGGGTTTTTGCTACTGTGTGAAAAAGAACTGGAGGGATGGAGGGTCGAGAATCTGAGGAAGAGAATCATTTGGACTAGATTATCCTTGGGGTCCCGTCCAACTCTACAATTCTATGACCCCTTCAGAACTTTGAATGTGTTTAAATAGCAAAGGTTGAGTCATTTTACAGACTACACATGATCTACACACAGGAAAGTAAGGGGTGTGTGAGCATTTTTCGTGCCAGAGGCAGTTCCCTGGCAAGCTCTGGTCAGTCTGGCTGCATTAGGATTGTAACGGAAGGGCACCTTCTACTTTAGACTCGTAAAAGCATTTTTTCCACCTTACATGGAACCTAAAATGACCACAAAACCATCATTTCCTAAAATGAGTAATCAAAAAAATAATAATTGAAAGGAATCTTGTTGAAGCTTACTCAGGAGTAAATTCACACGTCAAAACTCCTTGAAAGGGTTTGCACAGAACCAATAAGAAGGGTGGGTGGCAAAAAGCCTCAAAGGGGGGGGGGGAAGTATTTTAAAAGGAAACCAGAGGGTCTTGGCTGATCTTATGGAACTGCAGACTTTTAATGATCCTGTGACCAATTAAATCCAATTCAAAACCTGACCTCAGATAGACAATTGCTGCACATGGAAGTTCTACTTTTGACAAGCAATTTGCTTTTACTGAAAGGGATGCTCATTGACCCTTTGGCCATACAGTCATAATGCTTCGTAGGATTCCTTTGTACAGTGGTGCCTCGCAAGACGTAATTAATTCGTTCCGCGAGTTTTTTCGTCTTGCGGTTTTTTTCGTCTTGCGAAGCACAGTGTCGGAAAAGTTTTGGAAAAGCTTCAAAAATCACCAAAGTCTTCAAAAACCTCAAAAAAGGCTACCACACCGCGTGCTATGAGTTGCTCCTCAAAGTCAAGTCGCAACTGTATTAACGGTTTTAAGAAAAAGGAAACAAACTTGCAAGACGTTTCCGTCTTGCGAAGCAAGCCCATAGGGAAAATCGTCTTGCGAAGCAACTCAAAAAACCAAAAACCCTTTCGTTTTGCGAGTTTTCCGTCTTGCGAGCCATTCGTCTTGCGAGGTACCACTGTATTCAAATGATATACTGCCTACTTTTTATGCCCTTTAAGAATAAATGTGTTTGTGTGTGTGTTTGTTTGTTTGCATGTATGTGTATGTATGTATGCAAACACACATCCGGGAGGCGGGCAGCCAAACTGGGTCTTTGACCCGGGTGACAAGAAACCTAGATTTGGCCCTGAATTATGCTAAAGCCATAAACCAATTATAAGAAGGTGGCACTATCATTACAGTAATCTGTAAGACTAATTTATTTGCCAAGATTACTATGAATTTGTTATGAGTTCTGTGACAAGGACTAAAAAAAACTGCAAAGCTTGCTACAAAAGGCGAATGAATAAATCACACTTACCTGTTCCATTTTGTTTATACAATAAAAATATTGGGACTATACTTCGGTTTTTAAAACACCCTAGTCTTTGTTTTTAAAGTGGGGTCTTCTAATGCGCCCCCTGGCAACATCGTTCCACCACAAATTAACTGCATTTGCAGCATTGAAAACCTCTAGGTCCGGACCATTCATCTTGATCATCAGTAAGTCATCAATGGTAGTCGCAAGCAGACGTTTCCGACTGTCCGTTTTAACCAGGTTTAGTTGGCTAACCCCCCTCTCGCATTCGGCAGTGCTAAGCGGGAGGACCCGCAAAAAGTTCAAAACTTTGCATATATTAATATATGAAGCAGAAGCCGTTGTCTCTGCTTGAAGGCGCTGCCAAGCTTCTTCACATGTGATGCTTGTTTTGTTGCCAGCCCACACTTTGAACTCTTGATACTCCTCCAAGATGGCTTCCTTGTCGACTCTCACGTTGCTGGGCAAGGCTTGCAATAGTTCACTCAGTTCTTTTTCTCCGTGGCTACTTGCGGACGTGTCCCTTCCACCGACCGGTTTGGGTATGTTGCACGGGTCAAATATCTCCACGTTTCGCAGAACTCTGTCGTTTCCGATGCGGTCAAACCATTTGTCGATCGCTTCCACGATTGAACTCAGCAAGACCCGCCGATCTTCCTCAAAGCAGCCTACTTCGCTTGCGCTACTAACAATTTCCACGTCTTTGTACACTAACACGCCGCCTTCCAGCTGTGCGGCACTTTCAAACTTTTGCAGCTGAGGCCCGCTGTCTTTCACCATCCTCTGCAACCTCTCTTTCGTTGCCGTCAAGCTGGTTTTCACATCGCTGACGGACACACACTTCCTCCGAAACACCTCGGATAGCCTCGTAAGTGTGTGCGTAACGTCGTCCATGAAAAACAAAAACCTGACAAACCGCTCTGACTTCAAACGCTTCAAGTACCCCTTCAGCTTGGCCTCCACCTTCCTATCTGGCTTTGTGCTGGAGCCACTCACAATCTGCTGCAAGTGCACCACAACTATGGGCAGATTGTTGGCCAGGGCTTTCACGGCAGAGTTCTTCGACTGCAGCCACCTGATTCCGGTGATACCCATGTGGCGAAGCACTTTCTCGTTCAGGACTTCGCCGATCTCTTTCAACTCCTTTGCCCTTTTAGGACTACTGTGGTAAAACGTGTATATACCCTTTACGACGTCTTCGGCAAGCCCGGCGAATTTGACGGACTTTAAGGCATCCCCTATCGCAAGCTCCAGTTGGTGAGCGACGCAGTGCACAGCCACCAGACCTGGACAGCTGTCCTGGAACAATTTTGCAACCCCAGACGCGTTGCCCGTATCAACGCTAGCCCCGTTGAAACTTATGGCCGTCAGCTTGCTTTTCCAATCGGGTATGTATCCGTCGAGAACCGACTCGATGGTCGACTTCACTTCCCCTGCATCCTCACTAGGACATTCCTTAAGGGCTCCGTAACTACATTTCACTTCCGCTTCATTTATATAATAAAAGTAAACAATTTCGGAAGCCGCGTTCGATCTATCAGTCGAGCCGTCGGCCAAAATCCCAAAGAAATTTGCTTTGCTCAGTTTGTACTTGAGCTCCAGCCGAAGGCTTTCCGCAATGTAATGAGCAAACTGCTTGGCCGCTTTGTCGTTCCTGTACGTCTCGCCCACTATCAAGCCGTTTTTCTTCTGCAGTGCACATAACGCCGGGAAGTCGTCAAACGAATAGTTCTCCTTGACGATGAAGTATGCCGTATTGAACAGCTTCTCCAAGTTACTGTGCAAATTGCTGTCCATCGTTCTTAATTCCTGCACCGTCGGGACTGACAGAGGTGCGGACATTGGATTCAACCTGGCTAATTGAGCACGGCAAGCTTTTTGGTGAGTAGCAGATGCACCGTGTTTTTTTATCTGAAAAGGTAACAAAAATAAAATTTGTTATTATAGAATCACAGAATCTTAAGAGTTGGAAGGGACCCAGCGGTCATCTAGTCCAACCCCCTGCGATGCAGGAATCTCAACTAAAACATCCATGGCAGATGGCCATTCAACCTCTGCTTAAAAACCTCCAAGGAAGTAGAGTCTACCACATCTTGTGGAAGTTTGTTCCATAACTGAACAGCTCTTACTGTAAATGTTTAGTTGGGATCTCATTTCTTGCAACTTGAAGACGTTGATTCGAGTCCTACCCTCCAGAGCAGGAGAAAACAAGCATGCTCCCTCCTCCATGGGGCAGCCCTTCAGATATTTGAAGATGACTATCATATCTCCTTTCAGTCCCCACTTTTCCAGGCTAAACATACCCAGCTCCTTCAACTGTTCCTCATACGGCTTGGTATCCAGACCCTTAATCATCCTAGTTGAACCTCTTCTGCACACGTTCCAGCTTGTCAACATCCTTCTTAAATTGTAGCACCCAGAACTGGGCGCAGTATTCCAAGAGTTGTCTGAGACCACCAGGTATAGGGAGATATATAAATTCAATAAATAAAATTAATAAATAAGGCACAATAGTCGTACTATTACTTCCCTTGATCTGGACACTAGACTTCTATTGATGCAGCCTACAAGAGCATTAGCTTTTTTTGCTGCTGCATCACATTATTATTATTATTATTATTATTATTATTATACCGCTTTCATATATTAAAAAAAATCAAAGCAGTTTGCAGCACATTAAAACATCGAATAAAACAATCCAGAATCAGTGCTGAAGAGCATTTATTTATGTATGGAATGACAGCAGCCGGGATATTTTCTGCACAAAAATGAGAGGAAGAAATTCCCACCAAAGAAGAATGGAAAAGCAAACTGATGGACGATGCTGAACTGGCAAAGTTAACAGCTAAAATAAGACAACTTAATGATGGTTGTTTTATGGAAGAATAGAAGCCTTTTTCGGACTATTTAAAGTAATATTATAGTATAATATTTGAACTATGAGCAACAGAAGGAATGAGAGATTATTGTAGGTAAAAGGTAAAGGACCCCTGGGCAGTTAAGTAATAAACAAATATCTGACTTTTAGAAGACATCTGTTTAGGGAAGTTTTTAATGTTTAATGTTTTATCGTGCTTTTAATATTCTGTTGGGAACCGCCCAGAGTGGTTGGGGAAACCCAGCCAGATGGGCGGGGTATAAATAAATAAGTAAATTATTATTGGTAGTGGTAGTCCAGTCAAAGGTGACTATGGGGTGTGGCACTCATCTTTCAGGCCAAGGGAGCCAGCGTTTGTCCACAGACAGATTTCTGGGTCATGTGGCCAGCATGACTAAACCGTTTCTGGCACAGTGGAACACCGTGACGGAAACCAGAGCGCATGGAAATGCTGTTTACCTTCCTGCCACAGCGGTATCTATTTATCTGCTTGCACTGGCATGTTTTCGAACTGCTAGGTTGACAGAAGCTGGGACAGAACAATGGGAGCTCACCCTGTCACAGGGATTCGAACAGCCGACCTTCCGATGGGCAAGCCCAAGGGGCTCAGTGGTTTAGACCACAGTGCCACCTGCATCCTTAGTATAGGAGAAAGAAGACAAAGTTCAGCAAGGGGAGAAATAAATACAGTGGTGCCTCGCAAGACGAAATTAATCCGTTCCGCGAGTCTCTTCGTCTTGCGGTTTTTTCGTCTTGCGAAGCACGGCTATTAGCGGCTTAGCGGCTATTAGCGGCTATTAACGGCTTAGCGGCTATTAACGGCTTAGCGGCTTTAAGAAAAAGGAAACAAACTCGCAAGAACTCGCAAGACGAAACGTCTTGCGAAGCAAGCCCATAGGGAAATTCGTCTTGCGGAACGACTCAAAAAACGGAAAACTCTTTCGTCTAGCGAGTTTTTCGTCTTGCGAGGCATTCGTCTTGCGGGGCACCACTGTACACCACGGAAAACGGGATGGGAAGTCGACAAAACAAAAGAAAAATCTATTATGTATTGGACTGCATATGTGCTATTTCTGGAAATTTAATAAAATATATCTGGGGGGAAAATATTGCCTTTCTGCAGCCTATTTCTGCTCATGGTAGTGGAAGGAATGGTAGTACAAGCACTCGATTCCAACAGCAAGCAAGGCTCGATCTACAGCATTTGTGATTCTGCAGGATTCAGGCAACCAGCCTTGGGGTCCACAGGGGCCTGGTTGTGGCATGATAGCCAGTTCCTCCTCTGCCAGCTCTGAGCTCAAGGAATAATTTAGGGCATTATTTAATTGCAGACTGGAACGTTTTGCCGTTTTAAAAACCAGAACAGACATGATTATAAGGACAAAGAACTAATGAACAAAAACACCCAATGCCATTCATCTGTTTTGTTTCATACTATACGATACAATAATCTCTATTGTCATTGTCCCATACAGAACAATGAAATGGAAAAATCTACATAAGACATTCAAAACCCAACAAGCCTGCTATCCCAGCCATCCCAACCTGGTTAGCCCCCTAAAAACTCTGATACCCCATTTTTAAAACAATATACTCCCATAGAGACTCCTTACACTGCGTTTAAAACCAAAATTGCATTTGGATAGAAACTCTTTCTCAGGCGGCTAGTCCTGCTTCCAGAAGGCAAAAGCTGAAAGAGATCATTTCCGAGGTGTGCATCGAATAAGCAGGAGGCTGTTTGCCTGAAGGCACGGAGTCTGGCAAAGATGATGTCACACAGGAAAAAACAAACAACAACAAAACAGAGGAGCTGTGCAGATGAAGCACCCACCACGGGCTAGAATTCTTTATAGGTTTCCATCATTTTTGTTGCAGCAGTGGCAACCCTACTCAGAGCAGCAAAACAAGTTATATGAAAGCTAGGAGATGTTTATATCTGTGTCTTGTTTCAGCTGCAAAAGTAACTTGCAGCCTAATAATAACAAGGGAAAATTGGCAGCTGCTTCTCATGATGCCCTATTAAAATCTGTCGCTGTTAATGGCTGGTTTCCCCAGACCATTTAACTAAAAAAACCAAACAACTGTCACATTTAACAAATTTGGCAAATTGTATCTGCAAAATATAAATATAAACTCACTGTTTCAATCTTGAATGTTGCGCAGCCTTTCACGAAACTCGTATCCTCGGCCCGTGCAAATTCTTTGCAGACGAGGCAGATCATAACATCAGCAAACATTTCCAGCCACGGATTTTCTAGCTTCCACTTCGAAAAAGTTGATGGCCTCACTTTTTTCCTCTGAGATTTAATAATACAAGTATTAGAGCAGCTAGACTCTTTTCCCTTATTGCTGGGTTTTCCTAACAAATCTGGCATTGCCCAAATATAAACAGTTAACTTATTAAACCTCATCATGATTTCATAATTATCTATGTATTTCTAATAGTATAACCAAATCAGTAATTTTTGATATAACTGTAAAAAAACTATGAAAATTTATTATTCCAAAAATGAAACCTTCCTCTGGTTGTCAATATTAAGATGATATCAGCAAGGAGACAGTCTGTAAAAAAACGATTTAAATGAAATTTTACTGACTAGTGATTTAAATTGATTCAATTTGATTTAAATAAAATCCACCCTGGTCTTCACCCAAAAGTGAGCTTGCAAAAGCGAAAAGACAATACAGTATTTGCTTTCCCGCCTGCAAGGTCAGCTAGGTTTTATGGTATCTCCCATACCTTTGCATGCCTTCACACCTTAAAACCTGCTCTCCTCAAATCACTGGAGGAACCCATTCATTCACAAACTTAAGTGCCCCAAACTTCTCAATAAGACTTCATTCATGTTCGTCTCCCCTAAGCTTGCCTTCCGTCCAAATTAGGCTGCAGACAATTACTAGAAATTGTGCAATGCATGTTTGCCCATGTTCCACCTGAGCTCTCCAGACATTTCCCTATCTTGCTACACTACCTGTCCGAAGTCCTATTCCGACTGGCTGGCCCAGGTGCAGAATGCCTGGGTCTGACCCTGATAAGAATTCACAGAGGAGGTCACTTGCTATCTAGCTTGAATTGTGGGAATGTTTTTTCATTCCAATACAGCTATTAAAGTTTGCATTGTCATCAATTACGGCAGCTATGAATGGCCATCGGTCATCCTGCATACATTGAGACTGTTTCCATCAAAACTCACTGCTTACGTTTTTCTCTACGCTGATTGATTCACCTTCCAAACAACAGAACTCGTAAACTCATTCAATGCGAAAATACTCCGGTCCCTCCATTTATTTCTACTCCCTTTATATGCAGAGTGTGTGCAAAGGCTGAAGCTCATTCCACACTCAGTGCATTTAAACGGCTTCTCTCTGGTGTGGGTTCTTTGATGATTAATTAAGGTGGTTATTCTGTCTGAAGCTCTTTCCACACTCCCTGCATTCAAGGTTCCTCCCCTCTGCATTTTGCAATTCCTTTTTAATTCTAATTTATATGTAAACACTATCACACATACTGGAGTCGGTTGGATGTTAGGATTCTGAGCATCAAACGCTTTCATCTTCCCACACTTGGAATTATTTTGTTCTTGCCATTCTATTCCCATCAGATTCTCAGTCATCTCTTCTATTGCTTCGCTCTTGACGATCTCGGATGACAAAGTCCATTGCCCCCAATAATTCCCATTGTGCCGCATCTCTTCCGTCATCTCTTCCGTTGCTTCAGTTTTGACAATCCCCGATGGCAAAATCCATTGCTGTTTATAATTCTCATTATTCTGCATCTCTTCTGCGCCTTCAGTTTTGACGATCCCCGATGGCAAAATCCATTGCTGCCTGTAACTCCCATTGTTCTGCGTCTCTTCCGTCATCTCTTCTGTCACTTCGCTCTTGATGATCTCTGGCGACCATCGCTCCCTAGAATTCCCATTATTCCGCACATCATCTGATGGTGGGGAGACAGAAGAAGCATGTTTGAATCTCAAGAGAAAAACAAAGAATCTAATCACAGACCATTTCCCCACTATATGCCAAATTTAAATGTGGTTATCTTCTGAACCAAGGGACGCGGGTGGCGCTGTGGGTTAAACCACAGAGCCTAGGACTTGTCGATCAGAAGGTCGGCGGTTCGAATCCCCACGATGGGGTGAGCTCCCGTTGCTCGGTCCCTGCTCCTGCCAACCTAGCAGTTCGAAAGCATGTCAAAGTGCAAGTAGATAAATAGGTACCACTCCAGCGGGAAGGTAAATGGCATTTCCGTGCGCTGCTCTGGTTTGCCAGAAGCGGCTTAGCCATGCTGGCCATATGACCCGGAAGCTGTACGCCGGCTCCCTCGGCCAATAAAGCGAGATGAGTGCCGGAACCCAATTACCTAACTTCTGAACACCCTATAGTGCAAGACAGGGATGGGGAACCTCCAGCCCACAGACCAAACTTGGCCCCTTTTGGTCCAGCAGATCAGTTTAAGGACCTCTTCCCCAGTCACCCTGCACCTGACATCATACATGAGAACATGTGTGGGGCAGGTAAGGGTGATACTGTGAGCTTAAAGCAAACTTCTGATTCTTTCTCTGCTAGAGCAAGTTACACTCACAGCTACCTATCAATTGATGGGTAGAAGCAGCGCACCTTCCTTGAGCAGAGAAGAGGCTTCTCCCAACCAGCACTGCTCTTTAAAGCTGTTTGTGACCCAATGGGAACTGCTTCTGCAGAAGGATTTGTTTGCACATGTGGAGAGATCTGCCGTTGTTTGCCAGTAAGCTTGTGAAACATGGACCACTTATAAACGCCATCTCCAACTCTTCAAAAGATTCCATCAACGATGTCTCCAAACATTTTTACACATCACTTGGGAAGACAGGCGAACTAATGCCAGTGTACTGGAAGAAGCAAAGATTACCAGTGTCGAAGTGATGATTCTTCAACATCAACTTTGTTGAACTGGTCATGTTGTGTGGATGCCTGATTATCGTCTTCCAAAGCAACTACTCTATTTCGAACTTAAAAATGGAAAGTGTAATGCTGGTGGTCAACAAAAGTGTTTTAAAGATTCTCTCAGGGCAAATCTAAAAAAAAGTAGGATAAACACTGACAACTGGGAAACACTGGCCTGCGTGCGCTCCAGTTGGAGAACAGCCTTTGCCAAAGGTGTCATGGGCTCTGAAGAAGCAACAAACTCAGGACGAAAGGGAGAAAGGTGCTAAGAGGAAGGCACATTTGGCAAACCCTCACCATGATCAATTCCTGCCCGGAAACCTATGTCCCCACATGTGGAAGGACATGTAGATCCAGAACTGGCCTCCACGGTCACTTATGGACTCACTGTTAAAACTGTGTTTATGGAAGACAATCTTACTCGGCTACAAGTGATTGCCAAAGAAGAAGAAGATATATGTTTACTGCAAAGGAATTCCGAGAGAATTAAGAGGATTTATTTTCTACTAAGACTTCATGTCTTTCATTCTCTGTTGCATCTACTGTGTCCTGTCACCTAACTGTCTTGCCATTTATCAGTACCAGATCTCTCAGGTGGGCCAAAGTGATTCAGAACAATCTCTGCCTGTCTCCAGCCAATCTGGTTCAAGCCCAGATTTCCCCGAATTGATGCAATTTCATTCAGGATCAGCGTTTGGGCTGGATCTGGTGCACAGCTTTATTTAACACAGAGAGATGGGGTGTATTTCACTGGCAAACTTTGATTTTAGCCTAAATAGCATAGATATTGCACCATAGTTTTGTTCTCATTATAATCTCTTTCATTGAAATTGTTAATATCAGTACCTGCCAATTTCTTCCCTTCCTCGGAGGCCTGTCCTGTTGGGTTTTCTCCGGGCATAGAGACGAGGTCTGGTTTCAGAACGTCTGCCATAGAAACAGAAACAGGCTAGTTACTTCTGAGTACAAAAGACGGAGCCGTTCCAAGTTTGCTAACTGCTATGTTCCCCTTCCCAAAACCAAGAAGATCAGTCAGAACATGGTTGGGCGGACCCAGAGGAATCAAACTGGTGCTTGGGAGCCGCCACTCACTGCCCATTTAGCTCAGCTGAGCGGCATTCTAGAAGCCAAAGCAACTGTTTTAATGCGAGGGAAGGTGGAAGCGAAACCTCAACCAGGAGGCCATCTTTTCTCTGTATAAGTGGAACTTTGCTGGATGAAGCCAAAAGGCTTGTCTTGTCCCGTATCCCCACATAGGCCAACTTGATCCTTATGGGGATCCCACTAGGACATAAAATTCAGAGATGTCTGATATACAGTGGTACCTTAGATTAAGAACTTAATTCGTTCCTGAGGTCCGTTCTTAACCTGAAACTGTTCTTAACCTGAAGCTCCACTTTAGCTAATGGGGCCTCCCGCTGCTGCCGCGCCGCCGGAGCATGGTTTCTGTTCTCATCCTGAAGCAAAGTTCTTAACCTGAAGCACTATTTCTGGGTTAGCAGAGTCTGTAACCTGAAGTGTATGTAACCTGAAACGTATGTATCCCGAGGTACCACTGTATAGCTGTCTTGGCTAAAAGCCATGGACAGCTTTACTTTCCCTGAATTTACTTAACCTTCTTTGAAAGTCACTGAACAAAAGTCTTTCAATACAGAGCCCAAAAGGAGCCCCAGAAGAAGAAGAAGAAGAAGTGGAGGAGTTTGGATTTGATATCCCGCTTTATCACTACCCAAAGGAGTCTCAAAGCAGCTAACATTCTCCTTTCCCCTCCTCCCCCAAAACAAACACTCTGTGAGGTGAGTGAGGCTGAGTCTTCAGAGAAGTGTGACTGGCCCAAGGTCACCCAGCAGCTGCATGTGGAGGAGCGGAGACACGAACCCGGTTCCCCAGATTACGAGTCTACCGCTCTTAACCACTACACCACACTGGCTCTTGACAGCTAAGCACTTACCGATTGATATCTCCTCTTCTCTAGGATGCCGGATAAGTGGATCTTCTCCTTCTTCCCAACAGGAATTGAGGTCTGATACTTTGAAGGAAACACACAGGACCAATTACGTCCGATTCTACTTACTCACCACAAAATATCCAGCTATTCCAAAGCCAGCCAACTGGACAGAGAGCCTGGAGAGTGAGATGGAATTTCTATAGGCCACAGCACCTACCCCTACCCAACCCTCATGTCTGCCCGGATGCCGCAATAAGTGGACACCGTGCTCACCCACTCAGGTCTCCGTGATGTAGACCAGATCGGCCTCCTCATCCACAATCAGATCAGGGATGAAGGAGGTCATATTCAGAACCGACCTGGTATTCAGCAACAGGAGCCACAGACCTGAGGGCTGGCTGACAAGACAATCGAAACACCCCATGTTTTGCTGGCACACCATACAGTCACTGTCTGTGCCGTATGCCCCTTTCCCAGCTTGCCCTGCCTCCCACATCATACCTCCCCCTACCCTGAACCACTGCTCTCCCCAGGTTCAAAAAAGGATGTCTTTGCTGAAACATGCTGAAGTGCAAAATGCTTCCATTTCCAAGGGAGAGTTGGAGAAGTTCCACAGCTGTTTTAGCTATTTCCACATTTTAAAAATACAGTGAACATGAGCTGTGCTTGCAAAGGAACGAACAGGAGTATGCTCTAAGGGTCAGCATTGTACCTTTGCGCCCCTATATCCTTGAAGGAGCATCTCCACCCCCATCATTCAGCCCAGACACTGAGATGGAGCACTGAGGGCCTTCTGGCAGTTCCCTCACTGCGAAAAGTGAGGTTGCAGGGAACCAGGCAGAGGGTCGTTTTGGTAGTCACACCCGCAGTGTGGAACACGCCCCCCCATCAGATGCTGAGATAAAGAACTATACAACTTTTAGAAAACATCTGAAGGCCACCCTGTATTGGGAAGTTTTCAATGTTTTATTATGTTTCTGTATATGCTGGAAGCAGCCCAGAGTGGTGGGAGCAATCCAGTCAGGGTCAGGGTACAAATAATAAAATTATTATTATTATCCCAGCCACATCTCCCCTCCCTCAATGAAAACAAACGAAACCCACACAAATTAAAAACTGCTAAAACAACTGCTGAGTGTTTAAGTTGTTGTGCTCATGCTGTGCTTGCTGATTTGCAGGACAAAAACCACAGGGATGTTGGATTCCGTGTGGAAAATGAAGAAATTTGTCATGTGGCATCCACAGAAGTCTGCCGGAGTGGCCCAAAAGCTCAAACTCCCTGCTAGTTAATGAAGTGGGTCCATTTGCTTAGATGCTTTTACACCTACAGCACAACAAAAGTGAGAGTAAGCAAAAAGCCCAGAACATTTGCAGAATAAAAAACTGCAGGATTTTAACAGGAAGCTAGGGGATATGTGGGACGTGGGTGGCGCTGTGGGTTAAACCACAGAGCCTAGGACTTGCTGATCAGAAGGTTGGCGGTTCGAATCTCCGCGACGGGGTGAGTTCCCGTTGCTCAGTCCCTGCTCCTGCCCACCTAGCAGTTCAAAAGCATGTCAAAGTGCAAGTAGATAAATAGGTACCACTCCAGAAGGAAGGTAAACGGCGTTTCCGTGCGCTGGTCTGGTTCGCCAGAAGCGGCTTAGTCATGCTGGCCACATGACTTGGAAGATGTATGCCGGCTCCCTCGGCCAATAAAGCGAGATGAGCGCTGCAACCCCAGAGTTGGCCATGACTGGACCTAATGGTCAGGGGTCCCTTTACCTTTACTAGTGGACATGCATTCACTAAATCCGGAGCAGTATACGGGCTCCAACCTTTGAAGCAGCAAATGGAATAGAAAGTGCAATTGTGTTTAACTGCTCAATAACATCAGAAAAGGCTCAATTACAAGGACGTATGGAGCGGGGCTACTAAATTCATTCCTCAGACATCTATTATTGAATGAAAAACTAAGCAGCCTTACCTAGAGAGGCCACAGTCTCGTAATTCTCTTCCATGACTTCCCTATGCAAAGCTTTTTGGCGCGGATCCAGAAGAGCCCATTCCTCTGCCTCAAAAAACACAGTTACGTCCTCAAAGGTCACCAGGCCCTGGACAAAGGAGTAGAATTCATTCCACCATTTCCCAAGCGTGTAAGGAGTCGTGATAGATGCATGTGTGCTTTCATTTATCTATCAGTTCTCATCACGGCCACTTTTGCTGGGCCAAAAGTAAAAAAAAGGAAAGGGAAAGGGAAGGGAGGGAAGGAAGGAAGGAAGGAAGGGAAGGGAAAGGAAAAAAAGAGGCATATTTTTTCAGTCTCCTTTGCATCTCCACACACAGAGAGGCACCCAGGAAACTCGCATCACTCTCTTGGATTCTCCTCCCCTTACCTGAGGTGGCTGCCAGGAAGCTCTTTCAACTTCACCCCAAGGAAGAGACAGACCCGGCTGTGAACCTGAGGCCATAGCCCTGCCTTCAGGGCGTGAAGAATGAACGGGGCCACCCCCGCGGCAGTCACAGCTGCTCCCCCAATGCACTTTAAAGCATGTTGCAGCCGTCAAGCGGGGTCACCCCAGTGCCTGCAGGGGAGAAACAGGAGATCGGAGGGACGTCAGCCATCTGCAGCGTCTGCTATAATACAGTAAACAAACGCACAAGCAAATGAAAACAGACAACTGAGCTCACTGAGGTCCAGTTCCGAGGGCCTTCTGGCGGTTCCCTCACTGCGAGAAGTGAAGTTACAGGGAACCAGGCAGAGGGCCTTCTTGGTGGTGGTGCCCACCTTGTGGAATGCCCTCCCATCAGATGTCAAGGAAATAAACAACCACCTGACTTATAGAAGACATCTGAAGGCAGCCCTGTTTAGGGAAGTTTTTCATGTTTTATTGTGTTTTTAATATTCTGTTGGGAGCCGCCCAGAGTGGCTGAGGAAACCCAGCCAGATGGGCAGCGTATAAATAATAAATTATTATTATTATTATTACTACTACTATTACTGGTAGGACTTGTCATTCACAGATCATATACTACTACTACAGTCATTCACAGATCATATATATGAAATACTTTATTGTCACTTGTACAACTTGTATACAGTGAGATTACACGAGCACCAGCCACTCAGCTCTCTTAGTCTTAATTCCCCTCGTTTACTGACGCACACCCACCAAACCCTAAAGTCAGTTGCCCTGTTGTTATCTTTTCATTCAGCAGCCTAACAGCCCACAGATAGGAGCTGTTTTTTTTCTCTCTCTCTCAATATTTAAATTTTATTTAAATATTTATATTAAATATTAAATAAATATTTAAATATTATATTTACTACTACTCCTACTGGTAGTACTTGTCATTCACAGATCATAGACTACTACTATTGTCATTCACAGATCATGCATACGTAGATGAGTGATTCCCAAGCCTGGGTCTCCAGCTGTTTATGGACTACAATTCCCATCATCCCTGGCCACCGGTCCTACTAGCTAGGGATGTTGGGAGTTGTAGTCCAGAAACAGCTGGAGACCCAAGAAACAGCTGGAGACCCAAGTTTTGGGGGGAAAGACTGCACTGTCTAAGGTCAGTCTGGCCATCTCAGTCCTCCTCCAACCTCGTCTCCGCTCCTCGCTCCGAAAAGAGTTCCGTCCCTGCCCAACTCAGAGCATCCCCCAAATTGGGAGCGATTTCTGACTTCCCAACTGGGCCAGTCCCCCTTAGGAAGGATCCGAGGAGGAATGGGAAGGAAGTGGGGTGGGGTCCCTTCTCCTCCTTGCAGCTCCCCGCCCCCGGCTCCAAATCCTCCCCTTCCCTCCCTCCATCCTACCTGACACCTCTTCTCACCTGTAGCGCCCGATCCAGCAGCTCCCTTCCGCCGTCCGGAACCCGGAGGAAGCAATAAGGGTGAAGCCCCGCCCCTTCCTTCCGAGGCCAACTTCCTGCCCCTCTAGGAAGCAGAGCTCTGTGCATTAACCCTTCGCAGGACTTAAGGTGCGTGCGCACATTCACGCACAAAGAAAGACGAGCTTTTAACACGCTCTTAGGGAGTTTTTTTAAACAACACGCAGGAGGAAAAAACATAAATCAAAAAGCGGTAGCCAGCAGTCTCCCAAGCAGGAAAAGTGTCATAATATGACCCTCATTGCAGGGGGTTGGGCTAGATGACCCTTGGAGGTCCCTTCCAACTCTACTTTTATCTTGCATAGCAAAGGAGCGATCACATGTACCTGTTTTATGACAGCCCACCATATTTTAGCTGAGTTAGCTGAGCACAGGCCTGAAGAAGAGCTCGACTTGCGTTTTCATTTGTGTAAAATAGAATTTGCTTTCCTCATGTATTTGTTGTTGTTTAGTCGTGTCCGATTTTAACTTCCTGCCTCTCTAGGAACCAGATTTTAACTTCCTGCCTCTCTAGGAACCAGATTTTAACTTCCTGCCCCTCTAGGAACCAGAGCTCGCTTCATTTGCCCAGTTGGAGGACTAAATGAAAGGAGCTGCAAGATTTCTCCTCACCCTTCTTCTCTTTAAAGATTTCCAGAACCTTCATGATCTTGAAAAACCTTCTCAGTGTATGTCGCAGCTTGCCAATATCCTTAAACTCTGGTGCCCAGAACTGGTCACAGAACTTCAGGCATGACCAAGCAGAAGAGCAGTACTATTGCTTCCCTTGATCTGGACACTATACTTCTGAGAGTACAGCCAAGAATATTAGCTTCTTTTTTTCTTTCTTCTTCTGCTGCATCATATTGTTGACTTGTGGCAAGCTTTGCCAGCTTGCAGGCTCATTCCTTCAATTCCCCCAGGCATCCACTTATATTTCACTTGCTACCAAAATTCAGTTCCGAATCAGGAAATACCACTTCAGGAGGAAGCATGTCTTGTCACATCCCAAGCAGCCATCTTTGTACCCCCTTGACATTTTGCCCCACTGTGGCCCAGCCCTAGAATTCACCGTGGCAAAGCTATTGGGTTTTCCCCCTACAGAGGTTCAAGCCAAAGAAAACCACTGCTTTCTTTTCCATTGATGAGCAATGGCTCTCCCTTATGTAACATGGTACGCCTTGTTTTACATAACATGTGGCTGCCCCCCACCTACCCCCCCAAAAAAAACCCCAGAGGCAAGCTACAACTAACACATAAAAATGCTACCCTGCAATCTGTAAGAATGGGGAACTAGGTCTCCCAAAATGGTAAGAAACGAGATGGAATGTGAACCAAATCATTGAAAATAAGGTCATGTCACCAAGTGGAAAGGATCTGATGAAGCAGGCAGCCTGTGGATCAGGACCCAATGTTTTGCCCAGTAGGTGAACATAAAAGGGTCCACCCCTTGTACACAGTTCAACTTCCATTGAATTCTGACTTGGAGCTTCCCTCTTTAAAGGCAAATGGGGACAGACTGAGGTGCTTCGATAGCATCCTACTTATCCCCAGCTTAAGGTAGTATGAAAGCACACAGCATTAAAAAAAAGGCACACACAATAAACAAGGAAAAAGAGGACATACGGATCTTGAGCAGGAAATCCAGAAAAAAGGGGGGAGAGGGACAGGCCTTGATATCTAGCAGAACTTCCCCTCCCTGTTCCAAGCCACTATGCTAAGGGAAGCTGCTTCTATGGGATTTATGGGACCAGTGCTTGGAAAGCCCATTTAAAAAAGGAACAAGAACTAGTTCCAGTTCATCCTTATCAAGAATGAACTAGTCCAAGTTCATTCAGAAAGTTCATCCTTGGAAACTTGTTTCCAGCCTTCCAAATCTTATAAGCTCCTGTGCTGAAATATGGGGTCCAATAGTAAGTTGAGGTGAAGACTAGGAATAGATCAGGGGTTCCCAAACTGAGGATTGTGGACCACAGAATGTGCGGCGGAACTATCACATTAAAGACTTCTATTGTGTTTTGATTATATTTTTCATATTCTCGACACTGATTTTTTAAGAGGACCTTTATTGCTTTATTCGTCACTGAATTTTGTTGGTTTGAAATTTGAATTCCTTATACAGTGGTACCTTGGGTTACAGATGCTTCAGGTTACAGTCACTTCAGGTTACAGACTCTGCTAACCCAGAAACAGTACCTCGGGTTTGCTTCAGGATGAGAACAGAAATCGCGCAGCGGCGGCGTGGTGGCAGCAGCGGGAGGCCCCATTAGCTAAAATGGTACCTCAGGTTAAGAACAGTTTCAGGTTAAGAACGGACCTCCAGAACGAATTAAGTTCTTAACCCGAGGTACCAGTGTACAGCATCTAGAACAATACCTTATGATTGCTAAACTTCAGAACAATCATTAAGTGGTCCAGAAATAGGCTCAGCAGTTTCTCAGTCACTGAGGACAGCCCTTGAAGACAGGAGCTTGAGAACCACGGTTATAGATTATGGAGGATTCCTGGGTTGTGTAGGGGACTAGGCTGTTAAAGAGGCTTTAATGAGTGTTGGGTGTGTGCCTATGCAAAGCAGCCATAAGCAGGATTTCTTCAAACCAACGTCTTGTTGCTTTTACTTGGAATAACAGAATTCCATAGGAATCTCAGGACTGTGTACCACAACAGGCAGTGAATCCCTCAAGGTCTTAATCAGAGATTTTCTCCAGTGCTACAGCTTTCCCCAGAGGCCCGTCCATGTAGATTCTCTGATAAGTAAGCTGACTACTCCAACGGATTCCACGTTCCATGCATTTAAATGGTTTCTCCCCGGTGTAGATTCTCTGATGATGAATGAGGTGACTACTCTGCCAAAGGTCTTTCTGCACTCTCTGCATTTATATGGCTTCACCCTGTGTGGGTGTACTTCGATGTGACATAAGCTTACTGCTCACTCTAAGCCTCTTTCCACACTCCCTGCATTGAAATGGTTTCTCCCCTCTGCGAGTTCTTTTATGATGAGTACGGTGACTACTCAAGACTCAGGTGCGCTCAACACTCCATGCATTCAAATGTTTTCTCCCGTGTGTGGGTTCTTTGATGTTTACTAAGGCTACCGCTCTGTGTAAAGCTCTTTCCGCACTCCACGCATTTAAATGGCTTCTCCCCTGAGTGTTTTCTTTGATGTACAGTAAGTTTACTGCTCTGCGTAAAGCTCTTTCCGCACTCCATGCATTTAAACGGCTTCTCCCCGGTGTGCGTCCTCTGATGTGTAGTAAGATTACTGCTCACTCTAAATCTCATTCCACATTCCATGCACTGATACCGTTTCTCCCCTGTGTGGATCGTTTGATGTTCAGTAAGGTTACTATTTGCTCTAAATTTCATTCCGCACTCCATGCATTCAAATGGTTTCTCTCCTGTGTGGGTTCTCAAATGTCTGCAAAGGCTGCTTCTCCTATTAAAGCACTTTCCACACTCCCTGCATTTAAATGGTTTCTCCTTTGCGTGGGTTTTCTGATGTGTAATAAGGTTACAGCTCAGACTGAAGCTCTTTCCACACTCCAGACAGGTAAATGATTTCATCACAGTGTATGTTCTTCTTTCAGGCATTCTGGGTCCCTTGTGATTTCCAAGCATCTCAGGCTTGGCTGCTTCCGACGACTCCATATGTGGTTCCCTACGTAGCTTGTTGTTTTGTACATCATCTGCAGAGTGTGGAAGGAAAGGGGAAAGCAGGCTTTATCTCTATTCTTTTTCATCCTGTAAAAATGTAATGCTTTTATTTAAATCACCAAAACGGAAAAATTATTCCCAAGAACTAGGGGAAAAGTACATCTCCTATTGTATATGAATAGTTTGATAAGATCTGGTCAATAATAACAATGATTATATTAGCTTATTATAGACGGGTACACATAATTCAACCTGGTAAGACACTGAAATATGGGTATTCTTTGTAATGCCCTGGAATAATAAGTTTATTGATAATAGCCCATTGCTGCCTTCAATTTGTTTTAATACTATTAGTATTTGTAAAACAATGTTTTTATTTTATTGCACCTTGCTTTTAAGAAGAATCACATTTAATTTCAAGGCAGAAACAATCACAGACTGAGCCCAATTAGGTGTTTCTCAGATTTTTTGCATCTCTGTGATTGCCCCCTCTGACTGAACTGCTGAAATCAAGGTCACCTTTTGAACATTCCAGAATCCCACACAAACTCTTATTCCTTTCTGGTCCATATAGCACATGATGTCATTAAAATTAGATGTGCATGATATCTTCTCCTTTGTAACAACAGTGGTATATACATTTCTACAAGAATAAGGAGGAGAACAGAAGTCTAGGAAAGCTGGGAAAGAGGCCAAACTGGGAAGATCACTACCTGCTCTGTGATTCCAATGACTTTAGTTGCAGTCACAAAATTCCAGGGATTAAACCTAAGACCATCTACATACATGCAAAACATGTCGCCAGGGCCCTGAAATGGTTTAGAAACTGCTTTCAAAGCAGCAGACAGGTGAGTAAATTATGAAGATGGCTCCCAAACAAAGTTAATTCCTACCTGATGATGTCTCTCTTTTTCTTCCCAACAGATCTTCTCCTTTCCAACAGGAATTGAGGTCTGACTCTGTCAAGGAATCAGAGAAGTTGGCTTAGGTTTGGTCACATAATACCCAGCAATTCAAAGTCGAGCCTTTTAAAAGCTAACAAAAGGTATTATTTTGATTTTGTGACTCCTGCATGAAGTGAATAGAACACGTCTGTGTCCTGTGTCCCAGCAAGATCACTTTGGAATGATGCTGTGGAATAATAATAATAATAATAATAATAATAATAATAATTTATTATTTATACCCCGCCCATCTGGCTGGGTTTCCCCAGCCACTCTGGGCAGCTTCCAACAGAACACTAAAATACAATAACCTATTAAACATTAAAAGCTTCCCTAAACAAGGCTGCCTTCAGATGTCTTCTAAAAGGTTGGTAGTTATTTTTCTCTTTGACATCTGGTGGGAGGGCGTTCCACAGGGCAGGCGCCACTACCGAGAAGGCCCTCCGCCTGGTTCCCTATTATTGGAAACCAGCCCATAAATTATTGTTATTGTTATAAGAAAGAAAAGTGTCTTTACCAAGCGAGGCCACCGTCTCATAATTGTCCTCCATGACTTCCCTGTGCAAAGCCCTTTGGCTGGGATTCAGGATCGCCCATTCCTCCTCCGTGAAAAACACAGCCACCTCCTCGAAGGTCAAGAGAGCCTGGAAGGTCTTCAGGCCCTGGAAGTAGAAAAAATACGGAAATGGTTCACCATGCACCATCCTCCTGATAGGCAAGGGCAACACAGTGGTTGGATGCTGTCCCTTTGAGATCTTTCAGTGATGGCCACCAAGATGGGTGGCTCAAAAAGAGGACTTGAAATTCACGGTGAGGAAAAAGCTATCAGTGGCTACTAGCCAGGACAGCTATCGTCGGCTTCCAAAATTCGAAGCAGTTATACCTGCTGGGAACCACAAGAGGGGAGAGGGCTATTGGTCTCACTTGGAGGGCTTCCCCCGGGAATCTGGGTGGCATCTGTGAGAACAGGGTGCAGGACCAGAGGGGCCCTTGGTCCCATCTGGCAGGATGTTCTGATATAAGGCCAAACGTGGAGGAGGAGGAGGAGTTTGGATGTGATATCCCGCTTTATAACTACTCGAAGGATAGTGATAGTGGCTAACATTCTCCTTTCCCTTCCTCCCCCACAACAAACACTCTGTGAGGTGAGTGAGGCTGAGACTTCAGAGAAGTGTGACTAGTCCAAGGTCACCCAGCAGCTGCATGTGGAGGAGCGGAGACGCAAACCCGGTTCACCAGATCACGAGTCTACCGTTCTTAACCACTACACCACACTGGCTCCCATGGAGACAACAAGGCATTATTATAGTGTGTGCGTGTATTATATTATATATAATTATATACCCAGCACATGGGACCTTACAAAAGGACAATACGAGTGGACTCTCCATGCCCTTACCACAGCAAAAAGACTGATACAGTGGTACCTCGGGTTACAGATGCTTCAGGTTACAGATGCTTCAGGTTACAGACTCCTCTAACCCAGAAATAGTACCTTGGGTTAAGAACTTTGCTTCAGGATGAGAACAGAAATCGTGCTCTGGCGACACAGCGGCAGCGGGAGGCCCCATTAGCTAAAGTGGTACCTCAGTTTAAGAACAGTTTCAGGTTAAGAACGGACCTCCAGAACGAATTAAGTTCTTAACTCGAGGTACCACTGTACTGATGAATTCGAAAAATAAAAATGCGGCTCCCTTCTACGACTGGATTGAAGGCTTATACAAATTCGCAACATACAAACAACTTGCATACAATAAATGCAGACTTGCCATGGACAAGTTCGATGATATTTGGAATCCATTCTTGCAAATGATCTGGTGAAGTACAATACCTACCTTGCAAAGTATGCAGTTTTGGGTTCCCCCCCTCCCCCCTTTATTTATCCTTCTGCACCGGTTCTGTTTCTCTTTTTGTTTATGTCTCAACATGTTCAGTGCACATATAATTATGTACTTTATGAACTTTCAATAAAGATTTTTTTATTATTATTTTAAAAAGACATATTCTTTCAGAGCCGCTCCCCACTCAGCCCACAGAGACTCAATCCACTCTTGCCTCTCCCAAAACAATCCTTTCCTTACCTGCGATGGTTGCCTGGCAGTTCTTTCTGCTCCTTCTACAGACGGTGTCTCAGAAGCCATTGTGCTGCCAGGAGGAGATGAAAGAAGAGGCCTAAACTGGACCACTCCTGGGACACCTGGAGCTGCTGCAAAGATGTCCTTTAAAATAGGGTGTAGCTTGCAAATGCCTGCAAAGGAGAGACAGGGAGTGAGGAGGATTCCATCCTTCATACTTTTGTTTCCCCCCTCTACGTCAGTGTTTCCCAAACTTGGGTCTCCAGCTGTTTTTTTGGACTACAACTCCCACCATCCCTAGCTAGGAAGACCAGTGGTTAGGGATGATGGGAATTGTAGTCCCAGCTGGAGACCCAAGTCTGGGAAACGCTGATCAACGTATGATCTGTGAATGACGAGTTCCATCAGTACTCAGCTGGTGGTCTCTTTTCATTTGTTTGTTTATATGTTTATTTGTTGTATTATAACTGATAATAATAATAAATTTTATTTATACCCCGCCCTACCCGACGGGAGCCGGGCTCAGGGTGGCTAACACCAGTAAAATTACAGTAAAAACATATGGGGGGGGAACCAATTTAAAATACAGGTTAAAATGCAATTTAAAATGCAGCCTCATTTTAAAAGTAGCCCATAGATCAAAACCATAAGGGGAGGGAAACGTGAGGGTCAGACTGAGTCCAAACCAAAGGCCAGGCGGAACAGCTCTGTCTTGCAGGCCCTGCGGAAAGATGTCAACTCCCGCAGGGCCCTAGTCTCTTGTGTCAGTGCGTTCCACCAAGTCGGGGCCAGTAGTGAAAAGGCCCTGGTCCTAGTTGAGACCAATCTAACCACCTTGCGACCTCCAAAATGTTGTCATTTGTGGACCTTACGGTCCTCTGCGGGGCATACTAGGAGAGGTGGTCCCATAGGTAAACTGCTTTGATAGTTAGCATTGCCCAGGGCGCAAAATAGCCTGGCACCTGCACTGGGAAGGAGAGAACCACTTACATCACCTTCAGTTCCTTGGAGGAAAAGGTAGGAAATGAATTCAATGAACGAACAAGTGACTGGGTTTTGGATTCTGAGTCGGCCTCGTAAAAAACAGTACGGCAAATCCCAGCCCCACCTCTCGCCATATAACTTCCCCTCCAAGGCTATGTCCCCTGAGCCAAATGGGGTGGGTCGGAAGACCCTGCGCTGAAAACAAGGCAGTCGGGTGACCACTTTGCAGCTGGAGAATCATAGAATCTTAGAGTTGGAAGGGACCTAAGGGTCATCTAGTCCAACCCGCTGCAATGCAGGAATCTCAGCTAAAGCATGCATGACAGCTGCGGCCATCCAACCTCTGCTTAAAAACCTCCAAGGAAGGAGGTTCTATAGTCATACCTGGGGTTACAGACGCTTCAGGTTGTGCATTTTCGGGTTGCGCACCGCACCAAACCCGGAAGTACCAGAACGGGTTACTTCTGGGTTTCGGCGCTCACACATGCGCAGAAGCACTAAATCGCGCTGTGCATGCACAGAAGCACCTCCTGCACGGATCATGCTCGCAACCCGAGCGCCCACTGTACTGTCAAACAGCTCTTACTGTCGGAAAGTTTCCCCCCCAAATGTTTAGTGGGATTCTCCTTTCATGTAACCTGAAGCCATTGGTTCTGGTCCTACCCTCCCAGTGCAGGCGAAAACAGGCTGGTTCCCTCTTCCATGTGACAGCCCATGAGATATTTCAGAAGAAGTCTGCAAACTGCCTGCACACCAAATGGGCGGAGAAAGGGAGTTCTTTTCCTGGCGTTTCTCCCTCTCCCCCAAGAAAGGGCGTCTTCCCCGCCCCAACCCCCCACTCCCTTCTCCATAGCCTAGAACTACAGCGTGGATACTGGATCGCGGTGGATCTTGCGCTGGGAACCGCGGCGCGCTTTTACTGCACGCCTCGCAAGGGGGCTGCACGGATGCGCCTTTTCCCACGCTGCTCTATCAGGGGGTTCCTAAACAGGGAAGCTGGGGGTGGGGCTCCTTTGAACCCTCCTCCAAAAGCAACCCCTCCCCCACGCGCCTTCCTCCTTGCGCACCCCTTTCTCCTTTGCCTGCTCCAAGCTCCTTTCTCTCCATCCAGGCCGAGTTAGGGATGGCGTCCCGCCCCTTCAGCAATCTCAATCTCTCTCTCCTTCCTCCGCCTCCCTCGCTTTTAGAATCATACTTCCTGCCTCTCTAGGAAGCAGGGCTGGGTTCCTTTGCCCAAATCGGAAGACTTGAGTGGCAGGACCTGCCCCCACTTTGCAAGCTTTGGGAGTTTTACGCATGCGCGCCCCCACTGGCAAACTGAAGATCTGACACTGTTGCAGGAATTTATGTATAGGTTGGGGAGGGGGGGTGGTGGTTGCCCCTCCATCAGATATCATGCACATGCAGCCCACTACCAAAACCAGCACAATCACTTTTGTGATTTGTCCCCACAAAACACTTCGTCGCAGTTTCTTCCTGTCTATTCAAAGGGCCTCTGCTGCACAATACCAAATGTAAGAATTCACTGATAAATGTACCTATGTACTGGCTCACTGGGGAAACTTCAGAAATTCATATAGACAGGTGAGCTCAGCTACTCAGCAGCTCCTCTGCCTGAGGGATAATTCCTGGCATCCTGATCCTTGAGTGCCAGACAGGTAGCCATTCCAGAAATAATAAACCCAGATGAAGACAAAAGGGTGGGATTGACTTGGCTGGGAAATAGGGAAATGTAAATATCTCATTTGTTACACTTGATGGGTGTTTGGTGGAGGGCAAGGATAACCATGGGCAGGGTCCAGGATGCTCAGATTACTGCCACCAGACCTCCCCTTTCATGATGTAATCATGATGTAGTTTGGGGGGGGTTGTAACATGGGGATTAGCAGCTAATAAAAATTTGGGGGCTCTTTTGTTAGGGGCTTGCTTCCATCTTGTTCCACCTTGTGGCAGGTGGGAGTCCTGTCGCAACAGTTTCAGTAAAGACCAAGCCTACTGGCTGCTGTTTTGCTCTGGTATTCCTGGCTGGTGTCCTTTTTTTTTGTCCAAGGGAGCCCTCAGATTTCTCCGTTGTAGCAGGAACCCCCCCCCCCCCCATCATTCAGTTTGTACAAACTTCACATACACTCACACTCACACACTACATACGCTACGCTTCTGTTATAAATTCATAGAAAATCAACCATACATCGGATTTGCACTGTTCCACTTTTATTTTACTCCATGAAGGAAGGACTACAAAATGGGGAAGGTTTGATACAGGCCAGCCATAATCCCTTGAACATCCCAGCACATCCACAGGAGCCCTGCCCAGTTGCTATGCCAACACTGATGGTCCTAGACAGAAGACAATCAAGATCACAAAGATCTTCCATATGGGAGTGGATTCAGCATGGACAATGATCAGATCTTCCCTCAGGGGGCAGGAAACTGCGACTACCTTTTGTCTTCAGAAAATAACTCATGGGGAGGAGGAGAAGGGAACCAGCCAGGTGACAGGACACTCAGGTTACCACCACAACTCATCCCTCAACTCCTCCTTTCTGTAATGTATGCATGATGTTTCTGGGGGTGGGCTTGACCTAGAGGATGGGAATTTCAAAAGTTTTTATAAGGTCTTGCACACCATTTTCTGTGTCTTTTCCTCTCTCCTGCAAGTGAGGGGAACACCCTCTTGCAACAGTTCAACAAAGGCCAAGCCTACAGGCTGCTGTTTTGCTACAAGTTATCCTGGTTGGTGTCTTTACTATTTGTCCAAGGGAGCCCTCGGATTTTTAACAACAACAACAGCTGGTAGATAGCGAAATGGACTTCCCTCACAAAGTGCTGCACTCTCCTTCCTTGGAGGTTTCTAAGCAGAGCTTGGATGGCAACCTGGCATGCGTGCTTTAGCCGAGATTCTTGCATTGCAGGGGGTTGGTCTAGATGACCCTCGGGCACCTTCCAACGCTACAATTCTATAGTTATATGTATTAGCCTGGTGCCTCCTGTATGCAAGACAGATGCCCTGATGCTGAGCCCTGTTGGAAGGGCCACAGCACAGAAGCTTTGCATGCAGAAGAGAAGAAGAGGAAGAAGAGTTTGGATTTGATAGTCCGCTTTATCACTACCCTAAGGAGTCTCAAAGCGGCTAACATTCTCCTTTCCCTTCCTCCCCCACAACAAACACTCTGTGAGGTGAGTGGGGCTGAGAGACTTCAGAGAAGTGCGACTAGCCCAAGGTCACCCAGCAGCTGCATGTGGAGCAGCGGAGACATGAATCTGGTCTACCGCTCTTAACCACTACACCACACTACACCATTGCCTGTCCCTGTAGAGTACAGTAGGGCTGCCACCTTTGTTCTGGCAAAATGCAGGACAGGTTGACGCGGTGGGTAAACATGGTTTTCCCCCCCAATCTGATGCGGAAGTGACTTCAAAGCAATCCATTACAAGCTATTGCAGGATGGTGCCTCTGGAATTTGTCACACACACATACAGTGCTACCTCGGGTTACAGACACTTCAGGTTACAGATGCTTCAGGTTACAGACTACGCTAACCTAGAAATAGTACCGTGGGATAAGAACTTTGCTTCAGGATAAGAACAGAAATCGCGCAGCAGCAGCGGGAAGCCCCATTAGTTACAGTGGTACCTAAGGCTAAGAACAGTTTCAGGTTAAGAACGGACGTCCAAAATGAATTAAGTTCTTAACCTGAGGTACCACTGTATTTGCAAATCTGCCTCTGTTTCGCTACCCAGATCTTAAATTCATGACCTTTCACACACCCTTCCAAACACAGGCATTTGGAGAGGATCCCTAACTTGGCAGAGAGGGGAGAGGGGTGAAACACTGGATAAAACTGTATCAATGCAGGATGTGGCATTTCACATTGAAATACGGGACAATCCTGTATTATGGAGGACAGGTGGCAACCCCGGAGTGAGCTGGATGTCCCAATTGCCCGACAGTGCATCAGGCAGCAGCACCCTATGTCCCCACCTCCTCCAGAAGCTGCCTCCCTGCCTGCCTCCACCCCCTGCCTGGAGCAGGGCTCCTTTCCTCCCTCCCTCCCCAGTTCCCTTGGACCCCAAAAAGGCGCTTTGCACCCACACGCTCCCTTGCCAAGAAGGCAGAAGCAGAGGCGCGTCGCGCAGCCCGGCGCGTGGGACAATACCCTGCTCCTTTCCCACGGGGAGGGGGCGGAAGTGCTGCCTCTCTAGGAAGCAGCGCTCGCTCTCCGTTTCCGGTCACCCCTGCCTCCTCCTCCTCCTCCTCCATCCTTCATTTTTCTTTATTGAGGAGGAGTGGGAGGGGTTCTTGCATTCCTAGAGAGGCCACAGGCTGTCAGCTGGGGTGGGGTGGGTGTCCTTTCTTCCCACCCTTCCTCTACTCTGCCCCCCCACCACCATTTTTGGGGGGGAAAGCTGGAAAGGTGAGTGGAAAGGGGCTGGTGGGGGGGTTAGAGAAGGGATAGCTCTGTTCTGGAGGGAGAATCCCCTCCCCACCCCAATGAAAAGGAGGAGGGGGTGTAGGGGTTGGGGGGAAGAAGGGGGCTGGGCGCTTTCCCGCAATGCGTAGGGTTGCAGGTTCAACCGACCCCCCTCCCAGCGCAATATCTCTTGCTAAACTGGAGTGGGGTCTTCTTTGAAGCTGGGTAAGGCCCTTCACTACCCAGAACCTAGGGTTGCCCAGGACCTTCATTCTGGCAAAATATGGGGTGGGCTGGTTGCGGGGCATGTTTGGGTTTTTTTTTGTTTTCATCTGGTGACTCCAAAGCAACCGAAATTGCAATCTAGCAGCCTAACAGGATGGGTCCCTCTGGAATTTCCTGCACACAAGCATGCATTGTAAGTCTGTGCTTGGCTACCCAGAGCTTAAATGCATGACCGGAAGAGGGTTGGGCTTGATGACCCTTAGTTGTCCCTTCCAAGTCTGCAATTCCATGACCTTTCACTCACCCTACCAAGCACAGGCATTTGGAGAGGATCCCTAATTTGGAGAGGGGGGGAGAGAGAAAGACCTGAAATACAGGTCAAAACTGTATAATAATAATAATAAGAAAAAGTTATTATTTATACCCCACCCATCTGGCTGGGTTTCCCCAGCCACTCTGGGCGGCTTATCAATACAGGATGTAGCATTTTACACTGAAATACAGGACAATCCTGTATTTTACAGGACAGGTGGCAACCCTTCTGGGACCCCTGGAACATAGCTGTCAACGTTTTCCTTTTTTAAAGAGAAATTCCCTTATTCCGAATAGGATTCCTCTCAAGAAAAGGGAAAAGCTGACAGCTGTGCCCTGGAAGGGATGCTCTGCTAGACAGAGGAGTCATTAGAGGGATAGCTGGATACAGGGACGCAGGCCCAGATGCCCTGCATAGATTTATTGCTTATTTATTGCATGCATTTATTTAATAATAATAATTTTTCATTTATACTCTGCCCTCGCTGGCTGGAGCTGGGCTCAGAGCGGCTAACATCATATAAATAATACAATATACATAAAAACAAGCAATCAATCGATTAAAATGCATCCCAAAATTAATTCAAATAAATTAAAATTAAAACTGGACAAATGACAATCCTCAGGTTAAAACTGAAAGCGGTTAATACTCGCCAGGACCAACTGTTTCCACTGATATTATAAGGACTTGTGAGCGGGCTGGGAAACCTCCTTCGTGCTTGTTCTTATACAAAGAGAAAATGAGTCAGACTCAACAATGACCTAAGGCCTGGCGGAACAGCGCCATCTTGCAGGCCCTGCGGAAGGATGTCAAATTTCGCACGGCCCTGGTCTCTTGTGAGAGAGCGTTCCACCAGGCCGGGGCCACTGCCAAAAAGGCCCTGGCTCTGGTCGAGGCCAATCTAATCTCTCTGGGACCTGGGATCTTCAGGGTGTTGTTATTTGCAGAACGTAAGGTCCTCTGTGGGACATACCAGGAGAGGCAGTCCCATAGGTATGAGGGTCCTAAGCCGTATAGGGCTTTAAAGGTTAAAACCAGCACCTTAAACCTGACCCTGTACTCCACCCGGAGCCACTGCAGCTGGTATAGCACTGGGTGAATGTGATCCTGGGGCGAAGACCCCGTAAGGAGTCTCGCTGCAGCATTCTGCACCCGCTGGAGTTTCTGGGTCAGTCTTGAGGGCAGCCCCATGTACAGTGAGTTACAATAATCAAGCCTGGAGGTGACCTCACATGGATCACAGTGGCGAGGTCAGGGCAAGAGAGGTAAGGGACCAACTGCTTAGCTTGGTGGAGATGAAAGAAAAGCCGCCTTTGGTATTGCTGTAGCCTGCGCCTCCATAGAAAGGGAGACGTTAAAGATTACACCCAAACTCTTGACAGAAGGCACTGGCACTAGTTGCACCCCTGCAAGGGATGGGAGTTGGCCCCCCCAACCACATATTGTCTCAACCCAGCCAAAGGACTTCTGTCTTTGAAGGATTTAACTTCAACCGGCTCCCACGTAGCCATTCAGTCACGGCTTCCAGACATCTGAACAATTACCACACACATACATATACGTACACACAGACACACACACACACACACAGACACACACAGAGAGCCTTTTCCTTATATTTTAATTTATTTACTTTATAGTATATTCCTTTTATGAAGGCATTGTGTCACTATTTTCATCATCATCATCATCATTTTATTTGTATCGCGCCTTTCCATAGTTGAAACTATGCTCAAGGCAGCTTACAACATGACAAGATTTACATAATTACCAGCATAACAAAAGTCATAAACAATAAATAAAACACATCATAAAGTACACAACCAAATGGAAACAATTTCCACGTAAATCATAAGATCTAAAACTAAAGATACAACAGTAATATCAATAACAGCAACAGCTCTCTCAACCCCCCATAAACAATACTCCAGCCCAAGAATCTGTTCGACAGCTTCAGCTTTTGTAGCTGGAGTCAGTCCGCACTCCACTCTCCCATTTTCTCACTATTTTACCTATGTGTTGCACTCTTCCTTATAAATGTATTTCAAAATTTGGAACAGCTGCATATTCCTGCATTGCAGGGGGTTGGACTAGATGGTCTTCAGGGTCTCTTCAAACTCTATGATTCTATGAATCTACGAAATCTGGGAAGGGTTGCCACTCAGCGTAGAGACCCCTTTTTTATACGCAGGAAGTCTGACAATGAAGGATGCAAAAAAAGAGGAAAGGAGTATGTTGCTATGAAAACATTAAGACCACCAGCCAAAAAATATTTAATTTTGTACCTCTGTAAATACAAGTTGCTGGCAATCCTAGATAGGGAGAGAGTTGTTTCCGAAGAGGAATAATTTGGCCAGTCCTAGGCCTGCTTCAGCCATTCTGGCTCAGCTTAGCCTCACGTTCTGATTTTGGGCATCTGGCTGGTCACTGTGAGAACAGGATTCTGTAGTAACACATAGCCCTTTGGCCTGATCCATCACCAGTGTGGTGTAGTGCTTAAGAGTGGTGGACTCGTAATCTGGTGAACCGGGTTCGCGTCTCCGCTCCTCCACATGCAGCTGCTGGGTGACCTTGGGCTAGTCACACTTCTCTGAAGTCTCTCAGCCCCACTCACCTCACAGAGTGTTTGTTGTGGGGGAGGAAGGGAAAGGAGAAGGTTAGCCGCTTTGAGACCCCTTCGGGTAGTGATAAAGCGGGATAGCAAATCCAAACTCCTCCTCCTCCTCCTCCTCTTCTTCTTTTTATGTTACGCTGTCTTTCTCCAGGTTCCTCCATCCTCTGAGGAGATGGATGCGTGCGAGGAAGTCATGCCGGAGAACTGTGGTAATGAGACCTCTCTGGGTAAGTATACTTGTGTCTTTATTTGATATTTCTGTAGAAGCAGTCAACTTGTCCATTCATGAATTCATGATCAGGTTGAACAGGATGAGGAAAGAACCATATCTGTAGTAGTTGTGTTGCTTGCAGAATGCTTCTTGGGTGGGTTGAAATTGTCGTTGAAATTCTACTCAGTATTGATCCAGAGTAGATTCCAATGTGCAGTCATACCTCGGCTTACAGACGCTTCAGGTTGTGTTTTTTTGGGTTACAGACGCGCCGAAAGCCGGAAGTACCGGAATGGGTTACTTCCGGATTTCGGCGGCCGCGCATGCGCAGAAGCGCTAAATCATGCTTTGCGCATGCGCAGAAGTGCTGGATCGCAACCCGCGTGTGTGCAGATGCGCCGCTGCAGGTTGTGAACGCTGCGGGTTGTGAACGTGCATCCCACACAGATCACGTTTGCAAGCCAAACGTCCGCTGTATAGTTAGCAGAGTAAAATCTTAAACATGTTGCAGGATTCCCCCAAAATAGACCAGAGGCAATTATATTTCATCCAGCAGAGCTTTACGGCAAATGAGCATAATGGTCACAAATCCAATACATTCAGGATTGACCCTGTCCATAAGAAATCCAGTAGCAGTAGACTTAACTTAAACTTACAATAACTTATAATACGTCTAAACCTCAACATCAAGCATACTATGCACAGAACACCACACTAGACGGAAAAGAGATAGAAAGAGCAAATGTGAAACCCAGACTCCTTCTGGCCTCTTATCATAGTCAGCATGACCTTGAGAGAAAGAGATAAGAGAACCAGTTTGAACCACCTGTATTCAGCTTCTCTGAAGGAATAACCTTCTGTTTGCTTCTTCCCTCTTGAATTCGTTAGAATGGGAAAGATCTCTACACATCAGATCAGTACTTTCTGTACCAGGAAATGCAAACTGACAGAAATGTCTGAGGGCACCCCACGGTGACAGGATGAGTCCCAGGGAGGGTGTTCTGCAAGCTCCACCCATCTTCGGGTGGGAGATAGTAGCTTGGGTGACAGGCAGATTCCTGTTGGGGACGGCACATCCGTGTGATTGACGAGTGGCCATTCATTGCAATATATTATTTTACACGGTTCGGTCATTGAGCAGTTTCATTGTGTCCTGATGTTGTTGCAGTACTTCGTTAGTAGAGCGGAAGCAGTTGGGTGACTGAGAGAGAGAGTAATTGGCACAATTGGAACAATTGGCAATGTTTTTGCTTTGGGGCGGGATTTTACTCTGTTATATTACATTATAATATAATAACACATTTTGGAGTCATTTAGTAGTAGTAGTAGTAATAGTAGTTGTTATTATTAATTGAATTTATATACCGTTTTATACCCGGGGGTCACAGGGTGGTTCACAGAATAAAATCAATATATAAAACCACAAAATACATAATAAAAATAAAAGCAACAACCTAATAGCCCCTCCACAAAAAAACCCACATTTTAAAAGGGCATAGGATGTAAAGCAGATCAACCAAAGGCCTGGTTAAAACGGAACGTTTTTGCCTGGCGCCTAAAGGTGTATAATGAAGGCGCCAGGCAAACTTCCGTGGGGAGAGCATTCCACAGATGGGGAGCCACTGCAGAGAAGGCCCTACTCTCATATTGCCACCCTCCGGACCTCTTGAGGAGGAGGCACACAAAGAAGGGCCTCAGAAGATGATCTCAGGGTCCGAGTAGGTACATATGAAAAGAGGCGGTCCTTGAGGCATTACGGTCCTGAGATTGTATTTGTTGTTTTGTAAACCACACAGACTTTCTTAGTTTTATGTGATACACACACACACGTATATGAAATAAATACCGAAAGAACAGCCAACGGATTCTTATTGCTCTTCTTATCTTGATTCCCTCTTTATTCTAGCAGGTGATGGACAGGAGAATTGTAGAGAACCACATCAAATGCCACCAGAAGCATCTGTGCATGAATTGGGGGACAAGACCTTCAATCCTCAAGATGAATCAAGGAGGCAGGAAGAAAACCACGTAGAGAACTGGAGAGAGAAATCCATTGTGTGCCATGCTGATGACCTTCATGAAACCCCAGTACAATATAAACACCACAAGGGGGAAAAAAGGTATGAGTGCCCTTTTTGTGGGAAAGCTTTCATTTCTAAGTCTCTCCTTGCTGTCCATTGCAGAACACACACCGGAGAGAAACCGTATAAATGTTCAGAGTGTGGAAAGGGCTTCTGCCAGAGCAGAAACCTTACTTCCCATCAACGGATCCACACTGGGGAGAAGCCATACAAGTGCTTGGAATGTGGAAAGAGCTTCAGTTGGAATTCAAATCTTACTTCACACCAGAGGATCCACACAGGGGAGAAGCCGTACAAGTGCTTGGAATGTGGAAAGAACTTCTGTGATAGCACACTCCTTACTAGACATCAGATAATCCACACAGGGGAGAAGCCATTTACATGCTTGGAATGTGGGAAGAGCTTCCGTCAGAGCAGGAACCTTACTTTACATCAGAGAATACACACAGGGGAGAGGCCATACAAGTGCTTGGATTGTGGGAAGAACTTCCATCGGAGAACACACCTTACTTCCCACCAACGAATCCATACAGGGGAGAAGCCATTTAAATGCTTGGAATGTGGGATGAGCTTCAGCTGGAATTCAAATTTTACTTCACATTACAGGATTCACACAGGAGAGAAACCACATAAGTGTGTGGAGTGTGGGAAGAGCTTCTGTACTACCACACAACTTGCATCACATCATAAGACTCACACAGGAGAGAAACCTTTTAAGTGTTCAGAGTGTGGAAAGAGCTTCTCAGATAGCACTCTCCTTACGAGACATCAGATAATCCACACAGGGGAGAAACCATTTAAATGCTTGGAATGTGGAAAGTGCTACAGTCAGAGGTCAAGTCTTACTTCACATCGGAGAATACACAGAGATGCCGTAAGACAGAAGCCATACAAATGTTTGGAGTGTGGGAAGTGCTTCAGTAACAGCACACAGCTTATTTTACATCAGAGAAGCCACACAGGAGAGAAGCCTTACAAATGCTTAGAGTGTGGAAAGAGCTTCAGTGACGGCACACTTCTTAACAGGCACCAAATAATTCACAAAGAGGAGAAACCATATAAATGCTTGGACTGTGGTAAGAGCTTCCGTCAGAGCCGAAACCTCACTTTACATCAGAGAATCCACACAGGGGAGAAACCATATAAGTGTTTGGATTGTGGGAAGAGCTTCCATCAGAGAACACACCTTACTTCCCATCAGCGAATACACACGGGAGCAAAACCGTTTAAATGTTTGGAATGCGGAAAGAGCTTCAGTTGGAATTCAAGTCTTACCTCTCATCACAGAATCCATACAGGAGAGAAACCGTACAAGTGCTCAGAGTGCGAGAAAAGCTTCTGTACCACCTCACAACTTGCATCGCATCGGAAAACCCACACAGGAGAAAAACATTACAAGTGTTTGGAGTGTGGAAAGAGCTTTTGTGACAGCACACTCCTTACGAGACATCAGATAACCCACACAGGGGAGAAGCCATTTAAATGCTCAGAATGTGGAAAGAGTTACAGTCAGGTTTCAAGTCTCTCTTCTCACCGGAAAGTCCACAGAGATGCTACAGTGCAGAAACCATACAAATGCTTGGAGTGTGGAAAGAGTTTCAGCAATAGCACGCAACTTATTTTACATCAGAGAATCCACACGGAAGAGAAGCCTTAGGAATGGTTTGTAGTAACACACCAGAGGATTTGCATGCAAGAGAAACCTTCTAAATGCAGGGAGTGTGGAAATTGCTTCAGAAGTATTCAAAAGATTCACACTGCCTAGAAACAATAAGCAAGTTTGGAATAGCGAGTTTCTAGTGAAATAACTCAACATTCACACCTTGGTTTTCGAACAGCTTAGTTCTCGAATGCCGCAAACCCGGAAGTGACTGTTCCGGTTTGCGAACTATTTTTGAAAACCGAACATCCGGTGGGGCTTCCGGTGCTTCCGATTGGCCGCAGGAGCTTCCAGCAGCCAATCAGAAGCTGCGCTTTGGTTTCTGAATGTTTTGGAAGTTGACGGGACTTCCAGAACGGATTCCATTCGACTTCTAAGGTACGACTTTGAAGAATTCAGACAGATGCTAGGTAATAATTTCTGGGAGTGCAAGGTTTTTGTAACTACCATCTGGAATGGAAAAAAATCGGAGAGGAGGAAGCGAACATGGCTGGTCTTTTGGCAAAGTTGATGGGAGACGCCCCCTCTCCAAAATCCCGATGGAATGGCTGCAGTTGGTGTTTCAGCAGAGGCAAAAGAGAAGACTTGCAGTACCATCTCCCTCCCTCTCCTGTAGCCTGATGGTGCTTTTTCCTGTCTGGCAACCCCTCCATTAAAGAAGGTGTGAATAAGATCCCCCCCTTAGATTTTCATTTTCTTTTGCTGAGTGACAGTGTGCTCCATGTTTCTTTTGTAGATCCCTTTTATCCCCTCTGAAGGTGCCATTCTCGCCGGCCCTACCATTGAAAGGCAGGCCATGGGTTATTTTTGGTGCACAGCAAACAGATGTTTTTGGTCGGGGTGGGCAACCCTTTTCTGCCTGAAGGTTGCCCTCCTTGTGAGGGCCACATGCCATTTGGAGGTGGAGTCAGAAGCAAATGTGGGTAGAACAATTAATATAGATGTTAGCTTCTGGATGACCCCCTAGGGCTGGGAGATATTGCTAAACATTGTGATATACTGATATATTACTATGTCTGAAATAAGAATGGAGATGTGTAGAGGTATTGGCTGGCTTCCCAGTTTTATCCATGTTGTGATTTTTGCATTGCACGCGCACACACACACACACACACACCTCCTCGGTAGTGGCGCCCGCCCTGTAGAACGCCCTCCCATCAGATGTCAAGGAAATAAACAACTATCTGACTTTTAGAAGACACCTGAAGGCAGCCCTGTTTAGGGAAGTTTTTAATGTTTTATCTCTTTCTGATTATGTTTATTATTAATATTCTGTTGGGAGCTGCCCAGAGTGGCTGGGGAAACCCAGCCAAATGGGTGGGGTATAAATAAATCATCATCATCATCATCACACATACTTCATGATTAGCAATATATTGCCAGATCAAAAACCATGAAACTGATATCATAACATGGACTTCAAACCACTTTTGGACGATATGTCACCCAGCCCTAACACACTTAATGATTCACATTATATTGCCAGATCAAAAATCATGAAACCGGTATCATTATATGGACATCAATCCGGCTTTGGCCGATATATAGCCCTACTCTAGTGACCTCTGATCAATGCTTTTCTGAAGGCTGCATTACTGCCGGTCAAGAAGCAGGAGGTGCAAATAAAGAGGGATGCTCAGTAGTGTGAACTGGGATAGTGACTGCCATGGAGTACTGGTTTACATGGTTGCCACAATGGACTAAATCATGCTTAAATGGCCAGTCATAGACATGCTGCCTTGGTACTAAGCAGTGGTGTACTTGGGCTCTCAAATTTAAGTCCAATGCTAAAATTCAGTGCCTCCACCTCTTGGATGCATTCTACATCATTGTCGCAGTGCTGGCGCCCAGTGCGGCTGAACAAGTCGCACTTCCATAAAACCACCTCTGCACTAAGCCGCACTGGGGCATTTATTTACAGGAAAGTGAGTATGCAATTGCAGCCAAGCTAGGTGTGTGATTGGGACCCATAGAGGTATTAAGAGGATTTCTAGGTTTATGTTGTAATTGTCTTCGTGTTTGCATTGTAATCTGTGTTGACCAGTGTTTGCTTAAATAAAACTGAATTCATTGCCTCCGAGTATTGGCAAGATCCTCTGCTGTTGTCCTTTTATTGCATTCAGATGTTCGGTTCTTGCAAAAACCATGTCACAAATATCACAAGGGACGAGGCTGGCATCCGTCATTGCAGAAAGGAGTCTGAATGGCTGTCTTTCCTCAACCCATAACCTACAAAACTGGAAGTAGACTGAAGCAGGGCAGGAACACGTGATCTGAGACTTGGGAGTGTGCCATCTATCCCCTGAGAGATGACTGTTGGCTGTGAGAGTATGTGATTGCTTTTAGTTTTACATAATTTTTCTGTTTTAATTGTTGTGTTTTAGCACTGAAGTGTTTGCCTACCTGGGCTCCTTTGGGAGGGAAGTTAGAAAGGTAATCCTATTATATGTTTTTATATATGCTGGAAGCTGCTCAGAGTGGCTGGGGAAACCCATTCAGATGGGCGGGGGTACAAATAATAAATTATTATTACAGTTGTACCTTGGAAGCCGAATGCCTTGGCTCCTGAACGAATGGTTCCGGTTTTTTAATGGTTTTTTTGGAAGCCCAACGTCCGATGTGGCTTCCAATTGGCTGCAGGTTTCCAAACGTTTTGGAAGTGGAAAGGACTTCCGGAACAGATTCCGTTCGACTTCCAAGGTACAACTGTATTATTATTATTATTACAGTGGTACCTCTGGTTGCGAACTGGATCCGTTCCGGAGCCCCGTTCTCAACATGAGCAGAACGCAACCCGCACCACGTAACCCTTTCTGGTACTTCCAGGTCACCGCGGGACGCAGCCTGAAAACGCTCAACCTGAAGCAAATGCAACACGAGGTATGACTGTATTATTATTCCTCTTCATCCCTGCAAAGATGAAGACAGCAGCTCAGGATGGGATCATTCATAATATGCAACCTGGGGATTTGCGCACATGCACACGCACGTGTGCACACACACAAACAGAGAGTGGAACTGTTGGAATGATGTGTATTTTATTAGCACAGGCATTTTGAAACAAGGTGATTGGAAGCAGCAACAGAAAACACAGAAAGGTATCGGCACCTTACACAGATAACAATTCCAAACATAAATGCTCACTCTATGCACAGCTACTAACCTCCCCACCAGTCTCCAGCCCAGAACTCCAAACATGAATGAGAAGACAATTTACACTCTCAAGACCTAGTAAATACAGGGGGAACTATGCCTCATTGCTAGGGAATCTATTTGTGCTCATCAAGTGCTCTACTATCAGTGCTCATGGGTGGGCGGTCCAGGGGCCACAGCAGACAGGACAGCATCCATCTTTTTTTCAATCCGTTGCAGCGCCTCCAACATCTCGTCCTTCCATTTTCCTGTCTCGTTCTTTAACGCCTCTGTCTCGTTCTTCAGCTTCTCAATTTCTCCGCCTGTTTTTATTATTATAAAAAACGAGAATAGAAAGACATTTTATTGCTCAAGGCTACCAAGGTGGGAGCTATTGCAACGAGGAACTATGTTGTGAGGAATGCAGTCAGTTCTCCCCTTGTGGGACTTAAGAGAGATCTGTCCCACCCAAGTTACGACTCAGTGGCGCATGGGAGTTTAAGGCTGCATACATGCGCCGCAGCTTTAAATGTAAGGTATGCACACAGATTTAATTCCAGGCCGTGGTGAGTCTGCCGCAGTAATGTAGGATGCTAGGAAAAACTGGAAATACACTAATATTGATTGAATTTTGAAACAGATTTCCTTACGTGCTGCAGATCAGCCTGATGGTATATCCGTAGCACACTTTGTGAACCCAATTTGTTTCAACAAACTTTTCCCGCTGGATGAAAAGTTCTTTCTGCCTTAAATACACATTTTGCATTGTTTTGAAACCACTCTCTGCTAAAAAAACAAAAACAAAAAACCACTCTCTGCTGGGGGTAGGGATTGCTCTGTTAATTTTTTTCTCTTCCCTTAGCGGTTATAATGCTGCAAATCAGCATTGAGATGTGCCATTGTTTTATTTTATTTATAGACTGCTATCTCCAAAAGATATCAAAGAAGTTTACGGAAAAAAATACATAAAACTATAAGCTAAAAAAGTGTGTTAAAAGGACATCAATTAACCGTTCCTGCAGGTGCTTAAAAGTTGGAAAAGAAGGTGCCTGGTGGATATCTGTTGGCAGAATTTTGCACAATACAGTACTGGACTAATTACACTAAATAATAACAATAACAATTTATTTATACCCCGCCTATTTGGCTGGGTTGCCCCAGCCACTCTGGGCAGCTCCCAGCAGAATATTAAAAACACGATAAAACATTAAAAACTTCCCTAAACAGGGCTGCCTTCAGATATCTTCTAAAAGTCGGATAGTTGTTTATTCCCTTGACATCTGATGGGAGGGCATTCCACAGGGTGGGCACCACTACCGAGAAGGCCCTCTGCCTGGTTCCCTGTAACTTCGCTTCTCGCAGTGAGGGAACCGCCAGAAGGCCCTCAGAGCTGGACCTCAGTGTCCGGGCTGGACGATGGGGGTGGAGACACTCCTTCAGAAAACTATTTCTGAAAACTATTTCTAGTTGTTATTTGGTACACAAGAACATAGTAAGAGCCTACTGGATCAGGCCAATGGCCTGTCTAGTCCGGCATCCTGTTCTCACAGCGGCTGACCAAATGTCTGAATGGGAAATCGCCCAGCAGGACTCGAGCCCAAGAACATCTCTCCCCTCCTGTGGTTTCCATCAACTGCCATTCAGAAGCATGGCCGCCTTGAGCCATGACTGGGAGCCATCAATGGCCCTCTATGAATTTGTCTAATCCTCTTTTAAAGCAATCTGGGTTGGTGGCTGTCACTGCCTCCTGCGGATAGTTTAACTGTGTGAAAAAGGACTTTGCTTTATCTGTCCTGAATCTCCCAAGACACTCAAACCTTGGCTCCCGAACGGCTCCGTTTTTGAACGTTTTGGCTCCTAAATGTCGAAAAGGTGGAAGTAAACACTTCAGTTTTCAAATGTTTTTCAAAAGCCAAACGTCCGATATGGCTTCCGCTTGAACACAGGTATCTCTTGCAACCAATCGGAAGCCGTGCCTCGGTTTTTGAACGTTTCGGAAGCCGAGTGCGCTTCCGGAACGGATTACGTTCGACAACCGAAGTTTGACTGGATTCATCTTCCTTGGAGGTCTGCGAGTTCCAGTGTTATGAGCGAAGACCCTCAACAACTCGGGGAACGACCGATGATGCTCCTGCAGATGATCTCAACGACCGAGCTGGGACAAAAGGGTTCAGGTGATTCACAAATTAATAATCTGTATGGTAAAGGTAAAGGACCCCTGGACGGTTAAGTCCAGTCAAAGGCGACTATGGGGTATGGCGCTCATCTTGCTTTCAGGCCGAGGGAGCCAGTGTTTGTCCACACACAACACTGTCAAACCAATAGTTACGTAAATTCAACTAACAAATACACCCACAACGTAACTGGCTGTGTTTAACTAAGTAAATTCTTTATACATCATATAAACACAACTCTTTTCACATTATCTAATTGAATAGAAGCAATTAAGGACCAACATTTAGAACAGGAAATACAAATAGATCAGTTCTTATATAAGTAATGTCCAAATAGAAGCTTTTGTGTTCCACGTATGTCTTAGCGAATACAAGTGTCAAACATAACAACTTTAAGGAGCAGTACTTGCAAAAGATGAACTTTTCTTTGTAATGTTCCACATCTGCCTTTCCAAAGTATGGTTGTTGTATGCAGCTGCTGTATGCAGGTATCAGACAAAGGATACGAAAGATCTTAACACGTGCCTTTGCAAAATATAGTTGTTGTATGCCAGTGTCAGACGAAAGAACTTAAACGTGACAAGGATTCCCGGAATAATATGCGGTATCTGCTGTGTCACTTGTTCCATGTCTTTGATACACAAAATATGAGTATGCTTGGCTGATGAAGCCTGGCAGGGTGAAACAAGGTATTATTCTGGGAATCCTTGTCACATTTAAGTTCTTTCGTTTGCACGTCTGTGGAACACAAAAGCTTCTATTGCCTTCAGCAAGCCCAAATGGCTCAGTGGTTTAGATCACAGCGCCACCCGCAACGGTTTGAATGGGAAAACTTAGTTCAATAACTTGACTTACTCATTGAGGAACAGGTGGGACATTGTTGGCTGATATACCACTGCTTCACATGCCTCTCTGTGGCAGATGCTGATCTGCTACTTGCAGTTGTCGTGAGAAGACCACCACTGCTACGAGCTGCTTCCGCAAGTCCTTGAGGAGGGTACCCCAAAACAGATTCATCTGCATCTTCCACCTCCTCCTTTATCTCTTTGAACTCAATCTGGTCTTCTGGAAGAGAAGGGGCTTGCTGGTGGTGGAAGGGAGGAGAAGGAGGAGTTCCTTGAGGTTCCTCTTCAGAAGACGGGGTCATTGGCTCGTCCTGCTCCCATCCTTCGTTCTCTTCTCTGCATCTGGTCACCTTCCTTGCAACTTCAACTACAGGAACAAACGGAGGTGGTGTTAATTAAAAACTACAACTAATCCAGAATGCTGCAGCTAGACTGGTGAAAGACCTACACTGGCTTCCAGTACGTTTCCGAGCACAATTCAAAGTGTGCTGACCTCTAAAGCCCTAAACGGCCTCAGTCAGTCCAGTATACCTGAAGGAGTGTCTCCATCCCCATCGTCCAACCCCGACACTGAGGTCCAGCTCTGAGGGCCTTCTGGTGGTTCCCTCACTGCGAGAAGTGAAGTTACAGGGAACCAGGCAGAGGGCCTTCTTGGTAGTGGCACCTGCCCTGTGGAACACCCTCCCACCAGATGTCAAAGAGATAAACAACTACCAGACTTTTAGAAGACATCTGAAGGCAGCCCTGTTTAGGGAAGCTTTTAATGTTTAATATGTTATTGCATTTTAGTGTTCTGTTGGAAGCTGCCCAGAGTGGCTGGGGAAACCCAGCCAGATGGGCGGGGTATAAATAATAAATTATTATTATTATAAAAATGGTATCTAAGACACAGCGCATAAAAATGTAGAAAGAGCTTGCTGTATCACGTCAGTGGCCCATCTAGTCTAGCTTCCTGGTCTCACAGTGGCCAACCAGTTTCCTGTGGGAAGCTTGCAAGCAGGATTCAAACACAGGACCCTTTCCCCTCCTGCAGTTTCCAGAAAGTGGGATTCAGAAGCATTGCTTCAACTGTGGAGGCAGAGCACAGCTGTTATGGCTAGTAGCCATTGATAACCCTCTTCTCCATGAATTTGGCTAATCTGCCTTTAAAGCCATCTAGGGTTGGTGGCCACCCCTGCTTCTTGTGGCCGTGAGTTCCATAGTTCAACTATGTACTGCACAACGGACTTTCTTTTATGTGTCCTGTACGTTCCAATGTTCTGCTTCTTTGAACGTGCACTACTTCCGTCATGATATACACATTATTATAATCTTTATATTATTTATAATTCATATGACGTGTAAGCTTCACCAAATGTTTTGTTCTGTGAACAGCAGGAGAAAATCTAATTTTCTTGGAAAATAAATCAGCACAGGGCCGTTCCAGATTTTCTTTTGTACCGCTGTTCTTTTTTAAAATCCGACAAACAATTAGTTATTGGTTTTTAAACAAATACAATAACCATTAAACACTTATCCAGCAGTACATCTAATGGTGTTTGTTTTATCCATTGTCTCTAGACATGCACTTACAGATTCAACATTCAGACATATTACTTATTGTAACCTCTCCACTGAGAATACTGAGCGGTTGGTAGAAGGAGGTCTTGATTTTGGTCATTAACATGGTTAAAGAAAGGGGTCCACGTTTATTTGAAGGTGTCTCTATTTGTTTTGCCTTTAACTGCTTGTACCACTGTTCTTATAATAAAACCTTAATGGATTTCAGAAAACAGAAATAAAAGAACACAAAATATTGGAAAAGCAAAAGCTGTTAAAATGACAAAAGATCAGTATTTTTTCCTCCCTCTCTCCTAACACTACAACTTGTGGGCATTTCTGGTGCAGCAGACCCTTCCTCTGTCCTTAAGATATAAAGTACCTAGTCATAAAAGATGCTTTCCATTTAAAAACGCACACATAAAAACTCCTCACTACTATCTTATCAGTCAAGGGGCCGCTTTCTGACCACTGTCCGGATCAAAGCTGGAATATTTTGTATGAAAATGCAGTCTATGAAACATTTTAAATATACAGAAATATATAGAAACCTTTTCTGTTCTTTTTGTGAGTTTGTATGAATTTAAGTGTTAATATGTTATTGCATTTACGTAGAAGACGTGTATAATGCTTTATATCTCTTTGTCCCTTTTCTTTCTTCTCTTTCCTTTTCTGTTTTTGTACTAAATGTTGTTATGTATATATGTTTTTAATCGAAACCAATAAAGATTATTAAAATGGTTTGGTTTTTTTAAAATATAAATAAATAAATAAACGGCTTGGCTCCTGAGTACCTAAAGGAGCAACTCCGCCAGTATCGACCACCTTGGGCCCTACAACTGGCAGGGGAGGCCCGGTTGGCAGTGCCCCTTCTGGCTGCTGCCCGGCGGCTGCTGGTTTGTGGCAGGGCCTTATCGGCGGTGGCTCCCCATTTGTGGAATCGTTGTCGGTCTCTGATGCATCCACTGCTGAAACGGAGAGAGAAACCGACATGAGTGGCACAGGGGGAAGAGGAAGGGAGTGTCCAATCAGTTTAGAGCAGGGGTGGCTAACCTCAAAGCTTTCCAGACAAAGTGTTTTGGGGAAAGGGGGAGAGACTGTACCCCCCTGTGGTGAGTACCTCATGTTGAGTACCAGACCCTTTCCCCCACCCCAGAGAAAAGCACTACAGTGATACCTCTGGTTAAGAACTTAATTCGTTCTGGAGGTCCATTCTTAACCTGAAACCGTTCTTAACCTGAGGTACCACTTTAGCTAATGGGGCCTAGCGCTGCTGCTGTGGCGAAATTTCTGTTCTCATCCTGAGCCAAAGTTCTTAACCTGAGGTACTATTTCTTGGTTAGCGGAGTCTGTAACCTGAAGTGTCTGTAACCTGAAGCGTCTGTAACCCGAGGTACCACTGTACATGGAAAGCCACCAGGTTGTCGAAGGTGGATCTACAGTGGTACCTCGGGTTACATACGCTTCAGGTTACAGACTCCACTAACCCAGAAATAGTACCTCGGGTTAAGTACTTAATTCGTTCTGGAGGTCCGTTCTTAACCTGAAACTGTTCTTAACCTGAAGCACCACTTTAGCTAATGGGGCCTCCTCCTGCTGCTGTTGCACTGCCGGCACGCAATTTCTGTTCTCATCCTGAAGCAAAGTTCTTAACCCAAGGAACTACTTCTGGGTTAGTGGAGTATGTAACCTGAATGTCTGTAACCTGAAGCGTCTGTAACCTGAGGTACCACTGTACCTCACGTTAAGAACTTTGCTTCAGGATGAGAACAGAAATCGTGTGGTGGCGGTGCACAGGCAGCGGGAGCCCCCATTATCTGAAGTGGTGCTTCAGGTTAAGAACAGTTTCAGGTTAAGAACGGACCTCTGGAACGAATTAAGTTCTTAACCAGATGTGGCCGCGAGAGTTTTAATAGCACAAGGATGGAAGACTGAAGAAACCCCAACTAAACAATCACGGCAAGAAAAATTGATGGACTATGCAGAACTGGCAAAACTGACATATAAGCTATGGGACAAGGATAACTGTGACTTTAAAGATGAATGGGAAGCCTTTACAAAGTATCTGAAGACACAACAAAGCGAACTGGACTCCTTGGCTGGCTTTGAATAAACATTCACAAACTTTTTATTGATAATAATCAGCTAAATAGTTTGAGGATCTATATAACTGTGTAACATGCAGAAAACAACATTCTTAGAGAAATCAAAGAAGACTGGAACTGAGGGAAGTCCGGGGGTGGGGGTGGGTGGGTTTTGTGTGGGAGGGTGGGGCGGAGGGAGGAAAAATGGGGGGGGGGGAAACTAAGGATGATATGTTTCTGGATAATATGTTTTTTTTTTAATTTTAAATTAAAAAAAGTTTAAAAAACAAAACAAAACAAAAATTCTTAACCAGATGTGCCACTGTATTTTGAAGAGCCAATTAATAAAAAATGCCTTGCAGCAGCCTTCTCTAGCTTTATGCACTCAACCCAGCACAGTCAAGATACTGGAATTATAAATCTGAAAAAACCCCAGAAGACCTGCAAATCAGAAGGTTTCTTTTAAAACATACCGGGCTTTCTGTGCTCCCCAAAAGGTGGTTTCCCAGCTGCAATCCAAATCGAAGTCACTTCCTTGTAGAAGGGAGGAGGGTTCTTGACTCTGACCTGTCCGCAAGCCGCCTCAATGCCCTGATTGAAAAAGTCAATCTTCAGGCGCTTCCACTTGTCGCGGAGCTGGCAGCTGGATCTGGAGTATCCCAGAGAGAGCATTTCATCCTGCAGGGCTTTCCAGTGCTTTTCGTCCACAGCCGGGCTGCTGCTCATAAACGCCTTGATGCCGGGGCTACGGGCGATTATAGAGAGCATCTTTTGGGTTTCGTCTCCGGTCCATCTAGGACGACAACATGCAAGAGTCAAAGAAGTGTATTGGCACTATAAAATAAATCAAGATGACTTCTCTCTCCCTCTAGCAAAACGACCGTCTTTTTCGCTCCATAAGACACACTTTTCCCCTCCTAAAAAGTAAGGGGAAATGTGTGTGCGTCTTATGGAGCGAATGCAGGTGGGAGGCTCTGCTCAGCACTCCCTTTAAAGAGCCGCGTGGAGCATGTGTGCGGCCCTTGGGGGCTTTTCCCCGAGGAGGGAGAAGGGCAGCTCTTTAAAGGGAGCACAGCTCTTGGGGGAGCCTTCCTCCCACTGCCCTGAAGAGGCTTCGCGCAGCTATCCTCTGGGATCCAGAATATTTTTTTTCTTGTTTCCCTCCTCCAAAAACTAGGTGCGTCTTATGGTCTGGTGCGTCTTACAGAGCGAAAAATGCAGTAGTTGGTTTGGGGAATTCGGCTGGTTAACGTAAGAACACAAGAAGAGCCTATTGGATCAGGCCAATGGCCCACCTAGCTCAGCATTTTGGTTTCATGGTGCTCATCCAAATATCTTTGGGAATCCCACAGGTAGCATTTGAGCATAACAACACTCTGTCCTCCTGTGGTTTCCAGAAACTGTGATTCAGAGGCAGAGTTGAGTCACCATGGCTAACAGCCATTAAGAGCCCTCTCCTTCATGAATTTGTCTAATCCTCGTCTGTTCCACAGTTTATGTGCTGTGTGAAGAGCACTTTATCTACCCTGCGTCTTCCAACATAATGCCTTTGCTTTCCCCTCAGAAACCAACACAGTATATGTTATATAAATGATAACTGCAACTTCTACTTCTTCTTCTTCTCATCATCATCAACAACAACAACTTTTAGAGGACATCTGAAGTCAGCCCTGTATCAGGAATGTTTTACATTTTATTATTATTATTTTGCTAGCCAGATGGGCGGGGTATTTGTTGCTGTTGTTGTTGACCTATATCCCTGCTCACTAAATAGGGCTGGGAGAGACCCTACTTCAAATAATACTAATACTAATACGCCCACCCTGTGGAACGCCCTCCCATCAGATGTCAAGGAAATAAACAACTATCTAACTTTTAGAAGAGATCTGAAGGCAGCCTTGTTTAGGGAAGTTTTTAATGTTTTATTGTGTTTTTAATATTCTGTTGGGAGCCGCCCAGAGTGGCTGGGGAAACCCATAATGAATTATGATGATGATGATGATTGTTATTAATATGTATTGTTTATATCCTGCCCATCTGGCTGGGTTGCCCCAGCCGTAATAAACACAATAAAACACTAAACATTTTAAAAAACTCCCTGTATGCCTTCTAAAAGTTGTGTAGTCCTTTATCTCCTTGACATCCGATGGGAGGGCATCCCCCACAGGGTGGCGCCCATTCTCAAACTTTGGAGAGCTACAGCCAGTCAGTGTTGAGCAGGGATGGCTAACCTATTTCCCTCCCACTGAGGTTGGACTACAGTTCTCCTCAGTCTCACCTGCCATGGCCAATAAGTTCCATAATACTTGGAGTTGCAGTCCAACAGCTGGAGGGCCACATATCTGGCCCCCACCCTGGTGTGCGCAGTACCAAGATCAACCAACAGTTATGAGAGCGACCTGTGTTAAAAACGCATTTGTTCATCCCAAGACTTGCATAGCGTAGGGTATGAAGGGGGTGAGTGGGTGTTTGTGAGAGCGCTGGGCTAATATTGACGTTCCTTCATTGTGAAATTACCTTTGAGATACAGTGGTACCTCAGGTTACATACGCTTCAGGTTACAGACTCCGCTAACCCAGAAATAGTGCTTCAGGTTAAGAACTTTGCTTCAGGATGAGAACAGAAATTGTGCTCTGGCGGTGCGTCAGCAGCAGGAGGCCCCATTAGCTAAAGTGGTGCTTCAGGTTAAGAACAGTTTCAGGTTAAGAACGGACCTCCGGAACGAATTAAGTACTTAACCCGAGGTACCAATGTACTTCATGCAAAGCAGTTCCTAAATGGAACTGCAGAGGAGGGTCATGCAGGCAATAGCATCCCACATGCAGAGACACAGACGGATTTGTGCACGCACTGCAAAGGGGGACATTCATGTTTTTTTAGTCTTGGGTGTATTTATTAAATATGGAAGGGTTTTTTTTGCCTATGCTTCCTCGATTATTATTGTTTTGTAAACCCCACCCCCTGCCCAACAATGAGCAGCTTTATCTGAGAGACGACAACGCTCGAGCACATCCTAACCCCAAAATTTCTATAACAGCCTTTCGGAAACAGATTCCTAGAAGAAAGTGGGTTGCCTTGACCTGAAGCTCTTTCCACACTCCAGACACATTTCCTTCTCCCCATAGCTGGGTTTCTGTATAGATATCAACCAGTTGTACTTGCAAATCACCTTTTCCAGCAGGCAGAACACTCCTCCCCTTCCTCCGCGTTTTGCGGTGTTTGGTCTCGCAAGCGGCCTGCGATTCCGGAGAAGTTGCCACACACATGAGCAGAACTCTCGTTGCTTCTGTTTCCCTCCCGCTTCTTCGTTTCATCTTGATCCCAGTCATCCTCTTCCGTGTGTGGGCAGCTAGCGCAGTCCTCGTACACTGGATGGGCTTGGCATTCGTTGTCCGTCTCCCAAACATCCCCTCCTGAAAGAGAGAGGAGGCAAACGTGTCTGCTGAGATTATCTATTTATCTACTGCTTCCTACGGGGCATATCAAAGCAATGTCACAATGTAAACATTGGTTTAACAAATTCAGATGGACATTAAAGGACTATTTAAGGAAATGTTATAGTTTGATGAACTCGTGAGCAGGATTTGAAACACGAGCAACAGAAGGAACTGGAGAACAGAGTTTTGATGTATTGGTGCAAGACAGAGGTTGTACACCTTTTTGAGTCCATGGCTCCCTCGGCCAACTTCCTTCTTTCCGCGGCACCCCGTGGGGCTCAGAAACCCAGTTATGTCCCCCCTTGCCGGCAGCCCCTCACCCCTTTTCAAACACCCTCCCTTGTGTATTGTTCCCTCAGCCACCCGCTCTGAGACCCCACAGCTAATTCTCCCCTGGCCTCCTCGCTGGTCCAAGTAGGACCAATTCAGCCAGCTAACCCTGGGGATTATCTAATTGATTTTTGAATTTTATTGTTATTCATGTTTTTATACTGTATTTTATGCTGCTTTTATAATTCAGTGTTTTAAGGTGTTTTAAATTTGTTGTTAGCCGCCCTGAGCCTGGTTTTTGAACCGGGAAGGGCGGGTATAAATAAAATTTTATTATTATTATTATTATTCTCCCCTCTCCTTGGGAGTCCTCTGGGCAGCTGCCGCCACCACTCCTGGTCTCTGGGCTGCCCCCCTGCTCCAAAGAGAGGTGTCTCCTCATGTCACCCCCCCCCAGCGGCCTGGGAAGAAGATGCCGCCAGCCTTAGTGGCCCAACGGAGACTGGCCAAAGGTGAGTATGAGGCCAGCACCTTACTCACCTTGGGAGGCAGCAGTAGTAGCAGCAACAGTGGGCACCACCAGGCCTGCCTGGTGGAAAGGCTCCCCTCTGGCACTGGGCACTCAGCTCCCAGGCAGGCATTACACACAGCAAGCGCAAGTAAGGCTAGCAAAGCACCTGCCTGCCTGCCTGGTCCCACACCTGTCTGTCCATCCCCAACAGCAAGGGCTGGCTGGGAGCTGTGTGCCCTTGTTCACTTGCTTGCTTACTCTGAGGCTGCCTCAGCTCATGGCACCTAGCACCTCCTGGCCAGATCCAGAGGCATCATTTGCCTGCGGAGCTTGTAGCCAGGGCTGCTGCCACAAACAGCTCTGCAAGCCTTTGGGAGGCAGAAACACAAGAGGGCATCAGAAGAGGGAAGGAAGGAAGGAAGGAAGGAAGGAAGGAAGGAAGAGGCGGGTGTTGCCCAAGGCACCCCTGACCATCCTTCAAGGCACCCCAGGGTGCCAGGGCACACTGGTTGTAAAGAAATAGAAGGTACTGTGCAGCAGAAGGGGCGGGGATTAAAATACCATGGGAAGTTGGGAAAATACAAATCTTCTATGTATGGAAGTACATAGGTTAAACTTTTGAAAATTCAATAAAAATTTACAACAGCAGCAGCAGCAGCATCAACATCAAACCAGTTTGTTATTCCACGAAAGACCAAAAAAGCGAGTAGGAAACGTAAGAACACGGTCAGGGGAAAAAACAATGCTGTCCAGGGTTGTAAAGACTGCGGAGAGAATAATTGGGTGCACTCTTCCCACCTTGGATCAAATCTACGCTTCCAGGCGCCATAAGAAAGCTGCAGAGATAGCGCAGGATAGTGCGCACCCCGGAAATGATCTCTTTCAGCTTCTGCCTTCTGGAAGAAGGTACAGGGTTATAAAGACTAGGACTAGCCGCCTGAGAAACAGCTTCTATCCAAATGGGATATATTGTGGGAGTATATTGTATTTAATTATGGGGTATCAGAGTTTTTAGGGGGCTAACCAGGCTGGGATAGCTGGGATAGCAGGCTTGTTGGTTTTTGAATGTCTGATGTAGATTTTTTCAATTACGTTGTTCTGTATGGGATAATGACAATAAAGATTATCGTATTGTAACAGAACAGTGGGGATTCCAAAATAATTGCAGACTACCACTTCTACTGATGTGTTTGATGCTTTTACTGTTGTTACCACAGCACTGTCTTTTTAGATTGCATTCCGCCGGACGGCATTTTACACAAAAGCGCAGCCTGCAAACATTTAAGCAAAACGCACAAATAAATATGGCTTGGGACTGGCGTACCTAAAGGAGCGACTCCGCCGGTATCAACCACCTCGGGTCCCACAATCCGCAGGGGAAGCCTGGTGGCTGGTGCCTCTTTGGGCTGCTGCTTAGTGGTCGCTGGCCTGTCGCAGGGCCTTACTGGGGGTAGCTCCCCATTTGTGGAATTGCTTTCGTTGTCCGTCTCGCACACATCCACCACTGAAATTGAGAGAGAAACCGAAATGAGTGGAAACACGGTTGGAGGCCTTAAGGCTTTCTGAATACTGGTTTCTGGAAACTGGGGAAAGTGCTCTTGTGGGCTAAAGCCTGGTATAGATAGATCTTCGCATGGAGCAGGTGATGGTCTTCTTTCTACATCACCTTTGCTATCTGGCTTTCCTCAATGTTGTTATAGAAATCGGACAGTGAGAAATGTTCAAACATACATAGCTTACAGGCCTTCAAAGTAGACCCCCTTAGATACAATGCACCGTTGACAACGTTTGTAGAACTGTTGGAAACTTCTGGCGAAGTCCTCTTTTCATACTGCTTTCAGTTCCCTCTTCACAGCAGCTTAGACGTGTGAAATGTTGGAAAATCTGTGCCCTTTCAGTGCAGATTTCAGTTTTGGAAAAAGAAAGAAATCTGGTGGGGCCAGATCGGGAGAATATGGAGGGTGGGACAACCCACTAACCTCAGTAACTGTTTCACACGGAATATGCAATTCTTCCGCCATCATTTGGATGGACAAACGCCAATCCCACATCAATAACTCACAAACTCTGTCAACATTTGCTGCTTGTCGATGGTCTGCCAGACTGAGGGTCATCTTCGATGGTTTGCCGCCCTTCATGGAAAGGCTTAAACCACTCATACGCTGGCTTTTGACTTACAGTTTCATCTCTGTACACAATTGTAAGCATTTCATGGGTTTCCGATGCCGATTGTATGTTCGAATATTTCTCGCTGTCCGATTTCTGTGACCATTCACCAAATTTTCCAATCGCATCTTGTATTTCAGTGTTGTTATATCTATTGAACTACTACAACTCCCATCGACCCCAGATTGGCGAAGTCTGCCCTAGATAAACCACCTGGGTCATGAGAATCATAGAATTGGACCTGGAAGGGACCCCAAGGGTCATCTAGTCCAACCCCCTGCAATGCATGAACCACAACTAAAGTTCTGTAGTCTTGTAGGAGATTATAGGCTTGGGGGGGAGGGAAAGGCGGAATGCTGGAATGAGAAATATGGGAGAAAACTACATTGGGCCAAGGATTTTGGGTATAACATACAGTTAAAAGACTGGGGGAAACTGTGGAAAGAAGGATTAAAATTTACAGCATGCAATGCCTTGAAAGAAAATGTGATGAAAACGATGTACAGATGGTATATTACACCAGTGAAATTAGCTAAAATGTACAAAACAAGTAATAAATGTTGGAAATGTAAAGAAAAAGAAGGATCATTTTATCACATGTGGTGGGAATGTAAGAAAGTGAAAAGCTTCCAGGAAATGATATATAATGAGATGAAAAAGATGTTGAAATATACATTTATAAAAAAACCAGAAGCATTGTTACTTGGTATTGTAGGGGGGGATATTAACAGACAGGACAGTAAATTGTTTTTATATGCAACAATGGCAGCAAGAGTATTATCGGCACAGAAATGGAAACATGAAGAACTACCGACGAAAGAAGAATGGCAGATGAAATTAATGGACTATGCAGAATTCGACAAGATGACAGGAAGGATTCGAAACCTGCTGGACCAGAGATTCTCAGAGGACTGGAATAAATACTTCAACTATTTGAAAAGCAATTGTGATAAACAGATTACGCTAGTAGGACTGCAAGAAGCCCTGTAAGTAGGACTATGTGAAATATTGCAGAGAAGATTATGAAGAGAATTATTAGTTAAGGATTATTAAAAGTAATAAGGAAATTAATGAAATGTAGATTAAGTGATAAAGATTGAAAAATCTTCAGATGTGGTTGATGGAAGTCCAATACATTGTATAAGATAAGAAAATATGTTATATGATTTTTGGAAATTATATGTAAAAATCAATAAAAATATAATAAAACAAGAGAGAAATATGGGGGGGAAATGACACCCAGAAACAGAATATCCTGCAAATAGTAAGGATTTTCCTTAAAAAAACAACCTACCAGGCTTTCTGCGTTCCCCGAAAGGCGGCTTCCCTGCCGCGATCCAGATCGCAGTTAATTCCTTGTAGAAGGCAGGAGGATGCTTGACTCGAATCTGTCCACACGCCGCCTTGATTCCCCGATTGAAAAAGTCGATCTTCAGGCGCTTCCACTTTGCACGGAGCTGGCAGGTGGATCTCGAGTATCCCAGGGCATGCATGCTGTCCTGCAAGGACTTCCAGTACTTCTCGTTGGTAGCCGTGCTACTGCTCATAAACACCTTGGTGCCGGCACTCTGAGCTATTATGGAGAGCATCTTTTGGGTTTCATCTCTGGTCCACCTACGGCAACGTGCAAGAGTGAGGCATTGTATACAGCAAGGCAGCAGGAAAAGCTCTCTCTCTCCCTAACAAAACTAGCTGGTTTGAGGAGTCCAGTTGGATGTTGTTGTTGTTGTTAATTGAATTTATATACCGCCCAAAACCCGGAGGTCTCAGGGCAGTTCAGAGAACAAATTCAAAATATAAAACCACATAATATATACAGTTGTACACTGGAAGTCGAACGGAATCCGTTCCGGAAGTGTGTTTGACTTCCAAAGCGTTCGAAAACCAAAGTGCGGCTTCTGATTGGCTGCAGGAAGCCAACTGTGCACAGAACAATTTATTAAGCCGTTTAACATGTACATATGGACTCTCGCGGGTGGCGCTGTGGGTTAAACCACAGAGCCTAGGGCTTGCTGATCAGAAGGTCAGAGGTTCGAATCCCCGCAACGGGGTGAGCTCCCGTTGCTCGGTCCCAGCTCCTGCCAACCTAGCAGTTCGAAAGAACGTCCAAGTGCAAGTAGATAAATAGGTACTGCTCCGGCAGGAAGGTAAACGGTGTTTCCGTGCGCTGCTCTGGTTCGCCAGAAGCGTCTTAGTCATGCTGGCCACATGACCCGGAAGCTGTACGCCGGCTCCCTCAGCCAATAAAGCGAGATGAGCGTCGCAACCCCAGAGTTGGCCACGACTGGACCTAATGGTCAGGGGTCCCTTTACCTTTATGGACTCTCCTTAAGGGCAGGGGGATGTGAACTCCTGCCCTCCCAGACTCCTTCTCAAAGATCTTGTAGCTGAGCCAGCATCCTTTCAGTTCAGCCACAAAAGAAGGGATTTATACAGGATATAGTTAGTTTAAGGTGTTGCTCTGTTGTGATTCTCTGCTGCAGATTAGCTTAGCCAGGTGCCTTAGATCTGAGCCTGATGTGCTAGACAATTTTTCTTGAGTTACAAAAAAACCAAACAACTCCCCTCCCCCCCCTGGACATTTTGCCAAATTTTTAAAAATCTGCCCAGAAAGAAATTTTAATCCTGGAAAAAGAGGGAAAATGGCAACCAGATCTGAAAAAGAGGACATGTCCTGGAAAAAGAGGACATATGGCAACCCTAACTGAGAGGGTCCCTTGGAGCTCGCCGTAGACAGGAGGAGGGGACTGACACAGAGGGCGAGTGAAGGGGGAGTTACAAGCCAACTGCTTCATCTAGACCAGCAGTTCTCAACCTGTGGGTCCCCAGATGTTGTTGGTCTACAACTCCCATCACCCCTCGCTAGCAAGGCCAGAGCTCAGGGATGATGGGAATTGTAGTCAAACAACATCTGGGGACCCACAGGTTGAAGAACTGCTGATTTAGACAGAAACAACCTTCAGAAGTCTCTCTGTGTTGTTTGCTCTCTAATCTGCAAATGGCCTGTTCTCTTTGTTGGCTCCCTGTCAAAGGTTTTCCATATGGGTATCAACGTGCAGATTTACAAGCAAACCTTTTCCCACAGGCAGGGCACTCTTTCCTTCCATCTCTCCGAAGGTTGCTTTGGGCTCGTAACTGCGCCGCAATTTCACATAAGTTGCCGTCTGGGCACGAAAGGGGCTCGTGACTCCTCTCACTGTTTTTACTTCCCTCCTGCTTCTTCAATCCATCCTGATTCCACGCGTCGTCCTCTGTGTCGGGACACTTATTGCCTTCCCCAAACACTGGGTGTGCTTTGGTTTCGTTGTCTGTCTCCCAGACATCCCCTCCTGAAATCAAAGAGAAAATGTGAAGATTATGTCAGTTTGTATTTCTTGGTGCAGAAAGTAGTGATCTGATGTGTAGAGATCTTTTCTATTCTAATTCATACAAGGAGGTTCTGGAAGATTCTCTGTGTGAAAGAAACTTCATGATGTTTGGGTTATTCCTTCAGAGAAGCTGGCTTAAACTGGGGTCTGTTATTTCTTTCAGAAAAGGTCATGCTGGCTATAATGATAAGGCCAGAAATAACCTGGGTTGTACATTTCCTCGTTCTCTCTCTTTTCCTTCTGGTGTGGAACGCTAAGTATGCTTAGTGTTAAGGTTTCGTTTTATAAGAAGTTATTGTAAGTTTAAGTTAATTCTGCTGCAACTGGGTTTATTGTGGACAGTGCCAATCCTAAATGTATTGGATTTGTGACCATTATGCTTGTTTGCCTTCAGTAGCAGTAAAGCTCTGCTGGATGAAATATAATTTTTTGGAATCCTGCAAGTTTTTACTCTGCTAACTATACATTGGAATCTGCTTTGGATCATCATTGAGTAGAATTTCAATGATAGATTACTCTTATGATTATCATAGAGATAACAACAGAGACTCCATCTCCTCAGAATATTGTGAAAGAACAATGTCAATCAACATCTGATGATCTCCTTCTACCGGTCAACAACAGAAAGTGTCCCTTCATACTGCATCATGGTGTGGTACGCTGGTTTGACATCAACTGATAGGAAGTGCCTATGGAGGGTGGTGAATACAGCACAAGATATTATGGGCTGTCCCGTGAATCCACTAGATGAAATAGCGGAAGAACATTGCCTCAGGACAGTGAGGAAAATTCTCAGGGATGATTCACACCCTGGCTGGCACTTTCTTGATCTCCTGCCCTCAGGCAGAAGATGTAGAAGCAGGATTAGTCGCACCAACAGGGTAAAGAACAGCTTCTATCCATGGGCTGTTAGGCTGCTGAATGAAAAGATAACAACAGGGCAACTGACTTTCAGGTTTGGTGGGTGTGCGTAAGTAAGTAAACGAGGGGAATTAAGACTAAGAGAACTGAGTGGGGGGTGCTCGTGTAATCTCACTGTATACATGTTGTACAAGTGACAATAAAGTATTTCAATTTCAATGTAGAACCATAGAATTGTGGAGATGGAAAGGACCCTGTCAACCTTTTCTACTGCATATTATTTCATAATACTTCTCAATATTGTCCATGATATTTACTACATTACAAGTGTTATCAAAACCCTGCTAATGTTTTCATGTTTTCATCATTTCACAGTGGCCCCCTAAATAAATCATAAATTTCCCCCTTTCTTTATTGAAGATTTTGTTCCTGAGCTTTCCTGTCAGTTTTGCCGTTTCGGCATTTTATTCGGCCTGTAGATTCTTAAATAAAACAAGTAAGTATTTTGGGACACAAGTACCCAAAGGAGCGACTCTCTGGGTATCACTGATCTCAGAGCCTACAGTTGGTAAGGGAGGTCTTGCTGGTGGGGCTGCTTCTGTCTGCTGCCCGGCTGGTGCTGCCCAGTGACAGGGCCTTCTGAACGGCGGCTCCCCATTTGTGGAATTGCTTTCATTGTCCGTCTCCCACACATCCACCACTGAAAACGAGAGAGAATCCAGCATGAGTGGAACGTCAAATCAGTGAACAAGCCAAATCAACCGTTTACAGGTTCCAGCAGAGAACAGAAAGGTAAGATACTGGGATGAGGAATATGGATGTGATCAAGGTTTGTTTGGGTTAGAGGACTGCATAACATCTTGGTTGTCAAAGGTTTCGGAAGTCAAACGGTCTTCCGGAACGGATTACATTCAACAACCGAGGTGCCACTGTAATTAGAATTATTAATTATAATGTTGCAAACGCATAAAGACGTGGTGAATGTTGCATTGGAGGAAATATGATTTAAAACTAAGATTAATCATTTATATGGATGGATAAAAGAAGATTACTTGATTAACTGGGAAGATAGATAAAAGTCTAAGCAGGAATCGAACAAGCACAGTCAATGGAAATAGAACACAGGGGAAAGTATTAGAAGTAAAAAGTACCGTATTTTTCGCTCTATAAGACGCACCAGACCACAAGACGCACCTAGTTTTTGGAGGAGGAAAACAAGAAAAAAAATATTCTGAATCTCAGAAGCCAGAACAGCAAGAGGAATCGCTGCGCAGCGAAAGCAGCAATCCCTCTTGCTGTTCTGGCTTCTGTGATAGCTGCGCAGCCTGCATTCACTCCATAAGACGCACACACAGTTCCCCTTACTTTTTAGGAGGGAAAAAGTGAGTCTTATAGAGCAAAAAATACGGTACTTCATTATGAGCAGCAAAGGGGGGGGGCAGAAAAGAAACATCTTGAAAGGGGGGTGGATAGTCAACTTTTAAATTTGTGTTAAATTTGAATTAATTTGTTAAATATATGGAAAATTAATACAAAATAATTGGCAAAAATGGGGGGACCCCTGCAAATCAGGTCTCCCCCTTTTAAAAACTTACCAGGCTTTTTCCGTTCCCCGAATGGGGGCTTCCCAGCTGCAAGCCAGATGGAAGTCACTTCTTTATAGAAGGGAGGCGGGTGCCTCACCCGCACGTCCCCGTCGGCCGCCTTTAAGCCCTGGTTGAAGAAGTCGATCTTCAGGCGCTTCCATTTGGCACGCAGCTGGCAGGTGGACCGGACGTATCCTTCGGCAAGCATGTCGATCTGCAAGGCTCTCCAGTATCTTTCGTTGGTGGCCGAACTGCTGCTCATGAACACCTTAATGCCGGGGCTGTGCGCTATTATACAGAGCATCTTCTGGGTCTCCTCTCTCGTCCACCTACGGCAATGGGCAAGAGTGAGAAACTGTGGTTGTTATGCAATAAACAAACGCGATAAACCCCCTTGCAAGACTAGCTAGTTTGTGGCACCTGCTCAGTTCACCTTTGTGCAGGTAGCGAAGACAACCTTGCCAACAAAGGTCCGTATAGTTAAAGCTATGGTTTTCCCAGTAGTGATGTATGGAAGTGAGAGCTGATCGCCGAAGAATTGATGCTTTTGAATTATGGTGCTGGAGGAGACTCTTGAGAGTCCCATGGACTGCAAGAAGATCAAACCTCTCCATTCTGAAGGAAATCAGCCCTGAGTGCTCACTGGAAGGACAGTTCCTGAAGCTGAGGCTCCAATACTTTGGCCACCTCATGAGAAGAGAAGACTGCCTGGAAAAGACCCTGATGTTGGGAAAGATGGAGGGCACAAGGAGAAGGGGACGACAGAGGACGAGATGGTTGGATGGTGTTCTCAAAGCTACCAGCATGAGTTTGACCAAACTGCGGGAGGCAGTGGAAGACAGGAGTGCCTGGCGTGCTCTGGTCCATGGGGTCACGAAGAGTCGGACACGACTAAACGACTAAACAACATGGCTGAGTCACAAGGGCTGAAAAGAGGTCGTGTATGAATTCAACAGTGCTTAGTTTATTTTTTGGTCACTCTTTTGTTATAATTGTTAAGATTGTTTTACAGCTTATGAATACTGTAGCGCTTTGTGAATCCCATGATATAAATTTTGTTGTAATTGTGCTGCTTTGAATCATAGAATCATAGAGTTGGAAGAGACCACAAGGGCCATCGAGTCCAACCCCCTGCCAAGCAGGAAACACCATCAGAGCACTCCTGACATATGGTTGTCAAGCCTCTGCTTAAAGACCTCCAAAGAAGGAGACTCCACCACACTCCTTGGCAGCAAATTCCACTGTCGAACAGCTCTTACTGTCAGGAAGTTCTTCCTAATGTTTAGGTGGAATCTTCTTTCTTGTAGTTTGGATCCATTGCTCCATGTCCGCTTCTCTGGAGCAGCAGAAAACAACCTTTCTCCCTCCTCTTTGCTGGTTTTTAAAGTTGTTTTGCTAATACAGTAGATGCTTGGGTTGCGAACGTGATCTGTGCGGGAAGCATGTTCGCAACCCGCAGCGTTCGCAACCTGCCGCGGCACATCTGTGCACGTGCGGGTCGCGATTCAGCACTTCCGGTACTTCCAGGTTCGGCGCGGTGCGCAACCCGAAATTGTGCAACCCGAAGCATCTGTAACCCGAGGTATGACTGTGGTGTTTTTGTCAGGGAACTGCCATCAGTGCCGGAGGGAGAGAGCAAGCTCCAGAGGGATTCCAGAGAGCGTCCCAGGATTGGGAGAGGCAGCCCATCTTCTGGGGAAGAGAATCAGCGTAGCACCAGTGGAGAAGGGGGGCAGATGGGGGAATCGGCGAGGCGGTCCCATGACTCCTTGCCGGGGACCAGCGGGGAGAGTAAGGGTCCTCCGCTGCCTACGCCCTCCTTGCGCAGAAGGATTTCGCGCAGAGAGAGTAGAAGGAGACTAGGTGTCAAAGAGCTTCTTTGCTGGAAGAAGTTTAAGAAACGCCCACTGACGGATTCTGCCAGCGATTGAGACAGCCACGGGTGAGTGGCTGTCCGGACAGAAAAGGTTCACTCAGGCAACCCAGCCAGGTGTTGGCACCGGCTTACGCATGAGCAACCCCTAGAACCATTACAGTTTTATAGACTGTAATTTTTTTACTGATGATGTGTTAACTATTCTATATGGTTTATGTGATGTTCTGTTCTGTTATTGCTATATATTGTTTGCAAAACATTGTTTCCCTGTATAGGGAAGTTTTTAATGTTTGAAGGAGCATCTCCACCCCCATCATTCAGCCCAGACACTGAGGTCCTCCTCTGAGGGTGGTTCCCTCACTGCGAGGTTACATGGAACCAGGCAGAGGGCCTTCTTGGTAGTGGTGCCCTCCCCGTGGAATGCCCTCCCATCAGATGTCAAGGAAATAAACAACTATCTGACTTTTAGAAGACATCTGAAGGCAGCCCTGTTTAGGGAAGCTTTTAATGTTTGATGTTTTATCATGTTTTCAGTATTCTGTTGGGAGCTGCCCAGTGTTGCTGGGGAAACCCAGTCAGATGAGCGTTGTTGTTGTTGTTGTTGATGATGATGTCTTACTGTGTCTTAATTTGTTGGAAGCCGCCCAAAGTGACTGGGGCAACCCAGTAAGATGGGTGGGGTATAAATAATAAAATTATGATGATGATGGAATAGGACATCTCTATTTTCATTAGAGAAATGTTGGAGAGTAGGGTACATTGCTAAGAGACAGTTCAGAAGGCCATGAATACATTAATTGTAGTAGTAGTAGTAGTAGTACTAGTAATAATGCATATATTATGGAAGATGTGCCTTGTGCATATTTATCTGTATGATACATGCTTTTGCCTATACTCCCAATATGATGTGTGTGTTTTAAGGGGGGGGGGGAGGTTGTATTAAAAAACCCAACCACAGATTGACTTATACAGTGGTACCTCTGGTTATGAATGGGATCCGTTCTGGATGCCCATTCGCAACATGAAAAGCCTGCAACCTGAAGCACCGTATCTGTGCAGGTGCGCGGCGCTATTTGGTGCTTATGCACGAAGCGCGATTTAGCGCTTCTGCGCATGAGCAAGCGGCGAAACCCGGAAGCAAGCCTTTCCAGTACTTCCGGGGTATGACTGTATTATAAACTGCATAGAATCCACCGTTACCTTCAGCAGCTCCACCTGAGAGAAGATAAAGCTTGATCCACAAATCTACATAAAATAACCACTGGAGACAGTTCACTTGAGCATCACTAGAAGGAAAACCTCACCTGAGCCTGCTCCCACACTCCAGACATGGTATCTCTCCTATTCGGCTTTTTGTGTAGCCGTTGAGCGTTGAATTACGAGCGAATCTTTTCCCACAGGCGGGGCACTCTTTCTTCCTCTGCCTCCTACGAGTTTTGGGGTGGACCGGAACTTCATAGCAGTCGCTATCCAAGAGAGCAGCGGGTTTCGTCTTCTTCACCTTGTTTTTATTTCCTTCCTGCTCCTTCGCTGCCCCTTGAGGCCCAACATCGGTCTCTGGGCCATTCTTGCCTTCCTCGGATGCCGGAAGAGCTTTGCTTTCGCTGTCCGTCTCCCAAACATCCCCAGCTGAAAGACCAAGAGAGAAATTGGACTTGAGTGCAAAGGAGGAAACAAAACGAAGTGCGGACAATTCCATAATGTAAAGACTAGCAATAAAAATGGCTCTGCCTGGACATGCTTTCCAAGTCTTGCTGGGGGCGCCAATCCTGCCACAAATTACCGTATTTTTCGCCCTATAAGACGCACTTTTTCCCCTCCAAAAATGAAGGGGAAATGTGTGTGCGTCTTATGGGGCGAATGCAGGCTCCTTGGCTTCAGCGATAGCAACGCGAAGCCTCCGAAGCCTGCGCTCTGGAGGCTTCACGTTGCTTCCGCTGAAGCCAGGAGAGTCTGCTCTTTGAGGCTGGCGGTGGGGGAAAGCAGCGCTTCCCCCACCACCAGACCCAGAGGATGGGGGGCAGCAGGAAGGCGCGCAACGCCTTCCCGCTACTCTCCAACCCTCCTGCGGGCTTTTGCGGGAGATGGGGGAATTCCCCCACCTCCCGCAAAAGCAGGCAAAAGCCACGCGCTCTTTAAAGGGGCTCCGCGGCTTCTGCTGGCTTTTCTACGAGGGAGGGGGGAATTCCCCCACCTCCTAGAAAAGCCCACAAGAGCCGCGCACCCTTTAAAGAGCGCACCGCTCTTGGGGGCTTTTCCTCGAGGAGGGAGTAGGGACTGACTGGCCATTTCAGGCCCTTCTCCCTCCTGGTCGAAAAGCCTGCAGGAGTCACGCTGGGCTCCTGTGGGCTTTTGCGGGAGGTGGGGGAATTCCGCCACCTCCCACAAAAGCAGGGAGAAGGTCTTGGAGTAGCGCACAGGCTGCGTGCAGCCTGTCCACTGCTCCCAGAGCTGCGGGGGGGGGATCATATTTTTTTACTTGATTTCCCCCCCTGAAAACGAGGTGCGTCCTATGGGCCGGTGCGTCCTATAGGGCGAAAAATACGGTAGATCCTGCTGTTTGATTTGCAGTTCATAGAAAATTAATTGGGGGAAATGGTTCAGCCAGGACAGTTGCTTGCTAGGAGAGCTGTGCCTGACAATAAATGGAAGCCGAAGGAAGTGCTAATATTTGTAATGCCAACCAATGGGTCTTTCCCCTGGCCTTGATCCAGCCCCCAGCACAGCTGATTGGCTCTTTTGTCTGTCCTTTATTCTCCCCCAGGCCAATGGGAGATGATGGAGGCTGTGATATGACCACAAAGGCTGGGGGAATGTTCAACTCACATATTTATTCCATGTATAGATCGCTTGCTATCTGAAAGATCTCAAATTGGTTTACACTAGATAATTAAGTGTGTAAATATGTTTGTGTGTGTGTGTGTGCTCTCTGACTTTATTTACAGTACAGTGGAACCTCAATCGTTGAAGGCTTCGGAAGTCGAACTTTTTGGCTTTCGAACGCCGAAAACCCAGAAGTGAATGCTTCCGTTTTTGAACGCACCTCAGAAGTTGAATGGCTTCTGAGGCGTGTTTCTCCACTGCAACTGCCAACTGGCAATTGCACCTCGGTTGTCAAACGTTTCGAAAGCTGAACAGTCTTCTGGATCGGATTACACTCAACAACCAAGATTCCACTGTATAAAATTAAAATATACATAATATGAAGCACAAGATGCTCTTGCAGACCCTGCTAAAAGCAACGCAAAAAAGGGATTTCAAATGCGGCATCTATGAAACTCAAGGCTTTTAGAAACCATGGCTTGAAAAGGCAGGCTTTGCTCTGAAACCCCTCAGTTATCAGATGGATTTCCCCAGGCCTATATCTATCTGAGGGCGTCCCGTCATTTCTGGCCGATGTACAGACTCAAAAATATCTACAGACCTACCTGTCAAGGTCTCCTGGCCACACAGGTCTTCTTTTTCTTCTAGCAAGGAGACGAGATCAGATTTGGGCACCAGAGGCCCTTCTTTGAGGGACAATGAAGAAATGTTAAGTTCTTACTTATGGTACTCGTGGCTGCAAAATTATTCAGAAACAATAAAAAGCAAATAAATAGTAAAAGGAAGGTGAGGTGAGAGCGTTGCTTGTTGGGTCGGCACCTTAGCTTGCGCCTTGCCGGGTATCTATTCCTCTTGCCTTGACTTCGTTCTGCCCTGATTTAGGCATTAAACTCAGCTGGGAGTTCAAGCTCTCCGTCTGGCAGTGCGAGGCAGGAACCCAGGAAGACAAGTCGGCTCTGTTCTCCTCACAGTTCTCTTTCCCCTTTGCAGAGAGAAGAGCAGACTTCCTGTTTGGACCAGCCCACCACCTCCAAAGTATGGGAATGTTGAGGAAGGTAGGAGAGGATTTATTGATTAAATAAATCCCTAAGGGCCCTAAGGAAGTCAGACTATCCTCCACCAAGGCCAGGGCCTTTTCAGTGATGGCTCTGACCTGGTGGAATGCTCTGTCCCATGAGACTAGGGCCCTTCAGGATTTAACCTCCTTCAACCGGGCCTGTAAGACAGAGCTATTCCACATGGCCTTTAATTTGAATTCAGCCTGATCTTTTATTTCCCTTCTCTTCCCTCCCCCTTCCCTTTTATGAAGATCACCTGCTCTGAGACCTCACAGCTAATTCTCCCCTGGCCTCCTTGCTGGCCCAAGTAGGACCAATTCAGCCAGCTAGCCCTGGGGATTATCTAATGCTTATTTCCCCTAAATTGATTTTTGATTTTTAGATTTTTATTGTTTTTCATGTTTTTATACTGTATTTTATGCTGCTTTTATAATTAAGTGTTTTAAATGTGTTGTTAGCCGCCCTGAGCCCGGTTTTTGAACCAGGAAGGGCGGGGTATAAATAAAATAATTATTATTATTATTATTATTATTATTATTAATATAATCCATCCTCACTCACACTAGTGAGCAAGCAGCAGAGAACATTCCCTTGCAGATTGCTGGAAGCAAGCTGATGGATTCGTTAGAATCATTTAAGTTAAGCAATCCAGTCTGGTAAGTTTCCCCTTTTTATTTCCCTCTTAAAATAATAACAACATGGCAGTCTTGTTTAAAAGTAAGAGTAAGGTTTACAGTCGTACCTTGGAAGTCAAACAGCCTAGTTCTCAAACATTTTGGCTCCCAAAAGATCGAAACCCGGAAGTGACTGTTCCGCTTCTCTAACGTTCTTTTGGAAGCCGGATGTCTGACAGGGCTTCCGCAGCTTCCGATTGGCTGCAGGAGTTTCCTGCAGCCAACCAGAAGCTGTGCTTTGGTTTCCAAACGTTTTGGAAGTCGAAGGACTTTCGGAATGGATTCCGTTCAACTTCCAAGGTACGACTGTACTTACATTCAGTTCACAGTAGTATTCTGAAGACAGGCTTTATCTTGTGGTTACAGTTACATTTGTAGAGAAAAGAAGTCTATGAGCTAGGCCTCAGACTTTTTACCGCGTGGCTTCCATCCTTTGTAAGGATGAGCTATGTGCTGCTGGCTAAGGGCCAGCAGAGAGGAACATGGCAAAAGAGCCAAAGAGAGGAAGATGGCTGTGTGGCTGGCCCTTTTATTGGGTCTAGTAGGGTCATGCTCATCTACCTGGTCACACACAGGTGGAGGATGCTCCAAAGCAGGTATGGCAGGAAGTCCTCCCTGTCTGGAGCAACATTCCCCTGCATGTCCACTCTAGGCAACAGGAAATGTTGTGCTTGACTGCTTCAGTGATGATACATCCCACACAAAGGAGACCCAGGAAGCATCGTCTGGTTTCTCAACTGACTCCTCATCACAACTTTAAAAAGCCATTGACTTATTGGCCAGGCCAGAAGGAATCACCTCAGGAATGAAGCTGGACCAGGCTATAGATCTGTCTAGTCCAGGATCCTGTTCTCACTGGGGCCAACGAGATGCTTCATCAGGAAGCCCACAAGCAAGACCCGAGGCCTAAGCTTAGTCAGAATGGACCACTGGCTACATCCTTCCTCCCTGGAAACATCTTAACCAGTAATCAATGAGAATCACAGGAGGTCTATCCAAAAAGGGGAAATGGGGTCCTTACCCAGAGAGGCCACATTTTGGTAGTTCTCCAGCATGACTTCCTTGTGCAGAGCTCTTTGGCCTGGATCCAGCAGAGACCACTCCTCCTCCGTGAAAATCACTGCCACCTCCTCAAAGGACACCAGACCCTAAAAGAAGAAGAAAGAATTACCTCAATATATACCATTATCCCAGGTTGTTTCTTGCTTTTTCTACGTTTTTAACGTCTGGTGTTTTATGGCATTTCTATATAGCGCTGGAAGTTGCCCAGAGTGGCTGGGGCAACCTAGTCAGATGGGCAGAACAACAACAACAACAACAACAACAACAACAGCAACAGCAACAGCAACAGCAACAATTCACCAAAGCAATAGCAGAAAAGCAAAACAAAACAAAAGAACAGCTTGCTGGATAATAATAATAATAATAATAATAATAATAATAATAATAATAAAAATAAAAATAAAAATAATAATAAAATTTATACCCCGCCCTCCCCAGCCAAGACCGGGCTCAGGTCGGCTAACACCAAGCATACAAATAATTGATTGAAATACAGCTTAAAAAAAATATTAAAATACAACATTAAAACATTAAAATGCAGCCTCATTTCAGCGGAAACTCAATCAAAATCTTTTTTGGGGATGAAAATGTCAAGTCTTCACCAAGGCCAGCTATCCAGACTGGTCCTACATGGGCCATAAAAAAGCCAGGGAAGTCCCCAAATAGGAGTTCCATCACAGAAGGAGAAAGCAAAAAAGAAAGAGGGGGAGGGAATCAAATTGGCTCCAAGCCAAAGGCCAGGCGGAACAACTCTGTCTTACAGGCCCTGCGGAAAGAAATCAGATCCTGCAGGGCCCTGGTCTCATGAGGCAGAGCGTTCCACCAGGCCGGAGCCAGTGCTGAGAAGGCCCTGGCTCTGGTTGAAGCCAATCTAACTTCCTTAGGGCCCGGGACCTCTATGGTGTTGCTATTTATGGACCTTAAGGTCCTCCTCGGGGCATACCGGGAGAGGCGGTCCCGTAGGTACGAGGGTCCTAATAATAATTTAGTTATATGCCACCCATTTGAACGAGTCGTCCCAGTCAGATAAGGTCACCGGTCCACCATCCTATTCTCACAGTGGCCGCCAAATGCCTGTGGGAAACCTGCAAGGAGGACCAGACACAGCAGCTCTCTCCCTTTCTTCGGTTTCCAGCAACTGGTATTCAGAAGCATTGTGGCCTCTGTTGCTCCATGATTCTGTCTAATCCTCTTTTAAAGTTTGGCAGCCATCACTGCCTCCTGTGGGACTGTCTGTATGCTGTCATCGGCTCCAGGCTGGTTGCCCAGGGAAGCATAAAGACTATTATTATTATTATTATTATTATTATTATTATTATTAATTTATACCCTGCCCTCCCTGGCCAGAGCCTGGCTCAGGGCGGCTAACACCAGTAAAATTACAGTAAAAACATAATAGGGGGGGAAAAAACCACCAATTTAAAATACAGGTTAAAATGCAATTTTAAATGCAGCCTCATTTTAAAAGTGGCCCATAGATCAAGACCATAAGGGGAGGGAAACATAAGGGTCAGACTGAGTCCAAACCAAAGGCCAGGCGGAACAGGTCTGGCTTGCAGGCCCTGCGGAAAGATGTCAAGTCCCACAGGGCCCTAGTCTCTTGTGACAGAGCGTTCCACCAAGTCAGGGCCAGTACTGAAAAGGCCCTGGCCCTAACTGAGACCAATCTAACCATCTTGCGACTTGGGACCTCCAAAATGTTGTCATTTGTGGACCTTAAGGTCCTCCACGGGGCATACCAGGAGAGGCGGTTCTTACAGTCCTTTTTTATTTCAAAGCCATAGAACCCAGCCTCTCGGATAATGGCATTGAGCCAAGTGAATCGCCACCGCCCGTCTCTCCCACTTCCTCACTCGTCGTCATCATCACCGCCTCTACGGGTGCCACTAAGTGCCCTCTGTCTTTGAGCTCTTTGCTCTCCTACTTTTAAGGCTTGCCGGGTTCTGGGAGATGGTGGGTCTGGAATGTTTTCTAGTGGCAACTGGTCAGCCAGCTGCTGCTCTGCCTCTCCCATCATTTCCCAACTTTCCCCCTCATCTGTGACCTCCCTCAAACCCCTGTTGTAAATCTATGCTGTCTTCCTCTTCCTCCTCCCTGGGAGGGTCAGGATGGGGAAGCAATCTCCACCACTCCTCCTCCTCCTCAGCTCAGTCCCTGACTGGGAGCAAATTCCACAGTTTGAACCACGCACCCCGTGAGAGTTCCCAACAGAAGCAAAACAAAGCACTCCACAGTGAGGAGTTGCTGCGCTCAGATTCTCTTGCTGGTTTCCCACAATGCATCTGGTTTCCCGCCGTGAGAACAGGATGCTGGGCAAGATGGGCCAATGATCTTGCATCCTTCTGTTGCAGAAGGATCCCCCAAGAGGGATATATATTCTGGTGAATAACAGAGGAAATAATTCACTTATTTCTAGCTGGCATAATGTGAGTTTGGAATGCTCTTATTAAAAGTGGGGCAAAATGTAGTTGGAACACAAAAGGGCAATACTTGGAGGATGTATGATGTTTTAGGAAACTGGATAGCTAATGTAAGTGGCATCAGCCTAATCATCTAGCCCAGATAATGCTCTCATACCCTTTGACACCTAGGTGGCATCTAAGTGGCAAACTAGGAATTTAATTTCAACTTCATGTGTCTCTGTCCTAATTGTGGGTTGGTTCTGGAGTGTAGTTCTGCTCATGGAATGGTCATTCCAGGTTCCCACTCATGGGAGAGAAGAGGTGAATTTCACTGATTCCCTATTCACCCCACATCACCACGCATCCTCCCATCTACTTTTTACTGTAAGAATCCCTCCAACATAAGCCCAGTGTTAGAAAATCAGATATGTAAGCTGTTTGCCAAATGGAGCCTTAAACCTCAGTTATGGAATGTCTAGTTGCAAGTTGTTGGTTTTTTTGAAAGGTTTTTTTCTAAAGCAATTTTACTCATGCGTCGCATGGTGTGCCATTTTGACTCTCGGCGCCACCCAGGTGACTTGCGCCACAATGCACGGGGCTGCAGTTTTACTCTCGAGTCTCACATCTCGGCACACATCTCAAACTGACCATGCCAAGTCGCAAAACCCTGAAATTCTGAGCGCTGTAGGAAGCCCCATTGCCTCGAAGCAGGCAGGACTCAACTGGGGGAGGCTCCTCCCACTGAAGGAGGGAAGGAACTTATTTGCATAGCCCCGCCTCTGAGGCAAGTGGGAGGAGCAACCCTCTCGGGACGACCACCTCCACTCAGTGTGGATCCTTCCCCTACCTGCGCTGGGTGCAAAGCAGCTCTTTCCACTTCGCCACAAGGAGGAAAGGATCCGGAACGCGTCAGTGACGTTTGTCCCCTGCCTGTCAGGGTGACAAGAAGAAAAGCACACCAGCGGAGATATTTTCAGCGTCGCTTGCCTGAGAAGCCCTATTTGCTGCAGGACACAATTTAAGGCGCGACTCCCCTGAGGAGAGGCTGCAGAATTTGGTTTGATTTATATATTTGCTGAGATAAATATTTATACAGTGGTACCTCGGGTTACAGACGCTTCAGGTTACAGACTCCGCTAACCCAGAAATAGTACATCGGGTTAAGAACTTTGCTTCAGGGTGAGAATAGAAATCACGAGGCAGCAGTGTGGCAGCAGTGGGAGGCCCCATTAGCTAAAGGGGTTCCTCAGGTTAAGAACAGTTTCAGGTTAAGAAAGGACCTCCAGAATGAATTAAGTTCTTAACCCGAGGTACCACTGTATGACGCTATTCATTTCAAAAATATCGGACTGGTTTACAACATTTATACATGAATGAAAATTAGACACCCTGTTTTCACGGTGCCCCACCAGACGCCTGTGGGAGATGGGCAAGCCGGGTTCTGCCCCTACTCTCTCCATGCCATGTTTCATCTTATAATCTTAAAAGGTAAAGGGACCCCTGACCATTAGGTCCAGTAGTGGCCGACTCTGGGGTTGCGGCGCTCATCTTGCTTTATTGGTTGAAGGAGCCGGCGTACAGCTTCCAGGTCATGTGGCCAGCATGACTAAGCCGCTTCTGGCAAACCAGAGCAGCGCACGGAAACGCTGTTTACCTTCCCGCCAGAGCGGTACCTATTTATCTACTTGCACTTTGACGTGCTTTCAAACTGCTAGGTTGGCAGGAGCTGGGACCAAGCAACGGGAGCTCACCCCGTCGCGGGGATTCGAACTGCTGACCTTCTGACCAGCAAGTCCTAGGCTTTGTGGTTTAACCCACAGCGCCACCTGCATCCCTTATCTTACAATCTTAGAATAGCAGAATTGTAGATTTGGAAGGGACCCTGAGGGTCATCTAGCCCAACCCTGTCAGGTGTGCATGCAGGAGCCAGCCCCTGTGACCAATAGGACTTTGCAGGGTGGGGGCCTTCCTAAGTTTGTTCTGAAGAGGCAAGGCGCAGCCACACAGGTGAGGCCGATTAGTAACTCACAGCACCTGGTGACAAGAGCCAGGAAGGGATATAAGATCAGCATTTCCCTTCGGCTCTTTGCCACAGCAACATGCTTCCTACCTATGGCTTCTTGCTTCCTGATCCTTGAACCTTGGCTTCTTGACTCCCTGCTTCTTGATCCTCGGACCCCTGACTTCCTGACTCCTTGCTTCCTGACCCTCGGACTCTTGGCTTCCTGACTCCTGGCTTCTGGACCCCCGTTCCTGCTCCCACCCCGCCATCTTGTCCCCGGTCCTGACGTCCCCTGCCAGGACTTTGATCGCCCGTGAACTGGACCCTGACAAACCTGCTGCAATGCAGGAATCTCTGCTAAAGCATCCATGACAGATGGCCATCCAACCACCGCTTAAAAATCTCCAATGAAGGAGAGGCCACAACTTCCGGAGGGAGACCGTTCCACTAATGAACAGCTCTTACTGTCAGAAAGGTCTTCCTGATGTTTAGTCAGAACCTCCTTTCTTGTAACTTGAAGCCATGGGTTTGAATCCTGCCTCCAGAGCAGGCGAAAACAAGCTTGCTCCATCTTCCATGTGACAGCCCTTGTGATAGTTGAATAAAGCTATTACCTCTTACTTGCCTTTTCTCTGAGCTAAAAGGTCCCAAATGCTGCAACTTTTCTGGCTGCCCTTTTCTCAATAATATGAAATAAATAAACCTTTCTGAACTCTGCAGTGCCCTTTTGAGGTTCTGCTCCAAGGGCCTTCTGGCGGTTCCCTCCTTGCGAGAAGTGAGGTTATGGGGAACCAGACAGAGGGCCTTCTTGGTAGCGGCACCCATCCTGTAGAACGCCCTCCCATCAGATGTCAAGGAAGTAAACAACTATCTGACTTTTAGAAGACACCTGAAGGCAGCCCTATTTAGGGAAGTTTTTAATGTTTGATGTTTTATTATTATTATTAATACTCTGTTGGGAGCTGCCCAGAGTGGCTGGGGAAACCCAGTCAGATGGGCAAGGTATAAACAATAAACAATTGTTGTTGTTGTTGTTGTTGTGCCCCAGGAGGTCACTTCAGTGCTGCTATCTCGACTTCAAACCCCCCCCCACCTCTGAGGCGCACTCCATTATTTTTCGAGACAATTGGATGCCAACAATGGTTGTTGCATATCCATTTTCTTCAGCGTTTCAACTGAAGGGCTAACTTTTATTAAGAAGAACCGCTAACCACTTGGGCTCTACATAATTGCACAGCCACCTGCTCCTTTCGCCATATAGCATTTTATCCGAGCTGCCTCTGATATTTCACACACACAAACCCCAAGCAGGACATTATACTGGAAGGACATATTTTTATTATTATCATCATCCTCCTCCTCATTATTATTATTTTGAGGGGAGGAGGCCAGATCTGCACAATATACAGTGGTACCTTGGGTTACATATGCTTCAGGTTACAGACTCCACTAACTCAGAAATATTACCTCGGGTTAAGAACTTTGCTTCAGCGTGAGAACAGAAATTGTGCTCTGGCGGTGCGGTGGCGGCGGGAGGCCCCATTAGCTAAAGTGGTGCTTCAGGTTAAGAACAGTTTCAGGTTAAGAACAGACCTCCACAACGAATTAAGTACTTAACCTGAGGTACCACTGTATTTCATATCTGGCTGCACCATAGATTTGTCTAAAGGCAGTGTGATTTCCAGTTCCTCGCCTAATGAACCCCCAGAATGAGCTTGGCCCCTCTCCATTGCACCTCAAGGGAACCAGACGAGAACATAGTCCCACAGCAAGTCAAAAGCCCCTACCTGCAGATCCGTCCCGGACAAATTGCTCCTCTACTTCTTTCAACCAGGAGATGAGGTGTGGCCGTGGAATCTGAGGTCCTTCTTTAAAAGAAAAAAATAAACCATGCTGTTTTTGCGGATTCTCTGGGATGCCCAACGCCCACCCCCAGAGAAATAAGAGCATGAGAACAGGCTACTGAATCAGGCCCATCCAGTCCAGCAGCCCGTTCTCACATGTTTTTAATATTCTGTTGGGAGCAGCCCAGAGTGGCTGGGAAAACCCAGCAAGATGGGCAGGGTATAAATAGATTATTATCATCATTATTATTATTATTATTATTCCCCAATGGGAAGCCCATAAGCAAGATGTGTGCACAACTGCATTCACCCCACTTGCAGCTTCAAGCAACTGGGATTCAGAAGCACTGCTTCTGTGGAGGCTAGTATTGATTTTTAATATTAATACTTTATCGGGAAAAAATCAATTACAGCGGTACCTCGGGTTACATACGCTTCAGGTTACATACACTTCAGGTTACACACTCCGCTAACCCAGAAATAGTGCTTCAGGTTAAGAACTTTGCTTCAGGATGAGAACAGAAATTGTGCAGCGGCAGTGGGAGGCCCCATTAGCTAAAGTGGTGCTTCAGGTTAAGAACAGTTTCAGGTTAAGAACGGACCTCCGGAACGAATTAAGTACTTAAGCCGAGGTACCACTGTATAAAGACCAACAGAGGGGGGAAAAAGGGGGAGACACAAAAATGCGTATAATAAAAATATATCTACAAAAATGCAATACAGTCGTACCTCGGAAGTCGAACGGAATCCGTTCTGGAAGTCTGTTCGACTTCTGAAACATTCGGAAACCGAAGCGCAGCTTCTGGTTGGCTGCAGGAAGCTTCTGCAACCAGTCAGACTCCACGGAAGCCCCGTCAGACGTTTCGGCTCCCAAAAGAACGTTCAAAAACCGGAACACTCACTCCCGGTTTTCAATTGTTTGGGAGCCAGAACATTTGACTCCCGGGACCCGAGGTACAACTGTATTCCCATACATTCTTATATAGACTGATATAGTGTTATTATCCTAATACATAAAGGTAAAGGGACCCCTTACCAATAGGTCCAGTCGTGACCGACTCTGGGGTTGTGGCACTCATCTCGCTTTATTGGCTGAGGGAGCCGCCGTACAGCTTCCGGGTCATGTGGCCAGCATGACTAAACCGCTTCTGGCGAACCAGAGCAGCACACGGAAACGCTGTTTACCTTCCCGCCAGAGCGGTACCTATTTATCTACTTGCACGTTGACGTGCTTTTGAACTGCTAGGTTGGCAGGAGCAGGGACCGATTGCGGGGATTCGAACCACCGACCTTCTGATCGGAAAGTCCTAGGCTCTGTGGTTTAACCCACGGCGCCACCCACATCCCTATCCTAATACATACACAGATGTTAATAGCCTTACACTGTGCAGAAACCCATTCTATCTGTTGTCCCATTTATCCAAACCAAGTCTCTAAGCAGTCTCTTCATAAGCTGCACGTGTTGTCACATTGTTGATTCATTGATCAAAGGGTATCATATCTTTATGCTTCCAGTTTATTAGTATCAGACTGGAGTCTAGCATTGTTGGCTAAGCAGCCATTGAGAGCCTTCCCTCCGCCCCGTGAATTTCTCTCATCCTCTTTCAAGTTCCACAGTTTAACTATGCAATGTGTGAAGAAATGCTTTCCTTTTTTTCCTGTCACTGCTCCTCAGCCTAACCTAGCAGGGTTGCTTGGCAGATTAAAAGAGGAGTGAGAGAATGATGCACATTTCCTCGGGTGGGGTGTGTGTGGAAGTTTGCTAGAAATGCAAGATAAAAACAGGAATTCTCTAAATCAGGGTACCCGAACATGGGTGCTGTCTGGATGATGTGGACTACAGTTCCCATCAGCCTGGCCCAAGACAGCCTGGCTGGTGATCAGGAATGATGGCAGTTTCCACAATGTCTCAACAAATGAAACTGATTTGTAAAAATGTTACATGGGGGGAAAATATACGAGAGAGAGAGAGAAACATTGCACACACTTTTGTAAATCAAGAAAATCTTAAATAAATAAATAACTTAATAAAAAAGAAACAGGGAAAATAACAGAATTTGGCAAGTTTGTAAGGAGTCTATTGAAGCAGCTCCTGTACATTGGAGCTCCCTGCCTCTTGATTATTAGGCAGGAATCATTACGGTAATTCTTCTAGACACCTGCTGAAAACTTTTCTTTTGGCAGACCCAGACAGGTGATTCGGATGCATCTGTTCCTAAATTTGTATTAGATGTTTCACTGTATTTAGATGTTTTAATATGTTTTCAATAGCTTTCAGAAGTTTTAAATAGCTTTCAGGTTTTTAAAATATGCTTTTATTTCATGTGTGTGTGTGTGTGTGTGTGTGTATATATATATATATATATATGTGTGTGTGTGTGTGTGTGTGTGTGTGTGTGTGTAAGTGTAATTACAGAACTGTTTGCTGTCCTGGGCTGCTTTTGGGAAGCAGGGTGGGATATAAATTTAATAATAATAATAATAGAGAGAGAGAGAGAGAGGAATGATGGGAGTTGTAGTCTAAAACATCCAACGTGGAGGAAGGCTGTTTTGATCTATCGGAAGAGGGGGAAACGGGATTCTTACCTAGAGACTCCACATCCCCATCATTCTTCAGCATGACTCCCCTGTACAGAGAGTTGTTTGGCCTGGACTCGACAGAGTCCACTCTGCTTCTTCCTTTTCCTCCTCTTTGGTGAATTGAACAGCCACCTTCTTTAAGGAAACAGGCAGCTGAAAGAAAAAAGCACATAGTTCTCAGCAGACGCAGAACAGGCAGGCAGACGTGTTCGTATCACAGAACTGCAGGGCTGGAAGAGACACATGATGGGTTACCAGTCCAACCCCGTTTTGCAGGAATCACGGCGAAACAATTTAGCAGCTTACGAAAAGAATAAAACAACTGTTTTTAAAGGCAACTATCTAAAACGTTCAGGAAGTAACGATTAAAACCAGCGATAAGCTGGAAGCAGGTTGAAAAACAGACATCCACGCTCTGCAGGCCTGATAAGGCTCGCCTAAACGAAAATATTTTCAGCAGCTGCCAAAAAAAGTACAGTGAAGGCTCCTGCCTGGTGTCAAGAGGCAGGTAGTTCCGAAGTGCGGGTGCTGCTAAAAACATTCTTTTCATTTAAGGGATGCCAGGAATAGTATTTGTCACCTGCATATCTTTGCATTCTGAAAAAGTACTCCCTGGCGTTGCATCTAAACCTTACATTTGTTTAATATTAAACCCATGTTTTCATACAGCCATTCCACCATTTTCCTGGGCTAGTTTATGTAAACTTTTTTTTAAAAAAAACTAATAAAGAAGCAGTAGTATAATCTGTCTTGCATTCAACTAACTTTTGCATCCCCTGAATGGATTAATCATGACCAACTTCAACCCCTTAATTTCAGTGGGTCTACATCCAAGTAAACATTAGTTGAATCTGAACAAAACGTTTACACCTGGTGTGGGAAAGGCACATTATTGAAGGGTGGGCATATATATTTTTAAAGGAAACTACTATTTTTGAGGCTCGCTGACCTCTCGCAAAAGCAAAAAATTGACCTTTTCCTGTTAGGCAAAGATCATAAGACGACCTGGATGGTCGCCAGATTCTGTGTACAGATCTGTAGGTGCAGACCATCCTCTGACCCAAACTAGTTAGTTAAGAAAACCCCCAAACTCGGTTCCCTGAGCCATCTCTCTGCCCTAGCTTATCTTAAAGTTTTAAGCTTCTATGTGCTTATCACATTTTTAAATTTTAGATTTATTGTTGTACATTGTTTTAAATGTTTGTTTTCCTTCTGGGATTGTACAGTGGTGCCCCGCAAGACGAATGCCTCGCAAGACGAAAAACTCGCTAGACGAAAGGGTTTTGCGTTTTTTGAATCGTTCCGCAAGACGAATTTCCCTATGGGCTTGCTTCGCAAGACGAAAGGGTTTTGCGAGTTCTTGCGAGTTTGTTTCCTTTTTCTTAAAGCCGCTAAGCCGCTAATAGCCGCTAAGCCGCTAATAGCCACGCTTCGCAAGACGAAAAAACCGCAAGACGAAGAGACTCGCAGAATGGATTAATTTCGTCTTGCAAGGCACCACTGTACCCCAAAGTGTGTTTTATAAGCTGGTCTCCGACCATAATAAATTATCTATCTATCTATCTACTATTCATTTACAGAGTTATAATCTGCAGTTTCGTAAAAATATATCAAGGTGGTAGGTAGAAGCACATAGCAAGAGTTTGCAGGATGATGTCAATGGCCCATTTAGTCCAACATCCTGTTCTCACAGTGGATGCCTGTGGGAGAACCACGGACAGGATCCAAGCATAAGAGCCTTCTCCGCTCCTGTGGCTTCAGACAACTGGTACCCAGAGGCATCCCTGCCTCTGGCCGTAAAGGAAGATAACAGCAATCCTGGCCACTAGCCATGGACTGCCCTCTCGTCCTCTGGATTTTTCTCATCTTTTTTAAAGCCGAGAAGGACTTTTGTGTTTTTTTCCTCTCTCCCGAATCTTCCAACATTCCACGAGGTCTTGCATTAGGAGAGACAGAGGAAAAGCCTTCCTCTGCCCCGCTTTCTCCATGCCCTGTGGGGTTTCATAAGCTTCCTGCCGCCTCTTACTTGCCTTTTTCTCTGAACGGAAACGTCCCAATTACGCCGCAACCTTTCTGCGCAGGGTTCTGCTCACCAGAGGACCGTATTCTTTCATTCCTGCGAGTCGTGTGTCTGCTGAACTGCAGAGCCTAGCAAAAGCCAAGGGGGGAGGACATGCCAAACAGCCCCGGCGATTGCCAACAGCTGGAACAGGCAGGACTGGAGATGGCCCCCTGCCTGCAAACCCTGGAGAGGCGCTGCCAGCCAGTGTGGGCAGCACTAGACTAGACAGACGAATTGCCTGATTCAATATAAGGCGGAGCAGTTGCATGAAGTCCCGCTGTCAATCCCAGGCATCTCCAGGGAGAGAGACCCCCCTGCCTGCCTGCCACCTGGGGAGGACCGCTGCCGGCCTGTGCTGACAGTATTGGGCTAGGCTCCGACTCGGTATAGAAGCAGCTTTGCAATGCAATCCTGCTTCTGGTCTGGAGTGGGAGGAATATCCTGAGTGGGGGAGGGGGGAAGAGGAGTGGGGGCTCCTTTGCTCTGCAGCGAGGAGCAAAGAAAGACCCCCCCAAAAATATGGGTGCTCGGTAGGAATTTCCAATTCCGGCCACCCCCCCTCCCCGCCCTTGTACCGGAAATCATTCCCCTTCCTTCCCTAGCCTTTGTCCTCCATTCCTCGGTTCCCCCCCTTTCCCCAAGCCCCCTTTCTTTGTCCTGGGGGGCTTCCCCTGCCCCCCAAATGCCCTTTGCACTCACCGGGCGCTCTCGGGGAATGGGGCGGGGCTAGCGCAGCCACGCGTGGGAAAATCCGACGCTCCTTTCCCACGCGGGGGCCGGGTCGGAAGCGAAAGTGTTTTTTCCAAGGCGTACGCACCCCCCACCCCTGCTCGCCCCGGCTGCTGCCTGTCTAGGAAGCCCGCCTTTCTCCCTTTAACCCTGAGATGCTAAGCGAGGGTGTTTATATATATATACTGTATATATTCTTTAAAAAGGCAGAGCTCAATTCCCCACGCGTTAAAGCCATAACTTGCATTTCTAGAGGGGTATTCCTGGAGGAGAAAAATGCACTTTCCCTCCCACTCCTCACTCCGCAGCACACAGTTAAAACTTCTTCATGCCGCACAGCGGGGGTCCTTTTACCTTTTTTTACCTTAAACTGTGGAACTCACTGCCACAGGAAGCAGCTTGGATAGCTTTGAAAAGAGGGTCCGACAAATCCATGGGGGAGAGAGCTACCGGTGGCTGCTAGCTGAAATGGATCAACATAGAAGGAAGCAGCTATGGTTTTGAATGTCCGGGGGCGGGGGCGCACAAGACACTCTTCTGGGGTTTCCACCAACTGGCCTTAGAAAGCATTGCAACTCCCTGGATCCCTTTTTATAAAAATTGGTGCTCTAGTTATCTCCCGCTTGGACTACTGCAATGCGCTCTACGTGGGGCTACCTTTGAAGGTGACTCGGAAACTACAATTAATCCAGAATGCAGCAGCCAGACTGGTGATTGGAAGTGGCCGCCAAGACCACATAACACCAGTCCTGAGAGACCTGCATTGGCTCCCAGTACGCTTCCAAGCACAATTCAAAGTGTTGGTGCTGACCTTTAAAGCCCTAAACGGCCTCGGTCCTGCATACCTGAAGGAGCGTCTCCACCCCCATCGTTCAGCCGGGACACTGAGGTGCAGCGCCGAGGGCCTTCTGGCGGTTTCCTCATTGCGAGAAGTGAGGTTACAGGGAACCAGGCAGAGGGCCTTCTCGGTAGTGGTGCCCGCCTTATGGAACGCCCTCCCTTCAGATGTCAAAGAGATAAACAACTACCTGACATTCAGAAGACATCTTAAGGCAGCCCTGTTCAGTGAAGTTTTTAATGTGTGACATTTTAGTGTATTTTTGGTCTCTGTGGAAGCTGCCCAGAGTGGCTGGGAAACCCAGCCAGATGGGCGGGGTACAAATAAATTATTATTATTATTATTATTATTACTACATTGACTACTTTCCAGTCCACGAATGTGTGGGCTAGACCTGAGGGAAAAGTTGCATATTAAGAAGTGCAATTCCCCACAACGACACTGCGAGGTGGATTACCATGGGTAGGCAAACTAAGGCCCGGGGACTGGATCCGGCCCAATCGCCTTCTAAATCTGGCCTGCGGACAGTCCAGGAATCAGCGTGTTTTTACATGAGTAGAATGTGTCCTTTTATTTAAAATGCATCTCTGGGTTATTTGTGGGGCATAGGAATTCGTTCATTTCCCCCCTCCAAAATATAGTCCGGCCCCCCACAAGGTCTGAGGGACAGTGGACCGGCCCCCTGCTGAAAAAGTTTGCTGACCCCTGGATTAGGCAGAGAGCCATAGCGACAGGCCCAGAATCACCAAATGAACTTCATGGCAGAGTGGAGATTTGAACCCTGGTCTCCCAGGTCTTAGACCGTCAGGCTAACCAGTACACCACACTGCCTCTTTCTAGCTGAGTGCCTGTTACTGAACTTTGTAGAGAGAATCGACCCCCTTCACTTTCTATTCTGATCCAGACATTGGGGGGGGGGGCGAGCAAGGGGGGAAGCGTCTCTCCCCCCCCCCCATCCAAGTAAATAAATAAAAATACTTAAGTAGAAATTGTAAAAAGTTTTTGACAGGTTTTTCTGAGCATGGGGTGAAAAGAAAGTAATTTAGAACAGCTGTTGTTGTGACATTTCATTCCGAATCTGCTAGAGTTGACAGAGCCAGGACCCATCTTATGTTTGCGATGGCAAGTTGTTTTAAACTGTTTTCAGATTGTGTTTCAATGTTGTAACCCATCCTGGGACCTTAGGGTGAAGCATGGACACAGCCAGGGTTATTTATTTTCTCAACAACAGTTATTTTAAATTCCCGTGTTTTTCTGTGTATAAGAGTAGGTTTTTTAACCAAAAAGTTAGGTTTGAAATTGAGGCTCGTCTTATACACAGGTAGTGCTGAGGGGTGTTTTCTTAATTTAGATAAAGGTAAAGGGACACCTGACCATTAGGTCCAGTCATGACCGACTCTGGGGTTGCGGCGCTCATCTCCCTTTATTGGCCGAGGGAGCCGGCGTACAGCTTCTGGGTCATGTGGCCAGCATGACTAAGCCGCTTCTGGCGAACCAGAGCAGCACACGGAAACACAGTTTACCTTCCCACCGGAGCGGGACCTATTTATCTACTTGCACTTTTTGGGGTGCTTTCGAACTGCTAGGTTGGCAGGAGTAGGGACCGAGCAACGGGAGCTCAACCCATCGTGGGGATTTGAACCACCGACCTCCTGATCGGCAAGCCCAAGAGGCTCAGTGGTTTAGACCACAGCGCCACCAGCATCCTTTCTTAATTTGGAGTCCCCCCAAAATAGGGGGCGTCTTATACATGGAAAAATGCGGTACTTTCTTTTGACCCCAAGTGCTCAGACAAAAAACCCTGTCAAAATTTTCAGTCATTTGAAACCTAAGAAGTTAAATTTAAAAGAGAGAAACTTTTTCAACACTTCCTTCTCAATTTCCAATGCAGTTTTTCTGTGCATGCTCAGTAAGCAAAGCCCATGTCATCGCTGACCTTAGCCGGGTCTTTACACTCTGCTAGGTCCTGAATGACTGCTCTGCGGTACAATTGGCACATGGCCAGTTAGACCCACTGCTGTAGTATCCTAAATTCTGGCGTTCTGCAGAGAACGCCCCACACATTTCAACGAAGGATGAAACGATATGCTACTTGCATTCCCTGTTTAGGGAAGTTTTAAATCTTTAATGCTGTATTGTTTTTAACACTCGATTGGGAGCCGCCCAGAGTGGCTGGGGAAACTCAGCCAGATGGGCAGAGTATAAATAATAAATTATATTATTATTTGTTTAGTTGTTTTGTCATGTCCGACTCTTCGTGACCCCATGGACCAGAGCACGCCAGGCACTCCTGTCTTCCACTGCCTCCCGCAGTTTGGTCAGACTCATGTTTGTGGCTTCGAGAACACTATCCAACCATCTCGTCCTCTGTCGTCCCCTTCTCCATCTTTCCCAACATCAGGGTCTTTTCCAGGGAGTCTTCTCCTCTCATTTGCCTCCTTTCTGTGCTCAGGCTGATTATGTTGTTTTTCATCCCTGTGTTCCTTTCCTTCTTACAGTGCTGCCCAAGTTTTGGTGAAGGCACCCAAGGAGATAACATTTGTGGCTGAGAAACTCGAAGTGACCGTCTGTGGCCTGTACGTGAGAGCAGCCTGAGCTTCTCTCCCAGAGATGTGGGACCACGTGAATTGAGAACTTGGGTGATGTTGCTAGCACCAGCTAACCTCTCCTCCAATCCCCTTCACCAGCCTTGGCCGCACCACCCTAGCTCCGATGGAATGATTGCCATGTTGTTGTTGTTGTTTAATTGTTTAGTCATGTCCAACTCTTCTTGACCCCATGGACCAGAGCACGCCAGGCACTCCTGTCTTCCACTGCCTCCCGCAGTTTGGTCAGACTCATGTTTGTAGCTTCGAGGACACTGTCCAACCATCTCGTCCTCTGTTGTCCCCTTCTCCTTGTGCCCTCAGTCTTTCCCAACACCAGGGTCTTTTCCAGGGAGTCTTCTCATGAGGTGGACAAAGTATTGGAGCCTCAGCTTCACGATCTGTCCTTCCAGTGAGCACTCAGGGCTGATTTCCTTCAGAATGGATAGGTTTGATCTTCTTGCAGTCCATGGGACTCTCAAGAGTCTCCTCCAGCACCATAATTCAAAAGCATCAATTCTTCAGCAATCAGCCTTCTTTATGGTCCAGCTCTCACTTCCATACATCACTACTGGGAAAACCATAGCTTTAACTATACGGACCTTTGTTGGCAAGGTGATGTCTCTACTTTTTATAACCTAGATGCTGTCTAGGTTTGTCATTGCTTTTCTCCCAAGAAGCAGGCATCTTTTATACGTGTAATAAAAGCAAGCACTGCCTTTTTCTAGGGAAAGTCTCGCCAGGGAGGGAGATCGTGGTATCTCAGTGAGCATTTCAATTTCAAATATTCTGATTATTTCTACTTTTAGTTAAGTATTTTTATTTATTGACTTGATTTTTTTTGGGGGGGGAGCAGCTGCCCCCCCAGCTATGCCCATAGGGTGAAGGGTGGATAATATACAGTCCACTTCCCTATTTTCACTATGACTGAGCACGGTGACTTATTTGAGACACAAAGCCGCAAGGCCTTGCAAAGAGAGGGAAGGCAGGCTGGGTAAATGATTACACTCTTTCCTCACGAGAACCTGAATCAAAATGTGCCCCATTCATATTTGCTTGCCCTTTTGTTCCAGACAACGGGTGAAGGCTGAGCTACCGCCCAGAGAAAATTGCGCAAATAATTCTTTTATTTGGCTGCTTTTTTACTGGAAGCAGGTAGGTCTGTGCCAGGGGTCAGCAAACTTTTTCAGCAGGTGGCTGGTCCACTGTCCCTCAGACCTTGTGGGGGGCCAGACTATATTTGAGGGGAGGAATGAACAAATTCCTTTGCCCCACAAATAACCCAGAGATGCATTTTAAATAAAAGCACACATTCGACTCCTGTAAAAACACCAGGCAGGCCCCACAAATAACCCAGAGGTGCATTTTAAATAAAAGGACACATTCTACTCATGTAAAAACACGCTGATTCCCGGACCGTCTGTGGGCCGGATTTAGAAGGCGATGGCCAGATCCGGCCCCCAGACCTTAGTTTGCCTACTCATGGTCTATGCCAACTGTCTCATCTTTGAAGGGAGGCTTGCCAACTGCTCCTCAGCCCCTGGAAGTTGGACAGAGGGCATGTTTATCTGTGGGCGTTTTATACATTTTTTGAAATAAAAAAATCCATGCCACCACTGGCGGAGGAAGAGGAGTGCAGGGGGAGTGCACCGCCCCCGGCAGCATGATCCCAGTAGGGTGCCATTGCGGCTGCCCCCCCCCCCCCGCGCTGGGAGCCCGCCCCCGCCTGCCCTTCGCCCCCCGGAAGCTCCACCACTGCATGCCACTTCAAACTGGGTTTAGAGATGTTGACGCTGGAGAAAGTTTACCTAGATGGTACGTTTCTTGCCTTTTGTTTCATTGTTCCATCTCTTCCAACACGGTTGAAAGAAACAAACAGAATCTACACAGAAACAAAAACAAAAAAGAAGGGAGGGGTTGCCTTTTGACTTTTTGCAATTACTAACTTTGGGCCAAGGCACTAATGATCCATTAACATGTTGTTGCAGTATCAGCTCCATCTGGTACGCAGGCTGAGACCCTACCTGCCCGCGGACTGTCTCGCCAGACTGGTGCATGCTCTAGTTATCTCTCGCTTGGACTACTGCAGTGCGCTCTATGTGGGGCTGCCTTTGAAGGTGACCCGGAAACTACAACTAATCCAGAATGCGGCAGCTAGACTGGTAACTGGGAGCGGCTGCCGAGACCATATAACACCAGTCCTGGAAGACCTACATTGGCTCCCAGTACGTTTCCAAGCACAATTCAAAGTGTTGGTGCTGACCTTTAAAGCCCTAAACGGCCTCGGTCCAGTATACCTGAAGGAGCGTCTCTTCCCTCATCGTTCTGCCCGGACACTGAGGTCCAGCGCCGAGGGCCTTCTGGCAGTTTCCTCACGGCGAGAAGCCAAGTTACAGGGAACCAGGCAGAGGGCCTTCTTGGTAGTGGCACCTGCCCTGTGGAACACCCTCCCACCAGATGTCAAAGAGAAAAACAACTACCAGATTTTTAGAAGACATCTGAAGGCAGCCCTGTTTAGAGAAGCTTTTAATGTTTAGTAGGTTATTGTATTTTAATATTCCATTGGAAGCCGCCCAGAGTCGCTGGAGAAACCCAGCCAGATGGGCGGGGTATAAATAATAAATTATTATTATTATTATACCTCCTTCCATTGGCAAACATTACTCAGCCCTTTTTGCCGCTGCATTGCTCCCCACTAGCCTCTGTGACCATCGCCACTGCCCTCGCGTGAAGCGCAGGCCCTGCTTGACTGAGAAACGGCACCGCGGAATCGTAAAATTGTCCAGCTGGAAGGGACCTAAATGTTCATCCAGTCCAGCCCCCTGCAGTGTAGGAATCGCAGCAGCTCGGGCAATCTCTGCAGGCTTTTCTCTATTTGATAAGGAGAGGGAAGGTGTTGAGCGTTATGTATTCAGTGGTCTGTGTTTGCCTGAGCTCAAGTCTGGACTAAGGAATCTGAGCTCCTGTGTTCTGATTCGACACATGATGTCCAATCACAGAACATTTCAGGATTTGGGCCTCTGCCATTGGCCCTTGAAGTCTGAGTCATGATTCGCAGCTTGGAAGTTTAGACAGCCAATCACGTTGGGAGTGGGAGTGGCCCAGGCTTCCAGGATTGTGTATAAGCAGTTGCTTTGCCCCTGTTTCCCAGTTATGTAGTTCAATAAAGGTTCTTGCTGTTATCACTGTGTCTTGCCTCTTGGGAATCCACCTACACATCATTGAGAATTGTGAGCAAAGAGGATGAAACGGTGAAATCAGCTATGATTAAATGGGCACAAGATGTTGGACATAATATAATGATGGCTGACTGGGAACAGTTATGGACCACAGGTGTGAAATTCACGGCATGTAATGCCTTAAGAGAAAATTTAATGAAAATGATTTATAGGTGGTACATGACACCAGTCAAGCTTGCAAAAATTTACCATTTGCCCGACAATAAATGTTGGAAATGTAATGAGACTGAAGGTACATTCTTTCACCTTTGGTGGACATGCCCAAGGATTAAGACATTCTGGGAGATGATTTATAATGAAATGAAAAAGTTATTTAAATATACCTTTCTGAAGAAACCAGAGGCCTTTCTCCTGGGCATGGTCGGCCAATTGGTGCCAAAGAAGGATAGAACTTTTTTTATGTATGCAACAACAGCAGCAAGAATACTCATCGCGAAGTATTGGAAGACACAAGATTTACCCACCCGGGAAGAATGGCAGATGAAGTTGATGGACTATATGGAACTGGCAGAAATGACTGGCAGAATCCGAGACCAGGGAGAAGAGTTGGTGGAAGAAGACTGGAAAAAGTTTAAAGACTATTTACAGAAATACTGTAAAATTAATGAATGTTAGAAAAATGTTGGAATGAAATTATATGGCTTTAGTAGAAATGTTATAAGGAAATAAGCATAAATAGATTAATAGAGTATTAAAGGAAAAATAAGGCTAGAGTGTGTTAAGATAATTATAGGATAGAAAACAGAGGAAGATGGAAAGGAATTGCTGTAACAATTAACAGAAGTGGAATACAAAAAGGGAGGTGTGAGGAGGTCGTGGAAATAAGTGAATGAAAGATAAGATATTGAAATTGTTTGATTTATTTTAAACTGTTTTTGTTTTGTTTTGTTAGTTTAATGGGTTTAATGTGTCAATGTTACGTAGTGTTTTTGTATTGTATTGTATTGTATTGTTTTTGTAGTGTTTAAATCGTTGGAAAAGCAATAAATATTAATTTTTAAAAAAAGAGAATTGTGAACAAAGGACACAAGATGTGGGACACAATATACAGATGGAAGATTGGGAAAAAATGTGGAAGACTAAAATAAAATTCACTGCATGTGTGGCGATTAAAGGAAATTATATGAAAATGATGCACAGATATCTAACTCCAGTAAAATTAGCAAAAATGTATAAAAATAAAGAAAGTAAGTGTTGGAAATGTAAATCAGCAGAAGTGACATTTTCTCATATGTGGTGGGATTGCAAAATTGTTAAGAAGTACTGGGAAATGATTTATAATGAATTGAAGAAGATGTTTAAAACCACTTTTGTTAAAAAACCAGAAGCTTTCCTACTAGGTATTACAGTAGTGGATATACCAAGACTGCAAAAAGACTTTTTCAAGTATGCAACGACAGCCGCATGAATACTATTAGCACAATATTGGAAAGAAAAAGGTGTCCCATCTAGAGAAGATTGGCAAGTGAAATTAATGGAATATGCTGAAATGGCAAAAATGACAATGAAACTAAGAGGAAGAGACGACAGAGAATTTAAAGAAGATTGGAAGGACTTTATTGCATATATAAAGAAGCAATGTACACAGGTTAATACATTAGCAGGATTTTTAAAATACTGGTAGAGCTATTATGACTGGACAATAAGTAATTTTAATAATTTTATAATTTAAAATGGACATGCGATATGATGATAAACAATGGAAACAGGGAAGGGAATGGGGGAAGTCAACTCTATTGTTTTTTTTCTATGTTTGAATATGTATTGTTTAATATTAATAAAATAATATTTTAAAAAAGAGAATTGTGAAAGAAGGAAATACATAGGAAGAGCCTTGCTGGATCTGGCCCACGCGGCGACTGGTATGCAGGAGCGTTTATGACCGTGCAGGCAAAGCAGAGCCACCATGGCTTGTTTGTTTGTTTGTTTGTTTGTTTATACCCTGCACATCTGGCTGGCTTGCTCCAGCCAATCTAGGCGGCTTCCAACACATATAAAAATGATAAAACATCAAACATTAATAGCAGCAATCTGATCCAATATAAAAAGTCACAATAACTTTAAAATAAACAACTTATTACCGTATTTTTCACTCCATAAGACGAACCTGACCATAAGGCGCACCTAGTTTTAAGAGGGGGAATGCAAGGAAAAAAATATTATTTAAAGGCAGCGCTGAGCATAGCCTGTATGCATCCCAGGCTCTGCTCAGCGCTCCCTTTCACGAGCCGCATGGAGCGTGTTTGCGGCACTTGCAGGCTTTTCTCGAGGAGGGAGAAGGGCAGCCCGTCACTGACGAGCTGCCCTTCTCCCTCCTTGGGGAAAAGCCCCCAAGGCCACAAACACACTCCGCACGGCTCTTTAAAGGGAGTGCGACTCTTGGGGGCTTTTGCAGGAGGTGGGGGGAGTGAGAAAGCCGCGCTCTGTCCCTTCCTCCACCTCCCGCAAAAGTCTCCCCGCTGCCCTGCGGAGGCTTCACGGTCTACCCCAGAATCCAGAACAGCTGCGCAGCGCTCTCTCTAGCTGTTCTGGATTCTGGGGTAGACCGTAAAGCCTCCGCAGGGCAGTGGGGAGCCTGCATCCCGCTGCCCTGCAGAGGCTTCGCGGGCTACCCCAGAGCTGCTCAGGAGCGCGGGGCATCTGCTGTTCTTTACCCTGTTGGTGCAACTAATCATGCTTCTATATCTTCTGCCTGAGGGCATGGGATCAAGAAAGTGCCGGCCAGGGTGTGAATCATCCCTGAGAATTTTCCTAACTCTCTTGAGGCAACGTTCTTCCGCTATTTCATCCAGCGGATTCACGGGACAGCCCATAATATCTTGTGCTGTATTCACCACCCTCTGTAGGCACTTCCTATCAGATGATGTCAAACCAGCGTACCACACCATGATGCAGTATGAAAGGACACTTTCTATTGTTGACCTGTAGAAGAGATCATCAGATGTTGATTGACATCCTTCTTCCGCAATACTCTGAGGAGATGGAGTCTCTGTTGGGCTTTCTTAACCACCTGGGTTGTATTTATTTTCCAAGTAAGGTCTTCACTGAGATAAACTAGGAATTTAAAGGAAGAGACTCTCTCCACACAGCCCTCCCCGATGTACAGTGGGGCTAGTTCTCCTCTCTTCCTCCGAAAGTCCAACGCCATCTCCTTTGTCTTGCTGATATTAAGGTGCAAGTTGTTCCCTAGGCACCATGCAGATATATATTTTTTAGATATTTCTAAACTCTGACGCTTCCGCTTCCTTGCTTCAGTGAACAGCCCCACCTGTCCATCCTGGAAGAGGGTGAAAAGGCCCTTACAAAAGAGTCACTGAACACCTTAAGAGGAGAGCTGTTTCCGTACTACCTGTTTATTGAGCGTTCACTTCTTTGTGAGAAGGCAATACAGCGTTGAGTCAAGCAATGGTTGCCCCACATATCCCGGTGTATTTCCTCACCACGTTCCTTACTGCAAATAGCCCAATTTCAGGGTGAGTTTGATGATGGAGGGAGTCTGGTACTGCATAAATTTCCTCGTTCCACTGTGCCAGATATTTGGAGAAATAGAGCGCTTGAAACAGAGTTTGGATTTGATATCCCGCCTTTCACTCCCTTTAAGGAGTCTCAAAGCGGCTAACATTCTCCTTTCCCTTCCTCCCCCACAACAAACACTCTGTGAGGTGAGTGGGGCTGAGAGACTTCAAAGAATTTGCTGCCAAGGAGTGTGGTGGAGTCTCCTTCTTTGGAGGTCTTTAAACAGAGGCTTGACAACCATATGTCAGGAGTGCTCTGATGGTGTTTCCTGCTTGGCAGGGGGTTGGACTCGATGGCCCTTGTGGTTTCTTCCAACTCTATGATTCTATGATTCTATAAGTGTGACTGGCCCAAGGTCACCCAGCAGCTGCATGTGGAGGAGCGGAGACGCGAACCCAGTTCCCCAGATTACGAGACTACCGCTCTTAACCACTACACCACACTGGCTCTCATAAAACACATAAAAGTGGGCTAGATGCACTGGGTTAAAGCTGACCAAAAGTCCAAAGGTAGCATTATTATCAATTTACCATGGAGTGGAAGGTTCGCAATCTAGGAAGGACTTGCTCACAAATTTACTGACAGCTGCACGACTTATTATAGCTAGGAAGCAGAAAGTCAATATAAAACGGAAGAATGGTATAAAGAGGTGTGGGATTTGGCTATTCATGAGAAATTAACATGTGCTATTAAGGTAAGACGGGGAATATGCAGGATAAATTATTTTGAGGAAGGTATTTGTAGAATTTGTACTGTTAAAATGGAAAGGGGTCAAACCATCACAAAGAGGTGCTGAAATTTTGGGAGGTTGGATAGTTACAATGGAATGGTCTCAGTGGTGGGGTGCACATTTTTATATTTATTTATTTATTATTATTGCTTTGTCAAAATAAAAGGTAATAACAATAATGAGCCCGGCTTCCGCTGAGGAGGACGGGATATAAATAATTCATTATTATTATTATTATTATTATTATTATTATTATTATTATACAGTGGAACCTTGGTTGTCAAACATAATCCATTCTAGAAGACCGTTCGACTTCCGAAACGTTCGACAACCAAGACACAAAGGTCTGCCGGCAATTTTCACTGAGAAAATTGAAAAACTCGCCTTGGAAGCCGTTTGACTTCTGAGGCGCGTTTGAAAACAGAAGCATTTACTTCCGGGTTGTCGGCGTTCAGGTTCCGAAACGTCCGGCTTCCAAGACGCTTGAAAACCGAGATTCCACTGTGGTAATAAATGAACCAGATGAGCCTTTCGGTCTCTTCCAACCCTACAATTCCGTGACTCTGCAGAAAGATAAATCTGGGGCCAAACGAATCTTCTTCCCGGCACTTGGCATTGCTTCCCTGCCCCTGGTTGAAATGCAGGCCATTGCCTTGCGTAGGAGGCCCTGCCAGTGACCTCTTTACTCTGTTTGCTTGGCAAAGACACCTTCTGTGGAGTGTTGCAGCTTCCCTTCCCCGTTGCTCCAGCACAGTCCCAGCCCCCTGGCCTCTTTCATCTCCTCCGCCTTGCAAAGAGAGCCAGTATGAAGGTCGATGTGGGAGCAACAACAGCAGCAGCCTCCGCCGCCACCATCTCGCTTGCCCACGGCTGAATGATGGGGAAGGGCCGGATCCTTGGAGGACCCAGCGCCTTTCTCTTCCTGCTGCTCCTTCTTCTGGGGGACATCTCAGCACCTAGCACAATGCCGTAAGCTGCTTGCCTGGACATCTTCCCCTTCCCCTTCTCTCCCTGTGCTTTCCACAAACTTCTCGAAAGAAAATTCGCTTAATTATATAAATTAGAACCATGGAATTGTAGAGTTGGAAAGGGACCAAATTTCTTTTCTATTTGGCACTACTCCCTCTCTTTTTATTAGTTTTTTAACATCCCATTTTCAACAATAATTAAACATACTTTTACATCTTATTCAATGTTTTTGACTTCCATCAGCCCTGTCTGAAAATTTTCCAATCTTAGCGTGCATTTCTTATTTTCCCTATTACATTTCAAACTTATAACCAGTATCTCTATCTTTTTCTACTTTGTAACTCTTTGTATATTTCTCCTTACAAAACTTCTTGTAGTCCTACTAGCGTAATTTGTTGATTACAGTTGCTCTTCAAATAATTCATATACTTTTTCCAATCTTCTGTAAATCTCTGGTCCCGCAGGTTTCAAACTCTTCCTGTCATTTTGTCCAATTCTGCATAGTCCATTAATTTCGTCTGCCATTCTTCTTTCGTCGGAATTTCTTCTTGCTTCCATTTCTGGGCTAATAGTACTCTTGCTGTATTTGGTGCTACTCTGCGCAGTATTGCATTTCTATTATTTTGGAAGGGACATAAAAGTCTCATCTTAAACAAAACAACATGGGTTGTAGCCACCTGTAATGAGCCATAGCCCTCTTCAGCTATCTTAAGCGCTGTTACATGGAAGAAGGAACAGGCTTGTTTTCTCCTGCTCTCGAGGGTAGGACTCGAACCCATGGCTTCAAGTTACAAGGAAGGAGATTCCGACTCAACATTAGGAAGAACTTTCTGACAGCAAGAGCTGTTGGGCAGTGGAATGGTCTCCCTGGGGAACTGTCCTTCCTTGGAGGTTTTTAAGCAGAGATTGGATGGCCATCTGTCATGGAGGCTTTAGATGAGATTCTGTAATGCATGGGGTTGGACTAGAGGACCCTCGGGGTCCCTTCAAACTCTAATATTAATCATTTATAATAATAATTTATTATTTGTACCCCGCCCGTCTGGCTGGGCTTCCCCAGCCACTCTGGGCAGCTTCCAACAAAGATTAAAAATATATCTAAGATTCTATGATTCTATGTCCTCATTCCCCTTTCCCCCCAGGCATCACTTGGTGCTGGTACCCTTCGTCCTCCAGGCAGAAACCTCCGAGAAGATCTGTGTCCATGTGAGGCACCTGAACGAGTCAGTGACGGTGAGCATCACCCTGGAAAATCTAGCAGAGACTCGCACCAGCCATGTGGTGTCCAAGACAAATCTGTTCCAGTGCATCCCATTCCGGGTGAGTTTTTCTCACTTAAGCATGTTCTGTTTCATGGAGAGCACGGGTTGCGGTGGGGTTAACCAGACACCCCTGTTGCTGGGCAAGTTGGTTGGGTCGGCCCAAAGTGTGATTGGACTCCTCAGGTTGCTTTGGAGATTTTGATGTTGCCTTTGAGTGACAGCCTGGGTTGAATATATTCCCTGCTTCCTCTTTTGCTGCGAGCATCGGATCACCTGCCCACCCTCCTTAATTTTAGGGTGTTTTTTGCGTTTGACCTTGCTATGCCTGTCATGGGGTCGTCTGCTTTTGGGGCAGGGGCCTGGTAGGAATTTTGTCCATTTGGCTGATTGGCTGGTGCCGTTTGGTTTTTGCCTACTGCGTAGCAAATTGTCACAACTTGCAAGGTTGCGGTTAGGCATTGGTTTTAGGAAAAATTGGTTGGTGAAGGGGTATGGATTGGCTGTGCCTGCCCCTCCAGTGCTGTTGCTGCAAGGGTATTCCATTAAAGGATCCAGGGGCTCACCATGCTTTTGTCCGCACCCCTGTCAAGGGGGATAGGGCCACGCAAGAGCCCCTGGGAGCATTTGGGGAGAGGTGAGGGTCTGGCACCCAACTCCGTCTACTCCCCATAAAATGTTTTCCCTTACTGACTTCGCAGGCTCGTGGATGTCAGTTCTGTCTCTGGGCAGGGACAGGTAGTCGTAACCAATGCCTAAGCAACCCCTCACATTGTTTGCATTTTAATAAAGTTGTGGCTAAAATTATGCCAAAAACCTTAAACAAAAATTATGGTGTGAAGTGTGAATTTATTTAGGGGTGGCTTGGGGACCTCGACGCGCAACCATTTTGTTTTCTGTTACTGATCAAGATGTCTGGGCATTTTCCCAAGGAAAAGCAGGATGGTTGTGGTCTCGTAGGAAGCTGCCTTATCCCAAGTCAGAACACTGGCCTGTCCAGCTCGGAACTGACTTGGCAGCAGCTCTCCAGGATTTTGGACTCCATCCTAAGGAGGACCTGCCCATCCCCACCTGTGGCCTTTGATCCGAACCCCTCCAACCTGCTTGCCCTGCTCTTGGTCAACCCAAGGATTACCTATCCCTCCCTGAATTCAGTCCCAAACTAGCTGGGTGTCAAGGCTTCAGGAAAGCTATTCCTCCCTCAGCTGCAGCAAGAGCAGAGAAAACAAGGCAGAGTCTCATATATATATAGATATATAACAATTTCAACATAACAATATATCAAAACATATCATATTCATTATTTCCCCCCTTTTCCCCACTCCCCATCAAACCCTCTCTCTCCCCCAAGACTTCCCTCAGCTCCTCTCTCTGATTTCTCAGCACATGTTATTCTCTGCATATTATAAAATTATATCAGTCCTTATATTACCTATCTACCATGTTGTCAATCAATAAATTTGTGTATGTTTATTCAAAACCTGCCGAGGAGTCCAATTCGTTTTGTTGTCTTTTTAAATTTTTTGCATAAAGTTCCCATTCTTCTTTAAAGTCACAGTTGTCCTTGTCTCGCAATTTGGACGTCAACTTCGCCAGTTCTGCATAGTTCATCAATTTCTCTTGCCATTGTTCCTTTGTCGGGGTTTCCTCATTCTTCCATCCTTGTGCTATCAAGACTCTTGCCGCTGTTGTGGCATACATGAATAAATTTGACATTTGTAAAAAAACAACCACCCAGAGGCAGTGTAGGACAAGACTTGCCAAAGAAAACAAATGCATAGACTTTTTAAATGAGTTTATTCATTCATAATAGCGAGAGACAAAAGAATGCAACAAGCCCTGACAATGGCGTTGCTCCAACTGGGCTCCTCCTTCTGAGCAACAGCGCCTCCCTTTACGGTGGCCGCATGTGGCCAAATGTCTCTGATTCTGTCGTTCCTGCGCTCTTAATGAATGCTGCTTTCTGGAAGAAGGGGGAGGGTCAGAAATACTCTCCAGTGACAACGTGTCCGCTCTGCCTCTGCCTCTGCCTCCTCTCCCCCTTCTTCTAATACTTCCCAACTCTCGTTCATCTATCTCTGAACTGTGACCTCCCTCAACCCCCTGCTGTAAATCGATGGTGCAGTCCTCTTCTTCCGCCCACAGCCGCCCCAAGGTGGGCTCGAACAACCAACCTTCTGGTTGACAGCTGGATGCACTAACCCATTGATCTATGCCATGGGTAGGCAAACTAAGGCCCGGGGACCGGATCTGGCCCCATCGCCTTCTAAATCCGGCCCGCAGACGGTCCAGGACTCTAAGGGTTTTTACATGAGTAGAATGTGTCCTTTAATTTAAAACGCATCTCTGGGTTATTTGTGGGGCATAGGAATTTAGCAGATTTCCACCAGCCTTTGGACTGCAACTCCCATTGGAGTTGGGCCGGTGTTGGAAGTTAGCCTGGCTGTTGGCCCCCCGCGACCAAATGAAGATGCCTGGGGGGCACAATGGCGCCTGACATCTCCACCACCTGGAGGTGCCTGCCTGGGGTGTTGGAATGTTCTAGAGGAAACTTGAAAGTGGTCTTGAACAAGTTGCTAGGCAACAGAAAATCTCCCCAGCAACAGGTGTCCTTCTTAGGGCATGTGATCAACTAAGTCTGGGTCAGTGTAAATGGGTATGTGAATGGGTCAGTATTAGGTCTCTGGCCGGATGGGTAAAAGAGAAAAGGATCATGTTGTTTTATTTGTTTTTGACCGGTGTAAAGTTTTGTAAATAAGAAAGGCTCTGAGAAACAGAACCAAATGGTGTGTACGGTGGACGCTCGGGTTGCGAACGTGATTCGTGCGGGAAGCATGTTTGCAACCTGCAGCGTTCGCAACCCGCGATTTGGCGCTTCTGCGCATGTGCAGAGCACGATTTAGTGCTTCTATGCAGGCGCAAGCCCCAAAACCTGGAAGTAACCAATACCGGTACTTCTGGGTTCGGTGCAGTGCCCAACCTGAAATCGCGCAACCCGAAGCGTCTTTAACCTGAGGTATGACTGTATTCCTGTAATGGGAATTCCACTAAGTAAAAGATGCAGGAAAATTTTTCTGTAAAAGAAACTCTGCTGCAGAACGAAAAGAAAACCCATGAGCTCACGCACCAACATGGGGATCCTTGGATCGTGGCTGACTTCACACACAAGCAACACATCCTGTAGAATTCTATCCGTTATATTTTATCTGTACAATCAGAATGAATTTCAGGAACCAATATGCTTTTTCTGTGCAGCCTGAGCAAGAGCGTGAACAATGTTACTGTTACCCACGGGTAGGCAAACTAAGGCCCGGGGGCCGGATCTGGCCCATTCGCCTTCTAAATCTGGCCCACGGACGGTCCGGGAATCAGCATGTTTTTACATGAGTAGAATGTGTGCTTTTGTTTAAAATGCATCTCTGGGTTATTTGTGGGGCATAGGAACTTGTTCATTATTATTTTTCAAAATATAGTCCAGCCCCCCACAAGGTCTGAGGGACAGTGGACCGGCCCCCTGCTGAGAAAGGTTGCTGACCCCTGCCCTACCCCACTGCCCTGCTCACAGTTGTGAAGAATCTTTGTACATTCTGAATGGTCTGTGTCACCATTCAGTAAAAAGAGGTCGGAATAGGCCAATATGTATGTGGACTGTCCCTGGATCGAGTGACTTTTCTTCTCTAATGCTCCTGCCTTCCGCCTTCTCCCTCTTCTTCAAGGTCCCCAGATTGAGTAACTCTCCCGATGCTTCTGAGGCCACCCTCACCGTGGAGGTGGAGGTGAAGGTGGGGCTGTTGATAGCCCACGAACAGAAACAGGTGCTGGTCAGGAACCCGGAGAGCTTGGTCTTTGTCCAGACAGACAAGCCCATCTACAAGCCAGGACAGGAAGGTAAGTGAGAGGCTGCAGTCGCAGCAGTGACAGTGGGAGAATCCCCTACAGATCACGCTTCCCTTTTCCAAATACTTTTTATTAAGCGGACCCTTCTTGCTGTGGGAATGTTGAAGAAAGTAGGAGAGGATATATTGATTAAATATTACCCGTCCCGACTCACGCTAGTGAGCAAGCAGCAAAGCACATTCCCTTGCAGATTGTTGGAAGCAAGTTGATGGATTTGTTAGTTAAGCAATCCAGTCTGAATTGCTCCTGGTAAGTTTCCCCTCTTAAAATAATAATAACACGGCAGTCTTCTTTAAAAGTAAGAGTAAGGTTTACAGTGGACACTCGGGTTGCGAACGTGATCAGTGTGGGAGGCACGTTCGCAAGCCGCAGCACCGAGGCTGTGCACGCGCGGGTCATGATTCGGCACTTCTGCACATGCGTAAAGTGCCATTTAGTGTTTCTGTGCATGCTTGAGCACTGAAACCTGGAAGAAACCCGTTCCGGTACTTCTGGGTTCGGCATGGTGCGAAACCCGAAAACGCGCAACCTGAAGCGTCTGCAACCCGAGGTATGACTGTACTTACATTCAGTTCACAGCAGTAATCTGAAGGCAGGCTTTATCTTGTGGTTACAGTTACATTTGTAGAGAAAAGAAGTCTCTGAGCTAGGCCTCAGACTCTCTACCTCGTGGCTTCCATCCTTTGTAAGGATGAGCCGTGTGCTGCTGGCTAAGAGCCAGCAGAGAGGAAGATGGCAAAAGAGCCAAAAAGCCAAAGATGGCTGCATGGCTGGCCCTTTTATAGGGTCTGGTAGGGTCACACCCATCTACTTGTTCACACACAGGGGGTGGAGGCTCCAGAGCAGGTATGACAGGAAGTCCTCCCTGTCTGAAGCAACATTCCCCTGTGTGTCTACTCTAGGCAACAGGAAATGTTGTGTTTGACTGCTTCAGCGATGATACATCCCACACTTGCCAGGGCATCAGCTGCCAAACATTCCTCTTTTGACCAGAGATTTTTAGGGGGTTTGAACTGAGTACCATCTCCATGTGCTCGGCTCCTGAGCAGAGTCACATGTAAATCCTTCCCCTCCTTCTTCCTTTCATAGTTCGGTTCCGCATCATGTCTGTGGACAAAGATTTCCGACCCTTGAACGAGACGGTGAGTTTCGTCATCACGTGCGCCATGCTGGTCTCTGGAACATTTGGTAAACCTCTTTCGATCCATGCAGACTTTTGGGCCTACAAAGAGGGATGGGACACTTTGCCCTTAAGTTAGTTAAACAAACATGGCACGCCCCCCCATATCCACCTCTCTGTTTCCGATGTTCAGGCTGCAAGTGCTGATCTTCATAAATCTCGAAACAGCAACATGCATACGCACGAGGGGGTGGGGACTAGCAGCTTCTGAGGAACTTCAAGGTTTGGAGAAGTATGTTAAATCTCCTAGAACCGAATCCAAAGGTTGCGAGGAGGAGTGGCTGCTGTTATGGAACATGGCATGTTTGCAGAGGAAGGACTTTCGTGATGCAAGGATGCTTGGCCTTATTTCCATCTCTCCTCTCCACCCATCTCACACGCACCCCTTCTGTAGGGTCCTTGCCAGAACCAGGCCTGGCAGCATCAGGGCTGGAGGGTAGAGATTGCTTGACTAGAACAGCAACATACCCCAGGGGGGCATTTTACTCTTCCCCAGTTGGGGAGAGCAAGACCTTCTCTACTGGACTTGCCCACCTGATTGGAATGTATATGCTTTGAGCTGTGGCCTTTGTTTCTTGTAAGCACCATGCTATTTTCATTGATGAGTTGTTTTATTTGAATGAGTACAAACAGGAGAATTCCTTTATGCAAAGATCCAGGTTAGGAGCAAGAGATCCAGGTTAGGAGCAAGATGAGGGAACCCCTGCAGAGATTTAAAATCACAACACAATTCAAGGCGTGGAAATATAAGCTGTTAGAGCTTTAAAATATGCCCTTCTAAGTTCCTTCCAAAGTTTTCCACTTCCCCTAGTGTAGAAAAAGGCAACACTTTAAAAATGGTTTACTTACAAACTCTTCAAAGGTCAGGTTCATGTGTTTTTCCATACAGCTTTCAGAAAACATAGACAGTAGGACTTACCTTTTAACGTGCAATGTTTTATTGTGTTTTTACATATGTTGGAAGCCGCCCAGAGTGCCTGGGGCAACCCAGTCAGATGGGCGGGGTACAAATAATAAAATTATTATTATTATTACAGGCTAGTTCCAAAGTGATGAAAATTCCTAAATGAAATTCCTAAAATGTTTATATAGGAACACAAGGATGGCTAAATTCCTAAATGAAATTCCTAAATTGTTTATATAGGAACACAAGGATGGCTTTGTTTTTTTAAAAAAGTCATTCACTGTGAGCTTGGAGCAACCAGCTCAGACCTTTTTACAGGTCTGACATGGTAGAATGAAGAAAACAATAGGACAAAAAGTCTTCCTCCCAAAGTGAAGTGGAGTGACTTACCTAGGCCTGGCAGGACAGTTTACTCTATGACATTAACCCCTTCATGCATAAATTAGACTTCAGCTGGGTATCCAGCATTATTAACTGGGACCATTATGGTGAAGGAGCTTAGAGATATTGGAAACAAACAAATCAAGGTGGGAGCAGGTTTGTGTGGTGCCGGGAAGGGTAACACCATTCACTGCTGTCTCTGACCCCCCCCTCTTCTTTTTACTCCACAGTTTCCATTGGTTTACATCCAGGTAAGTGTCTAATTCCCCGCCTCTACTCCACCACCTCTCATCATCACACCAGAGCGGCTGTTACATTTGCCCCACTCAGACCACCTTTCCTAATATCCAGAGGCTGCTTCATTCCATAGCTTCCCCATAAGCCGCTCAGATCTCCTGAGGGTTTTAATTTTGCCATCCTTAACAAGTGTTACGCGCCTAAGTTCATCCCTTTCTGCAACCCCTTTGTGGGGTTCTTCAAAAGAAAAACCCAGGCAGCAGTTTTGGAGGGACCATTAGAATCATAGAATCATAGAGTTGGAAGAGACCACAAGGGCCATCGAGTCCAGCCCCCTGCCAAGCAGGAAACACCATCAGAGCACTCCTGACATATGGTTGTCAAGCCTCTGCTTAAAGACCTCCAAAGAAGGAGACTCCACCACACACCTTGGCAGCAAATTCCACTGTCGAACAGCTCTTACTGTCAGGAAGTTCTTCCTAATGTTTAGGTGGAATCTTCTTTCTTGTAGTTTGGATCCATTGCTCCGTGTCCGCTTCTCTGGAGCAGCAGAAAACAACCTTTCTCCCTCCTCTATGTGACATCCTTTTGTATATTTGAACATGGCTATCAAATCACCCCTTAACCTCCTCTTCTCCAGGCTAAACATGCCCAGCTCCCTTAGCCGTTCCTCATAAGGCATCGTTTCCAGGCCTTTGACCATTTTGGTTGCCCTCCTCTGGACACGTTCCAGTTTGTCAGTGTCCTTCTTGAACTGTGGTGCCCAGAACTGGACACAGTACTCCAGGTGAGGTCTGACCAGAGCAGAATACAGTGGCACTATTACTTCCCTTGATCTAGATGCTATACTCCTATTGATGCAGCCCAGAATTGCATTGGCTTTTTTAGCTGCTGCGTCACACTGTTGGCTCATGTCAAGTTTGTGGTCAACCAAGACTCCTAGATCCTTTTCACATGTACTGCTCTCAAGCCAGGTGTCACCCATCTTGTATTTGTGCCTCTCATTTTTTTTGCCCAAGTGCAATACTTTACATTTCTCCCTGTTAAAATTCATCTTGTTTGTTTTGGCCCAGTTCTCTAATCTGTCAAGGTCGTTTTGAAGTGTGATCCTGTCCTCTGGGGTGTTAGCCACCCCTCCCAGTTTGGTGTCATCTGCAAATTTGATCAGGATGCCCTTGAGTCCATCATCCAAGTCGTTGATAAAGATGTTGAATAAGACCGGGCCCAAGACACAACCCTGTGGCACCCCACAAGTCACTCTTCTAAAGTGTGGCTGAAAAGACTATTTGGCCCATGAGGGAAATGGCTAGGACCTTCTCCTGTGCTACATCATCATCATCGTTTGTTTTTTTAAATATTTCACTCATCCAAGCAGCCTGTTGACATCCTTGGAGGTCACAGATTGGAACTGAACCCACGCAACTTGGCAAGACAGGACTCTAGCATTCTCCTGCCCAGGCCCTGTTCCCACGGTGGAGTCTACCTCTTTCCGAATCTGAGCGACTTTGCAAAATCATTGCAGGAGATCTTGGGGTCCTTACCAGGCTCTGATGGTGAAGGTGGTTCCGTTAGATTGCAAACCACCTGAAAGGGTCTCCTGCTACTGTTTCCTGCAGATGCGTTAACACCCCATAACAGATTTATGAGACTAAAACATGGAACTATAATCTCTGGGGTGTAACCCTGATGGATATTGTTAGTGCTGTTGATGGAACTGCTTTAGCGTGTATTTTAAATTATGTGTGGCTTTTGGAATTGATTGTATACTTTTAAAATTGATTTTGTACTTGCAAACTGCTTAGAAGACATTAGAAGAGCATCTTTTCCTGCCCATTTCCCACTCTCCCGGGGAATTAATTAGTTTTCATGGCTTCTCAAATAGACCTCAGTCTGTTGCCATCCTTGGTTAGCAATGCCCCCACCCCCTTAAAGAGTGTTTAAACATCCATCCAGATACCAATAGCCCAGGAAGCCTTTGCAGGAGCCACAGGTTTTCTTGACCACTGATTGTCAGTACGCCTTTCAACCGATGTCAGCGACTTGGCTCAATAAGTGGTTCTGGCCCAACTGGACTGGAGCACTTTCAGAGACCTTCCAATCCTGGAAAACAGGTCCCAGCGGTGCATTGTGACTCATGCAGAGTATAAATAACGCGGAAGCTAGCTGTGAAGCATAACTCCTTTTATTTCTAATAAAGGTAAAGGTAAAGGGACCCCTGACCATTAGGTCCAGTCGTGGCTGACTCTGGGGTTGCGGCGCTCATCTCACTTTATTGGCTGAGGGAGCTGGCGTACAGCTTCCGGGTCATGTGGCCAGCATGACTAAGCCACTTCTGGCGAACCAGAGCAGTGCACGGAAACGCTGTTTACCTTCCTGCCGGAGGGGTACCTATTTATCTACTTGCACTTTGACGTGCTTTTGAACTGCTAGGTTGGCAGGAGCTGGGACCGAGCAACGGGAGCTCACCCCGTTGAGGGGATTTGAACCGCCAACCTTCTGATCGGCAAGTCCTAGGCTCTGTGGTTTAACCCACACGCCACCCGTGTCCCTTTATTTCTAATAGCTACTACAAACTAACGAACTACTGACTTGCATGAGTGTTACAGCTCCCACTCAGCCATCTGGTCACTACGTAGATAAGACTCTCTCCACACACAGAGTCAGGCAGTCAGTCAGGAGCGGAAGAGGAGAAGAGCAGTTTCCGCCCCCTCCTTTCTCAAAACATCAGATCAGGAGAGTCTGTCAGTGGGAGGGGTGAAAATATCAACACTGATATGGCTCAACATGGTCCCATTTTGGGCCAGCTGCAGCTTAGACCCCGTCCTTGCTTTCAACCTGAGCGGTGTCATGAGTGGAGAGTCCGCCTCACCCTTCGGTAACTTCACAGATAAGAATTAATGAGCGCTTTATATTTTATAGTCCTTTTTATTCAGGCATCAGGTTGTAAGCAAAAACCCACATCCCTCCCCAAGAAGGGCAGTTGGCTACTCTAAATCTTCTCCCTTCTGTCTCCCGAAATAGGCTCCAACGGGAAGTTCCTCATCCTCCTCTCTGCATCCTTTGTTCTCAAATACGTTTGGATCTCCTAGTTCGTGGGGAGGGAGGGTTCCCCACAATCTCTAATGACGTCTCTGCTATCTGTCCCCTCCCTTCTGTTTCTCTGGCTGTTATCTCGTAGCTAGGTAACTCCTGCCAAAGCTGCTCTGTATTTCTCCCAGTGAGAGCCAGTGTGGTGTAGTGGTTAAGAGCGGTAGTCTCGTAATCTGGTGAACCAGGTTCGTGTCTCCGCTCCTCCACCTGCAGCTGCTGGGTGACCTTGGGCTAGTCACACTTCTCTGAAGTCTCTCAGCCCCACTCACCTCACAGAGTGTTTGTTGTGGGGGAGGAAGGGAAAGGAGAATGTCAGCTGCTTTGAGACTCCTTAGGGTAGTGATAAAGTGGGATATCAAATCCTTCTTCTTCTTCTTCTTCTTCTCCCTGCTTCTGAGCCCCCTGGAAACAAGGGGGGGCACGCGAATCTTCCCACTCCAGCTCCTCTTCTGAGGAAAGCGGATCTGCCTGCGAATGCACCCCCCCATACTCTGCTTCAGACCATTCCCTGACAAGCGCCTTCTTCCGTGACCCCCTCTTCTCTTGTGGCTCCCAGGACCCCAAGAGGAACCGCTTGCTGCAGTGGACCAACGTGGAGCAGACAATGGGCCTCGTCCAGCTCTCTTTCCCCCTTTCCTCTGAGCCCCCGCAAGGCACCTACAAAGTGGTGGTGCAGAAAGCCTCTGGGAACAAGGTGGAACGTCTCTTTGAGGTGAAGGAGTACGGTGAGGAAGGAAGGAGAGGAACCGCTTGGTCTGGGGAACGTGGTGTCAAGGACAGCATGTGGAAGGGGGTATTTTCTTGCACACTGGCAGCGCCGCTCAGGAATTCTGATAGAAACTGACAGATCAGTGCAGTTTCGAAACCAGCGGACGAAATCTTTCGAAAGATTTGGCCTGCCATCTTTATTTAAAATTGGGCCCAGTTGGATTGAAACATAGACAGAAGCCTGCAAAAGGATTGTGCAAAATTGGGTTCTTAGATAACTCGAGAGGCGTGCAAATGCATAGTGAATAGCTTCCCAAAATATCTGGCCCGATGGCCAGGTTCAGCAAACTGGTCCTGCTACTGGAAGCAAGTGCATCAGGGCTTTCCTCCGCCTTGCCCCCCCATGCCCCACAAACAGTGACATAGCATGAGTTGCCAGTGCCCGGGGCCGCACAGAGGGAAATGGAAGGAGTATGCATGCACATTCAACTGCCTAACAGCCAGGAGATCGCAGCCACAAAAACATGAAGAGTTGTTCCGTTGTCTGGAGAGGTCACTTCCTGGTTCGCATGGGTGGCTGGGTATGGGAGAGTTGCCTGTGTGAGTAGGGCGGATCCTGGAGGCTGGAGACAGGAACAGCTCTTGCTCTGTGCTGGATCCAAAACTTAGTTCGGGGCATATGCGCCAGCTCCTAGGGACTGAGGCACTTTCGTCCCCCCCTCAAAAAATGTGTGGGGTTTTTTGAGGGGGGCAAACTCCCTCAGTGTTCAGAGGGTGTTTGGCTCTGCCCCTGGCTCCTTGTGAGATCGCCCGCTTGATGTCAGAATGTCGCGTCGGGCCCCCCTGTCTTGAGAAGATGGCACCTCTGGTTTGGGGGCTTCCCTGGAAACCTAATGGGGAAAAAAAATCTGTGGGGTGTTAATGCTGCACGCATTTGCCTCCTTTCTGTGCTCAGGCTGATTATGTTGTTTTTCATCCCCGTGTTCCTTTCCTTCTTACAGTGCTGCCCAAGTTCGAAGTTTTGGTGAAGGCACCCAAGGAGATAACATTTGTGGCTGAGGAACTCGAAGTGACCGTCTGTGGCCTGTAAGTGAGAGCAGCCTGAGCTTCTCTCCCAGAGATGTGGGACCACGTGAATTGAGAACTTGGGTGATGTTGCTAGCACCAGCTAACCTCTCCTCCAATCCCCTTCACCAGCCTTGGCCGCACCACCCTAGCTCCGATGGAATGATTGCCATGTTGTTGTTGTTGTTGTTGTTTAGTTGTTTAGTTGTTTAGTCATGTCCGACTCTTCTTGACCCCATGGACCAGAGCACGCCAGGCACTCCTGTCTTCCACTGCCTCCCGCAGTTTGGTCAGACTCATGTTTGTAGCTTCGAGGACACTGTCCAACCATCTCGCCCTCCGTCGTCCCCTTCTCCTTGTGCCCTCAGTCTTTCTCAACACCAGGGTCTTTTCCAGGGAGTCTTCTCTTCTCATGAGGTGGCCAAAGTATTGGAGCCTTAGCTTCACGATCTGTCCTTCCAGTGAGCACTCAGGGCTGATTTCCTTAAGAATTGGATAGGTTTGATCTTCTTGCAGTCCATGGGACTCTCAAGAGTCTCCTCCAGCACCATAATTCAAAAGCATCAATTCTTCGGTGATCAGCCTTCTTTATGGTCCAGCTCTCACTTCCATACATCACTACTGGGGAAACCATGGCTTTAACTATACGGGCCTTTGTTGGCAAGGTGATGTCTCTGCTTTTTAAGACGCTGTCTAGGTTTGCCATCGCCTTTCTCCCAAGGAGCAGTCGTCTTTTAATTTCATGACTGCTGTCACCATCTGCAGTGATCATGGAGCCCGAGAAAGTAAAATCTCTCACTGCCTCCATTTCTTCCCCTTCTATTTGCCAGGAGGTGATGGGCCCAGTGGCCATGATCTTCGTTTTTTTGGTTGCCATAGTTGCACTGAATTCCTCACAATGCTGGGCCACTTATGCCGGGCTTATTTCACCCAGAACTCCCTTGAACTCCATTCCAGAACCTCTCACCATTGCCACCATAAGAGAACCTTGGTTTCCAGACATTTTGGAAGTCAAATGGACTTCCAGAACAGATTCCGTTTGACTTCCAAGGTACCACTGTATATTGATGTCATCTTTCAAGTGATGCTGTGGCTGTTTCCTGACTACAGGTACACGTACGGGAAGCCTGTCGCTGGGCAGGTGAAGGCCCGTGTTTGCCGGAAATATAATGAACACAGAGGCTGGCGTGTTTATTCCAGTTCCGGAGGGGGCTGTCACAGAGAAGCGTCGGAAGGAATATGTGAAGAATTCAGTGGAGAGGTGAGACCGAAAGCGGACGCTGAAAATGAAGTTTAAAATACTTTTGGGGAGTTGGCCTTCCCGGGTGACCTGTTATAATTGGGCATTCATCCTGATTTACTCAAGGGGAGTCCCAAGGCTCTGGGAGAAACCCCGGAATGGCATTCAGCAGGAGAAGAGGGAAACGCCATCCCCTCAGACAAGCCAAAATGATTGAAATGGTGGATATGGCTGCAGGAATATATATTTGCTCATTTTGTTGGTGCCTGTTGTCCCTCTCTGAAGTCTCTTCAAAAACCTGAAGAACATTTGATCCCTTTGTCCAGAAAGTATCTGGGGGGCCTACATGCCCATCTGAGGGGGGGGGGGGATTTTAAAAAAATTAAAGCAAATGTCCTAGTTTTGTGGGGTTTTTTGTTTTTGTTTTTTAATTCATGCACCGGCATCTCTGGCTCTGGCTTTCAATCTGCTGTGGGCTGCTTGGTGATAGCGGATCACTGGGGGGAGAGCGAGTGATTGTCAACTTTTTTGGCGATTGCCCAAGGAAAGCTCAACAAATGTCCGGATTTTTCCTCTTGAAATATTACCAGCCTTGTATAAACGGACAGATATAAATGAATGAGTGTGCGTAGATCAATGGCTATTGTGTGAACCTGACTGGCTTGACCTCAAACACCTTGTTTTATATAATGAAGCAATTCTCATTGGTAGCTGCTGCAACTCTCTGTCTTCCGGTTCAGGCAAATGGGCACGGCTGCCTCTCTCAGGTGGTGAAAACCAATATTTTTCATCTGAAGCGGGAGGGATATGAGATGAACCTAAAGGTGGAAGGCAAGATCACAGAGGAAGGCACAGGTATTTCATTTTATTTATTAAATTTATCTCCCGCCAGTCTTCCAAAGGAGCCCAGCATGTTAGTTTTAAAACCATTCAGCTATAACATGTAAGAAAAACCTGGAAATGTTTCAAAACTCCTAAAAGCAATCACCCTGTTATGTACTGAGTTGAATAGGATCCAAAAGGCAGCAGTTTGATTGGCCCTAGAACAATAGGATTCACAATGCAGCAGTCTGATTGGTCCTAGAACAATAGGGTCCAGAATGCAGCAGTCTGATTGGTCCACAGGAGCCATCCAATCCATCTCCAGGTGGAAGTGAATCCGCAACCTGATTGGCCTACAGGTGAATCCCGGAATTAGCCAATCACGTGGGGCCCATTGTGTAAACAATGTATATAAAGCAGACATTCTGGGGGAACTCCCATTCCTCCTCACCACTATGAGCTGAATAAAGAGCATGAAATCCAGTCTTGATTCCCAGTATATTTCACACCCGCTCTGAAAACCTAACAATTTCAGGGGCAGGTCTTTAAGCCATCAAATGCTTAGGAAAAACAGGGTTGGTTTGGCAATGTCTCTAATAAGTAGTGCTTTTTTCTGGGGGGATGCAGGGGGACGCATACCCCTAAACATTTTGTGTTGCCCTGACCGACCGATGGACCAACCGACATGCCAGCTGTCTTAGCAGTAGTAGCTCGGACTGGAGCTCTGTCATTCTCCCTGCTGGTGCCCAGGCAGGGGAGTCTGGGGCGGCTGTGGTGTGTTGTGTTCTGAAGGCAAAGGAAGAACTGGACCCTGATTAATTCAATAGATCCTAGACTTGAACAGCAAGACTCTGGGAGCAAGTGCGATAGCCACTCCCTGGCCCAGGCCGTTTTTATTAACAAAAGAACTTTAACACAGCGTTTGTAAGAACCAATCAGCTTTCCTCTGAGCATTTCAAAAAATCCCCACGTGGGAACAAAGTCAGATCAGAGGAAGCTGAAAAGGAAAACAGGAAGACACAATGAGAGGTAAAGGAGGTGCTGTGGGATTGGTGGAAGTCAGTGTTTGTTTTTCTTTTTAGTGTTTATATTATTAACTTGTAAGATATGGAATTTTTTTTTTGATTGTCAGTTTTTGTGTTTTGTGTATTGTTATTTTTTGATACTGTTTTGTGTTGTTGTGTGGAAAATACTAATAACATTTATAATAACAATAAGAAAATAAAAATACTAAATCATAAAAAAACAGATCAGAGGAAGCTTCTTAACTACAGAGAACTACTTGAGCATGCATACATGTTTAGGCTAAATAAAACAGGAACCAAGGAGGAATGCATTTAGCAAAACCCAGAGGTCATAAACAGGCAGAAAACAGGAAAGACAGGCATTTTTATCACCTGCATGTGAACTCTGTTTCCTGGCCCTAAGATTAACGAAAGCTACATCAGAGCTGGTGACAGCAGCCACGAAATTAAAAGACGCTTGCTTCTTGGGAGAAAAGCAATGACAACCCTAGACAGCATCTTAAAAAGTAGAGACATCACGTTGCCAACAAAGGTCCGTATAGTAAAAGCTATGGTTTTCCCAGTAGTGATGGACCATAAAGAAGGCTGATTGCCAAAGAATTAATGCTTTTGAATTATGGTGCTGGAGGAGACTCTTGAGAGTCCCATGGTCTGCAAGAAGATCAAACCTATCCATTCTGAAGGAAATCAGCCCTGAGTGCTCACTGGAAGGACAGATCCTGAAGCAGAGGCTCCAATACTTTGGCCACCTCATGAGAAGAGAAAACTCCCTGGAAAAGACCCTGATGTTGGGAAAGATAGAGGAAACAAGGAGAAGGGGACGACAGAGGACGAGATGGTTGGATAGTGTTCTCGAAGCTACCAGCATGAGTTTGACCAAACTGCGGGAGGCAGTGGAAGACAGGAGTGCCTGGCGTGCTCTGGTCCAGGGGGTCACGAAGAGTCGGACACGACTAAACGACTAAACAACAACAAACATCAAAGCTACCTCCTATCTTTATGTACTCAGGATGCCTGGTGAAGCAACCAGTCTGTGTACGTGACTGTCAGGCATAGAGAAAATGGGGCAGAGATGTAGAGGCTTGGATTGATCAGAAATCATGTCAAATGACTCAAACCCAGTCAAAACAATAGCTGACACAATGGCTTACTTCATTTTTGCATAATTCCTCATAGCAACCCCACGTGACCACCACAGCGGTGGAGGCGACGCTACTGCTCCTCCTCCTCTTGCCGGGCTAGCGCCAGCCGGCGAATGCTTGCCCCTCCTTGCTCAAGCAACCCTGCCATTGCTGGGGGCCTTCCTGTCCTCTCAGCGCCACCGCTGCCGCCTCGAGTCCCTCGTCCAGGGGTTGGGGGCAGGAAGGGGGCGAGGGGGAGCAGCCAAAATGAAAGTACCCCTAAACATTTTTTTAAAGAAAAAAAGCATTGACTATAAGTTACTAATGAAGGAGACTGATACACCTCCCTAGGAAGGCACACAGAATGGCATGTAGTCAAAATCCCAACAGGTAATGCAAACCATGAAGTGTCACAGCCTAGAAGGGTGAAAGTGCAAAGATACAGCGCATCTCCAAAAAGGACAAAAAAGTTTTATCTCCTATACGGATACCCTTTACAATAATAAAGATTTATAAAAATAAAAGTATTCTCCACCTGTGAGTTCCATCTTTATTGAGAATAAAGGTTCCATATAGACCAGGCATTTGCATATGCAAACGGCAATGACCATGTGCCTCAATATTTGTATAAGAATATTTGCATAAGAAAATCATGCCACACGTTGAAAAGAAATTCGGAAAGAAATTATTCATTCAAGCTCTGCACTTTGGGTACTTTTTCAAGACGGGCAATTTGTGAAACCCTTAAATACCAGAAATCCCAAATATTAAGATTAAGGATATTCTAGGATTTGGCAACACAGCCCTGAGCTGCTCTTAAGAGATGAGAAATAAGTTATTTACTTTTCAAATCCCATTCTGTTTCCATATAGGTTCAAAATTGCCAGGTGGAAAGATAGAGTAGCTGTTTGTTTGTTTGTTTGTTTACCAAAGAGATCTCAGCAAATGCCTTATTCCACAATTCAGCCACCTCTGAGCAGTCCCACCATGTGTGCTTATATGTACCTACCTCTTTTTGGCTATTTGGCAGGGGTGGAATTGACAGGCACGGCTTCCACCATGATCATTACGACTCTCAGCACAATCACCTTTGAGAATGTGGACTCTTACTACAAGTCTGGGATCCCCTTTACTGGGCAGGTAAGGCAGGCTGAGAGATCCCCACTGCGCACGACACCACAGCTGAATGTTTGTTTTAAAGACAAATGTTCCTCGTATGCACTGGAACAGGAGGATGGGCCAGGGTGGTTAGCAATTCAGCCCCCACCCCTCATCTCCCATCCTGACCTCTGAGGTGCCACCTCTGGAATCCTGATGCAATTTGTGTGTCCTCAACCTTCATCTCCATCCTCACCCACCTGAACTTATAGCACTCCCCCTACAGACAGCCATCTCCCTCAGAGGCGGAGCAAGGTGGGTGTGGCCCCCCGGGTGTCATTCCCGAGGGGGAGTGTGACATCACTGTGCCACCCCCCTGGGATGCTCAGCGCAGGCGGCACACCCCTGGGACACGCACTCCCCGGGACGTTCACCTCACCCCCGTGGGCGGCTAGCCCCGCCCCCAGGTGCACACCACTCCGGGCGCCGGAACAGCTAGCTCCACCACTCATCTCCCTCCCAATTCATATGGGCTACTGCTAAAATGAGGCTGCATTTTAAGCTCTATTTTAAGCCGTATTTTAATTAACTGTTTGTTGTTGTATTTTTTTCTGTTACGTTTTATTGTAATTCATACAGTGGTGCCTCGCAAGACGAAATTAATCCGTTCCGCGAGTCTCTTCGTCTTGCGGTTTTTTCGTCTTGCGAAGCACGGCTATTAGCGGCTTAGCGGCTTTAAGAAAAAGGAAACAAACTCGCAAGAACTCGCAAGACGTTTCGTCTTGCGAAGCAAGCCCATAGGGAAATTTGTCTTGCGGAACGACTCAAAAAACGCAAAACTCTTTCGTCTAGTGAGTTTTTCGTCTTGCGAGGCATTCGTCTTGCGGGGCACCACTGTATTTGGTGTTAGCCGCTCTGAGCCCGGCCCTGGCCAGGGAGGGCGGGGTATAAATAAAATTTTATACAGTCATACCTCTTCTTGGGACGCGGATGGCACTGTGGGTTAAACCACAGAGCCTAGGACTTGCCAATCAGAAGGTTGGCGGTTCAAATCCCCGTGACGGGGTGAGCTCCCGTTGCTCGGTCCCTGCTCCTGCCCACCTAGCAGTTCGAAAGCACATCAAAGTGCAAGTAGATAAATAGGTTCCGCTCCAGCAGGAAGGTAAACGGCATTTCCGTGTGCTGCTCTGGTTCGCCAGAAGCGGCTTAGTCATGCTGGCCACATGACACAGAAGCTGTACACTGGCTCCCTCGGCCAATAAAGCAAGACGAACGTTGCAATCCCAGAGTCGGTCACGAATGGACCTAATGGTCAGGGGTCCCTTTACCTTTACATTACGTCTTCTTACATTCGGTTCAGGTTATGTCAGTTCAGGTTATGTCTTTTCAGGTTATGTCCCACGGCGACCCGGAAGTACCGCAAAGGGTTACTTCTGGGTTTCGCCGCTCGCACATGCGCAGACGCGCAAAATAACATCACATGCATGCGTAGAAGTGGTGAATCGCGACCCATGCATGCGCAGACGCAGGTTGCGTTCTGCTCATGTTGCGACCAGAGGTACCACTGTAATCATCATCATCATCATCAGACCAAACTGCTATATGTATTGTTTTTGCCCTGCTAGGTGAAGCTTTTGGATGCTGCCAAAGTGCCAATTGCCAATGAAACAATTCAGATTAGGGTACATCTAACTGGAACCAGCACCAACTATGTAACTGATGATCAGGGACGAGCCCATTTTTCCATAGACACTGATAACTTCACAGCTCCTGAACTCAGGATCCAGGTGAGTGTTCAAGGGGATTGAGAACTAAATAAGGCAGATTTATTCTTCGCAAGCACAAAACACGGGAATCTCATAGAATCGTAAGAGTCTTAAAGTTGGAAGGGACCCAGGGGTCATCTAGTCCAACCCCCTGCAGTTCAGGAATCTCAGCTAAAGCATCCATGACAGGTGGCCACCCAACCTCTCCAATATCAATTGGATCAGTTGAAATTTAAAAAAATGCTTTGAGATTCAGTTTCCTGTGGCTCCTACTTTTTTCTTTTCTCTTTCTCCTTCATCACCTTTTCTGGGTTTGTCATTTCCCGTTAATTTCATTCTTGCTTTTTCCATTTCTGAATCCTGAATACGCCTCCAGGAAATGTATTGGGACTAGAAAAATACCCCCCGCCAAGGGCTGGGACTGTGTATGTGATAGCAGGAATGGCTGTTGGGTTGATACGTCTGACTCTTATTTTCTCCTAAAGGTGTGTGTTGGTTTCTGGGCATGCAAATAGGTCTGAGATGAGTCTCGAGCTGGTGTAATATCACAAAGTTGATCTTATAGTCCCCAAGGCACCAATGATTCCCTAATACAGGAACAACAAGGATTTATTTTCTCCAGTCCCTGAGCACCTGCCATTTTCCTCTTTCTTTCTGTTTGCCAGGCAACTTATAAATCGAACTCTGCGTGTGAACAAGGCTGGATCAGTCCCCAACACCAGAGCGCATCTCATTCCGCGGGGCGTTTTTACTCACCAAGCCAAAGCTACCTCCACATTGAGCGTGTTCCTGGGACCTTAAGCTGTGGTCAGACTCAGACGCTCCGAGTCCATTATATTCTGAATTCAGCTGTCGTAAAAGAGCAGGAGATGGTCTTTTACTATTTGGTAAGCCTGGACAGAGTGGCCTTTCCTTGGTAGGGACTTGGGAGTGGGCCTTCTCAGTGGCTGCTCCCAACGTTTGGAACCCTATTTAGGGAAGTTTTTAATGTTTGATGTTTTATCGTATTTTTAATATTCTGTGGGAAGTCACCCAGAGTGGCTGGGGAAACCCAGCCAGTTGGGCAGGGTATGAATATTATTATTATTATTATTATTATTATTATTATTACTCCCTTCATAGAGACATTAGACTGGCTCCCTTGTTGTCCGTCTGCCAGCTGTTTTATTCTAACAGGCCTTTGTGAACTGACTGTTTCTTGTTTTTTTTAAGGAAAGGACTTTGAATAGTGCTCATTCAAATCCATTTTCAGCTGCCAAACTATGTTTGATTTCTAATTGCAAAGATAGGCTCAAGCGTAATGGCAATTCATGTTGTACTACCAGGAGAGAGATTGTTTCTGGAAGCCAGAACACTCCCTGTGTGTAAGAACTGCTGGCATATCAGTGTAACCATATATTTTGCCTCCTCCATCCTCATCCAGCTTACAGGCAAATGGGTGGCCACAGTGAGAGTAGGATGTTGAACTAGATGGACCATTGGCCTGACCTAGCAGGCTGTTGTCTTCTTATGCTTTTATCAGGCGTTTTCCGCCTTCCATGCAGGTGATGGCTAAGGGGGTCATTGTGCGATCAGGGACCCACGTTCTGCCTGTGGAGCACAGAGAAGGTACCGGTAAGTGGCACTCCATTCCCATTTCCTCCCTTCATTCTTGGTGACCTTTCCAATTTTTTATAAACCCAGGTGATTACGTAAACCAGGGGTCAGCAAAACTTTTCAGCAGGGGGCCGGTCCACTGTCCCTCAGATCTTGTGGGGGGCCGGACTATATTTTGGGAAAAAATAATGAACGAATTCCTATGCCCCACAAATAACCCAGAGATGCAATTTAAATAAAAGGACACATTCTTTTTTTTTTAAAGATATTTATTAAGATTTATTAAGATTTTTTAAAATATTACAATAAAAATGAAAAAAAAAGACAAAAATACAAAATAAAAATAGTTAAAAACACACAGATTTTCTATTACTTATTTTCCTTTGACTTATTTCCCGGACCTCCTCATACCTCCCTTTTTTGTATTCCACTTCAATCTGTTGGTTCAGCAAATCCTTTAAAAGTAATAATATTAAATTTTTACCTATTTATAACCCTTTTTCATATTCCCTTAAAGCATTACAGCTGGAAACCACTTAATTACTATCCAACATCATTCTAACATTCATTAATTTTACAATATTTCTGTAGATAATCTTTGAATTTCTTCCAATCTTCTTCCACCGACTCTTCTCCCTGGTCTCGGATTCTGCCAGTCATTTCTGCCAGTTCCATATAGTCCATCAGCTTCATCTGCCATTCTTCCACAGTGGGTAAATCTTGTGTCTTCCAATACTTTGCAATGAGTATTCTTGCTGCTGTTGTGGCATACATAAAAAAAGTTCTGTCCTTCTTTGGCACCAATTGGCCGACTATGCCTAGGAGAAAGGCCTCTGGTTTCTTCAAGAAGGTATGTTTAAATACCTTTTTCAGTTCATTATATATCATTTCCCAGAAGGCCTTAATCCTTGGGCACATCCACCAAAGGTGAAAGAATGTACCTTCAGTTTCTTTACATTTCCAACATTTGTTATCGGGCAAATGGTAGATTTTTGCAAGCTTGGCTGGGGTCATGTACCACCTGTATATCATTTTCATAATATTCTCTCTTAGGACATTACATGCCGTAAACTTCATACCTGTGGTCCATAACTGTTCCCAGTCAGCAAACATAATATTATGTCCAACATCTTGTGCCCATTTAATCATAGCAGATTTCACCGTTTCATCCTGAGTATTCCATTTCAACAGCAAGTTATACATTCTTGACAAATTCTTAGTTTTGGGTTCTAACAGTTCTGTTTCTAATTTTGATTTTTCCACCTGGAAGCCAATTTTCTTGTCCAAATTATATGCCTCCATTATCTGATAATAATGAAGCCAGTCTCGCACTTTATTTTTTAGTTTCTCAAAACTCTGCAGTTTCAGTCTATCTCCCTCTTGTTCCAAAATTTCCCAATATTTCGGCCAATTGGCCTCCATATTGAGCCTTTTCAGAGCTTTCGCTTCCATCAGTGACAGCCACCTTGGGGTTTTGTTTTCCAACAAATCCTTGTATCTTATCCAAACATTAAACAGTGCTTTCCTGACAATATGGTTTTTAAATGCTTTATGCGCTTTGACCTTGTCATACCACAGATATGCATGCCATCCAAATACATTGTTAAAACCTTCTAAGTCCAAAATGTCTGTGTTTTCAAGAAGTAGCCATTCTTTCAACCAGCAAAAAGCTGCTGATTCATAGTAAAGTTTAAAGTCTGGCAGGGCAAATCCACCCCTTTCCTTTGCATCAGTTAATATCTTAAATTTTATTCTGGGCTTCTTGCCCTGCCAGACAAATCTAGAAATATCTCTCTGCCACTTCTTGAAACAGTCCATCTTGTCCACAATTTGCAATGTTTGAAACAAAAACAGCATTCTAGGCAATACATTCATTTTTATCACAGCAATACGACCCAACAGTGAAAGCTTCAAATTTGACCAGATTTCTAAATCTTTTTTCACTTCCGTCCAACATTTTTCATAATTATCTTTAAATAAGTTCCCATTTTTGGCTGTCATATTAATCCCCAGGTATTTCACTTTCTTAACCACAGTCAGGCCTGTCTCATTCTGAAACCTCTCTCTTTCAATCAGTGTTAAATTTTTCTCTAAAACCTTAGTTTTTAACTTGTTCAGTTTAAATCCTGCCAGTTGACCAAATTCTTGAATTAGTTCTAAAACCCTTTTAGTACTAGATTCTGGCTCCTGTAACGTCAATACTAAGTCATCTGCAAATGCTCTCAGTTTGTACTGTTTGGCTCCGACCTGTATACCTTTAACCAACCGGTCCCTTCTAATCATATTCAGCAGAACCTCCAGGACCGATATAAAAAGCAGTGGGGAGATTGGGCACCCCTGTCGTGTCCCTTTTTCTATCTTAAATTCTTCCGTCACCACATTATTTACAATTAATTTAGCCTTTTGTTCAGAGTATATTGCACCTATACCATTTTCAGAACCTTGGCCTACCCCCACCCCCTGTAGGTTCTTCTTCATGAAGCTCCAAGAGATGTTGTCAAAGGCTTTCTCCGTGTCCACAAATATCAGAACTGCTTTAGTATTTATATTCACTTCTAGTTTTTCCAAAATATCAATTATATTTCTCAAATTATCAGACAAGTGTCTTCCTGGGAGAAAGCCCGCTTGGTCTTTATGGATCTCTTCCATCAATACTTTTTCAATCTCTTGGCCAAAATGTCTGCAAAAATTTTGTAATCCACATTAAGTAACGATATAGGGCGGTAGTTCTTAAGCTGAGTCTTTTCAGTCTCTGTTTTCGGTATAAGTGTAATGTACGCCTCTTTCCACGACTCTGGTGCCCTTTTCCCTTCCAATATTTCATTACAGACTTCCTTCAAAGGTTGTAATAGCCACTCTTTCAAAGATCTATAATATCTAGAAGTCAGCCCATCCGGTCCTGGAGATTTGCCCAATTGCATATTTTGAATGGCACCTTCTACTTCCTGTTCAGATATTTTATAGTTCAACATTAATTTGCTTTCTTGGGAGATTTTTGTAGTCCATTTGTCTTCAAAAATTTGTCTATGTCCATTTCTTTCTGTGGCCCTTGTGTGTATAATTGTTTAAAATACCTCTGGAAACAGTTTCTAATCTCAATTGGGTTATGTATATTCTTTCCTTCCACTTCTAAGTTTGTGATAGTATTTAATTTTTGTCTTTTTTCATTTGCCAGGCCAGCAATTTCCCACATTTATTAGCTGATTCAAATGTTTTTTGACTCATTTGTTTAATTTTCCATTCTATTTCCTGATTCATCATTTCCATATATTGTACTTGATATAATTTTATTTCTCTCAAAATCTCCTGTGACTTTGGTTTTGCTCTCAGTTTCTTCTCACTTTCTTTTATTTTCTCCAAAATTTTATCTTTCTTCTCATTTTGACTTCTCTTCTTTATTGCATTCTGTTGTATCAGAAACCCTCTCATAACAGCTTTACTTGCATCCCAGATTACTCTTTTTTCTACATTGGTGTTCATATTTATTTCAAAATAATCTCTCAAAGTTTTTTGGGCCTTTTTATAGACTTCTTCATCTCTAAATAAGGTGTCATTCATCCTCCATCTGAAGGAGCCAGTTGATATTTGTTTCATCTCCATCCTTACAGCGTTATGGTCGGAGCAGGTTTTTGGGCAGATTTCCACTTTCTTTATCTTTGGTGCCATTCCTCTAGTTACCCATATTTGATCAATTCTAGTCCATGTCATCTTGGCTTCAGAAAAGAAAGTTCCCTCTCTTCCCAGGGGGTTCTTTACTCTCCAAATGTCCACTAAGTCCATATTGTCTGTCATCTCAAAAAAATGTTTTCGGTAGTCTACCATCCTTGGTAACTACCTGTCTTTGTGCCTTGTCCATGTTTGTAGATACTACTCCATTCATATCCCCCATCAGAATCAGATTGTAATCCAAATAGTCCAATAAAGTCTCATGCAACTTTTTAAAGAATTCAGATTTCCCTCATTCGGTGCATAAATTCCTACGATCAAAAATTTCTCTCCTTGAACTTGAATTTCAATTGCCAAAAATCTGCCTTGTTCATCTTTAAAAATTAATTTCGGTGATAGTCTCTCCTTTGCATATATCACAACTCCTCTTTTTTTAACTTTGTCAGATGAGATAAACTCCTGTCCCAATCTTTTATAAAGGACACATTCTACTCATGTAAAAGCACGCTGATTCCTGGACCATCCACGGGCGTGACTGGGCCGGATCCGGCCCCTGGGCCTTAGTTTGCCTACCCATGATGTAAACCCACACCTTAGTACAGTGCCACCACATATGCTTCCATGTGCCCTTGCGGTTCTTGCATGACATGTTTCAGAGTTTCCTCAATTTTATACTCATAGACAATATAATTTTACACTCATGAATTGTAATCGTTCTCTTCCTCCCTCTCTTCCTCCTTGGGAATTTTGTGTCAGTGCGCTATGCCAATCATTTGGGGTTCCCTTTTCAGTCAGCAATGTCACTCAGAAAGTCTCCCAGAATATACTTCCTCAGTTCAGCTCACCTGTGGGAATAAACACATTCCAGTTCTGCTTTAAGTATTGATGGAAGAATTAACATTACAACGTATACAACTGCTGGCCTAAGGAAAATAAAGTAAAACTACGTACAGTGGTACCTCGGGTTACATACGCTTCAGGTTACATATGCTTCAGGTTATAGACTCCGCTAACCCAGAAATAGTGCTTCAGGTTAAGAATTTTGCTTCAGGATGAGAACAGAAATCGTGCTCTGGCAGCGCGGCAGCAGCAGGAGGCCCCATTAGCTAAAGTGGTCTTCAGGTTAAGAACAGTTTCAGGTTAAGAACGGACCTCCGGAATGAATTAAGTACTTAACCTGAGGTACCATTGTACAGAGAATCATTCCTCCTCCCTGCTCTGCAGCCATCTGAACAGAGTAGCAACCAAACCTCCTCCTTCAGAGCCTGTCTAATAAAGAAGTCTGTTGCTAAGGAAACTTTGTTGCTGGGGAAGACCTGTTGCTAGCAGAAAGCTTGTTGCTAGGGGCAGATTTGTTGTTAGGGGCAAAACTATGCAAGGTTCATTTCAAGTCTATTTTTAGACTTACACTAACATTTCGTTATCTACCAGCCAAAGGGGTGTTTTCTCTGGACCTCTCTGTTGACATGGACACTGCTCCATTGGCCCGTTTGCTTCTCTACACGATTTTGCCCAGTAGAGAACTAGTGGCCCATTCAGCAGATTTCACCGTGGAGAACTGCTTCACAAACAAGGTAAGGTTGTGGGGACTCTCTGAGGCCCAGGGCAGACATGGCCACGAGGCTCTCTGTTCCCTCTCTGGCATAAACCTTTGCCAAAGTTCTCACTTGGTAATCCATAGAGCACCATTTTTTCCAGCTGGACCAGCAGAATATTAACTTGTTGGCAGCTGAGGAGGGCAACCCAAGCTGAGAAAACAAATCCCAGAAGGGATTATCTCTGTGCTGTCATGTAATAGAATGAACTCTTCAAATGCCCTTTCTATAATAATTTTTATTAATTTTTCAATTACAACCCAATAATAGCCTCATTATAACAATACCAAATTGCAATACAATTTCTAAAAGCAATAATAATAATAAGAAGAAGAAGAAGAAGAAGAAGTTTATTATTTGTACCCTGCCCATGTGGCTGGGTTTCCCCAGCCAATCATTCATATACCAAATTATATAATTTAGGTGGCCCCCTGGATGCAAGATTTGATGGTTTGATGATTTTCTTTACTTCTGCGTTCCAAAATCTTATTAATTTCAATTACATTCTGGTCAAAATAATAATCCCTTATCCATCAACTGCAATATTAATAACTTCCGTTTGTGGTGACACATTAAATGATTTATAAATCTACAAGTGAGGCACCCCAACTATATCCTTTTTCTTCCTGTGTGTGACAATTATTTTGTGGTGTTTCTTCCTGTCCTTGTAAAATGTTATGTCTGCCTTTTCCCAGTTGTTGCTGTTCTCCACCATGCCTTGGTTGATACCCCCTTGTTGTTTCAGAAATTATCCATTGCTCCGTCCTGTGCTTTGTTGTTTTGCAACTTTAACAACAGCTTCAAAAATCACTCCGTCCCAATAAATAACCTGTTTTCACAATTTTTTCAAATGCCCTTTATGCCTCCAGGTGAATCTGTGGTTCTCTGATGCTGAAGGCCTCCCTACCAGCAAAACTCATCTCCATCTTGCTGCCTCCAAAGGCTCCCTTTGTGCTGTCCATGCTGTCGATAAGAGTGTCTTTCTCTTGAAGCCCGAAGCTGAGATGTCCCCTAAGACTGTGAGTCAAATCTGCTTTTGAAGCTGTCTTCAAGTGTAACATTCCTAGAGCCACTTTTGCGCTTCCGTGCCATGGGGTGTGCTGATGTCATGTACATGAGCCGTGTGGCATGTATGTCCAGTGTGCTGACTGTTGGGATGCATCCAAGGGAACGGGGGCAATTGGCAGGCCCCCAGCTGGCTCCAGCCCACTGGCCGGCAGCCGGGCGATCTCCGGTCCTTGGTGCAGCATGAATCTGCGACCCAGAGCTTCAGAAGCTTCAGAAGCTGGGCACGCAACTCAGCAGAGATAAGAACTCTTCGCAACAGAAGGGCAGATTAGAGGCTGTGTAAAACATATTTACAGGCATTTTATTCAGCATCAGGACAAAAGGAAAAACATGTCTGCTCCCCTTCGTGTCCAAGCAAACAGCATAAGCAAAAGCTATACACAAACGGAAGTTCCCAGCAAGCTGTGCTGGAAAGTAAACAGACATGTGACACACAACAGCCTGTTCCTCTTAAGGTGGAACGGACTATCTTAACACTGACGTTGTATGGCCCTGGCTCCCTCAATCGCAGGGGCAAGGCCATATATCTCCAAAACACTTCCTTTCTCAAGGAAGTCAGACTCTGGATAACCACTAGAACCTCTGGGGTCTCTCGTTTTTCAGAGACTGGGGTGCATACAACAATTTTAAAAAACTAATTTTCATTCCAGTTATATGCCGGACTGATAAATTGAGGACCGGGGATGCATAGAACATCTGTATCCACTTTTGAAACGGTTTGGCAAAGTGTTGAATGGACCCATTCCTTTCTGTCCAAACTGTGTCTCGTGAGGCACAGTTGAGTATGTTTAGCCTGGGGAAAGAGAAGGCTGAGAGGTGATCTGATGGCTACCTTCAAGGCTGAAGACAGGGCAAGCTTGTTTTCTGCTGTGCCAGAGGGTGGGACCCGAGTCAGTGGCTTCAAATTACAAGGAAAGAGATTCCAACTAAATATTGGGAATAACTTTCTGGTGGTCAGAGCTGTTCTGCAGTGGCCATGCAGGGACATTTTAGAGGAGAGGTGATTTAGAGGAGATATGGAAGGCGTTTGTAGAATTTGTACTGTTAAAACGGAAAGGGGTCAAACCATCGCAAGAGGTGTTGAAATTGTGGGTGGCTGGATAGTAACAATGGAATGGTCTCCGTGGCGAGGTGCACATTTTTATTCTTACTTATTTATGATTATTACTTTGTAAAAATATAGAGAGAAAAAAATAGCAGGGGCATTTTAGGACATGCTTAATTGTGGCTACTTTTGTGGTCAGGTTTATGATCTGCTTCCTGTGAAGGACCTCCGAGGTTACGTCTACAGGCACCACTACCTGCTTGACCCGTACCCTGATCGCTGCACGGTTAGGAAAAATATTGTTGTGGAAGGCATCAGCTACAGATATGAATCTTTTCAGCGGAGTGAAGGTGATGCCTATGACATTCTCAAGGTGAGTGCCAAAGGACCCGCTGCATTGGCATGAGACCCTTAATCTCAGGGTCATGGGTATGAGCCCCATGTGGGCGAGAGAGTCCTTCATTGCAGGAGTTTGGGCTAGGTGATCCTTGTGGTCCACTCCAACTCTGCAATTCTATGATTCTGTGATTTGTCGGGGAGTGAAATGTCTGCCAGGAAGAGGAGGGCACATTGTAGGGACCCACCGCGTGACAGTGGCAGCTCAGCCACCCAAAATCTAGGGCTGTAAGGAAGCACGGTGTTGCATTCCACCCCGCATACGTCGCACGCAGCAATGTTTCCATTCCCCTGCAGTTCGTTTTCCACCAAAAGCTATTGTCCTCTGCAGAGAGATTATGTAACCTTAAGAAGAGCCTGCTGTCCAGTGTTCTCACATTGCTCAACCAAATGCCTGTCGGAAGCCTGCAAACAGGATCCGAGCGCAAGAGCCCTTTTCCCCCTCCTGTGGTTTTCAGCGACTGGTATTCAGAAGCATCACTGCCTCCAACTGGGGAGGCAAACCATCACCATCATGGCTCGTAGCCACTGATAGCCTTTCCACCTAATTTGTCTGATCCTCTGAGCCATCCACATTCGTGGCCATCACTCCCTCCTGTGGAAGTGAGTTTCAATGTTGAACTAGATAAAAGGTAAAGGTAAAGGACCCCTGGATGGTTAAGTCCAGTCAAAGGTGATTATGGGGTTGCGGCGCTCATCTCGCTTTCAGGCCGAGGGAGACGGCGTTTGTCCACAGAAAGCTTTCCAGGTCATGTGGCCAGCAGGACTAAACCACTTCTGGCACAATGAGATGGAGGCCAGAGCACATGGAAATGCCGTTTTCCTTCCCACCGGACTGGTACCTATTTATCTGCTTGCACTGGCATGCTTTCGAACTGCTAGGTGGGCAGGAGCTGGGACACAGCAACGGGAGCTCACCCCGTCGCGGGGATTCAAACCGCCGACCTTCTGATCGGCAAGCCCAAGAGGCTCTGTGGTTTAGACCACAGCGCCACCTGCATCCTTACAGTTGAACTAGGCACCATGTGAATAACTGCTTTTTGAATCCGCCCTGAATCTTTCAACATTCAGTTTCACTGGATGCCCATAAGTTTTAATGTCATGAGAGGACTTTGTCCAGTTCTGGGCACCACAATTTAAGAAGATGTCAACAAGCTGGAACATGTACAGAGGAGGGCAACCAAGATGATCAAGGGTCTAGAAACAGGTAGGTAGCCATGTTGGTCTAAAGCAGTCTATATATATATATATATATATATATATATTATATCACAACAGGTTTACCATACCCATTGAGTCAGTCACCCATCTCCTACTACCCTCCTGAGAAAACCCCCTCCCCACCCTCCAACTATATATAAGGGTCTGGTGACTTCTGTTTCAGTGTATCTGAAGAAGTGTGCATGCACATGAAAGCTTATACCAAGAACAAACTTAGTTGGTCTCTAAGGTGCTACTGGACTATTTTTTTATTTTATTTTTAAAATATATTTCAAGGGTCTGGAAGCCAAGCCTTATGAGGAACGGTTGAAGGAGCTGGGCCTGTTTAGCCTGGAAAAGAGGCTGAGGAGCCCTTCAAATATTTCAAGGGCTGTCACATGAAAGAGGGAACAAGCTTGTTTTCTCCTGCTCTGGAGCGTAGGGACTGGAACAATGGCTTCAAGTTACAAGAAAGGAGATTCCGACTAATCATTAGGAAGAACTCTCTGACAGTAAGAGTTGTTTGGCAGTGGAACGGACTCCCATGAGAGGTGGTGGACTCTTCTTCCTTGGAGGTTTTAAAGCAAAGTTTGGGTGGCCACCTGTCCTGGATGCTTTAGCTGAGATTCCTGTGTTGCAGGCGGCTGGATGGCCACTGGATTATCCTTGGGTTCCCTTAGGTAAAGGTAAAGGGACCCCTGACCATTAGGTCCAGTCATGGACAACTGGGGTTGCAGTGCTCATCTTTCTCTTTAGGCCAAGGGAGCTGGCGTTTGTCCGCAGACAGCTTCCAGGTCATGTGGCCAGCATGACTAAGCCGCTTCTGGCGAACCAGAGCAGCGCACGGAAACGCCGTTTACCTTCCTGCTGGAGCGGAACCTATTCATCTACTTGCACTTTGACGTGCTTTCGAACTGCTAGGCTGGCAGGAGCAGGGACCGAGCAACAGGAGCTCACCCTGTCGCAGGGATTCAAACCGCACACCCTTACAATTCTGCAATTCTTTGATTCTGTGAGAGAGGGAGAAAAATGTTTCTCTAGCCCCCTGTATCCTTCCAGACCACCCGGCAGTGGGCAGAGGAGGATGTTCAGCTCCTGAAGGGTTAATCCAGACTAGGTAGAGACTCTCCTGGTCAGGTATTCGGGAACAGAGACACATATGCTGTTTGGGAAGGCATAACGCTCTAGAGAAGGGTTCATACTGGCTCGTTTTCTCATTTTGCAGGACTTTGGCTTGAAAGTTTTTACCAGCACCAAGATACAGAAGCCTAACCTTTGCAGAGAAGAGATACCAGTATATGCCAGTAAGAACCTGGTGGCAATGTTGGTGGCAATTGTGGGAGTAGGGGTGGGATTTCCTCCAGTTAGCCTTCGTTCCATCTTCAAAATGCCCTGAAAATCACAAGATTTATAAGCTCTGCAAATTTAAGAGGAACGATAACAGCTTAAGAAGAGCCAATGGCAAATCTTCTCTAGCATCCTGTTCTCACATTGGCTGAAGGGTTGCTTGTGGGAAACCAGCAAATGTACATCCAGCTACCCTCTACGTCCCTAAGGGCCTTGAGGCAATGACTAAAACTTTTGCTGAGTGCCTAGTTCTACAGCCCTATATTTCTTAAAAAATATTAAGATACTTGGCAGAAGGGTTTTCAGGAAGAGTTTCAATTGCCTCATCCCTTCCGGCATTTGCATGCTGTAAATAGAAAGTTTACAGTGGAACCTCGGTTCCTGAACGAAATCTATTCCGGAAGCCCGTTCCGGAAGCTTGCGAAATGTTCGAAAACCAAGGCATGGCTTCCCATTGGTTGCAAGAGCTTCTTGCACTCCGCAGAAGTCGTGTCACACGTTCAAGTTCCAAAAAACATTTGAAAATGGAAGCATTTAATTCTGGGTTTTTAGCACTCGGGAACCAAAACATACAAGAACAGAGGCGTTCGGGAACCGAGGTTCCAGTGTACCAGTATTTGCCCAAAGCTAGATTCAGAGTGTATTTTTTTTTTTAATGATATTTATTAAAATTTTCAAAGAATACAAAATTACACAGGAACAAAAAGTAAAAATACAAAAAATAAAAATACAAAAAAAATAGAAAAATAAAAAATACAGAAAAAAGAATAAAGAAAAAACAAAACAAGTTCATTATTTTCAGACCCTTGACTGTCAGTACCTTCTTTCTTAGACCCCCTCCTCCTCCCTTCCTTTGTATTCTAGTTATTAATTATCCCAGCAAATCCTTTCCCCATGTTTCATAAAATTCTATCATTACCTTACCCTCGACTAATTTAATCCTATCTTTCTATAATAAAGTAAACCTTAAAGTTTAAAACTTAAGTCTTAACCTTACCAGCTTCTTGTGATCATATTAATAATATTCTTTCATAATTCTTTATGCATCTTTACTAAAGCCAGGTAATTTCTTCCAACATTTTTCTATCATTCATCAACTTTGTAAAACATTCTAATAATAAAAAAGAAAAAGAAAGATATAAACAAGTCCAATCTTTATCCAATGTCCCTTTCTCCTGGTTCCAGGATTTGTCAGTCCTTATTAACCCGGCAACCTTATGTCCGAGGCCCTCAAGTCATTTCCATGGCCCTTCCGCAGCTTGTAATTTCCCTTGTCTCCTCGTGATAACTCCAGCTTGACAATGTCTCTTGCTCGTGGTAACTCCAGCTTAGTAATGTTTTTAACCCTTCTCATCAGATCAGACCCTTTTCCATATTCATCGCTGCATTCCATGTAATATTTAAAAGCATGTTTCAAGGGCCCTCCAAAGTTGAGAGCCCCCACAGTCCCAATCATATCGCAGCCCATTACCATATTTAAAAAGTCCAGACATCCCAGCATAGGGGGGTCAATCCAGCCCCCCATTTCCAAGCCACACCGAACTTTCCCTTTCCAAATCTGGCTTTTTCCAAGTTCATTTGTCCAATCCGAAGGATCATACTCCTGTTGGGTCTGTTCTGTCAAAACACACTGATGATTTAATGCCACAAACTCCTGTTCTGTCAAAACACACTCCTGGTTTGAATCCTGGGTAGGCTCCACATGTTTTCCCACAGTCTGATCAAGACATTCCACTGCCTGTTTAAGATTTCTAGTCGAAATGACCATCCAGTTCACCTTATCATGTAATTCTTCCAGTAGAGCATTTGTTTTGTAGAGAACGCGCACCAAAGTTTCTGAAAACATTGCTCTACACAATCAAACACTTTCCCACGGTTATTTTGTAACAGATGTCAATTCCTTGGAGTTAGTTACAGTTTCAAAAGCTCCCCCCTAGGGAGAAGACTTATATTTGTTTTTGCTACAAAGTTTCCCTTTCCCCCCCCCAAAATACATAGGATACTTTGCCCATATATATTCCTTTAGAGTGTGAAAGGGAACAGTAAAATCACCAAATTTCTCTTCTTTTAGCTGTCAGTCAGAAAACAATTATCTTGGTAAACTCACGTCAGTCCTGACACCCCCGCTCCAGGATCAGGACGGAGGAAAATAACTTCCTTTTGCAGTTACTTCAAATAGTCCAAAAAATATATATTCCCAATTTAAAATGTTGAAATCATTCTTTTAAAAACGATTCTCTGAGCTCTAGTGTAAATTGCCTTTGCTTTGTTCTATATACAAAAGAACGGAAGGGTGACTTCCTGTTTAGCCCTTCCCGCTCCGTACCAAATTGAGTAGATTTTTTTTTTTTTTAAGGTCCAATTCTGTCCTTTTCACAAATCTTTATTTAATATCCCATTTGTTCAGATTCTAAGTACTCACGGGTGTTTGTTTTAAAGTCCAAATTGTCCCAGGAAAGAAGGCAGCGCTCTCCGGCAGCAGCTATGCGGCTTTGCTCCACGGAAATAGCGATTGACTCACAGCACCACGCCGCTTCCCCTCCTCACTTCGGAGCCCGTTAGTGGGTTCCTTAGTGGATTGGGGGGGCGCTAAAGGTGCCCGCCGAGTCCCACGGTCACAGGCTTCATCCGCCTGTGATTTTGAAGGGGTCCCCGCTTCGCCGTAGCGGAGTAGACCCTGTTTACCGCGAAGCAAGTCCCTCCAGTTCAGAGGGAGTCCGCCATTGCCGGTGGCGCCACCCCGGAAGTCCTTCAGAGTGTATTTTGTTCTAATAGGCGTTTATGAATTTGCCACCGTTATCATTATGGTAAAATATCATGCTATTTAAATGGCATAGATTAATTAGTCACTCAGCAGCAATAGAACATGGTTACAGTGGTACCTCAGGTTACATACGCTTCAGGTTACACACTCCACTAAGCCAGAAATAGTGCTTCATGTTAAGAACTTTGCTTCAGGATAAGAACAGAAATCGGATTCTGGCAGCGCGGCGGCAGCAGGAGGCACCATTAGCTATAGTGGTGCTTCAGGTTAAGAACAGTTTCAGGTTAAGAACGGACCTCCGGAACAAATTAAGTACTTAACCCGAGGTACCACTGTATAGGCCTTGGAGGACACATGGTGATTTGCAGAATTCTACCTTTTGTTTTAAAAAGCGAAATGGCTTAAAAGTTAAATGGAACCAAATAGAAATTGGGTGCTTCTATGCAGGTTGGGGGTTAGATTGTAAACACAGACACATACACACAAGACAGCTGTGTATGAAACACAATTTATGACACACACGCACATACACAAAGAGAGAGAGATAGAGAGTACAACGAAAAACAAAATGAAATTAAATAAATAAATTAGTTGGCGTCTGTTTGCCTCAAGAGATAATGTAGGAGTGTGACGTCAAACCACTGGAGAGTTAGAGGACTTGCTGTGGCTGTATGGGAGAGACATGTTTAATTGCAGCTGGAGCAGAGGAAGGTCTCGGTTTTGCTGTTACAGATGCACTGTGGTGTTACTTATCTCTGCTCTCCTCCCAGTGGTCATTTCTCCTCTGGTCACCACTGTGGAAATAAAGTACATAATGCAGGGCAATATCCAACAGTCCCACTCAGAGTGTACCTACTGAAATCAAGAGGGCTTTCTGTTCATTGAGTCCGAATAACAATGGCTATCATCTATGCTCTGTCTTCCTTCAAGCTGCTGGCCTACAGGTTCAAACTCTGGGTAGACGGCTAGGAGCTCCAGGCATTCCTGCACGAGAAGCTGCAAGAACAGAAAGACAGCAGGAGACTGTCAGGAGCTACTTTCCCGAGACGTGGCTCTGGAACACGTGGATAGTGAAGTAAGTAGTGGTTTTCAGACTTTGTGGGGTGCGCATATTGCAGATATTAATATTATGCAGTTTGAAGCGAGTGGATGCATAAAAACGGGCTAATTTGGAAATGAAGCACTGTCAAGGCCCATAAGTTTAACGAAAGCTTTGCTTACAGAACTTTCTTCAAAACAAAACAAAAGCATCCAAACAACTCCATAAGACACATGCCAGTCCAAGGCATAGGCTCAGCATCTTACAAAATGTCAAACAATTTCAACAGACCTAGAAACAGAGGTCTGTCTCTCCCCACAACCTGCATCCAGCCTGAGGCTGTTTATCTGGAAAGCTTCATCTACATCCTCACTCTCACAGAGCCCAGGAACAAAGGACTCCAGCCATCACCCTTCCAAGATGGCGAAGTTGCAATTCAATTCAATACCTCTCATGTGATCTAAGGTTAAACACTCATATGTTAGATTGCAGAAAACAACATTCCATTATCAACTCAGTTAAGGCTCAGAGTCCCTTAGAGTATGGCAGTGGAATTTTCCAGCATTAAACCCTTTCACCATTACACATAAGCATTCCCATTTCGGTGTCAATTAAAACCATTATAATCAATAGGGCAGTGGTGGTGCTGGGGGAGTCCGTAGCGAAAATCCCTTGAAAGAAATGCTGAGAACCTGTGGCCCTCCAGGCGTTACTGCCATACAACCTCCATCATACCTGCTCACAGGCCATCCAGCCCGGGGATGATGGGAGTTGGAGCCCAACAACAGTGGGAAGGCCACACAGCCCCCACCCCGCAAAATCTCTGCCCTATTACGAGCCATAACCCTAGGGAAAATTAGGCAGATTAATGAAGGACAAGGCTCTTGATAGCACCTCGAATACTTGGAAGTGATGTGCATTTTACAGGATTTCCCTGGTGATGGGAAATGAAGATACGGCTTGCAGGAGGGAGCTATGAAAATGTTCTTCACCCTGCACGGCCATCTTCAGAAATCTAAAGGCCTGTCACATTGAAGATGGATCAAACATTGCTGGGGCTTTGTCAACAGGATCGGGAGGCCAGCTGGCAAGCCCCAGCTCAGCCGACTCCTTCCATCGACCTCTGCTCTGACGTAAATCAGCGACCCGGGCTTCAGAACCAGGGCACGCTATCAGCAGATAGAACTGCGCACACAGAATAGGCTTGAGGCTTGTGAAGTCATACTACAAACTACAGATTTATTAATCATAAATCAGGACAAAGAAACATGTCGTCTCTCATGCCGTCTCAGAGAGAATGGGAAAAAGCAAAAGCTATACACAAACGGAAGTTCCCAGCATACTGTGCTGGAATGTAAACAGACATGTGACATGCAACAATTCCACATGTCTGTTCCTTAAGGTGGAGTGGAATTCTCAGCAGGCTTGTACTAGATGACCCTTGGGGTCCCTTCCAACTATGATTCTATGAAACTTGTTTTCTGCTGCTCCAGAGGGCAGGGCCCAAATCAATGGATTCAAGTTAAAGGAGATTCTGACTAAACATTATGGTGGTCAGAGCTGTTTGGTATGGACTCCCTCAGAAGGTGGTGGACTCTCCTTCCCTGGAGGCTTTTAAGCAGAGCTTGGATGGCCATCTGTCAGCGATTTGTTAGCTGGGAATTGTTCAGTGGACTAGATGAGGCTTGGGGTCCTATTGATGGTATCAAACACCGAGTAAATTGGCAAAAATGTACAAAACTAAATCAAATAAATGTTGGAAATGTTAAGAGAAAGAAGGTTATTTTTATCATATGTGTGGTGCCAGTGTGATGTAGTGGTTAAGAATGGTAGACTTGTGATCTGGTGAACCGGGTTCGCGTCTCCGCTCCTCCACATGCAGCTGCTGGGTGACCTTGGGCCAGTCACACTTCTCTGAAGTCTCTCAGCCCCACTCACCTCACAGAGTGTTTGTTGTGGGGGAGGAAGAGAAAGGAGAATGTTAGCCGCTTTGGGACTCTTTAGGGTAGTGATAAAGTGGGATATCAAATCCAAACTCATGTGGTAACCTTACTTACCTTGTGGTAAGGTTAAGGCTTACTGGGAAATGATATACAATGAAATGAAAAGGATGTTTAAAATAATGTTTGTAAAAAAAACACCAGAAGCCTTTCTCTTGGGAATTATAGGGACAGAACTACTTAAATTGTATAGAAATTTATTCATGTACAGCAGCGAGAATGTTACTTGCCACCAAATGGAAAGAAGCAGAAGTCCCAGCAAAGGAAGAATGGATATGAAAACGTATGGAATATGCAGAAATGGCAAAACTTTCCAGAAGAATAAGAAATCAAGATAACAAACTTTTAATAAAAGAATGGAAATGGTTTATTGAATATTTACAGACAAATTGTAAACAGATAAAAAGACGGGCAGGATTATTGTAATAACCTGCAGTTACATAAGAGTATATATTCAAAGAGGATAAATAAATATGTTAAGTTAATTTGGATATGCAGAAGATATTAAAAACAAACTTAAGGAACCGCAGAAAGAGGGGGAAGGAAGTCAAGTTTTAAAATGTCAAAATAACTGTAAAATCAATGGAATGTGTATATCTGAAAAGATATGTATACGTATACATATACATATATATAAAACCCTTGGGACCCCTTCAAACTCTATGATTCTTTGATTCCTGTTCTTTTCTGTCCCTCAGCGGCGAGTCCCAAGGTGAGATTGACATCCCCGTGACCATTCCGGACACCATCACCGAGTGGAAGGCAGGAGCTTTCTGCTTGTCCCCGGATGTGGGCTTTGGCCTGGCCCAGACTGCCTCTCTCAGAGCCTTCCAGCCATTCTTCCTTGATATGACCATGCCCTACTCTGTGGTGCGGGGCGAAGCGTTCACCCTGAAGGCCACTGTCTTCACTTACATGCAGCGCTGCGTCAGGGTGAGGAATGCCCTAGCTTGGCTCCCGATTCCCGAAAACTCCTCGCCCTCTTTTCCTTGGCATAGAATTTGGATCGCCTAGGCACGGAATCATATTGCTGCAGGCACCCCAGTCTCTTGAGTGGCGAGAGACTTTTGTTCCCTCCCCGCTAACGCCTTTCTGTTCATGGACAGGTCAGTATCTCGCTGGCTCCCTCTGCTGAGTTTGTGGCTTCCCCTGTGGAGAAGGAGGAAGAATCTTACTGCCTGTGTGCCAACGAAAGGAAAACGGTCTCTTGGACGGTAACTCCCAAATCTCTGGGTAAGCAGCAATGCTAGGAACTGGGTAACCACCACGGTCTGAAAGCGAGATGAGCGCCGTAACCACATAGTCGCCTTTGACTGGACTTAACCACCCAGGGGTCCTTTACATTTTACCTTTACCAAACCCTTAGATCAGGGATATGTATAAATGCAAGGAGTCCTGATTCCTCCTACAGAATTACCACCTTTAGATTGCAGTGAAAGTTTGTGTGTGCGTGCGTGCGTGCGCGTGCGTGCGTGCGTGGTCGTGTGCGCACTTCCAGCATGTAAATACAATATATATATTTTTCAGATTAAAAATTTACAGTCAGATATCCAACATACATACAACATAGAAACAAGATTCCAAAGAACTCCTGGACTTCCCTCCTCCCCTTTGTGGGTCCTATTGTTAATCATTTCCTCCTGCAACTTTTATGATAATCCAAATCTTTTACATCTCCATTGTGTCCAAAATTCACCATTAAACTACAAGTGTTACTCCAATCCTACTAACGATTTTAACTGTTTACAACGGTTTTTAAGATAAACTATAAATTTTCCCCATTCCTTATTAAATTTTTGGTCTTCCTGATTTCTGATTCTTTCAGTCATTTTAGCCATTTTGGCACTGTCCATCAACTTGATCAAATACAGTGGTACCTCTACTTACGGACGTGATCCGTTCCGGGGTGCCATTTGCACCGCGAAAAGTCCGTAAGCAGTGCATGTGATGCGATAGAGTGCGCATGCGCGAAGCGTGCAGATCGCTCCTGCGCATGTACGAAGTGATGAACCTGGAAGTAAACACTTCTGGGTTTGCCGCGTTCGTAACCAGAAAAAACGCGACGTGAAGCAAACGCAACTCGAGGTATGACTGTGCTGTATTTTAGAGTCCATGGCAAATTTGGCTACTGCCTACATTTTGGGTATGCATTGATTTCTCTCCCAACTTTAAATAACCTAATAGGAATGGAAAGGATCTAGCATCTAGATCAAGGGAAGTAATAGTGCCACTGTATTCTGCTCTGGTCAGACCTCACCTGGAGTACTGTGTCCAGTTCTGGGCACCACAGTTCAAGAAGGGCACTGACAAACTGGAACGTGTCCAGAGGAGGGCAACCAAAATGGTCAAAGGCCTGGAAACGATGCTTTATGAGGAACGGCTAAGGGAGCTGGGCATGTTTAGCCTGGAGAAGAGGAGGTTAAGGGGTGATATGATAGCCATGTTCCAATATATCAAAGGATGTCACATAGAGGAGGGAGAAAGGTTGTTTTCTGCTGCTCCAGAGAAGCGGACACGGAGCAATGGATCCAAACTACAAGAAAGAAGATTCCACCTAAACATTAGGAAGAACTTCCTGACAGTAAGAGCTGTTCGACAGTGGAATTTGCTGCCAAGGAGTGTGGTGGAGTCTCCTTCTTTGGAGGTCTTTAAGCAGAGGCTTGACAACCATATGTCAGGAGTGCTCTGATGGTGTTTCCTGCTTGGCAGGGGGTTGGACTCGATGGCCCTTGTGATCTCTTCCAACTCTATGATTCTATGATTCTATGAACCATGCTATTAACAAAATAGAATGAGGGCGGCCCTTTTTTCTCTTCTAGGAGAAATAAACTTCACAGCGAGCGCTGAAGCCCTGAACTCTGAACAGCTGTGTGGGAACGAAATAGTGGAGACACTCCACAAAGGGCAGAAGGACACTGTGATCAAATCCCTTTTGGTCAAGGTACGAGTGGCGGCAGAGCATATGTTTGCATTGCCCAGGGTGGGCACGCTCCCGAGGGGGGCATGGCGTGGAGGGTGCCCTCCCAGGCACAGGATCGCCGCTCGGGTTCCCGGAGCAGCATGTGTGCCCTGCAGCTGGGGACGAAGTGATCCGCTCATGGGTGCAGAGCGAGCCGCCCATGGTGGACATTTGGTGCGCCGCCTGCCCGTGATTCCCAAGCCTCTCCCAAGTTGTCAAAACGAAGGGGGAAGGGGGAAACGCCACCGGCAAAGCGGCGCAACTCCCCCCGACGGCTGAGGGTACGCTTGGGAATCACAGGCGGGTGGTGCGCCGAATGTCACCCCCCTCAGTGAGGGCACCCGGGGCAGTCCGCCCGCACCGCCCCTCTTCCTCTGCCCCTGGGTACGAGGGCTGCTTTAATCTTGATTTGGGGTTGCATAAGTGTGATTTTGTGGGGAGTAAAGCAGACCCTCCAAGTGTCCCCATTTTCCAAGGACAGTCTCGGATTTACAGACACCGTCCTGGTTTTTGATTTGATTCCGGATTGTCCCGCTTCTTCCTCCCACCATTGTCACTGGAGGAATGCTGGAGGGCATGGCAAAGCAACAACGTTTGCAATAAGTTGCCTGAATCATTGGGGAATAAAGAGAGAAACGGAACTTCCTCCTTACTGATTCCTTCTCTTTCAGCAATGACTGTATTCTCCTGTGTATAAGACGGTGATTTTGCTAAAAAAAATGTAGTCCAAAATTTGGGGTCGTTTTATACACTTGGCTTGGGCTCTTGAAATAAGGCAACTCAAAAAAGCTCAATAACTTTGGTCAGCTTCCCTCAAAAAAAAGCTCAAAGTTGTTTTGTTTGATGTTTAAAATATTGATTTCTTAATAGTAAGGCAAACTTTTTCCTTTCAGGGTCTGTTTCCTGCTTATTTTCCAAGTTTCAGTCAATGTGAGCTAGCATGTGCCAGTGTGTTAACTTATTGGCTCTATCTTGGCTGCATGTAAAATTCATATACAGGGACCTTAGGGTTTGTAATAACCAAATAACATTTAGAATGGCTTTGTTTGCCATGAGGAATACACCTTAAGTTTTCTTTATCCTTCCAACCAGACTACAGTGGTACCTCGGGATGCGAATGGGATCAGTTCCAGAGCCCCGTTCGCATCCTGAATAGAACATAAGACGCGACTGCACGTGCGCAGGTCATGTTTTCCTGCTTCTGCGCATGCGCGTGACGTCATTTTGAGCATCTGCGCATGCGTGAGCAGTGAAACCCGGAAGTAACGCGCTTGTTTACTTCTGGGTTGCCGCGGATCACAACCCAAAAGAGCTCAACTTGAAGCACATTCAACCCGAGGTATGACTGTATTTCTTTCTGCACACTGCTAGAATGCAGAATTTATTTCATTCTCCCCTCTCCTTTTCTTTTCTCTCCTCTCATGAAGCCGGAAGGCGTTGAGAGGGACGTGGTCTTCAACAACCTGCTATGTGCAGTTGGTAAGTGACGGCTAATGGAGGTATCCCTACCCATTTCTCTGCATGAATCTCACATAACTGGAAAGGGCACAACTGCACCATACAGAAACATCATCATCGACATCATCATCATCAGTTGCTTTTCTCTTATTTATTTATTTATACTTTTCAGTTTATACATTTCACTGATTTTACAATCATTTTGACATTTCAAAACTCAACTTCCTTCCCCCTCTTTCTGCAGTTCCTTAAATTAGTTTTTAATAACTTCTGCATGTCCAAATTCACTTAATTTACTCATTTATTCATCTTCTTTTAATACATACTCTTATAAAACTGCAGGTTATTACAATAATCCTGGCAATATTTTTATCTGTTTATAATTTATCTGTAAATATTCAATAAACCATTTCCATTCATTGGTTAAAAAAAAAGTTAACAAATTAGTTGCTTTTCTCACAGAGTGAAGCAAAGTGACAATTATTATTACTATTATTATTATTTATAGTAGTAATTACACACCCTTTGTTAGCTTTTTTTCTGAGTCATGTAGAGTGATTCTTTGCTTGCAGGATGGCAACTATTACAAGCAATAATATTTATGCATATCAAGTCAAATACAATGCATCCCTCTCCCTTGAGCCCAAGAGAGGGTCTTCTTGTTTCTTGCTTCCAAAACTCCTTTGAAACCGGCCATAAATTATCAGCCCATCGCTCCTCAAACCTGGAAGGGAACGAAGAGTAGGCTTGCAAATGTTCCCGCTAACTGGAAGAGAGGTTGTAATATCAGGCAACAGGAATGATCAAAACTCCCTCTGTTCTGCTTCCAGAGAAGCCAAAGTCATCACAACCTGTTTCTTTAAAGCTGCCAGGCAACGTGGTGGAGGGCTCAGCCAGGGCCTCCTTCTGTGTGCTGGGTAAGTCATGAAAACTTTCCGGGACTCGGGCTTCACGGAGACCCTGTGTAAATGCTCTGTATTCCACACCATCTGGCCCAGTCTTCACCCTTCCGCATGTGAATAGCTCTCTCCAGTTCCAATGTCCTGGGCTGAGTGCAGTTGCTTATGAAGTCAAGACAGCACCGACCACATACCGTATTTTTTGCTCTATAAGACTCACTTTTTCCCTCCTAAAAAGTAAGGGGAAATGTGTGTGCGTCTTATGGAGCGAATGCAGGCTGTGCAGCTATCCCAGAAGCCAGAACAGCAAGAGGGATTGCTGCTTTCACTGCGCAGCGATCCCTCTTGCTGTTCTGGCTTCTGATATTCAGAATAGTTTTTTTCTTGTTTTCCTCCTCCAAAAACTAGGTGCGTCTTGTGGTCTGGTGCGTCTTATAGAGCGAAAAATACGGTAGATGTCAGTGTTAGGTTTCTGTTATGCCACTGTGTAGTTCTTGGAGTCACAAGACTCTGTTGACATTCCAGACTGTCTCACGGGAGACAGATGTTGAAGTTACTGGTTTCCTGTTTCTTTGTTCCTGTTGTTTTCTGTCTCTCACAGAGAGCAGATGCATATTCTTTTCTGTCCTGCGTAGTCAGAAATAAAGCAGCAATGTAGCACATATTTCATGTCTCCTTCTGCTGCTGTCTGGGTACTCTGCTTAAAGGGGAGCGTGCCTGAAGTCTCATTCAAAGGCTTAGGTCGTTAATCACCGTCAGAGGAGAGCCGGAGGAGTAGCCTTTACAGCTGGATCGTACAGAGGCTCCGACAGTCAGCAGGCTTGGAGGAGACCCAAGATTTGCAGAAGTAGCAAACAAAGTTGTAGAAGGAGAGCTAAGGGCTAGAGCTGGGGTGGAATGGAACAGCTCAATGAGGACTGAGCATGCACCATGGGCATGGGATGCTAGCAAACTTTTGGGAAGGGAAATCAAGTGGCAGGGGTAATGAAATGGAGTATGCTGGAAAAGAATGTATCTTTCTGGAACTCAATGCTACATGCTGTAAATATTTGCGCTTATTTTCTTCTTGTCTTTTCCCTTATTCTAGCACATTCTTTCTTGGCCTGGCCTCTCCTTGCCTCCTTAATTATGCCTCCATCTGAGCCCAGTCATTTCTCATGTAATCTGGCACTGATAATATGTGGGAATTAGACTCTAGTTCCCATTTACAGAACTATGTGAAGGGAGGAGACCGGGTTGTTTAACCCTTTAACTAGTTCCCTTTTCCGTTCTATAAAAATTACACAAAACACACTCTCTTTTTAAAGTTTAAATAACAAATAGCTTTTAATCAGTGTACAGTCGTACCTCGGCTCCTGAATGCCTTGGGAGTCAAACATTCTGGCTCCCAAATGATCGAAAACCGGAAGTAAGTGGTCCGGTTTTCAAATGTTCTTTTGGAAGCGGAATGTCCAATGGGGCGTCTGCGGTTTCAGATTGACTGCAGCTAAACAGAAGCCGCGCTTTGGAAGTCGAACATTTGGGAAGTCAAACGGACTTCCGGAATGGATTCTGTTCGACTTCTGAGGTACGGCTGTACTTGCACTTGTTAGATTAAACATACAAGGCAGGCAGGTGTTATGTTGCTAATACACATTGCATAGATTTGTATGTTATTAGCACTTAATATTTATCTGCTTCCATCTGGCCATTCTCTCCTCCACAGCATTTTCATTACGTTCATTTCCACCTGAACTATTTCCCCCTCCCACTCCCTGATCTGTGATTTCCTGATCTGTGTTTATGGAAGTTTTTAATATTTAATGCTGTATTGTTTTTAACACTCAATTGGGAGCCGCCCAGAGTGGCTGGGGAAACCCAGCCAGATGGGCGGGGTATAAATAAATTATTATTATTATTATTATTATTATTATTATTATTCCTCATGGAAATTTGCATTGCTTTGATGTTTTCTTTTGTCATGTGTTTCACTTGGTGGCTCTGCACCATCCCCTCATATTCCAACCAATCTTTTCCCTCCCCTCCTCTTCCCACATCCCAGGGGACATCCTCGGATCAGCTATAGAGAACCTCCACCAGCTTCTTCAGATGCCCTACGGCTGTGGGGAGCAGAACATGGCCCTCTTTGCCCCCAACATCTACATCCTGGAGTACCTGAATAAGACTGAGCAGCTGACTGAGGAGGTGAAGTCCAAGGCCCTGGGATACTTAGTGGCTGGTGAGAAAAACTTGTGAGGAGAGGATGTACGGGGAGAATTCTACATTTGTTGTTTCCTGCAGGGCGGGAGGAACAATGTGGATTCACTCAGAACACATTTATAAGCATGGCTGCCGGCTTTACTGGACTGAAATCAATACATGAATTACCGTATTTTTCGCTCTATAAGACGCACCAGACCACAAGACGCACCTAGTTTTTGGAGGAGGAAAACAAGAAAAAAAATATTCTGAATCCCAGAAGCCAGAACACCAAGAGGGATCGCTGCTCAGCAAAAGCAGCGATCCCTCTTGCTGTTCTGGCTTCTGGGATAGCTGCACAGCCTGCATTCGCTCCATAAGACGCACACACATTTCCCCTTACTTTTTGGGAGGGAAAAAGTGAGTCTTATAGAGCAAAAAATACGGTAACTACCACACTAGTTGTTGGATTGCTAGTAGGGACCAATTTTAATCACTGGGGCTTTGAGTTCAGGACACACTTTGAAACTATTGAGAAACTGAGGGTGGCGTGTCTTCTCTTGATGCCCACATAGCCTCTGAGCATCCATCACCGCCCCCTTGGTTGTGTGGCTGAGTAACCTTTCCTCCCCTGAAAAGTAAAGGTAAAGGTAAAGGTACCCCTGACCGTTAGGTCCAGTCGTGGCCAACTCTGGGGTTGCGGCGCTCATCTCGCTTTATTGGCCGAGGGAGCCGGCGTACAGCTTCCGGGTCATGTGGCCAGCATGACTAAGCCGCTTCTGGCGAACCAGAGCAGCGCATGGAAACGCCGTTTACCTTCCCGCCGGAGCGGTACCTATTTATCTACTTGCACTTTGACGTGCTTTCAAACTGCTAGGTTGGCAGGAGCAGGGACTGAACAACGGGAGCTCACCCCGTCGCGGGGATTCGAACCACCAACCTTCTGACCAGCAAGTCCTAGGCTCTGTGGTTTAACCCACAGCGCCACCCGCGTCCCTCCCCCTGAAAAGTACATAGAGCCAAAGGAGGAAGTTGGAAGAGTGGTGCTCTTTCTCACTTCCTCCTTCAACTCTATGTGCTTTACAAGGCTCGGATTAATTCTGCTGGTTCTACTCAGATCCCTTGAATGAACTAGGTGTGTGTTTGTGTACCCACTTTCTTTCTGCCTCTCTGTGGGGTGAGTGGATAGCAGCATTTATCAATGGGGTTATGAATTGGTTTTGTTCTTGTTTTTATCATGTATTTTGTTTCTTTATTTTGTATGTTTTTTTACTGTGAACTGCCCTGGGATCTTTGGGTGAAGGGTGGTATACAGATTTAATTTTTAAAAAAAAATGGATAAAAAATAAATGTTAAATGATATGCGATCTTACTACTTCCTTTCCCCAAAACTGTAGGAGTGCAAATATCCAGAGATGTAGTGATCAGGTGGGATTGCTATGAGGAATTATAACAAATATAGAGTAAGCCATCTGTGTCAGCAATGAAAGCATTGCGTTGACTGGGTTTAAACTATTTTGATATGATTTTTGATCAATCTACATCTCTGAATCTCTGGCCCCTTTGACCCTACTGCCCATTTCTCTCTCCTCACGTCACGTACACAGCGTACACAGCAGTTGCTCCGCCAGGCAGGCATCCTGGGCCATAAAGATAGTGGGCGAGTTCTTTGATGTAGTTTTCTAATATATAATCTTAAAATGTTAATCTTGGAGCCAGGAAACAGATCTCACATGAAGGTAGTAGTGATCTGGTCTTTCTGGCCATCCTTCTTATCATGTTTATTTCTCAGCTCTGGGGTTGCCAGATGCACCCCTTTGTAGTTCTCAACTTATTTACCACCCCTTTGTAGTTCTCAAGTTATTTACTACCCCTTTGTAGTTCTCAACATATTTACCCCAAAATATATGCATGCTAATTAGTGTTGTAGTGTAACTTTTTCCCCACGTGGGGTTTGATGAAATGCTCAGAGGAAATATGATTGGTTCTTACTGTGTAAAAGATTCTTTTGCTAATAAAATGGCCTGGTGAGGGGTGTGGTTGACGCACTTTTCTCCGAGAGTCTTGCTGGTCAAAGCCTCGTGTCTTGCTTTTAATCAGGGTCCAATTCTTCCTTTACTTTGCAAACGCAACACAAAATGGCATATCTGATGAGTTTTGGGTAGCATTTAGGAAAACACTGAATGTAGCATTGCCATAAGGAGCACGCTCCTCTCCTATTATTGCAGAAGTAGACATAATTCACACAATGATATGTGCAAAATAGAAAGTAGTCCTTGTTTATCAGGTTTCAGAACTGTAAGTCTCAAGAAAATATTCAACCTTGCGCTTTTTTGTTGCATTACAGTTCTTACCACTTCTTTCCATAGAAGATGCCTCTGTTGAGTTTTGGGTCAGTTGCAAATTTTATCAAGAAGATTAAAAAAGGGCAAAAAACCCCACCCCGATTCTCCTTCCATTTCAGGCTACCAGAGGCAACTGAACTACAAGCACTCTGATGGCTCCTATAGCACCTTTGGACAAGATAACCGGAGCCCAGGGAACACCTGGTGAGATTGACAGAGGCGACCTCATTTATGCAAGGCATATACATACATGTTGAGCAGGGGGAGGTTACCTGGTTGAATTGCCTTGAAAGTCCAAATACACTATGTCAGCTGGCTCACCCTTATCTATATGCTTGTTGACACTCTCATAGGGCTCTATAGGTTTGTGGGACAGGACTTGTCCTTGCAGAAGCCATGCTGGTTCTACGTCAGCAAGGCTTGTTCTTCTATATGCTTGGTAATTTTATCCTTGACAATTCTTTCCTGGGACAGATGTTAAGCTAACCAGCCTGTAATTCCCACAATCCCTACCCCAGGATATATTCTATCTTAATACAATTCTGTATTCCTTAGCTTAAGCTGTTGATTTTTTGTCTCATACGTGAAAATGCTTTCCTGGTGTTGCATCCAATATTATTCATTCTGAGGTCCTATCAAAGGGCACATTTCTGGGCTTCTACCTTTCCCCAAATGCATTGGCACTGGTGCCTGACTCTGCTGTGCTCGGTGGCTTTCTTGCAGGCTGACGGCATTTACGCTCAAGTCCTTTTCCCGAGCCAGACCCTACATCTTTGTGGAAGAAAAACACGTCCAAGACGCTCAGGCATATCTGGCTGCTAGGCAGAGAGAGAATGGCTGCTTCAGAAGCATCGGGACCCTGTGGAACAACGCTCTGAAGGTACAGAGAGAGGGAGAGAATGCAGTCAGAACCAGATGCTGGGGCAACCTCAGAAACAAAAATTCACCAGTGTGGTTTGTGTTGGCCTTTTGGGCTGAATTAAGTTGGAAATTGTCATGGTGTGATTATCTTACGCTGTTCTCTTGAGCTCTTTCTGAGGCCTCTGGACTGAGGAAGTTGTAGTGTGGAAGATACCATGAGAAGAGAAGATAGGTGGGAACATAGATCCCAACTCTGGGGTGCCATAATAATAAAATAATAATAATAATAAAATAATAATATATTATTTATACCCTGCCCATCTGGTTGGGTTTCCCCAGCCGCTCTGGGCGGCTCCCAACAGAATACAACAAAACATCAAGCATTAAAAACATCCCTAAACAGGGCTGCCTTCAGATGTCTTCTAAAAGTTGGATAGTTCTTTATCTCCTTGACATCTGATGGGAGGGCGTTCCACAGGGTGGGTGCCACTACTGAGAAGGCCCTCTGCCTGGTTCCCTGTAACTGCACTTCCTTCAGTGAGGGAACCGCCAGAAGACCCTCTGCGCTGGACTTCAGTGTCTGGGCTGGACGATGGGGGTGGAGATGCTCCTTCAGGTATACTGGCCCAAGGCCATTTAGGGCTTTAAAGGTAGCCCCACGTAGAGCACATTACAGTGTGGGTGCCCGGCCGGGTGACCCAATGCATTGCACATGTGACATCACATGGTTCGACGAGGCCCAATGGGGTTCATCACAGCTGTGGGAGGACCATAACACTCTCTGGAAGGCCCGGCAATGTGTGACATCATACATACATGACAGGCACCCCCAATGTGGGGTGGAACCCAGTGCACCTGGGCGGGAAGCAGTGCAGAACTGGAGTGGAGAGTAGGAATGGGACCATTTGCATGGAAACCATCCATGATAGGAGACCCATGTGGACCGGAGCTCTAAGTATGGTGGACAGCCAGAAGAAGTACATCCTAGTATCGGGTGGGTTTTGGAGAAGGTGGATCTTGGGAGATGGAGAAGGACCTGCACATACCCCATGGCGCTGCCTTTTCCGCTTTCTTTCCTACAGGGTGGGGTGGATGACGAGATCAGTCTCTCTGCCTACATCACTGCTGCTTTGCTGGAGAGCCATCTGCCTCTTGATGTAAGTATCTGTCTTCTCCTTCCCGAAGCCCATTGTGGAAAGAAACAGTCATGCAGGGCAGGCAGGAGGTGCCCCCCACAATCACAGCTGAATGTCTCTCGGCAAATTCCAAATCAACAAACAAGTGGGGTGCATGTTTCCTTCTCAAGCAAAGCAACCAGCCTTCTTTCTCGTGTAGAGGGCAGGAGAACCCAGGACCCTCCAGATCTTGTTGGACTACAACTTCCATCTGCCCCAGCCAACATGGCTAATGCTCAGGGATGACGGGCTCTGTAGTCAACCACAGATGTTCTCTAACTCAAGTCTAGCAAGTGGCCGTCATGCGTTCTGTGGCGGGAATTTGTTTCACTATCCTGGCAGAGCTGAGAATTTTCCTGGTTTGCTTAAGATGGGTTTTCTTCATTCCAGTGGGGGAGATGCAGGACACATCCCTTGGATGAAAGGTGGTAATAATAATAATAATAATAATAATAATAATAATAATAATTTTTATTTATACCCCACCCTCCCCAGCCAAGACCAGGATCAGGGCGGCTAACACCCGATATAAAAACAAATTGATTGAAATACAACTTAAAAACAAGATTAAAATACAACATTAAAACATTAAAATACAGCCTCCTTTCAATGGAAACTCAAATCAAAAACTTTTTTGGGGATGAAAAATCAAGTCTTCACCAAGGCTAACTTTCCAGACTGGTCCTACGTGGGCCAGAAAAAAGCCAGGGAAGTCCCCAAATCGGAGTTCCATCACAGAAGGAGAAAGGAAAAAGGAAAGAGAGGGAGGGGATGAAGTTGATTCCAAGCCAAAGGCCAGGCGGAACAACTCTGTCTTACAGGCCCTGCGGAAAGAAATCAGATCCTGCAGGGCCCTGGTCTCATGAGACAGAGCGTTCCACCAGGCCGGAGCCAGTGCTGAAAAGGCCCTGGCTCTGGTTGAAGCCAATCTAACTTCCTTAGGGCCCGGGACCATTAGGGTGTTGCTATTTATGGACCTTAAGGTCCTCCGTGGGGCATACCAGGAGAGGCGGTCCCATAGGTACGAGGGTCCTAGGCCGTATAGGGCTTTAAAGGTCAAAAGCAGCACCTTAAATCTGACCCTGTACTCCACCGGGAGCCAGTGCAGCTGGAAAAGCATAGAAAAGGTAAAGAAATTTAATAAATGAATAAAAATGAAAGGGGTTTTCCAGAGGCACCTGGTTGTGAGAACAGGGTGCCAGACTAGATGGGCCCTTTGTGTGATCTAAGGCGCTCTTCTGATGTTCTTATGTCTTTGCTCTGCCCAGCTTCCTGCAGCGGGTGGGCCTGACTCTGCTATTCCAGCCACCACCTACGGGTTGCCCCCAGGCCTTCTGAAACAGCTACAATGGCTTGGGCTAAGCCTCTCCTCCCTCCCTTCTCTCCACAGCATCCCACCGTGCGTAATGCCCTGTTCTGCCTGGAGACGGCGGCGGCTCAGGCGAAAGAGATCCACGTTTACAGCCTGGCCTTGCTGGCTTATTCCTTTGCCCTGGCAGGGAAGGAGGAGCAGAGGCAGAAAATGCTGCAGTTACTCCATGAGGAAGCCGTGCAAGAAGGTGAGAACGAATCTCTGGGTGGAAGGGAAGCGTATAGTACTCAACTCTTCTTCAGCTCCGAGGGCCTTCTGGCGGTTCCCTCATTGCGAGAAGTGAGGTTACAGGGAACCAGGCAGAGGGCCTTCTCAGTGGTGGCACCCGCCCTGTGGAACGCCCTCCCTTCAGATGTGAAGGAAATAAGCAGCTATCTTATCTTTAAAAGACATCTGAAGGCAGCCCTGTTTAGGGAAGTTTTTAATATTTAATGCTGTATTGTTTTTAACACTCGATTGGGAGCTGCCCAGAGTGGCTGGGGAAACAGCCAGATGGGCGGGGTATAAATAATAAATTATTATTGTTGTTGTTGTTGTTGTTGTTATTATTCTCCCCTTGAAAATCTGGCTCCTCGTTCCCTGGTGGGAATGAATAGTTGGCAATGCAGACAAAACCACCAGTCCAAAGATCCGCCTTCTTCTCAGGATCCAAACAGTTTGCTGGCCCTCTTCCCACATTCCACAGCACCGACATTGTTAGTGGTGGCTGGGTTGCTCGACCCAAACATTAACGACTCCCTCCCTCCCTGAAGAGGATGGCTCCCTTCACTGGCAGCGGCCTGGAAAGAAAGAGGTGGACAAGCACCTTTCATTCTTTGGTCCTCCCCGGGCTCCGTCTGCGGAGGTGGAGATGACAGCCTACGTCCTCCTGAGTTACCTGACCAAACAGCCAGCGCCATCCCATCAAGAGCTGGGGACAGCCACCCGCGTTGTCAAGTGGCTCAGCCGGCAACAGAACCCCACTGGGGGCTTCTCCTCCACTCAGGTAAGCCTCCTTCCTTCCTTCCTTCCTTCCTTCCTTCCTTCCTTCCTTCCTTCCTTCCTTCCTTCCTTCCTTCCCTCCCTGCCATTCTCTCCTTCCAGGGATCCAGACCAAAGTCTGCAAGGAGTGATGGGAAGGCACAGCAAGCGTCAGGGCTGCTGCAAACCCTTGAAATCCAATAAAAAATTCCAATCAAAAATTCTATACCGAATGGGAATGCATAGGAGAACACACGAAGAAATATGGTGTTAAAGCAGAACTCTTAATAGGCAATTGTTAAGCGAGTAAGGACAAAAGAAGTAATTATAATTTAACAGTTTTCAAGTTACTCTATTTTATCAAAGCAACTAGAAAAAAATATATTATGATGGGAAGATCTCACACAGGTGAAGGGAAGCAGTGGGGAGGAGGGGAGGGTTAGGTTGAAATTGGGAAATAAAATAATATATGGGACAGCAAAGGATATAATAGATTCTTATAGAATAGTAATATATTGTAACCAGAATAGAAGTTTAAAAGTGGAAGTAAATGTACTTTTTGTTTTTTCATTATTGTAATAGTTATTATTATTTCTTATCAGTAGAAGGCAATGTTAATTTAGACTTCTTTGTTTTGCTGTCTGTATAATTTTTTTTTAAGTCAATAAAAAAAAAAAAGATCTCTCAATCATAGGAAATTGGGGTATGGTAATGGAAAGTCCATGGCCCGTTGAGGATGTTGCCAAAGTTTGGATGCCTTGGCTGAGAATGCAAACCCCAAGGAACCCAAATTCTCACAATAACTTTGAGGTGACCATTGATGTCCCCCTCGGTCAGCTTCTTCCCTGGCAGATTGGGGTATACCATATGAGGAATGGCTAAGGGAGCTGGGCATGTTTAGCCTGGAGAAGGGGAGGTTAAGGGGTGATATGATAGCCATGTTCCAATATATAAAAGGATGTCACATAGAGGAGGGAGAAAGGTTGTTTTCTGCTGCTCCAGAGAAGCGGACACGGAGCAATGGATCCAAACTACAAGAAAGAAGATTCCACCTAAACATTAGGAAGAACTTCCTGACAGTAAGAGCTGTTCGACAGTGGAATTTGCTGCCAAGCAGTGTGGTGGAGTCTCCTTCTTTGGAGGTCTTTAAGCAGAGACTTGACAACCATATGTCAGGAGTGCTCTGATGGTGTTTCCTGCTTGGCAGGGGGTTGGACTCGATGGCCCTTGTGGTCTCTTCCAACTCTATATTTCTATATGATGTCCACATCCCTAGGGAAAACTCCCTTGCTTATTGGGGCCACTTATACATCCTCCATGTGGGGCTACCTTTGAAGGTGACTCGGAAACTGCAATTAATCCAGAATGCGGCAGCTAGACTGGTGACTGGGAGCAGCCGCCAAGACCATATAACACCGGTCCTGAAAGATCTTCATTGGCTCCCAGTACGTTTCCGAGCACAATTCAAAGTGTTGGTGCTGACCTTTAAAGTCCTAAATGGCCTCGGTCCTGTATACCTGAAGGAGCTTCTCCACCCCCATCGTTCAGCCCGGACACTGAGGTCCAGCACCGAAGGCCTTCTGGCAGTTCCCTTGCTGTGAGAAGTGAGGTTACAGGGAACCAGGCAGAGGGCCTTCTCGATAGTGGCGCCTGCCCTGTGGAACGCCCTCCCAGCAGATGTCAAAGCAACAAACAACTATTTTACTTTTAAAAGACACCCGAAGGCGGCCCTGTTTAGGGAGGTTTTTAATGTCTGACTCTGTATTGTTTTTGATATTTGGTTGGAAGCCACCCAGAAGGGCTGGGGAGACCCAGTCAGATGGGCAGGGTATAAATAAATTATTATTATTATTATTATTATTATTATTACTCCACAAAGTGGAAATGCATTCCCAACAAAAGAGGACAACAGACTTGTGCAGAGAAAGAGATGGAAATGTGGAAATGATTACTGTAATGTATAGAAATGCAGGACTAGAGCAAGGAGGACTGTGACCTCTGTGCCTGCCTATGCTGTCCGGATGGGCAACTCTTGTGTGCCAAGGCCCGGTGACCCGCAGTTCCCTAGTGGATAGTAACCTCCCTCCATCCAAACAAAGGCTTACTCAACGCCTAACCTCACAAAGTTGCGACGATTGCTACAAGGTAGGTGTATACCAAATGGCTGGTGTGAAGGGCGTGAGAGGAGGGCTCTCTGGCCATGCCACGATTTAAATTTCCCATGGCCACGCCTCCTGCTGACACTAATTGGTCGGTGGAGCTACCCCTGGGTGGGGCCCTGCCCAGCGACGCAGCCTAGATGGCAAAAGTGGCAACGTGTTTAAGTTGCTAACTATACATTGGAATCTGCTCTGGATCAAAAGGAGTAGAATTCATGACAAGATGGATGACAATTAGGGAGCCTTTCCAAGTCTGCAGTTCTACTAGTCTATGATAACTGGACTTCAACCAGGGGACAACTTCAAACTGAGGACTGTCCTCTCTACAACAAGGTCCATGCCCACCTTCCCCTTGGTCTGTGTTGCAGGACACTGTGGTTGCCCTCCAGGCCCTCTCCCTCTACGGTGCCCTTACCTACTCCAAGAGCAGCACGGGCCCAGAAGTGACCCTGAGCTCCACAGGGGGCGTCCTGAGGCAGTTCCATGTGGACAGCACCAACCGCCTGCTTCTCCAGTGCCAGGCTCTGCCCAGAGTGCCAGGGGACTACGTCAGCACGGCCACGGGGGAAGGCTGTGTCCACGTCCAGGTGAGTGAGTGTCCCACCCGGGATGGGTGCCTGGCAAAGAGAAAGTGTGACATGTGGTGTTCTGGATCACAGCAACACAACTGCTTGGGCCAGCACTGCCTGGCGCAAAGATCGGGTGGCCCACGAGACTGTTGAGGTTGCACAAGGTGGTGGCAGCTTTGCTTTGGAAGACATTGCCCTGCCCTAGAAATGATCAGCTCCTTCTGGTGGAGTATGGAGAAACCAAATTGGGGCAGTTGCCCCGAGCAGGTAGCAAGAACAAAAGGATAGGGGGACCCCGATCTTGGCAGCAGTATGTTTGGAAATGATCTAAGGGTCAACATTGTGTTAGCCAAGAAGCTAATGCAGTTCTAGACTGCATCAGTGGAAGTATTGTGTCCAGATCAAGAGAAGTCATAGTACCACTGCCTGGAGTATTGTGTCCAATTATGGGCACCAAAGTTTAAGAAAGGTATTGAAAAGCTGGAATGTGTGCAGAGGAGGGCAACCAAGATGATCAAGGGTCTGGAGACCAAGCCTTATGAGGAACAATTGAGGGAGTTGGGTATGTTTGGTCTGGAGAAGAGAAGACTGAGGGGTGACATGATAGTCAACTTCAAACAAACTGAAGGGCTGTCACATGGAGGATGGAGCAAGCTTGTTTTCTGCTGCTCCAGTGGGTAGGACCAATGGGTTCAAAATACAATAAAAGAGATTCCAACTAACCATTGGGAAGAACTTTCTGACAGTAAGAGCTGTTTGGAGGGTAGTGGGCAGTCCTTCACTGGAGATTTTAAATGGAGTTGGGATGGCCATCCGTTAGGGATTCCTTAGCTAGGATTCCTGCATTTCATGGGGTTGGACAAATGATCCTTGGGATCCCTTCCAACTCTACTATGGTTCTATGACCAGTAAGCAAGGGCTTATCGCAACTTAGCAAGCCAGGGAATGGAAACAGGTCATTCAGAATCCTAGAGATGTGCCAATGAAGGGATAAGTTGTTCCAGCAAAGGCTAGATGCTAACCGAACCATTATATTGTCTCTAAGACCCTCCACCCTTAAAGGGGCAGACCTCCAGCCTGAAGCTGGGGCCTGTGTCCTCTCTCTGCTAACTCTCATACAGCCCTCAGGTGTGAGGACTCTGGCCCATCTGGGGGTATTGGCTAGGGGGCTGCATTGGTTGATGGGCTCAGTGATGTCAAGATCCATATTAGCCCCTTGTGTCACAGTCTGGTTCACAGGTGATCGAAATCCTGGCAGGGGACATCAGGACCAGGGGCAAAATGACCAGGTGGGAGCAGGAACGGGGGTCAGGAAGCCAAGAGTCCAAGGGTCAGAGAGCTGGGAGTCAAGAAGCCGAAGGTCAAGAAGCAAGGAGTCATGAAGCCAAGGGTCCGAGGATCAAGAAGCAGGGAGTCAAGAAGCCAAGGTTCAAGGATCAGGAAGCAAAAAGCCAAACACAGCAAGGCAGGAAAGCGTGTCACTGTGGCAAAGAGCCGAAGGGAAATGTTGACCTTATATCCCTTCCCAGCTCTTGCCACCAGGTGCTGTGAGTTACCAATTGGCCTCACCTGTGTGGCCGCACCTTGCCTCTTCAGAACAAGTCCTGCAAAGTCCTATCGGTCACAGGGCCTGGCTCTTGCATGCACACCTGACACCTTGGTTGGCTGTGCTACTGCCCTCCTGGTTCCAGAGGCCTCTTACCCTCTGAGTTGGTGTCCGAGTCACTGTTGGAAACCTAGGTCATGCCTGATGCAGAGAGAGAGAGAGAGAGAGAGAGAGAGAGAGAGAGAAAGAGCCGCCCATCAGAAGTCAAGGAGATAAAAGAACTACACAACTTTTAGAAGACATCTGAAGGCAGCCCTGTATCGGGAATTTTTTAAATGTTTGATGTTTTACTATGTTTTTATGTGTGCTGGAAGCCACCCAGAGTGGATGGGGAAACCCAGCCTGGTGGGTGGGGTATAAATATTAAAATTACAGTGGTGCCTCGCAAGACGAAATTAATCCGTTCCGCGAGTCTCTTCGTCTTGCGGTTTTTTCGTCTTGCGAGGCATGGCTATTAGCGGCTTAGCGGCTATTAACGGCTTAGCGGCTTAGCGGCTTTAAGAAAAAGGAAACAAACTCGCAAGAACTCACCAGACGTTTCTGTCAGAGGATTGATTTATTGCTCAGATAAGCGTCCGGCACGCTTCCCCATCGCACAGCTCTGCATTCCAAAGACCACATATCAAAGCTTAGCAGAGTTCGTCAGCGGTAAGAGAAAGACTGCAAAAAAACTCCAGTGCCTTCTTCAGTGTGCTTAAATAAAGTCCACTCAGGATCTTAGCAGCTAAAAGCAGTTTTATTTACAGCAGACTATCCATTATCTATCACAGTGAACAGCATCGCGAAAACACGTCCTCTCTCCTCAAAAGCGAAAGTAGAGAGAAAGAACAAAGGCTCTCGGCTCTCGGAACTTACGCAGAAGTTCCCCCCTTCCAACAGTAGGCGGGGCGTACACTCTGAGCTGTTTAACCCTGTAAGCTCAGGTTCTCCTCACAGTTTCGTCTTGCGAAGCAAGCTCAAAGGGAAATTCGTCTTGCGGAATGACTCAAAAAACGCAAAACCCTTTCGTCTAGCGAGTTTTTCGTCTTGCGAGGCATTCGTCTTGCGGGGCACCACTGTACTAATTATTATTAGAGTCCTGTTTCTTTTCCAGACCACTTTGAAATACAACGTGCAGCCACACCAGGAAGAGGCGCCATTCATGCTGGAGGTGCACACAGTTCCAGAGACCTGCGCTGGACCCAAAGCCCACAAAACATTTGACGTTGCCATCAATGTCAGGTAGTCCCCTTCATTGGCCAAGGCTATTTGGGAATCTGGACCACTCCACAATCAGGATGTATTAGAACAGAGGTTCTCAACCTGTGGGTCCCCAGATGTTGTTGGACTACAACTCCCATCATCCCTGTGCTCTGGCCTTGCTAGCTAGGGGTGATGGGAGTTGTAGTTCAACAACATCTGGGGACCCACAGGTTGAGAAAGGCTGTATTAGAAGATGGATAGATGGTTACGGGGTGGGCTGTCAGGGGCGAAGAGTGGTGCGATTATTTCCCCTCTCTCTTTGGGTTCTCAGTTACACCGGCAACCGACTGGCCTCCAACATGGCCATCGTCGATGTTAAGATGCTCTCAGGATTCGTCCCAGTGAAGCCATCCGTAAAGCAGGTAAGAGCTTCGTTTGTGTGTGAAGGCCCCGCCACAAACAGAAGCCTACTTCCTTGGCTGTAGGAAACCTGAGAAGAAAATGGCTGCCTTTGCCATATTGCCTACCTACCCCAGGCATCTTCTCTCCAAAAACAGCCACGAGGATCCCTCTGGGTGTCTCACAAGCGGGACTTCTCCTTGTGTTTGTTAGTCTGTCTCCAAACTTTGCTACTCTGAGGCCTGCAACCTTTGTTCACAGAGGCGCCAGTGAGCTTTCGCAGCTGATGGATACAGTAATTGGCCATGGGATTGTCCAATCCCGTCTTGGTTTTAAAGTCAGCTGACCTAACGGGCATAATCATATCTTGGGGCTGCGAATGTTGTACTAGCTTGCAATGTCCACTAGCCACTAGTTAAGTCACTTGGAGACCTTCTGGTGACAAGTGACTAATAAGTCGAATGAATGAATGAATGAATGAATGAATGAATGAATGAGTATAAGCCAAGGACACCACACAGCTCAACCTCCTCTGCCAGGACTACAGAGAAGTCTCTCCTTGCCCTCACCTTAAGGTAGACTATGCTGAGGCTTCAGAGATCGCCTTTCCCCATATATGCCCACTCGACCCCTTCGATTGGTGGAACTGGCATTGTTACATTTGCCGCATAATACCCGTTCTGCGTTTGTAAGAACTCGATCTTCTAGTGTGGCAGCACCTGCACTGTGGAACTCCCTGCCTCTTGACACCAGGCAACTGTTAAAAACATTCTTGTTTTGACAAGCCAACCCAGGTGCTTAGGAAGCTAATGCGAGTTTTAATCTGTTTTAGCTTTAATCTATTTTAATCTGTTATAGCAGTCTACTGCTATATTAACTTTTTGAAAGTTTCAAACTATTGTTGTTGATGTTTCTTATTCAGAGATTTATGATTTTATCTTTTTCATGAACTGCTTTGAGGTTGCTTTTTTACAGTCAATAAGTGTACGAATTTTATGAAATAAAGAAACAACAACAAACTTCATTTTGCGCCCACCAGCTGGAAAGCCACAATCTGGTCCAGCGCACGGAAGTGAGCACCAGTCATGTCCTGCTGTATTTGGAGAAGGTGAGCAACGATGTCAGGCTTGGGCAATTCTCTCCTCCCCCGGGAGAATCAAGGAAGAAACAAGAAAGTTCGTATTTATGGTTTTATTCAGTCATTGTGTTGCAAGACAAAGAACCCAGCCCTGAACTCCACAGTGATGTTGCTCACTTTGAGCTCCTCCCCGTCTTTCCCCAGCAACAGTACATGGAGGGCCTCAGAAGACAAATGTCATTGAGCCCTTTGCTCTTGAATTCTAAGTGAGCGGAGAGTCCGTGGGGATGGTGGTGCTTCTATGCTCTGTCTCTGTTGCCAGTTCTCCCCCTCCTTCTCCTAACAGCTCATAACTTGGCAGCTCTGCGTTCTGCTGTAATTCAATCCTGTTTCTCTCTTCTCCTGAAACTGCTGGAGAAAGGGGGGGGCAATCCCCCCACCCCCTCCTCCAATGGATGCAGAAGAGAAAGAGGAGGCGATCCCTAGCCCTCCTCTTCTGTCCAGTCCCTGACAAAAGAGGGCAGAGACAGGAGGCAGGAGAATCTCTCCTTTGGTCCAGTATACCTGAAGGAGCGTCTCCACCCCCATCGTTCTGCCCGGACACTGAGGTCCAGCACCAAGGGCCTTCTGGCGGTTCCCTCACTGCAAGAAGCCAAGTTACAGGGAACCAGGCAGAGGGCCTTCTCGGTAGTGGCACCTGCCCTGTGGAACGCCCTCCCACCAGATGTCAAAGAGAAAAACAGCTACCAGACTTTTAGAAGAAACCTGAAGGCAGCCCTGTTTAGGGAAGCTTTTAATGTTTGATGTATTACAGTATTTTAATATTTTGTTGGACGCTACCCAGAGTGGCTGGGGAAGCCCAGCCAGATGGGCGCGGTATAAATAAATTATTATTATTATTATTATTATTATTATTATTATTATTATTATTATTATTATTATTATCTGGGTGCACCGGTGGGCAGAGTGAGAGGAAGGTGGGATTTGCTCCTCACACTCATTCCTTTGGAAACATGGATAAGCTACCAGGGCAGTGGTTGAGCTTCTCTCTCTCTCTCTCTCTCTCTCTCTCTCTCTCTCTCTCTCATTGCAAACCAGCCATTGCACCTCCAAATTGCATAATGGGAGTACTGCAATATTGATTCTGTGATTCCACAATCACTTGGCTATGTGAGAGGAGGGAAGAGAGGATGATACTGTTCAAACCCTTCCTCTTCTTCACCTCAAGGAAGGACAGAGGGATGGTGGGGAGCCTGTGGAGGAGATTTCCTTCCTGCATAGAAGGTTGGAGTTCGTTGGGAGAGAAGGCTTGGCATTTAGGGTACCACTCTGAACGCTGCTCATTGTAGCCGCTGGAGATGTGCAGGGCATCAGATGGGGAAGATTGTAACTGTGTGTGAGAGAGGCACTGACAAACCAGAAGCCCTAAACAATCCCACCAGGGCTCCTTACACACCCATTGCAGAAGGGGGCCTCTCAGATACGGGGAAATGAACCTTCTGGAGAAGCCGTCCTAGAGAAAAGACAAAGTTTTGTTCATGCCCTCCGCCATTTCTTTGCTGGATGTGTGAAGGTCTGTCTTAGCTGCCAGTTGACTCATATCTGGAACTAATAATAATAATAATAATTTATACCCTGCACATCTGCCTGGGTTTCCCCAGCCACTCTGGGTGGCTCCCAACAGAATATTAAAAACACAATAAAACATCAAACATTAAAAACTTCCCTAAACAGGGCTGCCTTGTTCCCTGTAACCTCACTTTTCAGAGTGAGGGAACTGCCAGAAGGCCCTCGGAACTGGACCTCAGTGTCCAGGCTGAACGATGGGGGTGGAGACGCTCCTTCAGGTATACTGGACAGAGGCTCTTTAGAGCTTTAAAGGTCAGCACCAACACTTTGAATTGTGCTCGGAAACGTACTGGGAGCCAAGGAAGGTCTTCCAGGACTGGTGTTATATGGTCTCCGCGGCCACTCCCACTCACCAGTCTAGCTGCCACGTTCTGGATTAGTTGTAGTTTCTGGATCACCTAAAAGGTAGCCCCACATAGAGCGCATTGCAGTAGTCCAATTGGAAGATAACCAGAGCATGCACCACTCTGGCGAGTCAGTCTGTGGGCAAGGAGGGTCTCAGCTTGCGCACCAGATGGAGCGAGTAGACAGCTGCCCTACACACAGAATCTCAGCAGTCTTGTGATTCTGTATCTCAAGTGATGATCCCACCTGCTTGTCCACAGGTGACCAACATGACCCAGAGCTACACCTTCACTGTGGAGCAGGACGTGCCTGTCCAGAACTTAAAGCCGGCTGTGGCAAGAGTCTATGATTACTATGAAACAGGTGAGAAAGGCCCCCCACATTGAAGACCATTAAGGTTCACATATCCCACTTCTTAGTTAACTCCCAAAGCAAAATTTAGAACCGTCATGCAATAGGTGCTTTTATGAGCATTCTGCAACCAACCTCTTAAAAACCACCCACTTGTCTAAATGTGGTGATGGAGAAAGCTCTGGGGGGCAGAGGCTGGCCTGACCATCTTTCTCTGTTGCTTCCCTCTCTTTCCAGATGATGGTGCTGATGCAGAGTACAGCGCCCCCTGCAGTACAGGTAGAGTATGAACAGAGATTTCCTTGTGCAAATCTGAACTGGCTCGAAACTACCAAAGGCCATCCCAGACCACAATCCAGCTTTCTTCGGGGGGCAGGACATGATATAGGGGAGTGGTTTCCAAACCTTTTAGGGCCTCTGCCCCCTTGGTTCCCCCCAAAAAGTTGACAGCTATGTCCTACCCTACCCTATAAAAAGCATTATTCAAAACAGCAGTTTTCACGACCCACGAATGAAGGCAAGAACACAATAAAATTCAAAACAGTGGCAATGAATTGCATGTTTATTGAAAACCCAATTCAACTCTTTCATTGAGTCCACAAAATGGATGAGTTTGATGCAGTGCTGCCAGATTTGTAAAGCCTGATAGTCACTTACACTTCCAGCACCGCCCCCCTTGCTGCCCACTTGCCTCTTAGCACCACCCCAAGTCATCCCACTGCCCCCCCAGGGCATGGTACTGCCCATTTTGGGAACCACTGATTTAGCGTCCTGGATTAAAGCGACTTGAATGGAGGCCAGGCCTCCTGTTGGGCAGGTTGAGGGGCCCCACCTGGGCTGCCAGGTTTGGGGAAGGGCATGAAACGGCAGTAGTTGGGCATATGGGGGGGTTGGAGGGGGGTTGCCATCTGGATCTCCTGCCTCTGTTTCCCCAGAGCATATTGGGACACTTGTGGGTGAATGCTTGGCCAAAGGAGATTCTTATACTCTTTCCTCCACTGCAGCCGAAACTAAACAGGGGAATGCATGATGAAGAATGCAGCCCATCGCTTCCCAGGCGGACTCTGCTGGCATCTGCTCTCCTCGCTGATCCAAATAGGACTAATTTAGCCAGCTAGCCCTGGTGATCATCTAATGTCTATTGGATGGATTTCTCCCCTAAATTGATTTTTTAATTCTGAATTTATTGTTACGTTTTATACTGTATTTTATGCTGTTTTTTGTTGCATCAATTAAGTGTTTTAAATTTGTTGTTAGCTGCCCTGAGCCCAGTTTTCTGAACCAGGAAGGGTGGGGTATAAATGAAAAATTATTATTATTATTATTATTATTATTATTATTATTATTATCTTCCTTCCACCGGATAAGGAGGCGGGACAGAGCAGTGGCTGTGAAGAGGGAAGAAGGATTTCTCCAAATGCAAGGCTCATCCACATCTCTGCTTTCCCCTTGGGAAGAAGCCACTTTTTAACCACTGAGTCGGAGCAAACATTGATTGGGTTTTCTCCATATTGAGGTTTGCTCTGATTTAGCGCTCAAGAGAGAGTTATCCAAGGGAAAGTAGTGGGGTAAAGGAAATTTTTTCTAGAAATGGGACAAGCGGAAGTATGTGGCCCAATGTGCTTATTCCACCCCTTGATAGTCCCAAAGGTCTGAACTGCAGCCTGCCCTGCTCTGCCAAAACCCGGAATAACAAAAGGAAGAAGAGGGTATCACTACAAACTCAGACCTCCTTTGTTGTTTTTTGTTTTCCTTTTGAGATCCTTCTGTATGGCTTCAATTTCCCTCTACAGGATAAAATAAAAGAGAACTATATTTTTGATTCCAGTCATGTCTCAAGCATTATCTCTGTGGGCATTTCTGGGGTGGGATGTGGTATGAATCCAACCATTTATTTTTGGTGTTTTATATTCTCTGATGCATTTTAGTTTTCCAACTGGCCAAAATCAAACAGCTTTAGGGTTGAGCAGCCAGTTTAGCAGCAAACTCATAAAGCAGGTTGGTTGCTGCTGAAGGGTGCATGCGGTTTGTGTGTTTGTGTAGCTTCAGATGGAGCAGATGAAAGAACATAAGAAGAGTCCTGGTGGATCAGGCCCATGGCCCTTATAGTCCAGCATCCTGGCCTCACAGTGGCCAACCAGATGTCCTCTAGGAAACCCCCAAGCAGGACCTGAGCATTATAGATTTTCTTCTCCTGGAGATGATGGGAAGAACAATGTGGATTATATGAAGCATCTGATGATGTCATCAGAAACAGGCAAGAAGGAAGCAGGAAGAAAGATGTTTGGAAATTAAAGAAAACCAGACAGGCTTGAGAGGAAACAGTCAAAGAATGGGAAGAAGAAATCCTCTACTTCTCAGGGTGCGGATGACAGAAACAGAACAAAAATGAGGCCAGTGTATAGTGCTACCTCGGGTTACATACGCTTCAGGTTACATACGCTTCAGGTTACAGACTCCGCTAACCCAGAAATAGTGCTTCAGGTTAAGAACTTTGCTTCAGGATGAGAACAGAAATTGTGCTCTGGTGATGTGGTGGCAGCAGGAGGCCCCATTAGCTAAAGTGGTGCTTCAGGTTAAGAACAGTTTCAGGTTAAGAACGGACCTCCGGAATGAATTAAGTACTTAACCCGAGGTACCACTGTATATTAAAACACTTAGACACAACCCCGACTAAAGAACTATGGCAAGAGAAACTGATGGACTATGCAGAATTGGCAAAATTGACACATAAACTACGGGACAAGGACAACTGTGACTTAAAGATGAATGGGAACCTTTTACAAAGTACTTAAAGGAACAACAAGTGAATCGGACTCCTTGGCAGGTTTTGAATAAACACTCACAAACTTTTTATTGACAATAACCAGTCAGATAAATTAAGGATTCATACAATTCTGTAACATGCAAAGAACAGCATTTGTAGAGAAATCAGAGACTGGAGCTGAGGGAAGTCGGGGGGGAGGGGAGGGTGGGTCATTTTATGGAGGGGAGGGGGAAGTGGGGGGAAATCAAGGATGATATGTTTTAAGATAGTATGTTTTGTTTAAATTCTTAATAAAAATATTTTAAAAAACACACATTTAGACACATCAGAATGAAATAGTCATTGCAGGATCCACACAGGGGAGAAACCATGTAAATGCACGGAGTGTGGAAGGAGCTTCAGTGTGAGTGAGGCAGGTTTTAAAAGATTCACTGGAACATTGAGTTCTAGTGGACCTCCTTGCAGAAGAAATTCCATAACACTGGAGCCACTGCAGAGGAGACCCTACACCACAGCCTTGTTAATTTCACAAAAGGAATAACGTCTTGGGCCTTATCAGAAGCTATGGTTCTGGTCTAGATATCAGTGGGGACAGAACTTGTCTCCACTTCTAGTTCCTATTGTCAGGTGTTTGCATCATTAAATGCTCTTTTGTATTCAGTTCAGGTCTGAATACAATAATGTAGCATTTGGGTATGAAGATGCAGCCCAGGAGACCAGCACTGGAGGCCAACATAGAGAAGATCTGCACAGCCACCATGTATTTCCCCTTTGTGCTCAGGTAGGTGGGCACAAAGGACACCCAAACACTGCAGAAGACCAGCATGCTGAAGGTGATCAGCTTGGCTTCATTGAAGGCCCCAGGCAGCTTCCTGGCAAAAAAAGCTACTGTGAAGCTGATGGCAGCCAGGAAGCCCATGTAGCCAAGGGCAATATAAAACATGGCAACAGACCCTTCATTGCACTGCAGGGTGATCTCTCCAGGCTGGGAGTGCATGTCGGAATCTGGGAATGGTGGAAACATTCCAAGCCAGATGGTGCAGATGAGAACTTGGACAGTGGAACAGGAAATGACAATGGAGTTGGCCAAACTCTTCCCCAGCCATCTCCTCACCCTGTTCCCTGGCTTTGTGGCTAGGAAAGCCAAGACCACTGTGATGGTTTTGGCCAACACGGAAGAGACGGCAACTGAGAAGATGACACTGAAGGCAGATTGTCGGAGAAGGCAGGTCATCTTCCTTGGCCGCCCAATGAACAGGAAAGAGGACAAAAAGGAAAACAGGAGGGAGACAAGAAGGATATAGGTGAGGTCCCGGTTGTTTGCTTTGACTATGGGAGTGTCTAGGAATTTAATGAAGATTCCTAACACAATCCCTGTGGTTAAGGACAAGAATAGGGTGAAGGAGGTCAGGAGGGTCCCCAAAGACTCTTCATAGGACAGGAAGGTGATAATCTTAGGGACACATTGATCTTGATCTTTGTTTGGATGCTGATCTTCTGGACATTTGGTGCAGTGGTCTGCATCTGAAAAGAAAAGCAGTGAGTTCAGCATCATTCATATATCACTATTATCTCTGTTCTATATTACATTCTGTTATGTTAAGAAGTCCTACATGCAACAGGAGAAGGAGTGAGAAGATGTGACGAGCCATTTAGTGTCCAGTAGGAGTTAGAATAATAGATTCATATAACTGAAGAGTTGGAAGGGACCCAGGTATCAATTGAGTCACACCCCTGCAATGCAGGAACCACAGCTAAAGAACCTCTGGCAGATAGCCGTCCAACCTCACTTCAACGGGGAGAAGGAGGCACCCCGACCCCATCAGTGTGTACATAATCAGAAACGCTGGTGCTGACATATATATCCCTTCTCTTTGCCTTCTCCAGGGGCTCCCCTCTTACCTTCCAGAGCAGAGATTGTCCCTTTCATGCACCGTGAGCAACTGTAGCAGCAAAAGGGTTGGCCTTCATGAATTACCTTGGTGTATCCCTGGCGACAGCTTTTGCTGCACCTTGAATGAGGCGGGGTCTGTTCATAAAAGGAAGGAAGTGGGTGGAGAAAGCGAACAAAGAAAAGTTTTTATCTTTCTCTTATAACAATAGAACTTGGGCAATTTTAAATTTTAAATTATTTTAAATTTTAAATAATTTTAAATTTTAAATAATTTTAAATTTTAAATAATTAAAAAATCTTATACCAGTACAAATTTACACATCCAATTTTAATCACCAAATATTAATATTGACCCCCTCCACCCCCTTTCCGCGATTGCTTATGTCATATCTCTTATCACTGCATATCCAATTTAAATACATTTGTTATTTATCCTTTATATTCAAATTGTTTCACTGCTCATTTTTAATTCAAGCCTGCTAGTGTTTTAAGTGGTTTGCAATAGTTCTTCAAATAGTCCTGAAATGTTCCCCATTCTAAATTAAGAATTCTCTCTTCGACTCCCGGAACTGTTCGAAAACCAAGGCGCGGCTTCCAATTGGCTGCAGGAGCTTCCTGCACTAAAGCGGAAGCTGTGGAAGCCGTGCTGGACATTTGGCTTCCGAAAAATGTTCGCAAACCAGAACACTCACTTCTGGGTTTGCGGTGTTCAGGAGCCGACTTGTTCGGGAGCCAAGCTGTTCAACAACCAAGGTACCACTGTATAGCTAAGACTATGGGAATGCCTAGGTTGGCCAGTCAATCTCTCTGTACATGAGTCAAGAGGCTGAAAGGAGAGCCAGTTGTTTGTTTGTACTGCTATTACTTGTCAGGAATGTCCTACACGTGAGTAGGAATCCGATAGAGACACATGCACGGCTAGCGTGTTCTTTCCTTCCTGGTCGGTGGTTCGGGAGCTTCAAAAGCTTTCTCCAGCCCGAACATCACAGCAACCAAAAGGCATCAGCACACTTTAGGATCAGCAGTGTTAGCAGTCCGCGTGACAGACTCAGCAGCGCAGCAATATTGGCTAAACTACTTTATTTACACATAATACACTCAGGGCATTCTGACTTAGCTCCTTCCCCTTTCTCATCAGACAACAAAGCGAAAGGACAAAGGACAATAGTCCCACATCACGGAACACAGTAATATAAACATCCTGTCTCCGTCACTTCCCACTATGTGGAATGAAAACATACACCGTCATGTGATAAAACAATCCCATGACTGCAACACGGGGCAAGAATCCTAACATTACTGTACTACTATATATTTGTTTATACCCTGCCTTTCGCCCCGACAGGAACTCGAAGGCAGCTTATAAAAAGATAAAATTGGACAACACAAGGCAAGGACGTTCATTGCATACCCTCCAACATTTCTCTGATGAAAATAGGGATGTTCTATTCCATGATGATGATAATAATGGTGGTGGTGGTAGTACTAACAATACTATTTATACCCCACCCAGCTGACTGGGCTGCCCAACATATATAAAGACATAATAAAGCATCAAACATTAAAGATCTTCCCTATACAGGGCTGCCTTCAGATGGCTTCTAAAGGTTGTCTAGTTATCTCATTGGCTCTGGGGTTGGATAACTCCATACCCTCCAAAATTTCCCTAAGGAAAATAGGGGCATCCTAAGGAAAAGTGAAAGGACGTGGGTGGCGCTGTGGGTTAAACCACAGAGCCTAGGACTTGTTGATCAGAAGGTCGGTGGTTTGAATCCCTGCGATGGAGTGAGCTCCCGTTGCTCGGTCCTTGCTCCTGTCAAAATAGCAGTTCGAAAGCACGTCAATTGCAAGTAGATAAATAGGTCCCGCTCTGGCGGGAAGGTAAACGGCGTTTCCGAGCGCTGCTCTGGTTTGCCAGAAGCAGCTTAGTCATGCTGGCCACATGACCTGGAAGCTGTACGCCGGCTCCCTCAGCCAATAAAGCGAGATGAGTGCTGCAACCCCAGAGTTGGTCACGACTGGACCTAATGGTCAGGGGTCCCTTTACCTTTACCTAAGGAAAAGTGGGACATTCCGAGATCAAATCAGAAACCGGGATGGCTTCTGTAAATCCAGGACTGTCCCTGGGAAATAGGGACACTTGGAGGGTCTGTCATTGTCCCCTTCACTTGTTGGCTTTGAGTTTCTAGTAAAAAAAGAAGGAAAATTAAGTAGGTCTCACCTGGTTACACCACCCAGGCCACACAATGGCATCTGGATCTATAGCAAACGTTATTGTTGAGGGGTTGTGCCTCTCTGCACTCCCAACCTTCACTTTCTCAATTGATTTATTGGGGAGCACTAACACGTTCACAACATCGAAGGCAGCTGCCAGGTGTCCGTTCTCATCCAAGTGCAGCCCGTCTACGGAAGTATTGTCAAAGTGGAAGTTTCTCAGGAAAGGGTGAAGCTATTATGGCAAAGAAAACAGCAGCATTTAGAAATGGAAGTCGGATATTGCAAACCTGCCTTGTTGGACCTCCAAAATTTCTGAGCATAGATAAGCAAGCATGTTCTGGAACAGCGTTTCCCAAACTTGGGTCTCCAGCAGCTTTTGGACTACAATGCCCATCATCCATGACCACTGGTCCTGCTAGCTAGGGATGATGGGTGTTGTAGTCCAACAACAGCTGGAGACCCAAGTTTGGGAAACACTGTCCTGGAATATGAACAGCCCAGCATCCTGTTCTCCCATTGGCCAAACCAAGCCTGTCGGAAACCCACAAACTGTGAAGTAATGAGGTCCGGTACACTTCCACTGCCACTGCTCAGCTTCTCCGGACTGTAGCGGAGTGTAGGCACGCCATGTGCTTTGTGTTTGAGCATGCAGGAAAACAGAGTCTGTATGCAGCTTCTTCACTAATCTAAGAAGCTTTATTATGTACAGCAGCAATAAATCAGAAACTCCAGAGACGGCATCTTGTCTCCCATCTCAGTCAAAACCAAAAGGAGACTGAACACAAAGAACAGATTCCCAGATGAGGGAAACCACTCCCCAGTGGGCAGGACGCTTACTCTGGGCTGTTTATGTTAAGTTGTGGTGAACATATCAGACAACACAGCGATTCTTCAAACAGCTCTTGTTTATTCACAAGCCAGGACAGAACTGAACTGAAGGGCTCAGTCAGCCTGCTTATATAGAGCTCCAGTACAATGTTACTGTAACAACTTTCTAAAACTATCCAATCACTGAACGTCACTTTCGATCCCTTATTTGCATAACTATCTACAGTATCCCCCTGCTGGCCTGGGGTGAGAACTTCAGTACATAACAGTTTAACCCTGTAAGCTCTGATTCTCCTCACAAACAGGACCGGAGCACACCTGCAATGCTCTCCGCAGCAGGTATTTAGGAGCAGAACAGGGTCATCGTGGCTTAGTAGCCATTGATAGGCTTCTCTGTGGACTTGTCTGTTTTTCTTTTGAAGCCATTCCAATTGGTGGCCATCACTGCCTTCTGTGGGAGTGAGTCCCATAGATTAACTATTGGTTGCATGAAGGAGTGCTTTCTTTTGTCTGTCCTGACTCTCCCAGCGTGGCCCGTGGCCCTTCCCATCATGCAGAGAAGGGCACAGTGAACTGGCGAGAACTCTTTGGTCCAGCCAAGCTTCCAAGGGGCAGCCTTTGGAATGCAGTGCCGCAGACAGCAATGGGGGCTGGTCAGTTAGAGCAAATGGGGCTCCAGCCCACCAACCTTCAGCCAGGCTCCCTGCCCGCCTTCTTGTTGTTGTTGTTTAGTCATGTCCGATTCTTCGTGACCCCATGGACCAGAGCACGCCAGGCACTCCTGTCTTCCACTGCCTCCCACAGTTTGGTCAGGCTCATGTTTGTAGCTTTGAGAACACTGTCCAACCATCTCGTCCTCTGTCATCCCCTTCTCCTTGTGCCCTCAATCTTTCCCGCCTTCTTACTTTTAACCAATCTGATGGCCAGCATTGCCTCTCAGCTTCCTCCTCTATGGAATGTTGCATTCGTAGAACTCATCGAGGAAGAGGATGGGGACGAAACATTCATTTGACTTTGCCTGTCATTTACCCCTCTGCCTCCTGCCTTATGAGGTCCAATGACCACAGCTAAGGAGGAAATGATGCCCATTGGAAGAACTTTGGACCCTCACTAACTCTCAGCCTATTGGGGATGGAGGAGAAATTCAATTTCAGTTTGTGATCAAAGATGAATTTATCAAATTTGCACGTTCCAAAACAATAAGAGAACTGGAGCAGAGCCAGCCTTCCAAATCTGCACTAAGCCCAATTTCGCAATGCAGTTCCTCCAACCAAACAACATTCATGAACATTTGTATATTAGGGGGAAAATGTGCCATATCAATGAAAATAGCACGCAACATGTTATTTTAGGAGCACTTGCTTCCAGATTTGTGTACATTAATCAAAACCGCATACAAAAAATGTGTTAATTAGAAGAAATTCACACTAAATTGCTGAAGAATTTTCATTATGTTTTCATCAGGTTTCATGAGCAACAACAACAACAACTGTTGCCCAGCCTCTTCTGGGAAAGAAAAAAAACTTAAACACGTAGCAAAACTCCCCCAAAAATAGACCTTTTACTTGCTACTGAAGGCAAATGAGCATAATGGTCACAAATCAAGTACATTCAGGACTGGCACAGTTCAAAAAAGCCAGTTGAAGCACTTACAAAAACTTATAAACTAAGCATACAATATACAGAACATCACATCAGGAGGAAGAGAGATAGAAAGGGAAAGTAAGACCCAGGCTCCTTCTGGCCCATATTTATAGTCAATATGACCTTAATTGGAAGAGATAAGAAAACCAGTTCAAGCCAGCTGTACTCAGATTCTCTGAAGGTATAACCCAAACAACCACGAAGCTTCTTTCGTACAGAGAAGCTTCCAGAAACTTCCAGAAACCTCTTGAATGAATTAGAATAGGAAAGATTACTACACATCAGATCAGTACTTTCTGCACTAAGAAAAGCAAACTGACAATAACAACAACATTTTTATTATCTGCACCCTGCCCATCTGTCTGAGTTGTCCCAGCCACTCTGTGCAGTTTCCAGCATATGCAAAAACATAAAACATTAAACATTGAAAACTTCCCTATAGAGGGCTGCTAAATGTTGCTAAAGAAAGGCAGACAACCTAACTTGTGAGGAACACAAATGGAAGAAGAAGAAGAAGAAGAAGAAGGAGGAGGAGGAGGAGGAGGAGGAGAGGAGTAGTAGTTTGGATTTGATATCCCGCTTTATCACTACCCTAAGGAGTCTCAAAGCAGCTAACAATCTCCTTTCCCTTCCTCCCCCACAACAAACACTCTGTGAGGTGAGTGAGGCTGAGAGACGTCAGAGAAATGTGACTAGCCCAAGGTCACCCAGCAGCTAGCTACATGTGGAGGAGCGGAGACGCGAACCCGGTTCCCCAGATTACGAGACTACCACTCTTAACCACTGCACCACACTGGCTCCCATAGACTCAAGGTATTAAATGAACTGGCAATAATGTTAGCAGTGAAGGAGAAAAGAATACCTGCCATGGCTGTACCCTTTGGAAGACCAAGTCGCTTCCACCTCCCCTCACCATCCGCCGGGATCTGGATGCAAATGTAGCCCTTAAGGCAAGCACCAGAGCCCGGACCAAACTGTAAATCATGTAGCTGTCCAGGGTCAAGCTGCCTCCATCAGCCTCCTGATAAATGCTCTCCTTCTTCTCGACGCATCTCATTTGACCTCTCGCCGTCAACGCATACTTCAAATGAAAGCAACGAAACCCTTTCTTATCAAACCGCGGTTTGACGTTTTCATACCTCGTCCCCTTTTTGAACTGCATTAGGAAGGCCAATGAAGTGTGGATGTTTTGCATATCAAACATGCGGTAAAGAGCACTCAAGTTGATGTCCTGCAAAGCCGTCATGATCCAAACTTTACCTGCTGTGGGCTGCTTGCTCCTCACAGCCCGGAATATGACGTAAGCTAAACCGAAAACAGATTGAGAGTCCCCAGAGAAAATGGCGACGTTGACTTGCCTCTGCACGAGGAACGCAATCATGGGGGAAATGTTTCTGTACAAAACGAGTGCTGGGATTTTTTCTGAGAAGGCAACGCAGATCCCCTCCCTCGCCAGCACTTCTGTCAAAGTCCTCGTGAGCCTCTCTCCATTGTCATTTTCTGGAACGACGAGGCCAACCCACCTCCATCCAAAACGCTGCAGGAGTTTGGCAATGCCCAAGTATTTGGTCTCAGCGCTTGGGACCATCCGGTAGACAAAAGGGAGCTGAGATTTGTCTTTCAGAGCAGGAGAAACAAAATCGTAGCTGACCTGTGGAGAAAAGGAAGGTTTTGAATCTCAGGATAAAGCCGAGGTGTTTGCAAACCTAAAATATCACAGCCAGCTATTGAAATGGCTGTTGTCATTTATTGTGTGTGTGTGATTTTGCAATCAAAATCCTACACTATGCATTAACATCTGCTTCACATGTGGTTATACTTTTTAAAAAAGCAGCCTTAGAAATACAAAGAAATACAGGATTTCAGTACATGATCTGCTCAATCCATTCCGGAAGTCCGTTCGACTTCCAAAATGTTCGCAAACCAAGGTGTGGCTTCTGATTGGATGATTGGCCCCAGAAACAATGGCACCAGCCAAAACGGATGTACGGCTTCCGAAAAACCTTCTCAAACCGGAACACTTACTTCCGGTTTTGCTGTGTTTGGGAGCTGATTTGTTCGTCAACTAAGTCATTCAGGAACCAAGGTATCACTGTACCAGCCACACTTTCCATTTCCTACCTGTGGGGTTTTGTAGATGCTCAACATATTTGAAATCTGGCCAGAGATTTCAGAGTCAGCCCCTTCGAGGACAGCCAAGAGGTTATTGCGCCTTCCGCAGCAGTAGTTTGGGATGTTTGCTTGCCCAGTAGAGAGAAGGTCAATTGTAGCATCATAAGTCGTCCTTGCATCAAAGTAGTTTTCGTAGATGTTGTAGCCCAGAGTGACGTTGAGCAAGAGCCCAGGATCCCTGCTGACTCTCTGAGTGGCAAATATGAAGGGCAGGAGCTGCCTGAACTGCACGTTTGATAACCTGCAACAAAATTTGTGTCCCACGTTTAACGACCATCCAGCTAGGCGAATACCCACAGCATTAAGCCTGGCTCTGACTGTTAACAGTCTCTCACTTTGCTGGTGTTTGAAGCTCATTCTGTGTGTGACATCATACACTGATGTCACAATGATACATCTGCATACATCCAGGGAATGTCACTGGCCAATAAACTCCTGCAACTAGGTCACCAGCAGCCTGGCTCTCCAGCAAACTTAATGTTTTAGTTCATAGCCTGAGCATGAAGAAGAATATGGAGATCATCAGGGGGGTTGGGCTGAGTGTTCACCAATGTGCGGATGATACACAGCTCTACCTCTCTTTTAAATCGGAACCAGTGAAGGCGGTAAATTTCCTGTGTATCTGGAGGCTGTTGGAGGATGGATGGTGGCTAATGGGTTGAGGTTGAATCCTGACAATCCTGTTTTGGAGGGACACGAGGTGGGCTGGTATGGAGGACTCCCTGGTCCTGAATGGGATAACTGTGCCCCTGAAGGACCAGATGTGCAGCCTGGGAGTCATTCTGGACTCACAGTTACCCATGGAGGCGCAGGTCAATTCTGATCTGGTACACAGGTTGAGACTGTCTTGTCAGAGTGGTGCATGCTCTAGTTATCTCCCACTTGGACTACTGCAATGCACTCTACATGGAGCTACCTTTGAAGGTGACCCGGAAACTACAACTAATCCAGAATGCGGCAGCTAGACTGGTGATTGGGAGCGGCCGCCGAGACCACATAACACATAAGATCTACATTGGCTCCCAGTATGTTTCTGGGCAAAATTCAAAGTGTTGGTGCTGACCTTTAAAGCCCTAAATGGCCTTGACCCAGTATACCTAAAAGAGTGTCTCCACCCCCATCGTTCAGCACGGACACTGAGGTCCAGCTCCGAGGGCCTTCTAGGGGTTCCCTCGCTGCGAGAAGTGAGGTTACAGGGAAACAGGCACAGGGCCTTCTTGGTAGTAGCACCTGCCCTGTGGAAAGCCCTCCCACCAGATGTCAAAGCAACAAACAACTATTTTACTTTTAAAAGACACCTGAAGGTGGCCCTTTTAGGGAACTTTTTAATGTCTGACTCTGTATTGTTTTTGATATTTGGTTGGAAGCTGCCCAGAGTGGCTAGGCAGACCCAGTCAGATGGGCGGGGTATAAATAATAAATTGGCAGTTCCTTCACTGCGAGAAGCCAAGTTACAGGGAACCAGGCAGAGGGCCTTCTCGGTGGTGGCGCCCACCCTGTGGAACACCCTCCCATCAGATGTCAAGGAAATAAACAACTATCTGACTTTTAGAAGACTTCTGAAGGCAGCCCTATTTAGGGAATCTTTTAATCTTTTAAATATTTTAATATTTTGCTGGAAGCCGCCTAGAGTGGCTGGGGATGTTGGAATCCATGGTTTATGTGCAGCTCTGCAAGTTCGCAATTAGTGTCTCCACAGCCAGGGAAGACAGAGCATGAAAGGAATCCGCCTAGAGATAAGGAGACCCAGCAACAGCTCTGTGATTGGCTGAGGTCCCTCAGATAGGCAGCATGACCTATGACACTGCTTGTTAGAGTGGTTAGTGTTGGTGAGTGTTGAGTTCGTTAGTGTTGAGGAGTTGCTGAGAGTGAAGAAGTCGTGTTGTAAGTAGTAACTTGTAGATAGACTTGTATGTTTGCTGCTGTATATAATAAACGACAAGAATCAAGTTACTAGTTGTCAACTTTGTTCCTTATCGTCGTCTTGCCTGGGAAATCTCAAGACTTGCCTAAGAAACGCTGCAAGTACTCTGCTATACTCGGCTAAGCTGTGCAACAGGCGAAAGCACTTCAAAAGTTCATTGGTTTCAAAAGTTTTAATGGGAAACCCAGCCAGATGGGAGGGGTATAAATAATATTTATTATTATTATTATTATTATTATTATTATTATTATTATTACTATTATTATTCAATGACAACATCAGTCAGTGAAGCGACATATATTGTATGCCATATGAGTTTGATTGAGTTTAGTTATGCACTGCTATTTTTCTAGAAAAAGAGGTGTCATCAGTCACCATGAACACCTCCCTCATTCTCTTATAATGGCAATGGCACCCACTGAGTTCCGGCAAGTTCTGGCTGATAAAAATGCCATGTTTATATGTCATTTTCCCACAATGAGCTGTGCCCAAAGCTGCTTACAGCCAACATTCAAAACATCAAAATACAAATATATACAAAATGCAGAGCATGCCAGCAAATTCAAAAACTGCCAAAAAATTTGAAGGATTTTGAAGAGATAAGAGATTTATTAACTGATTGGCGACAATTTCATCAATTAAATGATATTTTCAAGACAGATAAAAAGAGGGGTTTCAGTCATGAGACCTCAAGATTTGAAAAAGATTTGTGGGGGGGGGAAATACTGTTGAAAAAGTATGAATTGCTTTTGGAATGGCATACAAAGGATGAACAAGTTAAATCTGTAATGGTACACTGAGTAAGGGATTTGGGACACAATATCCAACTTTCGGATTGGGAAAGGTTATGGAAAACTGATTTGAAATTCTCAGCATGTTGTACACTGAAAGAAAACCATATGAAAATGATGTACAGATGATATTTGACTCCCAGTAGGTTAGGAAAATTGTGTAAGACAGGTACAAATATCTGTTGGAAATGTAAAGAAAAAGAAGGCACCTTTTATCATATGTGGGGGTCTTGTGAGGTAATAAAGGCATTCTGGGAAATGATATAGTCCAACCCCTTGCCATGCAATTTTTACATTTTTAAATTTTTGCTTTGTGTTTTTTAAAGCTGTGAACCATCCTGAAATCTTCAGGTGAAGGCTGGGCATACAAATTTAAGTAAAAGTAATGATGATGATGATGATATTTTAATTTAGGTATTTTGTGGTTTTAGTATATTCTGATTTTAACCTGTGAACCGCCCTGAGACCTGCAGGCATAGGGTGGTATATAAATCCTAATAATAATAATAATAAACAACTTTCTGCCAAAAGAGGGGATATTGTTCAGTTTTAGGACTAGAAAAAGAGAGAGATTGGGGCACAATTGGAACATATGAAATCAGAATCAGCAGGAATTGCAACAAATCCACCACTGCCTCGTAATTAAAGGTAAAGGGACCCCTGACCGTTAGGTCCAGTCGCGGATGACTCTGGGCTTGCGCGCTCATCTCGCTCTATAGGCTGAGGGAGCCGGCGTTTGTCCTCAGACAGCTTCTGGGTCATGTGGCCAGCATGACTAAGCCGCTTCTGGCGAGCCAGAGCAGCGCATGGAAACGCTGTTTACCTTCCCACCAGAGCGGTACCTATATATCTACTTGCACTTTGACGTGCTTTCGAACTGCTAGGTTGGCAGGAGCTGGGACCGAGCAACGGGAGCTCACCCTATCACAGGGATTCGAACTGCAGACCTTCTGATCAGCAAGCCTAAGAGGCTCAGTGGTTTAGACCACAGCGCCACCCGCGTCCCTGCAATTACTTACGCCCCTTAATTACTTACGGGTAATATCTCGTAGAGGGAGTCTTGGAGAACTTAATCGGGAGTAGAATGACATTGGTGGCAGATACAACCCCACTAATGATGTAGTCTGCTGCTCTGTAATAATTCAAGGGGTCTGTCTGGTTGTTTATGAAATTCAAGGGGCATTTTGCCACCGGCATCTCACAGGTTGTCCGGGAAAAGAGTATCACCATCAGCACAATCTGGATATACCTGCCACAGCTGCCACCTCTGGGGCTGCTCTCCCTGCTCATGAAAAGCAGCCAAGACCCTCGGGCAAGGCTGAGACTGCAATGAATCACAGAGGGAATCTAGTCATGGCTACAGCGCCACATAGGATGTCTCAACCTGACTCAGCCCCCTGCACCCCACCCCTTTCTAATTGTCACCCAAGGCTCTCGGTGGTGCAAGAGGTATTTATGCCGCAGGGTTGTTGCTGCAAGAAGCTTCACCTCCTTGCTGTCAATTCTGATGTTTCTGTTATTGCTCTAAATTGTGATCTTTGGGAATGCCCTTGAGCATTGGCAAGGTGATGGAAAATAAATCACTACAATTTTGATAACTAGCATGGGATGCATCCCCTCTGCAGCCGCCTGGACTTACTGGGCGGGTTCAGTTGTGGAACTGCTTGGGGGTTAGGAATCCTGCCCCCCAGAGGGGCAGGCTGGACCTTTAACCAAGAAATCTTCCAAAATCATCCATCTTCCATCATTATTTCTATGAATTATTATCCATGTCCCAGTGACATTACAAGAAAGGAATGGAATGAAACCTTCCCACTGGCAGAGTCCCTGCCTGCCCCAAATCACATCCAAAGGTCTCAATGTGCAGTTGGCATTTCAGGCATGTGAAATGGAGTTGCATCACGCTGCCTCATTTTTGATATTACTGTTATTTGTCTCCAAGTGAAGTTTTGACCAGAAGAAGAGTAACAAACAACTGTGATTTATTTACTTTTAATTATAATTAACAGCTCTGTACTTTCACGGATTCTCCGTGTGGCTCTAGGAGCAGCTGCAAAGTTGGAGGAAAACATGTTGGTGGAAACAAAGATTCTGAGAAGGGTCAGGGAGGGGAAAGGTGAGATTGGTTGGACCTTTAGTGGAGAACCACCATAAAATAATGGTGGTTGTGGTGGTGATTTTATTATTTGTACCCTACCCATCTGACTGGGTTGCCCCAGCCACTCTGGGCGGCTTCCAGAATACAGTCATACCTTGGAAGTCAAACGGAATCCGTTCCGGAATTCCGTTCAACTTCCAAAACATTCATAAACCAAAGCGCGGCTTCTGATTGGCTGCAGGAAACTCCTACAGCCAACCAGAAGCTGCGGAAGCCCCATCAGATGTTGTAGAAATAATGGAGGACGACACAGGAGTTGGATGCATGTGAGTTGTGCAGGATCAAGCAAGCTAGCAAGCTCCAAGCAAGCTGCCGGCTAGCTCTGCTGTGGCTCCTTTTATTAGCAGAAGTCAACAGTTGGAAACAGTAGCGAAACCATCCTGAACTTAACATATTTCCAGCAAGGCACATTTCTAGCGTTAGCGATTCCCGTGCCAGACAGGTGTTTCCCCCCAAATGTTCCCCTGATACTCGAAAGTCTGCTTCATTCGTCATGCTCCAGCCAAGTGGAACTTAAGCAAAGCTTCCTGCGAGGGAAGCAAAGGTCAGAGAGTGAGCATGGCAGTTAGACATGCTGTGGCGTGTCTTATGCTGAGGTGGGGGTGTGTCCCCACACTGCATCCACCTCCCCACAGGACGTTCGGCTTCTGAAAATTGTTCGAAAACCGGAACACTCACTTCTGGGTTTCGCTCATTCGGGAGCCAGTTTGTTTGGGAGCCAAGGCGTTTGAGATCCAAGGTACGGCTGTATTCAAAAACCTGATAAAAAATTAAACATTAGAAAGCTTCATTGTATGATATGCCAGGATCAATCTATTCATTCAGGGTGTATATGTGACCTATCACACAACAGGGCTGATTTACTGCTGAGCATCATTAAAATGCGAAACTGAGTCACCAAGAACAATATCCGTCTCCTCAGGAAAGCAGTGGTGGCTCAAGATCTGCAGCTGAGATCGCAATATAGGGTAGCTGCAGAGGTGAGACGGCTTCGTCTGTAACCTGAGATGTGAGATGTTCATAGAATCATAGAATCATAGAGTTGGAAGAGACCACAAGGGCCATCGAGTCCAACCCCCTGCCAGGCAGGAAACACCATCAGAGCACTCCTGACATATGGTTGTCAAGCCTCTGCTTAAAGACCTCCAAAGAAGGAGACTCCACCACACTCCTTGGCAGCAAATTCCACTGTCAAACAGCTCTTACTGTCAGGAAGTTCTTCCTAATGTTTAGGTGGAATCTTCTTTCTTGTAGTTTGGATCCATTGCTCCGTGTCCGCTTCTCTGGAGCAGCAAAAACAACCTTTCTCCCTCCTCTATGTGACATCCTTTTATATATTTGAACATGGCTATCATATCACCCCTTAACCTCCTCTTCTCCAGGCTAAACATGCCCAGCTCCCTTAGCCGTTCCTCATAAGGCATCGTTTCCAGGCCTTTGACCATTTTGGTTGCCCTCCTCTGGACACGTTCCAGTTTGTCAGTGCCCTTCTTGAACTGTGGTGCCCAGAACTGGACACAGTACTCCAGGTGAGGTCTGACCAGAGCAGAATACAGTGGCACTATTACTTCCCTTGATCTAGATGCTATACTCCTATTGATGCAGCCCAGAATTGCATTGGCTTTTTTAGCTGCCGCATCACACTGTTGGCTCATGTCAAGTTTGTAGTCAACCAAGACTCCTAGATCCTTTTCACATGTACTGCTCTCAAGCCAGGTGTCACCCATCTTGTATGTTATTTGATGGGGATGGGAATACGGGCTGATGTAAGAACACAAGAAGAGCCTGCTGGATCTGGCAGCAGCTTAAGGTTTAAGGTGCTGGTTTTGACCTAGGACCCTCGTACCTACGGGACCGCCTCTCCTGGTATGCCCCACGGAGGACCTTAAGGTCCACAAATGACAACATTTTGGAGGTCCCAAGTCGCAATGTGGTTAGATTGGTCTCAACTAGGGCCAGGGCCTTTTCAGTACTGGCCCCGACTTGGTGGGACACTCTGTCACAAGAGACTAGGGCCCTGCGGGACTTGACATCTTTCCGCAAGGCCTGTGAGACAGAGCTGTTCTGCCTGGCCTTCGGTTTGGACTCAGTCTGACCCTTATGCCCTCCCCCCCCCTTTATGGTCTTGCTCTATGGGCTACTTTTAAAACGAGGCTGAATTTTAAATTGGATTTTAACCTGTATTTTAAATTGTCCCCCCCATTATGTTTTTATTGTAATTTTACCGGTGTTACCTGCCCTGAGCCCGGCTCTGGCCGGGGAGGGCGGGGTATAAATAAATAAAATTTATTATCATCGTCATCATCACCATTGTTGAGTATTCTGTTCCCACACCTGTGGGAAGCAGGGACTGAGCCGAAGACCACCCTTGCCTCCTGCTCTCTGCCTTTGACCATATAGGCAGAGCAGATGAACTTAGCATAGATGCCAACTAGGGGGGCCATGGTCCCTTGCCCCTAATAAGTTTCTTCTGGGGGGGTCAGTCCCCTCAATATTTTCTCCCCCATCACCCACCCAGCCGCCCGTCTGGCTTCCCACCTGCCTGCCTCCCTCAGTCTCAAGAGCGCCACCTTGCCGCCACAATTAAGGGGGGGTGTCGCCGCACAACATACACAAGGATCAAGCTTACATTGCACAATCTGGTCTCGCTGTGAGCACATGTCGTCCAGCCTGCTGACGTGTCACCCGAATGCCACATGGGCTGCTCAGTTAAGGTGAGCATGTCTCATGGCATGTGCACACATCCGCTGTGGATTTTGAGGGTGTTCTGGTCCCCTCCTTGAATTTTTTTTGGGGGGGCTCAGCAAACGCTTCCCCAAAACAATGACTTGGTATCTAAATGCCAACTGACTGTTGTAGCGTTTGCCCGTTCTTTTGGAAATGTTTGTACAGGGGGAGAGAAAGGGTTAATAGGTAGACCAACAGAAAAGCCAGAGGCGGCGCCTACCTGTTTATAAAAGGGCTTAGCCCCAGGTTGAGTTAGTTGGTTGGTTGGGAAAGGCAGTTGGGAAAGCAGTTGGCAGACAGTTGGAAACAGAGAGACAGTTAGTGCAGTTGGTTCTTTTGTGAGGGGAGGTAGAAGAGTTAGAGACAGGATAAAATAAGACTAAGAATATAAAGGGTAACAACGTTTTGAATGCAGTTCAAGTTTATTTGTGCTTGCTTTAAAAAGTCAATCCTTTATTAGGCATAGCAAACCACACATTATCAAACAAACACCGTATACAAATTGTGCAAAATACGAGCTCAGCATAACAAGCTTTGTCCCAGTCAGATCTTTAACTCCAGAGAAAATCAATTTGCATAAATAATACAATATAACACTACCACATCACCGATCAACTAAGAACCACTAAATCTCTTTATAATGGCCCAAAATTTGTGTTTGCAATAAACTACACAAGGGAAAGGAGAATGTTAGCCGCTTCGAGACTCCTTAGGGTAGTGATAAAGCGGGATATCAAATCCAAACTCTTCTTCTTCGCTTCTTCTTTGTTAACTTAAGAACCTAACTGTGACTAAGTGATTTACCGGAGAGCACCTTGTTGGTGGCAGCAGATTAGTGGTGTACGGGTCAATGGTCCGTGAGATGGCCAGGGGCTCCGTATGAACGCCACAACTGTTGACATGCAAAGTCATAAAACATGTATCTTACAGAAACCATTGGTTTTCCAATAGCGGCCATGTAGCACACAGTACACTCTTTTCCTTAACACCAGGGATGTCCAACAGGTCGATAGCGATCTACTGGTAGATCCCCGGGAGGTTTTGGTAGATTGCGTTTGATCGCTGGGTCCCTTTCCTTAGCGTTGCTAAAATCAAATCCATCCCGCCCCCTTGTCCTGCCCTCCACGGATATGCAGAACAGAAGATGGAGTGCCAGTGATTTGTTTGTGAGTGGCTGTTCCTCTTTCTCCCCCAAAACCCTTAAAAACAGGGCTTTCCTCCTCCCTAAAAAAGGTCAACAACTTTGACCTGAACCCCCCAAAAACGGGGGTAGATCACTGCCAGTTTTTAATTCTGTAACTGGATTGCAGTCTCCTGGGAGTTGGCCACCCCTCTTTACACCAATCCTCATCATGCCCTGATTTCTGGAAAGAATTGCATTTTGTGAAATAGTTTCTATGTTCACATTTTACTTCTTTATCAGAGGCCAACTATGAATGTCTGCTTAGGCAAGCGAGAGATCTGCAACATACCACACAGTTTTTTTGCATATTTGATACCTACAAAATATTAAATCAATAGAACCTGTGGGCATTCCATGGTCACCATAGCCTCATCTTCATTGGCCATGACCTATAGCCTTTGGGACATTAGTAAAGGGAAGAGAAAATATTTAAAATAGCAGTTCATAATAACCACTCACAAGTGAAATAGCTTTTTTTATTACTTCTTTACTGAGCACAGGTGTGTAAGATGGGGAAATAAATCTACTAAGAATCAGATGCCAGCTTTAGTTTTGTTGTCAGATTATCCTTTATATTCAAGTTAGGCCTGAGTATAATAATGTAGCACTTAGGAATGAAGATGCAGCCCAGGAGCCCAGCACTGGAGGCCAACATAGAGAAGACCTGCACGGCTACCATGTATTTCCCCTTGGTGCTCAGGTAGGTGGGAACAAAGGACACCCAAACATTGCAGAAGACCAGCATGCTGAAGGTGATCAGCTTGGCTTCATTGAAGGCTCCGGGAAGTTTCCTGGCTAGGAAAGCCACCGTGAAGCAGATGGCAGCCAGGAAACCCATGTAGCCCAGGGCACCATAGAACATGGCCACAGACCCTTCGTTGCATTGCAGGATGATCTCCCCAGGCTGAGAGTTCATGTCAGAATCTGGGAATGGGGGAAAGAACCCCAGCCAGATAGTGCTGATGAGAACTTGGACACTGGAACAGGAAATGACAATAGAGTTGGCCAAACTCTTCCCCAGCCATTTCCTCACCCTGTTCCCTGGCTTTGTGGCCAGGAAGGCCAGCACCACAGTGATGGTTTTTGCCAAGACAGAAGAGATGGCAACAGAGAAGATGATGCTGAAGGCCATTTGTTGAAAGAGGCAGGTCTCTTTCCTTGGCCGGCCGATGAAGAGGAAGGAGGTTAAATAGGAGAGAAGGAGAGAGACAAGGAGGATGTAGGAGAGGTCTCGATTGTTGGCTTTGACTATGGGAGTTTCCTTGTATTTAATGAAAACTCCTAATACAAAGATGGTGGTTAAGCACAAGAATAGGGCAGAGGAAGTCAGGATTATTCCCAAGGGTTTTTCATAGGCCAGGAAGTTGATAATTTTGGGAACACATTTATCTTGATTCTTGTTTGGATGCTGGTCTTCTGGACATTTGGTGCAATGTTTTGCATCTGAAAAGAAGAACAATGACTTCAGCATCATTCATATGTGCGCAATTACTCTGTTACATTCCACAAAATACATGTTTTGTTGTGAAAATTTACATTCCAGCTACATTTGAAAAATAGTCACTGTAAGGCAGATTGATATGCTAATTGAATTGCAAAGGGCTAGTGGATGTTAGAATTCCTGCTCCATGATTGCAGTCATAGGATTGTTGTCTTTCACATGACGTGATGTGTTTTGACTACACAGAGTGGGAAGTGATGGAGACGGGATGTTTGTGTTACTGTGTTCCGTGAAGTGGGACTATTGTCCTTTGTTCTTTTTCTCTTTGCTGTCTGATGCTAGAGACAGAGGGAGCCATGTTGCAGTGCTCCATGTGTGTTTATGTGTAAATAAAGTAGATTAGTCAAAATGCTGAGTTGCTGAGGTCTGTCACGCAAGGTGCGCAAACTCTGCGGATCTCTGTGTGCTGGTGTCGGTTGGCATCGGTCGCTGTGATGTTCGGGTAGAAGAAAGCTTATGAAGCTCCTGAATGATTGACCAGGAGGGAGGGAACATGCCAGTCGGGCATGTGTCTCTGCCAGGGTCCTACTCGAGTGTAGGCTGAACTCCTGACAGTGGATACATCAAAATGGCAATCAATCACATGTAAAACACTTGGGGTATTGGTAATGGAAATGAAATGGATTTCTGGATCCTTAAACACCCACCAGTCCACACATAAGGCCATTTCTTTCAACTCCAGAAAGGTCTATTTCGCCAAAAATATTTAAATATAATTTACCCATTCCTTAAAGGCTGCCCTTTCCTCTGGAGACACTTACCTTCTTGGGTAGAGATTGTCCCTTCCTTGCAGGGAGCGCAATCATAGCAGCAAAGCTGCTCTCCTTCCCGGATCACCTTGACATACCCAGGCTGACAGCTCTTGCTACATCTGGAATGAGGCACCATCTACTCATAGACAAAGGATCAATAGTGAGGGCTATTTCTATCTATGCAAAGTCACCGGAAGTAATAGGAAGGGAAAGTAGGGGGATTATGGGAGGTATTTTCATCAGGTCTGTGATATCATAAGCACTTTAGACCTTGATTTTGGCTAATTATATGTATAAAAATGCAGTTTAATGACTTCTCTGCAAGAGGCTGGTTCATTCAGTTTGCTGTTCTCAACCTAACCTGCTCCATGGTATTCTGAATCTCCTGACCTCATGGATCCACTATGAATGCGGATCTAACTTGATTCCTGCCTCATCTCTGTAGTTGTTATTTCCTTCAAGTCTGTTAGGAACCTTAAGTAAAACTTAAGGTATTAGAAGATATCTGAAAAATCCATGTTGCTGATATGGAAACCACACTTTTGCAAAGCTCCAGGGTGACCTTCAAAGGGGTATCCGTGAGACCCTGTTTCTCTCCAGGAAAGAAACCCAGCCTGTGTTCTAAACTGAAGCAGACTAACTGTCAAAGAACTTACGATCAGATTCCTTCTTGAGCATTACCTTTACTGGTCTATTGTATACTTATTTAATAATAAGAATAATTTTATTATTTGTACCCTGCCCATCTGACTGGGATGCCCCAGCTACTCTAGGCAGCTTCCGGCATATATAAAAACATAATAAAACACTAAACATTAAAAACTTCCCTATACAATAGAAACTCTACTTACAACCGCACCAGGTTACAAAAGCTTCAGGTTACAAACTCTGCCAACCTGGAAGAGTTACCTTGAGTTGAGAACTTTACCCCAGGATGAGAACGGAAATCGTGTGCCGGTGGCGCAGCTGCAGCTAGAGGCCCCATTAGCGAAAGTACGCCTCTAGTTAAGAACAGTTTCAGGTTAAGAACGAACTTCCGGAACGAATTAAGTTCGTAACTGTACAGCATAGCTGTCAACTCCACCCCCTTTTAAGGGAAATTCCCTTATTCCAAATAGGATTCCTCACAAGAACAGGGAAAAGTTGACAGCTATGCTGTACAGGGCTGCCATCAAAACCAGTGGGCTTACTTCTGAGCAGAGCTGCATAGGGAAATCTACTCTGATGTAACCATGGTAAAAAAATGAAGTCAGGCAATTTTTATTCCAGATTTGTTGATTCAGAACTCTTTCGTGTTTTGCTCTGCCCACCTTCAATACCGATTCCACCCTCAGCCATGCCTGCAGCTCCCTGAGAGATTCGTCCTTCATTTCCCTCTGAGGGACTGTGACCCTTGGGAGAAAAAATGGTTGCCTGCCCATGATTTAACATGTAGCTCAAAACAGAGGAGCTCTGATTTGGAATTGCTATGCTTTTTAGAGAATGAGTGAATATGGAAGAACCTTTCCTGACAAAGAGTATTTTCAAACCAATGATATCTCTCTTTTTTGAGGTCTAATCAACAATACCAGAAGAACTGTTAGAACTCAACAGATGATCAAAAGAATAACATTAATTGAACGGCTCAACCCACCTTCTTAAACCAAGGAGGCCACACGATGGCATTCTGGTCGATGGTGACTTGTACGCCTTGGGATCCCCGTTTCTCCACACGCCCAACTTTCCCTTCATGAAGGGAGTTATTGGGAAGAATCACAAAGTTCACAATATCAAAGTCAGCTGCCAGTTGCCCGTTCTCATCCAAATAAACTCCGTCCACAGAAGCATTATAAAATCTGACGTTTCTCAGGAAAGGGTGAAGCTAGAAGGACAGAGAAAATCCTGGCATTTATCGAAGTTGGTTCTTTTTCTTTTCTTTCTTTTTTGTTTGAATAAAATTTATTAGAATTTTAAAGAGAGATACAAAGATTATTATCAAATATCGCTTTATCCAAACTAAAATGTTAATGTAGCTAAAAAGACAGATCCAGACAAAAAGGAGAGGGGGGGGGGAGAAAGAAAGAAAGAAAGAAAGAAAGAAAGAAAGAAAGAAAGAAAGAGAAAGAGGTAGGATAGAAAGAAAAAGGATTAAAATAGACTCATGCTCTAAGACTCATGGCTGTTGTTGAAAATAACTTTTGTAAAAAACCCAGAAGCCTTTTTATTAGGTATTTTAAGCCAAGATATACCGAAAGAAAAGAGGACTATTTTCATGTATGCCATTACAGCAGCAAGGACTTTATTTATGTATGCCACTACAGCAGCAAGAATGTTGATTGCACAAAACTGGAAGACTGGAGAAATACCAACTAAAGAACAACGGCAAGAGAAGTTGATGAACTATGCAGAACTGGCAAAAATGACAGACAGATTAAGAGAAAAAGACAACAGTGACTTTGAAAAAGAATGGGAACCATTTATATTATACTTGCAGAAACAAAGAAAGCCGATAGACTTGATGGCAGGATTTAAATAAACATTCACATTGTTAGTATTAGAAAATGTGTAGAAGATAGAGAAATAATATGGTGTATTCATTGTTATTTTTATGTTTTTAGGTTTGATATTATTGTATAAATATGTTATTAGTAACTTTTTCTTTTAGGAGGCAGCAAAGTGGGTGAAAGGAGAAACAACCAGAAGCGGAAGTTGGGGGAAGCCTAGGAGGGGAGGGAGGAAGGAATGCATAGCAAATGTTATGAATATGAGATGTGTGTAATGAATGAAAAAGAAAAATGAATAATATATATATATTTTTTAAAAATAAGACTCATGGCTGTTGCACATGGCTTAGGGTCATAGAATCATAGAGCTGGAAGACCCTGAAGATCATATGGAACTAGCCCTCTGAAATATAGGTATATGCAGCTGTTCCTTACAGGGATTGAACCTGCAACCTTGGTGTTATCAGCACCATAGTGGCCACACAAGTTTTTGTTTTTTTTTAAGTGGCCCCAATTTACTTGAGGTCTTGGAAAATGGGGCCCTCTTTCAAGCAGTGGAACCTAGTGGAACGGACTCCTTTGGAAAGTGGTGGAGTCTCCTTCCTTGGATGTTTTTAAACAGAGGTTGGATAGCCATCTGTCATAGATGCTTTAGTTGAGATTCCTGCATTACAGGGGAATGTAGGAAGATGACTCCCAGGGGTCCCTTCTAGCACTACAATTCTATGATTCTATGTTTCTATGATAAATAGGGACCAGTAGAAGCTCACATGTTGCAGCCGAGGAGGAGTCGGAGTCAATGTGACTTCAGAATAGGTAAAATGTTGCCTCAGTTCTCCTCTAATTCTGAAAGCACCTCAGAGACTGGCTCCAAGATAGTAAGCTGCCTTATACATAAGGAATCTCTTTTCTTAAAACTTGTAGACATCAGTTTGAGTCCTACCTTTCAGAACAGGAGAAAATGAGCTTGTTCCTTCTTCCATGTGACAGCCCTTAAGATATTTGAAGATGGCTCTCATATCTTCTCTCAGTCTCCTCTTTTCCAGGCTAAACATACCCAGTTTCTTCAAGAATTCCTCTACTGCTAATAAGCCCCATGTCCCCAATCTTATATTTGTTCATCTGGTTCTTCGTGCCTAAGTGCAAAACCTTACATTTGTCCCTACTGAAATTCATTTTGTTAGCTTGGGCCCAGTTCTACAATCTGTTAAGGTCATTTTGATTTCTGATTCTGACATCTGTGGCATTAGCTACCCCTCGCAGTTTGGTATCATCAGCAAATTTGATGAGCATCCCCTCAATTCCTTCATGCAAGTAATTTCTAAAGTTCAATTTGAACTTAGCCTGATCTTTTATTCCCCTTCCTTCCCTCCCCTTCCCCTTTTTATGAAGATTACCCGCTCTGGGATCCCACTGCTAATTCTCCCCTGATCTCTCCGCTGGCCCAAATAGGACTAATTTAGCCAGCTAGCCCTGGTGATCATCTAATGATTATTGGATGGATTTCCCCCTAAATTGATTTTTCAATTCTCAATTTATTGTTATTCATGTTTTATACTGTATTTTAAGCTGTTTTTTGTTGCATCAATTAAGTGTTTTAAATTTGTTGTTAACCGCCCTGAGCCCGGTTTTCTGAACTGGTATAAATAAGAATTTATTATTTATTATTTATTATAAAGATGCTGAACAACAACGTTGCTTTTGGAGACCCCAAGGATTGGACCTGTTATATAAGTAAAATAACAGTTGCAGAGTGGAACTGATTGTCAGTTCAGGTGGAACCATATACAGCCACATCACTAGATTAAAAAGGAATACCTGTGATGACTGGATTCTTTTACCTTCCAATCTCTTTCTGCCCACCATCACCATCCACTTGGCTCTGGATGAGTCTGCAGCATTTAAGGCACGTGCCAGAGATCGGACAGTGTTGTAAATGCTGTAAGTGTCTTGAAAAAGGCTTCTTTCCAGGACATTTTGAGGGTAGCTCTTCAGGTTTTCCTTCGCAATGCATCGGTTCTGGCCTTTCACAGATAACACATGCTTTGAATATAAGCAATGATATCCATTTTCCCATATCGTATTCATATCAATATTACCATGATATATAACTGGCAGGTTATGCTTCGATTTTTTTTTGGTCTGGATAAATAATGATAAATAACCATAGATGTGCTTGTTCATAAGCATTGTGGGAGATAGGTTGGAGTTGAAGTATGACAAAGCTATTGTGATCCAAATTTTCCCTGTAATTGGAGTCAGGGTTGCACCCACCACGTCAATTGTTGTTAATACATCTACCAAAGACAGAGACTCCCCATAGTACAGAAATACATTGATTCTCCTGTCCATGGAAAACAAAATCTTGTGCAAGATCTTGTCAAGTAAATCGGGCACAATGAAATCCTCTCGTGAGATTTTTTGTGAGAAGGCAACACAGACACTGCTCCTAATGAGAACGGGGGTCAAGGTGCTCAGAAACCTTTCTCCATTGTCCGTGTCAGGAGCAATGAGCCCGATCCACGTCCACCTGAAATGCAGAAGTAGACGAACAATCCCTTGGCTTGGGGGTTCTTCATTTGGGATCATCCGGTAGATGAAAGGGAACTGTGCTTTGCCAAGAGCATGATTGACGGAAATGTAACTTACCTGGTAAGGAAAGGAAAGATTGAAGAGTTTCTTTTGCTTTCAGGGCAAGCGCTGATATTATCAATTAACTTGGAATTCTGCTCAGGAAGGGTCATGTCCTGCGCATTTCTCTGTGTGGTCTCCTAAGCAGCTTTTTAATAGATATTTCACATCTTCCGTGTGAGGTCAGTTCTATAGATTTCTTTTCCTGCCCTATATTTATCAGCCTTCAGCATAAGGTCCTGCTGCCTGCACTCATTTCACTTTCTGCTTCTCACCTGAGCACTGTGGAGAAACTACCTGGTGCATTACATTTATATATGCCATTTTGAACTGTGGTGATATCTCACAGAGCAACTGGTACTCACAATGGAAAAGGGCTCCATTGGCAATGAGAGAAAGCACCACACTTTTCTGGGTATTTGGAGCAGCTCTGAAGCAGGGATGGCAACACTGATAGGGGATTTTGCAAGGGGAAAGTGTAAATGTGCCGTCCCTCTACTTCTGCCAAATCAAAAAGGAAGGGAGGGAGGGAGGAGAGGAGAGGAGAGGAGAGGAGAGGAGAGGAAAAAGGAAAGGAAAGGAAAGGAAAGGAAAGGAAAGGAAAGGAAAGGAAAGGAAAGGAAAGGAAAGGAAAGGAAAGGAATAGATGCAGCTGGAAGAAGGCAGTAAAGATATAACCTTAATGGATCTGAAGAACTCTTCTCAGAAGATCTACTCCAAAATTATTGGTGCCAGGCAGACCCCTAAAAGGTTGCATTTTTATCATGCCCCATTTCCCCTTGTACTTCCCCACTAAGCTACTAAGCAGTGTAGTTCTCATGAGTGTTCTGTTTATAGAAACATGGAATTGTAAGGGACTCCAAGGGTCATCTAGTCCAACGCCCATGCAATGCAGAAATCTCAACGCACGGTCTCCCATCCAATTTGAAACCATACTGGGCCCTGCTTAGCTTTGCAAATGTGCTAGCAATGTTACTGCTGCACCACTAGGATTGTTTCCCTTCTTACAAGGGTGCTCTGGTGAACTCTCCTTCTGGGACTTTTCTTCTCACAGCTGGACAAACCCTCCACTAAGGGTGGGAGAGCTTCCCTAACCACATGCCTACTATTAACTGGAACAAGGGTCTGTGTGATTCCTCTGGTGGAAAGGGCAGCCCTTACTTCTCTGAACAATTCCTGGCATTTTCTCCAACAAAGCAGTGCTTTCCTGCAGGCTGCCTATGCTGTTGTTTTCATACCTGGGGGATTTTGTAAATTCCCAGCAAACTTGAAATTTGGGCAGAGGTGTCCGAATCAAGCCCTTCAATGAAAACCAGGGGCTTGCTCTGTCTTCCGCAATTGTAGTTTGGAACATTTGCCCTGCCAGGAGAGAGCAGATCTATCATCGTGTCGTAAGTCATTCTTGAATTGAAATAGTTCTCATAGAGGTTGTAGCCCAGGGTGACATTGGGCAAGATCCCAGGATCCTGATTTATCTCATGAATAGCAATCTGCAAGGACAGGAGATACCAGTAGGAGACATCAGTCCTACCATAAAACAATGTATTATTCTCATGTCATTCTCCATTCACTGAAATCATATTGAATCCCTGCTTTCTTAATCTTCAGCCTCTGGATTTTACTCAAAGAATGACACCACAGCTTTCGCACAGATCTAAACATGAAGCAAATCACATAATCTGCCATAAGTGTGCTTGATACAAGGCAAACAGCTGCTTGCCACCGAAGCAGAGACAGACAAAAATCACCAAATTGTAGAGATGGAAAGGACTCCATCCCCCTAAAGTGCAGAAATCTAAACTAAAGCATCCATGACAGATGGCCAGTACATTTGGGCACCTGAGCACTGTAAAGAGGGAGTACGCAATATTCAAACATGTTAAGGAAATGTTTGTGGAATGATGGGGCATTGGATAAAATCATAGCTGAGTTATTCTGACTGCTTTTCAAGTGCTTACCGTATAACCACATTTTGTGGGGGCATGCTAAAATTGTACGTTGACAGCATAGATTGCACTGTAGATATGAGCCCACTTATGATGTGGTCTCCTGGCTTGTAATAGTTCAGCGCATCTGGATAGTCCCTCCTCAAGTTCAACGGGCATTCTGCCTTCAACATCCCAGAGGCAGCACTGGGTAGCAGCTGAAGGAACAGCAACAGCAGAAAGAGCATCACTCTGGGTCTGACGGCTGTCGTGGCCGCTATTGTCACTGCTCTTAACTTCATAAGCAGCTAATGAGAAGAAGCCCAAAGTCTCCAGCAAGACCCCAGTGACATTTCAAAACAGAGGGACGATATGGGACCTCCACATTGGCAGAGCCCCTGCCTGCCACAAAAGCCCCCAGTGACACATGAGAGACTTAAATACAAACTTGTTGCTTGAAGTTGCCTCATGCTGCTCTCCACTCTGAGGTTTCTGTTATTGGTCTCAAAGGTGGTGTTTGGCTGGTTGATCCTTTGGGTATTTGCAGGGGAAAGAGGAATAAATCACTGTGATTCTGATAATTGCGAGAGGAAGCATCACCTCTGCCCTGCCAAGGACTCTCTTGGTGGGGCTGGAGGAACAGGTGCAGAAGGAAAACATGTTTGCAGGATCTCACTGATGCCACTGCATCTTCTGACAAAGTTCAGGGAGGGGGAAAGTGACCCTGAATTGTTGTGAGAATAAAAATTGAGTGGGGAGAGAACCGTCCTTTGAGCTCTTCAAAGGACAGGTGGGATATACGGTAAATGTAATACATGGAAGTAATTAAATAATACCAAAATATCAGTGACCAACTGTGGACTTGATTTATGCTTTCAGGCTGCTAAGATGTCGAGCCAAAAGAAGTGTCCAGACTGTGGCTCCTTGGAAATTGTAGAGGACTCTCATTATGCTCAGAACCAGCTGGTGTGCGCAGGCTTCATTCTGACTGAAGGGCTTCTCACAACCACATATGCTGATGAAGAACATTTACAAGGTGAGGCAAAGAATAGCAAAATAGCTGAAAACTCTTTGTATCTTACAAATACATGGGATTTGAGATACGACTTGCAAGCAGTTCTCAAATATAGACAGGCCCTACACCATTCAACAGTTTAAAAATGGGTGCATGTTTGAGAGCTTGGACCAAAGTTTGGCTGATATCTGTGTTTTTATCTCATAGAAGTCACATATTCACGGAGTACTGGTCAGAATGAGCAAACAAGCCGTTGTGTACAGCGAGGTACGTATTCCGCATTACTCTTTTGATGCTTTGTGGAAATTAATGTGCCTGTCATCCACAAGAGCTGCATTGATTCACTTTCTAAAAGCAAAGAGAAATTTGCATTTTTAAAACAGTCTTACCCATTTGCTGTGGGACCAACATCAAAACAACCCATTTTAGAGTTTTAGAGGTGCATAGAGTCCAGAGTTCAGTTTGATTGCCTGATCAAATCTCAGCTGAATCATTGACAGACTGGTTAACCATGGACCAGTCTGTTTCCATTATCATTAAATGGCCATTATAATTGTGTGTACAGCTGCAAAAAATAAAAATCAATACATAACTAAAAGCCAAATTAAAATCAAATATGAAGTTGAAACAGCAAAACTAACAGCCATTCTCAATTAGAGCCCCCAAAGACTTTCATTTAAAAAAGTTATCCGTAATATCCAAAAAAAGCCAAAGTAGGCTTGGTTTGGACACTCCAGTTACACCACCACAATTGAAAATACCATATTTTTTGCTCTATAAGACTCACTTTTTCTGTCCTAAAAAGTAAGGGGAAATGTGTGTGCGTCTTATGGAGCGAATGCAGGCTGCGCAGCTATCCCAGAAGCCAGAACAGCAAGAGGGATCACTGCTTTCGCTGCGCAGCGATCCCTCTTGCTGTTCTGGCTTCTGAGATTCAGAATATTTTTTCTCTTGTTTTCCTCCTCCAAAAACTAGATGCGTCTTGTGGTCTGGTGCGTCTTATAGAGCGAAAAATACGGTATGTTACCCATGATTGCCACCCATCTAACCTCTGAAAGTGGGAGCATGTGAAACAGAGCCTCCACAGATTATCTTAGTATATGGGCAGCTTCATTCAGGCAAAGACCTACCCTGCAGTTAGATTTGTCACTGATAAATGTGTATGTGGAAACATTTCTTAAGTACTGCTGTGATATTTCCCCCCACATGAGTCAAATGTGTTTGAGATCTCTGCAAAGTTCTGCGGCTTCCTTCTCTGTTTGAAGATACAGCCGTGTCCTATTACCAGCAGGCAATCAAACATCCCTGCTTCAGTTTAGTCAGCAGGGGGGAGGAAGGAGGAGCTTGTGGGCTGTTGCGTCTTTGTGACCTGCCGCCAGCACAACTGGCCCCTGACCATGGGCACAGTCTGCCTGCTACTCTATGGAGACAGGGGATTGTTTGCAAAGACCTATCTACGCTTCCTGAAGGAACTGGCACTGGATGTGCCTACTCTCAGCTTGATGGATATGGTGAAAACCCACCTCAACAGGTATGTTGAAGTTCTTATGCCCTTTCCTTGAGAATACTTCTCAAAGCTGGTGTACAGTTTCCATCGTTCAGAGACAGAATTTACAAGTATCATACGGACTGTGTGGTATATTGATTGGAAGGCCGATGAAACAGCAAGCTTCTTAAAGTTCAGCAGGGATGGGTGTGCTCAGTGCTTGGATGTAGGAGCCCGGTGTGTGCTGTGTGCTTCCATCATGGAAGAAATGGGTATTTTCATATGTGCATGTATACTCCAACTCCCTGATTTCTGAGATTTCATCTGAGGCACTTCAGGCAGTTCCAGGCTTTTCTCTTTAGCCACAGGGGCAGCAAACTTCCTTTTTTAAACAAATAATTCTCAGAATTGTGAATTCTGCTCCTGCTACCAATCCCGTAATTGCTTGGAAATCCTTCCTATTATTTTTAAGGGCAAGAAGCCAACAAACAGAATTCTGTTGAGCACAAGTTAGGAAGAGTGTAAATTCAGCCCTGCCCATATAGTGCTGGTTAATGGAAGATGCTTGCCTTTTTGATTCAAACTGCTCAGCTTGCCTTTTTGGTGTCCTTGGAAAATGCAGGGCCTTCTGCCCTTTGCCCTTTCACAGAATGCTTTATTTAGCTCATGTCCCTCTTTCACCTATTTGTCTTCTCCATCCTGCCACATCTCCCAACCCAAGTCAGTCTATCTAAATGGCTTGTTTCATCTCTCCAGCTTCAAGATTTTCCAGAATTCACTTGGCGTCCTGACCAAGTTTGTGGAAGAAAAGGAGGAGCAGCTGGTGGCAAGGACTATCCAGGTGGTGGAACTTGCCAGTGACACGTGGCTGGTGACCGGCCAGCACCCCATCCCCATAGTGACAGCAGCAGCCTTCCTGGCTTGGCAGTCTCTGCGGCCTGTCGATCGCCTCACTTGCACCCTTTCTCAGTTCTGTAAGCTTGCTGGTATGGATGCTCCCCGGCCAGCCCACCAGAGACTGAAGGAGCTGCATAACATCCTCCTGCAAATGGCTTCTCAGCTGGGCTGGTTGCGAGTGCTGAAAGTGGACCGTCGGAGCGTGGCAAAGTACATCGGTGACCTTCTGCGGCACCGCCGTGTGCTTCTACAGGCTGCCTTCCGCATCGTGGATACTACGGAAAACCGTGACCTAGAAGACTCAGCAGCTGCGCCACTGCAGCTAATCGATGAGAGCGCTGCAACAGTAGAAGAGGCCTCCCTTTCAGGAGAGAAGCAGAAGTTCAGCAAGCGGAAACCTTTGCTCCCACCCTGCGTCTTGAACCCCGCAAAGAGGCTACGAACTCCTGAGCTAAGCCTCGAAGATTCTGCTATCGCTGGGGATGAGCCCATTTAGACAGTGAGATAGAGCAGTACATCCGGACTCCAGAAGAAAAGGAGATGTTTAGCAAGGCTCAAGCATGCCTATGACCTCGAAGTTGTGGTTCGAGGACCCGATCCCCCCCAAAGTGGAATGAATACACAAGGACACGTGATATAAGGTTAATGGGCAAGAAAAGGCCACAACTTTATTGATTACAGCAAGTGAAAAGGTATTGGCTTAGGCATTGGATTACGTCAGCTGACTCCACCCCCTCAGAGAGGGGTGAGTCTGAAACAAGGGGGGTTTATTCACCAGTAGGTGGAGCCTGTTGATGCTAATCCAACTATAGGCTCTCCCTGATGTCACCGAGGGTCGTGCCATGGCCTCCCGCCAAGCAGGCATCGGACAGAATACACGACCGCCAGATTCCTTTAACGGAATACCCAAAAATTGAAGGCATAGGCGATGGCCACACCTAGCCCTTCGACACCACGACACATTATTCCAATGCCTAACCTACCCACCAATGCCACAAAAAGTTGTGACGATTGCTACGAGGTAGGCGAAAATACCAAAAAGCCTAATGCCAAATGGAAAAATTCCTACCAGGCCCCCCGGACAACCAGGGCGACCAACCTAAGGTCCATAGCAAGGCCAAGGAAAACTAAGACCCTGAGCTCAAAGGGAGTGGAGGGTGGGTGAATCGCGACGGGTCGACGAAGAGTGAGGCTGAGGAGGGGCTGGCGCCGCAGTATTAAGGCTGCTGTACACGCCCCTCGGAGGCACCTGGTTGGGTGCCTGCCGATGGGCGTGGGCGCCAGCCAGGTGAGTGGGAAGCAGGGGGCTCGGGCTCCCGCCCACAACCACTCCCCTCTCTTCAGGAGGAGAGTCTCTGCAAGTGATTCAGGCAGGCTTGCAAGCAATAGACTTCTGATACATATTTTGCTCTAGGTGGCTTAGTTTGGTAAGAACTGAGTATACACTTCCAAAGTTAATGCTAAATATATTACTTCTGGTAAATGAGCCATCATAACCACTAGAGGACTGTGGAAATTTTGTCCTGGGCTTTTTAGACTTTTCTACCTATGTACTGTCTGAAGCAAAGGGATTCATTGGTTGCCAGATGTAATTCCTGCCCCCCGCCCCCCCAGATCTCCTGTCCCACTAGGAATCTCCCGCATCCTTCAGGCATGGCTCCTTCCACCCTACTGTGGTAATAATTAAAGACAGGTTTGGGTGGCCTGGATAACTTTGGTTACTGGTGGGGACCACTAGTAACCAGTTGGCGAGGTTGTCTGATTATTTTCCTTCAACTCTGACAAGAGGTATAGGAAGTGGCCACATTGCAGTGGTTTGCATGCTGTTTAGGACAACTTTTGGTGTAAAGATTGGCGTATCTCTGGGTGAGAAGTAGTATCCACTCTTGAAGGGTTGGGTGGAGGCAGTCAGCCAGCCTGAGCAACAAATACCTCTTTGAGTTGGCGTTTGACTTGAATGAATGTTTGTCTGGTCTACTTATGGTCCTCATAGTTAGGCATGAGAGAGTGGAAGAGAACTGTGAAAATCTAATTGTAGGTTGTTTCAGACATGCTTGCTTTAAACCTAGATCCAGAAGGAAAAGTTGTGGCTTTGCAAGCATCTCTTTATAGAACATGGTATGGTGGTTCCTGAACATCATACCCGTGTCACAAGCTAGGTGGTGAGTCAGTCGCCCTGATTAATGGAGCTGCTTAGTTAATTTTTGTCCCTACATGCACACGGTGAGGGGAGGGCGAGCGAGTGGGGGCCTCCCGCGGAGCTCCCGCTGCCAGGGGCAGCCTGCTTGCTGGGGCGTGGGGCACGTGCGCGGAGGGAGGGAGGGAGAGGGGGCTGGAGCCAGGCGCTGCCTAGAGAGGCCTCCTAAATATGACCCGTTGCATCTGATTTTCGCTCCTTCTTTATTTAGGGAGTCATAGCAGGACTTCTGAAGGAATGCGGATAAGGGTATGCTTTAACTTCGAAGGAGAGAGAGGAAATGTGCCAGAGTGTTGTGGTCAGTGTAGGATTAGCCGGGTTCAGTACTTTGTCCAGTTCCAGTTGCTGCATTTTAAAGAGGAGATAGACAAACTGGAGCAGGAATCTTTCTGGCTGTGGGGGGCGAAAAACGTTCGCAATCTAAAATGCTATTTTTATGGCTTGGTGGAATGCAACCTTTGGATAAAACACTGCTTTTGCATGGAAGCTGTGTGTCACAGAGGCCCCACTCTTTTTCCTGCCTGACTCCCATATGCTTGGTGCTTTGTATATTTCACTGTACTACTAATACTATGATAATACTATAATGTAATTGGGATTAAAAAGGTGTTCTTTTGAAAAGAGATGTTACTGATAGACAACGTGTTGTTTTCTTTTATAAGCATTTGCTGCTGTTAAAAGGTAAATTATAATATGAAGGGGGTGGTTTGCTGTTATGGAAAAATCTAGGTGTGAGGCTGCTCAGTCACCCAGCTCGTCGGGCAGAGCCTGCGGGTCCCTGCGGAATAAAGGAAGGAGTCCAGCCAACCAGAGCAAATAGCTGTAGACCAAAGTTTATTGCGCAATAGGTTCAAAGAGCAAATTTGAACCCCGAGGGTGGGGTGACAAAGACTTTTAAAACTTTCCCACCATATCCCAGAATACAGTTCGTACAGCATCATTGCTACATCACTGACATGTCACAAAAGGGGAGAGGTTAACCTTGGCAAACATGTCCAGACAAGTCCTTGGTACAAGATTAGCATAAGCAGACATGGCAGGGCAAGACTCAGGTATAAGATTAGCATAGACAAATATGTCTTAAGTACCCACCACCCAAAAGTACAATAGAAGTTCCTTTGCATGTCTGGAGCCTGAGGCGAGTCAGGTGATGAGATTTGGCTTCCTTTGGCTAACAAGGAGCCCAGCAATTGTCACCTCTGGGAACTTCCTGGAGTCCTTTTCCAAGGGGAAAATAGCTTTGGAATGGAGGAAACTGGGAAAGGAGATGATTTTATATTATTTTTAAAGCTAGGTAACTTCCCTGAGCTGTCAAGTTGAAAGGATACATTCAGGCATAATATTTGTAATATTTAACTTTAAAGATGTGGGCCCCCCCCCTGTAATTTCCGTAACATTTGCTACAGCCCTACACCTTTCCTATTCACTTAACATGCAGCAACCTTGTTAAACTTGTCTTCAAAATGTTTCTGCCTGTCTTACATTGCATCTGCAACTGACATGCAGGTTTTATTTTGTCCCTTTTACAGACTGGGCGTTCAGAGGATGAAACCAAGCCACTTCTGCTGTTTCTGCACCTCCTTCTGCTGCTCTTTTCTCTCCTTCCTATCACTCTAATAAAAACAACCCTTTTATCTCTAAATTTGATCCAGAAGAGCAACCTCGGGACACTGATAGGTTTGCTAGTGACAACAATCCGTTCACTACAAAATGGGGACAGAAATCCATGCAAGATACTGAATGCTTTATAGCTGCTACTTCTTCTGCTTCTGAGAATGAAAATAAACCAATTGCTCCTAAAAGGGAACAAGAATCCCAGATAGAGGATTCTTCAAACTCTGCTAAGTCTCCCCTGCCTGTTCCTGCAACTTCTGTTCTTGAGTTGGATCCTTCTGCTTTTCAGCTTTTCGATATTGATAATCCTCCCGTGTCTAAAGTGGGAGAGGACTCTGAAAGTTTTAACAGTCCTCCAGCATCTTTCTCTACTTCCTCCTTAGCAGGAAACCTTGATGATTCCAAGCAGGTTCATGTTGTGCCTTCAGAGAAGCCCCCAAAGGAAGGTTTAACTAATCAGATAGATCCTGGCAATTTGATCCCTGGAGATCTGAATGTAAAACCCACCACCCTTTCTGTTATTCCAGAAGTGGGATTGGATGATGAGCAGCTGAGTGATTATCCCCAGGGTACTGAAAAGATTGCGGTTTCTGGAGATTTGTGCAGGAGTGGAGATGGTTCCTCAGAGTTACGGTCCTCCATTGAGGGGGGAGAGCTGACAGCAAATAAAAAGGGGACTGGTGAGAGGCAGACTGTATCGCTTCTCATGAAGACAAGTGCTCCTGATGCTGGATTTGAACTAAGCAAACCATTGGTTGCACCTTCAGCACGAGCCCTTGAAAATGCAAGCCATGATGTAAAGGGATTGGAGCAGAAGAACGCTGACAGCTTAAAAGAAAATAGACAGGGTGATAGTCCTGAGTTCTCTGTTAAGCCTGTTCATCTTTACCCACTGCCCAGTTCGTCTCCATCTATTAGTTCTTTACAAACTGATGCTTCTGGCTGTAATAGAGCAGAACCTACGAAAAAGCTACAGCAGAGGGCTTGGGTACCAAAGGGGATCCCTCGGGCAAGAAGAAGCTGCTCCAGGGCTGGGGTTCACCCTCTGAAACACATCCCAATCAGAATCTGCAGAGTGACGGAACTTATCCTGCTAAGCTCAGGTGAGAGGAATTGCGGGGGGTGGGGGTGGGGGGATTAAAGATAAAGGCTCAAGTGCATGGCTTTGATTCTTCCCTCCCCTTTTTAATGCAGTAAGGGATTTTGTGTCCTATGGACAGGTGAAAATCTTTCCCTGTTGATCTGTATCTATTTCTTGTAGCAATGTCAATGAAGGAATAAAATTGAGCAAAGGTTTGTTTTGCTTAGGCAGTAATCAGACTCTATTTTCACATTGTTGTGACATGACAATAAAGCTATCATAAACTGGAACCAGCACTTCATATTTTACCTCTAATTTTACTTTATTTTTTAAACCCACTGTCCTGTTAAAATACAAAATATATTTTTCATGTTCTGCCAAAATAAGTGAAAGCAGCAGTTGGATAAATGCTTAACTTTTTTAAAAAGCGGTGTTAGTTGTGATCATAAGTGCAGTGCAGTTTACTACGGCACAGGTTTTGTGTTACCTAGATTCTGAAGTTTTCCACGGGTGTAATTTAACTAAAAAAGAAATCAAGGCAAACTTTTGCAATAAACTTTGTTGAAAACTCTATTTTTTACACTTGCTAAACATCTGGGTAACTACACAAATATCCAAGCAACCAACCATATTTTATGGTGGGGGGAGGTGGAGGAACAGATGTTTTGAACCATCAAGAGTGTCAGACTAGGATTCCATTCAGTGATGGGCCAGTCTCTTATCTCTATGTCTAACCTACTTCACAGGGTGGTAGTGAGGAAAATGGGGGGGGATGTATTCAGGGTCCTTGAAGGGATATAAATAAATAGGAAAGTAAAACTTTTCATTTGAGAGCTTCTAAATCAGTCTTGAAGTGTAGAGAGGAGGGCAGAATAAATCTTCTAACAGTAAATATAAAATCTAAACTTGCACTAATAGAGGTACATAGAAGCGGAAAATGTACTTTATTCTTTTTAGAAGCCAAAGCAGAAACATGTGTGCATGCGGTGCTTCATGCAAGACCAAAAGTAAAGCTAAAGGTAAAGGGACCCCGGCTGTTAGGTCCAGTTGTGGCTGACTCTGGGGTTGCTGCGCTCATCTCACTTTATTGGCCAAGGGAGCCGGCGTACAGCTTCCAGGTCATGTGGCCAGCATGACTTAAGCCGCTTCTGGCGAAACCAGAGCAGCACATGGAAACGCCGTTTACCTTCCCGCTGGAGCGGTACCTATTTATCTACTTACACTGTGTGCTTTCGAACTGCTAGGTTGGCAGGAGCAGGGACCGAGCAACGGGAGCTCACCCCGTCGCGGGGATTCGAACCGCCGACCTTCTGATCCGCAAGTCCTAGGTTCTGTGGTTTAACCCACAGCGCCACCTGCGTCCCTTCAGACCAAAAAGAGAACTGCACAAAATTGTTCAGGTACAAAGTACTATAGGATTGCCTGAACTAATTGTGTGTGCTTCTTTCAGACTTCATCCTGTGAAACCAATGCATACTACAACGAGCAAATCATCTGCAAAAAACCAGAGCATAACATCAAAGATCTTGGATAACCAAAATGAAGCCGATATAAAGGTAATTTAAGACATACTATATTTTAAAACCTAATTGGGTGGTCTGTGCCTTGAGTTAGGAAGCTTGTAAATTTATTGGCGGGATTAGACAAACTGCAAAGGGGTATAGTCATTTGGAGACAGAAATGTGTTCACGTTTTCTAGGTGTACGATTCCCCTGCCCCTGCTATCCTACTGATCTGGGCAATTTTCTGAGCCTTTTACTGACACAAGTTTAGATCTGTGAGTGGGTATAAATTCCCCAGGCTCAAAACTTGCTATCTTCACCAAAGGACTTTGGCCTGAAAGGGATTTTTGTTTTCAGATAAGCAAGGTTTGGTGATTTAGTGCCTCCAACTAATATTGCAAATGATCTGTTTGGTGTTTGTGTCGCGATTCCTCGCGGCGCTTATAGCAGAAACGCTCAGAGTCCCAGGGTTTTCCAGTGCAGTCTTTTTAATGTGAGCTATATACAGGTATTTACAAAAACAGTCCATACAGAGTACCTGCTCCTTAAGGCAAACGAATACTCTCCACCACAGCACCACCATACCACAGCACAACCACCACAACCACGGTTACTGTTGAACAGGCTTTCCTTTTTAAAACAGGTGATAGCCAATCACATTAATCACACTCCTGCTGAGTCACTCTGACCCAGCACTTCACAGAGTATTGCATCATCCTGTTGAAGCCTGCAGACTTACTCAGTATCCTGCGAATCCCAACACTCCTCCTTAAGTCAAAGGCTTGAGACCTAATAATTCTCTTAAGTCTTGAAATTTAGGAGCATCCAAACATTTTGTATACAAATCCGCCACATTACATTTTGTGTTACAGTGCTGTACCTTTAACACATTTCTTTCCAAAGCATTTTTCACATTTCCGTATCTTATCGCAATATGTTTACTCTTGCTCTTAAAGTTCTGTTGGTTAGCAAGCTGTTGTGCAGCCATGTTGTCACTTAGCACAGTGATTGGCATTTCAGAAGGTATTCCAAGCTCTTTTGTTAGGCAAGCAAACCACTCTATTTGTGACACACATTCGCTTATGGCTGAGTACTCTGCTTCACAAGTACTTGTGGCAACAAATGTTTGTTTCTGGGATTTCCACTGAACCAGGGCATTTCCAATATATATGGCATAGCCAGTGGTAGACTTTCCATTTTCTCTGTCCCCCCAGCTGGCATCAGCGTATGCATACACTTGCTGATCATATCCTGTATCCAGCATCAGTTTGTAATCTTTTGTGCCTTTCAGATACCTTAGGATTCTTTTAAGTGCTACCCAATCTCTCTGAGCCGGGTCTGCACTTCTTTGGCTTAACATGTGCACTGCCAATGTTATGTCGGGTCTTGTCCAACAACTTAAATATAACAGAGAACCCAACAGAGAATGAAATGCTGTTGCATTCTCACATTTTTGCCCTTCTGGTTCATTTTTGTACTGGGTAGTTATGGGAGTGTCAACCTCATTTGCCCTCTCCATTCCATATATCTTCAGTAACTTTTCAATTTTTTCCTTCTGACTCAGAGAGTAGACGCCCTCTTCATTTCTCTGAACCTCTACTCCTAAGTAATTCTGAATCTCTCCCAAATACTTCAGTTTGTATTTGTTACCTAGGCTGTTTATAAACCAAGACACTTGCTTTTGTGCAGTTGTTATTAGACAGATATCATCAACATACAAAAGTAAATAACAAACACTTCCTTGCACCATTGCTGAATATAAACAGGAATCAGCCAGGCTTTGTTTGAATCCCATCTTTTCAAAGTTGTGTCTATGCATTCATGCCATAGACGTGCACTTTGGTGCAACCCGTATAGTGCCCTTTGCAGTTTTAACACCATGCTGTCTTTTTCCAGCTCATAACCTGGTATTTGCTGTAAATACACCTCGGCGTCAATAGGAGCATTTAAATATGCTGAGGCAACATCAAAATGATTAACTTTTAACCCTCTCAGACTTGCCATTGCTAAAACTGATTTTACTGTTTCAGCCTTTGCTGTTGGGGCAAACACTTCATCATAATGTATCATTTTTCTTTGTGTAAAGCCCCTTGCCACCAACCTGGCTTTCCTCTGACAACTACCATCAGCCAGCTTTTTCACTTTAAAAACCCACTTACAGCTTATGGGCTTTTTACCTTCAGGCAATTCTGTAGGTACAAACACATTGTTGTTTAGCAGAGAGTTATACTCTGCCTGCATTGCCTTTAACCACGCCTCTTTCTCTAGAGTAGGTAACTCTTGCACTTCTTCAAAGTTTTCTGGCTCAGTTACACAAACCTGGTTTATGGTGACTGGGAACCCATAACGGTCTGGAGGTTGACCTTTATTACTTCTTGTAGACCTCCTTGGTTCATTAATCTCACCCCCCTGGGCTACCTTCAGGACTGCTTTTGGGGTGGATTGACTCTGTAGATCTACCTCCTCCTGTCCCTGTTGCACGTTCTTCTCTCCCCTGCTCCATGCTAGCAGCTGGAGAAAAATGCTCAACCTTTACCTCCTCCCTTTCAGTTTCTCTGGGAGAGCTGCCAATTCTTAGCTTTGTTTCAACTGCCTTATCAGGTATGCTCGGCAGTAAAACTTTTCTGGCAGCAGGTTTGCATGTATCTTGGGCCAATTTCTTTGCTCATTAAAGCTGGCTGATCGACTATAACTCAAAAGATTTTTATCATCTTCAAACCTGTAGGCTTTCGTACCACTTTCATACCCAAGAAATAGCAACTGCTGTGCCCTTTTCCCACCTTTTCTTCGGTTCTTTACAGGTATGTCAACCCACGCCTTTGTCCCAAAGATTCTCAAATGTTGCAAACTGGGACTTTTGTTATAGAGAATTTTATAGGGTATGTCATCTAGTACCCTTGACCACAAGCGATTCCCAATATAATTTGCGGTCTTAATACTCTCAGCCCAGTACTTAATTGGAAGATTTGCATCTGCTAACAATGCTTTCATTTGTGTCTGCAAGACACCTCCCCTACGCTCTGCTACTCCATTCTCCTGAGGCGTTGCCACATTGGTAAGCCTATGTTTAATCCCTTGGGAACGCAACCAGTTTCTTAGGGAGCTTGCCATAAACTCTCCTCCCCTATCTGTCTGAATAGAGCACACCTTTTCGCCAAGTTGCCTTTCTACCCTTCTTACCCAGAACTTCAAAGTTTGGGCAACGTCAGACTTTTGCTTTAATGGATAGACCCAGCCAAATCTAGAATAGTCATCCACTAGGATCAAACAGTACTTGTTATGGGAGACACTTGGTGGAAAAGGACCAGTTACATCAGCATGAATCAACTCCAGTGGTTTTTTTTGGTTTCTCTCTGGCTTGCTCTTGCTACTGGGCAAGCCCTGCTTTTAACCTCCTTGCAGATATTGCAGTCTAAGTAATTATCACAACTTTTAATGTTTTTCATCCCCCACACAACTCCAATGTTTTGTTCAGCACCTTAAAGCTAGCATGAGCCAGACGCCTGTGCAGGAGATGAATACACATATCATGGGTTGGGACATTTTGCACATTCGCAACCTTAGACTCACACTGCAGTACATACATATTAGTTCTAAGGTTAGCATTTGCCAACACTGCCCCATTTTGCTTTATCTGGCACTGATCTCCCACAAAGTTTACTTCAAAGCCTGCTTTTGCCAAGTCAGGAATACTCAGGAGATTGTTTTGCAAACTAGGCACACACAACACATTCCTGAATGTGTGTCCCAGCTGTGGGAACACAACCTCCCCCTCACAAACCACATTAGCTTTCTGGCCCGTAGCAAGACTTACATGTTTTTTGTTTGAAGCCCTAGCATCAGTTAGCAATCCTTTTCTTTTACAAAAGGTTTGAGAAGCTCCACTGTCCAGAACCCACAGCTCTTCATTTTCTTGACCATCTGCAGACACCCAAGCGGTAGACTCTCTCTGCTGCCTCCTGTGCTTCTGCTGTTTTTGTTGTTTTCTCGGGCAGTCCCGCAGCAGATGTCCACTGGACTTGCAGCAAAAACACCTTTTTACTTTGTTGACCACCGGCTGGTCTGCAGCAGCTCCTCCTGGCTGTTTCTCCGGCTCCCGACACCTCTGCTCTTCCCGGCTGTTGTTCCCTCTGGGATGCTCCAACAGCTGGGCTGAGGTCATCTTTCGCTCTGCACGCCTGTCCTCCTCTGCATACAACCGTCCAGTAACGTATTCCAGAGTCAGCTTATCAGTCTCTACAGACTCGAGGGAATTGACTAGCATATCATAGCTGTCATCAAGGGAACTCAGGACTATAAAGACTTTGTCCTCTTCCCCCACAGGCCTCCCTCTTAAGGCTAGCTCCTGGAAACAGCCTGTTAGGAATTTTAGGTGGTTTACCAGGGAGTCCCCGGTTTCTTCCGACACCGGTACAGTCTCCTGGTCAGTGTTATCAGTGAGCCAGCTGTCTCTCGCACATGGACAGCCTTGAGCGCATTCCACGCCTCACTTGCCGTCACCTTATCAGCTACGTAGACCAGCTGGCTGTCGTCCACTCCAAGGATGATCGTAGCCAAAGCTTTCTCATCCTTTTCTAGCTGGGCCTCTGCTAGTGCCAGCTTTTCATCGTCGTCCTCATCCTCCTCAGGTGGCTGCGGTGGAGTTTCCACCACCTTCCACAGGCCCTCACGCTTGAGGAAGTGTTGCATGCGGACCGACCAGATGCTGTAGTTCGTGGCCGTCAGCTTCTCCAGCAACACGCCAGTTCTGGACTGCTCCATCCCTGCAGCTCACCTCCAGCACCCACGGCTAGATAACTGCCACCTGTACTCTTGCGCAGCGGAAGCGTGCTGGGCCCATAACCCTGTCGCGATTCCTCGCGGCGCTTATAGCAGAAACGCTCAGAGTCCCAGGGTTTTCCAGTGCAGTCTTTTTAATGTGAGCTATATACAGGTATTTACAAAAACAGTCCATACAGAGTACCTGCTCCTTAAGGCAAACGAATACTCTCCACCACAGCACCACCATACCACAGCACAACCACCACAACCACGGTTACTGTTGAACAGGCTTTCCTTTTTAAAACAGGTGATAGCCAATCACATTAATCACACTCCTGCTGAGTCACTCTGACCCAGCACTTCACAGAGTATTGCATCATCCTGTTGAAGCCTGCAGACTTACTCAGTATCCTGCGAATCCCAACAGTTTGAGCACAAAACCTGAATTATTATCACTTAACTGAAACAACCACTACTGCTGCTTCTTTGTATTTATTTAGTAGTTTTCGCATGTTATGAGGAGGGTATTATCTTCACTTTTCCATGTTTATTACTGGGAAGAAATAGTTGAAGGCAGGTGTACAGAAACCTTGTACGCACATTTGTCTGCAGGCCATAAAAGTACTTACTGGCAAATCCTGAAATTCTAGTTTTTTGTGAATCTTCAGTAGCTTTTAAGATGCTTTGCTCTGACATCATTCCTGGGATTCCCCAGTAATCCCTGAAACCAAAGGTTTCTATACCTTCCTTCTGATCCTTGCATCAGTGCTTGATATCAAAATGACTTTAACCTGTTCATTCTTCCTTCCTAAAGAAATATGATCCTTCAGATCCCGCCTGCGCTTATGGTCAGCTGACACACAGCGAGCTGATCCAGCTGGTCTTGAAGCAGAAAGATGTGATTGCAAAGCGAGATCAGCAGGTGTGCGAGCTGAAAGACTACACTGATAACTTGCTTGTCAGAGTTATGGAGGAAACCTCTAACATTCTTCGAGCTCAAGCTCACGTGAATAAGAAAGCTGGAAAGATGTGAAGGAACCAATTTAACCTAATCAGTGGCTTCCTTACTCAAACTTTGGAAGTAGTGAATGTGGAAAAGCTGCTTGTACCGAAAGAGATTATTATTTACTTGTCTTAGGATAGAGTATGGAAGTGAAAGCTGGACCATAAAGAAGGCAGATCGCCAAAGAATTTATGCTTTTGAATTATGGTGCTGGAGGAGACTCTTGAGAGTCCCATGGACTGCAAGAAGATCAAACGCATCCATTCTTAAGGAAATTAGCCCTGAATGCTCACTGGAAGGACAGATCCTGAAGCTGAGGCTCCAATACTTTGGCCACCTCATGAGAAGAGAAGACTCCCTGGAAAAGACCCTGATGTTGGGAAAGATGGAGGGCACAAGGAGAAGGGGACGGCAGAGGACGAGATGGTGGGACAGTGTTCTCGAAGCTACTAACATGAGTTTGACCAAACTGTGGGAGGCAGTGGAAGACAGGAGTGCCTGGCGTGCTCTGGTCCATGGGGTCACGAAGAGTCGGACACGACTAAACGACTAAACAACAACAAAGGATAGAGTTGACTTACCTTGGAGACTGCCTTATATAATCTACAAAGTCAATAGTGTTAAAAAAAACACCTTTTACCTTTTAGTACATTGTACATGTTTTGCTGCTCCGCAGGTGAAAGGCCTGAAATTATGGGACTGTGGAAGGAGTTGCGAGCCAGATATTGTTTGTGAATAAGCTCCAAGGGGCACATTTTTAAGGGTTTAGTCAAAAAATGAACACTTCTCTGTAGTTTTTCAACTCCTGATTTCTTTACTCTTTTAGGATATTAAGTTTTAGTGCAATATAAGCAATCATATTTACATTAGCTATACTGGATGAATAAATATTTATGAAGTACCTTGTTTGGATTTCAGTTCCTGGGAAATAAGCACTTCCACCTGAAAGCTGGTTGCTTACAAGCAGCCCAGTCCATTAGGAATTTCTGTTGTTCTAGCTCCACTGAATCAGTAATTATTAAGAAAACAGCTCATTCACTTGGGTGGGGCTTAAGCTGTGCAGGTTTCCTGCCAGTTGTGCAAAATTGCCTGCATTTGCCCTTGGGAAGTGAGGAAGATCCATAGTTAAGAAAGTGATGGTGGTTGTTCGAGCAAACCCTGCTGGAGTTCCGTGATAGCACTATCAAAATGAAATGTCATTTGAGAAAGAGGAGGTTAGCTTCTAAGCACTAAACTGACTTCTGTGTCTTATGGTGGTCAGTACAGGACGTATTAAACTTTTGAAATCAATACTGATTTAAACTAACTCTCCCGTCACCTCCTATCCTCTCTTGACTCATATGTTGGGCATCATCACTCCACAGCTTTTTGACATTTGAATATTTCATTTTATACCTGCAAGTAGCTGCATTTTATTATTGCCATTCTGCTCAGATCCCTACAATGGAAAAGAATGTACAAAGATTCAGATGGCATCTTTGCTTTTTGTCGTCAGATGCTCCTTTGTATTCAGACCAGGCCTGAGTAATATAATGTAGCACTTGGGAAGGAAGATGCAGCCCAGAAGCCCAGCACTGGAGGCCAACATAGAGAAGATCTGCACGGCTACCATGTATTTCCCCTTGGTGCTCTGGTAGGTGGGCACAAAGGACACCCAAACACTGCAGAAGACCAGCATGCTGAAGGTGATCAGCTTGGCTTCATTGAAGGCCCCAGGCAGCTTCCTGGCTAGAAAAGCCACTGTGAAGCAGAGGGCAGCCAGGAAGCCCATGTAGCTCAGGGTACCATAAAACATGGCAGAAGACCCTACATTACATTGCAGGATAATCTCTGCAGGTTGGGAGTGCATATCAGTGTCTGGGAATGGGGGAGAGGTCCCTAGCCAGGTGATACAGATGACAACTTGACACTGGAACATGAAAGGACAACAGTGTTGACCAGACTCTTCCCCAGCCATTTCTTCACCCTGTTCCCTGGCTTTGTGGCCAGAAAAGCCAGCACAACAGTAATTGTTTTGGCCAACAAAGAAGAGACAACAACTGAGAAGATGAGGACAAATGCAATTTGTTGGAGAAGACAGGTGGCTTTTCTTGGCTGGCCAATGAAGAGTAAGGAGGACAAAAAGGAGAGCAAGAGGGATACAAGGAGGATGTAGGACAGGTCCCTGTTGTTGGCTTTGACTATGGGAGTTTCTGAGTATTTAATGAAAATTCCTAACACCAAGCATGTGATTAAGGAGAATAACAAGGTAAAGAAAGACAAGAGAATCCCCAAATAGTCTTCATAGGACAAGAAAGTGATAATCTTGGGAACACATTGATCTCGGTCCTTGTTTGAGTGCTGATCTTCCAGACATTTGGTGCAATGGTTTGCATCTGAAAGTAAGATGAGTGATTTCAGTACCCAGGGTCTCAAGCAAGGGACATTCCCAGCCCTGACCCACAGCTACTATGACTTGAATTGGCAATCTTTTGCATGCAGATCAAATCCTGTGCTACTGAACTACAGCCTTTCAATCAGCAGAAGCAGACACATCTGAAGTTTTCCAGGAAAGCCTCTGGCAAGGCTGGTGGAACGGGGTGGGCACCAAGCAGGCGAAAACACATACTGTTTCCTAGGAGGAAAGCATGGGTCCCACATGGGTCACCAGAAGAGAACTTTCAGAGAAACCAGATGTCCTATTTCTAACGATTCTAAGAGAAAACCCTATTCAAAATCAAACCACAGGGAGTCTGTCATCACTACACATGATGATGATGATGATGATGATGATGATGATTTATTTATACCCTACCCATCAGATATGCCAACCTTGGGTAGAGGTCATTTTTTATGGGGGGGGCGGGGATAAAATGAAGAAATAGCATTGTGTTGGACAGGATCACAAAAGTTGCCCCTTGCTTCCTGTTTCCATGGCTGACTCCCATACGATCGAATCCCAGCCATGCCGGTAATTCAGGGCTGATAGGGGGGTAATTAGCCCTGGCAGACTCCCCAGGGTGGGGGAGGACTGTCTCGTAGACCCACAGATTGTCCGAGATTGTCAGTTTGCATCAAGGTGCAAGTGACAGGACACTGGGTCCCGGAGCACGACACAGCTGGCATTCTCCGATGTCACTCTCATAGCCGGAAATATCTGTTTGATAAAATAATTGGATTCGGACAATAAACAGACATAGTCTGGACCGAAGAAGATAAAGAAAAAACCTGCAGAACTGTACAGTCCCTGGTGTTTAAGCTCGGGCTTCAAAGAGATTCTCATCATGGTGTTTGGATTACAGAGGTATTTGGTATGTCTTTTTTCTCTTCTTAACATCTACAATTGGTTTTCTATGCCAAGCCTCATTAAGAAACCTATTATTATTTTTTTAAAAAAAGAGTACAGATGGGCTTCTATTTATAATTAAGTATTCAACTGTACAGCTTTACTCAGACTTGAAAGACTTGATAAACATAAAAGAAGAAACAAGATGGCGTTTGTTAATATGAATCAGCACGGAAAGATGAGAATTCCCCCCTTTTTCGAGGGGAGTAGGAAATATTTGCTGGCTGACTTTGTAATATCTTGAAATAACAATTTGGGATAACATATAGTGCAGCTGTTTGCAGAAGTTTTTCATTATGAGAGAGAGAGAAGGCTGAATGGATGTCTAGCAGAGGGGGGAGATTGTGTGGTCTCCGAGAAGGCTGATCGATCACCAAATGACTTATATCTGTGGAACACAATTCATTTACATTGCAATATTGCAAACAGTCTCCCCAGCAATCTATAGTAACAACTCAACAACGTGGAAGACACTGCGTCACTAAATCTCAAAAGAAAGGTTTGGACAACAGCCTGAATTGGAGTGATTTAACAACTTGGGAGTTGCTGCGTCGTTAAACTTCAAATGATAAACTTGGACAACAGCCCGGATTGGAAGGTTGGAATGAAGTCAGGAAAAGCTGCGCTGGTAAATAGACAGTTGGAAAAAATATATTTTTACAAATAAAGCTGTATTTGATGAATGAAAGGACATATGACTTTTGACATGACTGAGAATCGCATAGCCAGGGGCGGAGAACTTTAAAGTGTTAAAAGCAGAAGGCAGAAATATGAAAACAATGAGAAGAGGCAGGACTGAAGATTTGGAGATATGCTTCAGAGGTCCAGACTATGGGGAACCTGGTAAAATTAATAATTACAATTTGGACTATAATTTGGTCTTTTTTATTTTAGTTTCTTGCTTTTAATTGGATTATGATACGGATATGTTGATTGGCTGTTTTTATTGGAAAATTAAAAAAAATGATTTTTAAAACACACACACTGAAGTTTCCCTATTCCTTCAAAGCCGTACTTCTCTCACTTGCCTTCCACAGTGGAGACTGTCCCTTTTACACAGGGAGCACAATCATAGCAGCAAAGTGGCTCTCCTTCCCGGATGACCTTGACATCCCCAATATGACAGCTCTCAGCACATCTGGAATGAGGAATGGTCTGCCCATAAAGAAAGATGGTCAGGAGTTAACGGTCTTTCTAGCCATGCAATAATAGTGGAGCCAATAGTCCCAGCTCCTGCCAACCTTGCAGGTCTAAAGCTTACTTGTGCAAGTAGATAAATAGGTGTAGGAAGGTAAACAGCTTTTCCATGCATTCTGGCACTCGTCACAGTGTCCACTTGCACCAGAAGCAGTTTAGTCATGCTGGCCACATGACCCGAAAAAAGCTGTCTACAGACAAATACCGGCTCCCTCAGCTTGAAAGCAGAGATGATCACCACACCCCATAGTTGGATTTGACTGGATTAAACTGGCTTTAACCTTACCTTTACTAAATTGTTCAGGGAATTTTAAACAAAAATAGATTGTGAAGACCTCCAGCAGAACCTCTCCAAACCTCAGTGACTGAGCAGTAAATTGGGAAATGTAATTCAATAGAAACAAGAATGAAGTGATGCAAGTTGAGGCAAAAAATATTACCTTCATAAATATGCTCATGGGAGTTGAAGTAGGGATGACTCTTCCTACAAAACTGAAATCCCTTTCAATCCAAAATCCTGTTTTCTTTTTCTTTTTTGGATCATAATCAAATGTATCCGAATGATTTAACCCACCTTATTAAACCAAAGGGGCCACACGATGGCATCCTGATCAATGGTGACTTTTACATCTGCGGATCCCTGTGTCTCCATACTCCCAACTTTCCCTACGTGAAGGGAGTCATTGGCAAGCATCACAATGTTCACCACGTCAAATTCAGCTGTCAGGTCCCCATTCTCATCTAAATATACTCCACCCATAGAAGCATTGTAGAACTGAAAATCACTCAGGAAACGGTGGAACTGGAGTGACAGAGAATATGGCAGCATTTAAGAAAGTTGGCTATTTCTGCCCAGTTGGTTCACATATAATCTAGGCACCTAGTGGCCATGGACTATTTTTCTATTTAATGTTCTCAATATACTTGAGGTCTTTCAAAATGAGCTCTTCCTTCAGCTGAGTAGCCTAAGAAATAGGTTCCGTCCAAGATCCTGTGAGTTGGGGTTGGAGAGGGTATGGCAGCTCCTCTCTGAGTCCTGCTCCAAGCGGTGGCTGCAGCTGTGGGTCTGGCTGCAGTTGTGGCAGCTACCAGTCAGGCTTTAGACTTGCAGACCAGGCATTTCATGAGGCAGGCTTGTGACCCTTAACCAGAGTGAGAGGCTGGCTGAAAGGGAACTTGGTTTGGTGGAGTTCCCTCTCTGAATGAGAGGCAGTGGGGGGAAAGTAGCTAGGTGGGTAGGGGAGAGCATGGTTGGAGTGGAGGGTGGGCTGGCCACCATCGGGGGTGGAGACCTAGGTGTTTGGTTTCTGTTCCTTGTTCCAGCCCTCTCACACCACCAGAGGTACTAGTAGCAGATCTACTGAGCCCTCTAGTCTGGTGCTGTTACTACTGAATGTCAGATCAGTCCATATTAAAAACATGCTCTTCCATGATTTGATTGCCCATGAGTGGGCTGATTTGGCTTGCATTACCAAGAGTTTTTTGAAGCTAATAGCCGCTTGACGGTGGATCTGCAGAACAGTCTCCCTCAGTAGGTTGTGAACGCTCCTTCATTGGAGGTTTTCCAAGAGAGGTTGGATGGACATCTGTAAAGGATGATTTACTTGAGATTCCTGCATTGCAGTATGTGGGGCTAGATTATTTTCAGGGTCCCAGCTAACTCTCCAGTTCCATGATTCTATGATTTGGGTGAGGGAGCTGGGTGGGCCTGACCTTACCTAGCTCTGCCCACCTGAATTTTTGATATTGCCCGAGACCAGACTAGGGGGTCAAGGCAGGGGAGTTGCTATTGTCTACAGGGACACCATCTCCTTGACCAGGGAGCCTCTTGACCTTGGAAAGGGTTTGTGGAGAAACTTTGGAAATAAAAGTCATTGAACTTCTTACATGCAGTAGAATTCTATCTTGCTTTAACTTTGGAATGCTTTGTTTGTCTTTGATAATTAGGAAAGAGTGAGATGATTATTTTGATGAAAATAATTATGATGGTATACCTAGGAAAGTATATGAATGGAGATTTAAAATGAATGTGATACAGAAGGGTCTATCAGTTCTATATGAATCAATTTTCACCAACAGTATTTTATAACCTTATTTATCTCCTTTTTTAATTCTTGCTTTCTTGTTGTTTAGTCATTTAGTCGTTTAGGACTCTTCGTGACCCCATGGACCAGAGCACGCCAGGCACTCCTGTCTTCCACTGCCTCCCGCAGTTTGGTCAAACTCATGCTGGTAGCCTCGAGAACACTGTCCAACCATCTTGTCCTCTGCCTTCCCCTTCTCCTTGTGTCCTCCATCTTTCCCAACATCAGGGTCTCTTCCAGGGAGTCTTCTCTTCTCATGAGGTGGCCAAAGTATTGGAGCCTCAGCTTCAGGATCTGTCCTTCCAATGAGCACTCAGGGCTGATTTCCTTCAGAATGGATAGGTTTGATCTTCTTGCAGTCCATGGGACTCTCAAGAGTCTCCTCCAGCACCATAATTCAAAAGCATCAATTCTTCGGCGATCAGCCTTCTTTATGGTCCAGCTTAATTCTTGCTTAATTTCTGTTAATTAAAGGAAATGGACCTACAAATCTGTCATTGAACGAATCGTTATTTAAAATGGAACAATATCCATCCAGAGCATTAGAGAAGAAACATGAATACCTGTGATGGTTGGACTTTTTCATCTTCCAACCTGTTCTGACCCACCATCACCACCCTCTTGGGTCTAGAAGAGTACGCAGCATTTAAGGCATGGGCCAGAGCTCGGACCGTGTTGTAAATGCTGTAGGTGTCCTGAAACAGGCTCCTTTCAAGGACGTCCTGAGGGAACCCTGAAAGGTTCTCCTTCACTCTGCATCGCCTCTGGCCTTTCACAGACAACACATGCTTTGAATATAAGCAATGATAGCCTTCAGGCCAACATGGATGGAAATTACTATAGGGGAAAGAAACTGGCAGATTACCATCATGTTTTGATCTTTTTTTGGTCTGGAAAAATAAAGATAAATATCCATGAATGTGTTTGTTCTCAAGTATTTCCGGAGACATGCCGCAGCTGACATATGAGAAAGCTATTGTGATCCAAACTTTCCCAGTAATGGGTTTCAGGGTCTCACCCACTATTTCTAGCGTACGTGCGGCTTCTAGGGTGGACTGAAAGTCCCCATAGTAAAGAAACACATTGATTCGCCTGTCCATGGAAAGTGAAATCTTCTGCCGGAGCTTTTTGTATGCATTGGCTATAAAAAAGAAGCCTCGTAAAATGGTTTGTGAGAATACAACACAGACACCGCCCTTAGCAAGCACAGGTGCGAAGGTGCTCAGAAACCTTTTTCCATTGTAAGTGTCAGCAGCTATGAGCCCGATCCAAGTCCACCTGAAATGCAGGAGTAGTCTGACAATCCCTGAGCTTGGGGGTGCTTCATCTGGGGTCATACGGTAGAACAAATGAGATTGTGTTTTGTCAAGCGCATGATGAACAGAAGCATAACTGACCTAGGAAGAAAAGGAAGATATAGATGGATTTATTGGTCAAGTGGAAATTGTGGTCAGGGAGAGCAATATTCTCCGGTGCTACTCTGGAAAGGAGATTTAGGACACTTATAGGAAATAATACACTCTGGTCAGTGACTGAAATAAATCAATTCATTCATTCTAGGCAACAATATAACATGTCTTCAACATCATTTCAACCCAGAATGGCCCCCCCACCGATGTTTGAGGCTATGTAGAGTTAAGATGTGTTGCATTTTCTACTTTTAACATTTGGTTCGGGGAAAGGGGTCAATTTTTAGTTCAATTGAGTGTTAGTTTCACATGAGTTTCGTTCCTTAGATTTGTTTTTCTGCCCAGTATTTATTATTCCTCCATCTTAAAGTCCCCTGGTAGGTTACCAAAATAGGCTTCTGTGAAGCCATCCCAGAGATGTCTTCTGGAGGCTGCATTTCTGTCCCTCCAAAGTATGATTCATGCCCTGTGTAAATTGCTATTTTCCTAGAAAAAGAGGTGCCAGAACTCACCATGAACCCTTGTCCTCTTATAAAGTGCCGACTGAAAAAAAGAGTCTGTTTCCCCCTTGTAAGTATAAAGTGCTTAGCAGCTCACAGTACACATCTTGTGAGCTTCCTGTTGTAGCTTCTGAGAGGCATCTCTCTTTCAAAAAGGCATGTTCCCCCCTTAGTCGGCTCTGATGGTGATTCTCTTTTGAAAGCATTCTTCACCCAGCAGTACATATCCTTCAACATAAGAAGAGGCTCCTGGATCAGGCCAGTGGCCCATCTAGCCCAGCATCCTGTTCACACAGTGGCCAGCCAGGTGATTGTAGGAAACCAGCAAGCACAGCATGAGCACAAATGCACCCTGCCCTCATGTGATTCCCAGCAACTCAGCACTCAGAAGCATTGGTGCCTCCAACTAAGGATGTAGATCACAGTCATGGTGCCTAGCAGCCATCAATAGCCCTTGCCTTCAGGAATTGGTTTAATCCACTCTTAGAACCTTCACTGCCTCCTCTGGGAGTGAGTTTCATAATTTGCTTCCTATTCAAAGAAATGGCTGTTCTCTGCATGTTGCCCATGCTAGTGTATTCATACCTGGGGGATTTTGTAGGTTCCCAGCATAGTTGAAATCTGGAGTGAGGTGTCAGAGTTGACCCCTTCAATGAAAACCAAGGGCTTCTTCTGTTTTCCGCAGTGGTAGTTTGGGACATTGGCCCTACCAGGAGAGAGCAGATCTAGCGTGGCATCATAGGTCATCCTTGCATTGAAATGATTCTCATGGATGTCATAGCCGAGGGTGATGTTGGGTAAGATCCTGGGGTCCTGGTTAATCTCATGGATGGCGATCATGAAGGACAGGAGATTCCAGTATGCTCTTGTCCCTCTTTCTCTGTAATAAACATGAAGCCTAATGTCAGTCTCCGTTCAGTGAAAAGTGTCAAGTCCCTGCTTTCTAAGTCCTGGAAGAAATTGCAGCCACAAGAATGAAGCAAAACAGAACATCCACATCACATAATCAGCCATCTGTGAGTTTGTTGGAAGGTGAACGGCTGCTTGCCAGTTAAGGAGAGATAGAAGCATATTTGAACACTTAAGTGCTGGAAGCAGGGAGTGAATACCACCCTCAAATATATTGAGCAAAAGTTTGTAAAAGGACAGGGCACTAGTTCAAGGGGAGTGGTAGGTTATAAGAGTTTGCTTCCTTATTTTTAAAAAAGGTAGAGATGTAAAGTAGAGACCTTTACAAGTCAAATAATTCCTGCTTCTAATTGTTATTGCTGTTCTTATCCTATTTAGTACCTACCTTGCACCCTAATGTCCCAGGGCAGGTGAACTGTACTGGCTGCCAGTTGATATCTAGACTCAATTCAACGTGATTATATGTTAACTTTATAAATACATTGTGACAGTTTAATAGCTATAGTCCTGCTCCTTTCAGAGGAGTGCAGATCAGGCCATCTTTACATTTCCCAAGTCAAGAAGTTGGGACGCAGATGATCTCTGGCTCTTCATGATTCACCATCAATTTGGTTTTTTTCCAGTGGAAAAAAGTAAGGAGGGAAGCAATGCCTATGCATTTTGTGTCTTCACTGGGCAAGTTCTAGAAAGCAGGACTTGTCCCTGGCATATAAGCATTAGAGGCCTGGGCACTCACAGCTGAGCATAATACTATTAAACAAGGTCCAATGTAGATGCCTACCCATTAATCACAATCTTATCTGCTATGCTATTGCAAGGGGAAAGTACAGCTTACCTTACAATGTAATTGCAAGGGGGGATAAGGAAATCGTGTTCAGGATGAACGGTCTGTAATGTAGATATGACCCCGCTTATGAGGTGGTCTCCTGGCTTGTAATAATTCATTGCATCTGGATGATCCCTTCTCAAGTTCAATGGGCATTTTGCTTTCCGCATCCTAGAAGCTGCACAGCGAAGCGGCAGCAGCAACAACAACATCAATAAGAGCCTCACTCTGGGTCTGCCTCCTGTCATTACGTCTGTTGTCACTGCTCTCAACTTAGCAAGAAGCAAATTAGATGAAGCCCAAAGTCTCCAACAAGACCGAAGCCCTGGAGAAAACGTGAGGAAAGGGAGAAACGAACTTTCACACTGGCGGAATCCCTGCCTGCCTGGAAGATAAGTCAAAGCCCTCGATAGCATAAGACGTCTTTAAAAATGCAGCAGGCATTTCAAGCTTTCGTTTCTGAAATATCTGTTCTTCGTGTCAAAAGTGGGTACATTTGTGAGTTTTGCCGAGGAATAAATCACTATGATTATGATAATTATGCAGGGAATATACATCTCTGGAATCACTGTGGAGCTTGAGCAGCAGCTGCAGAGCTAGAAGAAAACATCACAATTTGTTTTCTGATGCTCTAGAGGGTAGGACTTGAATCAATGGCTTCAAGTTAAAAGAAAGGAGACTAAACTTCAGGAAAAAGTTTCTGACAACAAGAGCCGTTTGAATAGTCCCCCTTGGGAGATTGTGGACTTTCCTTCCTTGGAGGTTTTTAATCAGAGTTGGGATGACCATCTGTCATGAATGCTTGGTTGAGATTCCTGCATTGCAGAGGGTTGAACTACATGCCCCTTGGGATCCCTCTTCCAACTCTACACTTCCATAATTCTATGATTCTATGTTCACCAGATAAGCCAGAATCAAACTATTTTTTCAGGACATTTTGGGGCCTGATATGATGAACCTCTGCTGCCTGATGGACTTTTTTATGCACTTGAAGCCTCCTGTGCCAGTCGAATATTATATTTCAGAGTATTTGTATCTCTCCCCATCACCTCATATCCTCTCCTGACAAAGTTTTTTGACATTTGAATATTTCATTTTAGAACAGCAAGTGGCTGGATTTTGTTATTGCCTTTCTGTTCACAGATCCCTACAATGGAAAAGAATGTACAAAGAATCAGATGGCAACTTTACTTTTTGTTGTCAGATGCTCCTTTGTATTCAGATCAGGCCTGAGTAAAATAATGTAGCACTTGGGAAGGAAGATGCAGCCCAGAAGCCCAGCACTGGAAGCCAACATAGAGAAGACCTGCACAGCTACCATGTATTTCCCCTTGGTGCTCAGGTAGGTGGGAACAAAGGACACCCAAACACTGCAGAAGACCAGCATGCTGAAGGTGATCAGCTTGGCCTCATTGAAGGCCCCAGGCAGCTTCCTGGCTAGGAAAGCCACTGTGAAGCAGATGGCTGCCAGGAAGCCCATGTAGCCAAGGGCACCATAAAACATGGCAACAGATCCTTCATTACACTGCAGGATGATCTCTCGGGGCTGGGAGTGCATGTCAGAGTCTGAGAATGGAGGAGAGGTACCCAGCCAGATGACACAGATGAGAATTTGGATACTGGAACAGGACATGACAATGGAGTTGGCCAGACTCTTTCCCAGCCATCTCCTCACCTTGTTCCCTGGCTTTGTGGCCAGAAAAGCCAGCACAACGGTAATGGTTTTGGCCAACAAAGAAGAGACAGCAACTGAGAAGATTAGGACAAATGCAATTTGTTGGAGAAGACAGGTGGCTTTTCTTGGCTGGCCAATGAAGAGCAAGGAGGACAAAAAGGACAGCAAGAGGGATACAAGGAGGATGTAGGACAGGCCCCTGTTGTTGGCTTTGACTATGGGAGTTTCTGAGTATTTAATGAAAATTCCTAACACAAAGCATGTGATTAAGGAGAATAACAAGGTAAAGAAAGACAAGAGAATCCCCAAATAGTCTTCATAGGACAGGAAAGTGATAATCTTGGGAACACATTGATCTCGGTCCTTGTTTGAGTGCTGATCTTCTGGACATTTGATGCAGCGGTTTGCATCTGAAAGTAAGATGAGTGACTTCAGTACCCAGGGTCTCAAGCAAGGGGTATTCCCAGTACAACCTTTGTGGGAGCCAGGAAGTCATGGAAAAAGGCTTGTAGCGCCACCTGGTGCCTCGCTGACCTCAGTGACCTGCATGTCCGTGCCTTGCAGTGTATTAAGAGCATAGCTTTATATGGAGTTATGTTCCCCCTCTGGGCAGTATAACCTTATATGGTTTGTGGGTGGGTTAAAGCCATGAACGGATGTAGGTAATGTGAGACATTGGCAAACGGCCTTGCGAGTGGGGAGAACAAAGGATAATAAAAAAGCTACGGGAGGAGAGAGAAGTTCGAAAGGAGCTGCTCATACCATCCTTAAAATATTGCTGGCTCTCTGTGTCTTTATTTTATGCTAAACTGCGCCATTTGTAACGGCTGGCTCCGACAAACCTTGGCATATTATGGCTTAAATCTTTTGCATGCAAAGCAGATGCCCCAACCTTGGGTAAAGGTTTTATTGGGGGGGGGGAGATAAAAAGATACAGTTTTGGACAAGATTACAAAAGTTGCCCTATTCCTTCTCTCACTTGCCTTCCACAGTGGAGACTGTCCCTTTTACACAGGGAGCACAATCATAGCAGCAAAGTGGCTCTCCTTCCCGGATGACCTTGACATCCCCAATATGACAGCTCTCAGCACATCTGGATTGAGGGATATTCTGCCCGTAAAGAAAGATGGTCAGGAGTTAGTAGGTTTGTGGGATGTAAAGGTGCAGTCAAGTGCAACCTTCCGACAGAAGACTAACGGCCTCCAGGTTCTAACCGGTTGCTGTGACAACCAGTTTGTCGGTTGCTGGTAGTTTTGAAAGATGACTGCTGAGTTGCAGTCACCTTAGGACCAATTTCCCTCTGGTGTAGTTCATTTGCTTGTTATGGAACCTAAACCTGCCTTCAGGTACGCTTCTGTAAACCTGAATGAATCTGAGAGTAAAATGGTTATATATTACATGAATCAGATTCGTGTGTGTATTCCTTTATTAGTAGAACTCAGACAAGTCAGCAACAAGCTGATCGCTGCATAAACTTATAATGCGCATTGTTTAACTCTGCTAAAGTAATCCTTCCCACAGGTATGTCTATCTCTGCAATAATACTGGAGCCAATACTCCCAGCTCCTGTCACCTAGCAGTTTGAAAGCATACTAGTTCAAGTAGATAAATAGATACTGCTGCTGTGGGAAGGTAAACGGCATTTCCGTACGCTCTGGTGTCCTGTTGCGCCAGAAGCGGTTTAGTCATTCTGGCCAAATGAGCCAGAAAATCTGTCTACAGACAAATGCCAGCTCCCTTGGGCTGAAAGCAGAGATGAGTGCCACACCCCATAGTTGGATTTGACTGGATTGCACTGGATTGAACTTTACATTTACTAAATTGTTCAGGGAATTTTAAACAAAAATAGAACCTCTTCAAAATTGAGTGAAGAATAATAATAATAATAATAATAATAATAATTCATTATTTATACCACACCCATCTGGCTGGGTTTCCCCAGCCACACTGGGTGGCTGCCAATAAAATATTAAATAACAAAAGTCAATCTGTAGACTGATTAAGCAATAAATTGGCAAATGTAATTCAAAGCAAACAAGTGTGAAGTGATGCAGGTTGAGGCAAAAAATATTACTTTCATAAATATGCTCCTGGGAGTTGAAGTGGGAGTGACTGTTCCTACAAAACTAAAAGCCCCTTTCAATCCAATATCCTCTGTTTTTTTTTCCTTTTTGGATCAAAGTCAAATGTATCTGAATGATTTAACCCACCTTATTAAACCAAAGGGGCCACACAATGGCATCCTGATCAATGGTGACTTTTACGTCTGCAGATCCCTCTCTCTCCATGCTCCCAACTTTCTCTACGTGAAGGGAGTCATTGGCAAGCATCACAATGTTCACCACGTCAAATTCAGCTGTCAGGTCCCCATTCTCATCTAAATATACTCCACCCATAGAAACATTGTAGAACTGAAAATCACTCAGGAAACGGTGAAACTAGAATGACATAGAAGATCGCAGCATTTAAGAAAGTTGGCTATTTCAGCCCAGGTGGTTCACATATTATCCAGGCACATAGTGGCCATGGAGAGTTTTTCTATTTAATGTTCCCAATATACTTCTTTTTTTAAAAAAATATTTTCAATGCAAAGTTACAACAAAAATTACAAAGATAAAATCCTAAAAAAAGAACAAAGCAATAAAAACAAATCAAAGCAAACAGAAACAAAAAAAGAAAAAACCCACACCTAAAAAAACCCATACCCTGCCATCATACTAATCTTTACGTACATATACACATATTGACTTCCTTTCTCTGTTTTGAGACCTCAAAAATTTTAATCTTTTTGAATTGTTGTGTCTAATGTAAATTGCCGTATTTTGAGTTAAGTACCATTGGTATATCATTTCCCCAATATACTTGAGGTCTTTCAGAATGTCTTCTTCCATCAGTTGAGCAGCCTAAGAAATAGGTTCCTTTCAAGATTTGACTGAACGTGAGTGGACTGATGTGTCTTGCATTACCAAGAACTTTCTGACGCTAAGAGCTGTAAGACAGAGGAACAGTCTCCCTCAGGAGGTTGTGGACTCTCCTTCATTGGAGGTTTTTCAATAGAGGTTGGATGGCCATCTGTCAAGAATGATTTACTCGGGATTCCTGCATTGCAGTATGTGGGACTAGATGACTTTCAGGGTTCCTTCCAATTCTACAATTCCATGATTCTATTATTCAGGTGAGGGGGCCTGACCTTACCTAGTTGTGCCCACCTGAGTTTATGATACTGCGCCAGGCTAGACTAGGGGGTGAAGGCAGGTGTGTTGCTATTGTCTATAGAGACACAATCTCCTAGACCAGGGAGCCATTTGGCCTTGGAATGGGTTTGTGGAGAAACTTTGGAAATTAAAATTTATTGAACTTCTTACATGCAGTAGAATGCTATCTTGCTATTATGATGGCATCCCTAGGAATGTATATGAATGGAGATGTAATATGAATGTCATTTCCTTTTAAGGAATCTTTGGTCTTCTCTTTGAAAGGGTCACATGATCATTGCTAGCAGTCCATAGTCTTGCAGATCAAGGTAACTATTGAAGGGTCTATTAATTCTGTATCAATCATTTTGACTCAGGTAGGTTGCTGTGTTGGTCTGGCGTAGTAGATATATATATATATATTCTCTAGTAGCACCTTAGAGACCAACTAAGTTTGTTCTTGGCAGGCATGAGCTTTGTGTGCATGAGCACTTCTTCAGATACCATGTGCACGGACACAAAGCTCATACCAAGAACAAACGTAGCTGGTCTCTAAGGTGCTACTGGACAATTCTTTTATTTTTTTAATCATTTTGATGTACAGTATTTTATAACCTCATTTATCTCCTTTTTTAAATGCTTGGTTAATTTCTGTCAATTAAAGGTAATGGACCTACAAATCTGTCATTGAACCAGTCGTTATTTAAAATGGAACAAAATCCATCCAGATAATTAGAGAAGAAGGAAAATGAATACCTGTGATGCTTGGACTTTTTCATCTTCCAACCTGTTCTGTCCCACCATCACCACCCTCTTGGGTCTAGAGGAGTACGCAGCGTTTAAGGCATGGGCCAGAGCTCGGACCGTGTTGTAAATGCTGTAGGTGTCCTGAAACAGGCTCCTTTCAAGGACGTCCTGAGGGAACCCTGAAAGGTTCTCCTTCACTCTGCATCGCTTCTGGCCTTTCACAGAAAACACATGCTTTGAATATAAGCAATTATAGCCCCGAGGCCAAAATGGATGGTAATTACTGTAGGCGGAGGAAACTGGCAGATTACCATCTTGCTTTGATCTTTTTTTGGTCTGGATAAAGAAAGATAGATATCCATGAATGTGCTTGTTCTCAAGTATTTTGGGAGACATGTTGGAGCTGGCATATGAGAGAGCTATGGTGATCCAAACTTTCCCAGTAATGGGTTCCAGGGTTTCACTCACGGTTTCTATCGTATGTGCAGCTTCTAAGGGGGACTGAGAGTCCCCATAGTAAAGAAACACATTGATTCTCCTGTCCATGGAAAATGAAATCTTCTTCATCAGCTTTGTGTACTCATCTCCTTTATACAGAATGTCTCGAGGAATGGTTTGTGAGAAAGCAAGGCAGACACCACCCGTAGCTAGCACAGGCGCCAAGGTGCTCAGAAACCTTTCTCCATTGTCAGAGTCAGGAGCTATGAGCCCAATCCAAGTCCACCTGAGCCTGGGGGTTCTTCATTTGGGGTCATTCGGTAGAGCAAAGGAGATTGCGTTTTGTCAAGGGCATGATGAACAGAAGCATAACTGACCTAGGAAGTAAAGGAAGATTATAGAGGGTTTTATTGGTCAACTGGAAATTGTGGTGTGATGTCCTGCTTCCTCCACAACTCTTTAAGAAAACATGGAACAACGTTGCTAGATTTAGACCCTAGATCTTATCTGCTGTCCTTTTAAAGTTGTACAATTAGAATAGCAACAACCCACATTCATAAGAACAAGTAATGAAAAACAGCAGAATCTGTTTTAAGAGAGATGCCTTCTGTTGGTGTCAGGGAACTGCCATCAGAAGAGGGGCGGGAAGGCGGGAAACAGAGGGGCAGTTGTGTTACAGGGAGCCTCTGAATATCTTGCGAAGCAGTTCCTCTTCCGGTGATGAGGAAAACCCCACCTCCAGTGGGGAAGAGGTGAAAGGACCAGAGGATGCTGGTGGGAGCCTCAGCACCACTGCTGGCAAAGCCGGCCAGGAGGGAAGCACGCCCCCTCCGTTGCCCACCCTGTGCAGAAGTCTAACACGCAAACAGGGGAGGAAGAGGCTGGGCGTAACGAGGCTTTTATGCTGGAGGAGGTCCAGGAAACAGGCACTCCCGGATTCTGCTAGCGATTGAGGCAGACATGAACTTTGGGGTTCTGCACTGTAAATAGTTTACGTCTAAATAGAACCTGTAAAAGACAGCTTGGAGTCCTGCCTGGTTACTCGTGAGCAGCCACCCTTGCCGTCTGACAGTTGGGGCTGTTCTGGGATTAAGAAGTTTTAGGGCAATACTCAACCAGTGACAAGTGGTGTGGGAATCTGCCCCATTTTTCCTGTACTGTTTTCCAGATTTAGAATTCCCACCCATCTCACAAGCTGTTTGCTCTTTGAGAGGAAACATTCCTTTTCCATATAGGCCAGGGGTTCCCAAAGTGATGCCCTCCAGATGATATTCAACTCCAACTCCCATGAGCCAATGGGAGCACATGGGTGCTGGGAGTTGTAGTGCAGCAGTACCTGGAGGGCACCACATGGGCTACTGCTGATATAGGTAGAGAAGCTACTTAAACCAGTGATTTTCAGAGAATGAGTCAGAGATTTGGGTGATTGGGTCAGAGCAGAGGGACTTCATATGTCCAGAAAGCTGTTCAACAGTGGAACAGACATCTTTGGGAGGTGATGGACTCTCTTTCCTTGGAGGTTTTTAAGCAGGGGTTGGATGGTCATCTGTCATGGATGCTTTAGTTGAGATTCCTGCATTGCAGGGGTTGAACTGGATGACCCCCTGGGTCCCTTCCACACTGGCAGAGAAAGGGGGGCAGTGGGGGTGGACTGCCTGCCCCACCCAGGAGCGTGGGGCAGCGGGACTACCAAAGTTCACCCAAGCATATTTACAGCCCCTAAGAGACTCTGCTGCCGCCGCTGCTGCTCTTGCAGCGACCAGCAATTCCTGGGGGGAGAAGGCGCCTCTCCAAGCCAGATGTTTCCTAGCTTATGCTTGCCCACCCACTGCCACCCACACACCTTCAAGGACCAGTGAGGAGTCCGACGCTGCCCTACCTGGACGCACCTGGATGCAAAGATGGCATCCACTGAGCAAGGGGGGGGACAGAAGGTGCCTAGATAGAGGCCCCTAGGAAAGTTAGGAAAATAAAGATTTAAGTACTTATGCTCACAAGGTTAAGTAAATAAACCAGAAAATAACATTTGCAAGTGTATCTTATTTTTGCTTCTTTTAATAATTTCAATGGGGGGGGGACAAAAACATGTCCGCACTGGGTACCATCTGACCTTGCTACGCCACTGATTGAGTGTTAGCTCACTTGAGTGTTAGTTTCACATGAGTTTTGTTTTTCTGCCCAATATTTATTTATCCTCCATCTTAAAGTCCCGGAGCAGGTTACAAAAATAGGCTCGTGTAAAGCCATCCCTGAGATGCCTTCTAGAGGCTGCATTTCTGAACCACCAAGATACGATTCCTGCCCCGTGTAAATTGCTGTTTTCCTATTCATTTATTTTTTAAAAAAAGAGGTGCTGGAACTCAGCATGAACACCTTTCTTTTCCTCTTAGAAGGTGCCGGCTGGAACAAAAGCCTGTTTCCCCTTTGTAAGTGTAAAGTACCGTATTTTTCGCTCTATAACACGCACTCGACCATAACACGCACGTAGTTTTTAGAGGAGGAAAATCCGTAGGCATGCCACCCGTAGGCATTCCCTCCATAACACGCACAGACATTTCCCCTTACTTTTAGGAGGAAAAAAGTGAGTGTTATGGTGCAAAAAATACGGTACTTAGCAGCTCCTGTGAACCTCCTGTTGTAGCTTCTGAGATGTGTTTGTATTTCCGAAAGGTTTGTTCCCCCCTTAGACTTCTCTGATGGTGACTCTCTTTCTGGAAAAAATCTTCACCCAGCAGGACAAATCCTTCAACATAAGAAGAGGCTCCTGGATCAGGCCAACGGCTCATCTAGCCCAGCATCCCGTTCACACAGTGGCCGGCCAGATGATTGTAGGAAACCAGCAAGCACAGCATGAGCACGAAAGCACTCATGCCTCATCATAGCTGTCAACTTTACCCTTTTATTGTGAGGAATCCTATTCGGAATAAGGGAATTTCCCTTAAAAAAAGGAAAAAGTTGACAGCTATGTGCCTCATATGTTTCCCAGCAATTGTATTCATACCTGGGGGGATTTTGTAGCTTTCCAGCATATTTGAAATCTGGAGTGAGGTGTCAGAGTTGACCCCTTCAATGAAAACAAAGGGCTTCTTCTCTCTTCCGCAGTGGTAGTTTGGGACATTGGCCCTCCCAGGAGACAGCAGATATAGTGTGGCGTCATAAGTCATCCTTGCATTGAAATAATTCTCATAGATGTCATAGCCCAGCGTGATGTTGGGTAAGATCTTGGGGTCCTGATTAATCTCATGGATGGCAATCATGAAGGACAGGAGATACCAGTATGCTACCATATCTGCTGCCCTGCAACAAAGCATGAAGCCTAATGTCAGTCTCTGTTCAGTGAAAAGTGTCAAGTCCCTGCTTTCTTAATCCTATAAGAAATTGCAGCCACAAGAATGAAGCAAAATAGAACATCCACATCACATAATCAGTCATTTGTGAGTTTGTTGGAAGGTGTGCGGCTGCTTGCCAGTCAAAGGGAGATAGAAGCATATTTGAGCACTTGAGTACTGGAAAGAGGGAGTGAATACAACTCTCAAATATATTGAGCAAAAGTTTGTAAAAGGACGGAGCACTAGTTCAAGGGGAGTGGTAAGTTATAAGAGTTTGTTTCCTTATTTTTAAAAAAGGTAGAGGAGATGTAAAGTAGAGACCTTTACAAGTCATATAATTTCTGCTTCTAATTGTTATTGCTGTTCTTATCCTATTCAGCACCCACCTTTCACGCTAAGGTCCCAGGGCAGGTGAACTGTACTGGCTGCCAGTTGATTTCTAGACTCAATTCAACGTGATTATATGTTAACTTTATAAATACATTGTGACAATTTAATAGCTATAGTCCTGCTCCTTTCTGAGGAGTGCAGATCAGGCCATCTTTACATGTCCCAAGTTAAGAAGTTGGGATGCAGATGATCTCTGGCTTTTCATGATTCACCATCAATTTGTTTCTTTCCAATGGAAAAAGAAGGGAGGGAATCAATGCACATGCATTTTGTGTCTTCAGTGTGCAAGATCTAGAAAGCACAACTTATTCCTGGCATATAAGCATTACAGGCTTGGACAATCACAGCTGAGCATAATACTATTAAACAAGGTTCAATGTAGATGCCTACCCATCAATCACAGTTTTGTCTGCTGTGCAGAAATTGCATGGGGAAATGCAGCGTACCTTATACTGTAAATGAAAGGGGGGGGCGAGGAAATGGTGTCCAATATGAACAATTTGTAATGTAGATATGACCCCGCTTATGAGGTGGTCTCCTGGCTCATAATAATTCATTGCATCTGGATGATCCCTTCTCAAGTTCAATGGGCATTTTGCTTTCCGCATCCTAGAAGCTGCACAGGGAAGCAGCTGCTGCAGCAGCAGCAACACCAATAAGAGCCTCACTCTGGGTCTGCCTCCTGTCATTACGTCTGTTGTCACTACTCTCAACTTAGCAAGAAACTGAGAGTCTCCAGCAAGACTGAAGCCCCAGTGACATTGAGAGGAAAGGGAGGATACGAAGCTTTCACACTGGCAAAAACCCTGCCTGCCTGGAAGATAAGTCGAAGCCCTCGATGGCACATGAGGTCTTTACATAGGCAGCAAGCATTTCAAGCTCTCATTTCTGAAATGTCTGTGTCAAAAGTGGGTACTTTGCTTGAGTTTGCCAAAGAATAAATCACTATGATTATGATAGGTATGTGGGGAATAATCCTCTCTGGAATCACTGTGGAGCTTGAGGAGCAGCTGCAGAGCTGGAAGAAAACATCACAATTCGTTTGCTGATGCTCTGGAGGGTAGGACTCGAACCAATGGCTTCAAGTTAAAGTAATGGAGACTCCAATTAAAAATCAGGAAAAACTTTCTGACAGTAAGAGCTGTTTGAGAGTGGAATGGTCCCCCTTTGGAGGTTGTGGACTTTCCCTCCTTGGAGGTTCTTAAGCAGAGTTTGGATGGGCATCTGTCTTGGGTGCGTTAGTTGAAATTTCTGCATTGCAGGGGGTTGGACTAGATGACCCTTGGAGTCCCTTCCAACTCTGCACTTCCATAATGCTATGATTCTATGTTCACAATATCTCACTGATGTGGCGAAATGTGATCCTACAATGACAATTATTTAAGATACATCACCACATAAGCCAGGATGGATCACCACATAAGCCAAGTGGCTGGATTTTGTTATTGCCTTTCTGTTCACAGATTCCTACAATGGAAAAGAATGTACAAAGAATCAGATGGCAACTTTACTTTTTGTCGTCAGATGCTCCTTTGTATTCAGACCAGGCCTGAGTAATATAATGTAGCACTTGGGAATGAAGATGCAGCCCAGAAGCCCAGCACTGGAGGCCAACATAGAGAAGACCTGCATGGCTACCATGTATTTCCCCTTGGTGCTCAGGTAGGTGGGAACAAAGGACACCCAAACACTGCAGAAGACCAGCATGCTGAAGGTGATCAGCTTGGCTTCATTGAAGGCCCCAGGCAGCTTCCTGGCTAGGAAAGCCACCGTGAAGCAGATGGCAGCCAGGAAGCCCATGTAGCCAAGGGCACCATAAAACATGGCAGCAGACCCTACATTACATTGCAGGATAATCTCTGCAGGTTGGGAGTGCATGTCTAAGTCTGGGAATGGGGGAGAGGTACTCACCCAGGTGGTGCAGATGAGAACTTGGACACTGGAACATGAAAGGACAACAGCGTTGGCCAGAGTCTTCCCCAGCCGTTTCTTCACCCTGTTCCCTGGCTTTGTGGCCAGGAAAGCCAGCACAACGGTAATGGTTTTGGCCAACAAAGAAGAGACAGCAACTGAGAAGATGAGGACAAATGCAATTTGTTGGAGAAGACAGGTGGCTTTTCTTGACTGGCCAATGAAGAGCAAGGAGGACAAAAAGGAGAGCAAGAGGGATACAAGGAGGGTGTAGGATAGGTCCCTGTTGTTGGCTTTGACTATGGGAGTTCCTGAGTATTTAATGAAAATTCCTAACACAAAGCATGTGATTAAGGAGAATAACAAGGTAAAGGAAGACAAGAGAATCCCCAAATAGTCTTCATAGGACAGGAAAGTGATAATCTTGGGAACACATTGATCTCGGTCCTTGTTTGAGTGCTGATCTTCTGGACATTTGGTGCAGTGGTCTGCATCTGAAAGGAAGATGAGTCATTTGAGCACCCAGGGTCTCAAGCAAGGGACATTCCCAGCCCCAGCGGGAGATACTGTGACTTGAATCAGCAATCTGTTGCGTGAAAAGCAGATGCCCCAACCTTGGGTAAAGGTTTTATCGGGGGGGGGGGAATAAAATGATACTGTTTTGGACAAGATTACAAAAGTTGCCCTATTCCTTCTCTCACTTGCCTTCCACAGTGGAGATGGTCCCTTTTACACAGGGAGCACAATCATAGCAGCAAAGTGGCTCTCCTTCCCAGATGACCTTGACATCCCCAATATGACAGCTGTCAGCACATCTGGATTTAGGGACAGTCTGCCCATAAAGAAAGATGGTCAGGAGTTAGTGGTATGGTGGGATGTAAAGTTGCAGTCAAGTCTAACATTCCGACAGAGGACTCACGGCCTCCAGGTTCTAACCGGTTGCTGTGACAACCAGTTTGTCGGTTGCTGGTAGTTTTGCAAATAATTTTTATTAAGTTTCCATTTACCAAGCCAATATTATCATATCATATTAATTATTCCAAATTATATCAATACATATCACAAAGTCCAAATATTAAACCAAATTTAAAAATTTTTTGGGGGTACCCATGCTTCGAGTTCGGTAGGAGTCCAATCATCTTTGTATTTCTGCTACTTTGGTGTTCACATTCCTATCTTCTCATCTCCTTGTCATTATCCTTTTTCTTCTGAATAACCTCCGAGTTGTCTCCACAAGTGAGTTGAAAGAAACAGCCTTGTTTATATTCCTGTGTGAACTTTGTAATGCTCTCCCGTAATTCATCTCATGAATGAAATACAGTCTCGGCGTCCGCTCTTTAATTTTCCCAGACCCTTTGCACCTTATATCAGTCTTTCCAGAAGGGTTATTGCCCTTTCAGATTTACGATCCAAATCTAATAGCAGAACAGTGGCTCACCCCCCCTAAAACTGAAAATCTTGCAACCAGGTCTGCCTCTTAATGGCGGATCGCTTTTATAACTACGCAACAAGAAAGCCTCCCTTCTTTCCAGATCTTTCACAGAGTAACACCTTTTATTAACATTTTTTTGTTTCCACACAGTTTGTTTTTCAATCTTACTTGCTATCAGACATTGTGACGGTTCTTCAAGGGGGGGGGGGTTGTTAGGTATATCATATTGAAAAAGAAGAAAGTTTTCCCCCTCTTTCCGCTCCGTTCAACATACCGTCATGGCTGTGCTTCCTTGATGTAATCCTTTGTTCATTCTGTCCCATCGCTCAATCTTCTCAGTGGTAGATTTATTTAGCAGATAATACACTCCTGACCTTGCTCGAAGCATGTGCATTTACTTCTCCAATTTTTCTCTCTCTTAAACAAGGCAACTAATTTCACTCCTGAAAGTAGCGTCCGGGAGTTCCAGAGCTCGCACAAGGGCTTTCCGCCCAGTGTCCCCACCCCCTCCATCTTTTGAACTTGGGGGTGATTTATGGACAACTGCGGGCGAGTACAGCATCTTCCCACCCCCTGGGAAGACGAGCGAGACTGATATACTCCCCATTATCAGCCTCTAATTACCTCGTGCAAGCCAGATAGATGGTATTGTCGGCCATCTTCCAAGGCGCCCCTAGTGCCCCCGTTGCTGGTAGTTTTCAAAGATAACTGCTGAGTTGCAGTCACCTTAGGACCAGCTTCCCTCTGGTATAGTTCATTTGCTTGTTATGTAACCTAAACCTGCCTTCAGGTACGCTTCTGTAAACCTGAATGAATCTGAGAGTAAAATAGTTTTATATTACATGAATCAGATTTGTGTGTGTATTCCTATAGAGGGATTCTAAGGGATTTTTAACTCTGCTAAAGTAAACCTTCCCACAGGTATGTCTATCTATGCCAATACTCCCAGCTCCTGCCACCTAGCAGTTTGAAAGCATACTAGTTCAAGTAGATAAATAGATACTGCTGCTGTGGGAAGGTAAACGGCATTTCCGTACGCTCTGGTGTCCTGTTGCGCCAGAAGCGGTTTAGTCAGTCTGGCCAAATGAGCCAGAAAATCAGTCTACAGACAAATGCCAGCTCCCTTGGCCTGAAAGCAGAGATGAGTGCCACATCCCATAGTTGGATTTGAGTGGATTGCACTGGATTGAACTTTACATTTACTAAATTGTTCAGGGAATTTTAAACAAAAATAGATTGTGAAGACCTCCAACAGAACCTCTCCAAACTTGAGTGATTAATAATAATAATAATAATAATAATAATTCATTATTTATACCCCACCCATCTGGCTGCGTTTCCCCAGCCACGCTGGGTGGCTGCCAATAAAATATTAAATAACAATAGTCAATCTGTAGGTGGATTAAGCAATAAATTGGGAAATGTAATTCAAAGCAAACAAGTGTGAAGTGATGCAGGTTGAGGCAAAAAATATTACTTTCATCAATATGCTCCTGGGAGTGGAAGTGGGAGTGACTGTTCCTACAAAACTAAAATCCCCTTTCAATCCAATATCCTCTGTTTTCTTTTTCTTTTTGCATCATAGTCAAATGTATCTGAATGATTTAACCCACCTTATTAAACCAAAGGGGCCACACGATGGCATCCTGATCAATGGTGACTTTTATGTCTGCGGATCCCTCTCTCTCCATACTCCCAACTTTCCCTACGTGAAGGGAGTCATTGGCAAGCATCACAATGTTCACCACGTCAAAATCAGCTGTCAGGTCCCCATTCTCATCTAAATATGCTCCACCCATAGAAGCATTGTAGAACTGAAAATCACTCAGGAAAGGGTGAAACTAGAATGACAGAGAAGATCACAGCATTTAAGAAAGTTGGCTATTTCCGCCCAGGTGGTTCACATATTATCTAGGCACCTAGTGGCCATGGAGGGTTTCTCTATTTAATGTTCCCAATATACCGTATTTTTCGCCCCATAGGATGCACTTTTTCCCCTCCAAAAATGAAGGGAAAATGTGTGTGCGTCCTATGGGGCAAATGCAGGCTTTCTCCAGGCTTCGCGCAGCTTTCCGCAAGGTGCGGGAGTCCGGCGCTGGGCTCCCACGGCTTGCGGAGTGTTGCCTGTTCTGGGGGCTGGGGTCGGGGGAAGCTCAGGCTTCCCCCGCCCCAGCCCCGCGTCTGGTGGGGAAATATATATTTTTTCTTTTATTTCCCCCCCCAAAAAAACTAGGTGCGCCTTATGGGACAGTGCGTCCTATAGGGAGAAAAATACGGTACTTCTTTTTTTAAAAAAATATTTTCAATGCAAAGTTACAACAAAAATTACAAACATAAATTCCTAAAAAAAAGAACTAACCAACAAAAACAAATCAAAACAAACGGAAACCAAAAAGGGAAAAAATCACACCTACCAAAAAAATCCCCTGCCATTATACTAAGCTTTACATACATATACTCATATTGACTTCCTTCCTCTGTTTTGAGACCTCAGACATTTTAATCTTTCTGAATTGTTGTGTCTAATGTAAATTACCCCTATCTTTACACCTTTCGCACCGCTTTTAATCCTGCAAAGCTTCATTCGTTACATACCGATATACTTACTCCAGAACAATGTTTTTTCATATATTCTTTAACACAATCCCATTCCTTTGCTAATTTTTGGTCCGATTGTCCCCTTAGGAATGCTGTGAATCTTGCCAAATTCATATAAGCACAATGTTTAATTTGCTATTCTTTTATTGATGGGATTCCACCCCCCTTTCCAGTTTTTTGCTATGACCATCCTGGGAGCTGTTGCTGCATAAAGGAATACTTTCTTTTGATTGCTGGGAATATCTTTTGTAATTATACCTAAAAGGAATGCCTCCCATTTTTTACTAAAAGATATTTTAAACATCTTTTTGATTTCTTCATATATTTCATTCCAAAATTGTTGAATAGGTCGGCATTCCCACCACATGTGAAACATTGTTCCTATTTCTTTCTTGCATCTCCAACAGGTATTTGATTTTGATTTATAAATTTTTGCCAATTTTACTGGAGTTAATTACCATTGGTATATCATTTCCCCAATATACTTGAGGTCTTTCAGAATGGGCTCTTCCATCCAAGAAATAGGTTCCGTCCTAGAGGCTCTGTGTTGGGGTTGGGGAGGGAATGGCACCTCCTCTCTGAGTCTTGCTCCAAGCTATGGCTGTGGCTGCGGTTGTGGCAGGCTGCAGACTTGCAGGCATGGGAACTGCATGAGGCAGGCCTGTGACCCTCAACCAGGGTGAGAGGCTGGTTGAAAGGGAAATTAGGTTTGGTGGACTTCCCCGTTTGAGTGAGAGGCAGTGGTAGGAAAGTAGCTGGGGATCTAACATTTTCTTCTGACAGTGTGGGGCATGTCTAATAATGTGCCTTAGCTTAGTTTTCTGTGGCCTAATCCCCCAAGTGTAAACGGGGTGAATGGAAATGCTTTAATGATTCTAGGTGGGCAGGTAGCAGGGCGTGGTCAAGATGCTGCCCCTATTCTCGTGGTGATAGGCAGGGGAAAGCATCGCTGGAGTGGGGAGGGGGCAGGCCACCATCAGGGGTGGAGGCCTAGGTGTTTGGTCTCTGTTCCTTGTTCCAGCCCTCTCACACCACTAGAGGTTACTAGTAGCAGATCTACTGAGCCCTCTGGTCTGGTGCTGCTACTGCTGAATGTCAGATCAGTCCATGTTAAAACCATGCTCTTTCAAGATTTGATCGTGCATGAGATGACTGATCTGACTTGCATTACTAAGAACTTTCTGGCCCTAAGAGCTGTTCAACAGTGGAACAGTCTGCACCATCTCCTTGACCAGGATTTGTGAAGAAACTTTGGAACTTCTTACATGCAGTAGAATTCTATCTTGCTTTAACTTTGGAATGCTTTGCTTGTCTTTGATATTAGGAAAGTGAGATATGATGATTATGATTGAAATAATCATGATGGTATACATAGGAATGTATATGAATGGAGATTTAATATGAATGTCATTTTGTTTTGAGGAATCGTTGGTCTTCTCTTTGAAAGGGTGACATGATTATTGCTAACAGTCCATAGCCCTGCAGATCAAGGTAACTATTGAAGGGCCTATCAATTCTGTATCAATCATTTTGACCTACAGTATTTTATAACCTTATTTATCTCCTCTTTTTAATGCTTGGTAAATTTCTGTTAATTAAAGGAAAAGGATCTATGAATCCGTCATTAAATCGATTTTCATTTAAAATGGAACAATATCTATCCAGATCATTAGAGAATAAAAACGAATACCTGTGATGGTTGGACTTTTTCATCTTCCAACCTGTTCTGTCCCACCATCACCACCCTCTTGGATTTAGAGGAGTACGCAGCATTTAAGGCATGGGCCAGAGCACGGACCGTGTTGTAAATGCTGTAGGTGTCCTGAAAGAGGCTCCTTTCAAGGACATCTTGAGAGAACCCCAAAAGGGTCTCCTTCACTCTGCATCGCCTCTGGCCTTTCACAGATAACACATGCTTTGAATATAAGCAATGATAGCCTTCAGGCCAACATGGATGGAAATTCTTATAGGGGAAAGAAACTGGTAGATTACCATCGTGTTTTGATCTTTTTTTGGTCTGGATAAACAAAGATAAATATCCATGAATGTGTTTGTTCTCAAGTATTTTGGGAGACATGTTGGAGCTGGCATATGAGAGAGCTATTGTGATCCAAACTTTCCCAGTAATCGGTTCCAGGGTTTCACCCACTATGCGAAGTACAACTGCAGCTTCAATGAGGGACTGAGATTCCCCATAGTAAAGAAACACGTTGATTCGCCTGTCCATGGAAAGTGAATTCTTCTGCCGGAGCTTTCCGAACCATTGTAATATAAAGAAATTGTCTCGTGAAAAGGTTTGTGAGAAGGCAACACAGACACCATCCTTAGCAAGTGCAGGTGCCAGGGTGCTCAGAAACCTTTCTCCATTGTCAGAGTCAGGAGCTATGAGCCCAATCCAAGTCCACCTAAAATGCAGGAGTAGCCTGACAATCCCTGAGCCTGGGGGTTCTTCATTTGGGGTCATTCGGTAGAGCAAAGGAGATTGCGTTTTGTCAAGGGCATGATGAAGAGAAGCATAACTGACCTAGGAAGTACAGGAAGATATAGAGGGTTTTATTGGTCAACTGGAAATTGTGGTCAGGGAGAGCCATATTTTCCAGTGCTTCTCTGGAAAGGATATGTAGGACACCTTTGGCAACAATACACTCTGGTCAGTGAACGAAATAAATCAATTCATTCATTATAGGCAACAATTTAATATGTCTTCCACATTATTCTCTCCCTGAATGTCCCAACCCCCCCCCATATTTAACACTATGTTGAGTTAAGATATGTTGTCATTGAGTGTAGTGGTGGAGGAAGCGGGCGGGGGGTGTGTCCTTCCCTGGGGGCCGTCATTGAGGGGAGATTACAAGAAGACACCCCGTGGGGGGGGACTCACATCCCCACCCCCGAGAGTGGCGTCACAATCCTCCGCCATCACAGCCATGTGTGGAGTATCCTTCACTCAGGGTTGCACCCTCCGACACTATCTGTACGGCGCTATTTCACACACCTGCCAATATAAGGATGTGCTCAGCTGTGATTCCTGCATTGCAGTGGGTTTTGATGGATTGGTTATTTAATTTTTATACTGCATAATATATTTAAAATATCTGTAAGCATTGCACAGAAAAGTGAAGCAACAACAGACACCTTAAATAAAATAATCCAAAAATGCACCGTTACTTTAAAAAATATTACACGCACCCCACACATTTAGAGCATGTCGAAGGCTCTTGGTGTCCCCCAACGAATCCTGACAGCTGTAGTTTGTTGGGAATTATAGCTCTTTGAAGGGTAAACTACAGTTGCCAGGATTCTTGTATTGAGTGCTTTACATTTATGGTGTACACAACAGCATCAGCAAAGGCACAATATGGAAATGAAAAGGCCCTAGACCTACTCAAGAAGCTCAGCTTCTTGAGGAAATGGGACTTGGACAATAATTCATGCATAACCACACAATCATTTGCTAGAACATTGCTAGATTTAGACCCTAGATCTTATCTGCTGTCCTTTTAAAGTTGCACAGTTAGAACAGCAACAACCCACATTCATAAGAACAAGTAATGAAAAACAGCAGAATTTGTTTTAAGAGAGATGGCTTCTGTTGGGGATGTTCTGGGATTAAGAGGTTTTAGGGCAGTACTCAACCAGTGACTAGTGGTGTGGGAATCCGTCCCATTTTTCCTATACTGTTTTACAGTTTTAAAATTCCCACCCATTTCACAAAGCTGTTTGCTCTTTGAGAGGAAACATTCATTTACCATATAGGCCAGGTTCCCAAAGTGATGCCCTCCAGATGATATTCACCTCCAACTCCCATGAGCCCATGTTCACCCCTTAGACTGCTCTGATGGTGACCCTTTTTGTGAAACCCTTCTTCACCCAGCAGGACAAATCCTTCAACATAAGAAGAGGCTCCTGGATCAGGCCAACGGCTCATCTAGCCCAGCATCCTGTTCACACAGTGGCCAGCCAGGTGATTGTAGGAAACCAGCAAGCACAGCATGAGCACAAATGCACTCTGCCCTCATGTGATTCCCAGCAACTCAGCACCCAGAAGCATTGGTGCCTCCAACTAGGGATGTAGATCACAGTCATCATGCCTAGCAGCCATTAATAGCCTTTGCCTTCATGAATTGGTTTAATCCTCTCTTAAAACCTTCACTGCCTCCTCTGGGAGTGAGTTTCATAGTTTGTTTCCTGTTAAGGGAGGTTGCTGTTCTCTGTATGTTGTCTATGCTAGTGTGCTCATACCTGGGGGATTTTGTAGGTTCCCAGCATAGTTGAAATCTGGAGTGAGGTGTCAGAGTTGACCCCTTCAATGAAAACCAAGGGCTTCTTCTGTCTTCCACAGTGGTAGTTTGGGACATTGGCCCGCCCAGGAGAGAGCAGATCTAGCGTGGCATCATAGGTCATCCTTGCATTGAAATAATTCTCATAGATGTCATAGCCCAGGGTAATGTTGGGTAAGATCCCGGGGTCCTGATTAATCTCATGGATGGCAATCATGAAGGACAGGAGATACCAGTATGCTACCATATCTGCTGCCCTGCAACAAAGCATGAAGCCTAATGTCAGTCTCCGTTCAGTGAAAAGTGTCAAGTCCCTGCTTTCTTAACCCTATAAGAAATTGCAGCCACAAGAATGAAGCAAAACAGAACATCCACATCACATAATCAGTCATCTGTGAGTTTGTTGGAAGGTGAACGGCTGCTTGCCAGTCAAAGGGAGATAGAAGCTTATTTGAGCACTTGCGTGCTGGAAGCAGGGAGTGAATACCACCCTCAAATATAATGAGCAAAAATTTGTAAAAGGACAGGGCACTAGTTCAAGGGGAGTGGTAGGTTGTAAGAGTTTGTTTCTTTATTTTTTAAAAAAGAAGAGGAGATGTAAAATAGAGATCTTTACCAGTCATATAATTCCTGCTTCTAATTGTTATTGCTGTTCTTATCCTATTTAGTACCTACCTTGCACCCTAATGTCCCAGGGCAGGTGAACTGTACTGGCTGCCAGTTGATTTCTAGACTCAATTCAACGTGATTGTATGTTAACTTGATAGATAGATTGTGACAATTTAATAGTTATAGTCCTGCTCCTTTCATAGGAGTGCATATCAGGCCATCTTCACATTTCCCAAGTCAAGAACTTGGGATGCAGATGATCTCTGGATCTTCATGATTCACCATCAATTTGGTTTATTTTTCCAGTGGAAAAAAGTAAGGAGGGAAGCAATGCCTATGCATTTTGTGTCTTCACTGGGCAAGTTCTAGAAAGCAGGACTTGTCCCTGGCATATAAGCATTCGAGGCTTGGGCAGTCACAGCTAAGCACAACCGTATTAAAGAATATGCTATGTATATATTCCTACCCATCAATCACAGTTTTGTCTGCTGTGCAGAAATTGCATGGGGAAATGCAGCGTACCTTATACTGTAAATGAAAGGGGTGGCAAGGAAATGGTGTCCAGTATGAATAATTTGTAATGTAGATATGACCCCGCTTATGAGGTGGTCTCCTGGCTCGTAATAATTCATTGCATCTGGATGATCCCTTCTCAAGTTCAATAGGCATTTTGCTTTCCGCATCCTAGAAGCTGCACAGGGAAGCAGCAGCAGCAGCAGCAGCAACATCAATAAGAGCCTCACTCTGGGTCTGCCTCCTGTCATTACGTCTGTTGTCACTGCTCTCAACTTAGCAAGAAGCGAATTAGATGAAGCCCAAAGTCTCCAACAAGACCGAAGCCCTGGAGAAAATGTGAGGAAAGGGAGAAACGAACTTTCACACTGGCGGAATCCCTGCCTGCCTGGAAGATAAGTCAAAGCCCTCGATGGCACAAGACGTCTTTAAATATGCAGCAGGCATTTCAAGCTTTCGTTTCTGAAATATCTGTTCTTCGTGTCAAAAGTGGGTACATTGCTTGAGTTTTGCCTAGGAAAAAATCACTATGATTATGATAATTATGCAGGGAATATACATCTCTGGAATCAAGCTTGATGTGCAGCTGCAGAGCTGGAAGAAAACATCACAATCTGTTTTCTGATGCTCTAGAGGGTAGGACTTGAATCAATGGCTTCAAGTTAAAAGAAAGGAGACTCTAACTAAACTTCAGGAAAAAGTTTCTGACAACAAGAGCTGTTTGAATAATCCCCCTTGGGAGGCTGTGGATTTTCCTTCCTTGGAGGTTTTTAATCAGAGTTGGGATGACCATCTGTCATGAATGCTTGGTTGAGATTCCTGCATTGCAGAGGGTTGAAATATATGCCCCTTGGGATCCCTCTTCCAACTCTACACTTCCGTAATTCTATGATTCTATGTTTACCAGATAAGCCAGAATCAAACTATTTTTCAGGACATTTTAGGGCCTGATATGATGAACCTCTGCTGCCTGATGGACTTTTGTTATGCATATGGGGGGGGGGACTTGAAGGCTCCTGTGCCAGTCGAATATTTTATTTCAGAGTATTTGTATCTCTCCCCATCACCTCATATCCTCTCCTGACAAAGTTTTTTGACATTTGAATATTTCATTTTAGACCAGCAAGTGGCTGGATTTTGTTATTGCCTTTCTGTTCACAGATCCCTACAATGGAAAAGAATGTACAAAGAATCAGATGGCATCTTTACTTTGTGTCGTCAGGTGCTCCTTTGTATTCAGACCAGGCCTGAGTAAAATAATGTAGCACTTGGGAAGGAAGATGCAGCCCAGAAGCCCAGCACTGGAGGCCAAGATAGAGAAGACCTTCTATATGCTAATAAATCTTTTGCCCACACTCTTCCTCTGGCGTGAGCTTTGCAGAGTACGCAATGTTGTTGGAAGCCGATTGAAGTCTGAACGCTGTACTTTCGGACAATGAAGGAAAGAACGGCTTGAAAGCTACAACTAGTGTTTATTGTAGAAAACAGTAATAAACACATAGATTACTATATACAGATACAGAGCGTTAACAGCATGTACACTCTCTCAGCAAACTGCCATTAACCAATCCCTCATACTATAACCACCACAGACAGACAGACTCACATTACGCAGACATATAGATATAGCTGCTCTGTTACGGTATAACACTGATTGGCTGAGCTCAACCAATCCTTATCTTACACCTACTGTTAACCAATCAACAGGCTGTCTCTGGGCAGACTACTGTCTCTGAGGGCTGCCAAGAATATCTCACAGTTACATCATGAACTCATCTACTACAATATAGTTCTTCTGGTCTTAGAAGTAATCCTTGTAAAGATAGAAGTATACAGAGGGTGGCTGGGGCAACCCAACCAGATGGGTGGGCTATAAATAATAAAATTATTAAAATTAGTATTATTATTATCCACTAGTACTTCCCCGTGCTAGCTCACTATGCTGCACTGAAACACACAGTAAATAACCTTCAGCTTCTCTGCTGATACCTTGCACTCCTGCCAATAATAATAATAATAATAATTTATTATTTGTACCCCGCCCATCTGGCTGGGTTTCCCCAGCCACTCTGGGAGGCTTCCAACAAAGATGAAAAATACATTAAAATGTCACACATTAAAAGCTTCCCTGAACAGGGCTGCCTTCAGATGTCTTCTAAATGTTAGGTAGTTGTTTATCTCTTTGACATCTGATGGGAGGGCATTCCAAAGGGCAGGTGCCACTACCGAGAAGGCCCTCTGCCTGCTTTCCTGTAGCTGTGGAATTGCTGTGGAATCCAACCTTGGCTTTATACCTCATGCACACGTTCCTTAGAGAAAGGGAGGGCGGATGAGTCAAGCTCCAGGCATCCAGCTAACTCTAACCATCATCCAGATGTGGAGGGAGGGCTGCTCAAGACATGGACCAAGAACTTTGTGCCATTTCACCCATTTCTCCAAATGACAACAATCATAACACTCAGGAGTATCTGTAGGGATGAAGATGACCTATCACGATATTGGGGGCCCAAGTTGTTTAAGGGTTTTAAGCACTAACGTGAGCAATGAAATCTGAGCTTCCAGTAACAAGGTTGCTGGACCCCAAAGCTGTGGACCTCATCCACCCAGAGGAGCGCAGCCCCTTTTAGCTCAGGCCATCTTCCCACTCAAGAACATGGAAGATAGAACATCTCTAAGTTTTCAGAATTTGTCTTCAATTTCCTAATACCTTTAGAAACAGGTTATTTTGCGGATCTACAAAAACAAAAAGTGTCAGAGGCAATACATGGCATTGTGAGTTTAAGGTTTAAAATGCTGAATTGCAAAACCTCCTGTGGAACTTCCCTATATATCAGGGAAGGGAATTGCTATGTTTTGCTCAGAGGCAGAAATAAGGAGAGGAATATTTACAACAAGTGGTCACAAAAACAATGTGAATTAATTTAAAACCTATCCAGCTTTCCGCTGGATATTCCAGTTGTGCAGCCTTGTGCCAAATCGACTTCCTTCTGCACAAAAGGAAGAAAATGTCAGACTCTGTGTGAGGCACATAAGTTACATATACAAATTTATTTGTGGAAAATAAGATCATGCAACAGGGGTCAGGGTGACACAGATATAAAGATCACCAGGGCACATTAAGATGATATATTTGAAGCATGTTCTGAAAAGGGTTCCTATTTAGTGATACATTAAATCAAAAGGGCCTCTGACAGTCCTGGGATGACTGTGCATTCACTTTGGAAATGACATGTTAGGTTTTGGATAGATTAAAAAATAGTTACAAGAGCAGCTCATAATAAACACCTGAAAGGGAAATAGCTCCTTTTCATAAGTATTGCGCTGCACGCAGATTCCCTTGGTGGGAAAAGCGCATTAAGAATCAAATTCCATCTTTTGTTTTTGTTGTCAGGTGCTCCTTTGTGTTCAGATCAGGCCTCAGTACAATAATGTAGCACTTGGGAAGGAAGATGCAGCCCAGAAGCCCAGCACTGGAGGCCAACATAGAGAAGACCTGCACGGCTACCATGTATTTCCCCTTGGTGCTCAGGTAGGTGGGAACAAAGGACACCCAAACACTGCAGAAAACCAGCATGCTGAAGGTGATGAGCTTGGCTTCATTGAAGGCCCCAGGCAGATTCCTGGCTAGGAAAGCCACCGTGAAGCAGATGGTAGCCAGGAACCCCATGTAGGCCAGGGCACCATAAAACATGGCAGCAGACCCTTCGTTGCATTGCAGGATGATCTCCCCTGGCTGGGAGTGCATGTCAGAGTCAGGGAAAGGAGGAGATATTCCCAGCCAGGTGGTGCAGATGACAACTTGGACACTGGAACAGGAAATGACAATGGAGTTGGCCAGACTTTTCCCCAGCCATTTCCTCACCCTGTTCCCTGGCTTTGTGGCCAGGAAAGCCAGCACAACAGTAATGGTTTTTGCCAAGACAGAAGACACAGCAACTGAGAAGATAATGCTGAAGGCCATTTGTCGGAGGAGGCAGGTTGTGTTCATTGGCTGACCAATGAAGAAGAAGGAGGACAAAAAGGAGAGCAGGAGAGAGAAGAGGAGTGTGTAGGACAGGTCCCTGTTGTTGGCTTTGATGATGGGAGTTTCCTTGTATTTAATGAAGATTCCTAACACGAGGCAAGTCATGAAGGACAATAATAGTGTGAAAGAAGCCAAGATGATCCCTAAAGGTTCTCCATGGGACAGAAAAGTTATAATCTTGGGGACACATCGAACTCGCTCCTTGTTTGGATGCTGATCTTCTGGACATTTGGTACAGTGGTCTGCATCTGGAAAGAAGAAGAGTAACTTTAGCATCATTCGTATATCCACAAGAGTTCTATTACATTCCACAAAATACATGTTTTGTAGTGAACATTTTCATGCAACCTACAAATGAAAAATGGAAGTTAATTATGGAAGGCCGGGCCATCAGTGGGAGAGGTCATGCATGGCACAGGCTGAGCCTGGGGTCTCCCACAAGCCAGAAATAGAATTTCCAGCAGATGAGAGCTGGGTTGTCACCTTCCTGAATTGTGGGAGAGCCATTATACCATAGAATACAAATGTTAGGACTAGTCAGATGAATATTCTTACCCAGTAAGTGTATGACCAATTTTTATCTTGTCTAAATGGCAAAGATCAGCATTGGTGATGATGATGATACAAATAAATAACTTTGGGATGGGGGTGGGGTTGCTGAATCATCCATCACCCTAATCAGTTCCCACCCCTGTCATTTCTTCCAAGTTCCAACAATGCCTATAGAACCATTGTCCCATTCTTGAATGCCTCCCTTTCCCCTGCAATCACTTGCCTTCCTTGGTAGAGATTGTTCCTTCCATGCAGGGAAGGCAATCATAGCAGCAAAGGGCCTCTCCTTCCCGGATCACCTTGAAGTCCCCAGGGTGACAGATCTCGGTACATCTGGAATGAGGCACGGTCTACCCATAAGGACAGAGCAGCAAGAGTTAGGGGGATTTCTTTTTTTTTAATAATATTTTTATTAATTTTAACATATAAATTATAAAATGTACCACAAAACTTATCACTTATACAGTCTTTTTGGACTTCCATCAGCACCTCTGATGATCCACCGTTTTAACCACTTCTTATGCATTTCTTAACTTTATATTGCCTTTACATCTCTTAACAAATCATCCTCCCCCTTATCCATTTTTACAATACTTCTAATAATACTCCTCACAAAACTTCTTGCAACCCTACAAACGTCGTCT